CTGACGCCCGTCGTCGAGGGCAACAAGGCTAAGCACGCGTAGTCAAATAGATTGCCGTGTTGGATAACTAGTGGGGTGGGCTCTACAGTCTACGGTGGGGTGCGTTAGAAGGAAGAGAAGGTCGAGAAGGGATCGTGGGTGGGTGGAGATGACTCCATCAGTATCGAACTTTTAGCTGGTTGGACTTACCACGTTCATTGACTTCAGACACGACGTACACACGGAGTACGGAGTACAGTGCTCTGCATGACGCAAACCTCGTTTTTTGGATTATCCGTATCTACAATAATCATCCCATGTTGAAAACAGTAAAGAAAAAGAGTCCAACTTGTAAAAAAAGGGGGGCTGGGTGAGGATCAGGATGAGGACCCGAGGTGTTGGATACGAAGCCCACAAGGCACCGTTGGATTGGTTCATTGGTGCATTGGGCCCGGCAGGATTCGTCTCCGCTAGGATTTCCATCCGGTTGGTTCCTGCGTCCCCAATGCAAGGAACAGGAAAGGAATACCCGTAGGATCAGCTCGTGCTGTGGCGAATTTTGACCTCGGTGGTCGATGATTCTCCGTGTCGGAAGGGTTGTGAACTACTGAGTCTCTGATTCAAGTATCAAGTATGGAGTCTGAGCCTATTTCCAGAGTAGGCAAGTATAGAGTCTCTTACCGTGGTAGGAATTGATGATTTTGGAGTTGATGCATGTACCTGAGTGGTAGTTGTCACTGCAGTCTGGTTTTTGGTACGAGGCCTTTCGTCCCTCGTCGGTCGGGGCCGTCATAGTGTATTGACTATTGAGAGACTTGTCTATGTATTACGTAGCTCTCCGATATACTCCCCCGTGTGGATGACCTTGGGCAGACATGATGGTGACTATTTTATATTTGTGTTGGAGCCCTACAACCTTGGCCCGCTTTATCAATCTCAATCGCTCGTAGATAAACTTATCATTTAATTCTTATCATCATACGAACTCTACTAGCTATCTTAGCGGGGTGTAAGTAGTCCAATTACTGTTGCGTTAGATATAGCATTCGTAAGGTTGATGTTTGGTTCAACGGTGGGGATATATATCGCAGCTTCAACTCCACAGATGTACATCACCCACAGAGTGGTTCCATGGATCGGGACATATCATACACTTTCTGTATTTCGAAGAACTCGTCTATGTACTCCTTGACTCTGTTTGAGGAAACCAAGTAATACAAAGACCTTCAACATTCAATTGCCTAGGTTGTCGGTGATTCCGTTCGAAGTCGATCACCGTGCCGAGGAAGAAGTAAGCATACCAGTGGACCTCAACCCTCATCAGTAACGCCTCGTAAGAAAACAGAAATCGAACAAGTCGTGAAATCCAAGTCCAAATGACGAATACACCGAGTATTGAACCGTGATCGACCGGTATTGCTAGACTAACGAATGTATCTGACGTACTAACGGTCCAAATATCCAGAAATCGAGCCTCATTTTTGAGCATCCACACCACAACAAAAGTAACCTCATCCGGGCCTAGAACGAACACCCCAGTCGAACCATGGTTCCATGAGAACCACTGCACAAGGCAAATATCGTAATTCGCGGGGTTTGAGTTCACCGGCATCGAAAGCTATCGATTCTCGTGCGTTCACATGCCCGGATGTCGGGTCCAACCTCCAACCCCGCAGCCGGAATGTGGCGATCAACTCTGATCTACAGGCACCATCGCCGTCCTTGCCGGAACAATAGCCGTTTTTTTGATACTAGTTCCGTTCACTGAGACTCGAAGATACATAGTCGTTGTTGTTTTTTTCTTCTCCGCGGACTCGGCAGTTATCTATTGCTTACCCTTAGTACTGCGTGGGTGGTCATTTACTTCCCACGAGGGCAAACGGCCCGCTGCACGGGTGGAGTTTGCTTCCATACAGTCGGGTTCGCGGTACAGACTGTCGGTGCTGGTAGCCAACGGTTTTGCATATATTGGAAGGGGCAGTGAAGAAGTGGGTTATTGTCTTACTTTGCCAATTCATTACGAATGCTGTCCGGGGCTGGCGAGAGCTGGGAAGTTAATGACCCAACCTGCTCGAACTTCAGAGTATGGGGGAAGGTTCCCGAGGCGAGGCATTTATGGGTGGGAGACTAGTCAAAGTATGTCAGGATTTGGGTTATAAGGTGCGTCGTTGGTGAAAGATATCGAATCATAACTATGCATTGCTCCCGAGTAAAGTCAATCCAAGAACTCAGGCCTGTTCGTGCAGAGCTTGTCTGGCCCGAAAGTAACGTGCTGACTCCACGTTTACATCAATCAGGATTCAGGTACCCCTACGGTTTCCTTACCATGGCAGAACATGGTAGTGGTAATCCATTGTGTTGCATACATACAGATCCCATAATGTATGAAAGCGCGTCATTTCTCAAGTGTGTATACCTGATACGTTTCAATTCAATCGTTGTGCTTCCACTAGCTGGAAACGTAGCTTTCCAGAACCACGGGCAGAGAGACAACTCCTGTTCGCTGCGTCACAGGGATTAACCCGACTCATGGCCTGATTATTTCCATCGCATCCCCATCCATATCGTAGACCAGGATATGAAGCACGAGCCCTCGTCTCCTGCATATGGCGTATAGTCCGGCACGCAAGATAGCCGATGTTCTCCGAGCCTCTCCAAATCACAAAAAATGCCTCTCTCTAGATCTTGCTCGGCATAGCAAAGTCAAAAATCTACCTTACTTTCCCTCCAGGCTGCCCTGAGGACGACAGACTTTCTTCAACAGCCACCCTTAACGGGGTAAAGAGGGGACGTAAGCACGATCCCAATTGCGACTCGACCCCGAGCCTCGGGGTTGAGCGGACGCTATGCAAGCCACATGGGGATTTAATCACTGGTCCGACCTTCTAGAATCGTTCTGGAGCTGGGTTGATGGTCCTCCCCCTCTCTGACATCGTGGCTCGTGCAGGGTTGGAAAAGAAAAAAAAAAAAAAAAAAAAAAACTCAATCTACTTGTCTCAGAGCTTTGTGGACAAGAAACGTGGTGGTGACAATATTACCCGAGATTCTCCCAGATACCAAGGGAATAACTACTTCCGTACAGTAAGCTACGGAATCTAGTTTGGTTGGAGATTCTTCCGAAGGAGGACAGGGGGGGGACCAGGTAAAATCCAAGCTGGTCCTGTACTGGATTGTAGGTCCGGGGTTCGCGCCACTGCAGCCAGTCTGTTCATCAATCTAAACTACGACAGTAGCAGTATGCATGGTACCCTCGTCGTTACTGTGTAGTTCAAACTGCGCGGAGTTGTCCTCTGCCGGCACTCCCCTGAGTCCCCTTCCTTAGGAGTGACCACTCGCGGCATTTTTGTGTCTGTGGTGTTTTTAGCTTTCGGTGGCATCAATTCATTGGGGGCTTCCTTGCCTCGTTCCAAACCTAGCAAAGTTCTCTGATCGTGGAGCAGAGCAACGGAACACGAATAACGCCCCAGAGCACGGCTAACATGAGCTATCTTATTGGATCGCGCAGGTGGACAGCGATATTGAAAGTTCACGCTCGCCGTGTCCACTCAGGTGTCAAATCAGCGTGAGCCGCGGTCGATCCACTGGGCGCGCGCGCACTTTTCACAAAACGAAACCCGGCGTAACAGCTTGTTGGTTTGGATCTTGTCTTGAAAATAATAACAATAGTTGAATCATGGACGGCAAAATAACTTTCGATTTATTGTATATTGTTGTTAGTAGATATTTGACTTTTTTTAGGAGTTGTTTGAATTGTTCTTGTATTGACATTGTATGGATTGTATGTTCCAGTCTGACATCTTGACTGTTTTCCCCCCTGCCCCTCCGAAGCGCGGGGATGTGATAGTAAGAGCGGTCGTCACACCAAGGGATGTCAGATAGAACATGCCATACGCTCATCCATCCACAAAGGTCGAGCCAGTAGTTGGCCAAAGTATCCCCCTGAATGGCTGCTCGAAACCCAACCGCGAACGTGCCATGGCCCATGGTAGATCTAGAGGCTGTTGGATGGAGAGCTCCGCTATGGAGCTTGGGGGGCTCAAGATTGGCCAAGGTCCAGTTAAAACGGTGCAATCAAGGACATACTCACAAGAGTACCAGAATAAGATTAATCTGTCAGTAATGTTCCGTACAAAATGTAGTACCACATGGCATGGCTGTTGCTCGGTCCCTATGGTGGTACCCGTCGGACGAATAACGAAGGACTGGGATGTTCATTGGATATATGGATGATGGAGAGGAACAGCTTACGGCAGATGTGCATCTTTCGTTCTTGTTCTCTACCTTGATCTGATAGGTATATCATTGTCTAGATAGGAAGGACTAAACAAACGTCACTGTAGACGGGGGATAAAACAATAAGACATCGGTCCTGGAGAACTCGACCGCCATACGCAGTGCATACTTAAATTACATACACCATGGAAAGTCCTGTACGGACGCAATACCGCGGTAGTAATATAAGCTGTAATTTATCGCTGATCACTCGTTGACGGTAATCTATAGTGTAAAGAACGGTAATATCTACCCGAACTGCCCTTATCCCAGTGTGTATTGTCCGTCACAACAATACGCAGCCAGAACAGACTCGTCCACGGAGGAGACGCCTTATCCGTCCCGCCTCCACCCTGTCTCTCTCATCCTCTGCCCTTCCCCCCCCCCCCCCGAAGAGAGAGAAAGTACATCCTTCGCCCTCCCAAAATACGCTCTTCCCTCTCTTCCTATATGACCATGTTTGATTCTATGGCATCTCTCTGATCACTGGTGGTTGTGGTTTGGTTGTTTCGCTCCCTCGTCTGATCCTAACCAACCCCCCGGGAAAAGTGGGCTTCAAAATTACCCACCCGCCCCTCTCTCCTCAACCGTCAAATTCCCAAAAAGCCATGAGCCACGGGGGTCACTGAGAGAGAGAGAGTCCAAAGCCCCCCCTCCCCTCTTCACCACCAACACCACCATCTCTCCCTCTCGGTCACTTTCTCCCTTAAGGGTGTCTCTCTCGCTGCAGCCGCGAGTGACGCTCCTTAATGTTTGAGTTCCGCGCGGCAGATTTGGCTGTCGAGACGGGACCTGTACTAGCCTCCAAGGCCGGTGCTTTTACGACCGCTTTCGAGTTCACCGACGAACAGGCCACCACCCCCACCGCCGCCTCTCGCCATCGCGGCCGGGAATCTAGCGTCTCTCACCATTCAGATCGGCTGAGTGCCTCTCCTATCAAACAGAAAATGGCTACGGGTTATGCAGTCAGCCCCGAGCCGCCCGCGCTGTTCGTGCGGGCCATGTACGATTACGATGCCGACGACCATACGAGCTTGAGCTTTCGCCGTGGAGATATCATCCAGGTCCTCAACCAGCTGGAAACTGGGTGGTGGGATGGAGTTATCGATAACACCCGCGGTTGGTTTCCGAGTAACTACTGCACGATCATCACTGAGGCCGACGATTTTGGTGAGCACATGACGCACCTCCACGAAGATACGGAACTGAGCGCAGAATCCGGGCTCGAGGATGACTACGGCAATGGACATGAAGAGGACGAGGAGCTGGACTCTGAAGGCAACCCGCGCGACTCGCAGCCCATCTTACCTATCGAGGGTATTCCCGCCCCAAAGGAGCAGGAAGAGGCGGCGTTTTGGATACCCCAGGCGACTCCCGATGGTCGCCTGTTCTATTTCAATACACTCACAGGATACTCCACTATGGAACTACCATTTGAGAATCCAGCGACAAATGAGGTTGGGCCCCGGGACCGGACGAATTTCTTCGTCCCCGATCAGACTCGGCCGCCCCCTGAGCTGATGGCTCGTGGGTTTGAGCGAGATGAGGATGATTATGATGGTTCGGCATCGGAGGCGGAAGGGGAGTCCTTGATGCTGGCTTCTCAAGACTCCATGTCTCGTCGTCGCCAGTCTTTCATGGATGGCGTGTCGCCCGCGACTTCGATGGATTCTCTCTACCCACCTGCCACTAAAGACCTCAAGCAACAACCGTCGCTGAAGAGCCAGGCATCCTACAACAGTGGAGCACCGACGAGTGCTAACACCTCTATTGCCGAAAGCTTCTCTCGACCTTCCATCTCATCCGGTACTCCCCAACACTTCGTGGATGACGGCCTGACAGCTCCCGTGACATGGCCCTTGCTTGTTGATAACATGCGTTATGCCGTGGAGGCTTACCGCCAAGCCCTCTTCGCTCGCGACCGATCCGAATACGTGAGAAGGGCCGAGGACATTTCTGACCATCTACGCATGCTTCTGGCTGCTGGATCTGACACGACGGATAATCATTCGGGAAATCCGTCTATCATCTCCACAAACAAGGCTTTGTACCCTTACTTTAGGGATATGATGTCAAAGTTCTCTAAATTGGTCCTTTCGTCACATATCGCGGCTGCTGATTGGCCGGGTTCCGATTCGGTCAATAAATGTCTGCAGGAGGCAGATGGCGTCATGCAAGGAGTGTACGGCTATGTGGACGTCGCGCGACAGCAACGCGGGGACGGCATTAACCGTATCGTCCCTGGTTTCGTCGGTGGCAGCTCATGTGGTGGTAGCTGGCAGAACAACGGTGTCTCGCTCAATGCATCTGGCCCGACATCGTTCCTTGTCCCCGAGGGTGGTGATTCGCGCACGGAGCCTTCGGTCTCTCTCGACTCGGCTCTCTTGGACCACATTGATGTTCAGAGGAGATCATTCGTTGGGAGCATTCGTCGGTTGGAAGAACGCTTGTCCCTCGATCGCAAGATTGTTACTGTTGCTGAACATGGCGAAATCGCGGACGCTATTTCGGCTGCCGCGATCAAGGTCGTTGAGCAGTTCCGTCCTTGGATTTCGACTGTTGAGTCTATAAATCTCGTTCCTCTGGGAACCAGCTTCCAGAACCCTCAACTGGTTGATTTCAGTCTGCAAAAGCAGCGCGTCTATGATGGCATCGGTGATTTCATCCTCAGCTGCCAAGCAGTCTCTGCCCCTCTGGCCGATGAATGGGCGGAGCTTCGTGGCGATTCCCTTGATGATAGGATCACTGCTGTTCGCAGCGTGGCCAAGCAGCTGGAGAATTTCGTTTCGCAGATCGGCTTTTCACTGTCCCTGCTTCTTGAACAGATTCCTGAAGACCAAGCAGCCTCGCTTCGCAGCGAAAGTCGTTTGGACGAGGAGGATGAGTCGCTCAACAAGGGCGCTCACGCTCGCAGCGAATCCCAAGCTAAGATTGCGAATGAGTCCATTGGCATTCCTTCCTCATACGCGCTTGGCCCCGACAAGGTGCGCCGTAACATGGACAAGGCCCAGCGATTCTTCGGTCAGGCACCTCCTACCACTGTGACTCGGGAACCGCCTGTCCGAGAACCCGTTCGAGAACCAGAGGAGACTCCTTGGTTCCTGAAGATGGATCACGAGGGCGAGGTGTTCTACGATACGAAAGCAGACGTGCCAATCCTCAAGTGCGGAACACTTGCTGGCTTGGTTGAGCATCTCACGCGCCACGACAAGCTTGATGCATCCTTTAACAATACTTTCCTCCTCACCTACCGCTCCTTCACCACTGCCTCTGAACTTTTCGAGATGCTTGTTCAACGCTTTAACATCCTGCCTCCCTTTGGTCTGAACGCGGACGACCTGCAGATGTGGACCGATCGGAAGCAGAAGCCAATTCGCTTCCGTGTGGTCAACATCCTCAAGAGTTGGTTCGACCACTTCTGGATGGAGTCCAACGACGAAGTGAACATGGATCTATTGCGACGTGTGCACGCGTTTACCAAAGATTCTATTGCCACTACTAAGACGCCAGGAGCTCCTACCCTTCTTGCTGTTATTGAACAGCGACTCCGGGGCCAGGACATCTCTGTGAAGCGCCTGGTACCTACCCAGAACACAGCTGCGCCCCCGCCAATCATCCCGAAGAACATGAAGAAGCTGAAGTTCCTTGATATCGATCCCATGGAGTTTGCTCGGCAGCTGACCATCATTGAGTCGCGCCTCTACTCCAAGATTCGGCCTACGGAGTGTCTGAACAAGACCTGGCAGAAGAAGGTTGGCCCCGATGAGCCGGAGCCCGCTTCTAATGTCAAGGCTCTAATTCTGCACTCCAACCAGCTGACCAACTGGGTTGCGGAAATGATCCTGACGCAGGGTGATGTTAAGAAGCGTGTGGTGGTGATCAAGCACTTTGTTAACGTTGCCGATGTACGTGGCGTTCCTTTCCTCTGTCTGGTGCGCAATGCTAATACGTGAAATCTAGAAATGTCGCGCTCTCAACAACTACTCTACCCTCACCTCCATCATTTCCGCTCTTGGAACTGCCCCCATCCACCGTCTCGGTCGGACATGGGGTCAGGTCAGTGGCCGTACTTCTGCCATTTTGGAGCAGATGCGCCGGCTTATGGCTAGTACGAAGAACTTCGGCGAGTACCGTGAGACTCTGCATCTTGCCAATCCTCCTTGCATTCCATTCTTTGGTATGATTTGTGACCACAGATGGCCTCAGACCATTTGATTGGCTCCACCCTTACCCCTCCTGTCTCCATGCCAGTAGTCTCAAGGCTAACCTGTCGTAGGTGTTTACCTTACGGATCTAACCTTCATCGAGGACGGTATTCCCTCGCTTACCCCGTCGGAATTGATTAACTTCAATAAGCGCGCCAAGACCGCAGAGGTTATCCGAGATATCCAGCAGTATCAGAACGTTCCGTATCTCCTCCAACCAGTTCCGGAGCTCCAGGATTACATCCTCAGCAACCTGCAGGCCTCGGGTGATGTTCACGACATGTACGACCGAAGTCTCGAGATCGAGCCACGAGAACGAGAAGACGAAAAGATTGCAAGGTATGCCGAACAAGCGAGCAGAGACAAGAACTCTCTGCTTTTTGCAAGCACCGTCGCGATTCTGCGGTGATCCTCTTTTAGCCTTGTTCTTTTTTTTGTTTTTCTTTTCCTTTTGTTTTCGGGCATGGTGTCTGGCTCTTTCGGCGATACCCAAATTTGACCTCATATTTGAACATTTCTTTTTCGGGTTTTGGACAAAGAAAAAACACGCTTTTGAAACTTTGTGGAAGTTGACACTAACCCGTTTTGATTTCTTACCCCGTAGATTGCTCTCTGAGTCTGGTTTCCTGTAAGCGTGTGGCGGAGACATCCCTGTCAAAGCTGCACCTGCGGGGGGCCGTCACCACCCGAGGATCGTGGGCGTTTTAGCGCCACAGCGATTTGCGCTCGAATCACGCCAATGAAATCCCCTGGTTGCATAGTGGTCGCCAGTACCAACAAGTTGGTCTCAGCATCCTGCGACTAGTAGGATTCGTGCGATGGCCCCATTCTGGGGAAGGTCGGCCGTTGCGACCGTGCCCAAGACATCCTAGTCTGCGCACGAGCGCCTCATCATTTACCGCCATCGATCACCGGCACTCCCACCGGGCCTGTTCCGTGTTGCTTAAGCATCGGGATCATGCACCTCCTCTTCACTTCGAATCCTTTCGCATGGGAGCCCCGCGACCTAGTGGGGTAACGAAGCTGCTCTCTAACGAATCATTTCAACTGCTCATCCGACTCCGTCACGGCAGTCTCCTCTTGCATGCATGACCCATGCTTGCAAATCCCGATACCCTCGCTTCTTGCATTCGATATACCTATTATTCTTTTTGATATAGAATTCTAGGGGACCCGACTGGCAACTTTCCACTCCTTTATCAGCACGGATCCGCCTCCTCACTTCCAGTCTGGTGGATTACCAGACCTACCTACCGACATGTACTTCACCCGTCGCACATACCGGTCTCGGTGTATATTTTGGACCCCTGTGTCGACACCGCCTCTTTCCTTCTCATTTTCTCCTTCGTGATTTACCTGGTTTCTACATATCCCTTACCGTTCCCGCCAAAGTGAGGCGGTTCTCCTTCGGAGTTAATGTCTCCATGCCATTTCCTATAATGATATGTTACGACTTGGACCTGCGTTCGTGTTGGATAAGCTTTTTCTTTTCTTTTCTTTGACTGTATCATCGCAGCAGGACGCTTGGTTTCGTCTTGCTTTCTTGCCTTTCTCTGTACCTATTGTTTCAATAACCATCCGGTCTATACCCTGTCATATCTGTTCTTTTGAATAGAATCTTGAGTCGTCATTTTCAGAGTTTCCTCGCTGTATGGGTTTGCACAACTGCATCCAAATCATGGTTTATCACAAATAGATACCCGGTGCAAGAGTTGGAAAGAAAATCATACATGTAGAAGATGCTAAGGTCGTGACACATCATTTTTCTTATCAAGATGACCCAGGCAATGGAGCCATGACAAATCTACGTACATCTATCAGGTGTGATCCTCCAATCATGCCAAGATGATAAGAAGCTTATTCTGCCAAGCGTCATACGCCCGGACTCTAGGTCAATAGATGGAAAGTAAAACAGCGTGACGGTCGTAGCAATATCTATGCAATGAAGCTCCCCTTGCCGAATATCTCTAGCGAATGAACTCTAGGATGCTGGAGCAGACTGATCTCCGATGTCCTGGAAGAGCTTCATCTTCACTTCGGATGCCAGGAGTCCCTTTACCTCCTCCGATACAATCCGTTGACCACCACGTACAACCTTATCGAGTTGCTGATCTTTCGTTGTCGCCGAACCGCCCCGCGGTCCACTATTTTCAATAGCCCGGGCTGATTTGCGGATCTTCTGGCTAAGATCCATCATCTGCTTGCTGCCGTAATCCCGGGATGTGAATAGTGGGCTCTGGCTCAGCGTCGCAACCCAGTACTTGTTCCAAAGAAGAGAGAGGATTTCAGTGTCGAGCGTGCTCTTGTAATGTGTCGTCTCGAGAGAGTAATATTGGTTTGCGTGTGCACCGAAATCCTCCGCCTTGCCAAGCGGGATAGTCTGATACTCGTCGTCCTCATGGCCCTCCTTCGGCGGGGTAAAGTCCAAGGGGAAAGTGCGGAATGCACCGATTTCAATGCGGCCGGCGGAAATCGTGCGCTCCGGGTCAATCACAACGGCCACAAACGGCCCCGTCATCTGTTGTGTCTGCTGCGTGGCTACGTCGATGCCGGACAACCAGCACCCGTACCCTGGGTGACTGTGGTACCAGCCCACGGCGTTTTCCATCCGGCCCGCATCCCGGCATGACTGCAGATACGACACCATGTACTCGTTCGCCTCGTCCTGAGCGTTCACGCGAGTCTCGGTTCCTTCGACGGGTAGTCGGAATGCGTCCGTCACGACAAATGTGTTTGGCAAGATATAGCCTTGCATCAAGCCCATGACTTCTAGGGATCCGCCTGATCGGGCGTGCATCACCATTTTCAATAGTGCTGTTGCGGAGATCCGGACTGATTTGAAGTAGTACGGGTCCGTGGCCCAGGGCCGTTCGGCGTTGAGGGCCTTTTGTGTGGCTTCATCGTATTGGTAGAGGGCATCGCGTTGTGGGTCGAATACGCTGATGGAGTTCTCGAGCTCTGAGGTTCACTTGGTGGTTAGTTTGCAAGCTAGAGCTGTCACGGTTCATTGAAGAGGTGGAAGCTCACCCCAGGACTGCTGTGCAGCCTGCATGGTTTTGGAGGGGTGGTGGTGTGAAGTCAGAGATTGGAGGTGTAGGGAAAGGTTGTGAGATAATGGGTAATTGGGAGCAAGATCGTTGAAGCTTCGATAAGGTTATTTTGGAGGGGAATCATCGACAGCTTGACGACGCAGTGATGGAGCGTGGAGAGAAGCGGTGGGGCTGATGGGGGCAGAACTGGGGCGGTAAACCTGATGAGTCAGCCGTTGCCCCTGGATACGATCGGCCCCAAACAATTAGGGCGCGGGAGATTGAACCTGTTTGCGATCCAGCCCTGCCCTTCTCCTCTTCCCCCTCATAAACACCACCCCAAGGTCTTCCCAACTGGATTCTCCATGTCTCTCAACTGACGAGTTTCACCACCCACCTTCGTTCATTTCTTTGTTTCGCGGCGAGTGTCGGAATTTCCGCGCCTTGGGCTGCCTATTTTGATCCCTTCGGCGTCGCTGTCGCAGTGTCGACAACTTTGTCGTTGGAGTGAATCACATTCCTTGATTGACACTTTCAATCTCGCTGTCGCCGAGCTCAGTCACTACCAGCTATGGCTGTTGACACGAGCTACCTGACCACTCAGGTCAATAACATTGTCGAGCAGCTACATGGCATCTTTGATGAAATTGGTGTCCCTACCCATGAGCGCGACTCCCGCGAAGCAGAGGTAAGCTAGATATTCCCTTGCCATTATGTGTTTCCTTAGATACTAAATGCGATAATAGCTATTCAATGCTCTGTCAGAAACACTAAACAACCATCTCAAGCTTGTTGATGAGTGAGTTTGCGCCTGTGTAAACAAACCTTGACGGGTCGCGACAAGGGCTAATATCACATGTTACACAGAGAGAAGGAGAAGATGACACAAGAAGCCCAGCGCCTTATAACGACCATTCAACAAATGGAGGCATCCTTGGGTGATGAGCGGGCCAATGGCCAGTACGAGCTCAACCGTGATGACCTGCGCATCACCTACCCTCTCAACCGATGCATCGCATTCTTGCGCGAGAAGAACGAGGCGATGACCAAGCTGCACCGCGAGCGCTTCGAACAGGTTAAGAGTAAGTCGAATCATATGCGCCGATTATCTATATTTCACCCATGCTGACCTTGAGCAGAACTGGTCGATGCCCTGGAGTCCTATTCGTCCCACCTCGAGGCTTCATTCCTTACAATTGAACTTCCTCCCACTGCACCTGGCTCGGTTATTCCGCCTAGCTTCGATCTGTCGCCCGCATACGTGACTTCCCTCGACTCTGAATTCTCTCGCGTCTACGAAGAGTACCACCGCCGCATTTCCTTCGTCCAGACAACCTCCGAGGAGATCATCAAGCTCTGGGCTGAGCTTGGTACTCCTCAGGTGCAAACCGATTCAAACATTGTCAAGCACTACCGCGAGTCTCCGGAGCAGCTTGGGCTTCACGAGACCGATCTCGCTAGCCTGATGGGCAAGCGCGACAAATTGGTGGAAGAGAAGAAGGGACGCGAGCGCAAGATCAAGGAGCTTCGAGCTAATGTCGAGAGTCTCTGGGAGCGATTCGGAGTTGAAGAATCAGATCGCAAGGCGTTCCTGTCTGCCAACCGTGGCTGCGGTCTCCGCACTATCAATGAGTTCGAAGAGGAGCTGGCTCGTCTCAACGAATTGAAGAGACAGAACATGCACTTGTTTGTCGAAGATGCTCGCTGCCGCCTGCAGGAGCTTTGGGATAGCCTCTTCTTCTCGGAGGAGGAGATGCTCGACTTTACTCCTGCCTTCTCTGACGTGTGCAGTGATGCATTGCTGGAGGCTCACGAGGCTGAGATCTCCCGCCTGGAGACACTCAAGGAGCAGCGCGCCCCGACCCTAGAGCTGATTGAGAAGCATCGCAGCCTTCTGTCTGACCGCCAAGCTCTCTCTGCTTCCAGCCAAGATGCCTCCCGTCTTATGGGCCGCGGAAACAAGGGCGAGAAGCGTGACCCCGGCAAGCTTCTCCGCGAAGAGAAGATGCGCAAGAGAATTGCCAAGGAGCTGCCCAAGGTCGAAGCCGAGTTGCGCAAAGAGCTTGAGCATTGGGAGGATGAGTTTGGTCGACCCTTCATGGTCCATGGTGACCGTTATCTCGATTGCTTGACTCCTGCAGTCACCAAGCCACCCCCTCGCTCAAAGACCCCTTCCGCGCCTCCATCTACTACCAAGTCCATTGCCAGCGCCACCAAGCGTGATCCGATTTCTCGCCCTGGCAGCTCCATGCGTGGACCCCCTCCACCTCGATCGGCCACCAAGACCCCGACAAGCAGTGGTCCTGTGAAGCACAACACTATCGGTTACTCCGGCGCTAGTCGTGCTGGAGCCAGGTCTCCTTCTAAGCTTCCTGCCCGGGCTCCCTTGAGCAACGTGCCATATGGAAGTAACTCTCCCGAACGACGTACTGGACCTGGCTCGTACTCGTCCAGCACAATCAACGGCAAGATGCCACCTCCGCGTGGGCCTCCACCTAGAATGCGTGCATTGACCGTCGAATCTAAGGAGCGCGGTAGCTATGCCATGGAGCCTCCGCGCTGCAATAGTGCAATGTCGAGCGCTTTCGTTCGGCCTGTGAGCCCCGAGGACGTCTATGATGATCGCCAGCGATCTTTTATGAGCGCCTCTGTCATGTCCAACCACCGGTCAACCGGGTTCTCCCACTCATCGCACTCGTCTCAGTCTTCCCTGAACTCTTCGTTACAAGGGTTCCTTCGTGTCAACCCCTACCTGTCACAAGCTCCTCCCCCACCTGCTCTCCGACAGACCTCTAACTCATCCACTGTCAATACTGTTACTTCTGGCTCCGAGAACTGGGAGACCTTCGATGATGCCTCGGAATCTGAGTTAGATGCTAGCGATGTCTACTACTCAAAGCTGCGGGCAGCACACGGCAAGCGCTTTGCTCCCGAAGATGCTGTCGATTTGACAGGAAAGAAGTCCAAGGGTATTCGTAGTGTCAGTCCTGACGGGCCGCACCCCGGCCAGATGATCCGTGTCGCTGGTAGCGACACTGAATGGACTGATGATTACGAGACTTACTGATGAGATGTGCTATCCCGCGCACAAGAAGTCGACATCAGCTTCTCGCATCCTTCGAATATCTGGACCTTTCTTTTCTTGTCACTTGTATTTCCTGGCGCCTCGGGCATATGAGCTGTGGTTACGCAATCGCTTGGCTTCCTGACGATCCCATGACTGGACTTTGTCTGTACGGCTCATGTTGACGATCCCTTTCACGAATGAGCTTTCTCACATTCCATCGGGGCTGGTGTTTCTTCCGCACACAAACTGACGACCGATCTCCTTCTCGCCGATTTTGAATTTTGCCCTCTTGCCTTTCTGTGTTCAAAATTCCGAGTTCTATCATGTCAATCTTGTTTATGCTCCCTTTCTTCTGTCGATGCTTATCACGTCCGCCGACGCTGCTGGCCACGTCTCCTGGTCGTGCATCCCGATAGTGGTTCCTGTCCGGTCCGTTCCCTGCGGGCAGATCTGCTTCTCTGTCACACAATCGGCGGACGCGTTTGTTTAATCTTTCCTTTTTGGATGTTTCTTATGGGTTGGCATGGTGTTATTTTGTTCTTGATACTTTTCCTTTCTATGTCTCACGGTTTCTCTGCGGCTTGGTGCTTATGGTTCCTCCTATTCCCCTGTTCTGGTCTCCTAGGTCTCTGGAGTCAGACCTCTTCTCTTATGTCGTGCTTGATCTTACTCGACTCGATTTTTCATGTGTTAATTTCTAGCGCGGTACAGTGAATATTTGTTTACCTAGTTCTTCTGATAATATTATTTCTGATTCAATTGTTCATGAATTGTTCCGATATTACTAAAGTCCAGAAGCTCGTGGTATGTGGTGTATGATTATTCCTTCGAGGTCTTGTCGAAAATAAACCTAACAAGTGCTTCCCGGCCATCCGGCTTCATTGGACCTTCCGTATGCATCGCTCCTTTGACCTCTTTCCTTGAGATTTCAAGCCCGAGGTCTCGACCTCTCTTCTCTAACTGGCCCGCCACATATGGTGGTATCACTTCGTCATTCTCGGCAGACAGAATGAAAATAGGCGGTATTGAGTCCGCTGTCTGCGAGTTTAGATCTCGCCACTCTGCCAGTCGCCTCAAGTTTGTTGCATTGCACCAGGTATTCCATGAAAATGGCCATAGGTATCGATAGGGAAGCCATCGTTGGGGGTATAAGCTAATGAGCATATCCTTGATATTCGAGGTCGGCGCTTCCATGACCAACCCTGATATTGGCGCAAGCCTTGTATCTTCTTTGGATCTTCCAGGCTCGCGCTGTGAGAGATATGTAGCTAGCGCGGAGCTTGCCACGGATGAGCCGAGGCTGTGGCCCCATAGAACGAGTTGTAGATCAGTCTCTGGAGATGAATATGTCTCGGATACCCAGTTTAGAAACGCTTGGGCATCCAGTTCAATCCCTGACTGTGTTGCACGGCCTGAAGATGTCCAGTAGCCACGGTATGACAGGGCGACGATGGTGAACTTGGTGTCGTGGGATGTTGATGTTCCCTTTGACATTGTCGAAATAGTCCTGAGAACTTGGGAGAGAAGTGGCAATCGGAGAGGAGTCGAGCCGCCATTGCCTTGGAAGTAGCATATCACCACGGATCTTGTTTTCTTGCCACCACTACCTGGCTTTTGGTTGTCTTTACTTGGGATGAAACCCTCACAGACAGCTAATTTGGTCCCATCCAGGCTTCGAATTTGCTTTTCGTGCCATTGCACGGGCTTGCATTCAGCCTCGTATTCAGCGATTTTATCAGATCGTGAGAAAGGTGGTAGCCATGATAGATATAAGAGCTTGTTCTGCATCACAATGATCCAGAAGCATTTCCACGTCCACAGGCCGAGTAGAAGCCCGACGAAGATGGCCGGTGGATAGAGAATAGGTGGAATCGATTCAATAAACAAGGTGCGTATCTGTCGTCTCATTCTTAGCCGGATAGCGCTTCCATTCTGGCCGAGGCTTGGCCTTTTCCATGTATTGGTACGGATGTATTGGTGGGAAACCCCCAGTGGACGATGTGGGTGGAAGCATTCCTTAGTCCTCAAATTGCCACGGCTATAGCGCCCGATGCGCGACAATACTGACCTCCCCAGCATGCAGCATCAGCGGAGCCTCTTGGACACAATAAGGCTTGATGAAGAGGTGATATGTCGATGGAAAGACGTCAATTGCTTCGACTTCCGCTCTAAACGGAGGCTTAATAACGGTTAGGTCACATGACCGCGACATAGCCCTCAAATTACCTTTTATGAGTCTCCATCTATTATGGTCATGTTGCTGTGTCATTAACGTACTCAAACATAAGGATACAGGAATGTGAGTTGATATCCCGAGGGAGTAGACGTCCTGGTGGGTGCATGTTCACTATGCAGTCCACTGTTGACGGACAACAAGATGCTCTACAAGACGGGTACATAGATTCATAAAGATTGAAGATGTTCAATTCTAACGCATTGGGTCTACTGTACTATCATGATCGTAGAAGGGAGTGTCCGAGTCTCATAAAAAGGTCAAAAAGCCACGAGGGAAATGCAAAAACCCCAGACGCCATTCTATGCCAGCAAAGCATGAATCCTAGTGTCTTCTGCACTTATTTACTGGGCCGCGCACTGCGCTGGCTCCTCGTCGTCATCATCATCCACCCAGGCCGAACCGCCTTGGGCGTCCCGAGCACCGAAGTCGTCCATATTGCCGTTGGGGTCGTACTCAACGTCGTCAACGGTAGCGGCCTCGATAGCGGGGTCGGGCTTAGGAAGCAACTCCTGGAGCTTGGCTAGCACCTCAGGAGTGGGTTTCCAGGACTCATCGGGGAACTTGACGTTGACAGCCAAGTAAAGGTCACCTCGAGAGTCGCTGCGCTTGATCGGCATACCCTCGCCGGGGACCTTGAGGACTTGTCCTGTGGAGAGAATCTTGCCGGCGGGGTGAGTGATCTCAATACCACGTCCATCGAGATGCTTCAGCACGACGCGCGAGAATCCAGTCAAAGCCTCGGCCAGGGTGATGTCGATAGCCGCCCGCAGATCGGAACCAGCTCGGTCGAAGACTTCGTGCTCCTCCTGGATCAGCTTGAAAACGATGTCGCCATTTTCCCGGTCTGGAATTTGGTCGGCCTCGCCTTCCAGGACAATCTTCTCTCCCTCACTAAACAATTGTAAGTAACCGTGTCAATAGCCAAATGATTAGACATAACTTACCGGGAACCAGGAGCAATGTAGATCTCCAGCATCTTCTTCTCCTCGGTTGTCCGCTTTCCCTTGCACTTCTTGCACTTGTCCTTGGGGCTGAAGAACGAACCCTGGCCATTGCAGACGGAGCATGGCCGCGTCTGCTTGGTCAGGAACTGTCCCATCTGGGTAATCACCTCCTGGAGACCGTGGCCGTCGCAAGTAGAGCACTTCTTAGCAGTGGCCTTCTCCTTTCCACCCTTCCCCTTGCACAGGCTGCAAATGACGTTCTTGGTGCTGGCAAACTTGACAGTCTTGCCCTTGTATAGCTCCTCCAGACTGACTTCATAGTCCTGCTCTTCGTCTGGGCTTCTCCGGGGTCGGCCACCTCCCGGCATACCGCCCATACCAGGCATACCGCCCATACCGCCCATACCAGGCATACCACCCATGCCTCCGCTGAACATCTCGGCGAACATCTCCTCAAACCCCGCGGGCATGCCTCCCATACCACCGCCCATGCCAGGCTCACCGGAGCCGTTGAAGGCGTCCATGCCATGTGTGTCGTAGATGTGGCGTTTATCATCGTCGGAGAGAATCTCGTACGCCTTCTGCACATTGATGAATTTGGCTTCGGCTGCGGGGCGCTCATCTTCGGGGACTTTGTCGGGATGGTTGGCAAGAGCAGCCTGTCAAGACTTCTAGTCAGTCTTCAAGTTGAAACAGTGGAAGCGACGCCTAATGTACCTTGCGGTAAGCCTTGCGAATTTCGTCTGTGCTCGCGCCTCGGTGGATCTCTAGGACCTCTGTATAAGAAGTTAGACCTGATTTCTCTTGTATTCTCCCAGGTAAATAATTAGAAGTAACAGCACATACCATAGAGGTCGACTTCGATCTCGGCCACTGGTGATTTTGTCAATAAGCAGTCCAACCAACACAGCCCACTAGAGGCGATAGGGAAACGTACTCGTTGCGTATTTTAATGAGTGAAGGGAACTGAGGGACTGAAATAATAGCAAATATATGCGCCGCTTGTTTTGAAAGTAGAAACCAGGCCAAACGCGACGTGAAGGGCAAGCGAGGGGAAGAAAGTTGAGATGTTGATTCAGCGGAGTAGCCGACCGAAATTTTGTCGGGCAGTCGCGCGGAGCTACCGAACCTCCGCAAGAAAACCCCCGGCCCGATCAAACGCTCACCAAACACCCTCAAATTGAATCCCCATGAGGAGCCTACGCAGCGGGCTTATTGCCCGGAGGTCATGGACCTGTATCCAATGCAGAGCCCTGTCTTCCTCTGCGGGCGCAAACGTTCGCAAACCGAAGAACAATCTCCCCGACGCCCCGGCGCGAACACGCTTTGCGCCTTCCCCGACCGGTTATCTCCATCTAGGATCGCTACGGACTGCGCTGTTTAACTATCTCCTCGCCAAGAGAACTGGAGGCCAGTTCCTATTGCGCATTGAAGATACGGATCAGGTCTGTCCATCGGTTTTGCATGGATTAGGGAATAACTGCTGATGTGCACAGAAACGTACGATTCCGGGAGCAGAGCAGCGACTATATGATGACCTACGATGGGCAGGATTACATTGGGATGAAGGTACGCCCAGGAAAATGAAAATTTGCTATGGCTAGGGCTGGGCATAGGCTAAACAGGCGACTGCAGGCCCGGTCGTTGGTGGTCCATACGGTCCATACAGACAAGTAGGTCTTGACTCTCTAAGTCTTTTTCGAATCAAGGCATGGCTAACGAATGGCCCTCATAGTCTGAACGGACAGCCCTCTATCGAACCCACGCCGACGAGCTAATCTCCAATGGCCATGCATACCGGTGCTTCTGCTCTTCAGAGCGTCTCGATTCGTTTGCACGTCACCGTAGCCAGGCAGGGCTCCCTTCCGGTTACGATAGGAAATGCGCCGATATTTCTGCCGAAGAGTCCGAAGACAGAGCATCTAAGGGAGAGTCACACGTGGTTCGGTTGAAGGTGGAAGGATATCCTATGTTCAAAGACCTGGTTTACGGCAAGACGGGACAAAACAAGACCAACAGTAGCAAGTTGGATCTTATTGATCGTGTCTATGACGATCCCATTCTGTTGAAGTCTGATGGACATCCGACATATCATCTGGCAAATGTGGTGGACGATCATTGTATGAAGATTACACACGTCATCCGGGGAACGGTAAGCGTCTTGTATACTCCTCCAATAGTTGACTGGTGTTTACTAATACCTCGCAGGAGTGGATGCCCTCGACTCCAATGCATATGGCCTTGTATAATGCTTTCAAGTGGACACCTCCGCAATTCGGTCATGTTCCTCTGCTCGTTGATAAGAGCGGGCAGAAGCTCAGCAAGCGGAATGCAGACATCGATCTCTCCTCGTTCAAGGACCAGCAGGGAATCTTCGCTGCTACTTTGGTCAATTTTGCCGCACTTTTGGGCTGGTCTCATTCTCAGAAATCGGATGTTTTCAGCCTGGAAGAGCTTGAGCAGATTGTATGTTCTCAGAGGTAGCTGACGGCTGGATAATTGCTAACACAAACCCTTCAGTTCAATCTCAAGATTACCCGTGGCAATACTGTCGTTGCATTTGAGAAACTCTGGTTCCTTCAGAAGGCACATGCCCAGCGATTCGCGGCAACCGGCGGTCCTCAGTTTGACGAAATGGCGAATAGAGTGTGTGCCGCCGTTGAAGAGAGCCACTCTATGGACAATCTGTGAGTTTATCCACTGAAATAATTGCGAACGCCCCTAGTCTGACTTAATCCCCAGCACCTCTATCCTTCAGGGCCGCACCCTGTTCGAGTATATCGCACCTCTCCTTCATGCAGACGCCAAAACCTATACGACCGCGGAGGAATTCACGAAGCGTAACTCTACTTTCTTCACTTCACAACTTGACCGACCTTCATACACACCAACGGCCTCCTCCGCCTCGACAGAAGCGCCTACGGTTCCAATGCAAGCACTCCACACGGCTGCCGCGGCTCTGACCCTTGTACCGCCAGCCCACTGGACTATCGAAACCCATCGCGCAAACATTACCTCCTACGACGGCTCCGATGCCGTCACAATCCCGTCTGAGACTGCAGATGTAGTTAATCCCGACAAGATTTTCAAGAAAGAGCTATACCATTATCTCCGATGGGCGTTGTCAGCTTCCGCGCCTGGCCCTGGTATTCCGGAGATCATGACTATTCTTGGACAGGAAGAAACGCTGCGCCGTATCCAGGATGCGAAGGCTCTGACGCAGTCTCTCGTGCCTCAGACCGGAAGACGAGTCCCAAAGGGAGAAAAGAAGTTGCAAGAGGATAAAAGTTGGATGGGGACTCTTGCTCCCCAGACATGACTTGAACAGCAGTGATCAATCCTTAGCCAGGGATATGTACGATATTCAAAGCTTGTCTTACAATGTACTTATAGAAAGAATTTATCTTGTAAATTAAGCTTTCCTTATTCTCTATGATCTCCTAAGGACCCTGACCACGGGCGAAAGCTTGACGAGGGGAATCGAAGAAAAGATGCTGTTAGGCGGCTATGTAGTGAGGTGTACCCAAAGACCAAAAGAACTACCTTGAATAGTTTCGTGAAATCTATTGTTCTAATCTATGAAAGTCTATCTAAAAAGGCAGCAATCCGACGATACATCTCCACCGGGTTAGAATACATAGGGAAATGCCCACTCCCCTCAATCATCGCCAATTCAACACCCTGCTCCTCCAAACGACCCAAATACGATAGTCCCCGATTCTCCTCACCGAACATAAACATCTTCGGACACGGAAGCCCCAAGAACTTCTCCATTAAATGGCCATGATCAGATAATTGCACCATAGACTCGAAAATCGGCCGTACAGCACCAGCCCGTACTCGTGCACGCAGGGTACTCGCATACAAGGGACTTGCGTACGATTTAGCCTTCCGGGTACGATCGATAAACTCGTGGAAGAATGTCTCAGCATCATCCGTAGGAAAGGTAAAGATTTGCCGACTGAGGAAACAATCTTCCGGTGCGAGATTGCCCTTGATGTCCACGAAGCTGAGGACCCTGTCGTGATTCTGATGTGCGAGTATGAGGGCAGCGAGTCCACCCATTGAATGGCCCATGAGGTGGAATTTGGTGATTTGGAAGTGATTCAGGACTGCTTCTGCTGTGGCGACTAAGAAAGGGATATCGGTGGCGGAGAGGTTGTCGCTGGTTGTGTGGCCACATCCTGGGGCGTCAAAGGCTATGAAGCCGTGTTTTTGTAGAGTGGGATGGATGACTAGATCGGCTAGGTCTTCTTTGCATGATCCGAAGCCGTGCAGGAATAGGATTGGTGGCGAGGAATTGAGGCTGTGGATTGTAGATAGGTTGAGGTTGACTCCCTTGACTTGAAGCGGGACTGTCGCGTAGGTGAGCGACATGGTGAATGAGTGTCGGAGGAGGTCAATTGAATTAATACCCATTTTTCAAAAGACATCTGTGTTCAAGGAATTATATATGTAGAAGTACAAGAAGTATGAAGAGATATGAGATCGGCCAAGTGGTTCGGCACCTTGATGCTTCGCCGTGTCCGACCGACCGGTGGGGCGTTGGAGACTTTTCCTCATGTCGGATCCATGGATCAGAACTTCATATGCCTCGAGGTACAAGTAGTCAAAAAAAAAGTAAGTCTATGTAAAGAAGGGAATATCCAGAGTAGCGCCCCAAAAAGTAGGTATTCGAAGTATGAGAGACGAAAGGAAGAGTAAAAACAAAAGCCGCCACTCCCCTTCTATGCATGCATGCTTAACCGAAAAAAAGAACCAGTAATAGTAAGAATAAATCCAAAGAAGCGAAAAAAAAAATGAAACCCCAATTTTCTTCTCCCTCCGCCGGGGACCCCAAGAATGAGAAACAGACACGAATCGAACGCCTATACACGGCCCCGCTGTACATAGAGGGTATCTAAGATTAAGACAAGAGGCCAGGAGGAAAGAGACGGAGGGTGTTTTTGCGAGAAGTGCTTTACACAGGGTGGATGGTAAGGCGGGTGACCAGATGTTGAAGGCCACATAGAGGAGAGTGGGTGATTGAGGGTAAAAGGATGATGGGGAGGGAAGGAGGCAGTAGGTGAAGGTAGTGAAACAGGGGACGATCACTTCCGGCTCATCAGTTTGCGGCCGAAATTGCGGATGGTTCTCTTGTGACTGCGATAAAAATGTCAGAATGTGGTTTTCAAAAGATTGAAGTGGATCATCCTTACCTATCGTCTTGTTCCGTTCCATGGCCATTGCTACTGGCGATGACAGTAGTAACGGTGTGACCAGAGGTCATGGGTCTAATGGGTGCATTGACGAAGCGGCGTGACTCCTGCATAGTTTGTTAGCATAAGCATATATGACTTATAAGGTGAGTGGAAAGACTGTACGCACCTCCCATCGAGAATCCACATCGACTTCATTGGCAGACTTGGAGTCACTAATGGTAGTATCGTGGTTCTCACGAGCATCCGAATTCAGAGACAGAGAACGAGCCAACGGGGAAGCATTCGACTGCATGGACTTCCGCGACGGCGACTCGGAATAGTATTCACTATTCGAGTCAAAGCTCGTCAGACTCGGGGCGTGGCTTCGATCAAAGGCCGAAAGGCTGTTATTCGAACTGGTTAAGAGCTGCGACGAGGACGCAAGCTCGCGGAAGCGTTTTTGCTGCTGCTTGGAGGGCCGGTGGTGCGAGAACTTGTTTCCGAGAATGGCAGGGGCATGCGAAATAAGAGCCTTGATGACATCCTTCTTCAAGCGCAGAGCTAGATCCAAATTGGACCAGGTCTTGTTGCTGTATTCCAGAACTGGCAGCCGGAAGACAAAGTCGTGGAGATCTTCAATGTTATGCTCTCCTTTGCCCTTGTAGCTCATGCAGAGGACCACGTCGTGAACCTTGACCCGAGCCAGAGTCATGTAATTCGAGGCTCGGGACATCATTTGCGAAAGATCATCGGTGGGTTCCTTGTTTTTACCGCGAGACCCCTTGCCGAGGCCGAACTTCTTCTTTTCTTCGGTGCTCGTGCTGTGGCTTGACACGGATCTCTCGGTGGATACCCTCGCCAACATGCGCATGCTGTCCACTGATCGTTTCTTTGCAAGGCTGCCAGCAAGGCTACCCGTGGTTGCGGGACGGGGCAGTCCCTTGCTAGGGTCTGGCACACCTAGGCGGGCAGTGTTGCTTCTCGCTATGGGCGTCATTGCAAGGCCCTTGAGATGGGTGGAGCGACGACTGGATCTGCCCTCCTCAGAGAGAGACAAAGTTGGCTGGAGTCTCAATTCGATGGAGCCGGGGCCCTTGGATAGATCATCCATGGACCTGTTGTCGTCGTCAGTTCTCATCGACTGAGCCATGCTTGGGTTGTTCGATTCCTCCTCTTCCTCTTCGTCTTCCTCATCGGAAGCATCAAGCGGTTTCATATTTTTGATCATGAACGGTGAGAAGCCGCCATTCTCAAATGCACCGGAGCCCATGTTGGGGAAGATGTACTCGAAGAGTCTTTGACCAAGCTCGCGTTCCAACTGGATCTTGAGAGGGAACAAGGATACTTCGAAGTTGTCAACCACGGGAATACCCGCCACTGCTTCCATCATGTGCCATTTAACGCGCAGCATGAAATCGTTCAGAGGCCGTGGCTGGTCCAGATACGGCGCAATGATCTGAGGATAGATCGCATCCGGCAGAAGGTTAAGTCCACTGAGCTGCTCGACAGCCACAATGTTGTGGTTGGAGCCATCGGTATTGTCAGTGCGCTCGTACTGAGCATTTCTGAGTTGGAACTCGACAAGGGGAGCAGATGCCTCCTTCATCAAATGCCAGACAACCTCAGTAGCAGAGATGCTCCAGCGCAGGACACCATCCGTCTTGGAAGAGCTGGGATCGGCCCGCCTCTGAGAAGTTGTAATCGCCTTCATCATGAAGAACAACTCGTCCTCACATTGAGACAGGTCGCGCTCAAGTGCCAAGCGATCCTCCCAGCCCTGCTTGTCTAGATATTTGGCATTGATCTGGAAGTATTCTTTGATTTCCTCCAATTGTCGGATGCGGGACTGCAATTTGAAGACTGCCTCTGGAGCACCACGGAGGTCGCTGAAGTCGGATGTAAGCATAATCTTCTCCAAACGCTCGTTGCGAACTTTCTCAAGTGGCTCGCTGTAAAGCAAGAGATCCAATACAATGATGTACAATGAATAGTACTCTGCAGAGTCGCAGATCGCACGGAAGTGTGGGAAGTCAACACTGATCTGATCCATCCTAGTCTCGTCTCCTCCAGGATGCGGACCCGGGTGACCCTTGGCCACCTCCTCGTTATACTTCAACCGAAGGTTGTTGTACTTGTCATAGCGAAGGCTGGCGGAGGTCTTTTGCACAATGCGAGAGAATCCAAATGGATTGAGTTCAAAGTCGAACATCGCTTCCAGAGTCAACCAAGGCGGCCATGCGGACCCTGGAGCATTGCCATACTTGTTGCCGGCATAGAACTGCAGGTTTGCCATGAGGTTCTTTTGCGTTGCGACAAAGAACTGGGCACCGTCCATCTCGAGAGAGAAGCGACGCTGGACCAAGCCGCTGACATCGTCGGAAACACGTTCTTTGTCCATGATTGACACAACCTTGAGTTCCATGCCCTTTGCAGCTACCATCAAAACGGACTTGCGGTTCTTCTCGCTCATGAATTGAATCTGAGGAGCGATCAGTCGCAAGTAGTAGCTGTTCTGTGGGGTAAACTCCGGCGCGATATTTTCGCTAGAGTCATCGGAGGCTGAAGGCGACTGGTTCTGTGACTCGGATGGTTCGGTCTCTTCAACGTTGACATATCGCTTCGCGTCATTCAGGAGCTGCTCAATCCTATCTTCCACATCCTCCTCATCATTATCACTGAGGGTGTGCGACTTGGACGTCTTGGGCTGCTTCCGTTTGTTCTTGTTCTGCTCATCGACAATGTCTAGGATGAACTTGACTGCACGTCGAGACATGTAGTAAACGAAGCCCCGTCGCTGACTCACTTGGTGACTGTAGCGCAGAATGATATTGCGGAGTGAGTTATTCCACTTCAACTGCACATTGTGAATCATGAAACGGTTGTTGAAGTCGCTGGAGAAGTCATCTGCAGCCGAGGTGTAAAGCCCATCAAGACCGGATGCCCGGCCGTCAGTAGTCGAATCCCCGTCTAGACCGGCCCTGGATGAGGTTTCGCTGGCAGCCGCACTAAGACCTGACTTGCTTCGATTTGGAGTTCGTTCATCGCGCGCCAAGTGTCTTTCAAGCCGGTCCAGGGTGGAGGTCAAGAACCTTCGGCGCCTAGCAAGGGACTCGGCGTGGCGGAGGTAAACCTCATGTTGAGCCTTCAGGCTTGGATCATTGTCCACATCCTTCATCAATTTGAGCTCCTGTTCACCAATAGTACGCTCGTAGTTGCGAATCTGGGCTTCGACAGTTGCAAGGCGATCCTTCGTCAATTCGATTTGCACACGGCGAGGATCATTGGTCTCAGACATGACACAGTCATGAGTCGGCTCGTGTCCGAAAGTACTGTAACCAGTCTCCTCGGGTCCAAGGTCCTCATGGTCTGTCTGCCGGAAGTAGGTGAATCGTGGAGTGAATGCAAGCGGCAAGATTTGTGTTCGCGGGTTTGACTCCTGGGGAAGAATCCAGTCAGGCTCGACAAAGTCGTCCATATCAATCCAATCAAGGTTGTGGTCGGGAATGGTGAACTTCGATAGATCAACAGAAGGCACTGGCTGCTGGAAGGATGAAATGATATCATCTCTATTTTGCTCAAGATCTTCAGCGGTCGTGCCTTCGATACTAGCAGAAACAGCTCGGAAATCAGCGGATTGCAAGTCGATCAGGGCTTGGTTAATGCGCATTGCACTTGTCTTGGTCTGCTTGGAGCGACCTCTGGCCTGGGTCTTTATCTGCTCGCGTCGCTGATGGATATCCAGCTTCAAGGAATCAAGGCGGACCTTGAGGCCCGTTGCAGTCACAACATTTTCAGCATAGTCTTCACGATCCTTATGTTTGTAGATATGCGCCACAAACAACGGTGCAAGAAGAATCTTGTACTTGACTGTTGCCAAATGCCGGTTGAATTTCTTGCTCGTCTTGGTGATTCCTGGGAACAGTGGGCCTTGGCGAACGGGGAGAGACATCACACCGGAGAAGAGAGACCACCAGTTGAAGAAATGGGTGAAGAAGCGAGGGGTCAAGTGGGTTGTGTTGTAACTTGAAGATGGTTGCACATCATCAACAGACCAGTTCCTGCTGTGGGGTGCAATGACCGAGACAGACAGGTGGATATGGTCACTGCGGAAGCCACGGAAGGCATCATAGTCCGCGCGCTCTGCAGGGTCAACAAACTTGGGATTCTTGAGAACAACATCATAATGAGGCCTGAATGAGAAGGATCGTGAATCTGAATCCACATCGCGCTCAAAGACCAATCCAGTGGCCCACTTCACATCGCCCGACAGTTTCATGACGACCTTCTTGAAATGAGCTGCATTCTTCTGCTCGCTGGATGCTGAGCTGCTATCCATATCTTCCGTGGTCGATTCGTTCGCCCACCGAGCCTCCGCACTGTAATCAGGAATGGCAAGGACATATTCGCCACTTGTCACGCTCATAAACTCCATCGGATCATCACTGCAATTGATCTCCCACTTGACATCTCGTCGCCAGCACATGACGAAACCGCTTCCGAATCCGGTCACGACATAAGGATCGCGAGAGCCCTTGAGGCGCAAATGGACATCGCCGTCTTCCTTCCAGAGCACCTTGATCCGAGAGTGGAAGCTGAGTCGAATCTTGTCCCAGAATCCAACTCTCTCCGAAAGATCAATTTCGGGCTTGGTGAAACCTTCAATGATCTTCATCATATCTTGGATAACAGGCTGATATGAGACTCCCCAGGAGATGCTTGTCGGCATGCTAGTGTTGATCTCGATAACGGGCTCAGAGTAAGTCTTCACGGGCGTTACAGACCGCCACACCTTGATGTGGAATGGATCACTATGAGAGCCATCAGAAAGATCAGTAGCTGGAACAAGTTCCACTTCAACTTGTCTGGCAGACTGATGATCGCGGAACTCTTCAGCGATGACAAAGTTCGTCCTCAAAGACCAGCTAGGCAGCCTGGGAGACTGTCCAGGTCGTAAGGCCGGAATATGAAGGAGGTCAAGAGGATAATCACGTAAGTTAACGCGCGCTTCACCCATCTCTAGATTAAAGCTCATGGGTACCAGCAAGCCATACTTCATCGACAGCGGCATTCCCTTACCGATTCGGTTAAGGAATGTGGGGAATTCGTCAATCGGGAAGGTTGGCTTGTCGATGACAAGATTAACATCGCTGATCAGTGCTGACATCAGGCCTGGCCTGTTTGGAATAGCCAGAATGGTCTCGGTCTCCTTTACATCATCTGGCGGTTCGTCCGCACCAGAGAACAGATTCCGGACTTCCTTGATAGAAGTGCCTTGGAACTTGAGCGCGGCGTCGATCTTCTCTTTCCAGACCTGAGCATTATGCTGTTGAAGTCGGTTCCAAGCAGCGTCGGTGGAAATCTTGTACTCTGATGACAGGCAGGTCGCACCCTCGGTGTCGTAACGGAACTTACGACCCCGACCACGGCTTGATTCGTCTTTCCTTGGTCGGGCATCTGCGCTGTGACTTCTCCTGGTATCCTGACTGGTCCGTTCACTGCGCAGCGTACGGTAGCTTGACTTGGCTCGTAACCTGGACGAGGCCCGTCGCTGGTCTGATTCTCGAATCTTTTGAGCCTTCAGGAAGAACGCATCTTCACGAGCCAATCGCTGACTCTGCTCGATCAGACCAGTTCGGTAGATGAGACCCAGCTTCCATTCAAAAGCGTCATCCTCGAGCTCGAACAAAAGGGCTTTGCTGCGAAGTGATATCCTTGGCACCTTCTTCGGACCCTCGGGCTCGCGAACAGAAACAAATTCTTTGCACCGGTTCTTGAATCGATGGTGGAGTTGTTTGAAAGCTTTGGAGGTGTTGATCAGGTTGTCAAAAATGCGGTGCATCACCATATGATGAGGAACGCCCAGTCGAATAAAGTCAGCCCACAAGTCAATAGACCTCTCCTCGGCGAAGCCCATGCCCTGCTTCATTTTCATCTTGCGGAAGTCAAGCCTGACATTATTCATGCTACCAATTCTTGCCCAGACTCCCTTGAGCTTGGGTGCCTCGGCGTGTACGCGGACAAGATTGGCCTTGATGTGAGGGGTAGAAAGACGTTGTGAGGTACCTGCAAGCCCATAGATCTGGAACATCATCGAAGGATCGTTTGGCAGACTCATCTTCAGTTGGACGACGGTCGCTTTAACATCAAAGGTGATGAGCTCATTCTTGGGAGCTGATGGAGATGTTGGAGGAGGTGGTAAAGAAATGCTGCCGGCACTCTTCGTCTTGCCTGAGCGTGCTTCCGTCTCTTTTCCTGGAAGAGGCGTGAGCACATTCTGGATCACAGAAATCGCGACGCCGAGACAATAGAAGCGATAAAGCGAATATTGGAGATAAATGCCCTTGAACGTCGAGTTGACATGGAGGACAGGCCCCATTCGATCACTGTGAGTGCTGAATGCGATTTCGAAACGAGGCATGGAGAAGAACGGTTCTGGCTCAAGATAATCATCCGATTCAATGACGAAACCATCGAAACCACGAGCGTGGAAAGCCAATCGTCTACCATCAGTAGCACCGCGATGCGTCTTCCTTGGTGGCGAAGTGGGCGTGAACCTGAATGGCGATTCATCACCAATTATGGAGTGACTAGAAGTACGGCGTCGGGCAATACTACCGACGGTGTTTTCTGTTTTTTGGGCTTTGTACTCTGCCGTCCAGGATTGCAATTGCAACGAGACACCACGGGAGATATCAGAGACAGGAGTGTCGACACCAGCAATCTCCAGGCTGAAACCCGTAGCTTCAAATGTGAATTGGAGAAGCCATGGCGGGAGCTTTCTCAGCAAGCTTGATTTTCGCTCATTGAACGGCATGGGAACCCTCTTCTGCGGCTTCAAGTGCGTCCGGAACTGTTCAAGGACTTCGCGGATTCCACGATTGACATCGCTGTTGATCATGTGAACAGAGCAGTCGTTTAGTGTGCCCGAAGCAATGACACACACTTCCGGACTCGCATTCAAATGACACTTGAGTTCCAGACTCTCCGTCGTAAGCAAGTTATGTTTGTCACCGGCAGGGGTTTGGTAGTAGAATTTATGCGACGCAACCCGGTAAATAGATGAGAGAGAATAATGTGCGCCGCCCTCGGAAGAGTGGGATGATTCGACATCGAGGGAAATTGAGGATATGGATGAGATTAGAAGATTGTAGTCATCAGGAGAGCCAGAGTCTTTCTCGATGGGCAAAACGAATCGGATCACGGGCTCGTGCACGGATAATTTGATGCTCGCCTTTGGGAGCAATCGGGAAATTAGAGAGGAATTGTTGCGCTTTCTGACTCTGGGAGTGGAAGCTCGCGTTTGCGCCAACTTCAAAAGCCGAGAAACGTGTTTGGGTTGCAAATCAAGAGATGGTGATGTGATGACCAAGTTGGCGAAGAGCACATTAGAATTGCGCTCCTCGGGGTTCGCGTCTTCAAAAGCGGTAACAGTCTTCGACGGCAGAGTTGTCTTGATCGTCGTGGTGGCCATAGGGATGTAGAGAATGTTGTCCGTTTCGCCCGAGTCGTCATCCAAACTGACCGATAGAGAAATGGCTGCGAGAAGTGCTTGGTGAGCAACGTCGTTCCGCTGGAAGTACATGCGATGCTCCGGACTCTTCTGGTCCATCCGGTGAAGATCAATTCCGATTTCATGCGATACCACGTTCAGGTACACAGGGCTCTGGCCAGCAGATAGGGATTGAAGACCACGCGACAGCCGGAAGAAGCTCAGTGCAACCTGAATCTCTTGAATACCACGCAGAATCGAGCTAGCAAATTCCTTCGAGTCGGCAACCGTTCGGACTATCGAATCATCTCGACTGCCGGGCTTGTCCAGCTCCTCCACAAAGTCCGCAAAGGACATCTCGTCATCAGTCTCGATCGGCGCGGGTGACTTGAAGGTTTTCTGGGCCGACTTGATACGGCGTACTATTATGTTGAGGTCGTCATACGGAATATGCAGTCTCCCAATCTTGAGTGCAATCGATGCATCCCGAAGGCCGTCCAGATCTTTGTAGAGCAAGCCGTGGAGGTTCACGCCAACGTTATCCAGGATTTCGGTCGGCTCTCGGCCCTCCACGGCGAGGAGAACATTCTGAACATTCATAATCCATTCAGCCGGGCGTTGTTCGCGTGACATGTCCTTCTTGCGACGAAACAGCTTGCCCCTTTCCACCATTTTACTTCGAGTATCCACCGACAACGCGAGCGATCCGACTTGTATTTGCCCAGCTTCCAGGAAATGAACCGTAGTATTGACTGCCGTAAGGTCGACGAGGGCTAACCAGTTGATTTGCCGATGCAACCTCTTCAGGCGCTCCTTCATGCGAGTCAACGACCTCCATGTTTTGCTGCGCGGGGTGGAGGATTCGGGGGTAGCGGTTTCTTCGGAGGGGCTCCCTGGACTCTTCGGACTCGTCGGATTCTTTGGACTTCCTGGCACCGGCGATCTCAGCAGGTCCCGCGATGGATCCGGCTTCCCTTTGGACAAGGTGGCCGTATCCAGCGTGATTTTCAGGTCCGTAAGTCGAATGCTGATCCATGTTGGCTGCGCAAAGGATGGCGGGTGTAACGAGAAGCCAAGCCCCCGGATTTCGATCTGTAGTCCCTCTCTCGGAGCGTATGCGATACGGCGGAGTGAGAAGTAGCCGATGCGCTGGATGGAAATTCCGGTCGCAATTCGAACGATCGCAAAGACGAAGAAGGACGAGAGGTAGAGCAGTAGGAAGCCCACGAGGATCGAGGTCGGATTAAAAAGGGTCATTGCGACGTGCGATCAGCAGGGGCTGATGTGTCGAGGCAAGACACGCAGCAGCACACCGCACATCGAAGGAATGGTAGTCGTGCTCAATTGTCGTGGCGACTGTAGGGTGAGCTTCCCGGGGCTGACTTCCTCCCTCGACTTTCTTTGGGTCCGGAGCTGGGTCTGGGGAACCGCCAAATAAATTATGGCTGGCACGATTGCCCCAGACAGAGTCGATAGTCCAGCGAAATTAGTAGGACTTGAAGCACCAAAAACCAGGTTGAATCCACGCACGAAGCAAGCGGTGCACATAAATCATACTATGGGGAGAGTGTGGAAGTCGAGGTCGAGGCCGAGGGGGTCCTTTTGGAGTGTTCGGACGCCATGTCCGTGTAGTCACGTTACATCAAGAAGCGTATCTATGGCCGACCTTTCCATTTCTTCACGACGAACGCTCCTTCTCCATTACTATTCCTCTCCGCTACTCTTCGCTCTACATTCCACGTGCCTCCCATCTTGTCTCTTGACCATCATCATGTCTGCCATTCCGCTGAATCCCTCGTCCGACTCGTCTCGGACCCAGGTATCCGCAAATCAATTCAAAATACAGCCCCAGTTCGAAGACGCTATTCGCGAGACTCTGCTCCAAGTTCAAGGCTTCCACGAGCTCATCATCACCGATCTACCCCTTGGCTGGGAGACTTTTCTCTGGGAGTTCGAGGAATCTCTCCCTCATACTCGGAAAACCTACGACCCAAAGAGCCGTACTTTGCGACTCAAAATCACGCCAACTCGTTCCCACAATTTCGTCCATCAATGGTTATCGAACTCTATGGGCCGAGCCTGCCTATCACAGTTCCTGACCCCTCAAGAGTATGATGAAATCGCTCTCGAATGTGGTACAAGTAAGTTCCTATCTACCACTCCACTTATAACTCAAGCTAATTTAAGTCACTTTAGCCCTTGAATTCACAAGTGGACCATATCGCGGACTTCGAAAAGAGCCAGATGCGCTCTTCTGGATCCCCTCCCAGCTCCTTCCGAGCGCTACCGTCGAGGTAGGATGGAGCGAGTCCTACAATGACCTACTCAATGATATGAACAAGCTACTTATTGGTGGGAATGGGGATATCAAGGTCGTCATTCTTATTAAATGGACGCAGCATACGAATCAGACCGTGAGCGGCATCCTCGAGCTTTACAGACTCGATCCACAAGGTATGCCGAGACGCTATCAGAGTGAAATCATTTTCCCGATGCCCGCCGGCGATCCTCTTCAGCCGCTAGACATTAAACGGCGCGATCTTTACCTTGTCCCGCCTGGTCGTAATCCCAACGAAGTCTTTCCCTTGGACATTCGCCGATTACGGCAAATCGCCCAGCGAAATTTGGCAGCAGAGGGATATCAACCTGCTTAATTATTAACCCACTAGGTTATATTAACTTGCTTTATGATATGAATAAGTGGTCTATACCGCGGTCTTCGAAAACAGCTAGGTACGCTCTTCTATCCCCCCTCCTAGCTTCTTCCTAGAGTTACTGTAGAGGTAGGATGGAGCGAGTCTTACAATGACCTACACGGTGATATGAACAGGCTACTTATTGGTGGGAATGGGGATATTAAGATCGTCATCCTTGTTAAATGGACGAAGCATGCGAATCAGACCGTGAGCGGCATCCTCGAGCTTTACAGACTCGATCCACAAGGCATGCCGAGACTCTGTCGGACTGAAATCATTTTTCCTATGCCAAGCGATGGGAAACTGTAAGAGTGTCTCCCTGTGCTTGAGCAGCTCAATGTATGATGAACTTATGTATAGGGGAGACTTGGAGGGGATTAAAAAATGTCAGCGCAATAGCGACGCCTTGTCCGTGCGCCGCCAGTGCCCTCCCGCCAATGATGTTTGTATCCAACTGCTCGAAGGACAGCGTCGTACCAGAGCCGCGGGAGCATGCAATCACTTATTGCTGTTGATGCTGGTAGAGATAGGATTTGGTCGAGTCTTCTCTAAATCCTCAATCTTCTCGTCAAGGAGAGCAATCTCGGCCTCGATGCCGAGTAACTTCTCACTCAACATCCCCCGATACTCCTCATCGGACAGATGTCGGAGTGGAATGTATTTTGACTCGGCCATCCGCTGCAGAAACGGCTTGGAAGGGTTCTGGGCCCTTTCCATTTGCCACTTGTCAACATAGTTGAAGGCACTTTGTCCGCCGTAGCCGAGCAGAGAGAAAATAACTAGGCCGGGTACCAATCGACCTCCTAAACCCAGAGAGTATTAGAGAGACTTATGCTATGCCAATCGGTCATGATGCGATGGCGGGGTTACATACCCATGACCCTGGTCACTACTCCGCCGGAGATACCACCACAGAGGGCACTGACATATGCTCGCTCCTGCGGGGATGCATTATCTCGATAATGAAGTGTGATAATATTGCTTCGCATCCCTATATCCGAAGTAAGGTTAGATGTCAGGCAAGTAGCCCGTAAGATATTGGAGCTTGAACGTACACCAATAGGTTGAACCGCATGCAAACCAGTGGATACCGCAGGAGAGCGAGTGTATCATAGGATTGGGTGATCGAATGACACCCGCTGCTCCTCCATAGATCAATCCCGCGGCGCCTGGATGATTCCATGTAAGCAAACAGTGTCGCCGGCCAGTCTTCCAGAGTATGGCCTCGGAATTTGGGGGAGGAGTGAGAACACTAACCACTCAGGGCACCCACTTTGGCCGCGGCCAATAGCGGGTTAACCGACGAGGTGGCAGTTGGACTGCCTTGTCCACTCATTTTGTGAATAGAGTGAGAAAAGCATGAGCTTTCCCTGTATCGACCATTAAAGAGTTGAAGATTCGAAGCATCGCAGTCTCGACAGGATGTCTGGTCACGTGTTGGTGTCTTAGGTAATCGTGTTAGCCTCAGGTCCCAGGGCTGCTTCAACCCGTCAAGATGAACCTTATAACTAGTTCAGTCTCTATTTAGTAATTCATTTGACTCTTGATTACTCTATTAAGTAGTAACAGGGATGAAGTTTCAAATTTGGTAGTGTATAAGTAGGGCAGGTATCCTGCTCAAATTTTGTAGAGGCTTCGAGTTGTGGAATGGTCCCTGGCCCTAACCTAGTATATATTTTGACCAAGACCCTAGGAAGAATCAGGTACGAATCAACACTTCCCACGGGACTTTAAATTCTAGATTGTACTTGAAGGCGAGACTAGACTGCCACCTATTCAAACTCTCACCATTGATCTTCTCTATATCTACACCATGGACGTATTCTTTTTCATTTAGCAAGGCTTGAAAGTTTCTTTGTTCCTCCTAGAGAGCCTCAACTACACCTCCATTTTCACCCTCATCCCTCCCTTCATCCACAAAAAACATGAAAAGACCATATGAAAATTGCTGTGATATGGCTCTAGAATAAATAGTAAACCATATTTATCACTTATCAGATTTCAGTAATCCTTGTTCCAAGCAAAGTTACGAGGACAGGAAGAATCTAGACTATGAATGTGTTGAGGGTCTACTTAGCCTAGTCGGGTTAGACTCGCTACAGAAAGTAGAAGATTGAGAGCCCGATTTCCACCAACGTGGCAACCCAATAGATCACCAAAAATGTGATCAATTGAGATAAAAAGAAAAGCACCACTACAACCATATTCACCCAGTTTAATCGTCTGCGACAAGATCTCTCTCTCTAGAATGCTAGTCAAGTTTGTTGCGGGCAGCGGGGGATCCGATTGGGCTAGCGGCACCACTAAAAATTATCACGGATTAACTAACCCGGCCACTTTGTGCAGTCCCGATTGCCGACTTTCCCCTCTACCAACTTTTCCACGGTGGAGTTTTCATCTGCACGCCTTGACCTCCGTGACTACCAACTTACTTACTCTTCATTCAACTGACTCCTGGAATATCATCCCGGGTGTCTCTTGAATTTTTTCCTCGCTTACCCCCCCTCAAACGTTCCGTGTAAGAAGCGCGCACAATTTCTCAGGCGCGTTTCTTGACCTCTCGCAACCGCAATCATGGGTGAGTCCACCCCGCTTCCTCGGTCATGTTCGCCCACGGCTATGAAGAGCCTCATACGGGATCGTTCTACCCTGTTATATATGGTGGTGTTGTGTGTTTGACTTTAGCTGACCGTACCCCCACTAGCGCCCGCTAAGGCCAAGGGCCAGAAGATGAGCATGGTGGAGTTCCTGGCAGTCGACAGTGAGTGCCCGACCAGATTTCAAACAGACCCAGAGGGATCTGGATGTATGCTAACCAAGGTTTAGAGCCCTCTGGTGATTTCAGCTGGGCCGATGAGTCTGAGGAGGCTGGCCTCGAGCAACGTAAGTCGCAAAAAAAAATACCTCGTTCCTGGGTTTGCTGATCGATTACTGATATCGTGTATATAGCCAACGGTACGTTGCGCGGCGACAATACGAGATGTCTTACTCGATGATATAACGAATCTGGCTGACCGAGACGAAATAGTGCCCGCTGAGAGAAGGGACACTCGCCCGTCCTATGGCGGCTATGGGAACGGTGGCATGGGTACGGCACTTCCCCATAATATCTATGACGGAGTATATTTGGCAGCGAGATCTGACAATAATGACTTAGACCGTGAGGCCCGTGGTGGATTTGAGAGCCGTGGTTACGAAACCCGTGGCGGATACGCCGTTCGCGAGCCCCTCGACCTTCCCACCGAGCCCCCGTTCACTGCTCACATCGGAAACCTGTCCTTCGAAGCCACTGCTGCCGACGTTACCGACCTCTTTGCCGAATGTGGTGTGACCAATGTCCGAATTGTGGAAGATAGACAGACCAACACCCCCAAGGGTTTTGGCTACATTGAGTTCGAGACCGTTGCCGGTCTGCAAAAGGCCCTTGACCTGTCTGGCACTACTCTGATGGGTCGTACTATCCGTACCAGCGTCGCCGATCCTCGTAAGTGCAGAAATTTGGAGTCATTATTGGCGCCTAAGAGACGAGATAGCTGACAAGCATATAGCCAAGGAGACCCGCGCTGACCCCCGCGAAATGGACTGGACCCGCCGCGGCCCTCTTCCCCCCGCCCCCTCCGAGCGCCGTGTCCCTGACCGTGCTAGCTTCGGTCGCAACATGGATGCTGCCTCTGACGCCGGCAGTGAGCGTGGTGGCCGCCGCAGCAACTTCGAGTCCGATGGAAAGTTCCGCGACTTCGGCAACTGGGAGCGCAAGGGCCCTCTTTCTCCCCCGGCTGGTGCTGGTTTCCGCGAGGGTGGCCGTCCTCGCAACAACGATGGCCCCGCGCCTGCCTGGGGTGAAGGTCGCTCGCAGGATGGTTCCCGACCCCCGCGCCCTGATCGCCCTGAGCGCCCTGAGCGGGCCCCCACCGCTGCCGAGATGGACAACCAGTGGCGCACCAAGATGCGCCCCGATGCCGCCCAGAAGGAGCCTACCTCTCCCGTCGCTCCCGCTTCTCGTCCCAGACTGAACCTGCAGAAGCGCACCGTCTCCGAGGCCGTTCCCACACCCGCCGCCGGCGCTGGCGATTCCAAGGCCAGCCCCTTCGGTGCCGCTCGCCCCATCGACACTGCCACCCGTGAGCGTGAAGTGGAGGAGCGCCGCCAGGTTGCTCTTCGCCAGAAGAAGGAGACCGAGGACAAGGCCAAGGCCGAGAAAGCCGAGAAGCAAAAGAAGGAGCCCAAGCCGGGCATGGATTCCAACAAGGACGCCATTGAGCCCCCCAAGGGTGGCGGTAACTTTGAGATCCTCCGGCGGGCCGGTGAGGACGAGAGCAACATGACCGCTGATAAGGAGGCCGAGGAGACGACTGCCCCGGCCGCTGCTGCTGCTGAGGAGACCCCCAAGGAGGCCGCCTCCAACGGCAGCTGGCGAGCCGCCGAGACCCCCGCTGATGATAATGACGGATGGAGCACTGTTGACACGACCAAGAAGCGTGGCCGCCGTGGTGGCCGTTTCTAATTGATCTTTGGATACCCTGACGCAACCTCCGCTTTTCGCCTCAACTATGGTTTGTTGGTGCACAAAGCTTGATGAATGATATATGGTCATGGATGTACTAATGGGGATGCAAATTTCCTTCTCTTTTGGGGGGATATTGACCTCGGTTTCCATGACTAACCTCACTCATCTGCCTTTTCTTTCACGACGGTAGTTGTTTCTTCCAACTCTGACCATCCTCAGTTTCTTCCTTCTTTGCCTTTCCCACCTGCTGTTCATGATCTTTTCCTTTTTCTCGTTTCTCTCGGGGCTAGCTTCCTGATATACATCTAGTCCTCGCTTTGATGATTTTGGCAGTATGAAAAGTTTTCTCCCGCCGTTTTCCTTCTGTTTTTGATGTCATGTCGCTGTTCGCTATCTAGCTATTATTCCCATGTGTCTTGACTCGTGTGTGATTTTGCCCATGACCATGACAGCCGATGCGAAATGAAGATTACCCTGATTTCCCTCCCTTTTCCTTGTTCTGTCTCCCCTCCTATGACCGATCCTTGAATGAGGTCTTGCTACGTTCATGCCTTGTTGCAGACTAGGTAGACCCGCACAGCATTGGGCGTTGGATGTGGAGTCTTCGGGGCCATCCCGTCTTCCTAGATCGCCGACGAGATCATGCGGATACGAAATGACTGAAACGAGAGATGAAGTCATCGTTATGAGAATTTGTTATGGCTGCGATGACTATGTCCGGACGTTCTGCTAGATACCTTTTCTCTTTTTCGGTCCTGTTCCCTCTCCACTTTCCACTCTGGCTCAGTCTTGTTACGTGCTGCCCCGTACATCTCTTCTCTTCATTTGGTCACTTCATCTTGCCCGTGCAGGTCATGATGGTGCTCATGTGTCATGTCTCTTGTGTCTCGTGTTTCTTGAATATAGATTGAAATGCAGTCTTCATTGACAGACCGATTACCCTTATCGAGGGGTATTTTTGTAGTCGATATGGAGCATGTAGATATACGGTTCTCTTTCTCAAGTGGAGCAAGCAAAAGCACAGGGCAGGGTCAAGGTTGTCAGTAGCTCCACAGCCCAAATGATAGTACTCCGTAGTTACATAGTGGAAGAATGCTGAGATACTTCACTGCTCCTGTAGGCCATTGATAACCAAGTCAGGGGGTGGTAGAACCATTGAACCTTTTTATAGATACTCCCCGTATGATCGTGGATGGTGTTAAGGGATATGCGAGGTAAAGGCGTCCATAGTTCGAGACTATTAGCTGTAAGGGCTTTAAATAGGCCGCACTAGACCGAAGAGGGCCTGTGCAGGCCCACGAGTGAACATGTGCTGATGGTTGCCATGCTGGAAGATACTTATTCATCAGTGGAAGGAGTAGTTATGTACAAATTTACTGGACAGACGTTTAGAGTACGGAATACCCTAGATACCTAGTTATATCTACCATATGTATGTAGTCACTACGCTGTCAGGATGTTCAATTCTACACTAGGAGGACCGGGTGGGGAAAGGAAAAACCGTTTCGCGATCAACATGCTTTTCTACTAAACAAATGGGAAAACCGTTATGCGATTTACACAAGTTAGGGACCCGAAACAATATCAGGACTACACGAAATTATAGGAAGCTCTGTACTCCATATCATTTATTGTATAGTAGTAGATCTCGTCCTCTTAATCAACCCTTATAACTACGAAACAACCCTGGAAGGGTGAGACATGGACCCCAGCCATTGGCGTGGCAGGAAATCCAGTGGCGCAGTATGGAGTTAATGAAACCCCTTCAAAGGGCACGCCCAGCATGGAAATGAATCGTGTTTCATGAATCTCTCCCTCATAACCACTTGATTACCCCGGTCGCTAAACCTTTGAAGGGTCGTGACTTACTCTCGTGACCTGTATTTCAAAGTACGTTGGCTTTTGGTTTCTTCCCGCTTAGCCCTCGTGCCCGACCCTGTACCTTGGAGAATCTCGGGGTAAACACACCCCCCCCCCCTCATGTTATCATGTCGACTACGACCACCTCGACGTTCACGACTACCACCCTTGTTGGAATACCGTCTGCAATGAAGAATGGCATGACCTTGTCAGAGAAACAGTGTCCGACGTGTGGAGGGAACGCCGACTCTCATGATGCCATGGCGTCGCATCGTCGGATCCAGGAGTTGGAGGGGCAGGTACAGGCTTTAACTGAGCGCGCGGCCATGACTGGTAAGTAGGAAGATTAGTCCTGGGGATGCCATGCTAGTGGATCGCAGAGCAGAGCGTATCGGCTCTGTGGATTTCTGTTCAAGAGTTCACCTTGATCCAAGCCGCTGGGTGTCTTGATTCCAAACATGTTTTCGCTGACCGACTCTTTGCCCGCCTCACAGCCAACAAGCTCGCCGACTACGAAGACGAACTACGTCGTCTGCGCTCATCCCAGTCCGCCCATGAGAGGTCGCAGAGTAATTCCTCTCGACCCTCGTCCTCGTCCCTCACCGCAAAGACCCTATCCCCGACTCAGGCTACAGGGTCACCCGATGCGACGTCGCAAGCTTCGCAACAAAGTCACAGTCGCCTGTCTACCCTGACCTCTCTCCTCCCTTACCGCCGCGGTAGTGCAGCCACTCCTGCCACTACCCCCTCCGCCCCTGCCGCTGTCCCAACGACCCCGACGACGCTCGTCACTCCACTCCAGCACCAAGCATCCCCAGCTAGCAGCGACAACGCTTCCGAACTGCAGGATGCGCTGACCCGCGAACAGAGTCTGCGGAAGGCCGCCGAGTCGCAGCTCTCGCAGGCGAGCACGGAGCTAGAAGAGCTCACGGTGCAGTTGTTCAGCCAAGCAAACGAGATGGTCGCGCAGGAGCGCAAGGCGCGCGCAAAGTTGGAGGAACGTGTCGCGGTGTTGGAACGCCGGGATGTTGAGAAGCGGACTCGACTGGAGAGATTGGAGAAGGCGATGGCACGAGTCGAGAGACTGAAGGCTCTGGTTAACGTATAGGCCTTATACTGCTTGGCCGTGTCTTGTTATTTGCTTTATTGCGTTATGATTGGGACGATCTTGGGTTTATATATCCCCCCTTTGATGACGAACACGAAACTTGGGCGTCTGGCTTGGATGGTTGGGTCTTATTTTTTTTTTCCTGTTTGTGATTCCCTTTGCATTCTGGGGTATTGGGGGTTTCTTTTGACCTGGCGTTTTAATGGATAATTGGAAGGGTTATTGGTATCTCTTCCACAGATTGATGTGAGAATTGCAGTTGCGTCATCTTGAGATTGCAATCGATCATGTTCGATTTCTTTGTCGAGAGTTGTGGTTGTTCAAGGTGTAAGGTGCATGACGTTGGTTTGAATTTGGAGTAGATCACGTTTTTGCTGTGTAGCTCTTGCGTCATGCATGATATGCCCCTCGAGATATGAGGAGTCGCATTCGCAGGCCGGAGATCTCACAGTACTTGAATGGGTGACCTTAGCCACTATCCAAAGGCTAGAGTTACACCCACTCGAGCCGAGAAATAATAGGCAAGCCGATATCTCGGCCGCCGATCGGCCGGCTTGAGGTTGGACCTTCCCAGGCCTACGAGGTGGAAACGTGGAAACGAGATCCGGTGGGCTTTTAAGAACCCCACTCAGTCCCTGCATGCTTTCTGCATGACATCTGATAGATTAAGAGAGCTCTGCTTCCACCTATCACCTCTTAAAGCTTCTCTCTCTAACAGTTTGATCAATTCCTCACCTTGAAAGATGCCAATTGGAATCGCTATTATTGGGAGTGGTGAGTACTGCAGCTTCTTCGCCACTTGCCAGTTTTCTTTTATAATAAGTTCAGCTAACGTCGACAATAGGCAATTTTGCCAAAGAGCAGCATTTGGTACGTCAATAACCCCCTTTCCTCCCAAATGTGGAGTCTTTGGCTAATGTATGATATAGCCTGCGGTTAAAGCTGCTGCCGACCTCCAGCTCAAGGCCATCTACTCCCGGTCCTTGAAGTCGGCCCAGACTCTGGCTAGCGGCACGTCAGACGTCGACCTCTACTCGGATGACTCCGGTACTGGCAAGTCCTATGATGATTTACTAGCCCGTTCAGATATCAGCGCTGTAATTATTGGGTACGTCATGTAGCCTCTGCACCAATCACTCCGATGACATCCGGGTTATAGGCTGATCGAGAAATACCTGGAAGCCTGCCCATCTTGACTCAGCCCGAGTTCATCAAGAGGGCTCTTACTGCGGGCAAACATGTTCTTTCGGAAAAGCCCATTGCTAAGGATGTGGCTACAGCCCGGGAGCTTCTGCAATGGTACCAAACCAGCATTGATCCTATCAAGACCACCTGGGCCGTGGGCGAGAACTTTCGGTATATGACCAAGTTCCTCTTCGCAGCTGAAAAGGTTCGGGGACTGGGCAGAGTCCGGCATTTCCGAGTCAACGTCCACACTCTGGTGCAAAAGGATAACAAGTATTACTGTAGGTTGGCCTCATCCCGAGTGGAACGCGAAAGGAGCAAGCTAATACCTGACCAAACACGGCAGTGACTTTCTGGCGGAAAACTCCAGAATATCAAGGAGGATTCTTGCTGGACGGTGGCGTGCATATGATTGCCGGCCTCCGCTTGATTCTTGGTTCAACGGAGCATCTGACTGCGGTCTCGGCTCAGACGCAACAGTTAAAGGATTACCTCCCACCGGTTGATACAGTCGACGCAGTTGTCCAGACAAAGTCTGGTGCTACGGGTGTTGTTTCCCTGTCATGGGGGTCAGACTTTAACGACAACTGCTTCGAGTTTGCTTGCGAGAAGGGTGTGGTGACGCTGCACGGTGACAACGTGACTGTGAATGGTGCCCAACACTATATCGAGTTTGATGGCAAGGGAGTTGTCCCTGAGGTGGCGGAATTCGCGTCGTCTATTGTTAACGGTCGATCTGTTGCAAAGAGACAATCACCAGAGGAAGCGTTGGCGGATTTGGAGGCGTTGGAACAGATGTTGCAGAGTGGTAAGACGAATGGGGACCGAATGATGCTTCATTTCCAGGTTTAGGTTTAATAGGATAGAAATTTGTTACCCGCAGAAGAAAGATTTCCGCTCATTTCATTAATAAATACGTTAAAGTTGTGATCGAGATCATCCCGTATACTTCGTAGCTGCCAAGCTGGAGAAGACATCCGAAAGGGGAAGTCTTGGCAGGGCTTAACCCCCATCAACCCTACCGATGACATAAGCACCACCACAGTCGCTAAAGTCCCCCAAAGCGCACTAGTGTGGACCGCCCACTCGTCCGCGCCAGTGCGAAGTTTTCGAGATTGACTACGTTCCGAATCGACAACTATCCAACGCCCGGCGAGACCCTGCAACACCGCCAAAGTGAGTCTCACTCCTCCTCTCCAACCCGTCTGCTCCAACCATACTGACGATTTTTTCTTCTGTCTTTCAAGATGGTCGCCGCAAAGAAGCATGTCCCCATCGTGAAGAAGCGTACGTTAACCGATCGCCCGACCCGTTTGGATTCTCCCACAACCCCTTCCTTCCGGCCTGGATAGCATCGCCCTTCGACCGACCGGTACTTCGAGAAGACTGTTGAAACGAGGAAGAGATGAGAAAACTTCTGGATGATCATGAAACATTGGGGGAATGTCGGTGTTGTAGAGAGATATCGAAATTCTCTCTCCAATTCGGTCGAAGGGCAATTGTTATCCGCACAGGCACTCGAAGAACAAATCGACTCTCTACGACAACGATGGCATATATTTGGATGGAATCTAGGAGCTAACGTTGCCTCGCAACAGACACCACCCGCTTCTTCCGCCACCAGTCGGACCGCTTTATGCGTGTCGGTGCCTCGTGGCGCAAGCCCAAGGGTATTGATAACTGCGTCCGTCGCCGTTTCAAGGGTGTTATTCGCATGTACGATTCTCTACCAAAATTCCAGATCACGAATCTGGATTTCTCTCGCACGTGGACTTTTTGATTGACCGAATCAAATTTTAGGCCCAAGATCGGTTATGGCTCCAACAAGAAGACCCGCCACATGATGCCCTCCGGCCACAAGGCTTTCCTCGTCCACAACACCAAGGACGTCGAGCTCCTCCTGATGCACAACCGCACCTACGCTGCTGAGTATGTCAACCCGGAGAAAAAAACCAGTGGACTAAGTCAACCAGTCCACGTCCACTGGCAAATTTGAAATTGGGAATGCACTATACTAACCCACCACTCAACAGGATCGCCCACGCCGTTTCTTCCCGCAAGCGCGTCGAGATCCTCGCCAAGGCCAAGGCTCTCGGTGTTAAGGTCACCAACGCCAAGGGCCGTGTCACCACCGAGGCTTAAATGGAATGAACCCCAAAAAGTTCTATATCCTTTTTCTTTTCGGTGGGGGAGCAGGAGCACGAGAGGGGTCGGGGGTTTTTGTACGGTCGTGATACTATCTTTGACGATCACGAATTTCAAGAATTGTGCATGGCATACCGTGTGCGGCTCGCGCTTGGTCTTAGTGCTGGGCGGATAGAGCAAGAGAATAAATCTTTCTCTGAAATGACAAACAAAAATTGCAAAATCTTCTTTCTTGATACTGTTTTTATGTACACTGCATTGATGAGATACATCAAGGATTATTCATGTAATGGGAGAGGATGTTTCGGATTGAGGGCCTTGAGGTGTGGCGTAGAGCATTACCCCCTTTACCTTCAATAGGCACGGTATGGACAAGATAGGCTATAGTTGATGGCTTGGGTAGCTTTCCATTCCTGCGATACGACTAAATCGATCGACATTGAAGTTAAGCCGCTTAGAATAATGCCAAGTTGCCGCGCCGAACTATAAGCAGTTTAACCAGACAAACCAACTAAAGCAGGGTAGCTAACAATAAAACTCCGTTACTGATAGACCTAAATTCGACTGCCTAAAAATTCTAAAACCCTTTTTTTTCCCATGACGCAGGGTTCTCCTCGAACGACGCAACCCCTAATTCCCAATTATCCCGCACTGCCCCCCCCCCCCCCTTTCGATGAATAATATTCTTGGAACATGGCATCAAGAGAGTTGACTGATCGTCCCGACCCACCGAGAATCCCGGTTTGATTCTCATCCCATCCACTTTCCAGGGGCCCTCGTGGTAACCTGCCAGCATGCGCGATGCTGTAATAAATGCCATTGACCCTCTACCAGAATGATTCAAGGCCAAGCTTTCCATGACAATTGAGGAGTATCCCGAAACTCCCGACGCGATGCCGATCCATCTCGACCGATTTTCTTGCCGCAGATAGAGCAAGATAAAAAAAGAATACACCATTCGTCCAGCCATCATTACTTTCTTGGTCAATCAGAGCGGTGCCACATGCGAGGTCTGGGCCAATGTCAAGTCTCCAACCGGTCAGCCCCAAAACAAGGCTCCACCACACTCTGGGTCTGTCTCTCAGTCTCGGTCCTGTTGACGGTCTGACTTAAAGGGACCTCCTGGGCTGGAACGAGCTGATCGGAGAGACAGAGAGTGACACGGATCTTTATAATCTTGATTCTCCACTCCTGGGGGCCATGGAGAATCGAGGGATTCTCTCTTCTCGCTCATTTTCCCCCCTCCCTTCCATCTCCTCCTCCCCTCTCTCCCCGCACGATGCTCGCCCTACCTGCCCGGTATGGGCGATGGGTGCCGATTCTGGCCCCAGTGACTCTTATCCTACTCTTCCTCCACCTAAACGCCAGTTTGAGCACGCGAAAGGCACAAGTCATTCTAGAGCCAGAACTCAAACCAACAACAAATAATGAAACCGACTCTACCATACCCGAAGATACAAATACAACCCCAAACCCAGAACCAGAACCAGAAACACCGACATCCCAACCATGCCGCCCACTCCCAGGCATCGAAAATGTCTTAGTGATAATGAAAACGGGCATAACCGAAGCCCAGGACAAAATCCCAGTGCATCTCCGCACAACGTTACGCTGTATCCCCCACAAACTCATCGTATCCGATTTCGAAGAAGAAATCGCCGGCATCCGCACACACGACGTCTTCCGTAACGTCAGTGAAACGCTCCTAACGAATAGCGACTTTGCCCTATACAACCGAGCCCGCGCCGGTGGCCGCGATGCCCTCACCCAATCCGACATGACAAAAGTTGCCAACAGTGCAGCCGGAATGCCGGACAACCCCGGGTGGAAATTGGATAAATGGAAATTCCTCCCCATGATTCAAGAAGCAAGGGCGTATCGCCCGGATATGCAGTGGTACGTCTTTCTCGAGGCGGATACGTACCCGTTTTGGCCGAATTGGCTTGCCTGGCTGGACCAGTTTGATTCGTCCGAGAAGTTGTACCTGGGGAATCAGATGCAGATTGGGGATGTGATTTTTGCGCATGGAGGGTCTGGGTTTGTCTTGTCGCATGCTGCGTTGCATGCGGTGGCGGAGTATCATGCGGGGCAGGTTGATCGGTGGAATTATTTGACGGAGACGCAGTGGGCTGGGGATTGTATTTTGGGGATGGCGCTTGGTCAGGTCGGGGTTGATTTGACTTGGTCCTGGCCGCATGTTACGACTCAGTCGGTTTGGGAACAGGATGCGTTGGGTGAGGCTTTCGGGAAGATGCAGTGGTGTTATCCTGCTTTGACGTTTCACCATATGACACCTGCGGATATTGATCGTCTGTATGAGTTTGATCGGAGGTGGTTTTCTAACGTAAGTCCTTGAGACTGGGTTTATTTCCCCGAGGCTAGTATCTTTCGCTAACATCTGCTATTCAAGGAAAACAACACTTTCCTCTTATACAGCGATATCTTCCGCAACTTCATCCGCCCCATGCTCGCCGATCAACTCGACAATTGGAGCAACTTTGCCAAAGACGAAGTCAAGCACGAACCCGAGAACCCAACATCCGAGCCCGAATCCATCAACCAATGTGCCGAACGCTGTGCCCGAACCGCAGGCTGCCTCCAGTACCGCATGGATGCCGACGGTAAATGCTACACCTCAGAATGGGCCTTGAGAGGTCTTCCAAGTCCCGGCGTATGGTCGGGAACAATGATGTGGCGCGTTGACGCTGCCATACAAAAGAAGGGCCACTGCGAGGAGCCCATGTGGGTATTGGAATAAGTGGGTTTGAGTTGGAAGTTATTTTTTTTTGCGTCGCATATAGATGCCTGGGATTGATTTAGATACATTATTGGGATGTTTGAGGTGCATTGAGCGAAAATGGGGTTTACATGGGAATTTGTTTAAATTGGAGTTGGAGTTTTGGGGAGGTTGTTGGGTATATAAATTGTTTTGACCTGTGAAGATTCAACGGCGTCTGCTTTATTCTGGAATATATCAAGACTACCCGTGGCAGATATAAAGTTTGATCTGCACATAGAAATCTGAAATCTGGATGTATCCCTCGAGGTGGTTTGCATAGGTACCCACTTACGATGTCTATACTGACAAGGACGATGCTACCTAGAACGACCTCGTGGCCTGGGGCATACTTCCATGTGCTTTCTCAATGATACACTGCTTGGAATCCATGTACTCTCAAGAATATAGTGTTCTGTGGAAGCCCTCTGCTCTCTTAGCGCTTATACCGACAGTAGTGCTTACCAGCCACGTCCTCATACACCATCCCTCCCTCTTGGCATCCCTAAAGACAAGTCTACATGGAGAGACCCTAGACTCTGGAGGACGACACTGGCAAAAGAGACGAGTACTCGATGCACACAGGGCTGACACACAAGAATAAGAAAACCTCGAAAACAAGACTACCATAAACAGCATAATTCTATAGACCCTTCCTCCTAGGTCTATATCACTCTCCAACCCAATCAGCAGCCTGCTCCCAAACCTTCTCAAACAATCCCTCCCCATTAACCTCCGCCATAAACATCAACTCCACCCTCTTAGCCTCCTGGCCCGCCATCCCAAGTGTACACAGCAACCTCGCCGCAACCCTATTCTCCTCCTGCATAAAGAAGACAATATCCGACTCCCAAGTATGACAGTTCGCGCGGAAAAAGGCGACTTTCTCCACGGCGCGCTCGAAGTTGGTTTCGTCGCCCCCCGCCATGAACCGGATGTAGTCGGGGGTTATGGTTGATTCGCAGTCTGACCGTGCGTCGGCTGGGTTGCCGGTGAAGATTTTGTCGATGAAGGATTTGAATTCTTCGGGAGTCATTTCTTTGAATGCGGGCATGGTTTTTTTGGTAAGGTTCTTGAAGGGGTGTTTGAGTGTAGAGTTGGTAGAGAGGAGTATAGAGAGGAGAAGGGAGGGGGTGCTTATTTACTAGATATATATGGAAGCAGAGTTTAGTGTCAGCTTACATCTTTCTAAACTAGGTAAGAGTTGCATGAAGTATTATCATTTACTTTCAGCTGAAGCCAGCAACTGATCCTGCCCGGTTGTGTAGTGGTTTACCGCTAGGTGACTAGTAGCCACTTCGGTGGGTTCGGCGACGCAACTGTTCTATGGAGCAGGTGCGGACGCCGGCGGGTGAAGTTTTTTTAATTCTAACTACGCTATAGGATTTCTCCTTTTTAATATCTTTTTTATTATACTTTATTTATATCACTTTAATCACTGAATCCTATAGAATTTATAATCTTTATTTAAAATATTTAAAATGGTAATCTGGTGGTGTTATTGTGTGTTGTTTATTAGATGCGGCATCGATGTGAAGTCGTGGGCTAGACATGGAGCATCGTGATGAAGTATATAGGGAGCGAGAGATCAATGGCGAGAGCGACTCTTTGCAAGATTAGAACTTTGCATATGATATTCGCTTGAGCTCCCTACTTCACCCCATTACTTTGAACATGTGAGCACACTTTATATGTACGGCATATCAAAGGTTGACTCGAATGCTGACGGCCCCTCGTTGATGATGAGGCCTCCGGCCCCCACAAGTCTTACGTGCGTCATGGAAGACTTGTTGAGTTCTAACGGTGGGATATGTTATGCTCTATTGGTTTGTTCTCATTACTCGAGACTGCGGGTAGAAGTAAGAACATCTCACTGGTAAGCCTGAGCTGACAATGCTCTATCAATAGCCCATTTCATGCTTGAGTTAAAGTCAAGGTAGACAAAGCACCCGGTTTTCGCTGTCTATACAGAGTGCAAAGATATGGTATCATGAACCAGAAGCTTTTAAAGGACGTGAAATGCAAAGAAAACACAAAATGCAAAACCCAACCAGATTGTATAAGATCATCTACGGGTTTGAAGGGGTTGGTGTCTCCGTCTCCTTCGCCTGCGGAACAGCACCATTCAAACCATGCCTCGGGTCTGAGAAGTCAACCATTCCAACACCAGTAACAAGAACCGTACTGGAAATGGGCTTTGGCTGCTCATTCTCATCCTCAACGCCAATCTCCGGAGGAACGGTACCGTGACCAATCACGATCTCCTCGCTCTCTGGAACGGGCACCCAGTCTGGGACTTCACGAGGGCCCTCTGATCCGGGAGGTGGGAGACCCCAGGACGGCATTGGACTGCGATAACCCCAGTCGCCGTTACGATCAGCGTAAGCAACGGCGTGCAGGAAGATACCAAGCTCGTGAGGGCCCGGGTCCGTGTACAGCTCCGTTTGGCAGACATCACAGAACTTGCCGGAGAGACGCTCACCCTTGCGCTTCTCGTAATCCTCCGAGGCAGCTTGCTGCTCCCGGGACATGATCTCCGCTAGAATAGCCGGGTCGGTACCCGGGGGAACATTCGGCGCAGCGGTCAAGTGAGTGCGGTATGAGACGGTGTCGGCAACTTCCGTCTTGCCCATGCGATGGAGTCGTTCCATGATTTCATCATCACGTTCACCACTGGTCTCGTTGCGGCCAAGCTCTGGTCCAAAGACGCGACGGTTCGAGTAAATCGGGTCATTGGTGATAGGATGACCCAAGAACTGGAGGTGCACGCGAATCTGGTGTGTCCGTCCAGTCAAGGGGAAACAGTGAACAACACTGTAACCCTCGTCCTCGTTGGCGAGAACGGGTGGAGGAGTCTCCGCGCGATCCCCAGCTGCAGCGTGCGTCTCGGCGGAAGCAACCGCAGCCTGAGGAGGATAATATGCCAGACGACGGAACTTGGTCGTGGCCGACTTGCCCGTGGCCCGCACCCGGTTCAAACCCAGCTTCGGACTCACTTGCATGATGGGCTGGTCGCAGACCACCACGCCGTCGGGGAATTTGCCCTTAACACGGGCGACGTACTCCTTCTGGACGGTTCGCGCCATCAAAGCCCCCGCCATTTTCTCTGCACCCTTGGGATGCTTTCCAATGAACATGATTCCCGACGTCAATCGATCCAGCCGATTGCAAGGTCTAGGAATCCAGTCATGACCTCGCTCTGCGCGAAGAATCTCAACGACTGAGTTGTAGTGGTAGCGACCCGCAGCGTGGACGGGCACGCCGGCCGGCTTATCAATGACAATCAAGTCATCATCTTCGTGGATGATACCAATCGGAGCGCTGGTCACGGCGGGTTCGTGTCGATGGGTGGTATGGGAGACGACCTGGCCGTTTTTGATGATGGTGTCTCGGCCAGCAGGCTTGCCGTTGACGCAGATCAAGCCGTTGTCGAGTGCGGCCCTCTATTAATGATTCTATTAGCTTCAAGCACAATTGTAACCCTTCAACGGCAGGATATAATCATACATAGTACTCAGGCGCTCGGTCTCGGAATTCAGAGGTAAAAATGTCCTCCAACCTCTTACCCCGCCATCGCTCCTTGCAGTTCGTATTGTAGGTGTAATGGTAAGGTCGGACACGACGCAGTCCGCGTTCCATATAATACGGCGCAGGCCACGGATCGCAAGGGGTAACAAGCACATCAGGGGTCTTCTCGACAGGGTCTGGAGCAGGCACCTGCTCGACGTTGACGAGGGCCATGCAGGGCGGTGGGGGCAGGGGATATTTGCCTCGCCGCAGCAGATAGGCCGTGATTCGAGGTGAGGGAGCCAGCGAGGATGGCGGTTGTCAGGAAATCGAGTTAACGATTTGTCTCTGGAGCTGAGTTTTTTCGGCGCGCGACGAAGAGGGTTGCGCTGTTGAGGGTGGCGGATAACAAAGTTTGGGCGGAAGAAAAAAAATTGCGATTAGCGTTTGATAAGGCCAGGCACAGGAACCCAGTTGCCCGCTATGGGAGTGTGAGTAAACAGTGTGCAATACGAGTTGATTGATAGGCGGGATTGATTATATTGTGGGTATAGAGTTCACTAGAGACATTGCCATTGATTGGACATATTCAAAAATACCTCATCTATACTATCAATAGACTATTGTGTATTCGATCATCTTGAATGTCGAAATTCAGATGCTGCGCTGATCATCCGCTTACCTAATCCACAGCCGACCTCGGTCCAAGTTCCCCGAGGCTTCGGAGATGCCGTCGCATGGAGATCGACTACCCCAGTGCTCATTGTTCCTTTAGAAACCGCTGGACGGATTCTGAAGTTGAACCTCTTGTCAATAACCCCAGCATCATTTCATACACATACAACAATGGCATCTTCAGACATTCAGGCCAAGAAGAGCCGCAAGCGCAGTGACTATGGCTACCACCAAGTACACCAGACAAGATGGTACTTTACCTCCCCCCTCCAACCTCATTACTACGAGCCAAGTCCTATGTCAGCTAACATACTATATAACTGACTAGGTTCGATAACGACATGTACGCACACCTAAACAACACAGTCTACACCGCCCTCTTCGACACCATCGCAAACGCCTATCTCATCGAGCACTGTGGCCGAAACCCCTTCAGCGTCAACAACCCCACCCCCAAAAGCACCCCAGGCCAACCATCCAACATCACCATCGGCGATGACCAAATCGGTCTCATCGTCTCTACGCATTGTGACTTTTTCGCCTCGGTCGCCTTCCCGGATGTATTGGATGTTGGACTGCGTGTTGCCAAGCTGGGCTCGTCGAGTGTTACGTGGGAAGTTGGGGTGTTTCGACAGGGCGAGGATGATGTGAAGATGGTGGGGAATTATACGCATGTTTTTGTGTTGAGGGAGACGATGCGTGTTGGGAAGGGGGGCATGGTGAAGGAGGTTCGGGAGGGTTTGGAGAAGTTGCTTAATTCGCCTGGGGCGAAGTTTTGATAGGCGGGGTTAGGTAAACTTTGGTAGGGAGTAGATATCAGCTATAAATGTGAGACGATTTCATATGCAGATGGTGCTATGAGTGTGTACCCGGTATGCATAAGAATGCAAGATAAAGCAAAGTCTGGTCTAGATGCGCCGATTGGGTTGTACATCAGCTGGCACTTAAGTCACGCCGTAGTAAGATATGGGCAAGGTCGATCGAATATACTATAGATAGATCAATCGTACGAAGAAAGATTTTCAAGAGATTGGGTCGGTGTAACCGAAGCGAGGTTGAATTTCCCTCGTCGTGTAATTGTTCATCACATCAAATCTATGGAATGCGCACTCCTAGGGGATCATCCCCGTTCTCCAGTGCAAATCACTTGAAGTGATTCAATGAAAAGCAAAGTCTAATCTAATAAATCTCTATGACCATAACCAAAACGAACCATCATTAAACGGACCCGAAAGAGAACATGAGTAATTCCGTTAAAACATCAAGACACTTTTTATGGTAAACCGAAAACATTGACACGCTTGAACGCTTCCCGAAGCCAGTACAAAAAAAGAAAGCGTTAACAGGTAAGCATTTGAAACGAATACCATTTGGAAGTGGTACATAATAGGTTGTTGCTCGTGTGAGCAGTTCAATCGAACTTGCCAGCGATGACACTGCTGCACCGAGACACGTTGGCACTAGTGGGAGGGGAGGCACCACGACGCATGGTTTCTCCATCCTCATCAAGGTACCACTTAGGATAGGGACCGGGGATGAACCGTCCCTGGGCATCCCAGCCAGCGACCCAGTGGACGCCGTCGTCGAGAAGGAAGAAACGGAGCTGCTCGGGTGGACTCCCCTTGTGCAGCGGAGCCGAGAACCAGCGGCAGCGACCTTCGAGCTCGGTTTCGAACATGTATCGGTGGAGGATGCGGCAGTAAACGAGAGCAGCGGGGACCTTTTCATCCTCGTCGGATCCATCACGCCGGATAAGATGCCAGCCCCGACCGGGGAGGAACTTGTAGGTTCCCGGAACGGGGCTTTCCCAGTGCTGTTCGCGATTCACGTTGCCATCAATGCGTTCGCCCTTTTGGAACCAGTAGGATGGGCAGCACAGGGTGCGCAGACAGAGGAAGAGGTTGGGGGCCATGGCTTGGAGATGGTGATATGATTCAAGAAAGAAGGCGAGCGAAGCTGTGGGGAAAGAGTCTCAATAGACTGCCCAAAAAGTAATTGATGTAAGAGAGGTCCGAGGGGTATTGGACAAAGCGCTGAAATGCAGAAAGATCGAGAGGACGAGACCGATGCTATAAGTGGACGTCCATGGTGACAAATATTCGAGATGAATCAGTCGAAATCGAGTTTTTGAAATGTGTTGGAGGAGGGCCTTCGGCTTTCAGAGAAGCTCAGTGAAGGATCCTGGAGGGATGTGCTCTTAAGACACAACGAAGTGGATTGGCGACTGCAGTAGGCACGGGCTGTGGTCCGAGGAAAGGACTGGCCGAGAATGTCTAATGATACCGGGATTTGAGAAATGGAAGAGAGATATGGAGTCGAGAAGGTGTCGCGTTATCGTTGCGGTGAAGGACGATCCGACTTCCCCGGTTTGCGAAGAGAAACTCGACGGGTCGGGAAGGGCCGTGATAAGCTTGCAGCTAGCCTCGGGGAAACAGGGACAAGCTTGGAATCCTGGAAGAAGCTGGGGGAGGGAGGAGGAGGTGAATGAAAAAGGATCCAGGGCGAATCAGATGGAGACCAGTGGACAAATTAGAGGCCGGGATTAGGCAGTTTAGAGGTCGGCAACACGCAGACGCAGTCGCGCAAGACAGCCGGTGTTAGAGCTCAACGCAGGCGCATGGCAGATATGAAGCATTTGACTGGAGGAATGTCGACATGGCTGGTTATAAGGCCAGGGAGTTATAAGGGGGGGAAGCGAAGTAAAAACAAGAATTGTGTGAGCGATATATTCTGACCACTGGGGCGGTCTGAAAAAGTCAGTTGCCACTTGATCCAGTCAAGTTTTTCCCGAATGGAGTCGTCTAGACTCCGCCAAAGCTGTTTCGATGATGGAAAAGGTGGAAACGAGTGGAAACGGTCCCGTTTGGGTTGTGTGATGGCTGATATTTTTTTTTTTCAAGTGGAGACTTCTTCCCGAGTCTTGGCATGGCCGATGTGGTTCGTAGGGTTTTCTTTCTTATAGTGGTTCTACTAGGCTTCTACATTTTTACTTCGTATTTTTGTTGCTTCCTATGAATAATAGTATGTCCATATCTAGACTAGTTAGTATCGACTATCCTTTATATCGCAATTGCATGCGGTTTATCATGACATGACCATCAATCTCACCATCTTACCCTTGCACACTAAGCCCTTGGCATCACGCCTCGGCAAGCCGTCAGTGGTGTGGCGCAGGCTTTGTAGTTTTGCTTTTTTCAGCCTTATGCGTTGGTGGCTGGGAGCTCAGGCCTCAGGCCGAGTTATCCAATCCCTCTGACGCATTTTCTATTCTTGATTTTGACTTTCGGTATGCTTGTGACTCCCGCGAGCTGCTTAATTGGGTATGTCCCATGCTCTCCTTTGTTTTCTTCAACTTCTTGGCGACCGGGCAAGATCGGAATATTGTGTCGAGCGATGACTCCTAATATTCCCGTTTACCTACCTCTTGGTAGACTAAGACGTCCTAAATTGAACCATGCAATTCATGATGAGTATGTTTTCATTATTGATTATATCCAAATTAATCAATTTTGGCTCTGCACATAGCCTAAGCAAGATATGCTATGCGACCGCGGCTAGGTCTTGGCATAGGAAAACCCTGCCGCGTAGTGGTCTTGAAGCCGTTGTAGAGCCATTATCGGAGATCAGCAGCCTGTAACTTAGGATCTTGGTCTTGAATAGGCTAACAATCTTGACTCTCGTATCTCCGATCAATGCTTTTTGCCGATACGAGGGTCCAACTCCAGCAAACCGGCCACCGACTTTTGGGGCTTACACTTTGTCCACAAACTGATATCAGCAAGATATGTACCGGGACGGATGTCAACTGTCTATTCCCATGCAGGTGTACAAGAAATAATCCGATGACAATTAGAAGATAAGATAAGCCAAAGATCGTATCTCTTTACTTCTGGTAGGTGTTGGGTCAAGGAGCCAAAATCTGTACTCGGGCCGCCTCCAATTGCTTTTTCTTCCTAGATTTTGTTTTGGAAAGTATTATTGGCCAAATGATCAAATGGCCATGTGACTCGAGAGGAAGTCGGTGAGTGAGCTCTCCTGGAGTGCTATCGATATCTTTGCTTGGCGAGACCCCTGTATTATCAAGGCCACTTTTTCTCCCTGTTCTTTGATCAAAACACTATCACATGGACTTGTGCGGTCTACTCAACCTCTAAGGCCATGTGGTTATCGCCCTTCGATTGCTATCTTTCAACAACCAAGACCTGATTACGATCTGAGAGCTGAAGAATCGAACGCGGCGAAGGATTTGTTCAATGTGGAAGGATTTTTATCTTGATCTTGACAATCTAACAATTCCTTATAGTATAGATCGTGAACCTTATGTGTTGATTGGAAGCGTCAATACAGTGACCCATGCAGGACCACCGAGACTCGAGTCAATATATGTCTCGTTTGGGGCCAACTCGCGGATTCGCGATCTCGTCGCGTACTCCTTGGAATCAGTCAGTTCGGCCGAGACAGGGAGCCAGCCGCGCACCAAGAAAGGACAGCCCCTCTTCGACCACCACAGGCCATTGAATTAATTAGGTAACTTAACACACCAAGTGACCAAGCCTTCCTCCCTTATTCCTCTGTGCCGCATCTCTCCTAATACGCCGCACCCGAGGGATCTACGTGGCGCGGGGAAGAACCGAAACCTTGCATGTTGAATACGAGGTTCTCAGTCGAACGAACCTATCACTTTGGTAATAACCTTCAGACTTCGCAGGACGCCTAAACGCAAACATTATGAATGTCAAGTGTCAGGGCTTACACACGTATGGGGTCACTGAGCCAGAAAGCTACATATATGCTTATATGAAAAGGCTTCTGTGGTCACCAACGAAGAGCCGTGCTAGCACTGCAATTCATGAACGCAGCGTCTCAGTACAACTCGAACAATTTACAAAAGTCTTAAGCCGAGCCGTGAAATAAGTTTTGGCCCTGCCATTACCTAATTACTAGTCTGCCTTGTCGTGGGTTTGACCTTTGATGTTAGGCTCTGAAGTTCAATACGAGCTGCAGAGTCCCATGTTGATGAAAGATCACTGGCCCATCTCCACAAAGCGGTAGTGATTAACTGCCGATCAGTTTTAACCTCTAGTTCTATTGAAAACTCCCGAGCCTCATTGGAAACTCTAACACAGCTTTTTCGTATTCAAGTGATGATCTCCAGGTCCAATTTGGATCGATACCGCGAACTAGAGGTGTCTGAGATGGGCATCATCTATAAAGCATGCAATCGCCTGCCTTCAGTGATGCAATATTCATCCTCAACTGAATCGTCTCTTGTTCAGCCAACATGAAAGTCACTGCCGTCATCATCCTCTGCTCTTCCATCCTCACCGGCGCTCTTGCCGAGCCCGTGCCACTTCAACTTGCTAAGAAGCTGCCGGACCTCACCCCTTCAGGACTCGAAAGTTCACCCAAGTTAGCGCAGCGAGACGTCTCCTGCCCGTCCAACTATCCCTGGCTCTGCGATGGCTACTGCTGCCAATACGATATTTGCTGTTCCAGACAATGCTGTGCCCCTGGAACTGACTACTGCAGTAACGGCTACTGCTATAGCAGTCGCTAAATTTGCACCATCTCTTGCCTAAGTATGTGATCACCATGGAGTACTTTTATCCTAAATTGCAAAAAGGATATGTTTAACAGAATGGAAGTGTAGGAAAATGACTGCGTGAGCACGAGCTCATTGCAGAGATGGTGCTCGGTTGGAAAGATAGCCAAGTTTTGATGGACTACATCTCATCAGCATGAAGTTTGTTACTTATTCTTAGCCCAGGCAAAATGGTATTTGTGTAATTGACATTTTAATATTGGGACCTGTGATTTACTATATCCGGTTAGTTTTGCTGTTCCCAGCTTAGCGCCCCGATATGAACACTGTTTTGTAACCTCCTCCTCCGTAGCATGGACATAAAAGACCCGACCTCGCCCTTTCAACCTCTTTTCGACCCGACGCTCAGCTTGCAATGTTTATCGCCCAGGAACAGAACCACTGGCAGGATGCAGCCCGTAGCGGAGTCGTATTATTTCTGTCGATCAACCTACGCCTTCAGTAGGGGTGTGACTGTACTATACCAAGAAGCTATCTAGGTCTCCCTCTGGCTCGGCGCCTTTTGGGCTCTAATTCCGCTAGCCTCCTTTATGGGTGCTTGACGCGATGGTCGACAGATGGCGGAAGTAAAACAGCGAGGAAAGTGAAAATTAGAGCAAGCTCCTCCTCAAATGCGTGACTTGACTAAGATACTCTCATTACGTCGAATCCAGACATGCCTCAAAAAGATTGGTCTGGAGTTCTTCACAAATACTAGTAAGACCAAGGCTAGCTAAAAGCAAGATATTATAGGTATTGAAGTTTTACATGATCTCTCCCTCGTACCTGCTTTGTTTGAATGAACAAGTCTACAGAAGTTTGTTGGTCCTTGATTTATGCAGGTTTGCAGAAGTACTATAAGCTAAGAAGGAGAGAGGCTATCAGCGATTGGTGGCCCAAAGCTGCATGAGGCTGCGCGGTCCTGTCATATTGGCCCACAGAAACAAATCGGGAGCGCCAGCCGTTCTCTGATCACTACCTCGCCTTGGGTGGTCTGTCCGGTAAGAACAATTGGACACGGGTTGCTAACGTGCGCGCGGTCTGGCTCATAAGCGCAAGGTACAGATAGAGGGGACTTTCACAAGCACTCAACCCTACGAATATCTATAAATACGTGTCAAATCCCGTGGATATTTTCCCCTACATCCAACCGTTTAAAACCAGCACCTCAACATATCAAACTTGTTCACGTCTGTACAAAACGTAACCATCATTCCTTTGCATTCGGTAACCTAAGCTTTTGTTGACTGTAGTAGGGCCTCATATCCCAGAAGCTTACAAATCGCTGCCATCCCTTCGGGAGGCTGCCAACCTATTCAAGGAAACGCAGGCGAAGGACCTCTTACAGGGTCCTATAAGACAGCTGAGATTGTCTAGAACAGTCTCTCCAAGGTTTGCTGACCTTTTTCATCCAAATTTGGGTACTGTCTTAGATTACACATATCCGTCCAGAATGCCTTAGCATTTTCGTGCGCCTCGCTATATACGTCTAAGCGCTCCCGGAGCAACTTTTTCCATTCTACATGCATATCTATAAATCCAAAATAGGCCAAAACATACTCATCCCAGAGCCCTTGGTCAGAGTGCAACGGTCCACGGGGTTTAAGATCGAAAAATAATAAGCCTAGATAGCATAGGCTTTGATCGACATACTGAATAGAGGTTGACGTAACGGATCGAAGCTGCTTTCTCCCTTTCACGACTTAATCCGCGATATCTATTTTCTAGGGCTCTGACAAAGAAGGCCATGCCTCTCCGAGCGTCTAACCCCCGATACGTTCGCTCAAGGCGAAGTACCGCCCATCACGATCGACCCAGTCACGTAAAACCTTCGGGATGGGAATGTCGGTATGGGTCGCCAAATAGTTCAATGTTTTGACTTAAAATTGAACTATTTCTAGGCGGAAAGCCCCTTGCCCGTATTTCAAGAGACTGACCGCCATTGAACTGACTACAACTATAAGGATGCCAGCCCTACTCGGTATTTATTGGACTACGGATTTCCTAGTCCGCACTTATAGCTAATTATATTCCTCAAATTCTCACTCCGCAACCTCTACAACCAATTTCGTACAACTGACACCTTGAAGTAGCAAGTCCAGCCCAGAATTAATAGCCACCAAACCCTTTCCCACGACCCTCGGCTCTGGACTCGGCCTGATAACTCCTTTGGCCAGGTTCTCCCTCAACCAAGTCCCCATCCAATATCGGAACTGAGCCAACCTCTCCTCTTCATTTGCTGACGGCATCACAAAGATAGTTTCCACCCCATTCAAATTCTCTGCATCTGGCGGAATAACCGGTGCCGACGCAATCTTCGCCTTCCGGCCTTCCTCTCCTTGGTTATCTCCGAGGAAAGCCTTAAGTACGGCTTGACACAGCGCTATTTGACCTGTAGCAAGGAAACAGTGTCGAATAACTAGGCCATCTTCTCTGGCTGCTGAGACAATTGCAGCCACAACCTGCGGATCTTTATAATCGAACACACGATCCGCGCCTAGCGAGGATACGTACTTGTGATTCGCTGCACCGGCCGTGGCGTATACGGCGGCGAAAGAAGAATAGCGATCTTCTCGTAGCAATCGGGCGGTTTGTACGCCCATCGTGCCCACGCTGGAGGAAGCGCCCCAGATTAAGAGGGCCTCTTTCTTTTGTTTCTTGGTCTGAGTTCCTTCGCTTGTATTGGAGCCCATGGGGGCAGTGGAGACGGAAGAAGGAGCAGTCGCTTCTCCAAACCGTGGAATCCCCATGATATCCCATGCGTTAAGTGGTACCTCAACAGAGACGGGCAAAGTTGCTGCTTGATTCCAAGTCATTCCCTCGTCAGGAAGAGGCACGGCATGCTGCCAGAGGACGAGGCACTTCTCCTGAAAGGCACCATAGTCAGGATCGCAAGACCTCCAGAAGGAGGCAGCGTAGGCGGCGACACGGGTGATGCCCGGTCGGAAACAAAGCCCTGTATATTCATCGGTCTCAGAGACGGGAACATTCTCGCCGACTTCAAGGACTAGTCCCGAGATGTCGAAGCCGATGACTGTGGGGTAGGTGGGTATGAAGAGGCCAAGATCACGCATCAAGCGGTCTGCCGGGTTAAGGGCGACGGATTTGACCTCGATGAGGAGCTCGCCTGGGCCTGGTTTCGGTGTGGAGCGGGCTTGGAGCTTGAAGGGTTCGCCTTTATCAATAGCGATGGCGGCGAGATGAGTGGCCATTCTGGACTGTTTTCAAGCGGTTGAAGTTGAAGTGGATAAAGTACGGACCGGTGCTCAAGGTCAAGTATTATGCTTTGAATATTAACAGTGGAGTGAGTGTCTTTGTGGAAATGTCGAGGAATATACTCCCTTTTTATAAGTCGGGCTATCATTCTAAAGTAATTATTTTTCTGCGCAGTGACGTACCTTCTCAATGCGACTCTGTGTTGATTATGATTTTTATAGATGACGCTGAACATGTAACCAATCAGAGACTCGTGCATCCGAGGAACAGTTAGCGTAAAAGGTGGAGATATCCGAAAGTGGGTTAGCTTATGGGGCTGCTTGTGGATCACTAGATGTGACTGACCATGACCACCACCATCTGCTCCAAAATCCCTCCGGCATTGAGGAGCCCCCCCCCCGTCCCAGCCGAGTTGCGTAAAAATGGCATTAACATGTCCGAGAGAGTTGGGGGAAAGCAGGGCTGGACGAAGGTCGAGATTTGGCTGCCGGAATTGCAAACTCCGAAAGCTCAAGGTGGGTAGCCGGTGCGTTGCCAATAGATGGGATGATGGCTGATTGAATGTCCTGGACTACTAAGTGCGACGAAGGCAAACCACAGTGCAAGAGATGTCGTTCATTCGGGGTAATATGCAACTTTATGCCTAACACACCCGACCTCCAACCCATCGCTGCTGACAGTGGCCGACCATTGCCCCCTCTCACAAATGCTGTCTGGACATCTGATGCATCGACTTCCTATCAATTAAACGCAAAATGTCAAGATTTCATCACCCGCTATCTTGGACGAAGCCTTATTACCCCAGACGACCCTAGTATGATGCAAGTGAATCGCAAGCTCCTGAAACTAGCCTTCGCCGTAAGTATTACAATATCGGATGTGTCTTCATAGACAGAACAGAAGAAATACCCATCCATTATAGGCCTTCGCTCGCTAATATATGATTTATAGTACCCATTCTTAATGCACGCCTCTTTAGCTGTGGCCCTGACATATGATCGTCATCTGAACGGCTCCCTAGATTGTCGTCGCACTCTCGAAGAATGTTACCACTGGTCTCAAAGCACGATCCTCTTCAACAAGCGACTAAGGCAACCGATCAAGGCACAAGATAAAGATCCAATATGGGGCACTGCCGCCGCTCTAGTTATCTTAACATTCTCATCCCCCGATGCATGCACACCGGAACAATCGTGGCCCTTAAAGTCCTCATCATCCTCCGACTTGGACTGGTTGCGCATGAGCAAAGGCAAGATGTCATTATGGCATATCGTTGACCCGCTACGACCGGATAGTGTTTTCAGTGTCATGGCCGCGACTTTTGCTCGTATGCATTCACCATTACCGGAGAGGGGTATTGATGGCATACCGCCAGCTTTAGCTGCCGTGTGTAACCTGCACGACTCATCTACCGCGGAAAACAATACATATTTCCATGCTGCCCATGGCGTATCTCATATTCTGGATCTACCAGATAGCGAGGTCACAACCGGTCACGTTCAACTCTTCCTGCGGAGCGTCCATGGTCCCTTTGAAAACCTTCTTCGGGAAAAGGATCCCGTAGCGCTATTGTTGCTCTATCTATGGTATCGCAAAGCAAGTCGCAGTATATGGTGGATTGAACTCAGGGCTAGGGTGGAGTGTCCCTCGATTTGCATGTATCTGCAACTGTATCATAAGGGTAATTCTGCGTTACAGGCATTCCTCCCTGGAGGAGCGCTTGCCGAGAGGGGAATTAGTTGGGATTTCGAAGCACTGTCCCTTAGCCACGGCTCATATCAGGCACTCTAAAAATGGCCTGCTGGCACAATCTAGATTGCTGAATATATTGAGTGCCCTACTACCTTCTGGCTACTACGAGACTCCTCAACTACAAAAGAATATCCAGAAGCCCAGGATGTACAATCACTATATTTTGCGTAAGGTAAAGGGTATCTATATACAACAGACAAAAAACAGCCGAAAACACGCCGCAATGCCAAACCACCAATCTATAAAGCTCACCCAAATATCCAAGAAGTTTCGTCTTCGTTTTCGTATGTAATCCGGAATGAACAAGCCCTCAACTCAGAATTGTTTATGCAGATGGTCCATAAGAAGTCGCGAAACGGTATCGTAAAGTCATGAAAAATAGTACAAGATGTGGCAGAAATTATTTCTTTTCATCCGTGGATGAGGCGTTGACCGGTTCCGTTGCAGCGCCGTCTGGTGTTTCTGTGGAATGGCGGATTTTCTCGTCTCGACCATCGAGTGTGGTGCTCGCAGGGCCAGGTGAATTGGCCGCCGGGGTGGTATCTGGAGTGCTGTCGGGCAGGCTATCGGCCTTAGGGGCAGTGCCCACAGCACCCTCGGCGAATGGCGCTGACGGTGGAGCCTGTTTGTCTCGGACCCAGGGTAGAAGATTGGGTAAAGATTCTTGGACCGATGCGAAACGGGTGCGTGCGGTGGGCGCAGTAATATCATCGACATATGGAATTCCGCCCTGTCCGCGATTCTCGGCCCAGGCTTTCTTCTCTCGACGTAGGTCACTTTGAACCCATGGGATAGTGATCAATGTCCATACGCCGGCCCAAGCAAATGGTAGGGTCCAGCCCAGCTGTCTATCGTGTTAGTCGAGTTCCTTTTCCGATACGCAACACTCATTTTTTTGGAAACTTACGGTGAATGCAACGGGTTCCGAGACAGTGAAAATGATGGCGGTGATGACCGCGGCGAAGATGATCGACCCGCCGCTCCAGAAACAATTCATTTCGAAAAGCATTCGTCGGAAGTATGGACTCGATAGGTATCGGGTTCGTAACGCATATCGATATATTTGGCCACCGCCTCCATCGACCGCCACCACATCTTCGATCAGCGCATACAGTGCCGTCGGCATCACGGACCCTTTCGGGGTAGACGAGATTCGGAAGGGCGCTTTGTATCCCATCATGCGGAGGACATCGAGGGTAAGGTGGACGAAGCCGAAGTAGAACATGACGGTCGGGAGAACCATGGCGACGAGGCGCACTAGAAAATGTTAGTAATGATTCGTGAGAGAGAAAGGCATCTAAGATCTAACCATAGGGTTCGGTAGGTACGGTTCCACTATAAATTCTGTTAGTCTGCTTGCAATTGCGCTGGGGGAAATCAGCGTCGACTTACACAATGAGCTCAACGGCTAGAATGAGCCACACGATGGTGAAGTTGATATGGAAAAAGTCCAGCTGCGCAAAGCATTAGCTCACGTCCATTCCCAGCTCCCAGATCTCTACACAGGACAACGTACCCATGAACTCTTTGCATTTAGAGGTCGGGCGCGCGAACTCTTGCGAAACAGGTTGTATAACCGGTAGAAGTATTCGAAAACGGAGACACCACCCAAACACGCGGTGACAATGGAAAAGACTGCCGCTTTAGATTAGCGATTGACCTTTGGAATCCCCCAGCCTCGGGGTCAAGCTGTCCCACGTAGTCCCACATACCCAAGTTATGTGAAAGATTGGTGCAGTACCATAATGTCCAGTAGAGGATCAGCGGCTGACCCAAAGTATCGATAACGAAGATTGTCCAAAAGATAGCGATCGCCTTTTTGCGAGTATGTAACGAGTAGGGGAGTGGTGGTGGTTCGGAGGGCAATCCGGAGACGATGCCTTCCTCCATCTGCGTGGCAATGGTGGCGGACGGCGCAAATCTGGGGGAGAGGCGATTCAGGAGTCGAGGATGGATAGCACGGCGGGTTATTTGGTTATTGACGTAGTGCTCGTGTAGGTGGGAGGAGGTTGTAAGGTTAGGACATGGTGGGATTGTTTGAATAGGAGAGACCTCTCGAGCGATTTATCGACAGAAATAAAGTCGAGAATAAAAATAGGACGATCGCGGGATCTTCTGAAAAAGCGAGTTTTTTTAGTTTTGCGCCGGAAACGACGGAGAGACCGCGCGGGTACTTCCGCGGCCACGCAAATTGGCGGTGGATGGAAGTACCTGACGTAAGATGGCCCGATGATGTCATCCAAACAGAGAGGGCACTTACCAGTACTCCGGAGTATACTCTCTAAGGTAACTATACCAAGACGTTATGTTTCAACTGGAATGTCTAAAAACTTGCAACGGATCAGGTTTATCAGGCAGGTCCCCCTATTGTATTAATATCCTTCTCTAGTCTCGGCTGACGTGCTGCTATTATTTTTTTATCCGCCCTTCATGCCAAGCACGCCTGCCCAGAGGCGTTTTCTACTTGCCACGACTGGCCACCCGGCCGTATCACTTCGGCGCTCGCCCATTGGACTGACTCCGAAAAGAAACGCTAGAGCCCTATCAGTCAGGCCATAAGAAACGTCCGCTAATTGCTGATCAAGACGCTGTCAGATATTATAATCAATTTGTCAACATGCCCGCCAGGGACGCGCAGCGTCTCTGCCGCAGTATATTCTGCTTACATAGATCTCGATTTGTACAACTTACAGAAAACAGTGTCTTTGCGAATAGAAATCGGGATATGAAAGCGTGCGACTCCGTCCCAGCCCGGCCGCCGATCTCCAGTTAAACAAACTTGCCGATCCATGGGTCCAGCCCAACTTTACCTGTGTTCATAATATTTTCATAACTCAGGCATGAGAGGACCCCGAACGTTCTACTGGATATTCAATATCCGACTAGCTATCCACAATACTGCTCCTCATACTCTCCAGTATATTCTTGTATACTAGGGAGCGATTTCATTTGACTGACCTGTGCATTATTTGATCGCCAGTATACTCCGTATACCCGTATTTCGACCCAAGTTTGGATCTTGACTGCCGGTTACTCCCTGGCTTACCGGGGCCGCCGATCGGGAATCGGCGCTTGGAATCGCCGTGAGCTCTTTTCTTGTGCAAGGACCCTGTACGGCCGAACCCCGAGCTCGGATGGCTCCGGAGGCTTTAAGTTATCATGATCCGCTTAGACAGCATCGGGGATAATTAATTAGTTACCCCGTAGCTACTACGAGCTCGATAACTGATGGTGGGGCATCTACGGGGCTGCATAGTTACCTGTGGTCCCCTTTCATTCTGGTCGGAGTCGCAGTCATCCGAGGTTACAACAGAGCCCTTATAAGCACTCTGTTATGAACTTATGGTGGAAAGCTATTCAAGACCCTACTGCTTCCATATCGAAGCATCAAGCTCCTCCATTCAACCTCTTCAAAAGCTATAGCCGGGGTTATTCTGACCAAGACGCTATTAAGCTTTGGTTCGCAATGACGGCTGAGTTGTCAACACCATCTCGCAGGCACTCACCTCGCTGCTTTGAATATATCCTACTTTTCGCCCCTGAGGCTTATTATTTAGTTGATAGAGGCGATCAGACACGAGGTGACGCGACGAAGGGCTTGGCAGTTACTCCGAATCTTCTTGGCAATCTCACCAGTCGGATCATTACCTCGATGTGGAACACTTCCTTCCCCTCGTGCGTTGTGTTCTTTGATGGAAGTAGGCATGTCGCCGAAGATATAAGCCTTGCTTTTCTATGATTTGTTTGATCACTCCAGAATGACTGCCAGTTATAAGCTCAACTGATTATTGTAGGAGGCCGATCTTGCTATATCTGTCTTGGCCAACACACCGCCCTGATGCTACTCATGATCAGCGCTTTGCACGGTTGGAGAGATCCAAAGTTTATATGAATGCATCGCCTCAAAGCCAGCAATAGCGGGAAAGCCAAGCTATAAGCCGCATCAAACTCGGAATTTACCGACTTCTTGAGGAGAAAGGATTAACTTTATCTGCACGTCGCGCAAGACTAGCTTTGTTAGGCGCGACCCAGCGCAAGGGTTTCAGCTGATATTATGGGGGCCAAATATCAAGCGATAGCTTGAGGATTCGTGTCTCCCGATTGGACCCTGGTTTCCCATCACTCTGCAATTTTTCAGAAGAGAGATACTCACCAGCTTTGGTATGGGTGAACTGCGACATCTAAACCAACACGTACGGATATTCCATGGAAAGACAGGGTAAGCTGGAGTATGCCTTGTCGGGCTCGTTGGTAGAACGCATTGGCACGGATGATCTAGAGAAAATATAAAAGCAGGCGAGAATCCTCGTGGAACTGGAGATTTGAGTCGATACCTACAATCTCAGGGACAAGCAAACCGCATACTATCTCTTTGTCATCTACATCCTCTCCATGTATTACGAATCACTTCTTCCGGCATGCTTGGCACTACTTCTTGCCTCGTGTGCCCACGCATGCTCTCCTAGATCCGACTCTGGAGACTCGAGCAACCCTATCGTCGTTGGAAACGACGGTCCTGCTCCCGCAGAAACTCTGGGATATGCCATCAATCACTTTGGCCTTCTCACAACCAACCTTGCGGCCATGAAACATTTTTATGGCAACATCCTGGGTATGCGACTCCTCTTCGACGCCTATGTCACCCCCGAGTACACAGTGACCTATATGGGCTATGCTCAGGGTGGTCGCAACGGCACTGGCTTCCAGAGTGGAGCGGAGCTCGCGCGCGACAAGAACAATCTGTACGGGCTCCTCGAGCTTGTTCAATTCAACGTATCGGATGATCATCTTGTGGCATCGACCAAGCGTACCAATACATTCAGCCACGTCGGACTTATTGTTCCCGATATAGCGAAGACCCAAACTTATCTGGAAGAGCACGGTGTTACTATTTTGAAGAAGTATGGTACACCTGTTACTGAGATGACTGGGCCGCTTCAGAACGCCTTTGGGATCGGCGAGTACGCAGGGGCACACATTGCTGCGAAACAGGCGCTGATAAAGGCGCAGGGGACGATTGGGATTGAGTTGTTGTTGATGGTTGAGGATCCTGATGGGAATATGGTGGAAATTCAGCAGCAAGACCCTGCTAGCAGCTCGGTGTTGTAACTGTGATTCCGTTAGGCGGGATTTTGTCGTGATAGCTTACTTAGCTAGATGTTCAGTACTCTAGTGGCTAGAATACTTGGGAATAAGATGGACAAGAGCTTTGATTTTGGTTCAGTACGTCGTGTCAATAAAGCTAGGTCAGAGCAACCCAGTGACCTGGTTGGTGAGGCGAGAAACCTAAGCTAGAGGTAGTCGTTCAATGGGCTAGGCGTTCCGAAATCATGATAGCTTCATTTTCTTCCAGCTACCAGTAAGAATGCAATTTTCATGCCTTGTTCAGAGTTAGTTCATCTGGCGATGTTCATGGTTGCGCCTCGTTTTCCAGGCAACAAATCATGAACCCAGGCACCAACTGGACTGATGTCACGTGATACAAAATAATGGCAATCACCGAATTCCAGTGACCCGCGTTCGAATCACACTTTTCGCTCTCAAAAATTTCATCCCTCCCCGACTCTTCTACTTCCCCAACCACACCCCGACCTCATTTATTCATTCCTTTCCTCCAGAACGTTATGGTACAATCATGGCTCCTAGCTTGCAAGAGCTAATCGATTTCCTGCTGAACGAGGTCGCGCTTTGCGGTAGCCAAGGTGTGTATAGCTCTCGAAGCTCCCAGACCCACTTTACTCAGTACGATGTATACGCACTGTGCCTCATCTCTCAGCGGCCGGATGGAATATCCATGTCTCACGTTGACGTGTATTCATACTTCATGCTGAGCGTGTCCTTCCTGCACTGATAACTCGTGTCTTATCCCTCCCACTGTTGTTTTGCGAAATTCTGAATTGGCAGCTACATGCTCTATACTTTTTGGACATCCGACTGACCTGCATCTAGGCGCGACCTTGCCGGAAATCCTCAAAGCAATCCAGGATTTCTACAAAAATGCACCTCAAGACCCCAGTCAGCGAAGCCAGACTGTAGATCGTCGCTTCGAAGCTAAGGTTTGGTCATGGCTCATGCGCCATCCAGAGGTGTCTGTGACACCGTATGGTGAATGGCAGCACCTCAGTTTGGAAGACGCAGAGCAGAAGAATCGCGAGCTTGAAGAGACCGCCCATTACCATGAACCTGAAGCAGATGGAGCTCAAGATGAGGCTGAAGTCTCACCCGTGCCGTCGTCCATCCGCGTCTTCGTTTCTAAGGAGAGAATGTGGTACGCTCTCACTGGCCATGAGCCAGATGATACTAAAGTCCCTGCGAGCGAATTCCTCCTACTCTCTATCATTGCTTCCCGCAAGTCCGATGGTATCGCCCAAACAGACCTCGTGAGGCTCAGTGGCCAAGACAAGCGTTCCGTCCCTAAGCGAACAGACGCCCTAGCTCAGAAGGGCTACGTCGAGAAACGCCCAATCCAAATCAAATCGGCCCGTACCAGTCTAGTCACCTTTCGACGATTCATCAAACCAGCGACCGTCGAGTCAATAGTCGAAGGTACTTCCGAAGGCATCCCAGAACGTCCCATCATCAACTTTGATGCGTTCAATGCCAAACTGTTCGATATTCTAAAAGAATTTGGCATAATCTCGCGCAATGATCTTAAAAGACGTTTGGGGTTCGAAGATCGCTGGCGCTGGCGTGTTTTGTCGCGGGCGCTTCGTAAGTTTGAAAGGATCGGAGTCTTGAAACGAGTGCGGGCAAAATCACAATACAACAAGATCCATCCCTGTGTGATGCTCGTCCGCGAGCCCACAGAGACCGATATCGCCAAATTCAATGCTGTTAGCGGGGACTTGAACCGCACTGCAGATGATCAGGCGGATGCTGACGATGACATTGACGATGCTGCGGAAAATGAGCCCACTGGTGCAGAAGAAGGTGCCCTTGAAATGGCGAAGGATAAGCCTGTCATCGAAGCTGGACGAGCCGTGCCGTCATGGACACCAGATCGCCCCGTGGGAAACCAAATCTTCGATGTTGTGAATAATTCTGGGACACAAGGGATCACCAATCATGTACGATTCCCAACTATTAAACTTGACCAAAGAATGTTTTCTAACCATTTTTCTTTCCAGGATATTAACCGCCTCTGCTTCGGCAGCATCTACCGTCGACCCTCCGAAAGTGCGCTACATCGTCTTACTGACTGCTGGCAACTGTCACAGCCACCTCACCTCCGACACCTGGCCATTGTTCGGGATACAGCAATTCAGAAGACCACATTCTTCTACGTACATTACTCGGCCAATAACTTTGCTAAACTCGTGGAGAGCAGCGAAAAATCGTGGGAGGCTGTCGAGTTCTCGGCACAAAAGGCAAAGGCGGCGAAGTGTGTTATTCCTGCAGTTGACGCTACCGCTCAGCGTGACAAATACGGCTTCCATGAATCAAGTGCCACCAAATTGTTGGTCAAGAATGGCAACGCAAGCTTGTTCGAGGCACTCGCAGTCTGCAAGCCGCCCACTTACCTTCTGTCAAGCAGTGATCCGATGCCAGTGAGGCTTCCGGATGGTCATTTCAGTACGTATTCAGAATCGGTTTAAAGTCGGGCGCAGTGGAGTTTACTAATGAATCGCAGCGGTTGATATGGGTAGGATAGCCATCGCTGGAACTGTCATACCATCGCCAATTAGCGGCCGCCGCCATGGAGGCCGTCCAAGAGGGCCGCGGTACAAGGCCGCTCAAAGACGCTCAACGCTGTCGAAAATGGAGAGGGGCTCCCCCGGAATCCCCGATCCCGATGACCCTGACGAGATGGAACTGGATCATGTTCCGCTTCAGATGCCAGATCACCTAACATGGGAACAGCCTTCTCGCCAAACACCAAGGGCCGGCACCAAGCGCAACAAGTTTGAGGGCCTTTCGGAAAAGGAAAGATTCGAAGCACTAGGCATGGACGAGACATGGACAGAGTACAACGTTCTTGTCAATGAATGCCCCAATCCTGGCGTCTACGTCACGCCACAAGGCAAGAGGAGACCGGCTGGGAGAAAACAAGGTCGTCCCGCGAGAAGCCGAATTGCAGTTTTTAAATCTACAAAATTGGCTTCCTTCTCCTGGTTCCAACAAGAATGTCGCGACACGATTGACACGGCTATGGAGAGACAAGAGGCCCCAGCCAAGGCTACCGCTCGCCAAAACGGTGTTCCTATCGCGGCCCCCACTGAACCTAGTTCCGAAGGCTTCACAGCTTTTCATTCAGCTACCAATGTGCAGTCTACCCCGAGAACTTCGACCCGGCGCAAGCGGGCCCAAGATGATTTGGATTACACTGATTCTCCAACTCCAGCGGTTACTGCCGTTGAAGGGCCCCAGCGTGGCACGAGGAGGCCGCAGAAACAACCCCGTCTTGAGGAGCCCCGAGATGAGGCTAACGGCGCGCTTGCAACGGCTGCAGAGAGTGCAGCTGCAGAGGCGACTATCCAGATCTCCGAAGAAGTTGAATCGGCCCCAGCTGTTCCTCGGGACAAGAGTCCTACTGTACACGCACTCAGCGACGTTGAAGCCGGAACGGATACGCCTAAGCGACAACGTATTGGCTCTCCGGATCAGACTGCCGCGTCGGAAGGTACTCGAGCAGCAATAACTCAAGCTACTAAGAGCCCTGCGCAGCGAGCATCAGGTCGCACGCAGAGAGCGCCTAAGCCTTTCTCGAGGAATTGGCTCTCCAAGGCCATCACTCCGTCAACCACAACCGCGCCAGGTCAGACACCCAAGCTAAGCCATGGCTTGGCGGACCGTGGAGGTTCTATTAGTATTCTTCGGAGAAATATCATCATGGAGATCGTTGAAAAAGCTGGTGGCGCATATCCTTCTGTTCCTGAGATTTGGTTCCCGTTCGCAACCATGTGGCTTAAGCGGAAGCAGAAAGAGCGGCCTGATAATCGCACAGTCAAGACGGCGATCAGAAACCTGGTTGAAGCCGGCAAGCTTCGACAGCTGACATTCTGTGGCAAAGGCCCGAAAGGCGCGATGGTCACCAAGACCATTCTAGCCAAGCCTGAAATGTCCCCAGATGACCCCTTGATCAAGGAGATGCAACGCAAGCTTCTATCTACAACTGACCAGCGGCTTTCCTACTCGCCAAACGTTGAACTTGACCCCGAGCTTGTTAGGTCCACTGGTCACACGGGAGTACCGAAACTGGCGCTGCCCATGGTATCAGGTGCTACTGTCCAGTTGCAACAGAAACCTGCGACTGTTATTGCAGAGGAGCAAAGAACTGAGCGTCGAGTCCAAAAGGAGTTGTTGAAGAAACTGGAGGACCAACTTGGAATTGGCAAGGATGCTTCTGCCACTGGTACCAAGCGACTTATGAGGATTGGTCACCGTCATCAGCCAGGCCAAGACTCTCTGACAGGTCAGACCTGGATTTCTCAACCAGGTCTTGGCAGACGGATCAGGGGTGATGCATATCGACTCTTCAGGGCAATGTCTGCCATCGGGCCACATGCCATGCTGATGCACCCGAAACAAGATTTCCACTCAAGCTCTGGCACGTTTGGTACATTTGGGGCCGCGATAAGACCCTACAGGCAGTCTATTAGCGCCGATGCAGCGAGCTCTGTTCGTGAGCTCGCTGAGCTTGCATCTGCGCCCAATGTCACCCAGACCGGACGAGCTAAGACGTTCCACTCGAAGGCAGAGAAGATTCTCAGGTGGGAGCTTGAACACGAGGAGATATTTGACGAATTTCACGATGCAAACGGCACATACATTGATCAAACTGTTAGTGACGAGTTTGAGCAGGCGCCTATTGAGGGTGAGATTCGATTCGATTTCGACCAGCCAGTTACTCGAGCACTTCAGCCGAGAAGTCTGATGACAACGCGGAGTGCAAGGCAATACCGTGAAATTAGGCCTCGCCCTACCCAGTCGTTGTCCTATTCTGTGATGCCACCGGGATACCAACCATTCCACAAACTTGGTGCTCTCACACGTCGCCGAATCGACGGAGTGGATACCTCTATCCCTGGTCGGCATGGTGTACAGGCAGATGATGTCAGGTTACAACGCCCACGCCGTCGGCCTGCTCTTCCCCCGCTTGACCAGACTCTGTACCGGAAGATCATGGTTGCCATTGTCGCTGTCAGGGTGTTGGCAGGTGGTACGGAGGCGAGGAGCGTCGACTGGGACCTTGTTTCTACTGCATTCCCCAAACACGACCCCAATTTTATCTTGGAACATGCAAAGAGCATTTTGAGCAAGAGCCGATTGCAAATTGCCGGCATGCAGCGTCCTTTCCAAGAGCAATATCTCGAAGCATATGCCAAGCAGAAGGTCCCGGTCATTGACTATAATAACCTGGACAAATACAATTGGCCCGCCGTCGTTGAGTGGGCCATCATCGAACTCGAGTTCTCGACGTCTGAAAAGGCCCCACTGCTGCCTGCAACTCGGCAGGAGTTTGATAGCATCTTCGAGCTTCGACCCGAGGCCGGTCCTACGGCCGATGAGCTGTACACCGCCACTTCGGGTATCACTGTCAGCTTCAAGCGTGGCCTGATGACCCATGTGCCGTTCGTGGTACAGGTTGGCCCTGATCAAGACCGTGCAGTTCAAGGACGCCGCAAGAATGAGCTCGCTCGACTGGACGTCATCAAAACTTGGGTACGTGCCAACGTGGCGGCATCTGAAGCGACTTATGACCCGCCGAGAGCGGAGGAAGCTCTCAGACCATTCGGTACCCCGCTTATCAACTCAGCTGTGCAATCACTCCTCACCGACAGGGTCATTAGTATGAGCAACAGGGGTCGTATTGTACCTGGCCGCAACTACGATCTCACAGACCATCTTCTGTCCTCGCTCAGCCGCAAACGTCTTATTGACTGCCCCATCTTGAAGCGCGCAGAATATTTCAAGACGAAGATCCTAGACCCACAATTACAAAGCAAAGGATCCTTTGACGTACACTACCACGCTGAAGATGGTGACATCCTCGCTTTGATGAACCTCTTCAGGTATGGCCAAGTCACTCTCCACCCTCGTGGCCAGCCACGCAGCAGATTCGGTCTCACGGAAGGTGGATACCTTACCCGACAAATGGACAAGGACATCTTACGCTTCGACGTCGAGATTCGCCCAACAGCTTCGTATGCCCACGGCAACCCTATTCAGGACCGGGCAAGTGCCATCGCTGCCCCACTGCCGCCCCCGTCCAATGACCCCAAGCTCCCGCCAAAATTGCCCCTCTGGTTCGATATCCATGGATTCCTGATTCCACAGCTATGGGAGATGTCCATTGCGTCGGTTCTGGGCTGTGTTTGCATGCGACAGGGTGTTAGCCCGGAACGCATCTCGGGTATGATCAAACCTGCTATGGGCGCGTGGGAGATTGAGTTGCTCTTGAGTTGGTTGATGGAGGTCGGTGTGGTGGATCGGCAGAGTTGTGGCGAGAAGAATGGATGGATGGTTCGTGAGTGGTGGTGGATGGTTCTTACGGAGAAGGATTCTGATGTGGAGATATCGGATACCGAAGAAGTTCCTGAAGACGTTACTGAAGACGTTACTGAAGACGTTACTGAAGACGTTACTGAAGACGTTACTGAAGACGTTACTGAAGACGTTACTGAAGACGTTACTGAAGACGTTACTGAAGACGTTACTGAAGACGTTACTGAAGACGTTACTGAAGAAGTTCCTGAAGAAGTTCCTGAAGCAGCTACTGAGGTGGCTACTGAGGGAGCTGCTGAGTCTGCGGTTCTTGAGGCGGTTGCTGAGCCGGTGGCTGAACCGGCTGCTGAAGCAGTCGCAGAGCCAGGTCCAGAGTCCATTGCGGAGCCAGTTTCGCACGTCGAGGAGTCCGTGACTTCTCCTTGAGAAGACAGTGCCCTATTGGGTTATTGTATGTATGATTACGGATAGGATTGTGTCAATTGACCTGATGTAGAATAGCACATGAACGCTCAATTTTGTATGGTATCTATCGCTGCAAATAATAAATCACAAGTAACGATCAAAGACTATGTCTTGAGTACCGTGTTGTGGTATAAAACAGTGTTGTATACAAAGCAAGGCCGGCTTTCTTTGCATGTAGTTGATGGTGTCCGGTGGTTGTGGGTGGTTTAGAGGTCATCGACATTGACCGTCCGCTTGGTAATCAGAATAATCAAGGCAAAGACGATGCCGATGATAGCGCGGTCCAGCCAGGGACTGTTTGCAGGTTCGGATTGGGTAGCAGCTGCAGTTCTAGCAGCCATAGCCACGGGAGCAGGAGATGTTGGCGTAGGGCGAGGGCGAATATTGGATTGAGTTGATGGTGCTGGAGGGACAACTGCCGGAGTTGAGGATGGCCCAGAAGGTCCTGGAGGGACTGGAGACACGGCGGATGCTGAAACCGGAGTAGCTGGCGTAGTTGATGGCTTATCGACAGCAACTTCAGTTTGACCATCATCCTTCTCACCACCCTCCTCGTCATCCATTTCTTTCTTCTCCTCCTTCTCCCCTCCCACAACTTCACTCCCCTCAAAATCAACCTCCACCCCTCTCTCCCGACAAACCTCCCACCACCCCCTCATAACCTCCTCATTACTCCCCCCACACTCCCGACAAACCCACCCCCGACTCTCCCTCGCAAACTCCCTCCTAACAGCCTCACTCCCCTCCATCCCCCCAACCTGGCCCTTACTCTCCGCCCCCATAATCTCACTCCGAATAGCCAGCAGCGCCGTCCGCACCCCCCACGCCGGCTGCCACGTTTCCTCATGGTGACCCGAAATACTCAGACATATCTCGCGGTTTACCTCAAATCGGCCCGACGGCGTGAGGAAGCGGAAACTTGGTGGGCGGAGTGGGTAGGTTGGTGGGAAGGTTATACGGCCGTGGTAGAGGCCGTTTGCGTAGGGGGTTGGACTTGGGGGTCCTGTTAGGGTGAAGTGCCAGTCGTGCAGGTTGCTGTCGGAGATTGGGGAGGCGGTGAAGTAGGGGCTTGGGTTTTTGTGGATGTCTGTTGATTCTTTGAGGAGGCGGCGTGTTGAGGGGGATGTCATTTTGGGTGGATTGTGTGATGTTCTTTTTAGTTATTTTTGGTTGTTGGAGGGGGATGGTGAAGTTGATGTAAACGTGGAGGTGGAAGTGGAGAGAGGATAAGGATAAGGATTCCTAGGGCTGACGATTGCGGATTAGATCATCAAGATCGCGGACTCAGGCATAAAGGCAGCGATGATCTATCAAGATCGACCGAGTAGAATTGTGATAACAGGAAATGAATCAACAGGAATGGTTGCAATTACATTCGAGAAAAAGAAGCCAGATGTACAATAACGATTCTCCGTTCATTTACTAGGTAAAGTACACGTCATATCACCTCGTAATACACCACAACAAGAAAATGCCAACTTGGCCACTTCCACAACCCGCTTAGTTTATCGAGTAATTCATCATCACCAAAACGCCAATTTATGCAAAAAAAACAACCGCTATAATATCTCTCCAAAATGCACACTATGGACAGCCATCAGCCCTGACAGTCGTACTTTAATCATCCCAATCACGCCATTCATCCGTGTCTCTAGTACGCCCGCCCTGTTTCAACCCCTCACCTCTGCCAGCTTCGGGGTCAAGTAGACCGTTGCTCTCAGGCTCATCCTCGAAGTCACTATCTCCGGGTCTGGGCCGTGGTGAGGCTGGTGCAAGTGTTTGCATGGAAACACTCGTGGGCGGGCGCTCGGGTGCATCTTGTGGCCGGCGGTTGGCGAGCCAGCTTTGCTGTTGTTGCGACTGTGCTGCACTTGCATTATTCACTCCCCAAGCATGACTATTATCCATATTCCGCGAGTAAAGGTCGCGGTAATATTGCTGCTCGTTGCTAGCTTCCTGCTCTCGGCTGACCCGGATGCGCTCGCGTGCCTCGAGGAATCGCTGGCTCGGCTCCCAGCGCCAGCCGTCACCAGTGGTTGTGCACACGGGTATCGGCCAGAGTAGAGGCTTGTCACCGAAGAGGTGGGCCAAGTTGCGGCGCCAGCCGTGGTCGAATGCACTCGGCATCTTCTCGCTATCTTGGTCGTTGACCCAGTCTTGGTAACGATCGTGCTCACGCTGGCGTTCCATCTCGGCGTAGGACCGCGTGAGAGCTTGTTGTGCTGGGGTCATGGGATTATGAGGGTTGTCAAGACTGGGGCCTTGACCGGGGGGATATGGTGCTGGGGAAAGACGTTCTTCGCCTTCCTCGGCGCGCGTCACGCCGGGAATAGCATTGGCGTGGGCGTCGATTATTTGGTTGCCGTAGCCTTGGAGTCGGTGGGCGAGGCTTTCGTTATTAGGGTCCGTAGCGTTGCCATTGCCTGCACCGTGCTCGTGACGTTGTCGGTCTAGCGCCTTGCGCAGCGGCGAGACATATCTCGTCTTCTCTAGACATTCGATAGTCGTCACTCCCCGCACGGCCAAACTGATATGCCACGCCGTGAAACCGGTCAAGACCAGACCGATAATTCCTCCCAAAATTGCCAGCAGCACCACGTTGACTGGCATGAAAGTATCCATATATCGGGTATCATTCAGCACCTCGGTCCACGTCCACACGGCAGCAACCGCGAAACACACCCAGCAGAACAGCGACGTATAAATCAGGAAGAGCAGGAAAGCCTTGTAGTTGTATAGCCCAACGCATGTCGCCAACCAGGGGCAGTGGTGATCCATCTTCAGGACACACCGCTTACATGTCGAGCAGTGGTGTGCGCGGTCCGGCTTCGGACATTGACATTTCTTGCAATACCGCGATCCACCAGACGAGCTAACAGTGTATGACGTGAACTCGGGGTACTCGGAGACCGGCAAAGCGCTGTACTCGTGACGACCTCCTCGGCGTGTTGTGAGAGGCGAGCCAGGATCCGTAAAGACGGCGACGCTATAACTAGCATTCAAGCAGGCGTAGAGAAAAAGTCCAAGAAAAGTACTCGGGAGCCCTATACCAATCAAGAAAAGCAAAAGCAATTAGTCCACTGAATCCTGCATCTTGCCGAAAGATACCTTTCCACTCCGCATTTTGAAAGTTATCCATACCAATCCAAGAACTCGAATGCTCCTTCAGTCCGATACTGACTTCCACGTATACCGCCCACGTCGTCAAGCCGTACACAAACGCAAGGGGAAAGCAGCTCGCTGCGGCACAGCATAGTCGTTCACAGCGAAGCGCCCACGCGCGAGGACGTCGCTTCGGCCACGAGGGCGAGGTTGGGGGGGACGAGGCCAGGGTGGCCATGGTATGATGGTTATCGCACGAGCGAGCGGCGGGCGATGTTCATCGGACGTGGAAGATTAAATTCGAATCGAATGAGCGAGTGCTGTTAACAAGAGGCCCGCATAGCGCGGAGATGGAGAGTGTTGGTAATGGGGGACGGGGAGCAGCGCGGATCGGGCTCGATTGCGGCGGCCTCCTGCGGAGCTGCGTCAGCCTGGGGGCACTTACTCAGCCACGCTGAGCCACGCCTTTATTTTTGTTAGCGTGGCCTGGTAGGGCGGGGTGGGACTGGACCAAAACTTGAAGGTGGATAAGTTTGAGGTTATTGATACAGTATGTATTTGGATAGTCTTCAGGAAAAGGGGCCGAAGCACTACTTTGACGACATATGTTGTGTCATGGCGTGGACGACTTTGCAGCGAGTAACACGAGATAGTATCAAGGGTTGCTTTAGGGATGTTCTTATAGACAAGACAGTTTCTATTTCGATTTCTTGACTGAGGATGAGATTAATACGAAGTTTTTATTTGGAAAGAGACCATGAGAAAAAAGGCACTTGGTAAGCCGTTCATAGAGATATATGGAGGAAATTGCACGCTTTTTTTTCGCGCTCTATGTACAGAGAATCCATATCTTTCAAGATAAACCTCCAGTCAGCGCCAGCAGTAAGCGGCCGAATAACATAAAAAACCGATAAATAATGCAAAATTCACCCCACTAGTTGCTAGTAGTCGTCTCCGAGGACTGCAGGGTATCCTGCTTGCACCAGCCATTGACGGGCTAAAAAGAGAAGATGGTTTAGCAGAGAATCCGAAACGAGAGAAGCAGAGTATGACTCACCAGGCAACTCAACCGGTAGCACCAAGAGCAGTTCGACGAAGGGTATTTGTAGAAATCAACAATCAATATGATAAATGCAACCAGCACCACGACCAGCGCACCCGCGCGCACCAGCCACCAGGCCCACCACAGAGGCTTACGGCCCTTAAAGAAGTGGAGCGGGCCTTTGGTCTCGCCCTCTCCGCTAGAAGACGAGACCATGTTGCCCTTACCCTTGAAAAAGTCCATAATGGAGGTGGTTTTCCGCTTGTCGGCGGGGTCGGCTCCAGCACCGCCGCTCATGGCGACGTAGGGCTGGCGAGCGAGCCCGATGCGCTCACGCAGGGCATTGGGTGAGCGCAGGAGAGACAATCCCATGGCCAGACCCATAATGAAACCGCCAATATGGGAGAAGTTGTCCAGACCTGGGAGCAGGCCGAGGACGAATGAAACGGCTACTCCGAATACCATAATGAGTAACTCTATCCATGGGGATTCACGTTGGGGCCAGTCGTATAGCAGTTCCAGGAGGGTAAGAGCCATGATACCGAATAGCGCACCGGAGCACCCAGTACTTGGCTGCAGCTGCGAGGCATAGTTTCCACCAAAGACGTAACCGAAGATACCGCTGGCGAAGTAGGTCAGGGTGTACCGCCACATTCCAATCAGGCGCTCCATGTCCGCGCCCATGGTCAATTGCACCAAAAGATTGAAACCGATGTGGATGAAACCACCGTGCAAGAAAATGGGGACGATAAAGCGGAACCACTGGTTGGGCTCCGGCTTGTCATCGAGTGAACCGCCTACCTTGGGGTTTGGCACACCACCAAACCCACACAAGTCCGAGAGATTGCAGTCATATGTGCTTGAGGTGGTATTGGGGCAGGGCCAGTCGATGCGAACGGTGGAGTTTTGGACACCGGGAATATTCTTCATGCAGGGATCGTAGCGAGCGCCCATGTAGATTTGGACATATGGTGATGGACCGATCATGACGTTAAACGAAGGCTTGGTCTCGATTGGCGATCCAGTCAAAGTGCCTAGAATCTGTATGTTAGCCTTGGCCTGGTAGGACTGCAACTATCCTCGTGTAGTTGACATCAGCCCATGGAAAGGCTCGGTACCCACCATTTTTCACCAATTCCACGATAAACACGATAACCTGCGCCAATGTCAAGGTCCAGGTCACCCACGCAGGCTTCTTCCGGAAGAAACCCTTCTTATTCTGATCATCTCTTCGTCGCCGGTCCTCCAAGGCCCCTGGCGAGGGCGGCGGGTATTGTGTCTGCTGGTGCATCCATTCCGGGTTATTCCCAAACTGCGTCTGGGCCTTCAGGGGGATATTCTCTGCATAGTGGTCGCCATCAGCGACCCGTCCAGCGGTCGGGTATGCTCCGCCATCTGATTGTAGTGAATGTTGACTCTCACGGTTGTGATAGGGGGTGGATAGGTCGTCGTGGTGGCTGTTTGAGCTCACGGGACTGTGGCTCTGGAAGCCGTACCCAGGGGTGTTGGTGTTGAGTTGGGAAGGGTTTCCAGCATGTCCGCCGGTCACTTGATCGTAGCTGGGCGGATTGGGGATGTTCGCATGGTAGTATTCGTTGGCAGCCATGATGGGCGCCTGCCGAGGTTGCGGGATCAAAGAATGGGGGTGAGGATCAGAGTCTGTCTAGGATCGTGGAGGTCGTCGAAGTTTAACGCTAGCGGGTGGAAATAGGGAGGGTTCGAGGGAAATAGGACCCTGGAAAGGACAGTGGTTGATTCAAGGAAGGGGAATTGAGGTAAAAGAGAAAGAAACAACAAAAAAGAAAGTTGTCGCCAGGCAGTCGCATTATGTAACTGGGGAAGTTATTTTTGGGGCCGATCGTCGTCACAAAATCAACACAGCCGCGCGGCGCTTGGCTGGGCAGTTTTTGGCGATTTACAGTACTAAGTTCTGAGCAACAGGGGGGTGCGTGTCATTTAGATCCTCCAGATCCACTACGGCTCGTGTTTATTCCAATCTGACTTGACATTCCATTTTACTAGTCGTTGAGACTTGCACGCCTTAAACTCGCCATGACGCATTCCCTCAGCCTCGATGCCAAGCCTGTCCTGCCACATACCTGACCACACGACACGCTGGGCATCCATCTGTGCAACATCGACTTGAGTACTTTGTTGTAGTCCCTAATAGTTGCGATCTGATAACCTCATAACCTCAACTTCAAGATATTCAGGTATTCAGTATCGACAGTGGCGGCCCCCTGAGATTCTTACATAATCGCATACTTTTTCAGGTACCAGGGGCCATTTAGGAGCAAAGCTTAATTCTCAAAACAAAAATACACCGTCAAGTTTTCAAACACTGTGGCTTGCTGGGAACTTGGTATTACGGTGTCGATTATTAATTGAGATCGTCATCTCTATGGTGGTATATTGAATGGGGTGAGACCTTGAACGAAGCCGATTGTTCCAAAGTAGAATCCTTCCTGCCGGTCGCCCATGGTTAGTGACTTAATATGGATATCTATTCAAAGATAGACCTGGTACAATCTCAGGCCATGGAATGTTATAAAAATCATTACCAAATCTTGGGCTCCTCCCAATAAGCAAATGCGAGATGACATGAATTTGCGTTAGCCATAATGCTTACCATGTCTAGTGCAATCAACAAGATGCTAGTGTAAAAGGTTAAACCCCCCTGGTCAGCCCATACTATGTACTACTCCGTACCCAGCAGAAAGTGGCGAGGGACGAGCACTTAATAGGGAAAAGGCAGGGTTAAGCGGGCCCCTTCGGCGGGCGCTAGTTCGATGGGGCTGAGACAGGCAATCTACAAAAATCCAAAAGACATAGTAATTGCTGCATAGACATTTGACATTAAGTATTACAGCGGATAGCAATAAAATTTGACAAGCATGCTCGTCCCCGAAATTTGCTGCGCCGGTAGCCCAATGCTACGGGTCGCGCTATCGGTTCGTGGTGCTCGTGTTCGGGTCGTTGACCGTCTGACTCCCAAGGCCTGTGCCGGAGGAGGTCACACGATACGCGTCATTAAGGTCCATAGGGCGGGATGTCGTATCGCAGAAACGAACGTGGGTGTGTCCCTTTTCCCTAAAGCGCCGAAAAAGAAAGGAAAAGAAGATCAAAAAGTGTACACACCCTGAATCGAGCGGAAACAACGCAAAACAGACATGGCAACGAAAGCAAAACACCAAGCGAAGAGGCATCAAATCAACAAGATGCGACCAAGCGTATGCGAAAATGGGCCGCTTTAATAACAGTGACGAGGGGTTGTAAGCTCTCGAAGAATCACCCCAGGCGCAGATCAAAATCCACAGGAGAGAGAGAGTGGGGTGATCTGGTAGATCTATACAAGGGGGGCCGTGCTCAGATATCAACAAAGACTCCGATGTCAATTATGAAGGGGTGGCATGCTCTGCAATAGATGCGGGTGAGATCGGGTTGCCGTAATTATCCAGGATACCCAGTGCAGTGCCCACCTCCTGGCTGCTGTGGCCTGTCAGCAGCCATACGAGGCGGCTGAGCTTGTGGTACAGCAGCGACGGGAAGTATAGCAGCAGTGCCCACAGCAGCAAGGACAGGACCACGATCACGAAAGTATTAGCCACGAGTTTCTCGCTAGGAGTCATCACGTATAGACCAAAGGTGACCTCGTAGCGGTAGTACTCCAGATGGACGCGGTCAAAGAATCGCTGGAAGGGGTTGCGAGTCCGTTGCGCGCGGAATGCGGCGGGAGCGCTCGTAGACGAGTATTTACTGATGAGCTCGTCCATGGCCGAGGGAGCATGCGACATATGCGTCGACGGGTTAGAGGTGTAGAAGGACTGCATCTCGGTCGGCATGAGGGGCACAGCTGGGAGGTGATTTTGCTACGATCGCACCCGATCGCGTTCGAGAAGACGAGACAAAATAGCGGAGACGAAGGGTATAGAAGATGAATTTGGCTTGATTTGTGAATTTGGTTTTTTATATGGCGCGTATAGTCCGAGGTTGTCGAGGGGTAAAGATATCAATCCCAAGAGGGACAATCCCCAGATGGTTGACAGAAGTATTGGGCAGAGTTCTGGTTTGAAATCTCCCTGCGCTGGCTTGGGCTTTCCGGATGTAGGCGGAAGTGCACAGGCCCGCGAACTGATGATCGACGCAATTGGGTCCCAACGGGAACTGGACTATAACCACCACGAGGTAGGAAAAAAGTAATGATGAGATTGATCGAGACTGATGGAAAGATTGCAGGGAGGAATAGGGCAAAAGTAGAAAAGGAAGAGGGTACGGCTTTTGGGGGAAATAAGGAAATGTAGATGGAGATCGGATTAGTCGGCAAGGATTTAATTATTCAACTGCTCGGAGCATCCAGCCCTGTTTAGCCCCCCCCTTAGTGGGAGCTGCATGCCTTGGAAGATGCGAAAAAGCTCCGGAAGGAGTGGGTCTGGTTCCTAGGTTGACTGGTCTAATGGATGGAGTATTGAGCATATATCGGGCATGTTAGACGGATCTTCGGCTACATAGGAGTTCGTCGAAAGCTCGGAGATCGGAAGTGTTGACGAAGTATACAAAATTCAAAATTTCGGGAGGCCAGCCCGGTAAGGCGGATCCCCAGGCAGAAATCAGGCAGGAATCAGGTACTCGTCAAGTAGGAATATCGACATCCTCTACTCCGTACAGACTCTACATACTATGCATCAATGTATTGGCTTCCTACATGAATGGAGAGTATCTCATACCTCAAATATACAGCCCCTGTTTATTGTGCATTTATGCACACTTGACAAAGCCTTACTCATCATTTTACGTATCATATGAAAAAGTACCCTAATATCGCTAGTCTCTTTCATCCAACTCCACCAGCCACACTAATTCCCTAATTCCGGGCGGTGGCTTGTTCGGTGATGTCACCGCCCGCGTCCCTCTTCCCCGCGTCGCTTCTGCTCAACCCATCCGCAACACACCCCCTCATCAACAAATCAACAAATCCACAAACTAGTGCTCGGCTCGCCATGAACGGCGACGATCCACTAGTCCAGGCTCTGCCACCAGCAACCGACTATCTTACCTACCTCACCCTCCTCGAATACCAGTTGACCCCCGCACGCCTACCCCTCTTGCACCGTCTGCTACAAGATGAGAAGCTCACCACCAACATCGGCTGGGACCTAGTCAAGCTGCTCCTGCCTATGCTTCCTGCCTCAACCGAGTGTTTGCAGGATGTAGCTCGTCTAGGAAATCCCCGAGAAGTCATTTTGCGGGTGTGCGAGGCCCTGGAAAATTTGCAGCCGGAGGAAGACGAGGACGAGGACGAGGAGGAAGGAGTTGAAGAGGCGGATAAGGCACTGCCAAAACACGTTTTGCAATTCAACTGTCTTCTAGCTATGCTTTCAGTCTTGCATACCCGTCTCCAGGCAAAACGACCTAGTCGATTCATCGCCACCTCTCTCAAAGCCGCCCTCGAAGCATACGAGACAGTCACATGCGACGAGACTACCTTGGCCCTCCTCGAATTCCTTCGCGATCTATCTCCCAACAAGCGCCCAGCACCGCCACCTCGTGCCCCCAGCGAATCGAGTGTTCTTCGTGTCTCAGAGGCATCTGCGCCCGATCCAGAGGCTGAGGTGCAGTCACCGTCGCCGGCCAAGGACAATGAAACACAACTGGTTCGCAAATTTATCCAATTCGGCTTGTTAGAAATGCTCAAGCTCTATTTATTGAGCCTTTCAAGCCCGATGGACCCCGGTATGGCGTGGACGATCCGGATGCAGGAGAAATTGAATCCCAATCTGCGGCTGCCGGCACAGTCGCAGACGGACGCATACGGTAGCATCAAGGAGTTGAGGGAGCGGGATATGATTATGGGGAAGATTGTGGTACGTAATGAACCATTTTCGAAGAGGATTGCTCTGAACTAATCCGTCGATCTTGTTTAGGCTCTTTCACGAGACGTGGGCATCGACAGCAATGACCTTGTCTCCATAATTTCCCGGTCACCCGAACACCAGGCTCCTCAACTGGACTTTGATGAGCTTCCAGAGACAGCCGATCAGATTCCCCTAGAGCGACATGGTTCTCTGCTGCTCCTTGCGGCTCGAGCTGCCGGGGCGGTACTTTTCGCATCCTCCCTGCGGCCGACGCCTTACGTGCCAGTCTTCCCAGACTTGGCCCAAATTTTCTCCCATTTCCTTGGGAGTAGTGAAAATTTAGAAGAGGTCGCCTTTGGGCAACCACACGCTCTTTTGGATTCCCTGCTGGCATTGACTGTGCATGCGACACAGTCATCCGTTGCCGTACCCTCCAATGATGCCGAGTTTAAAGATTTTCTTTTTACTTTGACCGCATGCACAGCGAGACAGAGTCATGGCATAGTTCGGCAGATACCAGCGAGCGTTTTGCGCAGCAATCCATCGCCCACCACACGGTTCAAGGTTATTCGTCAGATCTTGGAGAACAATAGACTGAAGTCCGTTCGCGACACTGCCATTTCCTGGCTCAAAGATGAGATCATCAACACAAAACCCTCCGAGTCACCCGAGGATGTCTTCCATGATTCCCTATGGTTCTGGTCGATCTTCCTGCTTCTACTGCCCCCCGTTGATTCTGATGATTGTTCCAAGAACTTGGTGGAGAGCTGGAACCGCCTTACACAATCCGAAGGTCCATCTCTGCACTCTGCACTAAATTTGTACTTCCTTCTTCTCTCGTCAAATGACCACCGTGATCATTTGCAGCTTGAAAAGACGGTGAAGTACTTCCGCAGTCAAGTTCTTGTTCCACTTCGACAGCTCTTCCGTGCTTTTGACAATGATCTCACCGCCAAGGGTGGCGATGGCCTGATTGAAGCAGTTGTTGGAGAGGAAATGTGCCAGTTCGGCATTGCAAATTCTGTGGGGCTTATCGGACTCACCCTCGATCAGATTGAGGAGGTGATCAACGAGCACTTTGGGACTGACGATGCGGATCTCAAGGCGTACTCAAATGACGAGGAAGCTCGGGTTGCGGAAATCCGGAAGGAAACTTAGAGGCCAGGCTAGTCATTAGGGAGGCCCTGGTTGGAAAGTGAACGTGCTCGGAAGTGCGTTATGTATCTAAATTTGACTTCATATTCTGGGCTGGCCCATTGAATCGCACATATCATTTTCAAAGAAGTATAAATTGCCTATAAACTCATGTCAGCTAGAAAATCTGTTAACGAGGACAATCATCAACCCCAGACATAGTATCGGGTAATTACAAGGTGTTATTCGGGACCATTAAATTGAAAGAGTTGATCGTCAAAGGACTTCGAGATACAGAATCGAATTATGGTTTTCTTATAATTTCCTCACTGCTACTGACCGGGTAGGTCTGGCACTGGCATGTTCAAGGCCCATTTACAAGCTCCACGAATCCCTTCGACCTTGAGCACGCCCAAAGGCCTCTTTTCGAGAGACCGGACTACGAAAGGAAAAGCAGAAATAATTGGAGGCCAAAATTGCATTCCTAGCAGCCACTCATGATCAAAATAGTAAGAAAGGATATTCCGAACCACAGACACACCAAGCGCCCCAGAGAACAAAACCAATGGAAGTCACACTCGATCCCCAACGAAGCAAATAACCAACAGGCTTTAGTAAAATTTCGCGCTCTCTCGAAGAAGTGCAGCTGAAAGGAACAATTCGCAAAGTCGCAACCCCATTTCTACATAACACCCCCAATGTTCCCAAGTCCACGAAAGGGGCAGCGAAAACTAGGGCTCCAAGGTCACCCGAGCTTTTGACTGTCCGGCAAGCTGGTCTACATTCTGTTCCTGAAATTCCGAGGCAGAAGTAGAAGGAAGTATCTTGCAGGCGGACAGGCGAGACGTCGATGGAAGAAGAAGAAAAGCTCGGAGTAGACCGGAAGAGACGCTTCCAACGTTGCCACGAAAAGAATGAACTGGACAGAAAACGACGATAGGCAAAGAGTAGTTGATCATGTCTTTGAGAGAGATGTTTTGTCGAAAGTCGGTGGTTATTTCGTAAGGATTGAAGAATGAGTTGGTGGAAATTGAATTGTGCATTTTGTTGTCGGCCATGGCCCAAACCAGCGATCAGATTAGGGCATCATGGTGGTGCGCGAGGCAGGCGGTTCGGGGGCGCGAATGTAAGGAGCTTACATAACAACGCAGCCACCACCAGGGCCGGCTGTAAAGTAGAAGATATGTTAGCAGAATGTCAATCGAGTGATGATAGTGTAGAGGGAGTGAGTGTACCCTTGACAACAACGGAGTTCTGGACGGGAGCCATTGCGATAGATTTGGAGCTTTGAAAAAGCGAAAAGACTGTAGTAGAGATGATTGATTGGGAATGAAGCGGATTATGAGAAAAAAAAGGTATTCTGGTGGGTGTTGAGGGGGATATTTATATCTGAAATGTTGTGAGGATGGTTGGATGGGAGTATAGCACGTTAGAGATAGCCTGATGGACGAAGAACAATACTAAGAGGGGATGAACAATAAGGAGGACTGATTTAGCAAGCGCTTGGTGCAGCCTGATGCCGTTCAGGGTAAGAGTGGAGCTGGTGAATGCGCAAATCTGGTTTGTGCTGAGGCATGGTGGCGTTGGCTTGATATTGTTCTAGGTATCGTGAATCTACGTGGCTGCCTCGAGCCGTGTTGGAATTTCTTTCAACATCGAGAATGTTGAGATAAGATGAAGGCTCATGGCTGGGGAAATTGTATCTCTTGAAAGAATGCACGGTTGACTCGGAGGTTGAGAGTTCGATGTTTGCCAGGGGTCTTGATATTGTTCTTCGAAGAACAATATTAACAGAATGTCTAGGCGACAGGGGTATTCTCCGCATTTGTATATCTCCCAGGCGGTTTCTTTGTGAGATAATTTCTGTCCACGATGGTGATGGGGATGATATCTGAGGTGGCGGCTATACTCTATGGTCTGAGTAACCTGATATCAATCGAGAACAATATTAAGGTACTTCGAGGGTGGCCACGAGGGAGACCCGCCAGAGTGGGGGCAGCCTGTGATTGGCGCGTGAAACGAACTGTCGGGAAGGACACAAAGAAGCTCAACCCCACCGATTGTTCTTGCAGAGAACAATCTGTTCGTGCCTTGGCAAGGCCGTCAGCTTGCGTGGGGTTCAACCTGACTGATCAAACTATTCTCTGTGATCAAACTATTCTCTGTGATCAAACTATTCTCTGTGATCAAACTATTCTCTGTGATCAAACTATTCTCTGCGTTGATTTTGGCCGGACGTCCAAGTTCATGGTACAGGGGGCCCACGTTTTTGACCCTCGGAGACCGTTACGGCTCAGACAGGAAAGTTAATGATCGGAGAATTACTAGACACCTAGTCTACTCACTGGGGGAGGAGATTTTCAAGAATGCTCTGGATGATTTAAAGAAATTCCATTAGCCGGAATAAACCCTGCCCCGAGACATGTTCTAGACTCGCCGAGTATTGGGTAGACAGCCACCAAGATATTGGTACTTCCCGATCATCTTACTAAGTATGAATGCTGGAACTCAGTCGCTAAAGACAAGCGCACATGAAGAGATTCTCGCGTGGGGAGTATCCTCACTTCAAATGTATCATGCAATTCAGCGCGCAGGAAGTTTGGAATTACTGGTTCAAATCCGAGCAACCAGGGTTTAACGTCTCTTATCAGAACGCAGTGTGCGGGGGCAGATACTAGACGTTGAGCATAGGCTACGTGTATACATATTTGCTACATACATTGATAAACTGATTCCTAACTAGTTTCATCACTAGCAGCTACTAGCAGCTAGCTTCTCCCTGATCCGATAAGGGGCCGGGCCCCTTTCCCACGTCACTGATGGCCTCGAGGCAGACCATTCCGGGGCGGGCATACGAGGCAAATCGCCTCCCGTGCCGGAAAGAAAAACAGATTACCACTCTCAGGGTTGTTTATAAGAAGTAACCCGGCGCAGGTTCACCGCAAAGTGGTCCTGGTTCTCAATTAGGAAAGTCAAGACATTCTCAGTTGTCGACTCGAAGCCTTCAAAGGGGGTTAGAGGACGTAAGAACGCATGATGGAAGACGCCCACAAGATGATCTGCTGGCATGCCGTTCTTTTCTGCCTTGGAAGCAAAAACAGCAAGAAAATCAAGCATGTACAAAAGCAGCTGTTTGTTGTCAGGGGGGAGCACATCGATCAATTTCCGATAGGCTTCAATAATCAACTTATGAACAGGTGATTCCCCTCCTCGTTCCTGGATGTCTCGTGCCAGCGAAAGCATCCGCAGTGGCTCATGAAAACTCTCGTAAAATACCACTGGGATGACTGGCTCGGGTAGTGTCCTCAGGTATCGAGTGAGGAGATTCGCAACGTCGTGAACACTGTAGTCTGACCACTTTATACCTCTACCATAGCTTGGTGGACAATCGAAAAGGCTTTGGAGCTCCGTTATTTTGCTCCCTGATCCATTGACTTTGAAAATATTCTTGGTCTCAGTTGCTAATAGAAGGAATCAGCGATAAGCAACATTGTTTTAGGGATAACTAGCCTATACGAACCATTTGTCTTAAGAAACATGCCACACATTGCGATGATTATTGGCACATATCCAGTGATGATGCTCTCGCCTTCTTCAGTAGTAACTGAGAGAGGGACATGGGCGTATCGAATGCTATCATTTAACGGCACACGAAAAACGCCGCGAGGGGCTTCTTCTGTGACCGGTTAGCCCACATGAATAGTGAGATGCCATCGAAACTTGACAATGCTGTCCCAAGCGTCCTGTCAAGCCATGACCTAAATATGAAGATACCTTTTATTTCAGCTGTCTGTCTGAATCTCTTCCACCACGAAGCTAGACTTTGCTTTGATGGTGTCTCCGGACTTGCACGAACCTTGCGTTCGCTGTCGAAGATGGTCACCCCGGGCGGAGGCGAAGAAGAGAGGGATGAGCGGACGGGCTGTTGATCCGTGGCAACAGGCTTCCTGGAAATATTCTGGGGCTTGTTTAAGGCAGTACTGCTTTTTGAGTTGCTCTGACTGTAGTCCAAGGAGGCCATGGTGTCATCTGCTTTGTGAGTGTTTAAAGTATTACTACTTCTGGCCGCAGTCTGATTGTAATTCAACAAGACCGTGGTAGCAGCGTTATCTGCTTTGGGAGGTAGAATAATCTGTTGTGAAAGCTCTTCTGTGTCCCATGATGCAAACTCCTCCGTCATTGTCTCAACCGAAGTTGACTTCGAGTCAGGTACAGGAGTAGAGTCAGGCGTCTCTGGAACACTGTACCCTCCGGAATCGGGGCTTTCCGAGGCTAGGGCTGGGGCTTTTTCCAGCCATTCATGCGATAGAGCCGCTTTGGCTGTGAGACGGTCCTCCGGTTGAGCCTTCATCAGCAACGATACAAAATCGACACCCTGTTGACTGACACCCGCATTGACCAGCTGCTCCGACGGGAATTTCTCCTCTCTGGCATAGGACGAAAGCAAGCCAAGGTGTGCAAATGCTCGCTTTTTGACAAGTATCTCAAAAAGGATCTCTCCAGTGGCCCATATGTCAGTCGCATATGGACTGCCTCGCTCAATAAATCGGTAAAGCTCAGGGGCAACATAACCAGGGGTACCTCGCAGAGTGGATGCTTGACCATGGCCATCTTCGATCCGTTTGCTGATACCAAAATCCGCGATCTTGATCCACCATTCGTCGGGAGGTCGTGCCTTGATAAGAATATTCTACGAAATGCCGTTAGAAGAAGATATTTCCCGTTATACGTTGAAAACCATGAACTTACTCCCGGCTTCAGATCTCGGTGAGCAAAATCATTTTCGTGCATCATGCCCAGGCCTTCTAAGATCTGGAAGGCAATCTCCTTTGCTTCGACTTCGGACAGGGGTGGTTTGTCGTACAAGTATTGATACAGATCGCCGAGTTCAAGATATTCCATTGCAATGAATAGCTGGTCTGGGGCTTCATACCACCCAAATGACCGAACAAAGCATCGCACATACTAAGGAAACTCAGTATTGCTTCTTCTGAAGAGGTACATATTCTCCTCATACGTACCCGACTATGCGAGAATTTGGCAATAGCTTCTAGCTCGCGGTTATAATCGATAGGCCCATATCGTGTATCTAGGTCAATTTGCTTAACAGCTCTTAGAGCCTGTACGCTGCGCTGATGACTGTCTCTGATACATTTCTCCAACCAAACGCTTCCATATGCACCGCCTCCAATCTTAGAAAGCCGTTTCCAATGTTCAGATCTCGCAACAACGCGCCTGCGCGAAGTAAGATCTGATTCTTGGTAGGTATGCACGGTTTCCACACTACAGTCAGGGTGGAAGGATGTCTCTAGCTTCGAGTCCCGGATGAGATCTGAGACTCGCGCCATAGTAAGACTGTCCTGAATAAATCACAAACGATGATGGTCAAGGGTTTGCCGACAGCTGAGGCTAAACAGTGGCCCCCGCATAGCGGACCTAAGGATATTCCGAAACGTGGGGGCCAGTTTGGTTTTCTGCCTCAGGAACCAGGCATGAATTGTTTTGATCACAACAGGTATACATGTAATAATAGGTACATGTTCAGCTCCTACACGCCGGCCCATTCTTTCTGTCTTTTTAAATGAATTAAATTTCCACATTTGTTTCATGGGATACTGGGATTGTCGAAAGCCAAGTTTAACAACCTCAGGTCGTCGGGAAATGGAATATGTTGTGGTGGGCCGTAGAACTGCACCAGCCCTGGAGGTGCTAAGAATATATAGACACAAAAGGGTACAAAACAGCTGACAACGTTCACCATGATCACCATGATAATTGGCCATTGTGTTGATCTCCAGCACTATGGTAGTAAATTAATTAGTTTTTCAAGATGAAACATCTTTAGGGTTCGAGCTGGAGTCGACGGTTGCTTTCTTGAACTTTCTTGTGGGCGTCATTCGAACGAAAATCTCATCCAGTTCAGCAAAAGTACGACCCTTGAGTTCGGGAACCTCAAACCATGCCCAGGCGAGACTAATAAAGGAGAGTGCCATCCATACGAACGCAGCCTTGCCTCCTAGGTTGGCTAGGGTGAATCGAATTAGTATGCGAAGTACCAGGAAATGAGTTCATTAAAGACCCACCTTCGTCAGTGTTAATAAGATAAGGGGCAATGAAATTCATCGCCCAGCTGACCAAAGCGTTGGTTCCAATCGCCAAACTTTGTGTTTTGGCTCGAACATTGACCGAGCTAACTTCTGCACTGATGGTCCAACTCACAGCTCCAACAGTGGGGGCGTAAAAGAGCTGGGCAAAGTTCATCATGTATCCGATATAGTACAGGGCAGCCGTGGTGGTGAAGCATCCGGCAATACCGACAGACATCAAACAGAGACCATTTAGCAAGATTCCGGTCAAAAGCAGCGGTCGACGTCCTGAAGGAATTTCCTTGAGATTTCAAGCACATGAAAAATGATTGGAAAGAAGGGCACCTACCGACATAATTCATGATAAACCATGAGATGATGTTTCCCAACATGGCCACACCGAAACCACCTAGCGCCAGTTGAAAAGTAAGAGCGGTAGGTAGACCGGATATCCCCAGCATGTACAAGGCCTGTGAGTAGAATGCGATACCAGTAAATTGCTGTACCGCAAACATTCCACATGAAATGCGAGTCCTGCGCCAATTAGTTCCCCGGAAGCAGTCCCGGTATGATGTGTCCTTCTGAATGTCTGCAATTGCATTTTCGGCGGCAATTGCAGCTTGGATTTCTTCCAGAATTGAGGTCGTGTCAGTTGTCTTTAGGTGCAATCTCTGCAGACTCTTCTTTGCCTGCTCGGTCTGACCCTTACGGAGGAGATACCAAGGGCTTTCGGGCATGAAAATTGCTAGGAAGGCGATGAAACAAGGGAATGCCCACTGCGCTGCAAATAATACCTTATAGGATGCAGGTGTCATTAAAGTGAAGCGGGTGTTGCCTATGCCGATAGCCATGAGCTGACCGGCATTGATGAACAGGTTGACAGCAGCGGTCAAAGAAGGACGCAAGGCAGTCGGAGCGATCTCGGAGACATAGGTCGAGCCCAATGTCAGGAAGAAACCCAGAGACAGACCGTTGATCTATATGTAAGGTACAACTTTTAACAACATCGCTCAAGAAAGGCCATGACCAGGTTAAACTCACGATCTTTCCTGCGAGGAGCATACCAGGCTCATTGGCGGCATATTCAAGCCCGACCCCAAGCAAAGAGAGAGCCGAGCCAACTAGAAATCCAAGTCTTCGACCACCGCGATCCGACACCCAACCACAAATGATACTTCCTACAAAAAGATTAGATTAGTTCGAAAATCATGCGACAATGTCGCAGTAACTAACTCACCGATCAACATTCCAAGCGATGTCATCGCTGTCCAAAGCGCATTCCACGTGGCTGAAATCAAGAGTTCACCCTCATATTCGTATCCAAATACCATCTTAAATCCCGGCAATGACACACTGATGGAGTTGACGCCTAAACATGGGAAAATAACAGTCAATATTCATCTCGCAGGCGCGGTAGAATGAGATATTCCCACCAATGTCAAATCCCCAAAGCATCGAGCTCACGCCAGCTGCCAAACTGTAGAGAATCACTTTGGGGTTCTTTTTTGCCGAAGCCCAAGCGCCTTCATTTACACATTCCAAGGTCTGAGAGACTGTCTCAACCATCTCTGCAGCGGTATGCTCCGTCTTCTCATCCCGATGAGGATTTGTAGAAGCCATTACAGCAAGACCGCAACACTATGATCGACACTAGGATTGAAGCGAAATTCGTTGTGGGAACCAGGGTTGTGCCAAATGAAGACAATGATGAGCCTGGAAAGACGAAGAATGACGATTCGACGGTCACATATATATGAACAAAATATCTCCCCACATTTTGAGAGACAACGTGCTTGGAGAAGCTGGGGAATCGGACAAGCCGAAGTACGGGGTTTTCCAGTGACAGATTATTTCGGGTGACCACCACGAAAGTGGACGGTGGACGGTGGACGGGTGGAGGTGGAGTGAAAGACTGGTCTTGATGCGTAGACCAATTCATGACGAAAATGCACACCCTTTTTTTAATCTGATAGGTGCTATTTCATTTGCCTATTTTACACCATGAGAAATGATAAAATGATAATTCCTCGAAAATGATAGGCTAGGATCGGCATGTAATAAAACAGCGCGGGCCGGACGACTCGACGCAGAACTTCAATTTTACAAAGCCAGTGTGCCAAATTTGTGCAGGAATTTGTACATTCTTCCGGGTAAATAGTAGATCTAAAACACAAAGATTTGGTAGATTGATGTGTTCACGTTTTCATACAATGGTATCAAAGGCCATTCCATGTTCCCATGTCCTCTATCTGCAGATACGCTGTACAGTCCCGAGTAGTCACCTTGTAACTGCCGTTCAGGGACCGCCAGCATTTGGATACGCTATCCCAATAGCCGCTAATGTCTCTCTGAGAAACGGAGAGGCCAACTCGTCTGGTCTCATTGGGCTCCAGCCATACTTTAGTGAATGCGATCAGCTCCGACCGGGGTCTCCAGACGATAGGATGGAGTGGAGGTTGGCTATAGACTTGAATCACTTCATACCCAGCCCTTCTGCTTGTATTTTGAACGTCCACGGCAATCTGGACCATCCTGATGGGACATTTTAAAGCCGCCTCTTCGTTCATCGAATCGTGAGAGAGGACGCTCATGTTTGTATACTCGAAGGTGGAGTAGGATAAACCGTGTCCAAATGGCCAACGGACAAACTTTGCCGTGTTAGGCGCTCTATAGCCCATTTGCAAACCTTCGCGGTATCGAATAACCGGTCCGTTGCCAACATCTTTGGCTGGAAAGTTTCCAAATGTCGGAACAGAGCTCTCATCCAACCGCATGGGCCACGTAGTAGCCAACTTTCCGCTTGGGTTTGTCTTTCCGCTGATAATGTCGACGATGGCTTGTGCGCCTTCTTGTCCTGGGAAATGGGCTACTATGACTCCGTCAATCTCATCAATAAAATCAGAGACATCAATAGGGTTTCCACAGTGCATGACAAGGATTGATTTCTTGGACACACTAGCAACTGCTTTGATCATGCGGACCTGGCTCTCCGGCAGTTTCAAGGTTTGAAGGTCAAATCCTTCAGACTCGTGCTGGTGTGTGCGACCACCAAAGATTACGCTGATATCTGAGCGAGCCGCGACAGTGACTGCCTCGGCGATGGCAACGCGATCGTTATGCTCTTCCATGAAGCATAATTTTGCCGAATGAGGAGAGATCTCCCCGTCAGCCGAAGCGATGTCACGAGAATGAGTTCGCAAGGTGATTTTGTATGGCCTGTGAGCCTCCATTTGGAATTCAACCGCGTTTTCCAACTTCTTAGGTTCAAACAAGAAGTCTTCGACTGTCATGACCGGGGCAGGCATCGAAAGTACCTGTTGTGAAACTTATGAGTGATCAAATAAATTGAAAAGAGGGAAATTGGATATCGGACGCGTACCTCGATTTCATCCACAGATAATGTGAATTCTCCTGTGGCCTGTACAGCCAATTTGTGGTTTCCACTTTTATTTGCCATAATAGTAGTCTCCATGACAAAATAGAATCCAGTCTGAGAAAGACCTGGCTTCAACCTTCCAAGCATCACCACAACAGGCTGCTCAGAATGCTCAGAAAAGATGGGCGTGTCAGACCCATCCAGGAAATAGTCTACTGTCACACCAGAGAGTCCATCCCGAGACTGCATCATGTTGGCTGGCATCAGAGGTATGACATTATTGGCGTTGACACCATGCACAAAGGAAACTTGTTCGGGATCCTGACACGCATCTTGGAAACATTTCAAGGGCGTGTGGACGTATTGAGGCTTGGCACACGCGCTGCCCCCACCGGTGATAGACGGATTGATGGCGGCAGCTCCAATGAGAGCCACATTCAGACCACCCTTCATATCAAGTGGGAGGATGTTGTTGTCATTCTTGAGAAGTACAATTCCTTCTGATGCTGCTCTCAATGCCATGGCACTGGTTCGTTCGCAAATCAAGGACTGCTCCTCTTTATCACTGTGACTAGCAGCGGTCCGGTCAATCATGGTTAAGACATTCGTCACGGCAGCATTGAGAGCTTCTTCAGAAATTTGTTTGCGTTCGATCGCCTCAAGCAACTTCGATCCACGGTAGACAGATGGCCCAGGCATCTCGAGATCAAGCCCTGCCTGGAGGGCCTCAACGGTACTCTTAGTCCCGTACCAATCAGACATAATACAGCCATCGTAGTTCCAATCATCACGCAGTAATGACTTGAGAAGGGGAGTTTGACTGCAGAAGTGGCTGTCAAGTGCATTGTAGCTAGTGTATTTGTCAGATAACTCCCGTTTCTCAAGGTTCATCGTAGATTACACTCACGCTGTCATGATTGAGACCGGGTTGCCTCGACGCAATAAGTGCTGAAATGTGCGCAAATATAACTCTCGCATTGTCCTACTGTTGCCAGACTCATCGACATTGTAGCGTCTGCGGACAGTCTCGCTTTCGTTGGCGACGAAATGCTTCACGCAAGCACCCACGCCCTGGGACTGAATCCCGTTGACAATAGCAGCTGCGAGCTTCCCAGTTACCAGGGGGTCTTCGCTGAATGCCTCAAAATTGCGACCGGCTCGTGGATCACGATGAAGATTGATGTTGGGGCCTAGCACTACTTGCACCGATTTGGATTTGGCTTGTATAGCCACTTCTTCGCCAAATTCTCTCATGAGGCTCGTGTTCCATGTTGAGGCAAGGCAAGTTGAGCTTGGAAAACAAGCAGTTCCTGTGTCTTCTAGGTGTGATTGAGAGCCGCGAACACCATTAATGGAGTCGCTGACCTGGTCACATGTATATCTTATTAGCTCTAGTGTATCTCTGAATAGTATAGTTGCATACTGACCTTTAAGAAGGGTATACCAAGCCGACCTATTCCAGCAGTACTTGTGAAACTGACGCCCGACAGCAGGGAAACTTTTTCTTCTAGAGACAGATGAGGCAACAAATCTCTGTAATGAGACCTCAACTCTAAGCCGTTGGCTGATGATAAAGATTCGATATCCGGCATGTCGTAGACACCTCGCGAAAAAGATCTAAAGAAGGAAAGTATAGAAAAAAGACGATATTAACATGCAAGAAGCAGCTTGAGATTTCGTGCGACTCTTGTCAAGCCGTCGAAAGCCGCATAATCTCTTTTTTGTAACTATTGGATGGTGGATCTACTTGGGCCTCGGGAGCCGGATCCGAACAACACGTGCCGTCCACCTCCACCCTTCACTCCACCTCCACTTTCCCCCTAGTCCTCCATAACGTCCACCGTCAAACTCCCTCAGCATTCTTGCGAAACTGAAACAAGTTGTACTCCACTTGAGATTGTTGGTTGCTCCGATCCAATGGAGAAGCATTCGACTCCAACAACGCACAGATGCACGCAATGCCCAAAGTCCTATTCCCGTCGCGAAAATCTTGTCAGACATCAGCGATCAGCACGTAAGACCCACTTTCGGTCAATCGAGGCCATTTTGATCCAATATTGAGAGAGATAATGCTAACTGGTACGATACGAAAGATGACGGGAATAGCAAACCATATGCTTGTTTGCAGTGTTCCAGCCGGTTTACGAGAAGGTGAGGCTTGATACCACAAATTTTTCCGAGACGAGAAGGTTCTGACTTCGACGCATTAGCGATCTTTTAACCAGACATAGAAGAGTTCACGAAAATGGTGCAACTATTTCTCGAGTCGATCCAGATCGAATTTCTTATGACTCGAGTCCCAGCGGGCATGCCCCAGAGGCCTTTCCTGGTCGACAAATTTCAAACAATGGGACCACAGAACAAAGAGACCGAAGATCAGAGACAACCACAATGAGAAACCTTCCGTCAAACCTGCAAGGCGAATCTCATAGTCCAGTCTCAAGATCAGTGGATTTATCAAGTAGTGTAACTGATCGTCCTACTTTCTCATCCGATCAAACCGAATTACGAGACTGGGACTTGCAGTGGCCATTTTACGGTGAAGGTTTGCCGGATGTCAATCTTGGGTGGACTCTGGACTTCTTATCCAACGACGCATCTACCCATAGTCCGTTGGACTTTATGCACAGTCACGAAGAAATGAGTGCTACAATACCACTCGATCATTCGAGTTTCAACCACCGCGAAAACGAGGATCAACATCCTGTAGGGTCGAATGATTTACAAGACGTTGGACATCAAGGATGGTCGTCTCGAACGCACCCAATCGAAACCTCAGGACCAGCTGCGTACGTTGATATTGATGAAATCAATAACGCGGTTGTTACAAACCTAGAACGATCGAATGTGAGTGTTCCGCTCTCAAAGGAAATTCATAAGACGATGGTGGATACCGTTACTGCGCCTCTTCTTGAGGGCTTTTGCAATGAAAAGGGAAAATATGCGCAATCATTCCCTTCATTATCCACTATTTCCTACTTCCATCAGCTCTTTTTCGCCCATGTTCAACCTCGATTCCCCGTGTTGCACATCCCTACATTCAACCCAAATGATGCTTCACCGAACCTCTTGCTAGCCATGGCGATTGTGGGATCATGCTACTCGGAATCTAATCAAGGCAAGTTTGCTTTGACTTACCTTGAAAGAACGAGAATGTCGATTAAATTGATGCAGGAAAGAGATAATAGCTACGTAAGATACTATCCCTCCAGCAGGCCTGTGATGATTCAAGTTAACGATTATTTCGCAGCTGTGTTCACTCGAAAACCTTCTGGCTTTCCTGTTTGTCTCGCTTTCCGCCATGTGGGTGGGTCAAAAAGTAGCATACGAACGTGCCGAGTGTGATCGTGGTGAGTTGGCAGTTTACTGCCGACGGCTTCAGCTATTAGATTGTCGAGTGAAACAAAACACCTCTCCTCAGATGCCGTCGAGACAGAATCGGAGCCGATTCGGCGACGCATGGTCAAAGTGGATCAATATTGAACAAAAGAAAAGGCTCGGGCTTTGCATATATGTAAGTCTCTTCTGCAGATCAAGAAACCAACATGGTGGGCACCGTCTGATAACATCTGTCTCTAGCTGTTGGACTGCCAAGTGGCAGCCCTTTTCCAACGCCAACCATACATCAGCAAGGCCGAGACTGTCAATGCTGCATTACCTTGTTCGGGAATCTTCTGGAACGCACCAACTGCCTGGGCCTGGAAGGCTCTTCTTGGGCCGGCGGAGATTCCCCCAAGCACGTATTTCCTCACTACATTGACGACAATCCTCTTACACAACGAAATACCCGGGGTCTTACCATTTCCAGCATTGGATGATTTTTGCAAGACTCTTTATGCCTACGTCCTGCATACACATATCTTCGAGTGGCGGCAGACCATTTGCATGCTTAATCCAACCGGGCTAGTTACCTCCCCTGTTTCCTTGGCACCAGAGAATATCGGAGCTACACTACAAGAGCGTCGGAATTGGCTAGAGCGCTGCCTACTAAATTGGGCCTCCTTCTACGGAGATGGCTCGCAAGCCGATTCTACGGATCGAAGTTCAAAAACCTTCTCGGGAATTCTCCTCTATCATCTGGCCAATTTGGCAATTCATCTCAATTTCTCGGACCTCCACATCGTTGCAGGCAGATCGGGCTCCGATGCGGATATTGGACTAGCTATGCAGTCACTGCGCAATTGGCTCCAAAAAGAGAGAGCTCAGAATATATTTGCCTGTAATAGTCAAATGTTGAATGCAGCCCATGAAGCAATTACTGCTGGCGACGCCCAGAGGAGTGGGTTCGAGTTAGCGGTCTCTTTATTCATGGGCGGCCTCATCAGTTGGGCTATATCTCGGTTCGGAAGTTGCGATATAATGACCTTGCATCTGAATGACCCAAGGACTTCAGATCTTCCTCAAGCTGAACTTGACGGTGATGATGATGGTAATCAATTGAGTGCTGGGGATTCATCGCAAGTTGTGAATTTGCTTTTGGATCAAGTTGCAGGTGCCCGAGATGGTTTGCGTACCGTTACCTGCGTTCGGCTCGCAGCGTCTTTTGGAGAGATTCTCGACCGGCTTCTCACCGAGCCAGTTAATTAGGAGGTTATCCATGGACGTGGGCAGAATGGGTTCGGCAAGTCCACTCTCCACCAAGCCGAGCTCGTCCACCTCCACATCAACCCACTCCACACCAACCCACTCCACTTTGTCTTCCCTTTTTGCCCCCCAATCGTGGCTTCAAATAGAGAACGGATGGAAAGAAGACACCATCAAAGTGGCACAACACCTGGCAGAATCGTCCTGTTGTCTTTTCGAATAAAATCTAAGGCTGGAGAATCAAGACACCAGACTTCTCGATCTATACAGATTGCAGCGCCAACATGTCGTCCAGCGGGGCCTTCAAAAACCCCATCATTCCCGGCTTTAACCCGGATCCTTCGATCTGTCTGGTAAACGATGATTACTTCCTCGTGACTTCGACATTTGAGTACTATCCCGGGATCCCGGTCTACCACAGCAAAGACCTGTTGCAATGGGAACTTATTGGCCATGTCATCACGAGGCATTCGCAAATCAATATGCGCACGACTGAGCCCTCCGGTGGCCTGTGGGCACCTACAATTCGTTACCACGAAGGGCGCTTCTATGTGTCCGTAGGATGTACACATCGGTTCCGCCCTAAGGAATGGGTTAGCTTCCCTCTGGTATTTTCCGTTTTCACTATGGAAGAAGATTAACAGGCTTGCAGGATATTGTCATCCCTCGTGGATTCTACGTCTCCACCACAAACATCTGGGACTCGTCTTCCTGGTCCGATCCCACCTTTTTCGACGTCCCTGGAATTGACCAAGATGTAAGTAGTCAGCTATCACAATGCCGACTAAGATTCTAATTCACTGCAAAGCTCTTCTTCGACGACGATGGCAAGGTATACTTTTCCGCCGTTAACATGATCACCGACCCCAGAGTGAAAAAGCACGGCCTCGGATTGGCAATTTTCACTGCACAAATAGACCTCGCTACTGGTCGGTGCCTGGGACCCGTCAAATGGAATCGTCTGTCAAACTTCGGTCTTGGAATTGCAGAGGGACCTCACATCTTTAAAAAGGACGGTTACTACTATCTCAGCACAGCCGAGGGTGGCACCGATGAAGGTCACCAGCAGTGGATTTTCCGCAGTACTACTGGACCATTTGGACCGTGGGAGGAAGGTCCCGAGGGAACCGTCAACCCAGTGATCTTCAACGGCGACGATCCTTCAATCCGGAACACGGGACATTTGGATTTCATCGAAACCCCGAACGGGAAATGGTTCGCCGTGTTCTTGGGAGTTCGACCCCAGGGTGAAAAGTCCGAACTGCTCTCACAACTTGGTCGCGAGACCTTTATGAGCCCGGTTGAATGGATTGATGGTTGGCCAATTGTCAACAGTCGCAAGCCTATCAGTCTCCAAATGCAGACCGAGGGCATGCAACTTCAAGCGCAGCCACAGGTATGGAGGGACAATTTCCAAGAGTCAACACTCCAGCTTGGCTGGTATCATCTGCGAACGCCCTTGAAGAATGATTACTCTTTGACGGAGAAGCCAGGATCATTGAGTCTCTATGGAAACGCATATCGTATTAACGATTCTGAATGTCCATCTATGCTGCTGCAAAAGCAGACAGGATTCTCTGGTGAATGGAAGGTCAAGTTTCAGTTTGCGCCTACGGAGGCCGGCCATGAAGCCGGGACAGCTATTTGGTGGTCTCAATTTGCATATGCTTCCATCGGACTTCGGAAGCCTTTTGACGAGGACAAGGCAGGGCTGGAGGTGGTATCACGATGTTACGATGAGGTAGAGGATAAGTTTAAGGTACGTTCTTTTTCACTTGAGATCGATCCACATGCAGCAGTGCCCTAAACAATTGAACCAGGAACTTACACACCAACTACCTCTCGAATCCGGCGACATCGAACTTTTCATCCGTGCCCACCCTACACGATACGAACTATTCTTCTCGGTACAGACTGACAAACAGTCAACGCCTGCTGAGCCTGTCAAATTGGGTGAAATCTCAAGCAAGGCATTGACACATCGTCGACCAGGAAAGGAATCACCCAATACCGGGTCCCATTTCGCGATTTATGCACAGGGTGCTTACGACAGACCCTGTTTTGAGCCCGCGCACTTTGAGTTTGCGGAATGGAGGGTTGTCTCTGAGACAGATTGAGTAGCATATTGTGGGCGCGGGCTTGAGACTAAAAGTTATTTGAAAATGCGAAATTCAATGTGCATGACTACTGCAACTATAGATAGAAATAAGTTATCCATCACTCTGAAAGACATTTTTAGTCATTGGCAATTTCTCATATACTCGAAACAATTCATAAAAGATGGCATGCTAACAAATACTTCGCCAAATGCAAACATCATTTCTTGCCTTCTCCGCGATAAACAGTCAAACGACACATCACTCTAAGTGTAGAGCGGCTGGGTCAACTCATTCAAGGTAATCCCCTCCTTCGCAATATCCTCCTCAATCAAGAACATCAATGGCATCTCCACCAGCGTACCCTTGACCTGACTCAACAACTCCTTAACCTGCTTCGCGCCCTCGGCACCGGGTGCGAAATCATCACGCACGACATGGCCCCACTGGAAGCGCGGCGGACGACCAAGCCCATCCTTACCCTCGGCCTCCTTGTCCGCCTTGTGGAAGTAGTACTCGTAGAACTCCTTGTAGGTAGCCCAGTTACGCACCGCATCATCGGGAACAGCGTGGAAGACCTTGCGGAAGACCTCGGTGTTGGTGTGGGCGCGCGAGTTCCACAGGCTTTGGAGGGTGTCTGCGAGCGGATCGGCAACGACCTTGCTTTCGGGGCATTCCAGATCGAAGTGGTCCGGGACGCCTGGGGGCTCGAAGCTTGCGTTGGGGCGCTTGTAGTCCTGCGGGGGAAGGAGGCCGAGGTGCTTGCGGAATAGCTCGCGACGGAGCGAGGCAGCGAAGCGGCTGGCCATCCAGGGTTGACCGTTCATGGTGGACTGAAGAGGGGTAAAGTCCTCGATGACGACGGCGATTTCGGAATCGTGGTCGCCGAGCTGGGAGCGGTCGTTGAGGTTTGCAGAGCCGCAGATGACCACGCGGTCGTCGGCAATCATAACCTGTACTGTTAGAGTGGGCGTTCAATACGTAGCTAAGGCTATTGAGGCTTACCTTGGAGTGAACATAAAGCTCCTCGCTCACAAATGCGTCAATCTCGGCGTCGGGGTGTCCGTCCCACGGCACGTTGCGGATATCCTGTCCACCCAGCATGTAGCAAGAGCTGACACTGTCCCATTGAGCAGACCCAGCAGGCTTGTTACCCTCGTTGTGGTGCTGGGCTGCTTGCTGGTACTGCTGGAAGGGAGCGCTCGTATCAAATGCGCTGCGTGTAGCGCCAGGTCCAGGAGGAGGGGGAGCATAACCAAGAGGGCCGGCAGTCTGCTGGTCAAACTGTCTGCGGGCGTCCTCGTAGTGAACTCCGCTCTCCTGCTCAACTGCAGAGAGAAGACCGGCATTGTTGATACGATCATAGTTGCGCAGGTTGTAGAACCGGATGTATTCCATGGGGTTGAAACCTTCCTTGGCAATCAGTTCCATGATACTGTGTCCGCCTCGGTTGATTGAGTTGTACTGGAACTCCATGATAGCACGTGTGCCAAGAGTCTCATCATCACGAAGGTCGCCAGCGAAGCAAGGCACAGAAGGAATGACCACAATAATCTTGTACTTCTGGCCAGCACGAGCGGCGCGCAGAATACGCTCGACAATGGCAGCACCAATCTTATTCTTCACAGGGTGCTGGGAATCCCCAGTGGCCGTGATGAAGAACTGGTTTTCGATGTACACGAAATGCTGGCTGTTCTTGATAATCGCAGCATATGCATCTGCAATTGAGTGCTCGACTGGGCTACCGTTGCTCCATTTAGCACAGCTGCGAACAATCTGGCAAGACATGTTGCCACGGCTTTGCGATTGCGGACGACCGTAGGTGGTAAGTCGATCCTGATACTGGTGGATCTGACCTGCCAACTGGCCACGAAGCTGATTGCCATACTGCGTGATATCCTCACGGAAGCGCTTTGGTGCGAAGCCCCGACTCTGATCACCTCCATGGTGATAGTCGTCGAATCCACGAGTGGCGGAATGAGCAGCTTCCTGGCCCGGTGGAGGTGGGTAGTAGGGAGTCTGACTCTGTTGCTGGGTTTGCTGGGTGGAACCACTAGAGGCCTGGTTTGGTGGTGGAGCGTAGTAGGGTGCTTGGGTCTGTTGCTGCTGAGGTTGATAGGATTGACTAGCAGAAGACTGGCTTGGTGGCGGGCCCGGGGGAGGTGGGGGGAATGAATCACCGGTGTAGCTGTACTGGTGGGACGACTGGCTTGGCGATGGCTGATTGGGGGTTGATGAGTGGCTTGCGCCGGATTGGTAGTTCTGGGTGTTGTCAGAGTGATGCGCCTGGTAAGATGGAGCAGGGCTGTGCGGCGGCTGCTGCTGATGACTCTGGTCCGACGAGTACTGGCCTGGAGGAGGAGGATAGCTTGGTGTGCTACCAGACTGATACGATGATGAGGTATTGTGCTGCTGCTGCTGATATTGTGGCGGCTGAGGGCTGGAAGATGTCTGGGTAGGAGGGGGAGGGTAGCTTGGTGTTCCAGTGGAGGACTGAGCTTGCCACTGGGGAGCCGATCCCTGCTGTTGCTGACTTGTTGCACCGGGCTGCTGGCTCTGCCATTGAGGAGTTGATGCCTGCTGTTGCTGCGGCGGCTGCTGCTGCGGCTGATTGGGAGCTCCCGCCTGGGACTGGCCTGGCTGCTGCGGGGCACCAGGCTGTGGTCCAGACGACGAAGTAGGCTGTCCAAAGAGCGCAAGTCGTGTGTACCTAGAGTTCTGACGAACCTGGTATTTCCCGTCAAAGATAAAGTTCCAGCGTTCCACGAAATGGCGTCGAAGGTCTTCGACAACTGGACCACGCAATCCGATTGAAATATCCGACCATCCCATGCGAGACATGGTCATGCGATCGAGCTGGTTCTTCTCCCACTCCGGCACGTTTTGGAAATCGAGAACGCGGGAGTTGTTGTAGTCTTGGCCCGGGAAGACGGTGTCGTTGATGTTGGACGGGTGCACGTCGGAAATTGCGTGCTGATGGGTATCCCACCGGCCGAAGCACAGATCCAGGCCGCCCATGAAAGCGATCTGGCCATCAATCAAGCACAATTTCTCGTGGTGGGCCCAGTATAGAATAACATCGTCGTTCATGCCATACAAGCCCTTCAAGGTATCCTTGGACATCTTCGAAAGGCTGGCGGAGCTGAGCGACATGTTCTGGAAGGAGTGCGCGATATCAGATACCAACGTCTGGCGATCAGGAAGATGGTCTGGGTGGCGGAAGACCGCGATGTTGGGGTGAAGATCCTCCAGGGCATGCTTGGTGTGGGCTGAGGAAAGCGTCAATGCCTGGGTCACCTCCTTGTAAACGATAATATTGACGCGCACGCCACGAACGGCGGCATCCTTCAGCATTCGGTCCAGTCGGTATTTCTCATTCTCAGCTGGAGGTCTTCTCAGGTAGAGTTCAGGGGACAGCCACCCTAGTAAACAGTTAGCCTAACATTGCGTTCATCCGGGGGATCAGCCACTCACAGTCAAGAATCCAGATGGACTCGCGCGCATTCTCCAGCGCCACGGATACTGCCCAGAAATAGGAGCAGCCATCGACGTACGGTTTCACCTCATTGTGTTCTCGAGGCGGAGCAAAGCTGCCGAAACGGTGCTCTGTGGTGGGCTTGGGAGCTCCATACTGGGCGTATGCCTGTGGATCGATAGCGGTTCCGAGTTTAGTGGCGAACTCTGAACCAAGATCTGTCACAGTACCTTGGATCTTGCCCAAGAAGCCACCGAATTTGTCTTCTTTCTGGGGACGTCCTTGGTACTGCGGGTTCTGGCCCGAGTAATATTGTTGTTGGCCCTGCTGATCCGGTTGGCCTTGCTGACCTTGTTGACCATGGCTATATCCGTAGGGGGCTTGACTCTGGTCCTGGTAGTTCTGTTGCGACGACTGAATTTGTTAGACAATCTCTGTGAGATAAGTGTGAGAATCCCACTTACCCCGGGGGCACCACCCTGGTTGTATCCCTGACCGGAGGGCTTAGAGTGACTCTTGTAGGTGTCCTTGAACTTCTTGAAGGTATCGCTCAGACCTCGAGAGCCATCACCCGATCCACGCTCCGACTCGTAGTAGCGGCCATAGGCCAGATCATCATTCTGCGACATTGTGGCAGATGAGTGTAAAGAAAGGGAAGAAAAACAAAAATGCAAAGAAGATCGGCGGAAAGTACGTTGCCTGGGGGCGGGGGGGGGATTGTTTTAAGAGCTCTTTGGATAGCCCCGCTGCCCAGCCACGATGGAGACGGGAGACGTGGCTGTGTCGGAGACGGGTGGACCAGTCGCTAGGCTCCGTGATTTCTGGGATTGTGGTCGGTGTGGAGCTGGGCTGAGATGAGCTGAGCTGAGAGGTGCGAGCCCTCGAGTATGACAGACACACTATGTCCTCCTTGACCGAAGTACAATGGTGTTGTTTAGTTCTTACAGAGAAGTTGCTTGTAGCCTCGTGCAGAGTGGGGCCGGATGCAACGTGGCCGCGGATCGCCTGACGCAAATCAGTACGGCCGAGAACGAGCATCATCAGATGGAACTATTAAAAAGTTCCAGATTGGGTATCACACTTGCCAGATCATTGTGGAAATTTCATGGTCGAAAAATCTAGTATAATTACTGTATATTGTGCAATGTTTGGTCAGTCCAGCATATCCGCGTCCGGTTTCTGGCTTCTCAGCCCTACGAGTCCCACTCGTTTAAACATGGCCGACCGCTCCAAGATTATTTAACTGGTATACCGGGGATCTTAAATCTCTTGTGTAAACCGCTAATCTAAAATGAAGATAGCTACATATCTCTCATTATTATTGGATTGAGTGACGCTTTATACTCTCAAAGACCCATTATCTCGCAAGGCTGCTGCATCGGGACCTTGGTAGGCTCGTATACTTCCATCTGGTTTCTTTCCTTTTCTGAGGGTTTGCCGCAGGCTATCTGATAGAAGAGTCATACTTATCAGATCTTGATCACCGACCTTACTAGTTTTCACCAACAGTAGACTGAATAATATCACTGCTGATAACAAATCCCTGAGTAGAGACTGTACTCCGCGGAGAATTCCCCGCACGTCATCACAGCATAACCCGGTCCTTATCTGCCCCGCATCAGTGTAGCAACCATGCGATCAACTGATAAACAGGATCAACGAGCTCCCTCATCTTTCCTTCATCTCAACTTCAATTTCACTCTAGTAATAAACTTATCTTTACTTACCCCTCAATCTTGAATCATCATGTCTCTTGCCACTCTCGATGTATGCCCGTCCTTCCTAAGTTCCTGACTAACAACAACCTCTATACTAATAATCACCTCCAGACCTCCCAACATCCCAATCTCCCCGCTTCCTCAGCTACCCTGTTCGCAGCCAAAGCCAACAAACAGCTCAGTTTCGAACAAATCGCCCAGCACATCGGCCGTAACGAGGTCGCCGTTGCTGCCATCTTCTACGGCCAAGCTAAAGCTTCCCCGGAGGATATCCAGAAGCTATCCGAGGTCCTGGGCATTAGCGATGCCCTTTTAGAACAGCAGCTCAGTGGCTTCCCAGATCGCGGCAAGTCGGTTGAGATGCCACCCAAGGAGCCCCTGATCTATCGCTTGTACGAGATTGTGCAGAATTATGGGTATGCGTATAAGGCGGTGCTGAATGAGAAGTTTGGGGATGGAATTATGAGTGCGATTTCTTTTTCGACTAAGGTCGAGAAGGAGACTGATGCGGATGGCAATAATTGGGCTGTTATTACTTTGCGTGGAAAGTGGTAAGTATTGCATTGTCCAAGTGTACTTGGAGGGGGATTCCGGTTACTGATTAAGTCTTGCAGGTTGCCCTTCTCGCGTTTCTAGGAACTCGACTGAGATGTGACTGGATATGAGAAATGATTGAGGGTATGAAGTGTTGATACTTTGCTTCTAGAGGGCAAGATAATATCCATCTATACAGAGAAATCAATGGACTTTCCCCTCTGCTCCCCGTCCACAGCTGAGCCCCAAGTATGAACCCAGCCAAAGCAAACAGGTTTTAAAGACTGCGCACGACGCTCTAGAGAGAACATAATGGTCCAAAATTCAGTAGCATTGATTAACTGAAAACAGCCTTGACTCCAATTTCATGCGCAATATAGTTATGCTATCTGGGCAAGGAAAGACAAGGCACAAGGATATCAAAGGAACGCGAGGAGATAGGAAAGCAAGGTCATGACATTAACGGGGCATCTCGAGTCGCAGATGGTATTATTCGGGGGAAAAAGTGACTGAAAGGGATGGAAGGAGCATAAATAGCTCTCACGCAGAATTGCGCCCGATTCAGCACCATGGTATACAGATCCATATCTAGCTACCTCATCTCCCCTTCAACGAGGGAATATGCACAGCGGCGGGTCATCAAATGCGTGGGAACATGGTATGCTCCTTCATATCCAATTTATCGAGTCACGGTGGTTAGGACTATGCAGGACCTGTCGCTTAGCAGCAGTCCTCACAGCACTCGAAGCAGAGGAGACCGGCACAGCTAGTGTATGTCAGTATATGCTCATATGATACGCCCAATGACTTTGTGACAGTGACAGAGTGTATTCTGCGTCTCGGGCTGGGGCCGCATGGAATGGAAGATCTGATAAACGGGAACCATTCACTTACACACCGCAGCAGACATCACCACCGCCGCCACCACGGAGCTTCATGTTCTCCTCGGAGTTCTAGAGTTGCAAATCATGATATTAGCAAATACAGGGCCAAACTGATAGACTGAATTTCATTTTGAGACATGGCGACTACTTACGGGCTGCTCAGCGACAATGCGCTCAGTGGAGGGTGCCTCGGGGCTAGTGGGCTGCTCGTTTTGGACGGAGGCAGTGTTCGCGTCCCAGGTAGCGCCGTTGGTGGGCTCCTGCTTGGAGGAGGAGAACCAGTTGAAGAGGCCGTTGCCGAACATTGTGATGGATTTGGGAATTGAGTGAGATGAATTATTGAGAATAAGATATGGGGTTGAAGGTAAGCGGGATGGGCTTTTTGGGTAGGCAGATCGGTGACAGGAGTAAATGACGAGGGGGCTTGGGGTGGTTTTATATGGATCAACTGGGGGCAATGGGGATATCCTGTATCATGCAGAATTACAGTACAGAAATCGAAGGAATAAACGGGGGTATTGTGGCTCATGGCTATATTTTGCGACTAGTGCTATCGGTCTTAGTGTGAAGGATGCACTCCCTACACTCCTTTGATACTGACTGGATGGCGCACCAAGATCCAGGATCCACTTCATCTACTTCATCCACCCCCAACGAGATTTCGGTTAAGTCGGAGGCCCTGGCGTCGTAATATTGACCGTAATATTGCAGGGAAAAGGCTTGATACATCCCTGTACGACGTACCTTGTGCGATAGGATGCGAACCAATTCGACCGGCTGGGCCAGGACATCAGTGGCTGGCGCAGGATGACATCCACTGAACGATTAAAGCCTCGCCACGTTGTTCCCACGATGATCGTCGGATTGATGAGATCACTCCACTCGCATTCTATTACGCACGGGGCTGATCTGGAGACGGAGGTTTGGGGCATGACCTGGGGAAATGGCAAAGGGTCCGATCGAGAGATAGCTTGGAAATCCACCGGCCATACGGTCATGTGTATGAGACACAAAGCCCCTGAAACTGGTTTGTACCCTCCAGCTATCGAAGTCCAGGGGTCCCAATTTACCGGCCTGCGGGAATTGCCATTGATTGCAGTGGAAAGGCAGTGAAACCTTCCGATCCCCTAGCCCGCGGCTGGTCAATCTCGAATCGACGAGGCCAGTGTCTCCACTGCGTCTCCACAAGGAATGACGTTGGGCCATTCAGCATGTTCAGCCCAGCAGCGCTAAGCTTCGTCAAGCTTCGTCATTCGCGCACATCTGGATATTTTTAGCCCCGCCGTGGTTCGGCGACATCCTTGTGCAGGTTGTACCGTTATACAAGAATTTGTACAGCACTCCATCCATCAGAGTGGGTATATGGTACAGTCGTCCTGGCTACACCCGACCGCTCCGGAACTGTGGCTGGAGGAGCTTCGTCAGCGGGGAATTGATGGGAAGGAGTCGAGCCCTGAGGCAGTGCTGGGGGTCCTTTGGCGTTCCCAAAAGAAAACAAAGGAAACCTGAACGTGGCTGAATTAAATCCCGATTATTCGAAAGATTTGGGTGTTTCCAATCAAAGAACTCGGGCCAGACCACGAAGTCCAGTACTGTACAGATGTAGTCACATGACCTGCATACTTGGCACGCCGCGTCTCCCGTAAATTTTCGCCGAAACGCGCGCATCCAAAATTGACCGAATCAACGCTCTTCAAGATACAATTGAACCTCATCCAGTATAGTCCCAACAGAGACTTACATACTGTGAAACTCATCACAATGGCAACCCCCAACCCACAACAACCACCAAACCCGCTCGCGCCCCGCGAAGCAGACTACGAACGCTTCAAAAACTACGCCGCAATCACCTTCCTAATCGCCTCGCCCGTACTAATCGCCCTTCCACCCCGCAAATTCGACCATCTCACCGTCCTCCTTGCAAGCGCATTCGCCGTCTCCGCAAACCACATTACCCGCGAGCGGACGGGTCGCAGTATCGTTGAGCGCATCGAGGCCCGCATAGCCCGCCCACCGGGCATTATGCGGGAATTGCCGAGCGAGCGCGCAGAGGAGATCCAGGCTCGACTACGGGTGGCGCGAGATGCGCAAATTCGTGAGGCGGAGGCAGAGATTAAGGCCAAGGCTGGTGCTATTGGGGAGGAATTGGAGAAGTTGAAGGCAAGGCAGACGCAGGAGAAGGGGATTGCGTCGAGGGTGTGGATGGGTGGGGAGGAGGAGGGGTGGATGGAGAAGAGGTTGAGGAAGGAGAAGGAGGCGTTGGAGGAGGGGAAGGGGTATGGAGATTTGATTTATGAGCATATTTGGGAGGTTTGGAATTGGGGGAAGAAGGTGGATGAGGATGAGGATGAGTAGGGCCGCTGTATGCCCGGAACACTCACAACTGCTCGCTGCTTGAGCGCTATTACTTCCATCACTTTCGACTATTCGTTTCCGGCAACTTTCATCTACGTTGCTACACATATGTTCGATCTGTCGACATGTTTCGCTGTACCAATATCTTCTTCGACTCAGCATTGGGAATGGGCGTTCGGTTCTTTACTTAGATTCACGCGATGGTTATCCTCCCCTCCTGGTCTATTAATCTTGAAAATGCCTCAAGATTCTGTATATTGAATGTATAATACTTCTGAAACTTATGAGACATTCCATGACTAATTGCAGTCTCGGATCTAGACTTAGGACCTGTTTTTCTAGAAACAATCCTCCAATTCAATCTATCAGCTGAAAGCTACGATTCTTGGTTTGATCGGCAGTGCTACTACATGTTTTCCTTTTAAGACCTCTTTTAAGACTTCTTATTGACTGATTTCTTCTTTCTTTAATCCTTAATTAAATCGATCAATAAGAGGTGCAGATGGTCTTGGAACCTAGTCTGATAATTAAGATTGACTAGTCCTTGTACTAATAGGTATAATTGGGTTAGAATACTTCCAGTTACTAGATTCTCGCTACTGGCGTAGTTTTGGAGTGGATATGATGGGGACCAGTGAAGTTACTACCTTGGTGGGTTTGGAAGCGACTATTGTGATTCCGTCGGTGGTGAGTATTGTTTTGACGGAGGTTGATATCCTGTGGTTGGTTCTATGAGGATTCATTAGTATAGTTCAATCTCAAATCTTGATAAGGGTTACTTACTTGTGACGGACTGCCGAAGTTAATGATGGTAGGGGATAAAGTTATTCATGCGGTTGTTCTGGCTGTTATATCGCGAGTTTGACTTGTGTTGCCCATTCCATCCATTGTTCCTTTGTCCTGAGCCGTTCATGGGTGGTCGAAGAGACCCGGCATTTTGATAAGAAGCAGGACGGTTTTTGCCTCCACCGAAAGGATGGCCACCGTCCTGCCCACACTCAAAAAGCCGGGTCTTTTCGAACATCCATAAGCGGCTCAGGACCAAAGAACAATGGATAGAACAGACACCATAAGTCTTGCCCGCGGTATAATAATCAAAATAACCACATGAAGTCTTTTTAAATATACTAGCAGTTCTGCCAGAATATATGAGTGTTAGGGGATTGATAAAATAAAATTTAATGAATTAGTTATTTGTTTTGTACTAATTTTATGCAGTATTTTATTCGAGTTATAACCTAGACCCTTCTTACATTAAATTACAAGGGAAGTAAATTGGAAGAGAATATGTGACTGTTCATTCTGAGGTGATCTCAAGATATTCAATAATAAGCGAAACATGAGATCCCGATATACATGAAACCTGACCGACATGAAATTCTGATATACACAAAATCCCGATATAAAATCACATAGATCTGGCAATCTTTATACTGGCTGATTGATCGTGCCAGTGCGGATGAAAGATTCAATTCGAGACAGCATAGCGTTCGCAGCAGCAATACCCTCAGCAATGAGAAGGGCCTGGTGATGACCGGCAGCATTAGTATAGTTGGTGACCGCTTGATTGAAGTGACTTACTGGGTCATTGATCTGATTTTCGGGATAGTAACTTTCAAGTGGAGGGGCGTCGGGCATTTCAATATCCGTATCAAGATTTGAAGCATCAACCATGTCAACGTCGTGGACGGCGTTGTAGAGATTTGTCTGTACGAAGAGATTAGTAACTGCTTGCTCGACGAGGGTTGGATTCTTGGTTCTTGCCTGGTTTTGACGGTTTTGCCATTTGGGGTTTCTTGGACCTCGGGGAATAAAGTGAGAGTGGTTTTGCACGCGCAGATGGTCTTGGAACCCATTGTGGTATGGAGCCTATTCAGATCGATTAGTTTATGTATCAATGGGTATAAGGAGGTTGAAACACTTACTAGGTTCTCGCTACTGGTGTGATTTTGGAAATTTTGAGCATGGCGGGGAGGAGTAAAGTTACCACCTTGGTGGTTTTGGAAACGCCGGTTTTGATTGTGACGGTGGTGGGCATTGGTTTGATAGAAGTTGTTGTGTTGAGGGTGGTTCTGGTAAAATCTGTCAGTGTCATTCAATGGCAAATCTCGGAAGGGATTACTTACTTGTGAGCGACCATCGAAGTTGACATTGTGATGGGGGATGAAATTGTTCATGCGGTTGTTTTGGTTCTTATGCCGCGGATTGGAGTTCTGATTTCCGTTCCATCCATTGTGCCTTTGTCCTGAGCCGTTTGTGGATGGTCGAAGAGACCCGGCATTTTGAGAATAAGCAGGACGGTTTTTGCCTCCGCCGAAAGGCTGACCGTTTTGATGTCGGATCGCCATGTTGACTTGGGTAACGGGGAGCAATTTGATATAGACTCAGACTTAACCCCGGAAAAGATCACACAAGAGTGGTGCTATTGTCTCCTCCCAAGAGCCGGATTTCCACTTCAGGGTCTTTACCCGCTTTGCTGTTTTTGGGATATGATTTAAAAAGGATTTGAACGATTGTTTAACGATTTTTTGAACGATTTTGCACGCAGAAATCCCTCAAGTTTCAGTAGTTGAAGCCCGAAGTCCGACCACTTAGATTCGACCTAGTGACCCGGGCTCACTTGATATGATATTCCAAGGAAGAGAACTGAGGTGGTCTCTTCTGTGTAGAACGCCGGAATGGAACAGACGTAGTTCAAGAGGTTTGGAGGAGAGAAGATGATTGATCTCAGGGAGAGGGAGGGGAGATGGAGAGAAAGGAGGAAAGTGCAAGGACAGCTGGAGAGGAGAGTGGTTTTGCGTCGAATCTGCAGAGATGCTACTATTCCTGTTTGGAAATCCAGGATTAACAGAGATCGAATTTGGTTTAGCAGCAAGTAGTTCTCCTGGAACGAATACCAGTCGGTGCCTGTTTTGTCGTGTAGTTCCGTAGATCTAGAGTGTTGGGATCGAAGAATTAGGGCTGGTTCGATTCCCCCGGACCCGAAATGGCGGAGGATATCCTTGTCCTTGGATCCGCTTTTCAGCCTCTTCTAGACCTCAGAAGAGCTGTTAAATGAGCCGTGGACTGTAAGAAGTACTAGTCCACAGATGGAGTTGACCTGACCTCTTCGGGATGGATGGATTCCGAAACGGGCAGCGGAGGAAACAACGAGGCCGACACTCAAGCTAGTCAGAGACGAGTGAGGTGTGTTAGGAGATGGCTAAGGTGTCTGGATGATTGATGGCAGAAATGTGTGTTCTGAAGCAGTGCTATACACCGGGAGAGCAAGACATTATATAACTTCACTACGTCTATGTGAAAATAATTGCCGGTGGTTTCATGTTTTTGTTCCATCTGAAGAAGAAAGAAATAATGATAGTAAGAATAGACTAGACAATTGCTCTCTGAAGCAACCCGCCATTCGACAAAGACCAGCCAGGGTTAGAAATACAATGAGCAGCCTATCAGCCGGGCCTCTTATTTGAGACCCTCCAGGAAATAACAGACAAAGTCGGCTTTGTCAGGAACAATAGAAACAAGGGTGTACGTGACAAGGAAGAACAAGTGATTGACTCGACCGGACAATTCCAGACGACAATGGCAGCCCCTCGGCGGTCAGCAGATTAGCCCCCATTATGGGCTCTCTTGAATCGTTTTGTCTTCCCGTCTGCTTCTTTGTCAACCATCGGTTCTCCATTCCTCTTCAGATCGCTGCCAGTCCGCCGGGCGCGCTTCTTCCTGTGATTCGCTTCTGCGGGCGAAGCGCCGTCATTCGATACGAGGCTCTCGCGCTTGCGCTTTTCTGGCTTGGTTTTCAGTCGCATTCGCCGCTTCTCTTCTTTGATCCGGAGACGTCTCTGAACTTCCGCAGATATGTCTTCTGTCTCCTGTGAACCGGATGAGGCATAGTGCGCATTTCCTGCATCTTCCTCGATGAGATCGCGCCGACGTTTAGAAGCTCGGAGGTCTTCTTCTGGAGTCGGGAGTTGATTTTGCATGTCTATGCCCGCTTTCTCAATCCTCGATCTCTTCTTCCGACAACTAGTCTCCGTCTCCGTCGATTGTGGGGTAGCGGTAGGCCGTTCGTTTATCTTAGATGCAGAGGATGAGGAGTGGGGAGTATTGAATGGATTTCCAGACGCGTTCCCTATAGCGATCACGATATCGTTATTCATGCTGCACATTCACAGTTGGAGGGAATAGCGATGGTGAAATTTGCAGGGTCCGAGGGAACTGGGCAAAACATACGGTTGAGCTAGAGCAGACAAGTCAGTCAGTCATATATTTCCCAAATCCAAGTCTTGACTAGCTTCACACACCATTTGCTTGCGAGCCACTTTGGACTGATTTATCGCTTGCATCGTCTTGGTCACCATGGAGGATACTGTCCGAAACGCTTCACCGTCCGGTGCTATTTGGCTCTTCACAGAATCGAGCATCTCGAGATGCGAGGCAAGTATGGCTTCGTGCCGAGAAAAGATCTGTTATAACAGGCCATTTATAAGCAAATGTGAATGAATAGGACGGAACAAAGGCAAAGAAAAAGGGTAGTCGCGGTTGTCTTGTCCACGTCTTGTTCCATTGCTTTGTCTGAGCCGGCCGGGGAAAAATTGGGATGACGACATACCTCTGCCCACGGGATTGGGACGCCATTCGCTTGGAAGCCAGAGGCGGCTTGAGTCTGTCTGAACATGCCTTCAGGTGTATTCATGACTGTGTTCAGATGTGACCAGTGGTCAAGAGAACCGTCGGTGCAAGGGTCGTTACAGAGTTGAGAGGAAAGAAGCTCGCAGGGATCGGCGGAGAAGATGGAGCTGCTCCGCGCCAAGACTTTCGCCCTGCAGGAGCGATCTGACAGCCACAAGGAGATCCTCGAGATACATCATACCCTAGCCTACAGATAGAAAGCCTAGAATTATTAGGCAGCAATCACTGTCAACCTCAATGAATTATCATTTCCAGCAGCCTAATGGAAGTCCTTCCACTGCATTAATCTGTGTACAAGGTATTTCCCCAACGCCATTAAATGAAAAACGCCCAAAACCAGCCCTGCACCACAAAGTTTCAGATGCTCCTCTCCAAGGAAAAATCATACAGAATCAAATACATTTGTAGCATCACCAGGCGCCAGCATCAAAGTCAAATCGGGCCAGCTCCTTCTGAGAATCCTCTACGTCCTTCTTTGCCTTCATCCGCATGTAGAAGATGGGGCAATCGCGCGACGAGCAGATAACCTCACAGTGAAGACTGCCTTGGCATCGCTGACACTGAGTCCAGAGACGACCGAAGCGAACCTCGAGGTCGGAAACCTTGGTCAGGGCCTTGGTGTACAACTCGCCGATACGAGGGCGGCAGTTCTCGCACACGGCACCGGCCATTTCTTCCTTGCCGGAAAGCGGCTTCTTGCAACCCATGCAGGTCTGGGTGCGCTTGGTGAACTTCATGAGTCCACCCAAGCTAGGAGCGGCAACGGAGATGGACCGTGTGTGTTCACCAGTCAACAGTTGGTTGGCCTTCTTCTCACCCAGGATGGGCTCGAAGATACGGCCCAGTGGATTGGCAAGCTGGTTATCCAAGTAATACTTGGTATCAATAGGAATATTGTTCTCCAGTACGAAGATGGGGTCCTCGGCACGCTCATAGCCCTTTGAATTGGCCGCGCCCTTGATCATCACGTAGGCCACACGATCTCCCAAAGCGGGGGCGGATCCGGCATCACGCTTCGCCATGCGCTTCGCAAGCTCGACGTGAGCCTGCTTAGCCGCATATTCTTTTTGTGACAAGGCTTTTGTGATCACTAGCTTGGACATATCAACCTTGTTCTGAAGGAGATCTGAAATGGTTGATTTCACATAGCTATGAATCAGATTAGCGTCGGTTGACCTTCGAGTCAATCTATAGGGTCAATGACTTACTCTTGCGCGCTATCAATGTCTCGATCGATAAGAATCTTGTTCAAAACAGTCTCGATGACGTTCTGCACCAGGAGGCAGTTATCACGTCGCACAGTTTCAATACCCTTGGTATCCATCTTGTCATGCTTCTTCGTGTTGGTCCAATAAAGACCAGCGTAACGCTTCTTGTTGATGAGCAGGTAGGGGAAGTACACCTTCTCGAACTCAAGCTTAATTGGCTTAATGAACTTGGAGGAAACGTATTCTGCGGCTTCCTCGCCGAGTTTCATCGCGTCTTCTAACTCGGTAACGCCGAATTTGACCATGACTGAATCGGTATCACCATAGATGACTTGGGCATCATGGGAGTAACCGTTGGCAATGGTATAGCGAGCTTCCACTTCTGCCTTGGTTTTCTCAATCATCTGACGACCATAACTGGTAGTACTACTGGCGATTGGAAGACAGGGCAGCTTGCCGACCGTGGCACCAGTCAGACCGTAAACACTGTTTGCGCTAATTTTCAGAGCGAGCTGACGACCGTTCAGGACGGCTTTCTTGAATGGATCGGTCTCACTCGCCAACTCTCTCTTTGCACGCTTTCTCGCACCCAGCAATTCCTCGAGAATCTGCGACAAGAGACCTTTGCGGACTTTGGCAGTGCAGAACATGTCCCCATTTGGCGTCACAATGTAGTCTTCATCCTTTTTGAGACCAAGCTTTTCGACACTGTTCTTGTTGAGTAACGTGGTGTAACACAGGTTGTGTGCTTGAATAATCGACGGATACAGTGATGCGAAATCAAGGGTGGCGATGGGCACGCCATAGTAACCACGTTTCGGTTCAATGACAGTGGCACCTTCGTAATCTTGTTCATCCTGCGACTTGGAATTGGGAATGACAAGTTGCTGCTCCAGAGCCTTTCGGAACAGTTGACTAATGAACTTGACTTGCTGACCTCGGGAGAGAAGGTAGTTGAAGGGAACACCCGTGACTCTTGCCATTTCCGTGTAGTTGACCAAACACATCAATTTGTCCATCAATCTCTGTGGGAGGTAGGCGTCCTTCAAGCAGTAAACTGCTAATCGACGTCGAGAATCGGGCGTGCCGTTAAACAGTTCCGTGATCATGGTGTGGTGGACATCTTCCTTTTGCTCTCCAAGGAATTCATAGGACACAGAATTCAGGGTGTAACTTCGCAGTTGGTGGTCTCGTTGTACCAATTGAAGCAAATCGAGCTGAATTCTGCCGTTGGTATTGGTCGCTTTTGTCTCTCTGTTGCCCATCTGCTTGCTCGAGAAACTGGCCTCTTTGGCCTCGGTCCTGCAGTTCCTCACTCTGGTCCAGTAGGGAAATTGAGTGCACTTCAGGTGTTTGGCACGGTCCAGTAAGTATGGAAAGTCGAAGTTGGCGATGTTGTACCCGATGATAACATCCGGGTCGACTTTTTCCACAAAGTCACGCCATGCCATCAGCATCCGTTCCTCTTTCTTGAATTCCAATATTTGGGTGTTGACGATGAGACTGCAAGTGTCGAGGCAGAAGACGTTTCGAATGAAAGGTTTCGACTCTCCGTACCGAGTAACGACGTTGGCGATTTGAATAACCGGATCCACGTTAGGTTCAGGGAAAATGCCTTGGCGTCCAGCGCACTCAATATCGAAAGACAGAACACGAAGTGGAGCCATCTTGGCCCATTCACCGTTAGGGGCGTGTGCAATCATGTCGCGGTAGTCCATGATGGCCTCAATCTGGCAGTTGGATTGCCTTTCGTGGTCCGGCAAAAGGCGGTATTTTCCGGCTTTGGCTTCAACCCACGACATGCCGTGCAGGCCGGTATCAATCATGAATCGCAACAGGTATTGAATGTTGTCGAATGTCAGGATCCCCGAGTCGGAATTGCTCCACAACCCTTTGTAGTTCATAGATCCACTACCTGTTTCAAGCGCGCTTCGCAGCCTGGCGATGAACTTTGGATCAGTCACGGTGATCTTAAGATACCAGCTCTTTTGATTTCCCTGGAATCCATAAAGATTCTCTCGTAGGGTGACCTGCACGGATTGGATGACTGGGACCATTTGCGCGAGTTTGGTCTCGAGGAAGGCTCGGTAAGGATCGCAGTCTTCCTGTGTGAATCCGACCGGAGCTGCGATATAAAGATAGTGTTGAAAACCCGTCACATGCAGCATAGCCGATTGACCGAGCTGAGAAAAAAAATGTCAAATCTCATATCATTGGATGGATGCATCACGATCAAGGCATGGCAATAGTTACCTCGGTGACACCAAACAGGCGAACAGCCATCTTGTCGGCTCCAAATCGACCTTCTTCAGCATCAATCTGCTGAAAACAGATATTCTCCTTTGTGGGATCGAAGTCGCCCAAAGGGGGTCGCTCCCATTGCTGGTCCTTCTCCGCATTGTTCCCTTTCAAATCTCCGATGTCCTGGGTCAGTTTCTCAAGAACCTCCTCCTCGAACTGACTCTTCTGGGGTTGAGTTGAACCGAATCCTTTGCGCTGGGCATTCTTTGCAGGGGCTTTGAACTGGGAGGAAGGTTGAATATCGAGCTTGCGCTTCTTCAGCGCAGCGGGGGAGATGGCATTGCCGCGTGGATTGGTGGTTGTATCGGTCAGAGCCCGTTTATGGGGAGGGACGGCTTCAGGCATGGTGCTAATGCATTCGAGGTGCTGCCGTATACGTTGAGAAACTGAATTCCACCGGGTGTGAGAAGAGTTGAGCAGGATGGGTTGGGCGGGCAACACTCCGAGAGTCCGGAAAGTCGTGTCGCAGTCGCGCCTTTGACGTGACGCTCTTTACGCGTGAGCAGGCAAGTCACATGCCGATAAGATAAGAGAACTAACTCGACAGTTAATACCGCCAAATAATAAAACTTAGCCACGTAGCCATAGCACAATGTCTGGATGGGTTTGAGAAGTGAGAAGTTTAATAACATTCATTTCTCTTCTCTTTATATTCTCACATGATCACTGTTGTGTCAGCTATTTACTCGTTAGGTCATCTTTTCTGCCCACGAGAAATAAATGTCATGTACGGCTTTATCCCGCATGGCTGTCCGCCGGCAGAAAATGACTGGAATGACTCAACCTCTTTGTAGCCTTCCAATGTATCAGCTCGCCTTTCACTTGGCACACAATTCGATTGTTATAAGGACGCTTCCTTTGATCATCATCCCCAAGTTCATACCATTCCATGAATAAGTGGACCTAGAATCGTCCCTCCCAAAATTGTGCCTTCTACAGTACACCGCCCGCATGACGCGCCCTACAAGAGACATTTAGAATCCTATGGAAGCCTGAGTCGATCATTGCGATTGTGGCCCAGAGCATACTTGTGTCTAGCCCGCGTTGGACAAATCCCAGCGTGTCATTTTGAGACGATAGCTCGAGAATTTGACTTCTTGTCCATACAAATACTGCGCTTCACACCATTACTCACAGTCTGTGTGCCGACTCATTCTGGCCCACCCCCACCAAAATCTATATTATCCTCCACGCCGCGCCAGGAGCGTTGCCAACATACCTGGCAATTGCCTTTATTTTGAACGAACAAGTTTTACGAGCGCACCCGATCGAAATTTCCAGTCTTGGATCTCAATGGACCAAGTTTGAACTTCCGTGGCGTAGTCATCTCTTGCTTGCTTGATACCCAGCCCTCCTGGTTCCGCGACCATCATAATGTCAATGTTCAGGTCCGCAGCAGAAATTTCATCATCCGACCCAGATTCAGACTCGGATGAGGGAGAGTACAGTGGGCAACAAACGCCCAACCCCAACGGCGGTGGGACCTCTGGGCCTCGAAGCACTGGCAAAGGCAAAGGGAAGGCATCTGTGAATTTGTCAAGCAGCCTGGACTCAACCAGTGAAATAGATTCCTCAATCTCTCGAGATGATATATCTGCCTTGTCACAAGACGCCCTAGGCTCAAATGTGGAGCGCCATGCAAATTTCATGACAGCCGCCCTGCTGGAGTTCTACTGTCAAAGTCGAGCGGCAGACATTCTCAATGCGCAGAAAGGCTCCAGCAAAGGGTTCACTCGACATTGTCCGGAGGCACAATATCTCGGCAAGAAGCTGTACAAGTACAAATCCCAATTTCTCGCATCGCACGGCGTACTAGCAGATGGCATTGAAAAGGAAGAGCTGGACGGAACAAGACAGACCTACCGCGATAACTTGGACTTGCTTGGGCTCTCCGCTCTAGAAGACCTGAATTTGAATGAGACTCAGCCACCAACACCGATTGAAGGCAGTGAAGAGCTTGCTCTGGTATCGAAAAACTTTTGGGCTCAGCAGGGAGTCAGTGTGACAGAAAGCAATGCTCATTTCTGGAAGGTACCCGGCGAGGATGGGCCTTTCCGTAAGGAGATGCCTACGACCAGCAATTTCAACGTTCTCGAAGGTATCCCCATCGGCGCACCTAGCCTGCCTGCGCCATCGAGGCCGTTGTTTGGAAGCTCACCAGTGAGTATGCCTCTATTCAACGGACCCGCCATGCCTCCATACAACAACATGTCACGTTACTCAGTCGAGTTCACCGAACTCAAAGTTCTCGGCCGTGGATCCTTCGGGGAGGTGTATCATGTCACCAATCATATTGACGGACAAGATTACGCTGTCAAGAAGATTCCTCTTAGCCAGAGGCGCCTCGATCAGCTACAGTACGGTGGCCAGAACCAGCTGGAAACCATCATGAAAGAGATTCGGACACTTGCTCGACTTGAGCACACAAATATTGTTCGATACTATGGTGCATGGGTCGAGCAGGCGCATGTCTCGGGTCGTGGACACTTCGAGCCACAAGCGCACACCAGATACGAAGCGCCACATATTGACATGCCAGGCCATGAATCAACCAATGAACCCAGCATGGGCATCGTATTCGAGCATTCTGAGAGCTCAGTAGTAGAGTCACATGCTAGTAGTTCTTTGCCCGATGAACATGGATTTTCCACTCGCATCTCGCGTTGGGACAGCCAAGCAACATCATCGTCTCGACGTTCAAAAAAGAGCTCTGGAACAGGACTTGAAGATGACGACGATATCGAGTCCATTCCTAGAAACTTTCACAATCGTTCCTATGGTCAGACCTCAACATTTGGCGAAACGGATGACATCTTCACCGACGGTTTGAGCCAGGATCAGTCGAGATTCCAAGTTCAACGACAGAATCGTTTTGGCCAACAAGCACCCGCTGTCATTCTTCACATCCAAATGTCTCTTCACCCGATTTCTCTCAGCTCTTATCTAAATCCACAGTCAGCCGAGAAAGCCAATGCCGGTAATGGCACCCCCTCACGACGTCATTGTTTCCATTTGATGCCGTCACTAAGACTGATGCTGGAAATTATCTCGGGTGTTGAGTATCTGCACTCTAAAGGAATCGTCCATCGTGATCTCAAGCCAGCGAATATCTTCCTATGTGCGCCAGAGAACACCACGTTGGATATCTGCGCCACCTGCAACTCTGAACCTACCTCGCCTACGCATTTCTGCCGTCCACGCATTGGTGATTTTGGCCTGGTTGCAGATATTTCGCACTTGGATGAGTCTACTGCAGAGAACGCCATCACACCATATCATGAAGGCCCCAAGATACAGCAAGTTGTTGGCACCGAGTTCTACCGACCACCCGCAAATTCAAGCACGTCAGATCCCTCGGATTATTTTGATGAGTACAAGATTGATGAAAAGCTCGATGTGTATGCCTTAGGTGTGATATTGTTTGAGCTTCTCTATCGCTTAAATACAAAGATGGAACGACAGATGGTGTTGAATGATCTTACCCGACGAGCAAGTACTTTCCCGACAGACTTTGCGGTCAAGATCGACCATTGTGAGACGGAACTTCCGACAGGCCTTACTATCGCTGAAACCATCATGAATTGTATCAGGGGAATGTTGGATCCACAATCGCAGCGGCGATGGAGCCTCCACGAAGTCAAGGAGCACCTGCGCCCGATCTACAAGTGTATCAAACACCTGTAAGTAGAAGATGGGGCAAAGTGGAGCATTTTCGGACATATTCATAAGACATCGCATTTAATAATACCCCAAGCATAAAGCAATGCATTGCTCCTCTCGTTTTCAACTATGCATAAAATACTGAACATGAACGTTGGCAAAGTATGGGGAGTGATCGACGCCACACGCGTCGGGCCTCGGCCTGGTGGAGAGCTTCCCTCTTCACACGCACTGCCGAGAACTTACTCCCTGTCTTCTTCCCCGCATTATTCAAATACATCACAGCTACCACGCAATTATGTAGATGACAGTTCTAGAAAGGCCAAAAAACATCTTCCTGGCATACTTCAAACTCCAAACACATCATGGCGCGTAATCTCCGCCCTGCAACCGCTCCCTACAGCGAGCCCCTTCTCCCCCAGCTCGACGTCCGCAATCCCTACTACACCGATCTGCATCATAACCTGCGCGCCTGGGTCCGTGACTACGTCGAAACTTCTATCGCGCCGTACGCTCAGGAATGGGAAGCTGCCGGGCAAGTCCCCGAGGAGGTTCGACGACGTCATTGCGAGCTCGGCTTCGGCATCGTACACCCCCTCACGACGGAGGAGCACTCGGCAGGTCTCGCACTGCCAGGCAATGTACCCCGTGATAAGTGGGATACCTGGTGCACACTTATTGTTGGGGATGAGTTGACTCGTGTGGGCTTCGTGGGTGTCATTTGGGGCCTTGGTGGTGGAAATGGCATCGGATGTCCGCCTATTGCAAGGTTCGGTACGCCGGAACAGCAGAAGCGCTGGCTTCCGGGTGTTGCAAGGGGTGATCTTCGTTTCTGTTTGGGAATTACGGAGCCTGATGGTAAGACTTCAATCAAGCAATATATTATTGGTGCATGTTTAGCTAATGTTGCTGGAAATATATAGCTGGCTCAGATGTCGCCAATATCAAGACCACCGCGAAGCGTGAGGGTGACCACTACATCGTTAATGGAGCGAAGAAATGGATCACCAATGGTATTTGGGCCGACTATTGTACGGCCGCAGTCCGCACTGGTGGCCCAGGACGATCGGGTATCAGCTTGCTTGTTATCCCTTTGAAGGCCAAGGGAGTGACTCGTCGGAGAATGTTCAACTCGGGTGTTAATGCCAGTGGTATGTCAGACCATCATTGACCTTTTAAAATATACAATCGACTAACATAAGCTCAGGTTCAACATTCATTGAACTAGACGATGTCCGTGTCCCAGTTAATAATCTCATCGGCGAAGAGAACAAGGGCTTCCCTCTGATCATGTCTAGTAAGTACCGAGGGTCTTCCAATCCCCAGGCAATAGCTGACAATGAAATTCAGACTTTAACCCCGAGCGCCTCGCACTTGCCTGTGCTTCTCTGCGACTTGCCCGTGTCTGTGCCGAAGACGCCTTTAACTACGCCATCCAACGCGAGACATTCGGATCCCCCTTGATCCAGAAACAAGCCATCCAATCTAAGATCTTCAAATTCGGCTTGATGATTGAACCAGCATATGCATTCATGGAACAGCTCGTCAACATCCTAGAGCTCACCAAGGGCCGACCTGTGGACGATGTCAAGATCGGCGGCATGACTGCCTTGCTGAAGGTCATGTCTACCAGGGCATTGGAGAAGAGTGTTCGCGAGGCGCAACAGATTCTTGGTGGTGCTGGGTATAACAAGGCTGGCAAGGGGGCTAGAATCGAACAGATCAGTCGTGATGCTCGGGTACATGTCGTTGGTGGTGGAAGCGAGGAGATTATGATGGGCCTGGCATTGCAAGAGGAGACAAAGGCTTTAAGGACACGACGAAAGGCGCTTGAGAAGAGACAATCAAAAGTGTAGGAATGTGTGCATGTTATCAATTGCTTAATCCAATATCTATCATGTCATATTCTTGTTTGATCCCTAGAACCGCTCGACATATGCGCAGCCTATATCCATCGGTCCTCCCTTTGACCAATATGAACCGGTTTCGCACGTGAATCTGCTTCTCCCATCTCACAAGCACCCACTTGGGGACACGTAGTACAGTACAGAAGGGGTTAACTCATTTTCGGAGCGGGTAGTTAGAGAGTTAGGTAGCTCAGTTAGCAATATGTAGTTTACCGTCGTGGATACTAGTATGTAAGAAGGATATCTACGGGTTGAACAGACAATGCATAAGAGTAATATGAATTGGATGATGGGTTGAATGATGTCTAACCACTTTGCGCTGTTGCCGGTTCAAAGGGGGTAGTCAATGCACCCCAATAGGCGGATTGTCCTCTTCTGCAACTGTCGCGAATCAAAGTGCCGGACTACCAAAGAAGTCAAGCTCAGATTCAAAGCTCGGCCTTAAATGACACCTTTTTGAGGCCGTGCTGAGCATACCTGCACCAAATATCTTGTCCAGACAACGTTGATTGACCGAGGTTTCTGATCACTGTGACTTCAACGGCGTAAGGCTCAAAATAGTCGTGTTCCTCAATCAACTACCGCGATCGCCTCCACCCGAATTTGAGCTTCACAGAATTCGCATTTGAAATTTTCGTCGATGTCTACTATCTCGCCTTCAATGACCACGTCATCAAGTTGCCAGTGAGGGCATACTTTGACCGTGTCGGCTATGAAATCTTATGGGACGTCAACGAAGACATACGTGGAGGTCGAGATAATAGAGTTACCTTGACCCCGTTCAAGTGTCCACGCGGCAGTTCCCTCATTTAGAAGCCGACGATAGTATTTCCAGGGAAGTATGTGATCGATATCGGCCAGAGCAGTACGCAGTGGTGCAAGCCCGTCACTTCGCAACCCGTCAATATTATTCCGGGCCATTTGCAACATCTGTGCGTATCCTGCTTGCCAAGCTCTTTCTCATCAAATTCATTGGAAGCGTGAAGTATGCGACAGGTTGCGCAATGACGCAAATTTTCGGTTTGGACACAACTCAAAAAGAACTCTCTGTCATCTGCGACCTTTTCTGGACGAACGCGAAGTGTTTTACGCGCCGTCTTCGTCACGGTGGATAGGTCAAACTCAGACTTTGCAAGATCGAATATTTCGTCACGAAAAACGGCTTTGAATTTTGTGTGATAGGTCTTGCAAGTGAGGGCCAGGCAACCTTGTGAAACCACTGGCAGCATCTTGGAGATCATATGCAGTAACTCCGGTGGAAGCTTGAAGATTGTGGGTTCCATGCTGGACGGCGGTATCGACGGGCCTGAGATTGGCGGCATGGGGTGGAGTTAACGTGAAGAGGGTAGATGCTTGTGAGAGCAGAGATTTGTGTGGTTGGCACTACCTGGGAATAACGGGAGAGGCAGACGTTTAGTTCAGAGAAGGATTTCCAAAAATATCAATCACATGAGAACAACACTGAATTATGGGGTCGTACCCATGGCACTACAAGGAACTCTCGTGACACTACCACGCTAAGCTTAAGTAGAAAAGCATCTTACAATGACAGAATCCTACGACGACTCTAAATAGAATAGTGGAGTTTCATAAGTTGAAAATCCCCAACTAGACTTCTAAATCGTCTTGTTAGATATGCTTTGAAAGATACAATAGAGAGAAATTACTAGGGCTTCCTCGAAAGGTAATTAAGACGAAATTCCGAAACCCCTTTGGAAATAGGGGAGGCTGAAACGTGTCTAGCTAGGACTTTCTGTCTATCTCAGGTTCCAACTAACGCGGCATTCTCATCGGCAACGCACGCCAGCTCAACGCGCTAGCTTGTTCTTCTTTGGGAAAGCTAGAAGCTTGGAATGCGAGAGGCTGGTGTTTGATGTTTCTGTTCTTGACCAGCATCTTCCGTGGACACGATAGAAGGCACTTCAAGGAAAACATTCAAGGTTGCATCTACAAATAGGCTTTTTTAAGGTTTGCCGAGGGGTACGATTGGTCAGACTGGATGTATGCCTAACGTGCGGCTCCACAGCAAACATTCAATATCAACATCCTCGAAGTCTCTAAGCTCTTCCACCGCCGTTGATCGTATGCACCAGGAAGGTTCCGGACCTTCTTATCCTTGCTACTGATTTCCATCTCCTTCTCCAGCCCAGGCCGGAGGGAGATATAAAAGCTCCCTTCTTCATCTTACCCAGACCTCCGTCTTCTCTTCACACCATGCTCGAATACAACTGAGTAGTCATATGGAGGCTGCCTGCTTCCTCCTCCTTACTTGTCATCGGTATCGCTTTCGTCTGCTCCTCAACAGGACCAGAAGACCTCCACGATCAATCGCCCTCTTTATCTTCATTTCGCCACCCACCCCTTCATCATTTTATCTCTCCTGTTATTCAGACCTACATCTTCTCACACCACGTCCCGATGCAACTGAGTAGTCATACGGAGACTACATTCTTCCAACTCGGCGTTACTGTCTTTACTCTTTACAGTCGGCTTCCCCTTTCCTGTCACCCAACTAGGCCGCCGCCTCCCGAGCTTTTCGTCCGCTTCATCGTGGTTCCGTCTTCCCTACACCATTCCATCTCTCCCTATCTCTCTATGACAAAATGCCACCCACTTTGTTTCAGCTCCCAGCAGAGCTGATGGACATGGTTGGGGCCATGTTGGCCCCGGCTTCAAAGGGCTGTCTGGCCCTCACCTGCAGAACTTATTACGAGCAGTTCAAATCGGTCTTCGAACATAACTTCTTTGATTTCATCGGAATCGAAACTGAGATCGCCCGTAAGCCAGGATTCCATTCCAACAAATTCTCCCGCTGCGCAATCAACCGCTCCATCTTTCTGAGTCAAGCTCAGACTGATAATTGGCCCTATTGCGGCAGCTGCCGCTTGCTACACCCCAGCAATGAGTTCGAACCCGAGGAGCTTGAGAAAAAGACTGAACTCAAAAATTGCAAATGGCCGACAATGAGCCTTTCCAATGCCCCGATGAAGCCCATCAACCAAGCTGATGGTTCATTGTATTACCTGCCAAGCGTTTCCCCCTGGACGTACACTCACTTCTTCCCGGAGTTCGGATTTCCACGGATCCCATTGATGCGGCTCGAACATGGCCGTGATGAGGAGCAGTCTACCATCACCGCCCGAATGTATTACTTCGATCACATCCCTTTCGACTTTCATTCTCCGTACCCAATGGTCTGCCCTCACATCTCGCTCTTTGGCCTATTTGATCGACAGACCAGAGAATGTGGCAGTCGAGATATCATGTGTGAGGAGTGTGATACATGGATTCGTGTTTCCACAAAATTTAGAATCGCTCGCCTAGATGTCTGCGGAGAGCCCTGCGCTTGCCGCTCCCGAAATAAATGCGACTATGTGGTTGAGGTTTACACCAAGCTTGGCCCCAAATCATTGTCTGGAAAGGAGGAGTGGTGGGCATAGGCTAGCCTCGTCAACGTCTTTTTCGAGAAGAACGCCACTACAAGATTAGGGGTCTATTCAAGGAAGGAGGATGGAGGAGAGGGGAAATGATATTGGTGTCAGCGGGAGGATTATCTTGAAGGGCGGACAAAACATGTCGTTTCGTCGGAGGCGTCTTTGTTACTTTGTTACGGGAGGACATTACTGAAAGTTATGGACGAGATAGGAACAAGACAAATAAGGAACCGAACCTTTCTCTCGTCAACCTTTTGTAGATCAGTGTGCATTGTAATGATGATCGTTAGAATCAGCGCCCTGGCTGTCTTTGAGTCTTCGACTTCAATCTTGATACAGTATTATGTTGATTCCTCAGGCAGCCAATCGTGGCCCAACGACGTCACGCCTGTGGGGAAAGCTTCCCGCGCTCTCGTCCATCCAACCCACCTACCGTACACGACGGTTTGGTGCCTTGCCCAGATGGAGAGCTTCGACGACGTGACACTAGTCGGCCCTGTGTCAGACCCCTCGATTCTGGATGACCACCTTCCACCAACGAGCAATGATGCAAAGCCCAGGAAATCCACTGAGGTGGAAGCGGCGGAACCAGGCACTCCCACCTCCGATCGGTCGATAAACGCGGGCCGTACCCAGATCCAAGCTGCTCCAACTGATCTAGCCGGGGAACCTTCGATATCGTCTGACTTTCCCCCCGAAGAAGAAGATGAAGAGCCTCGAGTCGCCACCTCCTTTGAACGCGAGTCGAGTCCAACTTTCGCGCAGAAACATCGATCTGGCATGGATGCAGAGGACGAGGGGATCAATCGTATGCACAAGTTCACGCTCTACGAGACGGCCACTCGGTTTTACATGGTCGGCATCAATCTTTCAGAGACACGATTCCGGATTCTTAAGATTGATCGCACCTCTGAGTCGGGCGAGTTGAGCATAACTGAAGATGACATGGTCTACACGAAAAGGGAGATGGTCCAGCTGCTAGATGCGATCGATGATGGGAATAAAAGCTCTGGTGGTTTGAAACAGAAATGTAGCGCCTGGGCATTGCTTGGCTTTGTTCGCTTTACCGGAGCGTACTATATGCTCCTGGTCACCAAGAGGAGCCAAGTGGCTGTACTCGGTGGTCACAATGTCTATCAAATTGATGAAACAGAGCTGGTATCATTGACGCCCGCAGAGCCATTGCGCCTGAAACCTGAAAAGCAGTCAGACGAGGAGAGATACAGGGCGATTTTGAGCAATCTCGACTTGACCAGATCGTTCTACTTCAGTTACTCTTACGACCTCACGCGCTCTCTCCAGCATAACATTTACCGCGAACGAAAGGCCCATCATGAAGGGGCTTCCGGGTCCGTCTCTCGGGACTACAACACGATGTTCATCTGGAATCATCACCTTCTTGCGCCGGCGGTCGATGCTCTGAAAAATCCTTACGAATGGTGTCTCCCGATCATTCATGGCTACGTGGACCAGTCCAAGGTGAGTGTCTATGGAAGGGTGGTCTATGTATCGATCATCGCCCGTCGGTCCCGGTACTTTGCAGGAGCGCGCTTCCTCAAGCGTGGCGCAAATGATTTGGGGTTCGTTGCCAACGACGTCGAAACGGAGCAGATCGTCTCCGAACAGACCACGACGTCTTTCCACTCCGCTGGTCCGGAGCTACATGCAAACCCCAATTATACCTCATACGTTCAGCACCGTGGAAGTATTCCTCTATACTGGACTCAGGAAAACACGGGTGTGTCGCCGAAACCGGCCATCGAGTTGAACCTTGTCGATCCATTCTATTCTGCCGCCGCGTTGCATTTTGACAACCTCTTTGAGCGATACGGAGCTCCGATCTACATTTTGAATCTCGTCAAATCCAGAGAACGCACACCTAGAGAGTCGAAGCTTCTGCAAGAGTTCACAAATGCGGTGACCTACTTGAATCAGTTTCTTCCCGAAGGTAAAAAACTTATCTACAAGGCTTGGGACATGAGCCGCGCAGCAAAGAGCCGTGATCAAGATGTCATCCAGACATTGGAAGATATTGCTGGCGATATCATACCTAAAACTGGATTTTTCAAGAACGGGCAGGATGCTGAATCAGGCCTACGACTTCAGAACGGTGTCGCGCGAACAAATTGTATTGACTGCCTTGACCGGACTAATGCCGCGCAGTTTGTTATCGGCAAAAGAGCACTCGGCTACCAGCTGCATGCCCTCGGAGTCATTGATGAAACAACAGTCGAGTACGATACCGACGCCGTCAATCTCTTCACCAACATGTGGCATGACCACGGAGATACGATTGCCATTCAATACGGAGGATCTCATTTGGTGAATACCATGGCTACGTACCGTAAGATCAATCAGTGGAGCAGTCACTCGCGTGATATGGTCGAGAGCTTCAAGCGATACTACAACAATTCTTTCCTTGATGCCCAGCGACAAGAAGCATACAACCTGTTCCTGGGCAACTACATCTTTGATCAAGGCGCTCCAATGCTTTGGGATCTCGCCACTGACTACTATCTTCACCATGCGGACCCCAAATCCTATCTTCAGAAGAAGCGTCCCAACTACATCTCTTGGTACACGCCTGAATATCTGAATGAAAGAGAATTTCCACCACTACCAATCCGACCAAAGGAGCCGCTTTCTCACTTTGACGATTACTGGCTTGAGTATTACCGGCCATTGGCTGTCTCAACCATGTCAAAGATTTTCTCCTACAAAATGAACTCGACACTCCGCTACCTCCCTCCCTACCGCCCTGGGCATCCTGCGCCTGATCTCAGTCCCTTCGTACCTCGCATCCCTCAGGAGCAACTGCAGAGAGACCGGCCACCGCAACGAACCGTCCGGATCCAGGAGCCTGTCAACACTCATTCTCAATATTCAACCACCATGCCACCGATTCCGGACGCGCCTGATACTTGGAAACATCAACCGCCATCCTCATCCAAGCAGGCCCCATCGGCAGGCATCATCAGAGAGCCCACATTTGAAATAAATCAAGATTCTCACATTCCTCCAATCAACCCTCCGAACTCCACAACAACACCCAGCAAAGCACAGATTGCGCAGTGGACACTGGGGCAACTAGTTACGGATTCCTTGAACCCATCAGTGACCTCTGCGGAAGCAGAGGAATATGAGCGATACATCAATCATCCCCTCAAAGTTCCCCTTGTTGTCACTTCCGAGGACGAGATGACTGCCGCATCTCTCCGGGAGCACGGTGCTAATCTCGACCTATTGGAGTATGTGAACAAGTGCAATGTCGAAGAAGCGGCCCTTGAAGCCACTGCTGAGGAGAACCTAGCCGACTACGCTGAATTCTTGAATGTTTCGGAGGAAGGGTTGACTGTTGTCAGTGAAGACTATCAGAAGAAGCGGTACAAGCGCTATCGGCAGTGGTTGCGTGGGAAGAGTCTGTTCAAGCAAAGGGTTGATGTATAATGGTCCTCAAGTATTTTTGTTATCCGCCATTAGCGTGTACAGTTTGAAATAGATACCCTCATGCATTGTTGAACGTGAATAAAGCCAAAGCGAATTATTCAAGAGTATCATGAGAAAATTTGAACCAATGGCCCAAATAATAAGCTAAGTTACCGTGCAAGAGGTAACGTAAAATTGACTGTCCCAGGAAACGCAATGGGGTGCTCCTATTCGATATTCCAAACCATCATGACTTAACATCAGCAAAGAGCAGACCTTCCAACTCACTATCCGCTTCAACCAGCGTCTGTAATTCCTGCTGCATGCCTTCCTTCGCGAGCACTTGATCCGCATCAAATTCCCCATTGGGCGCAACGGGATTCTGCAAAATATGCTTCAGAACGTACACGGCACTCTGCAACTCTCTCGTAATCTTAACGAGCTCGGTCACTGAAGGCGAGCCCTTACCCGCCTTCACTTTCTCTTGATCTTCTTTCTCGCCCACAATATGGAGCCAGCATGTACACAGTGCTCCGAGGATTTCACCACGCCATCTCCAAATACGCGGATGCGCGTTGAGGATCACAAATTTGGTGGCTGATACTGCGGCAAAGAGGAGAGGCGGGTGAGCAGTTCCGAAGGGGTTGGTGAGCGTAGTGTAAAGAACCGGGACGATTTCTTGGAGGTATTTTGTCGTGTTGATGCCGAGTTCTTTCACGAAGGTGGTAATCCATTCTAGGAGGAAGGTTGAGAGACGAGGGTGCGGGAAAGAGGCGGACGTTGAGATGGCAGTGGGTGTCGAAGAACTGATGTGATGGAAGGAAGAGATGAGATTTGAGCGTAGGATTTTTGAGATTTTCGCGGCGTATGTCTCTTTGTCTTTGTCGTCCTGGTCCTGTGATTTCTTCGGTGAGGGCGTTTTGTAGACTGTCTCGAAGAGGGAGAGGAGTGCTGGGTATGCGGCGCTGAGTAGCTGAATAGAGTTGTCTTCTGGGGTAATTGTTGGTAGGGAGAGAAGACAGGGCGTAATAGCGTCCTCGAAGACGGAGGTCAAGTTTGTGCGAACGAGAATATCGGATCCGCTCTGGTGAATGGGCTGCAGGACTTTGGTGAAGAGTTCACAGCCCATTCTCTTGAACGTGAGATTACTGTCGTCGATCAAGGCCAGGATTGCCGGAACGAGAAGAGGAAAGTGTGCTTCGAGATGGGCTTTGTCGGTGGGCTGTAGACGAATTAGTTGGTTGGAACTCGAGGATCGCGAGATTGAGAACATACTTTATACCGAGAAATGACCCATGAAAGAACTCTTGTAGCATAAACATCTCTGAACTTCCAAGGCTTCAGCTCATCGTCGAGAATACTTCCGTCGAACCGACTCAAAGGCACGGGGTGCAAGTTCTTGCGACCTTCGCTGGTGATAGCAGGGTTCTTGGCCTTGGTGAATAATGGCCGGATCTTCTCCTTGAGTAACCGCGCAATGAGATCCCATTTGCCATCTTGCATGGTCACGTCAAGATACATTGAAGCCTCGTCGTGGCTATCCTCAGTCGTCCAAGGATCTTTCTGCTCGGTGAAACAGGCTGCGGCCAATATGACATCGGGAGAGCTAGCTATTGAGCGATCCGATAGACCTGGAGGAGTCTTTGCAGAAAGCTGCAGAATGAGTTGAATAGCCAGGGCGGATCTGAGCCGGCTCTCTTCTTGTGCGTTCTTGATCTCTACTTGTTCGTTAGTGGATGCAGAGGCTGGGGTTCACGGCCGGAATAATTGGACGGGTTTCTTGCCTTTTGTGATCTCACCATGCTCATCAAAGGCTGCTGCAAATGCTGACGACGGAAGCGCAAGTTGACTAGCCCATTGGAATAGATTTCTGACGGCCTCGGCCTCGTTCCTGTCCAGCTGCTTTGGCCCTCCGTCGTTTGGCAGGAGGGGATCCCAGCCATCGACGAAGGAAAAGGCCGTGTAAAGGTTTTCGCAGACCTGGTGATGTGATTAGTCTAGTTTCTCAGTTCTAGCAGGATGGCGTGTATACGTACATCCAGATGGATGGTGCTATCGTGGGATGCCAGGTCCTGCCACAGTTCGGGCAGTCCATTCTTTGCCGTCGCCGCAAATGCCGCCCGCAAGAAACCCGGTCGATTCCAAGCATCGCGCTGGAGTACCTCGCGGACCTCTTTGCGTAGCTGATCCATACTGAGCTTTGGTCTAATTATGATACGAGCAGTGGAACAGTAGAGAAGTTCCGGTTCTTGAAACCGGTGGAATTGGATTTTTTTAAGAGTTCCCCGCCTTCACAACCCCAACTCTGCGCGACGTCCCGAGATCTCCTCGAGCACCGCCGTTTTGTCGGTGATTTCGGGATGCAACAGCTGCCATTCCACCACGAGATTGGTCGCTCTGCTCATCCAGGGCCCCTTTTTGGCCCCCAGGTGCTGCATGATTTCGGCGCCGTTTACAATGGGCTTAAGCTCGCAGACATTATCTAGGTCCTTCTCTACAACATACGCCAGGAATTGGTCATACTCTTGGGCCACTAGAAACACAGAGTCAGTATTGTATATCTCACCGGAGATGATAAATGGAGGGATCCTACCATCAATGAGGTCGCGTCCTGCCATGACCTCTTGAAGTATGGCCAAGACAACGCAAAGCCTCCATTCTTTGCCCCAAGATCGAATTCGGAGACCAATCTGTTGCCGGATTTCGGCAGGCGTAGCTTGAATAGTGTTTCCAAGTAACGACTCCTTGCACTCAATGATGTTTCGGAAATGCAAGGTCGCGTCACGGAGTATGTAGAGTGTCTTATTATCGGCTTTGAGGCTGTCCCTGCCAACTTCGACGGGGCGTGTGGGTGGGGGTCGCCTTTCATTACCTGACCCTCGAGCAGGGACTGACGTCCATGGGGCGAACGCTGCAATCATCCAAGCATTGTAATGGCTAGGCTTGTCACGCAATAGCATCTCGCGGATACGTTCCAAGACATTCTCGGTAGATCCGGGTTGTAACAATCGCGCCAGCGCATTATAGGCGAGAGGCCAGGTCGATGTATCGGCAGTGACGTCGTCTTGGTGGTTGGCGAAGATCGTAGGGAAAAGACCGAGTCGGTCGATGAATTGTAAAGCTCCGTGGGGATCAGGACCTTCCAGCAAATATTGTTAGTGAAGCTGATCACTTGGATCGCGCCAAAAAAAACTCACCATGAAGCATCTTATCCAGCTCAGTCAGGACCCGCTCTTTGCTAATCTTGAGTCTCAGTGCAACGCTAATATCCTCATTCTGCATTGCAGATTCCGTTTCTTGGTCGATTTGGTACCCCAACCTGCTCGCGAACCGAATTAACCGCAGTACACGAAGCGGGTCATCCTTGAAAGTCTGGTATGGTTCGAGCGGGGTCCGAATAATGTGCTTCTTCATATCATCCAGCCCGCGCTTGGTGAAATCTTCCAGTTTTGACTCATTCAGGTTGTAGAAAAGCGCATTGATGGTGGCATCTCGCCGCAGGGCGTCCTCCTCGGCCGTTCCAAATTCCATTTGCGGATTCCGGCTGTCTTCCGAGTATGTCTCTTTGCGCAGGTTGACCAGATCAATATCCAGGCCGAAAATCTTGGTAGTGACGGTTTCCAGGTGCTTCGATTTCTCTGGGTTGGCGTCGATCTTGTGCAGGCTCACAATGGCGTCGCTCATTTCTTCACTAGGAAGGCTCTTCTTATATTTCTCCAAGTTCTCGGGAACATCCAAGTAATCCTTCAGAGCCATTCCGAACTGGTACCCCGTCATGCTGCTGATCCCCACATCAATATCATGGCTATCGACGCCGAGCAGCTTGTCGCGCACCCAGCCGCCTGTGAAGCGTAGGACGGTCTCCGGATGCTTCTTCACATCACTTCCTTCTTCCGTAATACCCTCTTCTTTAATGTAGGATGCGACATCGAGGAGAAGAGTTTGCAGGGTGCTTTCGAGGGGAGTGAGGTGTATGGTGGGGTTTGAGAGATCCATTATTTCGTCAGACACGTCTCTTTCAATCGAAGTGGAAATGAGGCGTCTTTTCGTGGCTCGCTCTGGGGAGTGCGAATCCGTTTCGCGCCCGCGCATGGGCAGGTAGCTGCTTGGGTAGAGGTGGAGGGGAAATTTGGAGAAGCTCCGCGGATGTATCTCTTGTCTCGGTGTTGCAAGAACGCGGGCAAGTGGAGTGTTGGAGCGTAATGGACGACTGGCCTTAAGTAAGGACCGCAATGAGCGCAGACTAGGCATCAAACTGAGCCATTGAGTCACAGCTGAAAGCAAGTACAGCTACGAAGAAAAAAAAAGTGGAAGTGACTCAAATGCTGATCGCCCGATAAGTCGCGGCCTCACGTGGTTGCATCACCACCCGCAATCCGCCAATGCGCCCGAGCCACGGAGCTTACAAGCTTCTCGGCCCAAAGTACATTGCTAATCTACCAGTCGGGACATATCTTCGACCAGCTGAATCCCCTGGGGCGCGCGAACCCGTTGACTTTCCCCGCGGTTATCGGCTTGAATCGAACGACTTGGCCATTCTTTTCCTCCCCAACAACGACAATTACCCTCCGAGCGACAGCCCGAACACCTGCCCACCGTCGCCTTGCCGTCCGGCTACAAACGTATAACCGTCTTGCCCGCCCGGTCGATGGGGCTCGCCGATTCTTTGTTCTAGTTCCAAATTTGCAGAGTGCAAGAGGTGTCCATGACATCGCCCGGAGATGCCACTCCGGTGAAACCTCCGCCGTCCTTCTCCCCCGGCGTAGGGCGCAGCGCATCAAAGTCCAGATATCCGGATGAGCATGAGTCCACAGCATCTATAGACGCCGAGTTATCAGAGGCCCGCTCGGTGTCATCGCCAACACCACCTCTATCAGCTACGACTGCAGAGCTGCCAATTCGGTCAGCGTCACCGCAATCCCGCTCGGTTAGATCGTCCACCCCGCAATTAGCTCGATCATCATTCGGATCCCCTTTTGATGGACGCTTCGATGGTTCAGAAGATATCAGATCATTGATAATCCGGGCTTTCTCTCCAACTGTCGCCGTCTATGCTTCCGAGGATACGGATGAGCTGGTCAGGAATAAGGGGTTTAAGGGGGGCTTCTGGGAACTGCTCCGGCCGTTCGGGGAGACCGTTACGGGGAAGGTGATTATCCGGGACAGCATTGGGTCTAGTCGTGCCTGGGAAGACTATGGGGTGCGTTTTGTGGATCTGAAAGGGCTGGGTCGAGCACCTGCCAGTCGGGATTCTGGACGAGATTCGCCTTTGGCGCAGATTGAAGAGGTTCTGGAGCAGCAATTAGGCTCTGCGGAGGGATCTTTGGGAGCATCTTTGCCTTCCAAGGATGTTCTGGGCTTTCCAGCTACAACATCTCTTGCTAAGCTGTTTTTGAGGCAACTCCTATCCTCTACGCCTGCCGCACCCCACGAGACATTTGGGCACCCTGTGGCAAGTGTCATTGCAATCAGCTCCCGTAACAAAGCCCCTCTAGAGACCCTGCGACAACTCTACGCTGAGACCAATACGGGCGACAAGCGGCTGCCGGACTGGGTGCATCAGGAGTACCTCCGGTATTATGTCTTAGTTCACGATGAAGAGCGGGACGATATTACGGAGTCTACCAAACTATATGATCAGATGAAGCGCCATTTCGGTCTACATTGTCATCTTTTAAGACTCCGAAGCAGTCAGTGCGTCGTGACTGATGACGATAGCGTTCAAGTGCCACATTGCGAGTGGCTTTCTCCACAAGAACACCTGTCCGGAGTTGGGGAAGCCGGTAAGTGCCTTCAGACTTCAGTTTTATGGCCCATCTAACTCCCCATTAGAGACACTGGTGGATCTTGGCACAGATGGTACTCCTTATCTCTTCGACTCCGACGTGTCAGCAATCAAATCATTCATTCGAGAACTTACTGTACAATCTGTGATTCCCTTCATGGAGAACCGAGTAGCAGTTTGGAATGACCAAGTTGCATCTCGTCGGCGCGGCATCAGCGGCCGGTTCATGTCAATGTCAAGACGGTGGGCTGGCTTCGGCTCCAGCTCTCGTTCTGGTATTGGCGGTTCGGGGGGCGGAAACAGTGGTAATTACGACACGGAGCACAATTACTACCGTCAAGACACGCCCGAGGCAATCTTGCGGAAGATGGCTGACTTTGCATTCATGCTCCGTGACTGGAAGCTTGCGTCTTCTACATACGAGATGATTCGGTCGGATTTTGGAAACGACAAAGCGTGGAAGTACCATGCAGGAGCTCATGAGATGTGTGCTGTCAGCATGTTGTTAAATCCACTCGCTATGTCGGCCAAAATCAAGCTCGAGAGCGTCGACCAGATGTTCGAGACCGCTTGCTATTCCTACCTCACTCGATGTTCCGACGCAACACATGCTCTCCGATGCTTGGCTTTGGCCGTGGAACTTCTCAAGTCTCGAGGCGGATCGGCAACCGAGAGTGCAGCCAGATGGGCCATGCGGGTCATGGACTTTGGTCTGGTTGGCTCTGTGGGTCAGATTCTTTTCATGGAGCGAGTGGCCGCATGCTACGCTTCAAAGACCCCTGTGGGCGGCGCTAAATGGGGTGCTCGGAGGAGGAAAGCTGGCATGTGGAGCATCTTTGCTGCTGATCAGTGGCTCAAGGCTGGCAAGCCTACCCTTGCTTCTGCCTGCCTTGAAGAAGCTGAACGGCTCTATGCCGATGTTCTCGAGACTGACGGTGTTTTCCCAATGCCGGAGATGCAGAGCTTCATCGACAACTTGCGCCACGCCGTGAAAGTCGAGTACCTTCAGGCTCGGGGTTTCGACGCTCAAGACGAACCGGCTGCCGATGACCCTCTTCGCACTGAAGAGATCAGCGAAAAGTTGGACAAGCGCAATCATCGTCGCTCGCTGATTGGGCTTCCCGCGCAATTGGATGCTGGAACTCTCATGAGTGCAGGCCCAAGGGACATTGAGGAAGAACCGAATGATGACTTTGAACGAGCCTAGCCCACGACCTTAATACCTATCTCATCATAGCATATAAGAATAGATTACATTTCTGGGATTTCGCGTTTACTAGGTGGCCCCCTCCATTTGCGCGGCTTGGTTCTGACGAAGCTAGGCGATATATATGTCCCATCTGGGATGGGAAGAGCGACTGCCCGATGGTCTCTAGATGGGTCGTAGGTAAGGGCAATCAAGTAGCTGTATTCGTGCGGCCCCAGCATATTTTATGATCCGCTATCCGAGTCTGGAAACCACTTCAGAACGTTCCTTTGACTCTATAGTCTATGTGATGAACGTCGTCTCGAACATCGTCATAAGTCCAGTCGATAAGATCACGTGGGCTTATCGATAAAGCTGCCCTCCATGTGGGCTGGTGTTTTGACAGCACCTCCCGCAACCGCGGCACTTCACGACTTGAAAGCAATCAAGCAAAGCCGTACTCCCTCAGGCAGACAGGACATCCCTCTTGGCCACGAAAGCCGGAAATCCTCAAACTCTGATCAGAATCATATTGGCTATCTATATACTGACTCGACATGAGTGACCTCCTTAACTACATCCTCAACAATGAGGATGCGTTTCGAAGGTACGATCTTCATATTTGGACCTCCAACAATAGTGGATACGAGTGAAATTAAAGATGACCGTTTCGAAGAAGCTAACCTGGGACTAGGAACCGCCTCCCCTCGCTTTACTCGGACTTTACCCTCCAAAAGAAGACAAATCCCGATGGCTATGCGATCAACATAGCCGCTTGGGAACAAGCATTGAACCGAGCCGCTAAGCGTGGTTATACATCCTCGCGAGGCGTGCGCGTACGCTCTGGATCTATCGGATCCTCGAAGAATACAACGGGGAACAGGAAGAAGACTGATCACCTCATTCTTCGCACGGATGAATCGCTGTTACGAGACTTGGAGCTGCCCGAGTGGGGGAGACCGGTGGCACTGGGTGCTGTGTTTGTATGTTTTTTTCATGCGCTTGGGTGATGAGCGTGGAACATTTGAGTTGGTGATTGACCATCGTACAGGACGAAGCAATGCGCAAAAATACCATGGTTCCCTTGCCGGTCTACAAGACTAGCGGAGCAAGTCTACAGAAGGCCCAGTGGAGACTTATCGATCCCGGTGCTTTGAGTCCATGGAATGTGATGAGTTGGGGGGTGCGGCAGCTCAAAGGCTTCGTTGTAGGCTCCGACGGCGAATCTGCGCCAAAGTTGCAGGTGCAGGAATTGGTATTGGTCGAGAACTTGCAGGTATCGTTATCACATGGGCTACTACTCTTCAAGTACTTGAAATCTGACACTATTCTTTTCTTGACAGGAAGCGGCGGACTTGGTTGTTAAGAAGGCCACTGGTGGCAATTCATCCAAGCTGGACCTGATATACTCCAAAGAAAGCTTTATTGAAGAGTTCGCCTCCATATTGCACGACGCCACTGAATTGTCAGATTCCGATTTTGATATTCTTTTGCTTTATCTGTCCCACGATAGTGGCGCTATCGCGTATGATGGCAAGGTATGCGCGCTATATACAAGGTTGATATCTATCAATGCTAACCATAATCATTAGACTGTGAAGTTCAAGTCAAAGGATGAACCAGCACAGATCACGCAGCAAGATACGACAATCGCCTCCATCAAGACGCTTTTATCAACTCTTTCGAAGCAGGTGAAGAACCTGGAAGATAAAGTTGCTGAATTGACTGCATCTGCAAAGACGGCGCTGGCAAACAAAAATCGTATCTCCGCGCTGTCGGCCATCAAGTCTAAGAAGATGGTCGAGCATAACCTCCAGCAACGCCTGAACACCCTTGTCCAGCTCGAGGAGGTATATGCAAAAATCGAGCAGGCCGCGGGCCAGGTGGAGATCGTGCAGGTCATGGAGGCCAGCACCGGTGTTCTTCGTGGGTTGCATGCTCAGATCGGAGGTGCTGAGCGTGTTGAGGATGTGATCGAGGGGTTGCGTGAAGAGATGTCCAAGGTGGACGAGGTCGGAACCATCATGAATGAGGCAGGACCTGTCTTCGACGAGGGTGAGATTGATGAGGAGCTCGAGGCTCTGGAGAAGGGTGATCGGGAGACACAGGAAGAAAAGGAAGCCGAGGCTACGCGCAAGAAGCTTGCCGAGCTGGACAGTCTCAAGCAAGTCTCAGACGAAGCCGCGCGCCAGGCGGAGGCAGAGAAAAATGTTGACAGCCAGCTGGCACAGAGCATTGAGAGGCTCTCAAACATGTCGGTTGAAGATCGCCCATTGCCCGCTAACTAGGGGACCATTTATTAACGGGCCATGTGCTCGAATTGGTTGCTGTCACTCCAGTCAACCGCCATATCAACCGCGATACGACATTGTGAAAGTAAATCACCCAGACATGTCACTTGGACCTGGCGGGTCTGAGTTGATCTCAATCGGAGTGCCCTTCTCAACCCCGCTCGCCAGCTGAGCAGAACTATCTACTGCCGTGCTATTCGACTCCGCGGCCTGTGCAGCGCCAGGGATGGTCGATCTCACTTGAGCATCACTCTTTTTACGAGCATTTGCAATTAAACGCTTGAAATCATTGTCGTGGCTCACAGACCACTGAGCCGCGTCAAAGTCCTTCGCCATCACCGTGTTGGTCGGCACGAGTGAGGATTGCGCTGTCGCAATTCCACCTTGTGTCCTTTCCCAAATGTCAAGCTCTCGCAGCAGTTCCTTCTTGGTTCTTGGAGATGTGGAGTCGCAGTTTGCATTCCATAAATTCATCCACTCAATGTGACGCCGCTGCAAAAGCTGCCGCGGGCCCCAATCGGGAATGCCCAGGTCACGGAATTTCCGGCGCAATTGGTTGTCTTTGAGGAGTGAGTAGTTTATTGCAGGGAGTCTCTCGGGTGCTTTTGAAGGGGATATCGGAGTTTGGCGCGCGTGCGGTTGTAGGGATCTAGAATAGCGTTGAATTAGACATGAGCTGGACTTCAAACACCCAGATCGCTTTGAAAGTATTCCACCATACCCGAATGACTTTTGCTTGGCAGGAGCTGGCTTAGGAGCTGATCCTGTGTTTCCTGTACATTTATCAAGATGCGCGAAGACAGCCTCGTTCTTCATCCGGCGGTTGCATATAGGGCAAGCGACCATGCCGTCATCTACAACAGGAATCAAGGTTAGACTTGAGGGGCCACGCGCGATGATCAACATACTACCGACCTGGAACGAAATCTTCATCTTGACTATCTTCGATCACCTCTTGTACCGATGAGGCCTGATTGCGATCCTGTCCATCCGCTTGCGACTGCGCCATCTGCGACCTTGACCTCGTACGAACGCGTTGCGGACTGTGCGGATTTACCTCGGGCGCTTCAGAGTGGTCCACCTGGCTAACCTTCCGCTTTTTAGGGGCAGGTTCTGGATCTTCGTCTCCACCAGCAGCAATCCGCGCTGCCTCCTTCCTTGCAAGCGTGAGCGCGCTCTTCCTGGCGTTCTTGAACGCTTCGAGGATTTCCTGCACAAGCCAGTTGCGGCGAAGCTTGAGCTCCTGATCACCCGAGCGACACGTAGGACATTTGCCCTCGGTACTGAGACATCGACGAATGCATAGTGAGCAAAATGTATGACTGCAAGACGTAATCACGGGTGTGTCGAAGAAGTCCTTGCAGACTTGACAGCGGAGTGAGGACTCTAAAGGCGCAAGTAGGGAAAGCGGCGTGTCCAACCAGTCGGTGGAATCGGGGAGGTCAAATGACTGCTCCATCGGAATATTGAAGCTGCCTGGAGCTTGCGCAGAAGTCGGATCGTAGAGTGAGGCCGACTTTTGTGGTGTTGCAGCTCGCGGAGGAGGAAGACGCCAAAAGGTGGAGGCGTTGAATGAGAGCGCCAAGACCCGCTGACTGATACGCGTAAAGTGGTTTGGCACGCGTCAAGCAACTTGACCGACCAACTTCGAAGCTTCGAAGCTCCGCAGCTGCAGACACCATGGATACTACGAGGTTCCTGGCGGAAAATGTGCTCAATGAGCGGCGTATGGTAAGGCCCGCAGGTTTATGGTTTTGACTTCTCGTAACTGATCGGGTTCAGGTTACTTATCGCTCACTGAGCCGTGCGCTCAAGGTCCACGCGAACCGGGCCAAGCAGTAAGTTGTGAACATACAGTTGCAACCGTTGAGACTGTCACTGAAATGGTAACGCTAGAATTCTGTTTGACTTTCATCGAGTTGAGAACGCGAAGAAGCCACAGAGCGTCCATGCAACCTATGTCATCTCCGGCATTCAGAACCCCCCGAGCCACCAGCGACGAACGGCCATGCAAACGATGAGGACGAGGTGATGCAGAGCAGCCCCTCTCTGCCTAGTTCTATGCCGAATCAAGACGCCGTTCCCGAACAAGTCCGCATTGCTTCAATCGTACTAGCCCGTGAGGAGGATTTGGAAGGTACGCTACTCGGTCGGAAAGCTGGTGAGATTGCCTTGCTGACGACAGGCGCGTTGGAATAGATGCGAAGGCGACCTTCCAGTCGATATCCATGATTCATGTCTACAGCGTGCAACCTTCTACACTCCAGGACCTCAATACCTTGACCGATGTGTGTAGGGAAATGGCAGCCGCGCATGCGCAAGACGACCCGTTAGAGTGTGGACAGCAATGGGGCATGATCCAGAACCGCAACGTCAAGGTTTGTGGTGTTGGTTTCTTGTTGAAAGTCGGATGCTGATACCATATCTAGCGGAGAACCGGAGCCCGCCCACAACCTACACCTGGTGCTGCTCCGGCACCCAAGCCGAAGCCCGAGTCTACGGTACCCTCCAAACGCCCTTTGCAGACGAAAGCAGCTCCGGCAAAGTCGGAAAGCAAGCCCGATGAGTCTCAGCCTACCAGCGATTCTCAGTCTTCTGTCAAGTCTACTGGAAAGCCAGCAGCTCCCAAGCGGGAGAAGAGTAACCTCTTCAGCTCGTTCGCAAAGACTAAGCCACCCAAGCCCAAGCCAGCAGAATCGGTTCGTGATGATATTGCGTGCCCTTTGTTATGCCAATATAATTACTGACTGGTTAATACAGGCTACACAGAGTACTGCGGAAGATGGTCAGTTATCCTCGATCCAAATTGTAGACGTCAGCTTACAGCCTACAGTGGTGCTAGATGATGCTTCTGAGGAGGAACAGGAAGAGCTCTTCCCTATCAGCGGCGACAAAGCTCCATCCTCCAACCGCGAAAGCAAAAAGGAACGAGAAGAGAAGCTCAAGAAGATGATGGAAGACGACGATGCCGACGGTATGGGCCCCTGCGTTAGCGCATGAACTTTGTACAGAAATTATCCGCTAACTCCGTTCCAGATGAGGAAATGATTGATGCCGACGAGGAGCCCCAGCGAGAACCCACACCGGAGGAGCAACCGCTTCCACCTCCATCCAAGCCCGCCGAGCTGAAGGAGGAGGTCACTGTGCAGGGTGGACGTCGTCGCGGGAAGCGGCAGGTCATGAAGAAGCGGACGGTCAAGGATGAGGAGGGGTACCTGGGTAAGTACCGCGTTTTTAATGATACCTTGTGGATACCACTTTGTTAATGCACGTCTATAGTGACTCGAGAAGAAGCTACATGGGAGTCATTCTCTGAAGATGAGCCCACCCCGCCCAAGAAGAAACCCACGGTGAATGTCGCCAAGGGCAAGACGGGCAAACCTGGAGGTCAGGGCAGCATCATGTCGTTCTTTGGAAAGAAGTAGTCTCCAAATACAATTTGTAATACTGCAATATCCAGATTTTGTGCCGCACTGCATTCATTCAGAAATCGAGGACCAGAGGTTGTACTGTGTACTGCGTCCTACGCACAAGGCATGGCGGATATGCAAGCATCTTCTTACAATCGTGCCACTGATCAAAAAGCATCCTACGAGTAAAAGCTACGCGTTTGGCTCAGCTAATGCAGATCAATCCTTTTATTTAGGTCGGGTTCCAGCGCAGCCAATATTGCAATCGACTAGGATCTCTAATGTACACTTGCGCCAGTGATGTCGATAAGCTTTGACAAAGGTCTTAAGCTTAATTTCAATCGGTGATGTCAGAAAGCACCCAGCAATGAGCGTGTATAATAGACCCGAGTCACTTCCCTTTATACTGAGGTCAGTGTCTTCCTCTTTAGGTGATTGTTTGAAAAATGTATCTAGTGTTTCTTCTCCAATGAATTCTGACCATGTTCGGGTCATTTAGAAATTTGTATGGAAATTACTCGGGAAGTTAGGAGATTACTGAAGCGAGTGGGGCAGAAGATATCCTAATTAGCCCTATTTTGTCTTTGGAGCTGGCTTTTAGCCGTGCCAGTAGTTGAGAACACCCTAGATTAACCAATGCCGTGATTACCGTCCTGTATACTTTGCATCAAGTAAACAACCGCCGACTACGGCGGACGATACGCGCCATTTTTCATAACCCCTTCCGCCCCTACTACCGCCCCCATAAGTAGACTAGCCTAGCAGGCCCTTGTCACCGCCATCAACTATCCTATATAACTAAACAATCACCCAATGCTTCTCCATCACCATCGAATGCTCCTCCATCGCCATCGAATGCTCCTCCATCATCATTAAATAATCCTCCATTGATCTCTTCTATTATTACTACTATATACTATGCCTCGGCCTCCTGTCAATCTTGATCCTTACCAGGAGGAAATTACTAGGCTTGTTCATACGAATTCTACTAATGAGGATATCTGTGCTTTCTTGCTAAATACATATGGTATTAGGATCTCTCCTGTTACTATACATCGGCGGCGAAATGCATGGGGTCTTCATACTCCACGGGCTTACTACCAAAAGGATAGTCCTAATGAGATCAATCGCAATCAGATAGTATATAACCTTCTTCAGCTATCGTTAGATACGAAGGAAATCCTTCGTCTCTTACAAAAGATGGGGATACCATCATCTGAACGTTCTCTTTGTCGTATACGGCAGAAGCTTGGTGTTAAGCTACGTGTTGACAATGCTGCTGAGCGAGCCTCTCAGGAAAGACTTATTGAGAGGATTCTTACTGCAGAGGATCAGATTGGAGATATTGAAGGATATGGCCGACGTTACCAGCAAATTCACCTGCGTAGCCAGGGAGTTTTCATCGCAAGGTAAGTAAGTATTATATGGTCGTGTCAATCGGTCATATGGTCATGTCAATCGGTCATATGGTTATATCAATCGGTCATATGGTCATGTCAATCGGTCATATGGTCATGTCAATCGGTCATATGGTCATATCAATTGGTCATATGGTTATATTCGTTACTAATGATTCTAATAGAGATCGTGCCTACGAAATCTACCGAACTATCAACCCAGATGGAATTGATGACCGCCGGTCTGGCTTTCAACGCCGACGAGGTGCCTATATATGCGATGGGCCTAATGCAATCTGGCATCTTGATGGCTATATGAAATTAGAACCTTTTGGTATTGAAATCTACGCAGCAATTGATGGCCACTCTCGATATGTTATATGGATATATATTGGGATATCTGCACGTACTGCAGTAAGTGTCCTTCGGCAGTATCTTGATTGTGTGAAATCGAATGGGTATATACCACGAAAGCTTCGGGTTGATCTTGGTAGTGAGACGGTATTAATTGGCGATGCCCATGTTGCTCTACGAGAATCATTGAATGCTCCCCCATCACCATTGAATGCTCCTCCATCACCATCGAATGCTCCTCCATCACCATCGAATACTCCTCCACTTCCATCGGATACTCCTCTATCATCATTAGTTTCTCGATTTCGAAACTACTTTATCTACGGGCGCAGTATTGACAATCAGCGTATTGAATCCTGGTGGGGGCAGCTTGCACAGTCAAGTATCTTCGTCTATCATGAGTATTTTAATATACTCTTAGGCGATGGAATCTATTTAAAGCAATGCATTCCTGAGCAGGTAAGTAGAGGTATACTATCGACAATTTTACCTAGTAATCCCTACTAAAAAATGTCTAGATAGTACTTCTTGCCATCTACATGCCTATTCTACGATCTCGCGTTCAATCATACGTGAGCAGTATATGGAATGTACACCCGATTCGTAAACAGCCTAAGCGGCCACATATCGTTTCTGGTAAACCAATAATGAATTACTACTATCCTACCGAAGATACTCCTGATTGCAAGGAATCTTTTGACCCTTCTCTTCTCCAGAGGTATGTTTCTATTCTATGGTCAATTCCTTCTATTCTATGGTCAATTCCTTCTATTCTATGGTTAATTCCTTCTATTCTATGGTTAATTCCTTCTATTCTATGGTCAATTCATCGTATACTATGATTAATTTATCTTATACTATTAGGCTCCAGGAGGATGTGGCAGAATGGGATCCTACTGAATACCTTCCGCCTTCTACACTAGATTGGTGCCGTCTACAAATGGTAGAAATTGGCCAGCAAGAAGTGGGCGAGCCGTTTGACCCTGAAGACCCTCTCATTCAGCTTCTAGGTGATAGAAAGCAGCCATATCGGAAGGTATATGAGACTATGCGTGCGAGGGCCCTTCTACACTACCAATCAGGTACTTTGCCTATATTAGCACTAAGTATGAAACCTACCGGTGCATTCTCATGGGGTCCGAGCGGTCAATGGCATCAGGGCGCATAAGCCTCCGAACTCTTTTAGGATTAGAAGACGGCAGAGCATATTCTATCTTCTCTCGGGCATATTCTCTCTTCCATCGTACATATTCTCTCTTCGATCGAACATATTGTGTCTTCTATTCACTATCTTCCTCTATCTACTAGGATGGCATCTGAACCATCTATCCCCCTCGCTGCTCTACAGGCTACTCTTAAACAGCTATTAGAGACTATATTAGCAACTACAGATCCTTCTTCATCTACATCATCATCAACAAGAACACCAACAGCTACACCAACACCATTATCATCATCGATATCAGATATTTCGACATCAGCTTCGTATATTCCGGCATCGGCTTCGCGTATTCCAGTATCGGCTTCGCATATTCCAGCATCGGCTTCGCGTGTACCATCACAGCTTAATTCTCGTTTTGAATTGCTTTCTGGTACTGCTAGCCAGGTTCGCAGTGCTTATATTGGACGCCCACAGGCAACTATACCACCACTACTACCACTAGAAGAGGTAACAATCAATGCATCCTTCTATTTGTTAATAGATGGTGAGGATATTACACCAATCAAAGGTAATATACTATCTTCTCTCTATCATATACTTCTATATTCTTACTATATACTTCTTTAGGTGCACATATCTCTACCAATATAATTCCTTCGGTGGAATGGCTTACTATGGGTAGTTTTGCATACTCTCTGGTACAAAAACTAGGTTACCTACCTATTGAATTCGAATTCAACCACGACGATGAGGCATTCCTAGCTAGGACGGTTACACAGTATACAAAGAAAGGACCATTAGAAGCGCAGTATCTCCTACCAACTAGTCCATCTGGGTCTACTAGGTGGACTTCTGGTCAGTTATGCCGATTGGTCAACCAGGAGAAGGGGGCAAGGATCTTCCATGTTATTATAAAACGATCAAAAGACACCGTGGAAAGGATGACATATGGACTACCATCTCGGTCTACGATATCAATTGAAAGACAGCTAGCAGCTATGGAAGACTCAGCGAGCATCATGGAAGACCCGGTGAGCATTATGGAAGACCCGGTCCCTATTATAGAGGACCTACCACGAAGCAAGCGAAGACGTGCTACACCACCAGTGACACGGAGGAACTTACGTCGGCGACTACAAGGATGACGGAGACTATATATTTAAACTAGAGGAGGGAATTACTACTGTCGGCAATTCATGTACTTAATAATCATATAGTTTAAATCATCGCTTTATAATATTAGTCCTTAATAACGATAGAAGAGCATTCGATGGTGATGGAGGAGTATTCGATGGTGATGGAGGAGTATTCGATGGTGATGGAGGAGTATTCGATGGTGATGGACTTAGAAGTTTAGATGTAATTCTGCCGTTTTTCTGCCAGTTCTATCTATAGGTTTTGAAAAATGGCAAGGGGTTATGAAAAATGGCGTCTATCGGCCGCCGTACGCCGACCGCTTCTCCGCATTTTGTAGGTGGAGACGGTGCAACCATCCACCGGACGATGTCACCTCGCCCGCAATTTCCCCGAGACTTGGAATATCATGGGCCCTCAGTGCATCTGCAACTGTAGATCTCCTCAATGTTCTGAGTCTGGCCAATATGGCTCCATGCCGGCAGTCAGTACAGGTCCAGTACTACTGGACTTGTCCGAAGTACTCGTGGAGGAATGCGCCCTGTCTGGTTGGGATCGGCATGAGCGATGGACTCCCCTCTTTCTTTTATTTATTTCCCCCCACGCTCCCTCCTGAGCTGAAGGGCAGGCAGCTTTCTTTCTTTCCAACGAGCGCACCATGCCACTGTCCACACTTCTACTTGGGGGCTTATTAGCCCTGCAGGCACATGCCCTGCCTGGACGCGACAACCCTGCGATTCTGCGACGAGCTTGTCCCGATTACACCTCGTACGCCTCGACGCCGCAGTATGTACCCATCTGTCCAATCTATATAACGAGTCGGTTGAGTTCAACGGACTAATGCCTCTGAAGTGGCCCTTATAGCGGTGGTCCCCTGAATCTCCCCTACCAGCGACCCGCCGAAGCTTGTCGCACCTTCTCATCCGCGTCTGTGGAGAAGGTTATCGAGGATGTTACCTCGCGTCTTGTCGACAAAGACCTTGCGCAGCTGTTCCGCAATGCCTATCCAAACACCCTGGACACTACAATTAGGTGGCACCAAAATGCTACTACAGCGGCTTCCACGCGTAAAAGCAGACGCGACACGGCCCAGTGGACCGGCGCGCAGACCTTCATTGTCACGGGTGATATCAACGCAGAGTGGTTGCGTGACTCGACCAACCAGCTCACCAACTACCAGGCCCTCGCGAAGAAGGACAAGAGCTTGTGTAATCTGATTCTGGGTGCAATTAATACGCAGGCGGAGTTTGTGATTCAGTCACCCTACTGCAATGCTTTCCAGCCACCTTCGGCGAGTGGCATTCCGCCAGAGAACAGCACTCAGGTGGACACTGTCCACCCAGCGTACGAGAAATCGTTTGTCTTTGAGTGCAAGTATGAGCTTGACTCCCTTGCTCACTTCTTGCTGCTCGGCACCGAATTCCATGAGAACACCGGCTCGACCGAGTTCTTGACCGACCGTTGGTTTAAAGCATTGCAAACTGTCCTTGACGTGATCGATGCTCAGTCACAGCCTACTTTCAACTCAAAGAATCAGTTTGTCACCAACCAGTACACTTTCCAGCGCGAGACTACTATTGGAACCGAGACGCTGAATTTGCAGGGTGTTGGTAACCCGCTCAACAGCGGCACTGGTCTCATTCGTAGTGCCTTCCGGCCAAGTGACGATGCCACAATTCTTGGATACTTTATCCCTCCTAACGCAATGATGTCTGTCCAACTGCAGAAAGTTGCCGAGGTCATCAAAGCTGCTGGTGGGCATAACGACTTGGTCAACGAGCTAGAAGAACGCGGCAAGAACCTCGCGAAGGCTGTCAAGGAGCACGGTATTGTCAACCACCCCAACTATGGTGACGTCTACGCCTTTGAGGTCGACGGCTATGGCTCTCGAATCCTAATGGATGACGCGAATATCCCTTCGCTACTGTCTCTGCCATATCTTGGCTTCCTCGACAAGAGTGACAAGGTCTACCAAAACACTCGTAAGATGATCACCGAGAAGGCCGGCAACCCATACTACCTGGAGGGTCCTGCTTTCCATGGTATTGGCGGTCCTCACAGTAAGTACTCGAATACCCATCCCATGCTAAGCCCCCACTCACAGTAATATAGTCGGCCTCGAGAATGCCTGGCCCATGTCCCTCCTGATGCAGGCTCTTACTTCCGACGATGACACCGAGATCTTGGATTCCATCAACCTGGTCCGTGATTCTAGCTTGCTTGGGCTTATTCACGAGTCGATCAACGTGACCAACATTAAGACCTACACTCGCCCCTGGTTTGCTTGGGCCAACTCGGTGTTTGCGCAGACGATTCTTCAAGTTGCGGAAGAGCGGCCCCATTTGATCTTCGGTGATAATGCCCAGCCTTATACTATTAATTAAACATAAGTCTTCTGCTGTTGCATGCTACAGTGGCTCCAGCCTTTGTGGATAGTTTAAATGGAAGAGTCATTATTCGGTTTTATTGCTCCCTCAGTGATAGTAACTAAAGATGGACTGAATTCAAAATCCAGCTAAGGATGGCATTGAAGATGAATACACCCTATCGGGCGATCCTTTGTCTCCTTATTCTTTTGATGAACTCACACGAAGCCAAGAGAAGAAAACATAAAAAGATGTGTGTAGTGGATGCGTACATAGCTATGAAGGAAGTGGACTGGCCAGCCAGAAGTCTGTAAGTAGATGGCGGTCACAGAGACACACGAGACAAAGAGCAAGAGTCAAAGGCTGGTAAGCCCCTCCCCCATTATGTTTTGCCCATATATAACAGTTAGAACCTCTCCCGACCTCCCCAATCTAGGCTGCGAGAAACTCCATTCCTATCTCTTCTATAATCTCTGGCCATGATCCACCTATATATATATCTAAAGGACTGGGAATGCTACTGTTCTGGGCTAACCCTACACCTTCTCATACACAGCTTCAGCCCTTCATATTATTCGCTCCTTAAAGGGATCGCTGTTGAGCCCAATGGGATAAAACCAGCTCATCTGCTCTAGATATTAAAAGATCAAATCTCTTCAACAGTTCAGATCTTCGAATCGCTTCGCTGATTTACAGACATGTCAAACTGCTGTGAGAAACGCGTTGCGGATCGAGTATATAGACTCACCACTATCTCCCCGGTTCATACTCCAATTAATCGTTGAATCTCACAGAATCGCAAGCGTACCACTGAGATGGAACCTGCATAATTGCCTACACTATAGCGCCAAGAAGCTCCGTCTACAGATAAAGTCTGTACCTACTCCTGCTCTAGTCTCTCCAGACTGCCTAGTAGATAGGCAGTTCTCGACCGGGGGTGTCTTCTCGCAGGTATCACAATCCAGCGATATCGCCCATTCACGTCACTCCAGGGATACATGCACATACCACGGATGAGCTTCCTTCACGGAGAGTGGGAGCCTTCCCTTTTACATCATCTATTCCCGAGCTGATATCTCGGCGTACGGCTACATCTCGCACGAGGAGTCAATCTCTCAATTGTCGCAAGCAAATGAGCCGATTCATCAATTAACCAATATAATGATATCTTCGTCAACGGCTTTCTCGGTGGACGAGTGGGCAAATCCCACCTAGCCGTTGATGTATAAGCCCTAGTACACCCGGTGATTATACCCTGTCTGTCACAGAAAAAGATCCTTTCCTAGTTTACCGTTCACATTTCAATCATCTCTCTCAAATTGCTTCTCTCTATGAGCTGACTCTTCATTCCACTCTATCACTTGTGCCGCCGGTCACTTGCGCTTGAGACGGTACCCACGCGTCGTATTGATAGCTATATCTCCTCTTACGCTCTCCCTCTCCCTATTTATCTCCTCCTTCTTTCTAGTTCATTCTAGTTCATTGCACTCATCTGGATTCCACAACTGAGCTGTGATATCCGACGACAACCGTCTCTCACGATAGTTCACCTTCGTGACTGGCTTGTCCTTGTTACACTGATCTTCCACACTGATCTCCGATACGCTTTCACTTAACTGTGACGACCTACAACCAAGCGATATCAACAATGGCTGCACCGATATTTTGCCTGCCACCGGAGTTGATGGATCTCATATGCGATGAACTGGATGTTGTCTCGGAAGGATGCATGGCACTGATCTGCAAAGCCGCCTATGAGTACTGGAAGCCGGTCTTGAAACATCCCATCTTCCGACTGTCCACTCAAGAATCATGGCCTGGATATTTTGGTCAGCTTGAGTATACCAGAGACAGGGTCCAGCTCATGCAACGGATCGAAACAGAAAGGTTTGCCTTCTGCCATAGCTGCTTCAGACTCCACCCACGCCGCGAATTTGAAGAGCCAGAGCTGCAAAAACCCGATTTTGACAGACATTGCAAATGGCCAGGCGTGGCAACACGTCACCTATCAAAATCAGATGATTCTGGGTATATTCCATTCCAGTTGGAACGGCCTCTTCCGACCTTGCCGGGTGGTTTCGAGGGTACCTCTTACTGTTCGGTCACGTTCCTCGGATCGAAGGCCCTGGTTAAGGTGGACTACATCTTTGATTTTTGACAGAAGAGTTTGAGCCATCTGAACAGCCCGCTATCCGAATGTGTCCGCATATCAGCCTTTTTGATATGGTTGATGGAGAGTACCCACTCTGCCCGGGAGTCATCTGCGAAGAGTGCAATACCTTTGCCAGTTCCTACGTTGAGGAAGCAGGCGTTTGTACTGAGTACATAGTTCTGACGGCTCGCGAGCTTCAATTGGACTAATCTGGATCTTTTCAACTCCAGCGAGCCTCGAGATCGGGTGCCGATGATACCGGTCACTAATCATTAACGCGACAAGGGAATGTGCCCGGCTAGATCGCCTGTTTTGTGACTTTGAATCTGAATTTTTCTCACCTCTTTTCACATTTACTTTTGCCAATCTCGAAAAAAATGAAATGTTCTTGATCAAAATCGATGGCATTTCTGGTAGATTTGAGCTCCCAGGATACAAGGGCGGGTCGGGTCATCTAACCCATCCAACATAAAGTACGCTCTGGAGGTATCGTTGATCCAATCAAAAACTTTCTATTTTGATGACAATTTAGCTCTTTAACTCCCGTGGCGTCTGCGCTTAAACATCCCAGTGACTATCTCGGTACCTTCCGCTACTTTAACGTCTAGCCCCGTCCTTCGCCCCCTTCGTTCCTCCCCTTTTGCTTTCTCATGTGGACCACTCCCTTGTTTCTGGTTACTTCTAGACTCATTTTGGCCCAGTACCAAAGCTGATACACCCTGACAATTTCTCTACACTAACCACATTGGAATTGCTTGTCAATGATCATCGCGTTTCCGATGGTAACCGAAGTAGCGAGACTACAAGATACCAAGCACGATGCAATGGAGACGGGGCGGCGTGACTGAGCCATTGACGTCCTTTTGCAGCATTTCGCAGTTCATTTGACCTGCTGCAACCTTCGGTGCAGATTCTCCGTGCTTCCTGCCGTTCCGACCCTTGGGGCTCATGCGCCCTAGAGTCACGCCCGAGCGTTCCCCCATATGGAGCTTGAGCTCAGATAGATCCGATGTCACCAGTGGAGGTTCAAAGGGCGATCATTATCCGTGAGCTCTGATAGGTCCAGGCAGTCCACTCCGGGATGATCATTGGACGTTCCGCCGCCCTACGGTCGATCACTGAGGCCAGAATCCTGAATCGATCTGCAGCAACGCGTATCGCAGATCTTTGAGGGACCGAGTCCAGGTCTTTGGTATGCCTGCAGATTCTTTGGGGGTACTTTTGTTGTAATAGGCCGTTGGCTAATGGAAGCTGCCGCTTAGCTATAGCTATGACCTCCAATTGAGACCTGGATTTCCTCGTTCAGACTCATACATTCTCTGGCCGTGGCAGAAAGCATGGTTGGTGGAGGTGGTGAACGAAGCTCTGAAACACCACGTGCATAAAACAAACAAACAAAGACCAAAACTGTTGTCTGGAAAGTGACCGACCTATCCAGTGGATGATTATTCCAAACCTGGACATGCCACCCTGCATGCAGGGCAGGCCTGGCTACTTCCGGCCCCCAGGACATTGCCCATGGCACTTGAATGACCTTATTTTCCTTTAATTTCAAATGCACATGTCGTAATTGGCGACAACTCAGCCTCATATGATTCAGAAGGCTCCACTTATATCCCCATCCCTGGGCTGCGCGCGCTTCAGGTCGCTCTAGGCTACGAGTAACCATTCTCATTGGCTTGAGTCCGACGCCCCTTCGTCCAAGACCCACGGGGATTGTAACTCACTTCCCCCGCGTTGCACTTTGGGCATGTTTAGTACCAAATGGTTATTCAATTCTTAATTAGAAAAAGCATTTTCTTCTTATAGGGGGCTCATTTCCTGATCTTCGAACCTTTCAGAATCATTGTCTGATTCAAAAATCTTTCCATTGAGCTATCCCACACGATATCAAGTTAAGGATGGCGTCGTCTCCTTACAATACCCGACGGGGGTACCAGAGTGTACAACCCAATCAACATGGCTTGGAATACCCCTGGACTCCTGTCAACAATACTTCGCCTGTCTTCTCAAACCCAGGACAAAGCGTTTCACCTTCCCTTCGTAGGGCAGTGCCTGCCCAGGTTCCATCCACTCCAATTAGACCCAACGGTCCTCAGATCATTTATTCGCCGACCTATGGAGCAGCTCCCACGTCATGGGGGGTTAACGCCACTCCAGTAGCTTATCCCGAGCCCATGGTCAGTCCCCAGAATGTCTCATGGGCAGACTGGGGCCATTCGTCCCAGGGCAGTCCCCCGCCACAGGGCAGCCTACAGCCAGCTCTCTCATTCAACGCTGTAGCGACATTGCCAAATACTGGCTTTGACGATCCAACCCCCACAGGAGGCGAAGATGGCCATGGATGCAGCCATGCTAGCCACGCCGAGTACGTCATGTGAAACCGAATTGAATCACTTGTATTCTGACCTAAACTCTGAAAATTGCAGCCGTCATCAGCCTAGCCAGATCAAGTGTAAATGGGCTGGCTGCACGTATTCCGGAGTTTTCACTCGAGAGACATGCTTATGGCGACATATCAAATCTAAGCATGTTTCTCCAGGCATGTTTCCATGCACTTATCCTCAATGCGACAAAACCTTCGGTCGGAGGGACAAGCTACTTGGTCATATCCGACAGGCACACATTAGATCTGGTGAACATTGTCCTTCTTGCCATTCCTAATGATTGAGTTTCATTTCCTTTTGGCGGCTTCCCATTGGGTGCTGGTTGCACCCTTCTTTAATATAGAAACCATACTCAACACTTTCGGGCTTCATCATTCTGTGGGGTACAGGAGAAGGGCTAATTACAGGCGTTGTGAGTTTAGAAACTCTCCATAATTGAATTGTGATTTGGTCGGAGTAAATTAGTTTAATGGTGCAGGATGCAATCGCAACTTTATCGACAGTGACTTTCTCGATTAACCTTTGGGGGCGCTAGAGGCGCTGCTGATTATAAGCCTACAATCCTCTTCCTATATCCCAACTTTCAGTGTTAGCTTCTTGATACAGCTGTTGACTACAATGTTACTTTACACTATTCTCTATAATAGAAGCCGTCTAGAGCGGATAACGTGCAGTAAGTAGTCAACCTACGTCAAGCCGTTAATGTTCAGCTTGATTCCAGATCAGCGACTAGCCCCGCTCTTATTACTCCGGTTATGTTCTATGGGATACTTGCCAGTTAGTTGGTGGACTATGAAAAGTACTTCGGATACTCCCAGGCGTATATACGGGAGCTGGTCCCCGACGCTGTCGACGATTCCATGACGGCCAGCACCCTCAGCCAACCCGAAGGTGGTGCGGGCAAATCCGCTCAATGAACATGTCGCCGATTGGAACTAAAATCCCAGGCCTGGCTCTTTGCTAGAGATCCTAGTCCGGCAGAGGGGGCTTCTTCTCTGGGTTATCTGCCACATCTTGTAGCCCGCTGAGCCGTTTTTGCTCCTCGAGCGGCCTTTTTCTACCCTCCCTTGTCCGGTCATCCTTGCTGCTCTGTAGCGCTTCTTGGCCTTTTCTGTACATTCTTTTCTTGGGTTCAGTGGGTATTCTGAACGTGAGCGCCCATTCAACCCCGTAGATGATGATTCGCAGGGAAACCGGTCCCAACTGCCCCTGATTGAATCGATTATTCCAGCCCCTCTGTCCCTTCACCACACAATCATTTCACAGCCTGGTTGTCATGGAGATAAGTTTCTTAATGGCTTGGTACAGCCCCTAATGAGCTGGGTGTAAGTTGTTGATGTAAGAGGTGACCTGGCCCTCCGGAACGACGTCATGGAGAAATTCCACTTCGCACGGAAGGCTTTGATAGTTGGAACTCCAGTGCTAGAAGGCGGACTTGTCGCCATGGGGAGAGCTGATACCCCAGCACGGATTGCTATATCTATCTATGCTCTCCTGCAAGGACTGGGAATTGGTCCGTCGATCGTAATGCTCAGGCGCGACCGTTGCGTCTCGATAGGAGCCCAGCACGTTGTCGATATCAATTTTTCTTCCGTCCGTCAAGACCAGGCTTCGTCAATAAACCAAGCGAAATAAAAACGCATCAACAACATTCAACACGGCTAATCTAAAATCCGTTGTTCCTGCTGCTCCTCCAATCAAGCCGGAGCGGACCCTCTGAACACTGAGAGAGTCCAGAGTCTCCGCGTCTGCCTTGCACACGCACAATCCGGTATCAACAACGCGGATATGGATCTGACAATTCTCGCGGAGATCAACCAGTTTGTCGCGTAGCTCCTTTATGCACCATCCCCACGCCTCTTCGCTTATCAGTAGGTTTGTGTCAAAGGTCGCTTGTTTCCATTTCGTGACAACTTCAGTGTCGAAGACATCCCCATCCCAGGCAGGCCGATCGGAGAGTTGGTTCATCACGGCAACCACGGTTAGCTCGCGGGCCGTGACTTGTCGCCACGCCACCACTCCGTGCGCAAAACGCACGTTGGACGGGAGTTCATAGTGGATCGGGATGCCTGCGAACCCTGGAATTCAAAGTGGACCGTGGTCAGTATTGTCGAATCCGGTGTGAACCTAATCTATCGCTTCGGTCGGCATGAGAGAGGAATATAGTCTAGGTAGACTTTGAAGGGGAAAGAAGGAAAGACAGGTATCTTCAACTAACCGAACTTGCATGCGGATTAGTGCCTGGGCAGGGATTGCGCCCGAGTTACCCTCTCCACTACCATCTACAAAAATACATTTCTTCCAACCAAAACACCGAAATTCCTTTCAGATATAGCTAATTTTACTTTGATTAATCTTGCGCCTAATCTCTCTATATCTACTATACCTAGACTGTGCGCATCTGGCCGGCCGAGGAGGTGAAATTGGCGATTCAGTGACCTCTAGCCTAGGTGATGGCACGCGCCCGATAGCCTCGGTAGGGGGCTATAGGATCTAGGATAAGGCCTGGCAAATAGGCGACCTACATCAAACCATTAGGTCCAAGAGTTCGGCTCGATTCCAGACCAGCGACCAGCCTCGCTTTCAGTACTCCGTATATTCTAGGGCAGGGACGTTTGGCAGCCACACGGACTTCGCTCATAACAATGCCTAAATCCACATTATCAATCAAATAGGATCATGCAGGTGTCATATTACTAACAGCTAGCTAACTAATGAAGCTAGCGTTGACAGGCTGTGCTCCAAGGCAGAGTTCAGGCAGTGATCTGCGTAGGGTCTTTGGGCTGGAATAATCGTCGCAGAACTAACTCTTTTAAACTAGATCAGGCCTCCACCCACTCATGTTAAAAGAACGGCAAGCGGATCAAATAATCCCACCGCACCGGAGATGATGCCACGCGGATTAGTATACATGGGCTACTTGCTTTCTCGGCAGCAGGGTGCTTGTTTCTCTGCGTCGGCCTCCAATTCTGGACCGAAGAGCCTTGGGCTTCCGAAGTTCCTGTTTAGGTAGTTTCAATTAACCCTGACGGGTAGTTCGGTCATGCTTTTCTCTAGAGCGATTTCTTATTTTTCCGAAAAGATAGATCCATCTCATAGTTAGTGAAAGTCGCTACAAGGTCCAACCAAAAGTCCCATATATATTCCATGGTACATTATACTACGTCCACGTGAGACAAATTCTGGCACCGATGGATCGACCCAAGGCATATTCCACGGAATGATACGGAAGCTTCAGCTGGTGATGGCAAGAGCTCTTTGCATGACTGGGCCGGTTGATAGAGACTAAGCCCACGGACGATGTTGAGCCGAGTCAGCCCCCGCATAAACCCGGGTGACAGACTGCTGGCTTTTCGAAGGGCCGTTCTGTCTTTGGGCTGGATTGCATACATGCGCCTGATGACTGACGAGACTGACTGCGCCAACTTTGTTTGTTGGAACATGAGAATTACGGATAACTAGATTGACCAATGAGAGAAAAATTTTAGTCGGAAAATTATTGGACGGTCTGAGAAGCCCTTTTTATCCCCGTTGATGAGGCTCCTGACTCGTTTTGAATGGTTAGATTGGGTGGATGGGCCGCAAAGCAAGATCATCTGAGGAGATTCAGTACATTTGCTCTACTTGTATAGGCGCCCGCCTACTGCGCCTCCCATGATTCTACCTACCATACCAGGAAATAGAAAATAAATATGAGGCACTGAATCGCCCCCTTTTTTGTCCTGTTGGAATTCTTGCTTGACGGAACTCACTCTATCCCTATTGTATTTTATCAAACAACATTTTCTTCTCTGTCAATACCTCACAACAAGCCTGCCCACCATGCCGTCCCCACCAATGAACCGGAATATCAGCGACTCCAATCCCCGAGGACCAGATGTGGCCAACCTGCCAAGGACCTGGATGACCCCCAACGAGTACTTCCACAATTTGGCCATTTCCATGCCGGTCATAGAAGATCTTGCTACATCCCAAGCCAATGCCGTCTCACAATCCAGACTCGTGCGGTCTACCATGCCCCTAAACGATTCAAAAAGTGCCATTCCTCCAAACTGGACTCCCCAGGCCACGGACCTATGGCATCAATGCCCTGAGAACTGGACACAGCTGGATCACAATGTAGGCAATCAGGATACCCCCGGACGGACCCAGGCCCCAATTTCAACCAGGATGGAAAACGGTGCCGTGAACCCACCCCATCCCTGATAATCCAAACGCTGCCGGGATTTCAAGACCAAGATGGATTGAGGGACTAACTGTCTTTTAAAACCAGCCCGGCCAATCATTTTCCAAGCCTCTTTCAGAGCACGCAGTAAATAGAGCGACTGACACTCGTGATGTTACTGACGGCAGGTTTGCTCAACCTGGCCGTCAAGGACCCAACCCAGGGTATGTTGTTCCAGATTACCGACCATGACAATCCGTTCAGGTCTATTGTTGATGAGGGAATAACGCCTGGCCAATAGTGTCCTTCAAGAACGAAGATGTCATTGGCAAGGTTGCGCGTATACTGGTCAATTCTCAAGCGAATCGTCCCTTATGCGACACATCAAAGCAACACACGTATCTCCAAATTCATACGAATGTCATCATGAAAAATGCGGTAGGGCATTTGGGCGTAAGGACAAGCTTCAAGAGCATCTCCGAGGTGCTCACAAAACCCCAACTCAACATGAAGGGAGCAAGTGCTCCTGTCTTCATGTTTAGTTAGCCCCAAGACGGCATTGCTAGCACTGGGATTGCATGGCAGGTATCTAAGTCCACAAGCGACAAATTAAAGTTTTCAGTATCTGGGAAATGGTAAAGTTCCAGTATTTGAGGATTGGCAGTGGTACCAGGTGTTGATAGGTTTGTAATAGAGGGATCATGTTTCCTCATCATTTCTTTTGTCATTTCCTTTAGGCGCAATTCCCTCAGTCTTTTCTTCTTCTCCTCCTTTCTTTTTTGGATATCCCTTGCTTTATGGTGTTTTATAAGCTGGAAAACTCGCAAGAGTTAATGTGAGCTCCGTCTTAATGAGGATCTAATTTATCATTCTAGGCCAAGGCGTGCTCTTCGAAATTTAGCTGTTGCTTACTCTATGTTTTGACCATCTCTTCAATTTCATGACTCTTACTTGATGGACAATTTTAAATACGCATAGTCTATGAACAATCACACACACTATTTGCCATGCCATTTCAGCTTATAGATATTCAGTCATGGAGACCTTTCTGAATCGCAGAGCGAAGTTCACTCCTACGGTCCAGTTTTGGAGCCACTATGGGCCGACACGAGACCTAGCCTTGCCGAGCATAAATATTTCCCCTATATGTCCTATTGCGACGGGATGAGCTGATCGATGGGGATAGTCGTCCCAAAGTCGACGCCTTGCCGGAACCGGGGCGGGATGCCGAAGGTGGCGGGTAATGCCCTTTAGTAATGAGCTTGATGATAGATCAGAAACGGGGCAGTGTTTGGCCATGGCCAATCCCTGCTGAGTAGCAAGAGGGATTAAATTTTGCTCTTGTTTAATGAGACTCAGCTATGTATCAGGGGGAGGCAAACCACTGAGCTTAATTAAGCTAATGACTTTCTATGCTAACCGCTCCCGCACTGCCGACAACAAACACAATGCAGATCTTTCAAGTTATCCTCGTGCTTTCTGTGTTTCCTTTTGATATGTCCATATTTTAGGCTCGACGGGTGGATGCCCACGGGTTTACTGTAAGATCTTGAGGGATCCATTTAGTGAGGCATGGATTCCAGCTTTTTTCAAACAGAACCCGGGTTGCATGAACTTCCCCTCCCCCAATCAATAAAGCTCATATATGCGGAGTGTTGTACTCCTAATGATAGAACGGTACCATGAATTATTAAGTTCTAAACATATTAGCACATGCAGTGTATACTAAGTATTGTTATGGTTTCGGCTAAGGAGCTCTCGCCCGTGGTACACTGGTTCCACTGTGGGCCTGTGGGGACTACTACCTCGTTTACCATTTATGGCAGCAATTCAGACATCGGGCCTCTAATTTTAAGATTAATCGGGTTAATTAAATAAGAATTCTTCTTATCCATGTAGGGGACCATAACGTTGGAAATTATTTTTCTGCCTAACTGTGCTCCAACTCGCTCCCTTGGCAGATTGAAAGTTCGGGCGCTACTGGCGCCTAAGTAGTTTTAAAGGGAGCTTTTCCAAAGAGACAGCTTGCGTTTACCCTTTGGAGATCGAATTGGAAAGATGAGGCAATAAGTTCCCGATCCCTTGAGCGGCTGTCTCGGCTCAAATTTTGACCCTAAGGCAATGCACAAAACGTACAGAGTACTTGATGCACACAAGCATCATCAGTGGAGCTCTACCACGTGGCAGATGTTTTAAGGCGTTGATCCTCGCTTACATCTGTCTCTACCCCGCGGAGCCTCTTCTTAAGCCATGTTACCCCTCGTCATTCGCCCGTGAATGAGGAGGTATGGGGCAAGGCAGATTGTGATTCGGAGTACTGCACTATGATGACATTCCGCTAAAGTCCTGGAAAGGTACCGCTTAGGATGATCACATCCCATCTCCACCTCTTTCGTACTTTTACGCCTTACGTGCAAGGTGTGATTGAATTTCAAATGTCAGCGCCATTCACGCAGGGCCTGAATAGAACCAAGCGTACTAAAGGCTTAGAATCATCTCAGCGTAGAGGGTGGTAGAATAAAATAGCATTTTTTCTTGTTCGAAGGATTCTAGTAAGCTTCATGTGAAAAATGTACAGTCGGTAGACTCCTTTTGGGCAGAGTTCTGAATAGATAATACTCGCCACCCACATGAAGGGCCGCAATATTTCAAATCCACAACTTTCAACCCTTTTAATTCGGATACTATTATCCGAGGTCTCAGGAGCCGCATTCTAGATAAAAAGGATTAGCGGTCGGCAAGATGAGATAGCAAGCTATCTACGACAGCATCCACGCATAGTCGAGGATCATGTGTAACCCTCCGAGACCCCACTTAGACCACCCAAAATGATGGGCGAGGCGTTTGAATTATCTATAGTTCTCGGCTTTCCCTCAGGGCTAGCTACTCTACTTCCTTCTAGAACAGGTACATACATTATTAATGTTCTTTTGCAATCCAAGAAACTGGAGTGTGCGCAGGCGGCAAGTCTCCTTGTGCGTCCACGGGTCGGATTGCCTTCTGTAGGCATCTAGCTCTATTAAGGAAGATGGGGAGCACTGTAATGATTATGCGCGGTGGCATAAGGCTGGAGCACGATCGTGCTAGCCCAATCACTTTTAACATACATTAGGCAGCATTGAAAATTGACTTGAATTCCTTGCATGCGTCCAATGAAATCCGGATAGCCTCACATTTAAATCGCAAACGCCTTGCAATTCGCCCTTCGGCAGTTTCCGGGGGTACGTTCCTAAAGTCATTCGACAACACCCCTAAATACAGGGGCGCTTACCGCCTCACTGATATTGGAATTGGCACTGCGGCTTGGATAAATGGGGTCCCTGGCCCAGGAGTTTCAGGGTGGCTTGGGGGGCTCTGGAACCAAACTCGCACGAGATGCGCTGGCTACCTATTTGAACTCCCAAATGGTCTTCGCGAACTGGACTATTTCCCCAAGATTCCATGTCCTGCGCCGCTGTAAGCCCGTGGTTTGTTTTATTTTTCCATTCACAAACCCCTCCCTCGGCTTTTTAGCTGCTCAGGAAATCTTGAATGATGGCTTCACGCTCTCAACCCATCTTTATCCCCGACCGAGTCCCCCATGCTCAACGACAGGGAATGGGGCCCCATAACCAGCCGAATGCCTATCCTGGACAGCTGGATGTAGCGCGCTCCGACCATGGAACATCAACCAGCTTTTTGAATCAGGATCCTCACACCCCCGATATAGACACAGTCTATGGACCAGTATCTCCATTGATTCCGACTTACGGATCTTCTTTGCCGGAGCCGTCTTGGCCTCATTTTGATGCAAACCGTATGCTATACTCCGCAAACAACTCTCCGGAGTCTTCTTTTCGTGTTGGAAGGAGTGGTACTACGGTCGCAGATGAGGCGCCTCATACAATGAACAACCTTACGCCTCATCCGACGCCTCTCATGTCTCAGGGTATATATGTTCCTCGGTCTTTGGTTGGTAGCCAGTCGGCACAGCCTCTACCCGTCGATATTGAGTATGTCCACTTTGAGAACGCACTTACTAGCCATCTGTTCTGCCATTCTGACAGTCTATACTAGGTATGATGATCTCCCTGACATAATTTGCGGTTGGACTGGCTGCCCCTACGAAGGGGGGTTTTCCCGAAAGGCAAGTCTATGGCGACACATCCAGGACCAGCATCTTCAAAGGCATTTGCAATGTTCGATGTGTTTCGAAACCTTCGGACGCAAAGACAAATTTAATAATCACCTCCGACACGTTCACAGCGACATTGGAGCGAATTAAGGACATGAGATGTGCATTTACTAGCCAGTGAACTTTTTGTATTGGAATTTACATGTTAGTGAATGTCCTTTGATCCTGTTGTTTATGATCAATTGTTTTGTGACTTTTGGCGAAGGATTTCTTTTAGTTCGGCGTGCAGTATCAATGCTGGGGAATAAATATCCAGGGGGGACGGCACGGGAGACTTGGTTCGTGAACTGGGGTCTTCTCAGTTTATTTTGGTATCTCTAATTTCCCAATTAATCAGACTGGTGCTTAGATATGCAAACCCATGAGTTTTTCCATTAAAACTACACTACTATCACGCTACTGGAACTGACCTCAAGGGGCTCAAAGTAATATCGGCATATGTACTACTGATGTATGAGGCTCAAGCTTCTCCCAAATGCAAAGAAATGACCTCGAGTGCGCCGATAGGTTACTCATCCAAGATGAGCGTAGGTCACGTTACACCCATGATAGGCCAAATTGAAACCACATTTTATTGGGACACGTTCCACGCGCAACCGATCATAGTTACAGCTCAGCCCCCTCCACGCAAAGAACTAAATTATATGTTACTCCAAGGTTTCAGTCGATCGGCCTCGGTAGGCTGTGACTTATGTCCGAGGAAGATCAAAGTTGGCCCGCGTCCCGTTCGGATATCTGAATGTTGGCCCCTTTGAATACATATGAAGGCCTGACGAGGTCTGGACGTGCACGTTCCCACGGTCGCAATGGATGACTTGACTCGCCTAGCTACACAATCCCAACTACTGAACATTATTCTTGCCCGAATGCGCGTTTAGCGAAAATGCCGCCTAACCCTCGGTCCTTATCGACGATCTATAGCTATAGCTTGAGTGGATCCTAATAGTGTTAATAGCTATATGAGCTGGCCATGAACCATCCATCGACAGAAAGGGCACCCGGGTAGATGACAATTCATCACATGGATCAGACTGGTGCTCTCTGACGTGTACAACTGATGCTGCTGAGCTTGGGATATAGCCCCGAGGAATCGCGAGAACATAGATTGGTCACAACAGCCAGCCGCCTTAACGTTAAAGGATTGTGGTTAATCACCCGCTGGCGCAGTGTCTTTTCACTATTTGACAGGTAACAGCAATGGGGCGCGCGCCTCGGAGGTCCCCTCAGTATTTTCCCCAGGATTTAGCACCCGGGTTGGAGCTTTGACATTGCTGACGATCTATCGATTCCAGGGACGCTAACGATTTATCTGGGATCCGAACCTCGATTGGTCACAATTTTCATTTTTTTTTGTTCAAACTTCCCGACTGATGACAGGGCTAGTTCAGAATAACTGTGAATTTCCGACTTTGCAGACACCCGCTAACAGGTATTTTCGAGGCCGCCTATAGCTTCGGCGTACTCCGGTAGGCTGGAGGTAGAATACCAGCTAGAGCGGCCTTGATTTGAAGAGCCAGTGTACGAGAGTGCCATCGGTGCTGCTGGGTATAGCCACCCATAACCCAGAAATTGTCAATTTCCCGATGGCGCTTCCACATACCACGAACCTCCCCCTCTGCATCAACCCCCCATGTCCCCTCCAACCGGTCTGCAATGCCCCGGGGATCAAGCACACCTCGTATTTCCCCGTTGGCACTATTATTCTTCATCGAGTCACCGCCTAAGATTCTCAAGGCAGTTTCACACACATTGGAGTCAGCGAAACCAGTGCACCAGATGATTGCATCTGCATCAACGGCTGTGCCATCAGAAAAGCGCAGTCCAGTGGCGGTATACCCGATGGGCTCAGTTCCTGCCTTGATGCCGACCTTGCCTTCTTCGATTAGCTTAGTGCCACCCACGTCGATATAGTGGCCACCGGCTCGCTCAAGTAAATTATGCATTAGAGACTGCGTTGGGTCACTGCTATCGAGAACGGGGAAGCCAGCGGCCTTTAGAGCCGCATAGCGCTCTGGTTCCTTTGACGCAAACATCGCAAACAGACCACGCGCTAGCTGGGCATCTATATGAGCGGGTAGGGTCATGAACATATGGTCGGCTGCCTCAACACCACTGTCGTATGCACCAAGGCTCATTGGGTGGCAGCAATAGTCCACGGGTGCAATGTATGTCGGCGAACGGACTACCATGGTGGACTGGAGTCCTGCGGCGTGGCAGTCCTCGAGTACGTCAAATGCTGTATTCGCAGAGCCAATAATCAAAACAGACTTTTGATGTATTTAGTATCACGTCTTTTACATCTGCGAGGTCAATCACGAGTAACACTTACTTGCGCCCCTTTCTCTTTCAGCTCTCGAGCATTTTTATATTGTGCGGAATGCAAGCTAATACCCTGATATAGGTGTCGGTCTCCTATGGTCGGAACATTTGGCTTTTGCGAACCAATGCCAGTTGCCAATACGAGCTGTTTTGAGACAGCCGTATATAGACCAGTGGGAGTTCGGAATTGGATTTCCCACTTTCCATTTGATGGGTCATATTGAGTTGACTGGATTTCCGCCGAGTTGATCATATTGAGGTTGAAAGTCTCCACGTAACGTCGAACCTGTGCTGCCAGCTCATCCTTCGTAAGGAGGTGGGGAGTCTGTAGCTCCTTGTCATATGCTGATACCCCGGATTATTATCAGCATCTACCCACAGCATAATTTTCAAAGTGTTGTCAACATACTCATGAACGGCATCTCACAGAATGAAGTGGGAATATGGAACTTCATGAAGTCATATCGAAGAGCCCAGTTATCGCCAGGACGCGGGTTCTTTTCGACCATGACGCTGTCTACTCCGAGTGCCTTGAGACGCGCAGAGAGAGTGGTGGCGCTATTTCAAATACGAAGTTAGCCATGTAGCTCTTATGATGACTCCGCTTGAAACCTACGCATTTCCACCTCCGACGATAAAGACGTCCGTCTTAAAGCTACTCCCATCATTAAAATGCCTCGCGGGTAATTGAAGGAGATTCTCATCCTCTTGTTGTACATCCAAGCTCATAAGCCTGGTGCATAGAATCCATATCTTCCACTGGATGGCAGATTCTTCATTCTCAGGGTCAGCCCGAGTGGGCAGGAGAAGCATTTTCCCCTTACAGGTAGCAGCAGGCGACTCAGTGCGGAAAGTTAGTGGGCAGTCAATAAATTGCTACGCAAGTCAGTTATTACGTCTCAGGATTTGCTTCTAGAAAGCCCTCTACGCCAGTCGTTTGCTTACCAGAACTGGCGTTGCGGGTAAGAACATCGCTGCTCCGTCCAACGTAATCTCCCCATTTACGGCCCTCAAAGTCTTCGTCTCCAAAAGACTCGCTGCAATAATTCTCGGGCTCTCGAATGTGCGCAAATGGTAGGTCAACGCAAGTTGATCTTTCCAGTAGGCCTGGCTGGCGAAGAAACAACCAGCCAGTGATTCACCATCATCTACAGCAAGAGCAGTATTGACAGTGTTCAACACCAACTGTGCCTCCTTGGTTGCCGCATCGCCAGCCATAATAGCTGGGTCTACTAGACCAGGGGTAAGCATAGGTAGTGGATTTTGGTCCATCATCCTGCGCAGATCCCCTCGTAGGGGGAATTCATCCTGGGACGGGGACGCATCACTGTCTATCACCGTGCGTCAGTATTTAGAATTCAGACCGCCACGATTAATGAAACATGAACTCACTGTTAGCCATGGTTTGTGCTTCTGATCGGGGGAAAAGATGATGATCCGAAAAACTGCAATGCGGGGTTTATAACTAGGGGAAACCTCTCCCGCTGTTCACGGGCCTGCATCAGATGAGCGTCGTCACACAAGATTACGGCCGTATTTAGTCTAGGAAAGATTGTCAACTAACCCGTGCGAGCTCCATAACGGCCCTAGTGGCAGCTCCGGCCCGCAGTCCTTAATCCTTCGCGTGTAACTAAGTGGGTTGGAGCTTAGACAAGAGGGCGGAGTTCTTCCGAGGCTGTCTATTTTCGACAGAATGTAGAAGGTTGTTTGCTAGTATTATATTTACCCTGGTTATCATCCGCGTTCTCCGGTATTTAGAGCGTTTTGGTTTCATGCTTAACAAAAGTACATATTGTTTTCCAGATCCCCGGGCCGCTAATAATAATCCAGTAGAGACGCCACTAGCAAAACAATGAGGAGGAACTTTGACATAGCGGTCGACCTGTCACAAGAGTGGGCCCTGTTCCCCAATTGCTGGAAGTGTGGCCCACATCACACATCCGCAAACAACAATATTGTATGCTGATCTGTTGTCTCGCCCGCGGAGACAGTGGGGGTTATGCCTGTAGTTAAGCTTGTCTTGGATTAAGACAAGGCCGCCTATGATTGACTTTGTCTTTCGAGCCCAGCGGTTTCCTAAATTTCTGATGGTATCACCGTTTTGAAACCACTCATTATATCGATCGTAGGCTTATAAAAAAAGCCATGAAATTTATCGCTCTCAGGGTCGCAGCCAGGGGTCTACTGGCGGAAAATGATCCTGATCTTTTCAAGACGTCCGTGGACAGCGGGTGGCTAAGATAGGTCCACTTCTCACGAGCTCTGATTAAGACTCATCTATCCGTTCTGCATGATCCAGACTGCAAAAAAAGAAAGCAAAGATGATGCGACACGGTCAAGGCTTCCCAGGTACTAATGTTGGTAGTCATGACGTGACGAACCGTTTGTGTCATCCCTAGGGGCATTTCAGAGCTGTCAATGGTGGGCGATCGCCTTTTTCGCCGACTAATATATTCCCTACGCGACCGAGTAACCTTTGAAATCTTTCCTACTTTCGCCTTTGTGACCTTTTTCTGATGATCGGCTTTGACTGTCATGTCGCTGTCACCAGAGGCCCTTGCCAAATTACTGGCACAGCCAGCTCTGTCGCCTCCTCCTGGTGTGACGCCAAATTTTGATAACCCTCCCAACTCCAATCGTCTAGCATGGTTTGTGACAACCTTTTGCATGGTAATTGCTACCATCTGTCTTTTGCTTCGGCTCTTTTCGCGATGCTGGCTTGAGAAAAAGCTCCGTATAGAAGAAGGTATGTGAGGATGGCTCTCACGGGCATTGGGCTCGAATACACGTTGCTGACACTCACGCTCACTAGGCTTGATGATTTGCGCATATGTATGTCTCACTTCTCATTGTCTTGGTTCCCGAGTCTACATCTCGATAATTTCTAATCAGCAAGCTAAAGGGAGCATACTGGGGCACGGCTTACGCTGGATATGCCTTAATATACACCCCAGGCTATGGGGTCCACACGTGGAATCTCCACAATAAGGATCTGACCCGGCCTCTCTATGTACGTGACATTGTTAAAGCTTGATCAAACCCAATCCAATTCAATGCAGATACTGACCCGTTTTTTTCGTTAGCTTATTCTCATCTACGGCTGCTGTTACTCGGCGACACTCCCCCTGATCAAGACTGCCATTCTGCTGGACTGGTGTCGAATTTTCTTTCCTATCGACAGAGCCAGAAATTTATTCTGGTGGGGCTGCACGAGCATCATAACCCTGCAATGCCTCTGGGGAGTTCTCTGCATTATCCTTCTCAATGCGCAATGTCGTCCGCACGAGGCTATCTGGAAATTCTATCTTCCCAGCAAATGCTATTCACTCCCCGACGTTATGCTTACCTCGGCAACGGTGCAGGTGGTCTCTGACATTGCCATGTTTCTGCTCCCTCAAAGAATTATTTGGAGGTTACATATGAACTGGCAGAAAAAGATTGGCATCTCGATCATCTTTGGAGTTGGTATACTGTAAGTCTCTCTATCGGACCTTGAATAGCTCAAGTCTTCGATATTCCGGGTACAGGCTAATCACCACATAGTGCATCTGTTGCAGCATGCCTGCGGCTTGCTCGTACAGTCGACTTTGCCCGAGACACTGACAGCATGTACCTGCTCAGTCCTCTTCTCTTCTGGGCATGCGGTGAAATGACTTGTGGCTTTTTTATTTTCAGCGTGCCTTGTCTGTCCAAGATCATCGTGGAATCTGGTCTACCACGGAAGGTGAAGAGTTCTCTCGGCTTCAGCGCAAAATCAACTTGGCCTTCGAATGGAACCCCCGATCACCCTCCCACCTTCGGATCAAATCCTGTCCGCAAGCCCTCCGTCCATAAGCCTTGGACAACTACGGACAGCACATACTCTAGGATTCAAGAGGGCGGCATTCCATTGGAGAATACAGGAAAATCTGAATCCCAGACAACTCTTCATGTTGGGCCCCAATCACATGAGGAGCAGCTACCTTTGCATGTGACTTGCACGACGAACATTAGTATTGCTACTGAGTCTCGCTCGCACTCTGACAGTGAACGAGATAGTAAGGGGAATTGGCCATGATCGATTACATGCAATTGCAGGGTTTCAGAAACGGATTTTTCTTCAATCGTTGTCAAGTTGCTATCTCGAGAGTCCAAAGTCATGTCACTCGAGGCCAGAAGAATTCGGGTGTCACACGCGTGAATATTTAAAGTACAGAATATCCATTGTACAAAAGGTTCGACTGAGCCCAAATATAGTGAACCCTCTAAACGAGCTCTCGAGTTTTGAGATTTTTGTCATCAGGTGGACTAAAGAATAGTCAAGTTTGAGCATTCTTGAATGGCCATTTTCGCTTTGTTCCCTGAACGAAACGCAAAGTGTGTACGTAAGACAAAACAAGTAACTTAACTAGTTAGTTAACTAAGGAGCATAACTCTACACAATGCCTACTAATGAGTCAAGTAAGAATCGAATGATTTAGGTCTATCTACCAATCATACAACCTCTGGGGGTTCTCCACCATCAGTGTCTTCCACTCATAATCCGACAACCACGAGCGCATGGTCTTCAGCCAAGCCACATCGTCAACCTCTAGATATGGAGTCTCTGCTAATGCCTCCTCTCTCGTTCGCACCTTCATCAAGGGCGTATGAGGCCTATCAGACAAATATCAGCACGCTTGCAGCTTCACAACAGATCAAGTAGTCCATACCAATCACTTCCCCACAAAAGCTGTTGTGGATTCGCATCAAACAACGCCCTAACAAGCGGTTTCAAATCGTCAAAATCCGGAGCCTGGGTACTAACCCGGTAGGGTGCACTGATCTTCACAAAGATATGACCCGCCCGAACTAGATCCAAGATATCTTCAAACCCCTGCTGGCGCGTAAGATCACCTTTGCACTCAGCGGGCAACATACTCGCCCCCTTCAATAAGGCAAAATGATCCGTTACAAGCCGAATTCCTCGCGGCACGATCTCCTGTGTGATAACCGGCTTCAACGCACTCCAGAATTCCGGGTGCGTATGCGTAAACGCCATACTCCACCCAGTACAATTCCCATCAAGCGCGCGAGCATGAGCCGTCAATACAATCTTTTGAAGATCGACGTCGTGCATTGCGCTGTATCGGTACAAATTGACTCTGATCCCACGAATGCCGTTAGCATGCATTTCTGCAAGTTCAGCGGGTGTGATAATCTCTGGATCGATCACTGCGATTCCCTTTGTTACATCCCGGCCGAGGTCTGCGGTGAATGTGGTGAGACAGCTGCTGTCTGCGCCGTAGGAGAGACCGTGGGTTAGGACTGAGTGGGTGATGCCGGCCTTTTCTTTGAATTCATTATATTGCTTGATTGAGGCGGGAGGTGGGGTGAGATGCCGATTTGGGTCGTAGGGGAAGCGCTCAGCTATAGTACGTTTGTATCAAGCAGATTTTCAAATTGAGGGCACGATGTTATGGGATCTCACGTTCGAAAATATGGTGGTGGACGTCCCATCCGCCATCTGGAAAGAGTTGGGATGACATTCTTCCTCGGATATTATTCTTCGGGTAGTAAAGAGCAGGTTAAAATGGCAAGACAGATTCCAAAAGTGTATATTTGGGTCAACTTCGGCGTTAGGTCTTGGATTTATTCAGCGACAGGAGATGTAAATATAGAGAAGCTAACCGGCAAAAACCAACCCCGAGTGTTTCAAACATGGGGCAAACCCCAGCCAGTTACTGCATGGTAGACAAGGTAGATACCGACCGAGAAATCCCACCGAAAAAAAGGAGGGGAGCTCTCCAGCCTCTCTCGCGGAAGGACTGCGAGACTCCATAGTCTGGGGATGGTCCCGAAGTGGGGACACGGCATTGCGGTGGCTCTGGAGCTGTCCGGGTGGATCTGGAGCACTCCGAGACCATGAGAAATTCGGAATTTGAAGAGAGCTCTATTGAACGTCACACCCTTTTTTGTCGGCCTCAATCCGAACCTATTTTGCACCTCCTGTTTTCGATATTGGGATTGCGATCTCGCGATGTCGGAATGTTCCCCTCCGCATCTACTGGTTTGGTTTCTCCGTCTAACGTGCTACTGGTATGCGCTCGTGATGATGCCATTAGTGGTTTCATATATTCTCCAGCTGCCAGCCATGATAGACAAATATGATTTTTATCCAGCCGCGCCTTGAGGCTCACCCACATACTCCCACCAACTATGTCTACCCAAAAACAAATATCACCATGGCAATCCATATTGGCCGGAGGTGTTGCTGGCGGCTTTGAGAGTTTGATCACTGTATGAAAATACAACACGAAGTAAGAGAGAAAAGCGCTAATATTGTTGGCCATCTCCAGTATCCAACCGAATACTTGAAGACTCGCCAGCAACTTTACAAGTCTGGTGGCGCGACGAGACAATCACTCCCACAAATCCTGTCCTCAATCATTCGACATCATGGCATCCGGACTCTATACACCGGCGCGGGTATCTTCTGCGCCTCCAATGCCTCAAAGTCCGGAATTCGGTTCTTCACATTTGATATGGTCCGACAACTTATGCCGACTGATACAAAGGGGAAGGTTACCCCGCTAGGCAACATGTGCGCAGCCTTAATGGCGGGAGTGGCAGAGGCAGTTGTCGTAGTCACTCCTGGAGAAACCATTAAGACGAAGATGATTGACGACCGAGCTGGGCCGAAGCTATATAGATCGACTGGACATGCCATCGTCTCTATTTTCAACAAGGAAGGCCTGAGTGGGCTATACCGTGGCGTGATTCCAGTGACACTGAAGCAATCTGCAAATGCCATGGTGCGCTTTACAAGCTACAATATCTTTCTAGGAAAGATGGAGGCGACATCCATGCCAAAATCCGTCAGCACTGTAGTGGCGGGTGCTATGGCGGGTATTGTCACGGTATATGCGACGATGCCGTTCGATTCGGTCAAGACTCGACTGCAGGCTATCGATGCAAATCAGCTCTATCGCGGCTCGCTGGATTGCTTTCGCTCGGTGATCACACAGGAGGGCGTTTGTGCGTTATGGCGAGGAACTACGCCGCGATTGGTGCGGTTGAGTGTTCGTGATTCATCACCTTCTTCTATTGTTCAGTGGCAAGACTAACACTTTGACCATAGGTCTCGGGCGCTCTCAGCTTTTCGATTTATGAAGCTATTGTTCAGTGCACTAACAACCTGTCGATCAACAAGTCTCTAGGGATGAAAAAAACGAATCTGTAGATCGATTAAGAGATCTTGTAGGTTCATCAGTTGGATAGACGAAAAAAATAGTTGTGGAAAATGCGTACGGACTAGAATAGGATATCCCCTAGAGAGAAGGTTGATTAATGTTTGGCTGAGCAGTTAAAATTGAGTGTGGCCTAAGGAAGACAGGGGATCTCCAGGAGCACGCCTTGAAAATCATATCCCAATTAGTCTAGAGCATTTGGCTGGTTTGTTTGACGGAAACAAACATCTCGAAAAGTTGAACTGCATAGATGCGGCGTGTTTGCCTCGAAGCAAATGTAGACGTATCCCTTGATTCGTAGTGCTTTGCAAACCCAACCCTTTAGCGCTGGGTGTTCAAGGCGACCGGAATCGGAGCAATCGATTAGAAAGTCAATTTCTACGTATCAGCATTGATTAGGTTTTGTTTGCCGGCCCAACGGTTACGCCCATAGTTATGCGATCGGCTGTACCCCAGAATCGGCCTGTAAGCCAAGCCCTTCCCCACAGGCAAAACTTCCCGTCCTCATCTCCCCATCCCGAGCATCACCGGCATGATCATGCAGCTTCTAGGACCCTTCATCGTATAACGGTGGTCAAAACCTTTTGTCACTACCTCTAGCATCATCATGGCACCCGAGGATGGCAGTGCCCCGCCCCCCAGGAAGGTCCGCTCGGCATGCCGCCGATGCCGCCAGAAACGCGTCAAGGTGAGTCTCGATAGCTATCGCACTGCCAACAAGCTTCTGACAATTTATTTAGTGCGATGGCGGAATACCTGCCTGTAGTAATTGTGCTCGGGCAAAGGTTCCATGCATCGACGTTCATACGGGCAATAATGACCTGTCTATCCCGCGAGAGTAAGTCGATTTCGCCCAGTTCTTGATTTCTGTCTAAAATATGATCGATTTTGAATACAAGTTCTGATGGTAATGTTATAGCTTTGCAGTACGGTGTTGCGCTCGCATAAAATGGCTCGAACAGAACCTGGCCACTCTGTGCCCCGACTTTGACCTGTCGCAGGGCCCAAAAGTCAATGCAAGCTTCATGGAGACCTTGAACCTACCACAAGATCGCTTAGACACCCGAGATGTAGCTCCGATATATCGAGGGGGTGTCTCGGAGCTTCCTAGTCAGGACGAAATCCTGGGGGATGCAGCGACGAATAAACGCCCACTCTCGGTGATGGAGTCAGATGCTGACTCTCCGCTGTCTGCCAAGGCACGGTCCGTGGCGATTGATCTCGGGATGCTTTCATTGCAATCTGACTCGCGCCAGAAGCATTATCTTGGCTCCTCCTCTGGATTACTATTCGCCAAACTTATGGGTTTAGATAACGAAATACGTCCGGAGCAAGGTGCGAGCCAAGCACGTCGACTCACCCCTCAAAGAATGTCTACCGAGATTTACAGGCCGCTCTATGATCAATTAAGACAGGTAACGATCCTGACTCGAAATAATCGTGCGGTTTCTCTCGCAAAAGCATACTAACTTTCAAAGGAACTTCCATCACCCGAAGAAGCGTGCCTTTTGCTAGAAGTTTACTTCCAGAACGTTCACGTTGACCAGCCTTTCCTCCATCCTGCATCGTTGATCAACGCATATCATGCTTTATATCTGTGTGCACAGGCAGGATACAATGACTTAATTGATCGAAACGGCTGGATTGATGCCGTTGAAGCATTCCGCTATAATGGTCGGATAGACATAGCGGCAGGTTGTAACATCACTCCAATCTCCATCGCCACCGCCGTCTTCCATGTTTTCATGATCTTCTCCTTGTCAGCGACTATCTTGACCAGGAAGAAAAACTACGATTTCTCCCCCGCCCGATTCCATCGCATGGCAATCTCCACAGCCTCGGAAACATTTTCCAATATTTCAGTTACATCGCTACAAGCCATATTATTACTGGCCGTCCAAAGTCTTATTGAGCCCGCTGCTGTGAACTTGTGGACATTGACTCATATTGCTATGTCGCACTGTATCGACTTAGGCCTTCACCGAGAGCCAAGCGAATCCGACATGCCAAGTGGTGCGAGAGCTATACTGAGATTTATCTTCTCTACTGTCTACTCTCTCGACCGGTAAGATTGCCTTCCATAAGACGAAGTCTAAGATCTCAGTGTTGCTAATTGAAGACAATTAGATCAGTCGCCACCATTCAAGGTCGCCCGCTTGGAATTCGCGATGAGACCTTTGACATAAGACCACCAGAGGAATCTGATATTGCAGAGGTCATGTCATTGGCAGGCAGTGATTTGGTCATCAAACTACCAATGCCTCAGATTCTGGCCCTTTCAGTTGCAAGGTTCCGACTAGACCGGCATATATCAGAGATAAAGCTCTTGCTATACCATCTCCCGACCCGGAACCAAAGCTTTGTCTGGCCTACTAACCTCCCAGAGATTCAAACAAGGATCAAGTCTGAGCTGGATCACTGGCTTCTAAGTGTGCAGAGGATTGTCCCAGATGATGACGCGACTGACGAAGAAAGTCTTGACCTCCAAATCCAGAAGATGAGGCATGAACAACTCTACCATTCCGCCATTTCTCTTCTATTTCAACCGTCTCAAATGTTCCCATCGCCAAGTCAGGAAGCATTGAAACTCTGCTATCAGAGCTGTAGCAAGCGCTTGCAGATATACGATGCAGTCAGCAACCAAGACATGCTGTATTACAATTGGCGCAACATTCACGGGATCTTCTCGTCCGGCGCAACTATTGTATACTGTGCTTGGGCTTCACGAGATCTTAAACGCACACTACCCTTTGCAAAGTTGCTTCGCGATTTGCGGACTTGTTCCAATCATCTCAGTATCGGGAGCCAGTGGTGGCCCTCTGTGCGCAGTGGCAAAGAGAGTTTTGAAATGATGATCGACTTGATCATCAAATACTTCAGTGACATACAGCTTCAAATTCAAGATCTTCCTCCACCCACACAGAGGCAACGATGGCCGATCAGTTCCCGAACGGAAGATTCGCAGCTTCCTCCGTCCTATACTAGCGTATCAGGCATGGAAGAATATCCATCAGAGCACGGAAGTGCCCAAGAACAACAAAGACAAGCCCAGTCCGTGCAAAACAACCAAAGCCAAATATTTGCGATATGTAAGTCATTCTGGCTCTCTGAGAGGTCAACAAACCATGTCCGAAAATCAGCTTGGAACTTGCTAATAATCTGCATAGTGAACGACCCTCAACCATCATTCGAAAATATGGATATGTCTGCACCAGGGCACGGCTTGCACGACTTCGATATGCCGACGATCGAAGATGCCATGGAAAGTTTTATGGCAGAGTACCTGCATGAAGACTGGGGTTGGGATCCTTTCTCCAGCTCTACGGGCACCTTTGACAATCAAGGCACTGGTCCTTTGTAGAAGCTCTACACACAACGACTCACTGGATGAGTATAGTCTTGCTGAAAGGGTCTTGTTTATCATTTTGGGGCCATTTATACATTTTTATATTTGCAACCAAACTTTGGGAGGTACCATCTAAAAGCGACGAACATCCAGGTACTGAGCATCCAACCTTATCGCCGACTAATGATTTCTCAATAATCCAATTTTAATTGTACAAAGTGTCACATCAGTCATGCTTCTACTTTCTAAGCTTCTTGATAGTTGGTCCCATCTCATCTCCGTTTTCCAAGCATTCCCTCGTCTTCTCGTCGATCTCGTACCGCTCTTGGCAAAGACGTAAGCATTCTTCAACGACACCAGGCGGGATAGCGACAACACCATCACAATCACCGAGAATATAGTCGCCGGGGTTGATGGTCACTTTCTCATCAACCTCAACATTCTCATACTCCACCGGGACGTTCAACTCAGAGGAGCGAGTGAAAGTATTCGACCCTAAAATGCTGATCCCCCGGGCGAAAAGTCCCACATTCAATGCACGATGCTCTTCTATATCTCTGAACCGGCCATCAATAACCACTCCAGCGGCGCCCAGCTTCTGCGCACGCGTGCTCATCAACCCTCCCCAGCAAGCACTGATCAGCCCCTTGGGCTGGGATACGAAAACGATGCTGTCTTTGGGGATCGCATCGGCGAAATGGCGCTCTGGGATCGGGGAGGCTTTGTCGGCTGTTGGTACCATCCGGACTGTATATGCAGGGCCGAAGATCTTGGATGGTCCGCTCATTCTGTCAGGGCTGTACATCGATAGGCCGGACAAGTATCCGCCATGTTTGATTCCAAGTTTCACCAGGGCATCTCCGATCTTCACAATCTCATGTTAGTCATGTTGTGCCAATCAGTGCATTATGTGCATAGGGCTGTCAAGAAAATTAAGAGAACATCATAACTTACATCGCAAGACGCGAACCTGCCGAGTGCTTGGACTGCCTTTGCTGTAGCTGCCATTTTCGGTGGTACAGAGGAAAAGTATTAGTGGGCGGAGGAATGTAGGGTGCTGAAGCATTCACTAAACATATAATCGCAAAGCCTCGGCTAAACAGCTAATATTTGAAATAACTGAAAATCTGCCTCCATTGAGACTCTCTAATTGGCCCGATTTTGTTTCGCTGGGATGAGGCGCCATCCAACAAGCCTCATTCGCGCGGAGCACTCCAGACCCACACGGAGCTATCCAGCATCGCAAACAAGACTTACAAAGTGGCGATCTCGGCGAACAATAGAAGCAGGTGGATTCGAAATATATCGATAGGAGAATACCAATTTTCTTCGTTCAGACTCGGATGCTGATATCTTTCTCTATTTACAATTGTTGTCTTGCATGGTTTGACTGACGCACTTCCCGATCGCGTTGACTACAAGCCCAAAATGATGTCGCAAGCTCTCCGGCGCATCGCGCAGTCACGTCGGCCATATCAGAGATCTCCAATTGCTCAAACACGGTCACTTGCTACTGCTGTCGCATACCCCTCGAACATCCTCGGTGTCGATTATAACAAGCAAATCACGGTTCTCGATACCTTGAAGCGGCAATCACAGCGCCCATTGACTTTGACAGAGAAGTTACTTTATAGTCATTTGATTGTTCGGGGCGATGGCGAATGGGACTTGGAAAGGATCGATCGCGGAAAGACTATTCTCGAGCTGCGCCCCGATCGCATTGCTTGTCATGATGCCACAGCGACAATGGCTCTGCTACAATTCATCAGCGCTGGGCTTCCGCGCGTCAGGACCCCGACGACGGTACACAGCGACCATCTTATCATTTCTGAGAAGGGTGCAAAAGAGGATATGCAACGGGCTACCTTGGAACATGCGGAGGTATATGACTTCTTGAGCAGCGCCTCGAAAAAGTATGGAATTGGTTTCTGGAAACCTGGTTCTGGCATCATCCATACAGTGATTTTTGAGAATTACGGAATGTAAGTTGCACGATCGGTGTGTAGCTAGCATAAATTTGATACTTACCTCTTCATTCTTCCTAGGCCCGGCGGTTTGATTATTGGAACTGACTCACACACCCCAAATGCTGGCGGACTGGGTATGCTCGGTATTGGAGTCGGAGGCGCTGACGCTGTTGATGCCATGTCTGGGATGCCATGGGAACTTGTCGCACCAAAGGTCATCGGTGTGAATTTGACTGGTCAACTGCAAGGCTGGGCATCGACGAAGGATATTATCTGCAAGCTTGCTGGTATTTTGACAGTCTCGGGAGGAAAGGGCTCAGTCATTGAGTTCTTCGGTCCAGGCACTCAAACCCTGGGAGCTACTGCCATGGCGACCATCTGCAACATGTCAGCAGAGGTTGGATCAACGTCTTGCATCTTCCCTCACTCGCCCGCGATGGATCGCTACCTGGTTGCTACGAAGCGCGAACATGTTGCAAGGGCGGCGAATCAGGTTCGCGATGTTCTGCTCACGGCAGATGAAGGGTCTCATCAGTACTATGATCGCATTATCGATATTGATCTCTCTTCATTGGAGCCACACATCAACGGACCTTTCACACCTGATCTGGCTCATCCTGTCTCTGAGTTTAAATCTGCTGTCGCTGAAAGGGATTGGCCCCTTGACTTGAGTCATGCCATGGTCGGGAGCTGCACAAACAGTTCATACGAGGACCTCGACAAGTGCCGACAGCTTGTACGTCAGGCCAAGGCAGCCGGAGTCCCCAAGTTCAAGGTTCCATTCCTTTTGACACCAGGTAGTGAGCAAATCCGAGCAACTACCGAAGCAGACGGCATTCTGGACGAATTGAGGGATGCCGGTGCTGTCATTCTTAGCAGCTCGTGTGGACCCTGCGTTGGCTCATGGGACCGCAAAGATGTTGATGTGAAGGGCAAAGAGAAGAACTCTGTGATCTCCAGTTTTAATCGCAACTTCATCGGTCGCCATGATAGCAACCCCGCGACTCATTCGTTTGTGACTTCTCCTGAAATTGTCACAGCTTTCGCCTACTCTGGTCGTCTTGATTTCAACCCCATTACCGATAAGGTCTCTGGACCTGAATCGCAGTTCAAACTAGAGCCACCAGTGGGCCAAGAGCTTCCTTTCAATTTCGAACCCGGTCTTGAGACGTTCCAAGAGCCACCATCAGATGGTTCCTCCCTCTCGGTTAACATTGACCCCAAGTCCGACCGTCTGCAGCTTTTGAAACCGTTCCTAAAATGGCAGCCAGGCTGTGCCAAAGACATGGAAATACTTTTCAAGGTTTCTGGGAAGTGCACAACGGATCATATCTCCCCAGCAGGGCCATGGTATAAATATCGTGGCCACCTCGAGAATATCAGTAACAATATGCTTACCACGGCCACCAACGCTTTCCTTCCGAACGACCCCCAGATGCTTGGCCACACCAAGAGCCCCGTGACCGGAAATCTGGGCGTGGTTCCAGACATCGCGCGGGAACTTCAAGCACAGGGTATTCGCTGGTGCATTATTGGAGACAACAACTACGGTGAAGGCAGTTCTCGTGAACACGCAGCGCTTGAGCCACGTTTCCTAGGTGGAACGGCAATCGTTGCCCGCTCCTTTGCCAGAATTCACGAGACCAACCTAAAGAAGCAGGGCATGCTCCCGTTGACATTCAACGACCCAGCTGATTATGATCGTATTTTAGAGGGTGATCGCATTTCCTTGCTCGGCGTTGAGGAGGGTGAACTTCAGCCCGGCAAGCCCGTTACAATGAGCGTGAGAACCAGGAATGGTTCGACCTGGGCAGCTCAGCTCAATCATAGTTTCCACCAGGGTCAACTTGCATGGCTCCGGGCTGGCAGTGCTTTGAATTATATCAAGGCGCGGTCCGCAAGCCCATAGGTGGATATCATGTCTGTCCATGTACTGTAGCTGGACTCAATTTGTATACATTTTCGATGGACTTCCAGGAGTAAGGTGTAGGATATCAGATTTCTGGCGAATGGAGAGAATCAAAGGAACTATTTTCATTACTGCTGTACATCGCGAGAAAAAAAAATATTATACTGTGTACATTCGATAGATTCGACCTTTTCCCACCGAGTGCCGGTAGGCATGTGTCCCTCTGGTTTTTATTTCTCGGCTTTGGCGTCAGGAAGACAAAATACAGCGTAAACCACCTTCATCTACGCCGTTGAAGTCTCTACGCAGAATTCGGACGAGACCAGTTTGACGAGACCAAAACTGGTCTCATACAGCGATTCCTTTAATTCAGAAAACAAAGTAGCCATTTAACGCTCTTTCTAACATGGGATATGGCAAATCCCGGAAGATGGCCGAAGCCCGATTACCATAGCCACTCAACCCTAGCTACACGGATTCAATTCCTAAGCGATCGTGTAACCCGGGGATAATTAGTGAGCGGAGAACGGATACGCACACCGAGCCGTCTAAAGCGACTGTAAAGAAAATAACGGACGATCAATGATTGGATGCGTTTTGCCACCGGCTCGAAGCTTAAACGGCGAAGTTAAAATTGCCGTCACGGATCACTCCGTCGTCCCCGGACTACTCCTAATCCCGGGCTCGATTCCCCACCCCCGGCTATCCCAACCCTGTGGCCGGCATTCATCAACCAATATGTGATGGTGCATAGATCTGGCTACTCTCGAACAACTCGGGCTACTCCTAGGGGCTCTTCCCCCCGCACGAACACTTCGAGAATGGAGCACACCCGCATCGTGTGATTCTAACATCACTTGGCCCTTCAGCTGGGGCTCAAAGATGCATATAAGTCAAGAGAAATAACTTTTCCCCGGCTTCTAAATATTGGAGTCTACGCCGCATCGTTTATCCCCGCAAATTTCGATATCTTCAAGTTTTTTTCTGTCAGACCTACCCTTCTTCCTCTCTGAAAATGGGAGCTGCTGGCGGTGGCTGGTCCAATGCGGCCATCAAAAAGGTCCCAGCTCCAGCTCGCAGGGCATATGTATGGCTTGCTGTTATCTGGGCTTCGTATTGTGGTGGTCTTCATGGGTTCAACACCGCGAATATTTCGGGCACTATGACTCTGAAGCCATTCATAAGGGACTTTGGATGGACCCATCTTTCCTCCAAACAAATCTCGAACTATTCAGGATGGGTTGTCTCGTCGATGCTTTTGGTGAGTATTCGTATTGCATGCCTATATTGAACTTGTGTTGCAAGCTTCTACTGTTGGAATCTATCCTTACTGACTGGCAATTACCAATAGGGTCAGATCCTAGGTGTCGTGGTGTCTGGGCCCTTGGGCGAGCGTCGAGGTCGAAAGTCAGTCATCATGTCGGCCGCCATTTTCTACACCATCGGTGCCATCTTGATGGCTGTTAACTTTGGCTCTTTGGCCGAACTGCTCGTTGGAAGAGTCATGTCAGGAATTGGCTCTGGGCTTGGAATGACAGTAGGCCCTATCTACATCTCAGAAGTCGCACCGACAGAGATGCGTGGCATGATGACCACTTTTTACAACATCAACATCATGAGCGGTGTCGCGGGAAGCTATTGGATCAACTATGGCTCCTATGAACATATCTCGCCGCAGAATAGCTGGCAATGGCGGGCCACACTCGTCCTCCAGTTGATTCCTGCTGTCGCACTCGTCGTTGGCTTTCCGTTCTTCCCCGAATCACCTCGCTATTTGATGATGAGAGGAAGAGTGGAGGCGGCCCGACAGAGCCTTTTGAAGATCCGTGGCCTCGACGAAAACGATAGTTATTTCAGCCGCGAGTATGACGAGCTAAGAGGTCGGGTCGATGCAACCGCTGAGAGCCAGTCTGCCTGGCAATCCACCAAATCTCTATTAGGTACATGCATCACTGATCCCCCGACCCGCAAGATGCTCTTGTTTGTCATGATCGTCCAAACATTCTTCATCATGAGTGGTGGAAATTCAATTACCTACTATGCGCCGACCATCTTGAAGTCAATCGGCCTCAAGTCCAGTCAAGTCCTCTTGTTTTCTGCCGTCTACGGTATGATTAAGGTCGCCAGTGTGTTGTTCTACGCTTTTTATCTCACCGATCGCTTCGGTCGGCGACCATTGTTAATTATTGGTTCATCTATGAACACCCTGTGCCTCCTCTACCTTGCCGTTTATCTAGGAGTGGCTGATATTTCTGGATCTGCCAGTCCATCACCCGCAGCATGGGTTGCAATCGTCGCCATTTGCATTTTTGCAATTGGCTATGGATTCGGATGGGCACCTGTCTTTTCTCTCACAGCTTCAGAGATCTGTCCGACTTCAACACGAGGAACAGTGGTGACAATTGCTTTCATTTATCAAAATTTGCTGAACTTCGCCATCACTCGTGGTTTCCCCAGCATGACTGTGGACATGCACGCCTGGGGCCCCTTTGGCCTGTTCACTGCTTTCACCGGGTGTGCAACAGTGTGGGTCTTTTTTGCTTTCCCAGAATGCAAGGGGCGCAGCATGGAGAGCGCAGGCGCTTTGTTCTCTTTGCCTTGGTATAAGATTGGCTTTGTAAAGGCTCCAACTGCCGAGTATGAGGCCGCTGAGAGGCGTGTGGACTTGGAGAAAGCATCATCTAGCGAGCATGAGGAACATGTCGTTGGAGAAGGTCACAAGCAGGGCTAGGGGGCAATTTTCTATCGATAAGCACATAGGTTTTAGTTGAATGGATGTCAAGATATTGACGTCCGAGAATATCATGAGTTACTACACGCTTCGCCACGGTGTCATCTCAAAAGTCCTATTCCGCTTGCTCGTACTCGACTGCCATGCTACTGATTATTTGTACTAATTGCGCAGTCTTTTTATTCCTCGTGTAAGCTAGTTTCAATTGTCTTAGATGTGGTACGGCAACCGATGGATGCTGGGGGGGGGATGCGGAAGCTTGGGCTGTATTGGGCAAATTCTTTTTGGATAGCTTGCGTGATTCTAGCCTTGAAAAGTTCTACATCATGGTGGGCGAACGAATTGTATTAGAGAATTCATGAATTGAAGAAAGTCTAATGGACCATGATAGACAACATATATATTGAATACTGATCCGTATCTTTCGATGATTGGATGAAAGAAGTTGTGCCGTCGTTTCGGAGCAAACTGGTCCAACTTGCTGGATAGGTCCCAAATCATGTACAAATTGGAAGGTGTATCGTTCAGCTAAGATCGACGTGAAGTACTCATGACAGCCTTGCTAGCGTTACATAGGTATTGGGGCTATCGCCACGTGATATAAGCCATTAGAACGGTCCCGCTTCCCTGGGAAGGAGACGCGATGTCCGTGAATCAGCAAATTTAGCAAAGAATCGACAGGGGCTATACATCTTCTTCCACATGCAAGTGTGATTTTATTCATTATTCGCGATCCTGTGGACGGAGACGGTCGAATCGTCGATAAGAAGAGATTGGAGGCGGGTGGCACGGATTAGATTAAGGTTGCCACTCACAGGAGACACGCCTGCAATTATCAACAAGCACCCACCACTATGTACTGTACTCCTTGGCCGTACGCCAATCGCTAAATTGCCATAACTCTGTTTCACTGTTTCACAGTTCAACCCCCATCCAGACGGTCAGCCTCTCTTTCCCCTTCAGCTGGGCATCTCTTGTCCTCCAATTCTGTTTAAGCCTCGACTCCGCTCCGTCTCTCTTGGCATGGGCCTCGGCGCGTCCTCCACGCTAGAGATCACCCACCTGGGTCTTCTGATTTTTCCTTCCTCGGCTTACCTTTCTTAGTTCCTAAGAGCTTGGCGCCCAAATGAAATTACCATGCGCCAGGGGCCAACCAATCAAAAACAACAATCGTTCAGCTGCCACTCTACCGCCAAGATGTGACGCCCAGGAGTGAAGAGGCACAGAATGTCTTATTTTAATTACTATACTTAGATTAGTATTCAGGGTCAGTGAAGATCACCCCCAATACGGTAGTTGTATGTCGAGGACGAATGAAGTAGCATCATCGCTCGTTGTAGCCCCTGATACAATGGATCGTATACGTTATAACAAAGAAAGATATTTGGTCAAGGAATATTTAAAGGCGTCAATATCCTCACACTTTCGACTGAAACCATCATCAGGATCATAACTTGGCTACTCAGCTTCTACTTCCTCAATATCAATCTCCATTTTCGTCTTAAGCAGAGACACCTTCTGTTTGATAAAGATTCTTAATCTTTTCCCAATTTCATCCATCGCCACTTTACAGTGAAAATGTACTCGAATGCTATTATGGCCATGTTGGTCGCTGCCTTTGCGGCCAACCCTGCACTTGCTCTTCCTGAAGCGCAGGGATGGAAGCACCACAGCCGCGACGCTGGTGGTCGATTTGACGTCTATCTATCCACTGATATGGTTAGCGTCGGCGCCTCGAGCCCACACTACGCTTACCAACAAGCCTACCGTTTCTGCGAGAGATCCGCCTGCGTTCCTGGCAATTCGTACACCTACGATGTCACAATCTACACCTCCGGTGGAACGTATGCGCAACAAGAACAGGGTAAACTCACTGTCAAGGCCGATGGTGACTACGACAACGCGTGGGGGGAATGGGACTGGAAGGAGAGGAACGGATGTTAGTGTCTTCTGAAGTCAAAACCAGAATTAAACAAGCATACTGACTCAAAGTAGTGATAGAAGCGATCGCTGCGGCTGGCGACGCTGCGGCCAAGGTGGACACAGTCCAAACTCAGTCCGGTCCAGGACTATCTGGCCCGGAATGTGAGAAGAACCCTGCCGCTTGCAAGGGCCCCAAATTCAAGACTACCAATTACTGGAGCTGCCCTAGTCAGGTCAAGGCGGTCATGCTCGATAGCGAAGGAAAGGAGAAAGGCCAAATCACTGTTTCCCTCAGCCTCGAAGCCCCGAAATTCGACCTTGGTGCTCTCATCTGTAATGACGTTAAGCCACTGGTTGACAAGGCTCTGGGCACTGTCGAAAATGCGTATGGCGAAGCCATTGGTAAGATCGGAGACATTGCTTGCAATATTTTCGGTTAAGACTTAGGCAAGGCTTGCCAGTTGATGGAGTTTCACTGGGAAACTCCAGAGGGATTTCCCTGCTGGAAATTTCCAGACCTAACGCCAGGTTGATTGATTGGAAGGCCTATATGGGCTTTCTTCTCCGCTCTTTGTTCTTTTTTCTTCGTTTAGAGATAGTTCTCCAGTACAATACTTGAAAAACGGTCGTTCTGTTCTGCTTCCGTTGAGCAGTTGCATTAAGTACGCTTTCAGGTTCAATCCTATAGGAGTATTACGATCCTAGTAGAGTAGAATTAGGGGATCCGTCTTAAGTATGGGAGGAAAAAGTGGGCCTATAATAGAGTTGAATTACCACTTTGGAAGTAGGGTAGAATTAAATATAGGCTTCGTTCGAACTTTAGATTTTTAGAAGTTCTGTTATGATAGTTATAGTTACCCGACATAAGGTTAACGTAATCCACGGCCCAGAGCAGAGGTTCACCCCAAAACATCATACAAATGCGATAGATTACAACTTTATATCTTAATAACTAGATGAATTTATAATTAGATATTAAGGGACCGTAGACTTCATACTATCTCTAGGTTACTAGCATATTTTAGGACAATTAATCAAAGTACTGACGGAGATGTATAGTTAAAATAGATTCGAATTAACTGACTAATAAGATTAGTAGAACGGAAATCTAAATACAATCTGCAATTTAATGTTAAATCTTTTGCCAACTATCCCTGCCACCTATTAACCCTGCGACCGTGACCAAGATGGAGGGGTTAGACCTGATACTTGCATTCGCTTATGATCCTATGATTTTAATTGATATCGCGTTCGAGTCCTCCTGGGCCTTATAGCCGGTTTTTCAGTCTATCGTGAGACTTATATTTGAATACTGGTGTCTTCTTTTGTTTGAGGACGTTGATTCAACACTAGAGATACAGACCCGCAATGGCGCTGGATACAGTGCGTATGAGGATACCAACATCCACCAATCGCCAGGATACATTCTCACGAGTCGAATGGATGCATGAAAATCCCACCAAGCTGCCTCTGGTCCGACGAGTTCCAACGTTGAACATGATACATCAATCGCCTAAATTCCCTCCGCCAGAAAAGGAGAAGTCAGGAGAAAAGGATAGCTTGACGGAAAAAGTCCGCGAGCGAGTTCCTGTCAGCGTTTCCTCTTCGACCGCTTCATTATCGGACGAAGACTCTAATTCTGATATTCCGCATCAATATCACCTTGTCTCTACTTCTCAGGTAGATCGGAGTGACAGCACTATAAATTTCTCGCTCGATGTTGCCGATGGCATTGAATGCCACCTAGAAGAAGTCTCGCGCTTGAAACGATCGGGTCATTTTCCAGAAGCAATCAAATACTTCAATGCAAACCTAGAGGATCATCTGGGTCTACCTCTGATTCTGCTTGAATGTGCCGACTTGCTAGTTGAACAGGGCTATTACTACTAGTTTGATACATTTAAAATGCTTTCATATCAAATCAGCGGCGGAACGATCCGAAAACGAAATATCTCCCGATTGGCAGCCACGAAAACGGTCCATATCTGTATAGTTACCACTCTAATCTACTAGGACTGCGAAGGGGCTTTCTTTAGATAGTTTTCCGGGGGAGGACATGGACGCCGTGATGGACGGGTTACAACCCGACTCATTTTGTGAATACTTGGACAAGCGGGCCACCTCCAGGCGCGGTACCCACTCTACACATGGTGATGAGATACCATTTGATTTAACGGAGGTAGTATTATGCTAAAATCTGCTGAAAGAATCGAGTTTGAAATGTTTAATCTGATCATCTGATTCTAGGTCCAAATTATTCGCAATCATCTCGAGTTTCGATCCGAAATTAGGTGCAAGGGTAAGACACCAATATCCGGCTTTGATACGCGCTGTTGGCCAGACCTCTATGACGATCTCCTGGTGGGTGGTCGTATCTGGGAGTTTTGCGATCTTCTATTAGCAATGTTCCATGCGGATGATGAGAAGGAGGACAAAAACTTCCAGACAATCCACTGCTTGGAACGACTTTTAAAAGACTGGACCATTAACGAATACGATGAAGCAACTGAATTCGCCATTTTTACTATTAAAAGTGGAAATGATGTACATGCTCGATATTGAGAGCCAATCACTCTGCTTACTCACAAAAGATCGGACCTTGAGTTTGGCACACTGTGCACAACAAGCTGAGCAATGCGCTGCCGATATCAAAGAGTACAGCCCTCATCTGAGGAAATCCCGTCCATATCTGCAATGGTTATTGGCCAAAGAACATTTCGATCGTTAGCGAAGTCGGAGCGCATCATATGGCGAACAACGGGAACAGCATTTCGAGGGTGTCTCTGGATTCGTGCTCAACAAGCGGTGTCTACCAGTTTATATACCCGTGGCGACTGAAAACCCGGGCTGGCCATCTCCAGATCCGAAATTTCCACCAAATGAGCAATTGTAGTGGGCGCTCAAGACTCCAAGGAGCTTCAAGACTACAAGACCCAAGCCATGGTGCGCAGAGAGCTTATTTGTCGCGTGGAAGATCCCCGACCGTTGTTCAAGGAGTTGGATCAACTACATGGACACGACCAGGAGGACCTTGTTCAATTATATGAGTCCTGTACTTCACAATACTTGCTTGCTATTGATGTTGATGATAGTCTCGTCGAGAGCTTCTCCAGAGACTTCAAGGAGCCGCTTCACACTTCAAGGCCGCTCCTAAAGACAACGTTTGTGTTGCGACCCGCTGGAATGGTCTTATGGTGCAGAATGCACTAGCCCGCTCTGTCTGTGACGATGCAGAGGCTATTAATCAGGATGCCGAGCTATCAGACTCAATGCGCGAAGGTCTTCCGTATACTCAAAAGACACTCGACAAACTTGCACAGGCGATCGCTGAAGAGAATGAAAGGGCCAAGGAACGCGCCGAGCAGAGCAAGCAAAACGGGTTCGCGGCAAATTCCCGTCCAGGGGAACTGGGAACTGGGCCATCTGACCAGTTAGAACATCGCTATTTCGATTCTAGATTGCTTTCTTACGAGGAGGTTCGCAAATCTCGCACGAGAGCGAACGATTCTTTTAAGCAAGACGTCTTCCACCGGCTAGACAAGTTGGAGCTTGAGATCCTGCAACACAAGAAGAAAGCCCTAGAAGAAGAGCTTCGTAAGACCAAAATCGAGCGTGAATTAGAACAGCTAGAATTTAAAGAAAGGTTGAAGGCTGAAGAAGAGAAATTTCGCAAATAGTTACACGAGCGTCTCTCTGATGATGCACCATCTCAAGGCCTGAGAGCTCTAGAGAACACGAAGACTGAGAAAACATGGGAACAACGAGTCAAAGACGGCGACAAGGGCCAAGCGGGACAACTAGTGAAATCCGCTACGGAGGAAACAATCCCTCAGACTCATGAACAGGGGGAAATCTACGATGATGGCTGGGCCAATTTTTTCAAAGAGCCTCAGACGCCCCATAAGCAATACCGCTATGCATCTTTCCAGGAGATTCAAGATGAGTCAAGAGCGGCCGAGAAGCGTGGCCGATCCCCAGCCAATCCCGGTACTACAGAGTCTCAAGTTATTTTCGAAGAGCCGGATGAGCTTTGTCATAATGACGGTGTTGTTGGAGAGAGTGTAAGACCTTCAAGAGAACTTGGAGCAACGGTTTACGTAGAAGAGAAACCGTCTTCAGAGGACGAGAGACGTGCAAGACCCCGTTCTTCGACGCGGTCATCTAGACGTGACTCTCAGGATTCAGAGCATCGTTAACCCCTAATGATTGAGTATGGGCACAATATTGATTGGGCGTTCTCTTGTCTGCTCATTATGAGGGGTTTCGAGAAGGCGTCGGGAGAATCATTACTGGCGATGTATATGATAGACTACATGCCATTCCGGTCAACAAGGTGAATGCCGAAAGATTTCCCCATGGAGTGTCTACTCCTGACGTCTTGTTCAGTAGAATGTAACAGAAAAATGTGTAGTAAGAGGTACAAGTAGGTATATACATCATGACTCAAATCAACACCCTCCGGAGACCATCGGTTCCACCGAGAACTCTCCTCCCCGTAACTGGGCATCTGCCTTTACCACTCTCCCACTTTCCGCCGCGCTTGCGAGAGGTCTTGTCATCAGATTCATGGTCATCCGACGATTTCTTCGTCGTCTCATCATCTCCCGTAATCTCCTCTTCCCAAGCAGCGCCTGCACCTTCCCCATTCATAAAGTCCAGTTGTCTCTGGTGTTCGCCATTAAGCCAGTGGAAAATACACACGTAGCAGAACACGTATCCCGTCTGGCATGCTGTTGGGTTGACGAGCGTGTTCAAACAGACAGGGCAGGTGTTTGCACTAGAGGTATCCGCCGGCGGTAGAGGCACGGTGAAAATGGGAAGATATGAGGTTGCGGAAATAGGTGGTTGGTGGCGGCGAGGCGATTTCAATGCAGACTTCAAGTCTCCAGAAGCCTTCTTCTCCTTCTCCTCTTGCCCTGACTTGCGTCGTTCCGCGGGGTTGGTCAACCCTGAAACCACTGGAGCTGGCAAGTCCAACACCTCGGTCGCCTTGCGAGCCAATTGACGCGAGAAGTCACTAGCATGCCACCACTCCAAGAACTTCAACGCGAAGATCGATGCCGGGAGGAAGTAGCGCAGAGATGTAAGTAGTTGTGGGTACATGTTCTGCGGGCTCAACAGACCCATCAATCCTGAGCCAGGTCGCTGAGAACGGTTACCACCAGGTGCAGGCTTGGGGTCCAGCACAGCGGCGATAGCACGATGATCGGCGGCTCCGAGGCGGCGAATGCGCGTGCCAATCAGCCAAAGGAAAGGAGAGGAGTATTTAGTATTATCGAAGAGGTAGGCAAGATTGAATGCCAGGATGGAGAAATAGTACGCCGCATTGACGGACGGGTATACATTGCGCAAGAACCACTTGTAATAGTGGAAGATGCGCTGGCGGATGGTTGGGTTGTGTGGGAGATCATCGCTGGGGTTGTATCGCGGCCCGCCGCCCATCACCAAAGACGCCTGCGGCGCCGCATGGATGTCGTATCCCTCATCAAGCTTGCGCTTCAAGTAAGGGATACCGACCATGACGAGCAGGTTCTTCCACACGTCTGCGGAGCGCAGCTTGAGGGCGTCGCGCACGGGGCCGCCCGCGCCAACCTGGGCGCGTGGGATCTCGCCATTCTTCGTGCGGAGCACACGCTCGCGCTTGAGGGAGTAGAAGTTTTCGGTGAATGATCCGCCAAATGTGCGGAGGTAGTATCGCTCGACGACTAGGGAGAGAAGGGCGTAGACCTCGTCGTAGGAGTTGAGGATCCGGAGGAGGTACCGCGGGTGGCGATGTGTTGCGACCGCGAGGAGGTAGCGGATGGAAGGTGGGAGAAGATCAGATAGCTGCTGTTCAGCGAGGAGTTCTAGCAAACAGCAATCCCTAAGTTAGTATATTGTGACCATTGTCGTGATTCCGCGAGAGGATGGAAGTTCCCCGGATTCCGGTGAGCGACCCCATTCCCCGCAAGAAAGGATGGGCATCGAGACTTACCGAAGAGGGATGGCTTGTTCTCATCGAACTCCTGTTGAAGACTAGGTAGGTACTCCATGATTTGGAGCACCAGTCATCCTTAAGCAGTCGCAGATGGATGGTTGACGGAGAGCGCGGTCGGACGAAGGAGGAGGGAAGTGCGCGGTGCCGGATTGAGGGACCGGCTTCAGCCGAGGCTCAAAGTTGTCCGAGCCACAGTTGGACCCTATAACGCCTAGTCCGGTTGTGTGTCCGCTACTCGGTGTCATCTTCCACAAGAAGTATCAATACTAGATTTTACTTTCTGTCATGCAGCGGGTCCTCATTAACTGCGATAATTATGTCCTCATATCTCAGCGTGCTCTAACTCGTTTCGCTTTTATCATGTACCGAGTTGCCTAGAGTGGTCCTCAGGATACCCCTTGTTTCTCATTCAGCTACGTTAAGGTAAACCTGTTTATCATCGATCAAGATGATCCGTCCTCCCTTGAAGGAATTTTTTGACTCTGCAGCAGTAATAGCATGGTTGTTTTAAAGGTGCCCTCCACCTCCTCTGCCCGACATATCTTTGAGGCGTCCAATTAAATCCTCAGACTCTTGCAGAAGCAAGTCTCCATCGTCACATTTCTGAGCCGTATCGAAATCGACTAAAGTAGCCTTTGAATCACGGACGAGGAAGTTAAATCGATTTATATCCCCATGTCGGACTCCTAAATCATGTAGTCGAGATAGTACCTCTCCGCAGGTCTCATAGTCCTGAATACTAGCGTGCCGTGCATTAGTGATACGTTCCATTATGAACCCAGTCACCCGACCGTTCTCAGTCAAGTGGCCAAGGAATTGAGGCCCAATATTATAGCCAGAAATCCATTAGTATGCAGTGGTTTCATTCTTAATGTATTGAACCTCCTAGGGAAAAAGAGCGAATTTAGCGACGACAATATCATCGAATAATGAACATTTAGCTTCATAAATGCCCGTTCGTAACTTTCGTTCGATCGAAAGCTCTCAGTAGTCGATAGAGGTTCTATGCTTGGTGTTCTGAACGCTAGGGAATCGGGTTAGGTTTACGCAAGTAAAATACGGTCTACCGCCCTCCTTAGCCACTAGTCCATCGTTCCAGTCTCCATTCGGGAATTTTGGCAAGAGGGAGACAAGAGAAGCGCCAAAACGCATATCTTCGGCACTATAAATGCCAGGTTCCACGGTAACCTCTGCACCCTCTTTGGAATTTTTCTTATGGCTTAGAGAAAATACCTAAAAAGACCTATCTTCGGTTGGGTTCGTACCCGTGACCTCCTAGCACGAATAACGCGAAACGACAGTCGGGCTCATAACTGTCGAAGGGAGTTGAATTGGTATTGACTAGTATGCATATGGACGAATGAGAGCTACCGGAACCATCAGAAAAGAGTGATTGATTGATTGAAGAGAAGACCAATGCAGACGAATGGGAAAAGGGGCAGGTTGAGCTGTCCCGTGGCCGTGTAACCAGGTATTCAAGTGACAATACCCATGTGGAGGTGTTGCCCGCATACTATGTACATACAAACACATAGGAAAGTTAGGTTGGAAATGGACCAATTCAATGTCACTGTAATAACTCTCTTCACTTTCCATGAAAAGTAGATAGGAGGATGGGGTCAGTTTAAATGATATTATCATCATTGTTATCGACTGCATCAGGGATTTGTAGAGGGCCTATAAAAGGAGCCGATCTAGGCGCGGAAACCCTATAACATGATCACGCCCATACCTCCAGGCCTCTGGCTCACCAAGCAATCCGAATCATCCTCATTGGCCACCGGATCCACCCGGTAATTGAAGAGGTAGTAATTAAGCTGGCCATCGCCAGGGCCGAAGCGAAGCTTTTCCAGGAATAGGTCATTATCTTGGAGACGAAGTGCATTGAACACATCGAACCGAGCCTGAAAACATATATACCAGTCAGCTCAAGAGAAAGGGAGGGTTGTATGGATGATGGTTTCGAGCCAAAAAAGACCGACACAATCTTACCTTTTTCGCCAAGATAAGGGCATCGTTGATGAGACCCTGTAAACGCTGCTGAAGGTTCTGAGTGCTCTCCGTCGATGCATAATAATACAGATATGCCGTTCGAATCACGTTATGCTGCGAGTGAGAGAGCGCCGTGGATTCGATGGAATAGAAGGAGACAAAATCCGTGATCTTCCGGGTTTCTAGATGTTCCACAACATATACCCACACCACACGTTTGCTCGCGGCTTCTTTCGGCTGATCGGCTTCAAAGAACAACCAATGCCTTAGCTCGTTTATGCTGAATGTTGGACTGATGTCGAATCGCTGCAGATACCTCTCCAGTAGCTCATGGACGGCACCTAGGTCATCCACTTCCATGGGGCGCAGGCCAGACGTTTGGGTAGTACTTGGTAGATGATATTTTGCAATCTGCCGAGCCTTGGTGGAGTTCGCCGGCAGGTGCGAAAAGCCGGACTCGTACAGTTTGAGCCAGTTCAGGGGACGATGATAGTATCGGCACGATGCCACCGGGGTGGGCAAGATTGCCGCAGCGGTATAGATGGCCTGGTAGATGCCTTGGAGGTAGCAGCGCCGGGTGATCTCCCTGATCAGGAGTGGTGCCAGACGTTTTGAGCGAAGTCTTTTGTGAATACATAGAAAGTTGATTTCGGTCACCTTCATCATTTGCGCATGAATTTTGATGTTGGCCGGTGAACCACTAATAAAAGCGACTAGTTTTTGCGACGCAGAAGCGCGCACGCCAATATGCCATTGCTTCTGCCAGCCCGGAGAAGTTAAGGCCCTGCTCGTAAGAAGATCAATTTAGTGCTTGAGGGAAGAAGACCTCGATTTAATGAGGGGACGTGTAGGAATTGACCGACCATCTCAGAAACACCGGTGAGTAGTTGAGTCGGAAGGTCGAATCATTATCCTCAACGTAATGGTTTGACAGTAATTCATACAACTCGCCCACCTCCTTCTCATCTCCTGGGTCGATTGTTCCCCACTCGAAGCCGTCTAATAGCGGGTAGGGGTCTTTTGGCACCTCGTCTAGATTGATCATTTTGATAGGTCCTCCGCTACTTTTACCACCATTCTCGTTGAATTGTGGCACTGGCTGTGTCTTCCAGAACTTGTAAGATTCGACATTTTTTGGTCCCCTACCATTATCACTTGGCCTCTCTGCTGTCCGGAGCTTCGTAAATAACTCGGATACTGTTGCTTTGTCTAGGTTGAGACTTGACTTGGTCAGGGATGGATCTGTTTCTATCGTCAATAAATAGTGTTTGATTTCGCCGATTCTCTCTTTTGACTCACCGTTGCTCGATAGCAAATGATTCTGCGTCGTATTTGATTCTTCCATTCTGTGCAGAATCTGCGAGCTCTTTTCCCTCCGAAAAGGAACAGCAAGTTTCAGCAAGTTAAAGGCTGACAGCTATTACCCCTAAATTCAAGAGAATATCCGTGGGAGGAGGGGAGAGGTGCAAGGGTGTGTGGAGGGGCATACGCTGACCCTTTACAGACCTATGGTAATAATACACTGGATTTAGATTATACGATAGTGCTTCTCTATCTGAGTCTGTTATTTGTTTATCTTTCCTGTAAACAATTCCAAATGGCGCGATGTTTAGCCATAAATAATTACAGAGTATAATATTAGTCACATCATTATAACTCATTTATGGTAGTCACCGTCGAAAGCCAATGAAAGTTCATTTCTAGATAATGATATATGGGCCGATTGCGTAAGTTAGCTATATCCGGTCATGCGGGTAGAATTTTAGCATATGGGCTAATAATGCTAAGCTACATGTTTTGGGGTAAGCGTAATTTCCGATTCGTGGCAGGATTTTAGCATATAGGCTAAGCATGCCAAGCTAGATGTTTCCGGGGTAAGCGCAGTCTTCGATTTGTGGACAAGGATTTAAGAATGAAACGTACCGATACCGGAGACTAAGACTTGTTAGTGTCTTCCTTGATCTTCCTCCAGCTCGGTCACCATTTCAAGCCACCTTGCCAGCCGGGTTGACGGCTTATCGACGAGCCACCAAAAGGCAGTTGCCAGGAACAAGAGACAAAAGAATAGTACGGGCAGCACGATCAAAAATGCCGCCCAGAATACTGTGTTGGAATCGTTTTCCGGAGTAAAGAAATCCCAAACGAAGAGAAGGAGAGGGCGCTGAGCAATGTTGAGTAGGGGACCATGGCAGAGATAAATTCCGTAGGAGATTCGCCCCAGGTACTGTGCCACGGGGGAGACAAATGGGCGCTGCAACCGATTGTCAAAACTAAGACCGAAAACGAGAATGATTGCCCCTAGCATCTGCCAGGCACGGCAGTCCTCGAAAGGCTGCCAGGAGGTAAGGGATGGCAGCCAGCTGAAAGCGGGGGTGCGCGCCCCCTCTCGATCCGGGTAAGAGGCGAAGTAGGCCCCGCATGTCACGGCCATTGTCCAGAAGTATCGATACAGTAGTCCATCGTGGCCGTTCCTCGTGAAATGTGGGAGTGCACGAATCTCCGCAATAAATGCACCAATGTGAAACAAGGCCGCTTCAAAGATCCCATTCTGCATTGCATACGCGGCAAAAAGTAGCCAGAAGACCAGTCTAGCGGCCGACGATTTCCGGGCCAGAAGCAGGTGGGACAGGAGCAGCAGCATGGAGCACTGAAATTCCGAGGTGATGGTCCACAGATTGGGATCGTACCGATAGCTGGTAGAATCGTCCCATGACCAAAGAGAAAGAAGCTCCAGCCGCACGAATTGAATCCAATCGCGAAGCTGCCCTCCAAAAGAATCAAACCGGTGGAGACTGGGGTGACCAGTGGTGTCGTAGAGGTTGCACTGGATGGCTAGCATGACCAGAAATGTGGAGACAATGGGAGGGACGAAGAGGCGGATGCCCCGACGGAAGGCCGGAGAGCTAAGAGTCACTAAGAGTCGGCCCGCCTGTGGGTCGTGCACTGGCTTGTAGGAGAGCACATAACCGGAAATCACATAGAAGATTGCCACCATTGGGAAACCTGAATAGATCAGTCGGAGGATCGGAAGCTGCAGGATAGATTGGTGGTCTCCGAAGCCATATACATGTTCCATGTGGTTCCGCAGATAGGCTCGACTATAGTGATGGATAAAGACCACCACAGCAGCATAGCCTCGAAGACCATCAAGATACTGCGTGGAGCGTGGCCGATATGGAGGAGCCATCTTGCGTGCGAATATTATCTGAGGAGAATCCACAGAGCAATTCACTGATTTATAAAATTTTGGGCCGTCTGTATGCGGTTTCTCGGGTTCGCGTTTTAGTGTATTAATCATTCACCCGATTTTACCTTTTTCTTTGACTATTTAATTCACAGTTGTGGTATCAAGGCCCCCAGTAACCATAGTATACAAGCCCCATTTGTGTAATATTTTAACATATCCTATAAAGATCCACTAGGTGAAACCGACCAGGTCATTGCTAATTTGCACAAGCCCCACCCTTATCTCAGAACAGAGAGGAAATAAACCCATCGACCAATTCTGCAGTGATCGGTTCTTCTTGATCCAGTGGAAAAGTGGCCTTGCCTAGAAAGTCCTGGATGACAAGCCCCGGGAGCTTGTCAATGTCAAGCCCCAGCTGGTAGGCGTGAAAGCCATATCTTTGGGTATCAAGAGTCGCAAAATGGAGCGAGCCATGGTTCTTGGTTGCGACAGATCGGACGAGCTCTGCGACTTCCTTGCGCTCCCGGTCTGTATCGGCGCAGATGTACACGAGAGGAACCTTGGACTTCACGCCAATCATGATCATGTAAGCAAATCTTTATGTGTACCTAAGGAATCGAGGGTAGAGAGGAACTTCATAAACCGTACCTTTTCGTATGTTTCAGATGTTGTGGGGTCGAACCGGCCTACTAAAGGCCTACTGAGCCTTTGGGCAAAATCGTCCAGTGTTTTCTGATCGACAGGACCGTCAAAGGTACGCGTGACTTCATCCATGGGATGATAAACATCCACAAATGGAAGATCTCGCTCTACAGGGTCATCCTGCATAGAGTGAGCGACGATTCCCATGACAATACTTCCTCTGAAATCTGGGGCTATGGCTTGGATCAGTTGTCGTGTCAAATGATCGTTTTCCTCAACATGAATCACGAGAGCGGGAATAGACAAAGATTTGATATCCTCCAAGTAGCCGTCTTCCAAAGGCCAGACGAGGGGGTTCAGTTCTTTGATCAGTCGAGAGAAAATGCTGCCATTGTCAGCACCGTATCTATACAAGTTATAGTCAAATCATCTTTCTATACCTTTGAGAATCCCTGGAGCCTCTATAACGGGAGATGCTGCCATTGGAGATGATGCGCAATGTCGGGTAGGATATGATGTCGAGTTCCCGACAAATATCAGCTTGGCTACCGCAATCAATAGAGATCAAGGAGGCATTGTAGTTGTAGTTCTGTAAAGTCTCGGCTGCACTTTTGAGCTCCCCTCGGATGTCATCGCACGGTTTGCTGGGTCAACGCGTCAGCAACCTGATAATAATTTGGTCTTGCTTGGGGAAGTTATTGTGCCCTTACTAATTCGACTAACAATCGACAGAGATTCCAGATCAGTGGATCAAGACTCTGTTCAGTTTTACCCAAGAGTACACTTACCAGACAAAATGTTGCGAGCGAGACCGCATACGCCGAACTCTGGGCATTGAAGGAGTCAGAATTTGCTTCAATCAGCTTCGACCAGGCTTTAGGGGTCAAAGTGACCAGAAGCAAAGGCAGTAAAGAGATAAGAGTGCCAACTTGCCCCATTGTTAAAAATGCTTTTTGACGGAGACTGGGGACTGAGATGGGAATTCAGCTGGTAATTTATTTCCGCTCCTTTGTTATTTTAGCGGAAACAGATGGGGCTAGATTGAACTCGACCCAGTTAGTCCAGATCGGGATCCTGTCTCCCACCCACCGGGTGACAATTCATCACTACCAATCCTATAAATAATCCCATCGAACAACATGTACTCCGTAGAGATTTTATACCTACCATAATTCAAGTTTGGGCATATCTTGTACGACGACAATGAAAGTGCTCGGACTACCCCACCTACTACTAGGGGTGCTAATTGGCATCAGCATCCCCTTCTTCCTACACGAAAGCCAGATTCTTCACCATGCATACCACCGAATAGCACAACTGGTGGAAAAATGGAAGCAGATACCACTCAATCCATCGGTCCTGCAGGTAGCGCAGCCTGGCTATACCATCCACCTGTTTTCCCTGGACCCGTTGGTAATATACGTGGAGGGATTTGTCAATGGGGATGAGGCACAACATCTGATCTCACTTGCGTAAGGGAAAGCTGGGTAGCCTTGTTTCTGAAACCAGCGCTGACTCACAATCACCAGGGATGAGAACTTCCAGCCATCGGAGATATGGTCCAACAATGGTACCGTGGGGACGATTGCCCCTCATATTCGAGACTCGCAGTGGGCCTCCCCAACACGGGACGCAGTCGTACGCAGAGTAGAGAAGCGGGCTGCCGAATTTCAAGGCTATGGACGAGCCGGCTTTCTCGAGCCACTGAAAGTCCTCAAATACGAATTGGGGGGCCACTATAACCACCATTACGACACCTTCCCACACAGAGAGGCCCGCATCAGCATGGAGGGGAATCGATTCTCGACTTTTTTCGTCTATTTACAGGCCAACTGTACCGGAGGAGGCACGAATTTCCCTCGCCTTTCCCCGCCGAAGGATGACCGATGGTGTCAATTTATCGATTGTGATGAGCCTTACGAAGCGGGAGTTACCTTCAGGCCCATTCCGGGCAATGCCATTTATTGGCACAACCTACGATCAAGTGATCGGAGTCCTCATCCTGATCTGTTACATTCAGGTCTTCCTGTGACCTCAGGGGTAAAGGTAGGGCTTAATATCTGGACTTGGACCCCTGAGGATTGGTAGTTTGCGTTCTATCTAAGCAGAACAGTTATATTTCAAAGACACCAAGCATTTTTGCATACCTTAGCTTGAAATACTTTTCCGCCAGTGGCCCCACAATAGGATTGTCTGGACGTGTGTATCACACTAAGCTACTGTCGGGGGGATTCTTCTATCTACGCTGTCGAATGAACTATAAATGAGAAATTACAGAACTGCTGAATCAAGAATGTTTGAAGAAAAAAGCAGTTTCTCTGATTATTATCATAATGTTTCGTACAATACACGATCCACAGTTTTTGCCGCTCACGCTTGAAGATATCCGAATCCGAGGGTGGAATGGCGACACTACTGTCAGAGCTGCATCTTCTAAGCCAAACTTTGACTAGTAGGTTTTGTTAGTAGGCGTTGTCTACAGGTCAGCTACTCTCTAGGCAACGCAGTATGAGATATTATAGCTCTGCGGTAAATTAGTGCCATGCGCCCGAACATGAGACTATCCTGCTAGACCATTTGGCACGACTACGACATGAGTCGGTAATATTCAATAGTCCCCTCTGATTTGATAGTGCATCTTTTTTTCCGCCCCCATTTCCTTTAATAAACTGTACACGTGTATATGCACGCGACGTTCTTGAAGTAAACGATATGTCGTAATTCACACGGCATATAGAGACGGGGCACACGGCGGAGTCCGAGTGATTTCTATGACTGTATCGGTTTGTAAGCCATTTGATTAATGAGCGAGAATGTATCTCAGCCGTCCGGCAGAGAAGGATCCGGCCGAAGGGGCACAACTATATAAATCCACGTCGAGAGGCTGTCTCAACCTAAACAATCAATCAAAGCAAAAATCTCCGCCATGAAGTTCACTCAGGTCATTGCATTTTCCACCCTTCTCCTGGGAGTGTGTGCACTTCCCGAGACTGACGGAAACGCCCCTAGCGTACGATGTACCTAACTCCTTATACCGAGTGTGTTCTGGCTAAACTCCTGCAGAAGGTCGCCCGTTTTGCCCAGCCTGAGACTGAGGGCAACGCCCCCAGCAAAGTTGCTCGCTTCGCCCAGCCCGAGACTGAGGGCAACGCCCCCAGCAAGGTTGCTCGCTTCGCCCAGCCCGAGACTGAGGGTAACGCCCCCAGCAAGGTTGCTCGCTTCGCCCAGCCTGAGACTGAGGGTAACGCCCCCAGCAAGGTTGCTCGCTTCGCCCAGCCTGAGACTGAGGGTAACGCCCCCAGCAAGGTTGCTCGCTTCGCCCAGCCTGAGACTGAGGGCAACGGCCCTAGCAAGGTTGCTCGCTTCGCCCAGCCTGAGACTGAGGGTAACGCCCCCAGCAAAGTTGCTCGCTTCGCCCAGCCCGAGACTGAGGGTAACGCCCCCAGCAAGGTTGCTCGCTTCGCCCAGCCTGAGACTGAGGGTAACGCCCCCAGCAAAGTTGCTCGCTTCGCCCAGCCTGAGACTGAGGGTAACGCCCCCAGCAAGGTTGCTCGCTTCGCCCAGCCTGAGACTGAGGGTAACGCCCCCAGCAAGGTTGCTCGCTTCGCCCAGCCTGAGACTGAGGGCAACGGCCCTAGCAAGGTTGCTCGCTTCGCCCAGCCTGAGACTGAGGGTAACGCCCCCAGCAAAGTTGCTCGCTTCGCCCAGCCCGAGACTGAGGGTAACGCCCCCAGCAAGGTTGCTCGCTTCGCCCAGCCTGAGACTGAGGGTAACGCCCCCAGCAAAGTTGCTCGCTTCGCCCAGCCTGAGACTGAGGGTAACGCCCCCAGCAAGGTTGCTCGCTTCGCCCAGCCTGAGACTGAGGGTAACGCCCCTAGCAAGGTCGCTCGCTTCACCCAGCCTGAGACCGAGGGCAATGCCCCCCGAGTAAGAGCTCCTATCCGTAATTCTTGAACTTTGGATATCACTGATAACTCGCAGAAATTTGCCAAACACATCCAATTCTAGATAGACAGTGATAAGGAGCAGGTAAAGGCTATGAATTAGGTCAAGCATAACCCTTGGGTCCTCAACTCGTTCTGCTCGATAGTGCACAGGAAACGCCCCCTCTCCCACTGAAAATCTGAACCCAGAAGTCAAAGGGTTTCCTGGTGTACATCCCACTTCATAGCACATTGTCCTAGATAATATAGATCCTTATCTGATATTCTGGCGAAGCTCTCAATCTAAGCCTAGTTTGTACCTAGTTTCTACCTAGTTTCTAATATAAGGACTTCAATATTAATCAATAAACTTCTCCTTGTTTGTCCATCACCATTCTACGAAATAGTAGTTATGGACGACATAACTAGAACAAGATAATTAGACCATTACACTGGAAGTAAGATATGTTTTACTGGACCTCGAGATTGAACCTCAAGACTCGCGCCCCGCCCCGCCCCTCAGAGGGGCGGTTTAAGGACGATGAGAACCGACCCTCTAAGGTTACGGGTCGACCCAGCGGGTCTATAAACATATCAAACATCCTAAGTCCTATGATATATATATCTTATATAGAATAAACCGGTATTTTGTCGTATTTTGCTTTTAGCTTATACCCTATAGTCAGAATTATGGTTTATGCCTATAGCCCTATATACGTATTATAAAAGGTTTTATTTAGACGATTCTATTAATAAGAGTTCGATCATTTTTACTAATTTCGGCCGATCTAGCTAATATAATTCCGTGTTTCTGCTAGTTATATATATAGGCCTTATCCTAACTTAAGCCGATGTCGTAAAAGCTTGGATCAGGATTACCTTGTTCTCCTTACTCAGTGATTCATAAGTGACCCTGTCTGAGTTTTTAATAATGACTTCCCCGACCTTATCCCTGAGTACCAAATGGTAGCCCCGCGACTCCCCGGTATTCGTGGGATGGGAGCCACTCTATCGTCTTGGCATCGTCGCCGGTCTCGGCTGGATGAAGTGGATAGGCAGCTCAGGCGCAGAGGGGTATTTATTTCACTTCCGCGACTCAGTCTTAGTCTGATCTTGCTCAATCCAACTTTATTTCGAAGGTGTTGGGTCTGAGGAAACTATCACAATGACCTATGACAAGCCCACTGTCCGTTGGGGCATTGTGGCCACTGGCCTCATCTCTTCGTGGTTCGTCAAGGACATCGTCTTGGAACGATCTGACGCCAAGGCAAATCATTTCGTCCAAGCAATCGGCTCCTCTTCAGTAGAGAAGGGTCAGAACTTTGTCAAGGAGCATCTCCCGGGGAAATCACCAACCATCTACGGAAGCTACCAGGAGCTTTACACGGATCCAAACGTGGATATCATCTACATTGGGACTCCCCATGCGTTCCACAAGCAGAATGCTCTCAACTCTATCGCCCATGGAAAACATGTTCTCTGTGAGAAGGCCTTCACCCTGAATGCCGCTGAGACCCGTGAGGTGCTCAACGCTGCGAAAGAGAAGGGTGTGTATATCATGGAGGCTATGTGGACAAGACACTTTCCCCTTGTCCGCACACTGCAGAAGCTTCTCCACAAGGACAAGGTCATTGGGGAAATTCAGCGTACGTTCTGCGACTTTGCCATGGACATGAAGATTGCAGAGAAGGGCCCCGAGTCGCGACTAAAGAACCCGGCTTTGGGAGCTGGCACTCTCCTTGACATTGGTATCTACAGTCTGACATGGAGCATCATTGGACTGGAACCTCCATTGGGAATGGGCGAGAAGCCACTTACTGCCGCACCGGAGAAGCCTAAAATTCTGGCTGCGCAGACACTCTCCGATGAAATCGACATTTCGACCTCAATCATTCTACACTATGCCGACGGGAGACAGGGTATTGCAACATCCAACGCCGTGGTTAAATCGTCGTCTCCTTCATTCTGCCGCATCGAGGGCACCGAGGGTGTGGTCTTCGTGTACGGCCGAGGTCCTTCGATGCCGGACTATTTCACTGTGCGCAAGCTGAATGGCGAAGAGACCAAGTATGAGTTCGAGAAACCAGGGATGGGCTTTTTCTGGGAGGCGGACGCGGTTGCGGTGGACGTTGCTGCGGGGAGAACGGAGAGCACTATCATGCCGTGGGCAGAGACCCTCCGAGTGATGGAGATCTTGGATGAGGCAAGGCGGCAAGGAGGCGCAAGGTTCCCACAGGACCCCAGAAACTAGACATCTCACTTGGAATTAAATTAGGACCAGATTGTAATCCTTTTCGCTGCCTATCGTAGCACGATAGCAATGATCATTGAAGTCTGTCTAATTTAATTTCACTATTTCCTAAAATTGTTTAACCCATCGCTAATAAAAACGGATGTTAGTATGATTTTTATTATCTAGGTCTAGTATAGACCTTATTAGCTTAGCACGGCGCTTATCTCTATTAGTCTAACGTAAATATGTGATCTACACGAAATAACTTTCAATAATCTAGCGTTGGTCTAAAAGGAGTATCCTGTCTCTATCAATAAGCTTTAGGAAAGATGGCGGAATATTAATACTCTACCTAACTTGTGTCGGTATTTCGCCCGAAACTCCGCGAGAGTCTTGATAGGTCCGGCACAACGAACTTTATCTCTGCACGGAAAGCTATTCACTTTAGTGGCGAATTTACAAATCTTGATATCAATTTAGACCTAGAAGCTCTGATGGTACTATCTCTACTTCGAATAAGGTCATTACCTTGGTAGTGTAATTGAGGCACCCCTGTCCCTCCACCTCCCAAGCCTAGTATGTAGTTCCTACTACATTATCTACTGACAAATGCATCGACGTTCATCTTCAAGTTGTGCCCCGCGAATCAGTCCCCACTACCAAGCAGACACGATGTACGTAGGCCCGTGACTCTGCGGGTTCCGGATTCCCTCAGACTTTTCCAACGCCAGAACCCCCCCCCCCCAAGGCGGCAATAATGCTGCCATGGCCCGGCCCTGGATATACGCCGGCTAAACTTCGGCTATACTTACCCTCCCCGCGCGCCGTAGACGCCCCAACCCACTTCCCCCACTCGATGGCTCGCTGCCAATGGTGCCTTCGTCTACCTCTGGGGTCCCAGGGGATGATGCGGAATCTCGGTCTAGTGGCTGTCCGGCAACACCACGTACCCACGTCGTCCGGCCACAGATGAGCTGAGTTGAGGACGGGAGAAGGGGGCAAAAGGCTGCTTTAAAGGCTTGTCATGCCAACCGTGTTGGCATCGAATTGGTTCTCTCTTCTTCATTCACATCGACTGTCTCGTCAACAGTGGCCATGGCTTCCGTCGATCTCAAGGCCGTCCTGGCCAGTCTGACTCTCGAGGAGAAGGTAAGCTTAGATTGAATCTCATTCTCAAGGAACAATGATCTGACTCAGTCTTAGGCCTCACTCCTGGCTGGAGCCAATTTCTGGGAGACTATGCCTATCCCGGCCAAAGGAGTGCCCGCCGTCAAGATGTCAGACGGTCCCAACGGAGCCCGTGGAGCGGCCTTTGCCAACGGCACGACTGCCGCCTGCTTTCCGGCAGCCTGCTGCGTGGGATCAACCTTTGATGTAGATCTCGCCAAACGAATCGGCTCTGCTTTGGCCGAGGAGACCCTGACAAAAGGCGCCCGCTGCATTCTTGCCCCCACCATGTGTATACACAGGCATCCACTGGGCGGTCGCAACTTTGAGAGTTTCTCTGAGGATCCCTTCCTCACGGGAAAGATGGCCGCCCAAGTCGTCTGTGGTGTTCAAGATCGCGGTGTTGCCGCCACGATCAAGCATTTTGCCGTTAACGAGCAAGAAACGGACCGCTTGACAGTTGACGAGACTGTCAGCGAGCGGACCTTGCGGGAAATCTACCTCAGGCCTTTTGAAATCGCTGTCAAGGAGGCAAAGCCATGGGCAGTCATGACTGCTTACAATATGATCAACGGTCATCATGCTGACTCGAATGAGTTCCTGCTTAAAAAGGTGCTCAGGGGTGATTGGAAGTGGGAGGGAATGGTCATGAGTGATTGGGGTGGCACTAACTCAACCGCTGCCGCACTCAACGCCGGCCTGGATCTTGAGATGCCTGGCCCCACCCGGTTCAGACAAGTCGAGGTTGTCGTCGAAGCTGTAAAGTCCGGCCAAGTCTCGGAACAGACCATCGACGATCGAGTTATACGCATCTTGGAATTCCTCGAGCGTCTTGGCTGCTTCAAGGATGACGTGATCCCCGAGGAAAAGGCTGTGAATAAACCTGAGCATCAGGCTCTGATTCGCGAGGTCGGTGCTAAGGGCATTGTGATGCTCAAGAACGAGAACAACATCCTCCCGTTGTCTAAGGAGAAGGTCAAGGGAAAACAGCTGGCTCTCTTGGGCCACGCCAAGATTGGCATGGCTCATGGCGGCGGTAGCGCTTCGGTGAACGCCCACTATCGTGTCACTCCCTGGGACGCGCTTCACGAGGCTCTTGGGGACAATGTGAAGTTTTCATACGCCAAAGGTCAGTTGTGCTTAGTATTCACAATTTATATATCCTTTGTCGCTGACTTGCCATTCAGGTGCCCATACATTCCGCATGTTACCATACCTTAGGGAGAATGTGGTCGACCTTACCGGTGGCAACGGGTTCACTTACAAACTTTTTGAGCCAGGCCAAGCGGAGCCTTTCTACGTTAAGCAGGGCCACGAGGAATCTTTTATCGATATTCTCTCCACTTTTGACGTCGTAGAAAAGGAAGCCAGTCTCGAAGGCACTTTCACGGCGACTGAAACGGATTCTTATTATTTCACCTGTTCCGGCATCGGTCCTAGCAAGCTAGTTATCAACGATGAGTTGATCTACGAGCAGACGGAGAACTGCAAGGACCCCATGGGCTTCATCTTCGGCGGTGCTCCTGCCCCACAAATCAAGGTGCCTCTAAAGGCTGGCGAACAGTACAAGATCTTTGCCCACACTTCACCACCTTCGAAGAAGGACGGAGAGGATGACAGCATCCTGGCAGGCCGCATTGGTCTGCGTATTGGTTACATGTCGGCTACCGAGCACGACAAGGACCTCGTTGCAGAGGCTGTCGAAGTTGCTAAGGCCGCCGACGTCGCCATCGTCTTCGTCGGCCACGAGACCTTCTGGGAAACGGAAGGTCAGGATCAAGTCTCCTTCAACCTTCCAAAGGACGGCAGCCAGGACCGTCTCATCAGCGCCGTCGCAGCCGTGAATCCCAATACTATCGTCGTCAATTCAACGGGTGTTGCTGTTGCCATGCCCTGGCTGGATCAGGTCCAAGGCCTTTTGCAGGCGTGGTTCCCCGGCCAAGAAGTTGGAAACTCAATTGCAGATGTTCTGACTGGTCGGCAAAATCCCGAGGGTCACCTCCCTTGCACTTTTCCCAAGCGTCTCGAAGATTGTCCCGCATATGGCAATTTCCCTGGTGAGCGCGACCATAACGGTCAGATGAGGGTAACATACAAGGAGGGCGTCTTCGTTGGCTACCGTCACTTCGATCGGTTGCCTGCTGACACGGTGAACTTCCCTTTTGGTTTTGGCCTATCGTATACCACCTTCGACTTCTCTGATCTGAGCGTAAAGCAAGGAGGAGACGGTGACTATGCCGTGACTGTCAAGGTCGTCAATACGGGCAGCGTGGCCGGCGCAACGGCCGTCCAGATCTATGTGGGCAATGCGTTGCCATCATCCGCGAACCCACCCAAGGCGCTAGCTGCTTTCAAGAAGGTGTTCGTGCAGCCGGGGGAGACATCCGCCGTGACACTGACGGTGGGAAGCCGTGACCTTGCAACGTTCGACGAGGCGACGCAGAAGTGGATTACCAGCGGCGGTGATTATGAATTCATGGTAGCCCGGTCGGCGGGGGACATTGTGCTGCGAACCAGCGTGAGCGTGGGTCGCAAGGAGTCAGAGCCGTAGATGTCAATATTGATTACAAAATGAAATCACACCGCACCAAGTATCTCCGGTTCTTCAGTTGTATTGTATTTGAATTCAGGTAGCTTCCAGCTTGAAAAGATTCCTCACATGGTAAGGGGTTCGGTCTGTGCCTTTAGTCAACAGGGACAGAGCCCAAAGCACCCGATGGAAGACCTTGCTCGTCTAGTGAGATATTTGGGGACATAGGATTAGCAGGCAGCGCATCGTTTTTCGTGCGGTAGTCTGATGTAAGTCAGAGACGGTGACAGGGCTCTTCGATTCTGATATTATTGGTGAATTATGCCTCTACGTAGTTCTTGAAGCTAGGGCATATAATGGCTGGGTGGCCTGGTTGCTATTGATTGCCATAGGTATTTCGGGGGAAACGCCAACGGGGCTGACACGGATGGACTTCAGGGCATATGAAAAGTACTGTTACTGACAAGGAAGAATGTACAGAAGATGAATCCACCAGCAGCGGTATTGTAGATAAAATTGTACAGAGCTCGATGTACCTTAATCGTATCTAGTGCCTTGGTCAAACCTTATCTACCGTCTCCTCGTGATGCACCGACTTCTTCTCCGAAGCATTTTCATAACCGTGGATGTGGGCCAGGGCATCCTCTCCATCGAAAATTACAGCCATTTCCTCCAGAGTATGACCCTTGGTCTCTGGGTAGAAGAGATATGTGGTGACCACGATGACGGCTAGGATGACAGCGAAGACAATGTAATACTTCCAACCGATAGCGTCTAGGGCAATCGGGTTGACAAATATGTTGAAGAATGCGGCCAATGTGGAGGAAAACTGTGTGAGGGCCATACCTCGTGATTGAAGACGGTATGGCCAGATCTCGGCAGGGTAGGCAAAGAGGAGTGGAGTGCTATATTTGGTTTAGCATAGTGTTAATGGACTAGTGATGGCTAGCGCCTTTTCGGAGTCACTTACAAGGCAATGTCATAGAATCCGTAGTATATGAAGAGGAGTGGAACGACAGCAATTCCCGCCGCCGTGTTGCCAGCGGTTTCAAATATCCCTGATAACGCGGAGATGAGAATTTAACTGATCAGCATACCAACAGAACTAGCCACGAAGAGTGGTCTTCGACCAAGACGATCGACAGACCCTGCGGCACCGACGGCCAGAATCAGGTTCCAAATCTGAAGGCATCCATTGATAAGAGTTTGTTCAGTGATGGACCTGATACCAACAGTGTTCAGAACCGCAGACAAGCAGTAAGACACAACTCCCACGCCGTTCCATTGAGCAAAGGCACCAAGAGTCATAGAAATGAAGGACCTGTGGCGATTGCCTTTGGATTCAAACAGGCCGAGCCAAGTGGTACTCTTCGCCGCGTAGGAGTCAGACTCGATAGCATGGTGGATCTCAGAAACTTCGAATTCGACCAGAAGAGAAGCTTCATCACCACCGCCATGAAGACGAACGAGTGTACGGCGGGCTTCTTCGAGTTTCCCCTTGGAGACCAGGTAACGAGGCGACTCAGGAACCAGGAGAACCGCGGGGAGAACGACAGCCGGAATGGCAAGCTGCAAGAGAGACGGAATTCTCCAGGCCCAATCGCTACCGTAGTTTCGCGTACCGTAAATGGACCAGGCTGCAATGGAAGAACCCACGTACCAACCGCAGTTGTAAAGAGCCGTGAGAAAGCCTTGGTGAGTAGGATAGGCCAGCTCAGTAATAAGCAGAGGCGCCATGCCACCCCACCACGCACTGGTCTGCCCAAGGAAGAATCGACCTGTGGCAAAACCTGCGATATTCGGAGTGAAGGCTTGAAGTAGCGCCCCCAATAGAACAAAAAAATAGCCAACATAGAGGCCCAGCTTGCGGCCAAAGCGATTGGCGACGTAGGCTAGAATCGGCAGGGCAGTGGCCTGTGATAGGCTCTGAATAGCGTTGATGAAGCCGAGCCATGCACCAGTCGGATGGTCCATAAACTCATTCCACTGCGGAAGCGACATGAGACCGTTCATAAGGGTTCCGTCGTATCTGTTAGCCGCGGACAGCATGGCCATGGAGATCGCGCAGTAATTGAGGAACAGCAGGTGACGCTTCTTCCACCAGGGAATGCCATCGTCGGGAAGCACGCGAGCGAGATCCTCTCCCACAGCCTTACGGTGCGAGATCTTGGTATTGCCCAAGGTGCTACCAAACATGGTTGTGTTTTGAAGAGAAGTATAGGAGGTTAAGTCAAGATTTAATAATCAGGAACTTCGAGTGACAACTGAGTAAAGAATACTCTGCTTCCGAAAGCTGGGGAAACGTGTTGTATTTCAATAGTTGGATAGCGTTATATCCCCCACACTGGGGGAAGAAGTCCGGGGTTAAACCACGAGAACGCGGAGGGAATTTCCCCTTTCTGAGAATGTCGTCTCTTAGCGTACGTTTCGTGCTTAGTCTCAATTTTTCGGTAGTTACGTTAAGGTAATAATTAGAACGATGGAGCTTTCCTTACGGGATTAAAGTTCGTCGCTAGAGCGAATCAAGCCTCTCACGGAGTTCCGGGCAAAATACCGAGGCGATTTAGGTGGAGGATTAAGTTTCCGCGATATTTCCATCCCAGAACTCTTTGAGGGAAATAGAATATTACTTGTAGACTGACGCTAGATTATCTAAGTATAATTCGCGTAACTAACTATTGCAGATGTTTACGTTAGACCGATAGAGATAAACGCCTTGCTAAGCTACTAAGGCCTATACCGGACTTAGGTAGTGGGGATTACCCTAACTTCTTGTTTCTATCAGCCATAATTTGATTGATATTATTAGATTATAAAAATTGAATTCGATGTTGAATATATCTTGGTCTACTCTATATAGGTAAAGCATTATAAATAATATATAACTGAGAGAATCGATCAGTAGAGAGATAAAGAGGAGCATATGATATTCCAATACCTATACTGTAGTGCTTAGTTATATGATCGGGTCATCTCATGCTAGGAGAAATCTCATCTCGATAATGGAACCGGGGCCATGCTCGATATCTCAAATGCCTATGTGGAAAGCCCGCCGAGTGATAAATTAGTTCTTCTACAAAGCCTTTGTTAATGTAATATCATGTTATCGCTGGATATTCCCCTGGCTAATTTCACGTTATGATTGCCTATCTATATCTAATCTTGAGGGGCTTTTTCCAGAAGAGATGGCCCTAGACTTGTTTACATGAGACTATCAGTGCATTAATCGTGTAGATTTCATAAAAGCTATAGTAAAGAAATGCTTTTCTTACTTACATGCGAAATCCATTATAGAGGCTCGTGAGCACACCTTTTTACCCCTGCTATCCATTCAATGAGCATCATTCGCCCCGCCTCGTTCAAAAGGCCGGCTGTACGTTAAATCGCTTCATCGTGGAAGATCAAACAAGGGCCGTTCGCCCTGCGCGTCCAAAAGCTGAGTCAGATGATCCTCCACCAACTCAATAGACCGTGATAGACCCGGTACTTCCCCCTCCCAGAACTTCATTCTTGCGAGTCCCGTCTCTACTGCATTCTTCCACTTAGGCGGGACCTGAATGGTTCCGCACCGAACAGCCCCTATCACGGAGAGTGATGCAGCTACATCACTGCGGAGCGCATACCAGGTCCCGTGATGCCGGTGGAGAGCCAAGTGGTCCCCTAGTGTCTCAATGCTGCACAAGAGCCCCTTCTCAACGAAAGGTTGGACTAATTCGCGACATGGCGCATCAGCTGGGTTATGAATAGCATAGTACACGAAAGGACGATATATCCACGTTCGGATCTCTGTTGCTCTGCCGTGGACCATGAAAGGGAGCTCCTCTGCTGCTACTGAAGTTTCGTCGAAGTGGATAAGAGGGGGTAAGTGTGTCTTCCTTTGGTAACTGTCAGTACACTCTGAGATTGATAAAACTTCGATACAGGAATTGGATGCTGGTGACTTACCAGTCCTCTAGCTGTTGTTCAAACTCCCGCGTCATGGACGCCATGAAAGGCATTGATTCATCGTTCCACGAACTGGGGCCATCCCTGTACAAAACGTTCAACACCCTGTTAGCAATACGGCGGAAGGTGATCTCCGTCAGATAGTAAAACCATGATTGCTCCTGCTGACGCTGTATTTCTAGAGATTGCGGCGTCTGGTTAGCCCTTTGCGATCCCAAGTTCTGTGGAGAGATAGCTTCAGTAGTCTCAATCGGACTGGGCAAGTCTGGTGGGGAAGGATACAGATCCGGGTGGTGAAACTCCGCGAGTAGGCTATTGGGTATGTCCATCTCTACTCGGAGTTCACACTCGGACTTGTAGCAGCTCCAGTAAAGCCTCTGTTCCAGCTTCCGGCGCTTCGACATCTCCGGCGCAAGAGCGCCGGCATGCGCTCCACGGCGGGCTTGGCACTGCACGTAGACCTGGTATGCTCTTGTGGCCGAGTGAAACTCGAGCCAAGCCTGCAACGGGCGCATGGTGTACATCAGATAAATGCCAGCGAGGAAGTGGCACTGCGCTGCTCGGATTCCTAGAAAGAGTGAACCCAGGCGCCTTCGAGCAAGATTGAAGTATTTCTCTCCATCTTGGAGACTCCTGTCATGGAGTTTGAGCGAAGTAACTTCAGTCCTCCCTAGCGTTCGAAGGGAAGCAAGGACCTGCTCCTCAACATGCGTTGGAGCGGGATGATACGGCTGCGCCACACAGCCTAGGGCACACACGAGCATCTATTCGACTCAATTAGAATCACCCGTGAACCCGATGGACTGGGATACATACCACGAAGCAAGATGAGCAGTCCCAACCCACGCCATCCTCTGCCACGCGCTGCGCGTAATTCCAGATCATTTTTGTTTCCAAAATCGGGTTTTTTATATGCACATGATCTAGAAATCGTTGAACAAGACCCATGATTGCATCCTCGTCTATTCCCCCCTTGGTCTTGGAAGGTTGCCGCATTGCTGCTGAGGGCGACTCCTCATCCGATTCATCGTCAGGTAACTCCGCAGCGAACGTGACATCCGTCAAATACCCGGGGGGTACTTGCTATCAAATATCGGCCACTGGAGAACAGCATCTGGCGTTGTTTTCCCCGAGGGTATATGCAGTTCGTCATACTCGTCACCGTTGACTGTGGGTTCTACTTGGTGCTGAGAAGTTGAGAAGCGGGAGGCCGGGGTAAGGCTCTGCACCGCTGCTCTAGCGTGGGCGTCAGATTGGCATCTGGGGGGCTCCTCCAGCTTCTTGAGCACCTGATTCAGGCGATCTAGAATCAGGATACTGGCGGGGTCGAATCTTCGGAGATTCTAGATCAATCATTTGGCTCAATAGCGTTGTCGTTATCAGACTTACGGTGATAAATCTTGACGATCCTCGTATACGCAAGGGCTCATAGAGGCCAGGCAACTTCCACAAGAAGGTCGAGCATTATTGCATTTGATCTTGCGAGCCCGACATGCCTTGCAAGCCGTGATCGCCCTTTTCCGCTGATACGCATTGCCTGTCCTCGTATTCTCCGGTCGCGGTCGTTTCTTCCGAGGTTGTGGACTGCTTCCATCTTCACCATCATGATTGAGAATACCCAATGTTTGATTTCCCGCTATGCCGTGGGTAGCTGGGCGGCTGGTGTTCGGAGGCCGATCCATTGGACCGGAGTGTTGGCTCGACTGGGCCAGGCCGTCCGCCGTCCCTGTGTTCAAATCAACCGGCATGAAGACTGGGTCAACCCCATGAGCCATCTGACGCGGAGCAGTCATGGCTATCCAGATGTGGATGCAGACAAGGCGGGAAGCTGCTTCGCGGAGACACGGGCAGAGTTGCGGATGGGATCCGGGGAAGTGATGCGGGTATTTGAATCCACCGACGGATGGGATTGGGCGGGGTTTAGTGACCCACACATGGCAGCGGGGAGTCTCGGGGATCACTTCTACAATGTTTTGGGATTGTTGAATGGTCTCGTGGAATCTCTGGAATTTTAGTGAGATAAATTTCATACTGATCTGCAGCGATGGACGAGTATCGGGCACGTCTCCTCTCAACCTACTTGTATGAGAGAATTTGGACGCTCAAACTGAGGTCGAAACCATCTCACTTTTCCTCACTCCGCGGTTATGACTACAGCTCAGAGAATCCTCAATGTTGGCGTTATCGGTTGCGGCGAGGTCGCCCAGGTGATCCATATCCCTACCCTAGGCTTCATGTCGAGTTGGTTCCGCATCACATACCTCTGTGATGTATCCCCCGCATCTCTCGCCCACTGCAAGGCGAAGATTCCGAATCTCGACCTCAAGACCACGCGTGATGCCGCCGAGCTCTGCTCCTCGAAGGACGTCGATGTGGTCATGGTGATCAATTCGGACGAGTACCACGTGGAGCACGCTCTCCTGGCCCTCCAGAATGACAAGCACGTCCTGGTAGAGAAGCCACTTGCGCTGACCAAGCGCGATATCCACGCTGTGATTGAAGCGGAGCGCAAGAGCAAGGGCAAGCTGATGGTGGGATACATGCGCCGGTACGCTGCACCGTTGGAGGATGCGATCAAGGAGATCGGCGGGATGGACAAGATTCTCTACGCCCGAGTCCGAGGTATATGCAATGCGCCGAATCTTCATGCGAGTATTTGCGCTAATTGGCCATAGATATCATTGGACCCAACTCTTACTTCGTCGACCAGTCCGGAACCTTCCCTGGAAAGTTCATTGATTTCTCGCCAGAAGACTCAGCAGACAAGACTTCTCGCGCTGAGGCTCTAGTGAAGACCGCATTTGACGAGATAGGCGGAGTCCCCGTCACGCCAGAGTCGACGAGATTATGGCGCATCTTTGGCGGCCTTGGATCGCACGACCTATCAGTCATGAGGGAAGCCCTGGGTATGCCGGAGAAGGTCGTTGGATCAGCTCTAGGATTCCCGTTCTGGAAGTACGTTATTATCAGTCCATTTGTATCTCGTGGTGCAGGCATGATGCTGACCTTGAATCTTTTCAGCGTGCTGTTCCAGTACCCTGGGTTCACTGTGTCGTACGAATCGGGGATCGACAACATCCCCCGCTTCGACGCCCATCTCGAAGTTTACAGTGCAAACAAGGTCGTTCGAGTCCAATATGATACTCCTTACGTCAAGGGGCTACCCGTGACAATGCACATTGCGGAGAATGCAGACGGCGTGTACAAAGAGTCCACCATCCGCAAATCCTACGAAGATCCATACACATTGGAGCTGAAGAAGCTTTGGAAGGTCGTAGTAGAGGGCGAGCCGGTCAAGACTACGGCTGAAGATGCATTGAAGGACACGGAACTTTTTGGCATGATCATGAAGCATGGATTTGGCTCAGCTTGAAAAGGCTCGTAAATGCTAGCCCACACGCGACACGTCCAGATGGACCGAAATATAGATATTGACCAGGAAGCTGGAATGAGGGCTAAGCTTACGCTGATAATAAAACGGGTCTTGTCAGTTCAAGCTTATTGTTTGCTCAGATTATGAAACAGTGGATGTCAAATAAATACTTAGGGAGCAGTGCTGAGAATACGAGATGTAGGATTCTTGCACCTTTGAGGGCTTCCCTATGGTTTTTTTGAGCACCGTAAAATGTTTCAACAAGTCGAAGACAACTTTATGCGCAGGGGACCCTAATCGATGTCTATCTCATCTAAACATCTCTACCATATTTCTATGCTATGATATAGTTTCTGAATGAGGATATTATCGGTGTTGTTACAATATAATAGTTTATAATACAAAACGACTTTTTCACAGGCTGGGCCGTGCTAGCGCCTCCTGGCATCGTCGCCACAGTCCCAAGAAAAAGCTGGGCGACCCATCCTCGACTCGGTTCTGGATGTCTGGGTCTGCCACCAGGAGACAGTGCATGACGGATGTCACAATAGGGCCCTTCAGCTCAATGGCAGGAGACTCTCGATTCATCATGGGCACCCACGTCGAGAGACAGTCTCGCGCTCGGCCCTCTTCCCCAAGATCCGCGTGCAGCTGGAACAGATTTCGGTAATCATCTTGCGTGCGGCCGGTACCCTTCAAGGGGATCTGTCGCCAAATACGCCAGAAACCATCGTAGTCCTCACATCGAAACTGGGTTACCATCAGCTGCCGTGCCTCTTCTTCATCAAAGGCAACTTCTGCAGCGGAGACTAGCTTTGATAAGCGGTTTAGCATCAGCCGCTGAGACTTGGTCCACTCTTTACCGCTCGTCGCCAGTATTGGTTGTTCTGAATCCGTCAATTCCCGACCTGAAGGCGACTCGGGCGGGTTCATGGGCGTGTCAACCACTCGATAGAGCATATTGAAGACTTTGAAGTTGAAAGTCGGAACACCGCGTAGGCTGAGACGGTCGAGAACCTCCAAGGCAAGCTCAATGTCCTCTTGAGGGAGATAGTCTGTAGGCTCATTTTTGTGGTCAAGAACAGACCGCGGGGCCAAAAGCGCAGCGACGGTATCAAAAGCAAGGTCGTCTTCCAACTCATACCCATCACGAAGAAGATCGCTGAAAGCCTTGAAAAGAGCATCCTTGCTATAAGCTGGGTGTTGCCGGGAAACCGCAATAGAGTACAGCTTCATGCGAAGAACCCCGATATCCCGTGCAGACATGTCGTCAGTGAGACTGGCATATAGGAGTTGCAAGAAAACGGTGGAATTGTAGTCATCGGGGCCAGCTCCAAGCTCGGCCCGGGCATTCTCGTGAGGGAGAGAAGTCAGCATGCGAAGCAGGGAATCCGTGTTCATTCCGAGGCCAGGAGCTTCTGCTGTGGTTGATTTTGCAGCAAAATTAGCAAGTAGCTCAGATTTGTCGGACTCCGTACCGGTGTTCACGGTACGTCGGATAGTGTGCATGCTCCTCCTTTGGCCATTGGGGTTACCAATACCACCGAACGAGGGATGGCTGGTCGTTGAATATTCTATGATGGGCTCAGATTCAGGCAATTCACGAAGTCGGTCTCGTTCAGCTCGGTCCAGGGTCCTCTGCCAAAGGCCGTCCAGGTCGAGATCGGCTCTCTTCTCCTCCGTGAAAATCTGAACCACCACGTTTGTGCCGAGTTCCAGTTGCCCAAAGCCTTCCAATCCGGCATCAGTGAGGTCCGTCTTGGCCGCATCCTTGTCCACCACTCCTGCATTCACACAGATCCAGCCTGTCGTAATTCCATCGTCCTTCTCGTCGATCATACGCCCGGCATGGCTAGCCGCGCGCGCCCTCTTGGCCTTACGGCGGAGTTTGATCTTCAGCTCATTGCGTCCTAGCAATCCATCCGCATACGGAGAGAGCTTGTATTTGCTCCGAAGCCAGCGACAAAGACGATCTGCAGAGACGTTCAAGTGCTTCACGCTGCGTGCTGTTCCGACGATCATGATCACATTGGCACCCAATGCCGCAGGGACCTCGAGCCCTCGCAAGTCGAAGAGCTTTAGCTGGTCCAAACCAAGATCTTTGTACGTGTATTCGAGTAGAACTGGAAGCATTTCGGGTGCGTTTTCAGGGATCTCGGGGATATCATCGCCAGGTATGGGCCGCTCTTCCGGGGTTTGTGACTCCTCCTGCAAATACCATGGGACACGGGAAGTCGACTGAGCATTTGATGTCGTTTCGATCTCGCTCTCTTCAACAATTTTCTCTTCCACGGGCGACAGATTGATATCTGGTGGATTTGAGATAGGGGGCCGATCAGAGCGCAAAGAGCCTACCGCTGAGAAAGCTCTGGAGTTGAAGCTGGGACGAATAACGGCAGTGAATCGGGGAATCGGGACGCCCGAGACGGCAAGGAACGATCGAAGAATTTCATGGCGACATGACTGGCATGCAGCGCCTCGTAGTAAAGCCCTGCTCATGGCGGCGCGATGATGTTGAGCTGATGAGCACACGAGCGCAGCTTTGCTTGTCGGAGAATCCGCCGGGCGGCCGCTATCGCCGAGTGCAAATGGTGCAAACGGCTGAGTCATCAACAAAAAAAGATTCCTTTCGAGGCGGGGCAAAAGTTACAAATCGATCTTTTCGAGATTCCAATCTTTTCCCAAATTATTTCGTCGGTTGTCTATTTCCACCATGTCGATGGATCTGGATGCCCCCGTCCCCATGACGGGACTGCAGGATCAGCCCGTCATCACGGCGACGTGAGTTACTTTGCGACTCTTGGATGCGCAAGCTTAAACTAATCTGTTATAGTATTCTGTGCTGTAACTGTGGTGCTCCTATTGACGGAACGGCCTCAGCTGGCGCTCTTTGCTCTGGTAGGAGCCCGAGTCCCCTTTTCATTGGATTTTGATCATACTGACCTACTATCATAGAATGTCTTCGCAACACAGTCGACGTGTCTCAGGGTATTCAAAGAGAGGGAACCTTGCAGTAGGTCTTTCGGTCTACAAAGTCATCCAGCGTACCGATATTGACATTTCTCTAGTTGCTGCCGAGACTGTGAGCGTTGGTTGCAGCCCCCGAACAGCTGGGTCGTCGCAAACCCCGAATCGAAGGAGTTGTTGGCTGTGTGTCTACGTCGTCTCCGTGGTCTCAACAAAGGTGAGTGATATGCGGGGTACTCTACTCATATTGGTGAACTATTTCTAATTTTCATCATCTCATCTACAGTCAGAATCATCGATGCGAGCTTCATTTGGACGGAACCCCACTCTCGCCGTATTAAGGTGAAGATCACGATCCAGCAGGAGGCCTTCCAGGGCACTATCGTTCAGCAGACATTCGAGGTGGAATACGTGGTTGCGTCTCAGCAGTGTGATGACTGCAAGAAGAGTTATACACACAACACCTGGAGAGCCTCGGTTCAAGTTCGGCAGAAGGTCCCACACAAGCGGACGTTCCTGTACCTGGAGCAGTTGATTCTGAAGGCTGGTGCCCACAAGGATACTGTGAACATTAAGGAAGCGAAGGATGGCTTGGATTTCTACTTCGCGCAGCGAAATCACGCCGAGAAGGTGGGTCACTCCTGCCATCATATCTTTGGTATTTGACAACGCATGCTAACAGAAAACAGATGGTGGACTTCCTGCAGTCTACAATTCCCTGCAAGATGAAGAAGTCGCAGGAGCTGATTTCCATGGATATCCACACCTCTACCAAATCTTACAAGGTCGGTGATGCCAGATGCCAGAATACCGTTTCATAAACATCAACTAACTCGTTTCCAGTTCTCCTACTCCGTTGAACTGATCCCCATTTGTAAGGATGATCTGGTTGCCATGCCTATCAAGCTTGCTCGCCAGCTGGGCAATATCTCTCCCTTGACTCTCTGCCACCGTGTCGGAACTAGCGTCAACCTCCTCGACCCTCTCACCCTTCAAACTGCCGATGTCACCAGCGGCACCTACTGGCGCTCGCCATTCAAGAACTTGGCCGACGTTACAGAGCTGAAGGAGTTCATCATTATGGATATCGAGCCACTCGGCCACTCCACCGGCCGCTATCAGCTTTCCGAGGCCACCGTCGCACGGGCATCGGATCTGGGCAGCAACGACACCACATACTACACCCGAACCCACCTTGGTGGTATTCTGCATGTTGGTGACTCCGTGCTCGGCTACCACTTGACCGGCACCATCTTCAACGACGATAACTTCGAAGCTATCGAAGCCAGCAGCCAGTATGGATCGACGATCCCAGACGTCGTCCTCGTTAAGAAGCACTACGCTCGCAAGAAGAAGCCCAAGAACCGTGCCTGGCGCCTCAGGCGCATGGCTCGCGAGTACGAGGAGGAGGCACTCGCCGGCCAACAGACTCGCAAGCAGGAGCAGGAGCAGGATCGTCTCGAGCAAGACTTCGAAATGTTCTTGCGCGACGTTGAGGAGGACCAGGAGCTGCGTCAAACTCTGGATCTGTACAAGGCTCGTCGTAAGACTGACCAGGATCATGAGATGGACGAGGACAGCGATAGTGGTGACGATGAGGTGCCGAAGATCAACATGGATGAGCTGCTTGATGACTTCGATGAGCTGACCATGAACGACGAATGAGAATGAGAATGTGAACGAGCTTTTATGCAAGTGATATCCTTGATGATCATGGCTGGCGTTATTTGTTTATAGCCTCATGCTTTCTTTTTCTTATATCTTCTTTTGGAGGGATGGTACAGAAACAAAAGTTTTGCGAAAAATAGATAGCATGCAAACGTATGCACATTGTCATCGTTGAAAAAAGTATGGATATTAAAGGCCTAGTATGGCAACTTCAATCACAATGAGCGTCAAGCCAGCATAAAAAGCCCTCGTCCAGGCGAGTGCAGGCGCCGTTCAATCTCGTCCCCTTCCAGCCAATCACCATTTGAGGTGGCGATCCCTGTGCTCTTCGGGCCATATAGACCACTAAGCTACCGGCAGGGACGATTATTGATTCGAGATAAAAATGAGCGATGACCTACGCTTGATGACTGGGTTCCGATTTAAGCAGTCGACCCTCATGAAAAGAGGATTCACTAGTATGCATGAATGAAAGCGGTTCTCTATACGCTGAACAATAAAGCACTCGACGCAACCTTGAAGACATCAGAAAATCTTCCCAAGCACCCTCTTAGCCTCATTCCCAATAGCCTTTTCATCCTTATCAGAAGCAGAAACGACATCGTTCTGTACGAACCGCCTCCGCACGGGCGCGGGCATCTTCGGCTCGACATCCGTTTGACCCTCGGCTTCGGCCTTGCGCTTCCTCTTCTCCTCGTTCTTTTGGGTGATACCGTCCAGACGACGGCCTGCTTCGACACCCGCCAGGAAGACCTTTTCTTCCTTCCTTGCTCGGATATCTGCCATGCGCTGTTTGCTTTCTCTCTCGGATCTCTCGCGCTGGACAGTTTCCATCAACTAGAAGTAGCAGGTTAGCAAATATTTCGAAGTGGAAAGATGGGTGAAGGCAATATGCAAGAAAATGTGCAAGCATAGGTAGGATTTGCATATCAGCGGGGGGGGGGAAGGAAAGCCTACATCAGCCCATTTGAAACCAGATCTAGCAAAAACATCAATTAGTACAAAGTCCAGCCACTTTTCAAAGCAGGCCATTTAAGGGAAAACTCACAGGTACCGCATGTTGATAACATCATCGCGATAATACATCCCCTTAGGACCACCAAGTGGCCGAGCATTCATAGACTCCGCCGCCAAACGGGCAGTCTTCTTCGATTCGAATTCAATCCAGCCCTCCGAGTAGAGTTTGCGCTTGTTACTGCGTCGCGGGTTCGAGGAGTTGGTAGGAACGAGCGGGGCGAAAAAGACTTTTTTAATTGGACCGAATCCACGTTTTTCCATGATATTCTTGAGTGCAAAGCTATTATGATTGTCAGTATTGAGTGCGATGTCGTGTCCAGCGCTGTGCAACCACTCACGGTTTGAGGTATGGCGGCAGTGAAGAGAGGTAGACAACGCCAGTCTTGTCCTTCTTGGGCTTTTTGAGGGATTTCGTAGACAGGGTTTTCGCGTTGTCTTTTTTGTCTTCGGATGTGGATTCGAGGTATGCGCCTCCGTCTTCGTCCTCGTCCTCGTGCTCTTCATGATCGTCTTCCTCTTCGTCTTCCTCCTCTAAGGCGTCTTGCTTCTTCGTCTTTGATTGCTTGCGGACCTTGCCTTTGACATCTGCTCGAAACTCCTCGTCATCCTCATCTGCAGATACGTCCTCGTCCGACCCTAGACCGAAGAAATCTTGTGTATCGGTCCGGCGCTTCTTCACGGCCCGGCCTTTCGACTCCGCCACATGCTCCTCGGAATCGTAGCCACGGACACTGGCCTCGTCGTCGTTGCTGGGCGCGTCTAGAAATTCGTTGTGTTTCCTGGTCGTCATTGTGCGAAGTTGTCGTGATTAACTGGGAGGGGGAAAGAGACTCGGCGTGCCAGAAAGTTGAAGTCTCCAACTTTTTTTTCGCCGCGGATCATGTGGTCCGTGCGCTGCTCCGCTTTGAACTCCGCGAATTTACGATGAGATCGACAACTACATTAATAGGAAGAATACAAGGCTGATGACTTACGAGAAATAGGGTGGGTAAATTTGAGTAAAATGAGATATATGTGTCAGTTCGGGGTAGTGTATCTACACTCGAGCCATCCCAGGCTCATCTAATGCTAAAGAAGATGAAAAAAAAAGCCCAATCAAATATCCACAACGCCAACATTGGGAATCACAAGAACGATGCCAATGGCTGCACAACTGTCTCCACGGCAAGGACCACATGTTCTATCGCAAGAACGCACTTTGTATCTGCAGCATGAAAAGAAGACGATATAAATGCAGGGGTATTCAAGTACCCAGAAAACGAAATTTCAAGGAAGGCCATCTAGATCCCCAAGGACCACTTCAACCGCTCATAGACAAAGAAGGCGGTTGCGGCCATGGGTACGACCTTAATATATCCAATGGTGAGGCCAACCCAGAAGCCACGGAAACCTCGCTCAAGCCAGATTTTGCGGCCCGTTTCGATGATTCCAAGTCGCTGGCCGTCACCGACTGCACCACCAACCTGCATGCGCCGCCTAATCACTTCCAGTGGGTATGAGGAGGTTTGTGAGACAACACCGGCCACTGCGCCAGAGAAGAGCTCGGCGGCGGCAGTCAGCTGAGGTTGACGAGATCCTTTCTTCGGTTTGGATTCTGAAGCCGGGATTGTTGTGTATTGTGCGACGGAGGGACTGCGAAGCCAGTCGCCCACGGTGTCGTGTGTGAGGAAAGACACGCCAGCGTATGGCAGCATGCCAAGAATGGTTGGGCCAAAGCCGCGGTAGAAGTTGGCGATGCCAGACCGTGGCACAGCCTGATTGACAGTCGATGCTACTGTCTCCGCCGTAGCGACAGTGGCCGAGGCGGTCTTGGCTCCTGCGGTAGCCGCAGGTGGTGAAACACGCTCATTGTAGATCTGCCGACAGATATCGGTCAAAGACGAGCGGGAGGACTGTTTCGTTTCGAATGCCAGTCGTACTCGTACGAGTTCGAGGGGGTATGTGCAAAACACCGAGGTGATGCCTGCCAAACTGCCCGATACCAGGCGGCGGATCGCAGTCTCTTTATCGTGGGATGGGATTATGACGGCACGGATCTGTTCGTAGGCGAGGAACTTGATGGCAGCGTAGGGGAAGATACGGAGAAGTGTAGCGGAATGGCCTTTGAACAGGCCCCGGGCGCCTTCATAGCGCTTGATATCACGGATGGCAGCAGCGAGGCCAGCCCAACTGCCTGTGTATTTGGCAAATTGCGGGTTTGACGCTTGGAAGAGGATTTTGACGCGGTCAAGGGGTGCCACAACGGTTTTGGCCTGGAGTTTGAGCGCGCAATCAGTATACAAATGTTGCCTCAGCTCGTCTTCTGAATTTTGTATGCACTTACCGCACATCCCGCTAATCCTCCAGCGAGACCGCTTCGCAAGATATAATCAACACTGCGTGTCTTCACGGCCGCGCCGCTTTTTTGTGTATCGGCTCCGGCATTCGGTGTGATCTGGATACTGGCGCCGCCAGCAATGGGCGATCTCGTCTGAGCGATCCCACTCATCGGAGAGTTAGACTGCGGAGAGGACTCCGGGCTTGCGTGAAACTGGTGGCGTGGCGTGAGAACGACGGAATCAAGCTGCGCATGGTCTGAAATCCCAGTCGACATGGGAGAGAAGGGGGTGGGTAATGACAGGCGATCTTGTGCGGCCGAGGCGCAACTGGGGAAAGAGGGTCTGGGGGTGGAATTACGGTCGTTTCTGCGCCCCTCGTGATCACTCGGCGATATTTTGGCAGAAAAGTTTCGGGTTACCGGAGGATCGTCGGGACACTTCTCCGGGCCATGCAGGGAACGGTCGGGATGTATGTGGTGTGTGTTTGTAACCTTCGCAGTAGAAATGGCTTGGATAGAAGGGATATTGTGAGGATCAAGACGCAACAAGAGAGGAAGTTCACTGATTGACAGTTGAACCTCGCTGACGTCGGTTTGCCATAGCGGGTTCGGCGTAAGGCTTGACATGCCGATACCAGCCGCTCCCCGCGAGTAACCGTGGAATTACGGTACCGTTACCAAATACCCGAGTGGCGGGCACGAAAAGTGAAAAACTGCCAGTCCCGAGAAGCCGAATTGTCAGCGCTTATGATTTGTTGACGAGATACTAGATAATAATGATCAATCTATGTGCTCCATTCTTCTATCTGACTCTTGATTTGCAAACCACCAGTAACAAAAACAAGCAAAACACCACCCCCGTAACCATCAACCCCCCCCCCCCCAACGACTCCCAGGAGATGCTCAGAACTAGATACAGGATCACCGGTCCCTAAGAATAGTACACTAAAAAATGAATTCGTGGGTCGCGTGAGCAGGTAGAAGAAAACTCTCGAACCAAAAGAAACACAGAAAGATGCCATGATCAATCAAGCTTAAGCCCCGCGCCGTGAGCCCCGTCGGGTCAACGTCTTTCCCCGCGTTCCTCGGCCGCCTCGTGTATCATCGGCGTTCCGCTTCTGCCGCTTGGCGGGCCGCTCAGGATCGACGTGCAGATGGCCATTCTCGCCCAGAGACGTGCCGTTGTGCCACCGCAGACAGCGGAGACGATGCTCGTTGACGTCCATGTACGTCTTCTTACGAGTAGTGACACGCTTCGTAGGTAGTTCCTCCGACTCGGCTCGTTCGGCGCTCACAGTGAGGTACTCCTGGCGGTGCTTCATGTACTTGGCAATAGTGTGCCGCTGCAGATGAAGTTCCTTGACCAACTTGCACTCCCGGTTGCCTCGAGCGTCCAGCCACTGGATCAGTTGCTCGATTGAATCCGGGTCATCGTAGTAGCCCCATTCGCGGGCAGTCGATACGTGCGTAGGGCCCTCTTCGTGCTTCTTGCGCTCGGCGGGGGTGGTGTGGAAATGCTTCTGGTACTGTTTGCGTTGTTCGTCGGTCAGGTCGATAAAGCCGGCGCGCTCCATCTCATCGGGACCTTGAACCCAAAGACGACCATTGGCATAGCCCGCTTCTGCAGTGGAGCTGTCCGGCATGCCTGAGGGAGGCATCGCGTTGCGCTCAAACCACCAGTACCGATTGCAGAAACGATCCAGACCCAGGCATTTCGTGCGTGGACAATCGGCCTCACGGAGGTCGTTATCCACCGATTCGATCTTCTCCTCGATCTTCGTGATCTTGGCCTTTTGGTCCTCAATCTTCTTCAGTACCCGCTGATACTGCTTAGATCCTTTGGGCTGCTTGGCCAGCTGCTCCTTTCGTTCCCGCTCCTCGTCCTGCTTGCGCTTGCGTTCAGCAGCACGATCGGCACCCCCTCGGAGTGAGCGTGGTCGGGGAGTGTCTTCGTCGTCCGTATCCGGAACCTCGGAATCGCCATCCAGACCGGTCATCTTCGAGTCATCCAGCCCGTCAAGCTCCGGCACGGGCGACGGCGATTTTTCGGTGGTCTTTTCGGGCTCGGGCTGAAGTGCCTTTCGCTCCTGGTGCAATTGTCGCAAATCTTGTAGTCTGTAGAATGATTAGTTTCTGGTGGCTTGACGGCATTGTCATAGAATGGATTGAACTTACGCAGCCTTGCGAGCCTTTTGATGCTCGATTTTCACCTTGCGGAACTCTGTCATCTGAACACTGCATTCCTCCATGTAATTCCGGATGGCCTTCGTCTCCAAGCTCAACAAGCAGATGATCTGGAGAGCCTTGACTCGCAAGTTGACATCCAAAGTACGGTATTGCTCCCGCGCAGTCTTCTGAGTGGCGGGCTCGTCAAGCGGCGCTAGGTGTTTGAGAACTTCATTGCAGGTCTCCTCGAGGCGAGGTCGAACAGACAGCTGGTGCAAGAGACCGATCATGACCAATTCCCATCCACCATTGCGGAAGTCTCGTCGGCGCAGACGATCAATCCAACTGTAGTTGGTGAACATCTCGGCAGCACGATGAATCCGCTCATCCTCTTCGGGCTCCTCGAGCTGCGCCTTCAAGCTTTCGGCCTCTTTCTTTGCCAGACTACCACGGGTAGTCATTCTCCTCGCGGGGCCAGAGTCCTCCTCGTCGCTCTCTTCATTGTCTTCATCCTCATCCGAATTCTCAGAGTCATCAGACTCTTCGGATGGGAAGTCCGGAAGAGAAATCTGGGCAGCACCACCATTGCCCTCGGAATTGACCAGCTTCTTGAGGAGGGCGCAGTGGATTTCGACGAAAAGTTCGCAGTCCATTTCCTCCGATGAGAAGCGCATGGCCTGAACGAAGTCGTCAAAGGTGAACGAATCCAATTGGAACACCTCACAGTAGACATTGAGCGTATCCCAAGTTTCGAGAAGGAGTCCCACTGATTCGGGTTCCACATCGTCAGGCAGGAGGTCCTCGGCACCGTCATCGTCAGTATCTCCCACCATCAGGAACTTCAAAGTCGGGCGATGAGTCTTGTCCTTGTTGGGAGCGAGCTCAAGATCCTCCATTGGGTACTTAATCGGAGGTGGTGATGGTGGCCGAGACTCATTTTTGATGATAACTGAGGGGTGGGGCATTTTCTTGTCACCGACCAGCGGCGGTTTGCTTGGGCGAAGTGGATTGTTTGGTGAAAGGAAGGTTGGGTTTCCATTGAGGGATCGTTGATATTCCAGATACTGAGCTTCGCGTGATTTGGCGTGGTCATGTGCGCTCATCTTCGCTTTCGCGCCCTTCACAGCAGGCTTCAGTTCAGGCAGCTGCTGGGAAGAAAAGAATCCAAAAAATCCTTCCTGGTCTGCCTTCTTCATTGCCTTCTTCTCGGCTACCTTGGCGCCATACTGTAAATGTTTAGGCACCTCCGTGGAAATCTTGTACTCCTCCGCGACGGATGGTTTCACCAGCCAGGGAGCACCGGTCCACGACTCTCGGGTCACGTTGTTCTTAATAAATCCACGCAGCATCAACTTTGTGAATGACTTCCTATCACGAGTGATGTGGTCCTGATCCAACAGGGCCTCTTCATTTGGCCGGTCAGAAATCTTGACCAGGTACCTGGCATATGCCGGGGTCTTGATGGTGCCATCCGCATATAACTGCTCGGCAAAGTTGGCCTTGTCTCTGATGGTGCCGTGAAGTCTGCTGTTGTCTTCTAGTAGAATGAGAACTGGCTCTCCAGGGTAAAAGTCCGATTTAAATTCCTGCAAGTCGTCGTTAATGGCTGAATCAAATGTTGCGCGCAAAAAGTCAGTTAAAGGAATTCATCTCACTTCATAGATTTCGTCCACTGTGAAAGTCAAATCCAAATGTTAGTACAATGGCCATGGATGAATCGCCTTAATGAAGAAACATACCCAAATTGTCAACTCTCGAGGTGGTCGAGAACTGAATGCGGCGCAAAATTGGCTCTTTCAGCGCTTCGGGGAAGCTGTTGTTGACCTCGCGCGATTCTTCCAGCTGTTCCAAATAATCAATACTTGTCCGTGCAGCCACTTGTACAGTTCCACCTACTTCACTCCGAAGTGCCTCGAAAAAGGTCATTCCTGAATGGCCCGTGATCTCGCAAATGAATCGGCGTGACTTGTAAAAGTCCATGCGCTGGAGGTACGGCTCATAGCTCGTAAAAACCTCGTTGGTCTCCGGGATGACCCAGACCTAACCAAAGTGTCAACCCAAGCAATACTTCCATGCATCACAGCTAACAGATAGCATACCTCGGAGCTATCATCTTCGATCACGGGTCGCGGAAGGTATTGGACCGGTTTGCGTTTGTAAAGGACCTAGGCGACAGTGAGCTTGCGCCTCTTGATTTTCATTGTTGTTCCACCGCCGGTGACCTCATAGTCCGTCTCAGCCAGGAAGATTCGAAATCGCGTACCATTATCCTTTGGAGGGTGGGCGGACACGCGCCAGTCTACCGGAGACTAACGCGGGTGTCCTCGAACATAAATCAACTAGAAAAGCACGCGACTCGTCAGTGACTGTATCGGAACAGATAAAAAGTATGTATGGCAAAATCGCGTCATGTATAGATGATGTGTGCAAGCAAGTCAGCTCCAGCTAGATCCCCGATGTGGACCGCCGGGAATCCTGAGACGGCACTTCGCGGAGGTTGCGGTCGAAGCGACAGAGCCCGGAGCGCGGAGAAAGCGAGATATGGACGAATGAACTAGTAAATGGCGGACATACCGATAGAAACGCGTCGCAGATGGCACAAAGTCCCAGACAAATTGCCTATGGACGAAACGGATGGGTTTGTGGACGGAGGTGGAGAAAACGCGCAAGACGAGGAGGATTGAAGGGGAAAGAAAGCAAAAGCAGAAGAAGCAGCACAGAAGGAGGAGCGGTCGATCAACCGCGCCCCAGACAAAGGACGCTGATTGGCGGAGAGGAGGAGCAGCGGGAGCCAAAGGCAGAAAACCGCCTTCCTCGGCGGCCCTCTGCGGACCCTCCCTTTTCCTCCTGTTCGTCCTGTCCGGGGCCTGTCGCCCGCCGTGAGCATCCACTTCACTTATTGCATCCCAACATCCCCCTTATTTATACTCATTGGACTCGCTAGCCACTGCATATTTTAATAGAAGTTTTACATCCTAATTAAATGAGAAAATCATCCTTTTCTTCCTGATTATCAACTATGCCCCTCCTACCTTCTATCAGCCACTAGAAGAAAGTCAAAACAAGAGCTACTAGATTCCCCCAAAAATACATTCTTTGTCCCCCACCATGTTGGTTAATCTTTATAATTGTTTGATTCAGCAGGTCCTATCTTTTTCTTTCATACCAAATTCTAATTTGCCCCTCCTTGACAATTACCTATTCCGGTAAAGAGGTCCGTCTTCTATACATTGACTATCATGAATTCCATACCTCTGTTATCTCTATCGTACCGACCTCTTTATAGCTGGATTTAATTTCTCAAGTCTTGACTGCTTTCAACTTGCAGACTCTATATTTTGCACACTATCCTGCTACAACGCCAACCTCTTTGTTTGATAGCAAGCTACGGCCCTGCATGGTTAAATGCAAGAAGACCTTAACCACCAAACCATTCCATTGGGATGGTCTTCCACTTCTTCCTAGAAACATCATGTCTTCATAGACAGATCAGCCTGATAGTGGCCACATTCCATGGGTATAAACTCTCTTGTCTCGATTCAGCATTGTGTGTCGATGATTTCAAACGCCTAGGGGGTATTTTAACTTCAGAGTGGGCAATGAACCGTCAATATTGATTACTCACCTCGATTACTGGATCACCAATATTGTTGCTAAAGTTCTACATCTTCTTCCAAGAATCAATACTCGAAGCAAGAACACATCAACCTCCTCTTTCTACGTCAAATGCCAGATGTTTTGCACTAGACATCAGAACTTTATTTCATGCTCCTTCCTCTTTTCGAGTATTTCAAGATCGACAACTTGATGCTAGCAGCTCTGCAGAAACAGGTGCAACTTTCAGAGTACAGCTAGTTGGTAAACTATATCCCATATTTGTACGTTTCGGTACCCAACACTGCTCTGCACTTGTCAAGTTCATAATTCCTTTCGGGTCAAGAGCAAGTATTTTAAGAGATATTTTAGGGGAAAAAAGCATAGCCTATAGTATTATTCCTGTTCTGCAAAATCCAGCCATAGGCTTTGTCCTAGCTCCTCAAGGGACATTCTAGTTCTTATTACCATCTTCTACCTTTAGTTTCCATGTACTCGACGTATTCGATATAACCTGAAATTTTAATTTCCAGTATAGTTCAGCAATATCGAGTAGCTGATGGGCTGAATATGATAAGGACTTCCATGTTTCTCTACGTTACTGGTGTGTTTTTCTTCGTTCTGTAGAAATCCCAACTATTCTCCGCTTTTCTGGATGGGACGGATATATATTGCGCACGATCGGACCCGCCACATTCCATCAAAAAATACCCGGAAAGCTCCTCCAAGGACGTAGATCTCATAAAGCCTACACCTTTTCCCGCTAAATCAAACTACCTCAACCTGACGGAGATAATGTTACAAACCCCCGATTCATATCCAGCCTGCATCTCGCAGACGGCATGCTGCATGGACGGGGTGGGACTAGCCTCTTTGGGTGAGGTGCAGAATAGACTCCGTGGTCGGGTGGGTCTGGGCCCACGTGGTCAGACAAACAGTGCAAACAGACCGAAGTATACGTCACCCCTGCCGAAATGGACAATGCGTAGAACAAAGGAGACTGAAGATAATTCCAGATCATGAAGAAAGAGTCTACTATTTGTTTTTGAATAATTTCTATCTAGAAATACACTCATGTAGTAAAGTATACTACCATAAATCCAACCCAGCTTCCTACCACCCCAAGTGCAGAGTAACTACTCATAAACATCAATGGCAGGAATTGCAGCCGCTGTGATCCGAAGATCAAGTGATGAAGCAGCGAGCTATACAGGACAAGAGGAATCGATAAGGTCAAGTACAGCGAAGAGAAGCGATCGAAGAGGAATACCCGTGGGCGTTCTGGGACTGGCGCGATGCGGTCGAAAATGAAGAGGAATAGGATGAGCCAGAAGATAGTATAGACGGTCTTCAGAGGGAACTCGGCGGGTGTAAACAGCAGCGGGAAAAGAGAGACGTGTCCTGCAACTGCGAGTGGCCGGAAAGCAGAGAAGTGGCGACGGTCCTTCAGAGCAATCAAGCTGAAAGGAATGATGATCAAGAGGACGGCTTTCTCGTGGACGTGCCAGCCGAAGAGGAATGAGGCGTAGCCGCAGAGAGTAATCGCTCCGATGAAAGTGTCCCAGTCTGGACGAAGCCAAAGTTTCACCAAAGGCACCAGCTGGAAGATAAAGGTCAGGAGGAATGTCTGCTCCTTGGTCACCTCGGGAAGAATAGCGAAGGAGGTATCTCCAACAAGGCCTCGTGTAACGCTTTGGAGGGCCTCGCGGTTGACCGGCAGACCAAGACGAGGAGCCACTGTAAAAAATGTTAACTATGGTCATACAGCAATAATCGTAGCAATGCAAAACTTACGGGGAATCAAAGCGCGATCCGCAAATGAGTACATGGCCCAGAAATTAGGTGCCCAGTATGCATGGCACAGTCCTCGAGAGAACGGGAACAGCCTATCCTTCAACTGGAGAATCTGATCGGCGAACGGCCCAAAGGCAATGCCGAAGACGCCCACCACGCAGATGCCAAGCTTGATGATGTTCAAGAATCGTGGGCGTAGAACGTTCTTAGGGTCCAAGCAGTAGGCGCGGAGGAGGTAGACGAAGTAGGCCAGCGAAAGGTAGAGGTAGATATGCTTGAAGCAAAGCAGGGCAGCAAATAAGAAGCCACTGGCAAGGAGTTGCTTGCGAGCCAGAACAAGCGACAGAATCAAGATGCCATACATGAATCCATTGTACTGGAAGTGGATGTGGTCGATGATCAAGAGGCCCGGGGAAAGGAGGATCGAGAGGCTGGCAATATGTGCCGCCTGTTTATTTGCGAGAGGAGAAGATTTGATGAATCTGAAAAAAAGCGTAGAGGATCAGCATGGGCCTAAGGCTGATAACGCGCGAGAGGGGTCGTCTCATACCTGCTCAGCGCATAGACGAGGACTAGCTCCGTCAGGATCACGGTCGTCCTTTGGAAGTAGACGGTCTGCCAGGAATCATATCCCAAGTTTTTCACAATAACCATGGCAGGATCCACAAGCGCGGCAGCCTGCGACATCAGCCATTCAAAGGCCGCAAAGAACGGGGGGTAATCGAGGGTCCATTCGGATGTTTTCTATACGAGATTAGGGTCTATGGATCGCAGACGTTCCCAATATATGCGAACCTCGTAGTACCATTCCTTGACCGGGAGAGAATGTGTAATGGCCAGCCAGTTGCGATGCACCTCGAAATCGGTCGATTTGCTAGAAACGCGATTAGAACACAATTTATCGCGCCGCCGATTGCGCCAGGGTGTCCGATGGGGAGCTCACTATGCCGGAAACAGCAGCACCTTAAAGGCAGCAGCTACAATGGCGCACTGGGCCAGTGACGGATAAAGCTCAGCCATGGCTGTCGCGCCCTTATTTCTGTTGGCAATTCGAGGACAGCATCTCGAGGAAGTGGGCGGAGTGCGGACGTGTGAAGCTCCTCCGCAGTCACGTGGGGCGCTATGCGGAGATCCATTCAGGAGTAACGCCCTGAACCACGCTAGGGCGCTTAAGGCCAGCGTATCAACAGCAATCCCTCCGCATGGACTTCTCAGACGTCGGCGTTCGCCACACTATTCTCAACAGTATCCAGTTGCAACACTTCATCGACGTCTCTCCCTCGGCAGCTGCTATTGCTAAGGAGGTCCGACTTTGCGTGATTGCCGTTGTGGTTGGGTGGATTACTACTCGCGTTGTCGCTAGCCTGTGCGAGTCCGATAAATCGTGCCATTGTGACCGCGGCAAAGCTTCCAACCGCTCGAAGTGCTCCGATACCGAATAATTGACGCTTGGGACTGTGGAATCGAGATCGGCGTGAAAGTGTCTTTTGGCGAGTCACGCTCAAAGATTCTTTATTTGGCCCGTTATCATACCGACCAACCCTACTACTTCGCTCTCTCCCCACCCCCGCCACAATGAGGACGTTTACTTCGATTGCTCTGCTCGCCATTGGAGCTACTGCCCAGGTGATTGAGAGTGCTAGCTTTGGTTATGGAAAAACGTACGCTTCTGGACTTGGTTGTTTGTCCTGCTATCCTTATCAGATCTAACTGTGATCGGTAGGATCTCGCCCAATCGAGACTCAATCCCAGGCTGGAACATTGGCGGAGAAGGCCATGAGCCATCTCTTGTATGTCACTCACCCAATTCATGGTATGATAACGGCCTAATCTCCAAAATAGCTCTCCGACAAGCTCATCCTGACACCACCCTACCCTGGCAACACCCGAGGATCTGCGTGGGCCCAGACCGCGTACGTTACATACATCCAAAGACCCCTCCAGCTGAATATGTGCTAATCTTTGCACAGAATCTCTCAACAAGAATGGTCAGCCGAGTTCCAATTCCGTGCCAGCGGGCCCGATCGAGCAGGTGGTATCCTCCAATTATGGTATACGAAGGATGGACAAGCTCGGGTCGGCACCTCCAGCATCTATACTGTGGGACAATTTGACGGTTTCGCGCTTGTCATTGATACACACGGCGGCCGGGTATGTCTTTCGTGCCACCTGATACATATTTGCATGGAGCACACGCGCTAACTGAGCGTACAGGGTGGAAGCATTCGTGGATTCTTGAATGACGGAACGACAGACTACAAGAGTCACCGCAGCGTCGACAGCCTTGCTTTCGGTCACTGTGACTATGCCTACCGCAACTTGGGCCGACCCACCGTCGTGAAGGTCAAGCACACCAACTCGATCTTCGAGGTTACTGTCGATGACAAGACCTGTTTCTCGACCAACAAGGTATGAAATGTCCAGCAGTGTCTCTACATGCATAGTAGTTAACTTTGAGAAGGTCAACTTGCCTGCCGGAAATACTTTCGGCTTCACGGCTGCCACCCCCGAGAACCCGGATTCCTTCGAGGTCTTCAAGTTCCTCCTGTCATCTGCTTCTGGACAGGGACAGACCGTTCCTTCCCAGCAGGGCAGCACCCAGCAGCAGCAACAGCCCATCTCTAATCAGAACCAGCCTCCGGTTATCCGCGATACCGGCAACCCGGTCATTGATGCGGGCATTGGTGCTCAATTCGTCGACCTTCAGGGCCGCATCCAGCTCCAGAACAAGGCTACCAATACCATGATCCAGGACCTTAAGGCCCAGACTGGTAAGAACGATGCCCGCCACATTGAGATCATGCAGAAGCTGGCTTCCAAGGAGCAGGTCGCTGCCCTTGATGCCCGGCTCCAGCGCATCGAGTCTCTCCTCCAGAATATCCAGCGCGACCTGGAGGGTAAGGACTACAGCAGCCGCTTCAACCAACTCCAGGATACCCTGCGCTCATCCCACCTCAGTCTCACCGAGAATCTTCAAAGCCACTTCCTGAGTGGTAAGTTAATACACCCACGACCTCAAATCGCTCAAGTAGCTAACCTCTTCCCCAGCCATCACTGCCTCTTCTCCCCGTATGGGTTTCTTCATCTTCCTGGTCATCGCCTTCCAGGTCCTCCTCGCCACCTCATACATCATCTACAAGCGCCGTCGTGCAAACATGCCCAAGAAATTCCTCTAGGGCATTCCTCCGATTGCCGAGTCTCTTGGCATATCCATGTGTTTGGGGCGTTATCTCAAGCGAGATGATACTATACTATTCTTGCGTGTCGTTGATTATTAGCTCTGATGTCTTCTTTTTTCCCACCAAGGTGCTGGGTCTGTATGTCATTTCGGATTTGTCATGTAGAGTACGAATTTATATTGAAAACAATGACTGTAAATTTGCTTTCTGCAAATGTATTTCTGTGTTACACTTCTACTATGATATTACACGATCCAAGATGATGAAAGTGGAAAGTATCCATTGGGCCCATGCTAATGTTACACTGAGAGACTTTGAGTCTGTATGCGCCACCCTATGCTCATATCAATCTTGCGAAAACAGAAACCAGGGAAAGAAAAAAGAAAACAAGAAAACAAGAACGAAAACGAAAAGCAGAAACATCAAAATCCGGGGGCCTTGAAGAGAAGCATGAGTCCGTACGCCGCTATGTATTGCCATCAGCAATAGACATGATTTTTGTCCTGCGCTGATGCCGGGTGCGCTGAAAATGAAACAGAGAAACAAGAAGAGCAGGGGGAATTATGTTGAGAACAGGTTAGGCGGAGGAGTCATTCATGATGCTCCTTGCTTTGTTTCTCAAGGAGATTAGGCGGAGTCGGTGTGCTGGCACTTTGAAGCGCGCTCATTGCGGGTGGCAGGCTCCTCGGAGACCGCGCGCGAGCGTTTGCTCTTGCGGGTGCTTCTGGGAGTCCTTCGGGTTGGAGGAGATGAGGTGGGACGAGGCTCCAAGACAGCGGGTTCACTCGGGGCAGCACTATCATCTTTGATCGCTGGGGGAGGGACAGTATTATCATCCTTGCTGGCTGGGATAGGGGCGGCAGCAGTAACTTCTTTGTCAGCCTCATTAGACCGAAGACCGGGCTCGTTGGGTTGAGGTGTCACGGTACTGTTGTCGCCGACCGGAACGCTGGATTCGCCCTTAGCAAATCCAACAAGAGCAAGAGCAGCGTCGTACTGATCTTTGGTCGACTTGCCCGTTTGGAGGTCTTCGATAGCCTCGTTGATACTCGGGGCGATTTGCGCGGTGATCTCATCAGCAGACATGGAGCTGTTCTGCGCAAGACGCTCTTCAACCATGTTCCTAGCAAGGTTGATGCATGTATTGGCAAGACCAGTGAAGAATTCCTTCTGCTGACGAGCGTGATCATTGCGAACGGCGGAGATAAAGTCCATGATCATATCCCCGCCAGGGAGGAGGCGACGCTTCTCGCGGAAGTCATCATCAAAGGTAGTCTCGTTGACATCATCATAGGGAATGGGATCCACGTCAACTGAAGCGACCGTGTTCTTGGCACGGCGCACACGGCGCTCTTGCACCTGACCGTCAACCACTTTGGTCACGATCATATCATCAGGCGTGACATGCTTGGGGCACATCCACCCAGAGTGAGGGTTAGGGGGAATTGCGAGGGGAGGGTCAAGACAGTCTAGGTGGAAGTAGGAAGGGCAGTAGTCACAGCGGATGATCGGGCGCTCGTTATCGGAACATCGGCCACAGTGGTTGCAGAGAATCACATGGCCATTGTCGGACATCTTCAGCAGGTTGGGATCATCGTAGGCAGGAGTTGCGGGTCTCGCCCTTGGTGGCTTAGTCAGACGGGGTATGTGGGGAACCGTCTTGTAGAAGCTCTGGTTCTTCACGCTCTTGCGGTCGGCGTTGACGTACACACCCTCTCCGACGCCGGCAAAGTACTCCTTCAGCTCAGTTGGTGGGGAGTATTCCGTCTTGCGCTTCTTGTGGCGGCCATGCGCGATGGCGGTGGTGAGAGAGTTGCGGACTCCACATCGCGGGCAGTACCACTCGCCCTGCGGCGGGTTCTTGGGATTTACAGCAGGCCGAAGACATTCAAAGTGGAATGAGTTCTCACATGTGTCGCAACACAGTAGATTGCCAACCTGGTCGCACTCGTAGCAGTTGTCACTGTTGTCTGGCGGCTCACTGTAAAAAAAGAGTTAGCAAAATGGGCTCTTAATCGATCATCTAAAAGGCAACACGTACATCGAGTTCGGCATCTTTCGCCGGCTGAACTCGCCATGCCAGTCGTTCTCTCGTTCCGAGTAACACTCATTGGAAATGGTGGACTCGGCAGAGACGGTGGTGTCCAGTGACCACTCACGAGTGCGTTTCCCAAGGACCTGGGCAGGGGGAGGCAGAGCAGCAAGACGAGCAGCAGCAGCATCGGTAGTCTCAGGGGCTTCAGAGACGGTCTTTGGCTCTGGCTGCTGGCTTGGTGAGGCCTGTGCTGCCTTGTCCCGACCTCCTCGGCCCCGTCCACCACGTCCACCACGTCCACGTCCTCTGCCACCCCGTTGCACGCGGGTAGGAACCGGCTCCGGGGCGACCTCCACTGATTGAGCGATTTCTTCCACCTCAGTGGTGTCAGGGGTTGAACCCTGGGTGGAAGGCTGCTCGGTGGCAGCGCGTTGGCCTCTTCTCGGGCGAAGTGAGCTGACCTCGGGCATGGTTTCCTCAGGTTCAGGTTCGGTGTCCTTGAGGAGGCGAGCACGTTTGGCTTGCAGGGTCTGATCAAGTGAGGGGTCGGCTTCCCACTCACGGCGGCGTTTGAAAGAGTTCTCGTTCACTCGGCACGGCTTTCTGGGTCGTTTGAGTGGAGCTGTGTTGGACTTGCCACTGTTGAAAAGATCTTCGAGGCGGGGGCCGGAAGTGTCACGGTAGATGTCAGAGACTTTAAATGTTTGTCCCGTAGGTTCCATCTCAAGAGACTGGGCGGAAGACAGGCTGGAGTCGCTGCCTGAGTCTTGACGATCCAAGGCAGCAGGACGCGTCGCGATGTATGCCTTGAGCCACTCAGAGGCATCATCCATCGAATGATGCAGCATGGTCTTCAGCGCCAGCTCCAGGTTGTGATCAGTCACTTTCACACCCATATTGTAGATGAGTGACAGCTTGAAATTATCGTCCGATATGCCAGACCAGTAGTGAAGCAGGCTTACTGCCGCCTCATCATTCCCGGCCTCACGAGAATGAGAGATAGCAGTTGCCACGACCTGCTTCAGCTGGGCAACATCGTACTTGTTCGACTGGGGAGCTGGAAGAGAGTTCAAGATAGCGATGAGATCGCGGTCAAGGGGCTTTTCAATCTCACAGGCCATGGTGTCCATGACGTCTAAAGCGTGGGTAGTAAAAGGTGACTCTGGTTGCAGCAAGGATGTCTTGTCAGGAGCAGTGAGAAGATGTGTTTGAGGAGCAGTAAGAAGATGTGGTTTTGGAGTAGTGAGTGCAGGGTCGGTCGAGGTTTCGTAGACTGGGGTGTCCACAGGAGTTTGGACGGGGGAGAGAGAAGGCTTTGCGGTCTGAAGTCCGATTGCTTCGGAGATGGGGGTCGCCAGGCTGCTGTCCTGGATATCGCTCACTTCCACATCTTTCACCGAATCTTTCCCCACGGCTGCCTCCACCGAGCCCTTGAGGGCCATCAACGTCTCAACCCCGCTCAAGGCACCCTCGTCTGCCTTCATCTGCGCGTCGTCCGAAACAGCTCCATCCTCTGCCACGGGCGTGATAGGCGTCGGAGACCCCGTGATGATCGCATCGCTGACCTCGCCCGTCGCGCGCACCGTCAACTTGAACGCGCGTTTGATAGTGCTCTTGGTCGGAGGCGTGAGACCGACACTCTTATAGTCGCCCGCCGTCGGGTACTGTCCTATCGGCCGCATGGTATTGAGCAAGGCGTTCTCTTGCGGCGTGAAGTAGGAGTCGGGGTTTGCCCAGGTTGGGCGCGCGCGTGAACAAGGTGGTTCTACCCATTCAGTCTGCTCGAGTGGCTGCGCGTCGGTCTCGATTACGGGCGCATCGCCTTCCGCGGTCGATTCGGCGCGTGTCTGACGCGGGCTCTTTTTCTGAAGCTTGTTGCGCTTCGGTGTCGCGGGCTCCGCGGGTTGAGGATCTTTAGCCTGGCGGCTGCGAGATCGAGTGAAGATGCCCATCGCGGTAGGCGGAACCGCCTCTGCCGAGGATTAGCGCCAAGCTCCCCAACACCAGCCCTAACTGCGTATTTTCGTCGATCTTGCTTCGTTTTGGAAATAAATTGGGACAAATATTGTGATTTCATAAGAGGAAATAGACGCCAATAGATCACTCACGCGATGAGTTTCTTGTTGGGACTTTTCGTGGTGCGTTCTGTGTCACAGAAAGCTGTTAGTATCTTCTGATCGCAATCTGACGAGCATCAGAACGAAGCTGTGAGATCGAGATCCATCAAATTCCTCTGAGCTACGGAGTAGTAATGGGAAACAATTATGTGCTCACTCGTCTTGATCGAGGCGTCTGCATGGACACTTACCTTCCTGAAAGGTCTTGAGGATCTTCGACGTTGACAAGAGCGAGCTATTCAGCATGTGCTGAATGCGAGCATGAGGTTGTTGTTTGTGTCAAGGCAATCCGAAATATGACGAAGAGCGATGAGGTTGAAGAAGAGAAAAGAGAGAGAGAGAGAGCAAAGGAATCAGCGGGCAGTCTCAACGTGGACAGTCTATTCAGAGTCTTTGGGCGTAACTGCTTGTAGTGACCAAACACCGGGGAGAGATTCAAGAGACCGTCTTGAGCTAAGGTGAATAGCTAACTGTCGCTGGTATGACTTGCTTCGATGCTCTGGGCGAGTACGGAAATGCATGCTAGAGAGAATTATGAATCCATAGGTAATCGCTATAGCTTATATTGTACAGCATCATCTACATTTGGATCCCCCACAGGCATTGGAGAAGCATCGACAACGCCTTCATTCGGCCTGTAAATGGATCTCGTTACTTGCACAACCTTCTTGTCGTCATTCAATTAGGTTTGTCTCTGTTCAGAAGTCTGACCCTTACAACCGCAGAAAATGCCCATTTCCTCTTTCGGGAAAAATCTTTCTAACGGTTCAAGACCCTGGTGGATACCTCTTAGAACTGTCTGTTGACTTATCGTTTCAGTCATAGTGAATAAGCGCATTTTGAAGAGTAGTCGGGGGAGTATATTACGATGCAGTTGTCGAAGGAAAACACATATGGATGAGTATAGGATGTGCTGATTCGGTCTAGTTTGTCCTGCGAGTACCAACATCCTATAAGATTCATACCTGTCTGGTAAGAAATGACAACATGCCATATACGTTCCAGACTGCTTGACTTGTATATCATTCACCTCATATCGAGGTCATCAGCAGGCATCGCCGGTACTGTTCTCCACCACATGTAGACACCACCTGGTTTATACTGTGTGAAATTTTTCTTTAGATGGCAGGAAATTCATATAGCCCACAATGGGATGATTCGTCATTGGATATCTTTTTTAGCTTTTGAGAGATCTTGCATACTCAAACGTGGAGCAGTGGTCAACATTGAGAATGGATGTAGACCACACTGACTCCCGACAACGGTAATCGTGTGGGGGTGCATTTACTCCTCGCCACCGGTGGTCTTCTTCTTCTTGTTCTTGTTCTTCTTGTTGCCAGTGGAGCGGGCAAGGGGCTGCTCAAGGATCTTGAGGATCTCCTCGTCCTCGATCTTCTTGTCGGACTTGTACTGCTCCAGGTCAACGTTGGGAGCGGCAAGCTTGGTGATACCGTTCTTGGTGATGGCTGCGTGCAAACATTAGCGAATGTCACTTCTATCAGACGAATTATGAGAGTAGACGAGCTGGATACTTACCAATGGTAGAGAGGAGACGCGAGACAGCGGCACCCTCGGCGTCACCAGCGGGCTCGTACTGGCGCAGGACACCGTTACGGACACACTCGACAACACCGACCTTGGCGGCCTTCTCGTCCTCAAGCTGGCGCAAGCTGAAGGGGAAAGTACCGAACTTCTTGACGACCTCGGAAAGAGTTTGGCGAGAGCTGGGGCGCTTCAGGATGTAGGTGGTGGTGGTACGGCGGTGCAGGGTAGCACGGTGGTCGAGGTTCTTGACCTTGCCGGAACCCAAGCTGAGGCCGACCTCAACACCCCAAACCTCACCAACCTCGGGGACACCATCGCCACGGACACCGTCACCGGGGGACAGGATGATCTTCTTGGTGCCCTCAATCTCGTTGCGATCAAACAGCCAGCTGGTGGTGTTCTCGACAATCTTGCACTCGTAGGCCTTGGCAACCTTCTCCAGCAGGGAAGAGATCTGAGCCTGGGTAGGGGGGCGCTGAGCGGTGGCCTTGGCCTTCTCCTCGTCGGTACCCTGGGCGAGCAGACCCTGGGGAACCATCAGGCGCAGGAGGAGCTCGTTGGCGTAGTGGGTAGCGAGGATAAGGTCAGCCTCGCGGCCAGTGACAACCTCCTTGGCGGAGTCCTTCTTGGGAACGACAAGCATGTCGCAGACAATGGTACCGAATCCATCGATCTGGGCACCGAGCTGGATCTTGACGACCTCACCGGCCTTCAGGGTAGTCTCGGCCTCAGCGGCATCGGACACCAGAGGGGTGTAGGGAGTCACATAGGAGTTAGGAGAGACGGTAGTGGGGTGAGAGATACCTTGAGGAGTTTGTATTAGCATAGGCAGTTAAAGAATAGGTTTTCCGTGGCGGTGTAATTTACCCTTGGCGATCTTCTTGCCCTTGTAGACCTTGGCGATCTCCTCGTCGAGGAGCTGGTCACCCTTCTGGCAGATCTCGACAATCTTCTCGCCCTCAAGACACAGAGCTATATACCTCACATTAGATCAAATGAATCAAATTGGGAGGAACAGTGCAAGGAGCACATACCAGTGACGGCCTCAAGCACTTTGTGCGAAATCTGAGCAGCGGTCTTGTACTTGGTCAAGGTGTCAGGGTTGTTGAGGGTGTAGTCTAAATAAAACAGAAGGCGCGATTAGTCTTCTGAGTGCAATGAATGCTATCTTGTCAAAGATAGTAGTTTCGTTATGGGCTATGCCTCGACGAAGCTCTGAACGAATGACCGGCAACCGACGCCCACAAAACGTCAGAGCTTTCGCGGAAAGCAACCTCGAGCATGTTTTCACATACCAACCTCGGGCGCTTGGGTAGTATCCGCCATTGTGAAATAGATCGAGCTCACGGAAGGAGCAAGGAAAGTAATGCAAGTAGATTCGGGGCAGCAAATGCTAAATCCGCGGAGAGCTGAGGAGAAATGGAGATCAAGAGTAAGTCGTGTGCAGCGAACGAGAGGGCGTTTTGCGGTGGTCGTGGTGGGGGTAAATTCCCGCCTGACGATTCAGGCTGTGCACGTCTAGGGTTACGGCCGGCAAAGACGTCATGGCTCAGCCCCCGGCCTCCAGTAGATCGCATTGTTGCATTGAACCCCCGCAGAAACCGTATACTGAGGAGTTTATTCGAGGCCGTGGACTCGTACACTGTTCATTTTTCGAGGTCTCGTGAGCTCTATGCATGCAGGGATCCTCCGTTTGTCTCTCCAATCACCCCCTCCTTCTCCTCTTTTGGTCCCAATGTCTTTTTCCCCTCTCTTTTTACCGTACATTCAATCAAGGCTTCGCTTGCAGAATCTTAGTGTGGCTTTCATTTCCACCATCGCGAGTAACGACGGCTTAGGATGAGATCCACTCCAGAGCTTCCACTCCGTGTGTTGACCCATAACATCCGATATGCTACTAGCTCTCCCTTCAAGGGGGAAGTTCCCTGGGACCAGCGCAAGCAGCTATTACTGAACGAGCTCGAGTATCACACGCGTCATGTCAGTGATGCGTTTATCTGTCTTCAGGAGGTTCTTCATAGACAGTTGGAAGATATCCTGGCGGGACTAAACCCCAAGGCGAAATCTCCGTCTCCAGAGTGGGCATACATTGGAGTCGGTCGAGACGACGGACATCAGGCTGGCGAATATTCACCCATCTTCTATCGACCATCAGTTTGGGAACTCCTAGATTGGGAGACAGTGTGGCTATCGAAGACTCCCTCCAAGCCATCCAAGAGCTGGGATGCGGCCTCCATTCGCATTGTCACCATCGGCGTTTTCACTCACCTTGCAAGCGGCAATACGGTCCTCGCTATGAGTACGCATCTAGATGACCAGGGATCTCGATCCCGCTTGGAAGCTGCACGAATAATTCGAGCGAAGATCCAGGAGTATCGAAAGGGCAAGTTTGGGACCTTGATTGGAGGCACCTTCCTAGCGGGTGATTTGAACAGTCAGGAAGACCAAGAAGCTTACTCGGACTTCACCGGATCTGGTGATATGCACGATACCTTCAAACTGGTTGATGCTTCACGGCGATATGGGAATCATAATACCTTCACGGGCTTTGGGTATGAAAAAGAGCCACCCTCGCGGATTGACTATGTCCTCCTCGGTTCCAAAGGCAACCAGACCTGGAAGGTGGACGGTTACTCTGTGATGGCCAACAGGTTCGATGATGGGGTATTCAATTCAGACCATTGTGCGGTTATTGCTGATCTTAGACTTGTAGGCTAGTAGTTGGAATGATTAATGTATTTCTCTCCCAGATGCTTTCATGGATCTTTTGCAACCACCAGGCCAAGATCCGATCTCCGGCCTTATAAACAAGGCACCCACAACCAGCCTTCTCGGACCGTGATCACATGACCCCACATGCCAGGCTTGAGCCAAAGCTGGCGCAGCGACCTAACCAGCATAAAACAGCAGGCTAGAAAGTTTATGATAATTGTAAAACTTCATCTAGTATACCTAATATCTTCAACCCGTAATTTCTGTCTGTTGTGGCCGTGATAGAGGGTCACCGAGGCTTTTGCCTTTGCCCGGGAGCGGACATCTCGTAACTCCTCCTTCTCTCCTTTGAACTTCTCTCACCACCCGCGCGCCCCAAGGAACCGCCAACCTCAAGCGTATCAGCGCCAACCGATCCCCACAGGAGAAACCACCTAGTCTTCTCTTTGAGCTTGAAGTTGTCGGTTCTCCGATCATTTCTCTCCAGTCCGCTTAGTCTTCGTTGGACCCTGCTAGGTCGCTGGCGTGGCAGAGAGCGCAACCGGCCTCCACAGACCCCCTTCCGCTGCGGTATGCTGATTCCCTACCCATTGATTGATTTCCAACCGTGGTCGCCTCATATCAATTCCATCCCTCCGATATCCCATCAATTACGCGCAGTTCATGCTCGTCATCCCGGTGGTTGGTCCGCGGACCTGCGCCTGTCGCGACACGTCCATCGATCGGCATCACACATGACGAGCGTGGCTGCGTGGTCGCTCATGATGGACATGGAACAACTGAGCGAACCCTTTGGAATAATTTAACTGACGCAAATGCAATCACTTTCCAGATATCGGTTAATGATGCTGCCTTAATTGTCTTGGCTTTTATCCCTATCGCGTCGAGTGCTACACCCTAACCGATCACCTCGAGCGGAAACCCAACGTTCGAACCCTTTCACCCGATTGTCGGTCATGCCCTCCCCTGAACTGGCTGGTGGCTTCAACTCCTTAGACCAGTCTTCCGTTGGTTCTCAGTCGGGCATGCAAAACGGTTCCGGCGCGTCTGACATGGGACCAGGAGGTGTAGACTCTCTGGATAACGGCACGACCCAGCCCATTAACGGACCTTCATCGAATTTCATTTCCGAAGGAAAGCAGAACGCACAAGCTAAGATGGTGGTATCGGGAGGAGAGTCTGCGAATGAGCCTAATGGCACCCACCAGTCGAACGGTACAAATGGCTCTGCGCAAAGTAGGAAACGGTCGCGCGATGGATCCGTCATTCAATCTAGCGACATTTCTGGGACACTGACCGTTCGGACGCGTGAGACGCCCGTCGACAAGATTCTGCTCGATCAATATGTCAATCGCGAATTTCAATACTCCGCGGCCGTCGCCTGGGAGAATCCAGCTCAAGAGTTACAGCAACAGAAGCGATCAGAGCGAGACTTCTATCTGGCCGTGCGTCGCGAAACTCAAGGCAACCCAGCTGCTTTATTTGGAGTGGGATACGAAGGATTTGGAAACCCGCGAAGCGACCTTCGGAATCAACCTCCCCAACTATTGTACCCGGCTCATAGACGTCGGCCTGGGAACCGCAAAACTCGAGAACTACGAGTTTCAAGGCGGGATATGAAGATTCAAAACGAGCAGATTGAAGATCTCGTACCTATCCGCCTTGACATTGATTGGGAAAAGATCAAGATTCGAGATACTTTCACTTGGAATCTCCATGACCGCGTCGTGTCGCCGGATTTGTTTGCTGAGAAATTGGTGGAGGATCTGGGACTTTCCTTGGAAACGTCCGCTCCGTTGATGCGTATGATTTCGCAGAGCATTCAGGAGCAGATTATGGACTATTATCCCCAGATCTACATGCAAGAAGAGCCTCTTGACCCCCAGCAACCATACACAGCGCATCGGAACGATGAGATGCGTATCCTGATCAAACTGAATATCACTATCGGCCAACACACGCTCATCGACCAATTCGAGTGGGACATCAACGACCCGCAAAATTCACCAGAGGAATTCGCCTTGCGCTTGACGGACGATCTGTCGCTGTCGGGAGAATTTACTACGGCCATTGCCCACTCCATACGCGAGCAATCTCAATTGTTCACCAAGTCCCTCTACATTGTCAGCCACCCCTTCGATGGCCGCCCCATCGAGGACCCCGACCTCAGCACATCCTTCCTCCCAACTCCCGTGGCTTCTGCATTCCGCCCCTTCCAGGCAGCCAAGGAGCACACACCATACCTCTACGAACTGAACGAGGCCGACCTCGAGCGCACCGAAATCTCGATTTCGCGAGAGCAACGCCGCCAGAAGCGATCTATCAACCGTCGTGGTGGCCCAGCTCTACCAGACCTCAAAGACCGGCAACGTACTATTCGTACCCTCATTGTTTCCTCTGTTATTCCCAACTCCGCACAATCGTTCGAAGAGAGCAACGTTATCAAGCGTTCCGGCTCTAGCCGCCGTCGTGGATTGGCCGGAACCCGTGGTGACGACGAGTCTGATGACTTTGAAAGTGACGACTCGGACGAAGGCTCACCGGCCATCGGGCCCCATCTTTCACAAGGCACTGCTCGCACAAGAGGTATGAGAGGCGCGGCCACAGCGGCCCACGCAGCCCTGCGCGCTAGCTTGGGGCAGTCGGCCACACCCGAACCCATCATGCAGGAGCCCACCCGAGCATCTTCACGGCGTCAACAACAACTGCGAGAAGAAAGTTTGGAAGAGCCTGACAAACTGGTCGTGAAGCTCAAGATTCCACGAGATAAATTGGCAGATCTCCGAAGCGGAAAACGGATTTTCGACCCGTCCACGCAGGCTGGCGCCATGGCACCTCCCTCCGACAAACAGAACCGACATCATCATCCCCCACGACCCCAGCAGACCGGAGCCGTCGACGCACCGAACCCGCCCCAGCAGGGGGTCCCAGGAGTGAGTGAATTCTGAAATGTCGTTGGAAAACCCGTGGGGTTTCGCTGACTCGTACACATTTTCAGCCCCCTCCACCTAGCTGGCTTCAGGCTGGCCTGACCAAGCTTAAGCAATCCCATCCTAATGACTCATTTGAAGGGGTGATGCGTTATTCCGCTGTGGATACAGAGACTCTTGCGCCTGTCTCCAACCCAACCAACCTGCAAGCTGGCCAGAAGATCAAATATCAATATTTGCCCCGTATTCGCTGTCATGACTGCCCTGGAAAGCTCTACACCCCCGGCCCCGGCATGACGGTGGACAACTTTGAAGTTCACCTGCGCAACCGCCAACACAAGGAACGTGTCGAAGAACGAATCAACAAAACTGGCAGTCTACCGGTCACCCCTGACATGGGTGGCAGCGCCGGTGCTAGCCCAGCGCCGGGAGCAGCGACCTCTGCCTGTGCCAGTCCGGCCTTGGGTGCTTCTCCTTCTCATGCTACAGGGCCACAGCCATAAGTCATATGTTTCTCTTGATGAAGTTATGCCAACGGCGTCTCGAGTGTGTGGTATCTTCCGAACTGGACTCTTCTGACTTCAAATGTCCTGTATTCTTTCCCATTGTTTTCATGGTCATCTCACTCGACGTGCCTACTCTACCCCTTCAAATGTTTTCAACTGGTTTAAAGAACATTATGTACCAGCGTTTTCTCTCTCATCCGTCTCCTTTTCTTGAGTTGTATAGGATCTTATTTTTGAGTCTGCAGAGGCAGAGCGAATTAACTGATGGTCTTTTCTGCTTGTTTTGGATGACGCTAGATGGCCTCTGTACCTTTGTGTTTTGCTTTGAAGTCGTGTCATACGTTCTGCACCGCAGTAGAATCCCTTGTAAATATGCACAGCAATTCCCTTCAAATACTCCATTGAGCATGTCGGGCCCTCTTGTCGAATCTCGTGTTCCCTTTACCGGACGCTCCGTGCTCTCGCTAGCCCCAAAGTGGCAGCTCACGTCAGCCTCAGCTGAGCGACTGCAGCCCCCGCATGTGGATATCACGGCCCAATGGGTTGCGGAGGCTTCTTGGCGGATTATTTGTTTATAATTACACGGGTTACCCCAGGTGATTGGGATGGAGCGGAGATAATTCTTCTATACTGGGTCGCAAATCGTGCAATATGGGTGAAAAGGATAGCCCTACATCCATCTCCGAGATTTGGGAGACTGCACGACGGGAGTTCGAGCGATTGACCGGCAAACAACTTCAGCCGACTTCGGCCGCTTCATTGCAACACATTCGCGACACGATCGAAGCCTCTCGTTCATCCAAAGACCCCGATGTTGACAAGGCAAAGCAAGCCGGCCTACGGATTATAAAATGCATACAGCTACTTGGTGGAGTGGCCTCTCAGGCCGCGTCGCTGGTAAAATTGCCCTCTTTCACGTATGTATACGCGGGGCGCTAAGGTTCATGAATTAGGTCTTTCCTCCGGCAGGTGTCTGCTTCAGCGCTTTATCTTTTCTCCTTGACATTCCGCCGAAGCTTCATGGCTTCCATGCTGCCGTCGATGGCATCTTCATCGAAGTTGAGCCCACACTAGTGCAATTCGAAATGTATCGAGATATCGAGAGCAAGGACGTAGTCCACCCCGACATGGTCTTGGCCATCAACAAGGTCATGATCAGCTTCGTGACTCTCTGTGCCCACTGCATTAATTTCAGAGATGGCGGCTTCCTAGTCCGACTCAAGGCCAACTTGAAAAAGGCCATGTTTGACGAGGCGGCAATTCAAGGCGAGCTCGCGCACTTCAAGAGCTTGATTCAAACCCAGAAGATCATTGAAGGCACCTGGACTATCCAGCAGGTCATCGAAACCAAGCGATCATTACTTCTGGTCAAAGATGATACCGAAAAGATTATAAAGTCTACGGACGACATTAAGGACAAGGTCGGGAATCTGTCCGCAGAACAACAGAAGCGTCGAACCGAGCAGACGACCAAGAATCACCTCGAGAAAATTCGAAATACCCTTGGAATCTCAGAAAACGAAGTCACAAGCGCAATCAACGTCTGTGACAACTTGTGGAAGAGTACCGTCAAGGGAAGTGGAGAATGGTTGAACCAAATGGATGAGTACGTGAATTGGGTCAAGAAGGATCCTCCAGAGACCAGTCCTTTGCTGCTCTTGACTGGTGAAGGTGGCTCCGGAAAGTCAGTTCTTGCATCAGTTGTCTATAAAAATCTTGACAAACGGTCATCTTCTTTGACTCAGGAGACAGGGCGTACACTGGTCCAAAGCGATGGACGCACGCTGGTCGCATATTATGCGTTTGCCCCCACAGGCAAGATCGACGACGACAAAACACCTGCCGAAACAGCACTCAAGTCTCTGTGTATCCAATTTGCTCTACAGGATGCTGCATATGCAAAGCACCTAGCCGAGAGCTTCAAGGACAATACGGATGGGGCTAAGGACGGATCAGATACTGTCAAAGAGCAAGCCAAAGATGCGAAATACTTCCGTGATGCAGACTGCCAACAACTCTGGACTGATTTGAGACTTGGAGCTCCTACACAAACTGCAACACATTTTTTGCTGCTTGATGGGATTGACAACCTCCCAGCCAATAAGCTTCAGGAACTCGGGAGTATCTTCCAAGGATTTAGTGAGGTACAGGCCGCAGAGCCTCGCAAGGAAACACGCAATGGAGCCAGAGTGCTTGTGTGCGGAAGCCTACAGAAGCTGGAAAATCTGGGAGAAGCACCAGGTGGAGGATTACAATTTCCCACAATTGATGTTGGGTCTTGCAACGGGGATGATATCGACAAATACATTGAGCGGGAACTGCAAAACTCGGATCTATTCCAAGCAGCCAATGCGCAGAATCGACGGCTCAAAGAGGACGTGCAGACCGCACTTAAGACACGAGCGGAAGGCTCTTTTACCCAAGTGCGAAGCGACATTGGCATGGTCAAGGGTATTGTAGAGTCTGAGATGACAGAGGACGATCTGAAGAAAGCTTTGAGCGCAACCAAGAAGAACGCAAAGGCTACAGTTACCGACGATATTGCATCGTTGGAGGCTCTGCCTAACAACCAAAAGCTTATCGACGAGGTGAACGAACTGCTCCTCTGGGTCGATCTTGGGCCTTACTATTACAGTGTCGAGGAACTCGAGGGAATCCTCTTCCTTCGATTTGAAGCGACTTCTCTCAAGTCTCTGCGAGAGAAGCTTCAGGGAACCTACACAAAGCTTTTCATTATTGATTCGGACGGAGAGGTCTTGCTACAAGACCATGTCAAAGACTATGTCAAGCTCGAGGATCGAGCCGAGAAGCGAGCCTCCAACGAACGAACAATCAGCATCAACATTACAATCACCAATGCTGATTCGGAAAGCATTCAGCGCTTCTTCTGGGACCTGGGCCGATTTGGGGCTGTCGATCAGTTCAAGTTCGCCCCAACTGGCATATCCGCTGATTCTTCTTCCGGCTTTGGTCCCACTCAGAAGAAACGTATTGGTATCAACGACACCGACTCCCATATGATCATGCTCAAGTCTGTGTTCTCACTCATTTTCAATCCACCAAATGAGACGACAGAGCTTGTGGGACCCAAACTTTTGGCCGGTCTAACGTCTCATCTGGACAAGTTGCGCGTTGCAACGGAGGCTGATGAGTTGAGCGCCGAGGAGAGACGTTTCATTGCCAGGAACGTCCTCGATATCTTCTATGATCCTGAGCACCTTGAAAATCATTGGAAGAGCACTGAGCTGCTTGGTTGGATGGAGAATCAATCCGAAATGGACTACATCTGGGGTTGGCTTAAGGACCCTGTAGCCATCAGCAAGCTCGAAGCACCAAAGGCAGAGTGGCTCGCTGCTGCAACTGATGATTGGAATCCAACGAGGAAATTGTTGACCCCATTCATGAAAATGCTTGCCCGTCGATGGTTACAGGACAGAGAATGGCAGCCCCTCCGGCCATGTGCTACAATTTTGAATGCACTGATAATGGTATGTTCTATTTTCGACAATTAATAATCCAGCGTCTACCGTATTTGAGCTAACCTGCTTTCTACACTCAAGACTTCAGAAGACAACCGAGGTCTCTCCGATGCTGTCAACGTGGAGAATGACGCATATATGTCTATCAAACGCGACGAACTCGATCAAATCCGCCCCTTGCTGATTGAGAAAGCGTCCAACTGGAGCAAAGCTGCTCTTGAAATTGAAGAGACCGACTTCGTGTGGCATGTTCGACTTGGAGAGACCTATAATGGGTGCCAACAACCAGAGAAAGCCCGTGAAGAATATGGAAAAGTAAGATCCCTTTGCATAGATCTCCAAGCAGGCTCTTCGGTCCAGTCAGTGCTAACATTATGCTAGGCCGCCAAAATACTTCATGATAGCGAAGCATCCGGAAGTGAGATTGAGAAGAACGAGCTTCGTGATATCTTCCTCCAAATGGGGCGATTGTCTTCGGGTGATGAAGAGCTTGAGTACTACGAGAAGGCTCGTGAGCTTGATCCCGAGAACATCGAGACTCGGTATCGCATTCTCAAAAACCGCATTTCCAATTGCACGGCCGACGGACAGGCAGCCGTGGTTCGGGAGGCACTCACCACCGAAGATGGATTACACCCAGACCTCTTGGAGCCTATTCTGGGGCTGGTCATTGATGACTACAAAGTTGAAGTTGACAATGAATTCCCCATATTCACGATCTTCAACGCAGTTATCTCCGGCGCATCGCTCATTCCGGAATGCTGGCCAGAGCTACTTCAATGCATGGATAGAGCAATTGAAAGGGCGGAGAGTGAAAGCAGTCCCGACGATCTTGCGATTCTGCATCTGCATAAGGGTATTGCGGCTTCCCTTTGTGGCGAGGACTACGCGTCGACGAAATCTGAAGTGGAGCACTGGCAGGAGTGCTGGGCAGTTGCACGCGACAATGGCTACGTGAAACCGACTAGCACTGCCACTGCACTTCTGGTCGGTGAAAACAGTGATACCAGAAGTCTTTCCAGCTATCTCTTGATTCTCGTTGGCGATATACTCAGCAAGTATCACTTTGACCAGACATGCCTCTTAATGGATGGAGACGAACAGTCCTACCAGAGCCAGATCACAGAACTTGTGAAAATTGCCACGGATCAAGTACCAGATGGAATGTCAGGCTGGACAAAAGCCAAATGCTACCTTGCTTCTCAATACGTATTGTGTGATCAGGTCGCCCAGGCCCAGGCACTCTTCCGATGGGACATGGCGGTCGTGTTCAACATTCTCACGGATGATGATTCAGGCAATGACTGGGTGGGCTACAGCAAGCTTGCCCATCTCTTGACCCACGTTGGTGACTATGCAAACGCCGGAGTAGCCTACAAGCTCATTCCCAGCGCGTTCCTGAACCAAGAGATCCTAACAGAACTTTTGAATATCGGCGATGAAGCCGCAGCCGCGGCAGCAACCAAGCAAATCACCGACTTCTATGCTTCCAACTGCTCAGAAGGCGAAATCCCCCTGAACCAGGTGACCACACTCCAGAGCGAGGTTACCAGACTCTCCGAGCAAGCAACCGACGAGGACTCTCAGCACTGGAAGGAGATTGCCCGCATTCTGAAGGAATTCAACGATGTCCTGCAGCTGGAATGGTACATCCAATGCGACAGCTGCCAGGCGCACTGCGGCTTCGACGAGTCCTACTGGGCCTGTGGATTCTGTTTCTGCACACACTTCTGCGAGAGCTGTTACCAGAAGATCTCTGATAAGGAGAAGACATCTAAAGAACGGCGTAACTTGCTCGTGTGTAGCGAGACGCACAACTGGTTCCGCCTGCCCGTCTGGGACGCAAAGAGGTTTGCGTGGGCATGCCGTGGTAAACTTCCGGCTGTTGAGAGGGATGGTGAGATTGTGATCTCGACGGAGGGTGAAGCCATTACTGTGAGGAAGTGGTTGGGATACCTGTGTGGTAAATGGGAATTGAATAAGGAAGACTGGGAGTTTGAATGAGGATGGCAGTGTTGATATAGTGGACGCTGTGAATACTATTGCTAGTTTGCTACTCTTCCTACTGTTCTGAGTAATGTGTGTACATATAAACTTCATCTGTTCAGAACTGGAATATTGCGAGGGCACATGAAAGACCAGACTTGTTATGATTGAAAATAAATATGAGTCCGCTAGAGGAGTGGAGACGCTGGTGTAACAGAATTGGGTATACTGCTTACCTTCCCAAACCTCGTTCTTGTATCTTATAGAATACACAGAGTTCGTGCCATAATATACAGCCATAGATTGAAGTCCTACTCTATCTATATCCACCGGGGTAGAGCCGTGTCTGCAGAGAGTGAAGCTCCTGTACGGAAGTGGCTGCAATGTATTGAATTAGTAGATTGAATTGGTAGATTGAATTGGTAGATTGATTTGGTAGATTGAATTGGTAGATTGAATTGGTAGATTGAATTGGTAGATTGAATTGGTAGATTGAATTGGTAGATTGATTTGGTAGATTGATTTGGTAGATTAGTAGATAGATTGGTTGATTTAATTGATGATATTATATGGCTAATCAGGTGATAAAAACTGGCAGAGAAATAGTGGGGCTTGTATAGGGGGGTGAATTATTTCTTGGTGGTGAAAGAGAGGTCGCGAGGTTATAGGGGCAAATAAAGTTGAGTTTGACCAAGGGGCGGAGGCGCTGGAGTAGCGGGAGTGCCCCGGTGCTGGAACGGGCCTATGTCCAATAAGAGTCTGTGCCCCGCCTTGTCATTGGGCCCACCAAACGTACTACCTTCCCGGTAAATCCAACCCTTTTTTATGTCACGTGGTCATAGGATCGTCCCTCCCTCGGGTCGCGCTTTTTTTTGCCGCGCGCCTAAATTCGAAGAGTGAATTCTAAAAGTGAACTTCACTACGTGAAAGTGCCCCAAGTCCATCTTAGCTAACTAGCCAGTAGCACCGGCGTCTGGCAAACCTTGTGACATCTCACGCCCCTCCTCCTCCTCCTCCTCATCATCATCTCTACTATTCTCTACTATTGTAAACCGGATACCAGTAACACATGGATGAATCTGAACTAGATACATAGATATGAATGATATTGACTGTAATAGTAAATAGCAGACGCAAGAACTCATGAAAAGAACGGGATAAATTCAGCTGGCTGATGGAAAGCATCAAAGACAGATTGGGTATACATCTCGAATTGTCATCGACTGTAAGAAAATAGCAACGCAACGCAGATGTAAGGATGGAAAAGGGCTGATATCAGGACGCATCGTTTCGCACATCGCTTTGCACGGGACAGGGAAAGATAAAATGATACCGCCGTGAAGAGAGAGAAATCGCAAATGCCCGTACACATCGGACTTGAGAGGTCAGGAAGAATCTAGATCATCCTCGACGCGAGGATCGGCGCGTCGGCAACGTCGTTGTAGTTGGTTGTTTGGCACGAGTGTTCGTCTTTGAACCAGACGCCTTTGCAGTAGCCTTCGCCTTTGCACCACGCTTTGGTGGGACTGGCGGCGAGTTCTCTTTCTCGCTGGCGTCTGTGGCATTTTCTTCGTCTTGGTCATTGTTCTCATCGTCCTCGTCCTGCATCTCCTCGTCCGAGTCTTGGACTTCTACCTCCTCCTCATCTTCTCCATCGTCTTTGCCCTCAGTCTCTTGGGCCTCTTCCCACTTCTGCATCTCCTGATCATCCTCATCGCTGTCCTTGTCGGCATAGCTCACCTCCTGCTTGCCGGTGCCGCGGCTGCTGCGCCGACGGGCTGAGGTAGACTTGGGTTTGTCATCTTCGGAGCCCACATCAGACGGCCATTCATCATCGCCCGTCCGCTTACGCCGACTGGACTTGGCTGAGACACCAACAGATGAAGTAGACTTGCGAGGCCGCCCGACAGATCTCTCTTTTCGGGGCTTCTTCGACGCAGACGAGGTGCCATTCGCATCAGAAGCCTCGGGCTTGCGCTTCTTCACAGAACTGCTTTGTGTACCGTGAGAAGCGTTCCTAGGCTTCATAGCAGCCCGCACCACACGATCAAGCAAGTCATCAATCTCGTCAGGGAGGAAGTTCTTGTCAGCTACGTCTTGGGCCTCGCGGTGACTAGTCATCGAGGCGAAGAGCGAGCTGGGAACACCCATCTTTCCGGGATAGGTCTGGAGAAGATTCGTGGCACCACTGCTACCACCACCAAACTTGTGTTGTTGGGAGTAAATATCAGCAAAGCGCCGGATGGTAGCTTGGGCGAGGTCGGACAGAGTGTGAAGGCGGGTGGAGATTTCATCGGACTTGGTGATACCGTCGCGGAATTGCTTGACGCGCTGGGCAACATGGAAGATCAGGGACATGTTGTGTTCGTTGGCCGCGGCAGAAAGATAGTAAATAATATACTGTGCAAAGTCGCTCAAATCGCCCAGCCTCGTCGACTCGTCAAGATCATCGGATGGGTAGTCAGGGTGGTAGGCAAGCAGAGACAAGAGACGTGAGAAGATCAGCTCCATCACCATGGTCTGCTCAGTTCTCTTGCCACTGGCCTGAGCCTGTTGGGAATAAAAGGCGGCCCGAGATCGAAGCCACGTGAGTGTGCTCTCCTTCAAGGTCTTGCTGGGCTCGAAAGCGAGCAGGCAGGGAATAATGTACCAGCGATGGCTCAAGTGTGTCCGCTGCACCAGCTTCTTCTTCAGGTGATTGATGAACGCACTGCGCACAGGGAGAAGTCGATCCTGTGCCATCAGGGCGATCGAGTTGAAGTTTACTGGAGTAAGGAGTTGGTCGCACAATGCTCCGGAAGCACACAGCTTGACGAGAGATTTGGCAGCGAGAAGGCGTAGGCGTGACTTTTGGGTCGCCGGAGTGTCCTTCTTCTTGGACAGCTCACCCTCGCCAGCGACCAGCTTGTTCAGTGTGTCGTAAACGGGCTCGGCATGGGCACGGAAATCATCATCATCATCTGACCCATCCTTGGCCCGGAGACGGTTGACGATGATCTTGAGTGCCCATTCCTTGGCTTGGGTCTCCTCATCCGTAGTCTCAGACCAGCTGTATTCGGGATCATCTTCAGGGGCGCGGTTGGTCAAGAGAACCTGATTGATAGCAATAGAGATAATTGCGTCGCTCTCTTCATCGGCTTCTCTCGGTGCGAGAAGGTTCAGTTGCGACAAGGCAGCCAGACGAGTTAGGAAGTGGTCAGAACCATAAGACCATTTCTTAACGCACTTATGAACGAGATCCTTGGCGTACATCTCCTTCCGGTCGGCTGTGGCCATAAGAATTGAGACAGCATGCTTAGCAGACGCAGGCGAGGTACTGTACAAAGCGTAGTTGGTAAGAGCCTGGAAAAATTTGCGTTCCTTCGGGAGCTTGGCCGGGAGCTTCTTAGCAAAACCAGCGCAAGCCTTGAGAATCTCTTCGGTGCTAGCATCACCGGGCGAGTTTGCCTTGGGCGCCTGCGCTTCAAGATCCTTGCACATTTCCTGCACCTGTGCCTCCAGGACCTCTGGGTTCTGCGAGGAAATTTGCTTGAGCATCTCCTGTGCGGCATTGGCTAAACCATTCTCGTCCGTCCGAGACAAACTCATGATGGCCGGAATGTGGCTTCGGTTGAAGATAAGTGAGCTGGAGCGGTAGAGGAGAGGGGTGATGGTCTCGAGAAGGGGTGCATTGTTGGCGCTTTGGGCGCGTCGTTGAAGCTCTCTGATAGCCTTGATCACAGTCCGATAATCGCTAACAGCTGCCATTGCAAACCGGATGAGCTGGTAACTGCGACGATCATGGACCTTGGCAAACTTCCACAGATCCGCAGAGGCACGCGAGGCGTCTGGGAAAGTCTTGGACAACGAGTCAATGATTCGGGAAAGCTGGGCCTTGATCTGCTCTTCATCCTTACCAACAACACCGCCCTATCTTCATGTTAGAACCGAATTCATATCATAACCTTAATGGAGTTTGATACTCACGTTGTACTTCTCACAGGCCTCTAGGTAGAGAGTCATCGCTGACCTCATGGACAATTGACGTGCAAGCATAACAAAGAACACTCTTCGAGCTTTCTCATCCAAGCCGCGAAGCAACGTAAGGATTCGACGAACACGAATCTTATCAACATCGTTCTCCTGGTCGGGCTCAGAGGCCTGGCTATCCTTTTGCTTCTGCGACTGGTTCGACGCGGACCGAGAGAGTTTCGTCTTGATAGGGGGGTAGTTGAGAGGGAGAAGGGTTTCAAAAAGGACTCGGTCAATCAGGATATGGATCTCCTGGTCGTTGGTGTAGAATGCATCAAAGATTTTGGACGGCGCATCTTTCAATAGAGACACGGCAGGTTCGGTATTTTGCTCAATCTCGCCCGCCGCAACTGCCCACATACGTGCCAGGATTTTCATCGCATGCTCACGGACTTGAGGCTTGCGATCCTTGACTCGCTCTGCGAGAATTGCAAGGACAGAGTTTTCGGTAGAGCATCCACCCTTCGTTCCTAGCTTGTGAACGACATGGGACAGCCCAAACAGCCCAACAGTATCCACTGCAGCGACACGGACCTTCTCATCAGCATCACGAAGCATGTCCGCGAGACTCTCAACAAGTGCTTGCTCCTCATGCTCGCTTAACCCAGAACCACCGGCCGAAGTCAACAGAATTCGACCCACGACGGTAGCCCATGCAGCGCGCACTGAAGGGGTCTTGTCAAGCCTCCGGCTCAAAAACGCCTCGTAAGCCGAGGCATGCACCTGTGAAAAGGGCTTAGGGGAAACTGGTGTCAGAAGAACACTGGTCTGGGTGACGATTTGCGACAGTTCCTCCAGTGTGACGGGTGGGTATGCGGCGGGATCCATAGACGGAGGGGGAGGTGGTCCTGCAACACCAATACCTGCTGCGAGATCACCAATCGTCTGGGTGGCCAGCAACCGCAGAGCAACTGATTCCGCAGACAATTCGGCTTCCACCTGCGGGATGACATTCTGCAAAACTTCCGGACAGGCGCGCCAAAGCTCTCGAATCAAGCGATGCGCCTTGCTTAATTCCTTGATATCCTCGCCTTCTTCGTCCGAGTCGTCCAGGTTCGGTTTGCGGGAGCCGCCCTTAGCTCCATTTGCTTGGTTGGATGGACCGGAAGCATCGATGATGACATTGTTGAAGTACTGGCTGATGTGGCTGGTCATTCGCTCGGGACAAGCCTGGCAAATTGCCTTTGCCATATTATAAGCTGGAGGGTAATCCTTCAGCAGGAGGGTATCCTGCTTGGCGTCTAAGGGTGCGTCGGCCCGTTTGCCCTTCTTTGGGTTGTCCAGCACGCGAGGGTCAACCCGCAAGAATTGCGCCACAATGGTGTCCACCACCTCTGCAGCCAAAACCGGAGTCTCGTCGATGACGGTGACCAGGAGCCGAGTCATGTCGAACTCCACACCCTTGGCGACTTCCTCCCCTGTAGAGGCCTTGGACGATCCTGAGACAATATCGAAGCAGGCGGTGAAAAGGGGGACGATGAGTGAGTCCGGATGGTCAAGATCTGTCATAAGAACGATACTCTTGACCTCGGCGAGCGAGCCCAAGACGTAGATATGTTGCGCATTGTAGGCGTTGGATGGATCGGCCAGTGCGGGGATAATGGACGTGACCACGCAAGTGAAGATATCCTAAGTGTGAGAAGACGGTGTTAACTCTCCATCCATTTCATCAAAATAACCATTGTATGTCCATTCCCAATTGACTGTCGAGCGCGCACCTTTAGCTGATTCCTCGTAAAGGGCGCGTCCGGCGCGCAAAGTCGCAAGACATCGACAATGCAGCAGGTGGCCCATGCCCTGACACCCCTATCCTTATGCGCTAGTAAATGAGCACTGGCGAGCTCTTGGGAGACCTTGGTCAAAGATTCCTTATCGATTTCTTCCTGTTCAAGTTTGCGAAGTTCCTGGCCGAGGGTCTGTAGGCGCTCGAGGAGATCGGCAATGGGGATGGCGGAGCGCCCCACGCGCCAGGAGAGCGGCTGGTTGAAGGACAGACTGCGAAGCCCAGTCTCTTCCTCGGGCTCATCGGCAGGACCTTGGCGAGTGCGCGAAGGCATGATGACGGTGTCCGCGCTCACATGGGACTATTGAGGGAGGTGGGAGAGTTGACGCGGTGCAAAAAGGGTGGAGAGTTGGAGGTTGACCGCCCAGGGACGCGTCGCACGGGATCGCGTCCGCCCTACAAAAGATGTTTGATGGGGGAGTTTTACGAACAAACTGCAAAATTTTAATCGAGAGAAATGCTTAGAATTTTATTTTCATGTACTAGATATGGCAAAATTTCATGCACTTACTGACCTCACTGGAGAAAGAGAAACCCATATTTGTATTCCTTCCGAGAAACTGGGTGCTTGCATACGGCTGGCTGTATAGTTCGAGGCCACATAACTCTCTACACGAATGAGTAGTTCGTATTAAAATCGGTTAGTGTCGATTGAACATAGGTTGGGTCATTTCTAGTAATACCAACAGTCTAGAATTCACTATTTATGGCCACAGGTCTAAGTAAAGCCTAGCGTTTGAGGGTCCAGCTCTGTACGTACCCTTCTAGATGTCCTTATTTTCCACCTACTGCCCCATTCTTTGTCGACTATTCTTTCGAGTTCTTCCTCTGCAATCTCGCAGCCCACTACTAAAGTGCTTAGATATTCTCTATTCAGCCAACTAGTCAGAATTATTGGAGCGTATTATGCCGAGTTATCGATGTGACTGGTGCCAACCAGAGACTATACGTACGTACCGTGATAACCCATACGCAGGTCTCTTGGATATAGAACATGGTGAATACCGTGAGTCTTACCAAGAATTGTGGCGAAGCAGAAATAACTACAAGATTGCGTGAGATATATCAGGTGTCCTAACTGAGAAAGAACTGCGATGAGGGATGTTACCCTTGGAATGGATATAAAGAAGTACAAGATGAATAATCTCGAAGATAAATGTCGTCATTTCTTACGAGACAAGCTCGCACCAATATGATTAATCAAATAATAATAGGCTTTACCGTTCCGGAGAATAAGAGGATAGCTTAACCCCGCGACATGGACCCCAATCTACTTGTATATTGTCAATAGATACAACCGGCCCCATCAGCTATGTATTATCGGATATAAGAATCAGCCAACGCGAGTCATTGGAAAGATGGTGCATACTGTAAGCTAGATACATTGTATAGCATATATTAATTATAATCACCAAGTCATATCATATCTATCAGAATATACCTAGGTAGTTGATACACTGCTAAGTGATCGGAAGCCGTAAGGACGGTATCTGCCGAGATTCGCTCCACTTTGGGGATTCGGTCCTTCGGGCCCACAGAAGGCCGACCCCGAGATGCGCATGCCGAATCTTGGAACCTTCTTCGGCCAATCAGCATCTGCAATTTTGTTCTTTTTTACCCATTTCTTTTTCTTCTGCTGTGGCAACTACGTAATTCCCGACGTCTTTACTCAGTACTGTACATATGCAAACCCTGTCTTTCCACCACTTTTACCCCTATGTCAGTTGACTAATATGCCGATTGCAGGTTAGCCCCTAAACCTCGGACAATTCAAGCCCACGTTTTTAACCTGCAACGTGCCAGACGGATCAGATCTTGGTCCCGATATTTCGGAAGACCGGCACACGGCCAGTGCTGCAATACTAATCACCCTCGCGCTTCGCTCTATCGCGTCTTCGGATTTAACCATCCCAGTCCCAGAAGAAGCCCATCGACGGACATAACCGCTAAAAGTGGATCTGTAAGCCCTTATGAATGATGGTTCCAGGCTCTCTAGCCCACTTCGATGGGTCCGGCCACGAGGATTTTCTGTGGTCTGCATCCAGTTTCTGTTAGCTCCGGACGATGTCCTTCTGGAAGGCCCACGAGGAGATGGCAGTCGCCATGCCGCTTAAAGTCTGTGCCATGTCCACCGTCTTCAAGGGGTCTCTCTCTTTTTTTTACTTAGATCATATTCAAATTAAACAGAATCTGTTAATGCTGTGTTGAGACAACAACGTGTTTGATATAGCAGCTATCTACAGACTTCCCCATCAATCTATCAACAGTTTCTTACCAACAACATCCACCTTCAATACTACTGTGCTATAGCCTATCAGGCTCGCACGAGATGACTACCAGTCACCAATTTGATTCAACAACGACAACGCCTCGCCTCAGTATGGAGCACCGCGAGCCTCTGAACGAGTCCAATGTGGATGTCGAAGCCACCACCAAGGAGACCTTTCAAACACCACTCGAAGCAAACGACAACGATAACGAGACCGATGTCGAGAGCGCACAGAACCAACCACTTCCAGAGAAGCCTACCGAAAGAGATCCCAACCTCGTCGAATGGGATGGACCCGATGACCCCGAGAACCCGCAGAACTTCTCTCGTCGCCGCAAGTGGATCATCACGGTCATCATGTCCCTAATGACCATGTGGATCACCTTTGCGAGCAGTGTCTTCTCAACGGCTACCGTGGTGACTGCAAAGGAATTCGGCGTATCCAGCGAGGTGATGGTGCTAGGCACGAGTTTGACCGTCTTCGGCTTCGCCTTAGGTCCTCTCTTCTGGGCTCCAGTCAGTGAGCTATACGGACGTCGGCTCCCTCTATTCTCGGGCTATGCCATCTTCGCCATCTTCCAGATCCCCGTCGCCGTCGCTCAGAACCTCCAAACCATCATGATCTTCCGCTTTTTGATCGGCGTCTTCGGCTGCTCCCCTCTCGCCGTCGTCGGCGGTGCAATGGCCGATATCTGGAACCCCGTCGACAGAGCAGTTGCCATCGCCATGTTCAGTTCAGCCACCTTCCTCGGACCAGTCCTCGGCCCTATCATCGGCGGCTTCATCACAGACTCCTATCTTGGCTGGCGCTGGACCGCCTGGATCACCCTAATCGCATCCTCCTTCTTCGGCCTTCTCGCCCTCATCGTCGTGCCCGAGACATACTCCCCCAAGCTGCTGCAGCTACGAGCAGCCCGTCTCCGCCGCGAAACCAAGAACTGGGCCCTGCACTCCTTCCTGGACGAACACGAGCCCACCCTCGCCGAGATCGGCCAGAAGTACCTCCTCCGTCCATTCCAGATGCTCGCCATGGAACCCATCCTCATCTGCATGACCATCTACCTCGCCCTCGTCTACGGCATCCTCTACCTCTTCTTCGAAGCCTACCCAATCTCCTTCGGCGAAGTCCGCGGCTGGAAGAGCCTCGGCGTCGCCGCCCTCCCCTTCATCGGAATCATGATCGGTGTCCTCTGCGGCGCTGCCCTAATCATCTACACAACCAAGACCCGCTTCGCCCGTAAACTCGCCAAGCACGGCAAGGTCGTCCCCGAGGAACGCCTCGTGCCCATGATGATCGCCTCCGTCTTGTTGCCCATCGGCCTGTTCTGGTTCGGCTGGACTTCTAGCCCGGACATCCACTGGGCACCGCAGGTTATCGCCGGTATCCCTATCGGCTTGGGTATCCTGGTTATCTTCATGCAGGGTCTCAACTACATCATTGACGTGTACATGATGTTCGCCAATTCTGCTATCGCGGCGAATACCCTCATTCGGTCTGCGCTCGGTGGTGCTTTCCCGCTCTTCGCTACGCAGATGTATACCAACCTCGGTGTGAACTGGGCATCTAGCGTGTTGGGTTTCATCACTATTGCGATGATTCCCATTCCTATCTTGTTCTTCTTCTATGGTGCTAGGATCCGCGCTATGAGTCGGTTCACGCCTAAGTTTTAAAAAGGTTGCCTCATGTTTTTGGGGCACATACTTCAGCGATGATTCATATGTGTTGATTCGTTTGGAGCCTCTTTGCACAGTTGGCGTTGGTTTTGTTTCTTTACTTTTTGGCGCTGCATTTTATTAATGACCTAGAGCTTATGGCATATTTTATAGACTGATTATAAACTTAATGGATATTACACACAAGATCGATTATTCCCAGTAGGCGTAGCGAAATATCAGTTACATATCACATTGTCCGGAAGGATTCATCATTCGATACCTCTCATGCATCAAGTAAGGTTGCTGGATGTGACTGGAGAAACGGATAATGATGGAACGGCAGATAAAGACAGGCTACCTTGCGTTTACGCCCGACAAGAGTTTTTTGATATTATAGAGTAGAGCAGGAGGGGTTTATCGTGCGAGCAACAAGAACTTGAACAACTGTTAGAGCTTATCATGTCAGAGCTATTAGACCTTGGTATAGACATTGCTAAGCGATGTAATAGAGTTAGTATAACGCTTAAGATAGAAACAGCTGCCACTGACTGCTACGATTCAAGTCTTACGATGAATATCTACGAAGCGCAAAATCTAGTCAACATAAAAGATTTCTCTTGTATGAGTATTATGGCACACTGTATGAGGGCAAGGGCGAAACAGAAAACATCAAAGAAAAGGACCTGGCAGTCCGCTTCTCAAAAGCAAATCACCCCAGCCATCAAGAAAGCACGATCTACCCATGATGAATCTTTAGCAGAGGAAATAGAACCCCGGCCAAGAACGTTCTGATCGGCCCATTAGGGAAAAGGAAACAAAGCACAAATCGTCAACCTGAGTGGAGGATATCAAGAACCCATTTAGTCGTAGAGGCTGTCATCATTACCGGCTTCACCGAAGGTGTCATTGTTCTGAACCTCACCGGCGGACGGGAAGCGGAAGAAGCTGCTGCCACCAGAGTTCTTCAGGCTCTGAGCAAAGGCCTCGTAGCGGCGGATCTCGACATCGCTGACAGAGCGACGAGCGGTCTTCATGGCCTCCTCGAAGTGGGCGCGGGTCAGCTCAGGAACGGGGTCCTCCTCCTCAATCTCACCCTCTCCCATGGTGACATCCTCGCCAGCGGCCTCGCGGGCACGAGTGCGCTCAATGTCGAGGGAGATGGCCTCCTTGATGGCGAGCTTGACGGCACGCTGGGTCACGAAGCCAAGATCGGCACCGGAGAAGCCGTGAGTCTTGCTGGCGATGAAGGCCATGTCGACGTCGGTAGCGACGGGGGTCTTGCGCAGCTGAGCCTTGAGGATAGACTCGCGAGACTCCTGGTCGGGCAGAGGCACGTAGACCAGAGTATCAAGACGACCAGGGCGGACCAGGGCAGCGTCCAATTGCTCGGGACGGTTGGTAGCACCGATGACGAAAACGTTCTTCTTGGAGGTCATACCATCCATCTCTGTAGATATAGTTAGTACAGGATCGTCATCTACAAGTCTTGTAATTGTTGAAACTTACCAGTCAGAAGCTGGTTGACGACACGGTCAGAAGCACCGCCGGCATCACCCTGGGAACCACCACGAGACTTGGCAATGGAATCCAGTTCGTCCAGGAAGACAACGCAAGGAGCAGCAGCGCGAGCCTTGTCGAAGATGTCACGAATGTTGCTCTCAGACTCACCGAACCACATGCTGAGAAGCTCGGGGCCCTTGACGGAGATAAAGTTGGCAGCGCACTCGTTTGCGACAGCCTTGGCCAACAGGGTCTTACCAGTACCAGGAGGACCGTAGAACAGAACACCACGAGAAGGCGAGAGACCGAACTTCTGGAACTTCTCGGGGTGGTCCACAGGGTACTGAACGGACTCGATAAGCTCGCGCTTGACCTCCTCGAGACCACCAATGTCGTCCCAGCGGACATTGGGGACCTCGACAACGGCAACCTCGCGGAGAGCGGAGGGGTTGGAGACACCCAGAGCGTAGCGGAAGTTCTCCATGGTGACACCCAGGGAGTCGAGAACCTCGGCATCGATGGTGTCCTCATCAAGGTCGATCAGGTCCATCTTCTCACGGATCTGCTGCATAGCAGCCTCAGAGCACAAGGAGGCCAAATCGGAACCGACGTAACCGTGGGTCTCGGCAGCGATGGTCTCCAGGTCAACATCGTCACCAAGCTTCATGTTCTTGGTGTGAATCTGCATGATCTCCAGACGGCCAGTGGGGTCGGGAATACCGATATCAACCTCACGGTCGAAACGGCCGAAACGACGAAGGGCAGGGTCAATGGAGTTGGGACGGTTAGTGGCGGCCATAACGACCACGTTGGAGCGGGCCTTCATGCCGTCCATGAGGGTCAACAGCTGGGAAACGACACGGCGCTCGACCTCACCGTTGGTCTTGTCACGCTTAGGGGCGATAGAGTCGATCTCATCAATGAAGATGATGGCGGGAGAGTTCTTCTCGGCCTCCTCGAAAGCCTTGCGAAGGTTGGACTCGGACTCACCGGCCATCTTGGACATGATCTCGGGACCGTTGATGAGGAAGAAGAAAGCGCCGGTCTCGTTGGCGACGGCACGGGCCATCAAGGTCTTACCAGTACCGGGGGGACCGTACATGAGGATACCACGGGGAGGCTTGATACCGATAGACTTGAAGAGTTGGGGGTGACGGAGAGGCAGCTCGACCAATTCACGGATCTGAGCCATCTGTTTCCGGCAGCCACCAATATCGTCATAGCCAACCTCGTTCAAGTTGCCCTCCTCATCCTCTCGTTGGATGGGCTCACCCTCGCAGTGAATAACTGTGTCCTGTGCAACGATACCGTACTCTGGGGGGTCGACTTCGACCACCTTAAATTCCACTTGGCGCATACCACCGCGGACGGTGAATGTGTCGCCAATTCGCAGGGGGCGGTAGGCTTCGCGGAAGTAAGGAGCAAGGTAGACATCGAAGAGAGAGCCGGTCAGGCCCTCGATGGTATCGGCGATGGGGAGCACAGCAATGCGCTTAGCCTGAAAATTGCGGAACAAAACTTGTTAGTGAATGATCCTTTCGACTTCCAAGAAGCGGTATGGGCTGCTTCCAAAACTGCTCTTCAAACCTACATATTTAATATCGGGGCAAGGGTGGACGGTGATGATGTCGCCGTGCTTCACACGGAGGTTGTGGCGCACAACACGGTTGATGCGGGCACTACCATCATCGAGATCATCATCGGCCAAAACAATCAGAACGGTATCCTTGCGCTTCTTGCCCTTAACCAGAACTGTGTCACCGCGGAAGAGCTGGAGAGTTTCCATGGTGTTGTTGGAGAGGGCAATAACGGAGTTGTCATCGTTGACGGCATCGGTCACACTGTAAATGGATGAGCTGTTAGCTTCCGTCTCCTCCTAATCCACAGGCCGCGATGCCCATCTGGGGAGGGGTTTCTTACATCAAGGAGTTGGGCTTCTTCTTCTTCTTAAGGATGGCAGTAGAAGTGTCGAGCTCCTGTTGATGCTGGGTTAGCTATTTTGCCGCTTGCGAGAGATGGGTCGTTGTTGGTTGGGGATTCGACTGACTTCCTTCTTCTCAGCGCCAGAGGCGTCCCTGCAAGGTCATGAGTTAGCCACGAGCGATCTATCACAAATTGCAGCGCATTAAACGTACTGGAGATGGACCCTCTTCTTGTCGTGAGTGTGATCCGGCTCCGCAGACATGATGAAGGATCTGAGGTTGTGACGTTGATGGGAACCGAGCTTGAGGAAACGGAAGGGTTTAGGTGTCCACAACCGAGCAGATCAGCTCGAGTGGATGAAAATGGGGGAACGAAACGGATAAGAACGATGAGGGGGATAGAGAAAAGGGATAACCGGCAGATCAGCGAGTGAACCTGACGGGTGGGAGGAGATGAGAGAGGTGAGGTGTTGAGCTTCCCAGGTACCCGTAGAGGCAGTGAGTGACGATATGTGATGACCTAAGCTCCGCATATTATGTCAGCTGGCCGACCGCCACCGGCGAATCTGATGGAAGTTGGTCGATCGGACTGATGCCTTGGTGCCTCAGCGCCTGAGCGCCTGGGGTATCAAGTGGGTTTAGCCGCGGGGATCTTCAATGATCACCTGAGGAGGAGGCTCAAATTGAGCGAGCTAAATTGAGCTAGTCTGCTAAGGAACCCCAGAGCCTGGGCTCTCTGGACTTAGCCACATGTATTTAGGTACCCCCGAACAACCAACCCGATACTTAAACCTGGACAGCTTTACCGTGGTTGCCTTGTCCATGGAAGAAGCCACGACGTCTGGCTCAGGGGCCATTTATACCAAAAGGGATGTATATACTTTCCTTGATACCTCTTCTCGCAGCTATATCTCAGGGCAATCCTAGTATATATTTACAACCCAGTTGGCCTATATAAAGAGTAGATTTGGAACTCATTCAAGACTTATCCTGATATATTTTCTCAACTACCCCCCTCGAGTATTCTTTACATATTCCATTGCTTCTATTCACTTCAACTTGGACACACTTCGACTGAGGACCCTTGCGACAGGCGGTACTACATCTTCAACGCGGTTCAGCTCTCAGATAACACTCTCTTAGTTCGACACTGCAGTCTCACACTATACTGACCTCACTCGAGCCGCTGACCTCACACTCCATTTCCATCCAGAACGCACTTTTACACCATTTCGAACGCCAACCTTCCCCATACCTACATTGAACACCCTTGAGATTGCCTGAATAGCCCCTTTCAAAACACCGCTCCCCGCTAATATGGCGCAACTTCCACAAGACTACGATTCCGCACGAGCCAACATCTTCACCGATTCCAAAGTGGACACTCTCATCCGACAGCATGGCAGCTCCCCTCGCTTCGTCTATGGGCCCCTGGTTCTCCCCACGGTATTGAAATACTACACCGATTCGCCCAAGTCATACCCCATGGAGAAATACATGACCAAAGCTACTCTACATGGCTACGAGCTATACCAGATCGCCGAGAAAAGCGTCCCAGTGATAGCTCGCTCAGCCAATCCTGACGCTATCGTGAAGGGTATGGTGGTCTTCAACTTGGGAGACAGCGAGCGGAATGACATTTCTGAGCTTGAAATTTGTCTCAAGCATTTGGAGGCTGTTCAAGTGGAGATTGAATGCATGGCCGGGAAAAAGCCCAAACGGTTCGTCGATGCGGGTACATTCGTGTGGTCGGGGTCTGTTGATGGCCTTATTCGCATGTATTCTGCCTCCTGGGATCCTACCTCATTTGTCAACAGCTCCTTTTATCGGAACATTCGACTGTCGGTAAATCGATCGTCAAAGGATACCGAGGGCTCATGATTCAGGCTCATGATTCAAGATTCCCAGAATGATATTTGCGTCAGAGATCGTCGCACGAATTGGACCCATGCGACCCATGCCTAAGTAAGACAGCTCTAGACGAAACTAGAGCTAATCAAGGCTAATAATATGGGGAAAGGCATCAAATTCTTTGGTTTCATATTTGGCTCTATGAAAACCGCCCATGACGCTCTGTCCAATGGGAAAAGAAGCTCACCGTCTATAGAGACTTCCCGTGCATACCCAACATGGCGAGACTTTGCTTGATTCAACCGACATTGCATTAAATACTTTCGAGATAAAAAACACCTAGCTGACATTCAGATCGACTCGGAAAGATCCCTGCAGTAGCCAAATATACGTCAACAACTGTAAAAGTCACCGGAAGACCCTCAGCTTCTACTGCTTCGAGGAATTTAGCAAATGTGGTAACAAGAGTAATAGAACAACATAATCCTGCTAACTAGTAATCACGATCGCCCTTTGCGAAGAACTACGAGAGACAGCTAGAAGGACGTGAGATTATAGCTAAAACGAATATACGCATTGATATCCAAAATATTGTACCCTTCTCAAATAATAACCGCAATTGTCAAAACTCAAAAAAACAATCCCAATCTATTACGTTACCCACGTCACGAAAAACCAGCCCTCGTCAAAGCTCAAGCTCAACGACCTGCCTTATCGCGTCAACATACCCGATTCAACCGCACCCTCTCCACACCCGCTAACTAGTTCCCCACTGGGATAATGCGGGACGCCCCGGATCTAATATTCCATCACCCAACAATAACATATATGGAACTGGTCGTAATTAGTAAGGTCCTTGCGAGAGATTTACCATGCGAATTCGGGCATGGTCTGGTGGTATTTTGATGTTCCACTGTTGTGTGGGTCGTAAACCATGATTTTGAGCATGGTGAGGTGTAGATTATCGTGTTCGCGGAATCGCGAGGCATTTGGAGATTTATTTCTATGCACATATTTTCTGTGATTGAGGGATATTGCGGAGAGTATCAACTATGAAGACCAGGAAGAAGACCAACCGGCCATACTGATGCAAATGCCCTCGTTAAGATATAAAAAAACAGAATGGTATATCCGAAACCAAGAAAAGAAATCAAGTCTAAAAACAAAAATAAAACCCAATATCTCGCTCCTATGCCTTCGCCGTAGCAGCCCACTGGTCGTGTAGACTCCACGCCCCAGCCATGAAACTAATCAATCCCGTCAAACTCTCGGGAATCCCAATACCCTTCTCCAAACACCAGTGCAAGCACAGCGGCGCCCAGATAGTATTATTAACGAGACTCTTGCGCCACGAGCGGATCTCCAATCGAAGCGCCTCTTTCTCTTGCGCTTGAATCTCCTCCTTGGTCTCGATGGTGCTCGCAGCCTCGCGTTGTGCGGCGAGACGTCTTTTGCGCAGAATGTGCTGGCGCCATAGGACGAAGAATTCGAAGAAAATGTGTCCGAACCAGCCCCTGGTACTCCAAATATACCACTTATCGATTCCGCCGTACTTGTCGACGAAGCGCTTTGGTAGGACGTTCTTAGATGCTAGGTAGGCTACGTTCTCGAGGAGTTGGTAGATGACGTTCGAGACGACCTGGAGCATTGTCAGGGCGTGGATGATGGGGTCTGCCGGTGGGTTTTTGAGAGTCTCGGAGCCCCATATCCATAGTGGGAGAAGTCCGAATAGCCGGAGATTGTATCGGGTTTCCGAGGCAAGTGAAGATAGGGCTGCCCATTTGGAGCCAGACGGGGCGGTTTTGCCGGTCGGTGATGCGGCGCGAGTCTTGATTCGAGCGAGAAGGAGGAGTTTTGTCTGGAAGGCTTTCCAAGCTGTTGACCCGCAGACGTGGTGGAGGATTGATGCGACGTAGTTCACCGTCGCTAGCACCCTCTCTTGCCCGGTGGCATTGGACAGGAGCCTACCGAGTCCGGTCAGCTGGCGATATTCACATCCATGGCCGAGTCGGAATGGCAAAGGATGCGCAAAACGGGCCAGTCCTATGCATGTAAATTTAGAGTCTACTTACAGATCTAACCGCCGGATAGTTACATCCGTCGCCGTCAACGCGGCCATCAGTTGTTGCTGTGTAGCCGCTTTCCCCGCGGTTATCGGACTCTTCCCCACATGCTGAACGTGGTCCGTTGCTTCCTTGGGGATGTCGGGAGGGTGCTCGGGGTCTGCCATTGTTGGAGAAATATGTGGTAGATGTGGGAATGTAAAGGAGCGACTTTTTTATTATCGAAGGAAATCAGGAGATAAACCCAGATTATGTTGCTCCAGCGAGCGGAACCCGCGTTGCTTGTATTCGCGGAAAAGGACCGAGGCTCCGAGGCTCCGAGCGGGCTCACACGAGGAGAAGGTTGGGACTGCCTCGTTTGGCCGCCTTTCGCGCGGCTCCACTTTCATTGCCCGCCGGCGATTTATCGTCGGAGGTGTGGAACGTGTTGTTGTGTACTGCGGGCTGATGCTATTGGCTCGTTCTTTGATCAAGTCACAGAACTCGTGTCGCTCGAGCGGACAGTTGAAACTTGACGTGTTGTCCTTCTCATGGTCTCGGCGCGGATGCCAGTGATGATCGTAATACTAAGGGAAGGTGTCTACAGCGGAGTATTGGGTTCACTTTCCCCAAACCCCCTAAATCGTACGAAGTGCCTTCACCGCTTCTTCCACCGCCCTATACGCTCGAACTAAATATTCTTGACGTCCAAGTTATGTAGGTTATCTTATAAATCATACCAATATTTATATGGGTCAATAAACTCGTCACTGAAAAGTAATTATTTCCTAGTATTGTATATACAAACGTGGCTCCCGCCAGTTTGAGAATACTGTAAGATTAGTCTTGAGATTTAAGAAGTTATACATTATATTAGGTTTTAGTTCGATTACTATAATATAACTCGTTAGGGTAATCTGAATCAATTTCAATCATTTTCCTGCGGTAAAATTGCGCTTCTATAAGGTATGTAGGAAATGCATAGATTGCGTGGTGGACTATTATGATGTCTACGAAAGGGAGATTCTGCCGGGTTGAAAATCGCTAACTAAGGGGTTTGGGGAAGTGAACCCAATAGTCTGCCGTCGGTGTCCCTTTGCAGCCGTTGACATCTCCACATCTCCACATTTCCCTATCTTTTCCTGACTGTCAAAGCTCTTCGCAATCCAGCCAGTTATGAGTGAGGTTCTTCTCGTCTCATTCTATCACCAATCCCCAAGATCGAGGGCTCTTTGGTTATGACATCCACAACACACAAACGGCCCCTTGCTCGAACCATGCTTCCGAAGCAGATTATCGCCCATAGAGCTGGGTGAACATGGTTCCGGGCCACAAAGCTGACGATCCATCACTTAACAGCCACCTCTACTGAGATTACTGGCTCTCTTCCTCCTCCTGAATGGGCTGTAAGCCTAGCTCCACAGCCAGCCGTTCCGGATGGCATGGGATAAAGCACGCGTCGTCTCCGAGAAACGGGACGAGGAGTGTACACGCCTCGGGACTTAACAGGTACAGGCACTGGCACATCTGACTGCGTGTCACGCGGCGGTAAAGCACCATATGGCCTATAAAATCGATGAAATGCGTCTGGTTAGACCCGATCATCTCGGCCATCAAAAGCATGGGGAGGAGATCGTACCCGCCAACGAATCGAGCCGTTTCCCACCACACCTGGAACTCAGGGCTCCAATTCCAGTCCCGGCAGTGCTCGTGCATGTTACGCAGCCTGGTAGCGTTCGAGATTGGTCGGTCCAGGTATTCCGGTATTTGAGGCGGTGCTTGGTATGGCTTGTTGACGATGGCGTTGATCCCACCCCAACCTTGTTCGATGAATCGGGGCTTGCAACTTTGGCAGACGAGCAGTCGGCAAGTTTTAGCGGGTTCACTTGTCTTTGGCAGATTTTGTGCGATGGACTTGTCTGGGGTAGTCTCGTCGTCGTTGGCAAGTTGACTGTCGACCGCCTGGCTAAGCGATGCGGCCACTACCTTGGGGCTCCCAGCAGGCTTTTCGTTCCCTTGCTGCGCAACTCGACGTCGTTCTGAGGCTGACTGCTCTAGCACCTTGATCTTGTGGTCCAATAACTTTTTGACCTGGGCGTCGGTGTACTCGCCCCGCGTGATGGCCTTTTGCATCCACGGCGCGAGGATACTGACGTCGCGGATGATTGGCTCGGGGTCAGGATTGAAAGGCGAGTGGTCTGGCGTGTCTGCAGTACACGCCCACAGCCATCGAGCAGTCCCCCCACAGTGCTGACACTTGGGAGATGTGGCTGAGGACCAGCTGCGCAGGACTGCCTCGTGGCCGCACCATGCTCCTTCACGCGGGGTGTAGCGCTTCTCTCGAGTGTCCTCTGGGCTGCCTGGTTCGTAAACTGGGTGTGAAGGGATGGTGGGCTCGGGGAAGCATGAGAGGTCGTCCAGGGACTCTTCCTCGAGGATATCTTCGATGAGCTCAACGATGTTTTCCTCAAAGCCAAAGTCGAAAGTTCCGGATTCCCAGCCTTGGTCGACTGGGTTGGTTTGAGGGACGGGGTCCATGGTCTTTCACTGGGGTTGATCTTGTTGGAAATCGTGAAATACTATTGGTAAGTTGTGGCAAGGAAATGGGCCAATGGAGGTATGGATATGGGTTCAGTAGAGGGACCAGTCAGAGGGGGGAAGTTGATAATGATGGAGGAGAGGGTGATGCGAAAGAGAGACGCGTTGGGGAACGCGAAGGGTGATGAAGTGAGGTTGACAGCAAGTTTGCCATTGTTTTACTGTCCTGACAGTCTCTCACAATGGATTGAGACTTAGGCTAGACACCCTCCTCTCTATCTTTATGTATACAGCATTTGGCTTGCCCGTTCTCCTCTCTCTTGTTGGACTGACTCATTAGTAGATCTGTCTTACATGCGAGACAGTCTCTTCTTTCAACTAAACAGATCCTATAGGACGATTGTTCTTACAGATTCAGCATGTAGAAACCCCGTGCCATTGTTGCTACTGATATGACTATGCAGCTCGTCCAAAGCAGAGCTATCTAATGTTGATGGAGGCTGGAATATATATTCAGTCAGTGGGAGTAGAACTAGACTCTGACTGGTTCTCAATATCATCTACTAGTAGGTTGGTGGGCCATCTTTAACACGACCAGTGGATATTCAAGGCCATGGGATGATAGTATATTGGTGCTTTTGACTGTGAATATATTCCTTGAAGTATAATTTGATAGAGCCGAGTCAGGGGTTGGCCCGGAGACTCTTGCCGAATTGACCTCGGCCGAGAGGGGAACTAAGTACAATAAATGACTATGTACACATAATCTTCGGTAAATGGAGATTGAATATATCAGAGAATGAAACATTGAGGAAGTTCAGCATTGGAAACATTATATAGTAGCATTCGTCACGCTTTAGTCCATGAATTGATAGAAAGGTCCGTTGTGGGGAACCCCGTTGGAAAAGAATTGCGGAGAAAAGGGAACTGGCCAGTTTGTTGGGCCGGCTATGGTCAAGAATACTTGCGGGATGGCCATTCTATGTTCTCCAGATATATTTCCGAACTCAAGTACTCCGTAAAGATGTCTAGAATATCCCACTAATTAACTAGAATAACATAGTGAATCATTCATGATTAACTGATTAACTATATCATCCCTAGTGATAATGGAAATCTGTACCGATCTCCGGGAGTCGGAGGGTTCCGACGAGCTCCGCCAATGGAACGATGGATCTCGCCGGGCCATTCTGGCTGTTCCTTGCCATTTGCCATTTGCCGACTCGAGAGACCGCTTCTCTTTTAATACAATTCCTCCCCCAGTCTTTTTCGAGTTCTAGACATTATTGACCTGGGTCTTTGTTTCGAATTGTGCCTGTCTCCCTGGCATAACTACACTTTCATACTTCAGGTACGTTGCCCCGGGGCCTCGGTTGTCCCCTGTGTCCCTCTCTTCCCGTTCAGCCCAGCCCCAGCCTCTCCGAACTCTCTCCCCCTCGGCCTTCATAAACAAACACATCTCCCTCCCCAATCCCCTTCCCCTGCCTCCCACCCCCCCCACCCCACTCCCATCCACTCTTCTTTCCACGCGATATCGCCGGTGATTTTGTCGCGGTCTTCTCGCCGCCTTTGGTCGCCATTTAATTGACCTTCCCTTCCCGCCTGCAGGCGTTTCCGGCAGTTCCTACCTAATTCCGTCGCCAACTCCCACTCCCAACCTCTCGGCCCGACCATATCTCACATCCCCATCATGTCGGTCAAGTTCCAAGAAGAGACCCTCCGCACCGTCACGGGCGGCAAGCCCGAGGACCTCGCGCATGCCGTCGGTGAGCGATTGACCGGTGGAAAGACCCAGACCGGCTATCTCCAGGTATGTAGTCAAAAAGCCCAGAAGGGCCGATCGCGATCGGAAACAAGAGAAACGTTGCCCCCCAGAATGCTAATTCCGAGGAATGGATCGTCGTAGGCCTACCTCAAGCAGCTGCAGCACAACCCGCTGCGCACCAAGATGCTCACCTCCGGTGTGCTCTCCGGTCTGCAGGAGCTGTTGGCCTCGTGGCTCGCCCACGATGTCGGCAAGCACGGCCACTACTTCAGCTCGCGCATCCCTAAGATGTCGCTGTACGGCATGTTCATTGCCGCGCCCCTGGGCCACGTCCTTATCGGAATCCTCCAGAAGATCTTCGCTGGTCGCACCAGCTTGAAGGCCAAGATCCTCCAGATCCTCGTCAGCAACTTGATTGTACGTATCGCCATCTCCCCGGTCATATCTGGGAGCGCATACTAATCTCTCTACTCTACCCCGTTACAGGTCTCCCCCATCCAGAACAGCGTCTACCTGACCTCGATGGCTATCATCGCTGGCGCGCGCACCTTCCACCAGGTTCGCGCTACCGTCAAGGCGGGCTTCCTGCCCGTCATGAAGGTCAGCTGGATCACCTCCCCGCTGGCTCTGGCCTTTGCCCAGAAGTTCCTGCCCGAGCACACCTGGGTGCCCTTCTTCAACATCATCGGTTTCTTCATCGGAACCTATGTCAACACCCACACCAAGAAGAAGCGTCTCGAAGCTCTGCGCAAGGTACGTACTACTACCCGCGAATCGACTTGAGGGGGACGCGTATATAACTAACAACAATTCACAGCGCTACGACCAGCGCCGCGGCCCTGGTGGCGAGTACGAGAAGCGCGACTATCCTTAAATGGGACCAAGTCTGCAAACCCTACAGCGATGGCAAGAATTGGGATCAAGCAGAGACGACCACGCTATAAACAACGCGTTCGAGAAAAACGCACCGACCTCCGCTATGACCCGCCCATGACGATCCCCCCCCCCAGCTGCAGGGCAATTTACCCGATTACCCTTTTGTTCTTTTTTTCTTTTGTATCTCATCCTTTTTTACCCTGTGATGCTCCCTGGTGTTGAAATCCCCCTTTCCATCTATGTACACACTTTGTTCCTTGTTTATTTCCCCTCCCGATCTTACGACGAATGCCCCAATATACAAAGAAGATAAAGACTTGTTTCTTTAATTTTCAGAGACGAGGTATATATGCTGGATTTCTTGACGTGCATACCATGTAGCTGGTTTCGTTGCCCGTAGCAGTACTGTAGAATCTAGATCTTCGGAATCTTTACTCTAGAAACCGGGATCTATGACACAAGATCTTTAGAATCGTGAAGTAGTTCATAATATGTAGAATGTCTCAGGCTCTAGCTACTCCCTTCCCATCCATCTCCCATAATGGAAAAAAAGGGACGTATCGCCAACCCGTCTACATGAGATCACCCTACAGCTCCATAGCACTTCCATCCCCCCTCTTCCCCTGCACAAACGTCACAAAATCATCCAACGCCCCAGGCCATGCCCCATCAACACTCCACCACCCAAATGCCTCATCCTCCTTGGTCTTCCGCATGAAAACCTCCACCTGCTCCCACAAATCCTTGTTGACGGGCTTCTTGCCCCGTTCCTCCAGGAACTCGAGCCACCATTCGAGCCAGGGCGTGCTGGCCGTGCTCCAGGGGATGCCGCCGCGGTCGGCGGTGAAGAAGAGGCGCCATTGTTCGGCGGCGAGGTCGAAGGGGAGGTTGCGTTGGCCGGGCATGCGGGAGATTGGGAAAGCGTAACGGTAGATGCGGCGGTAGAGGTCTGGGGTTGTGGGGATTTTGGTGCGGAGGGTGGCGGCGTGGGTGGTCATTTTGGGGATTGTGTCGCATCTGGGAGGTTGTTAGTTTGGTCTTTTTGGTAGGAGGGGGAGGGATTGAGATTAATATTGGGGTGGAGAGGATTTCTGGTTGTGGTTCTTGATATTGAACTTAGCGAGGGGGGTTTACTTACAGTACGCCTCGCCAGCCGTCCACGAATCCTTCGCGAGTGAACTCGCCCATTGCTGGGCACTTGCATAGTTCCATGATTCCGAGACAGGTGACTTCGTCTAGTGGGACGTTGATATCGTTGAAGAACTTCATGGCTCCTTCAATGCCAATGCCATTGGGGCTGTCCTTGATGTTGTCTAGAGAGGATATTAGTATGAGGATGTATTGAAGGAAAGGACGGACTGTACCTCGGTACTCATCGAAGAGGCGGCCTACTGACTGCAGGCTAGGTTCACCCAGGGGGGTGGAAAAGTATCTGAATAGAAGGGGAGGTGTTAGTGTGTGTGTCTTGTAGGGCATGCTGGTGTCTGTGAGGCATTGTGTGCTTTTGAAGCTTGATCAAGCTGGTGTGGTGCTTTTGCGGGTGTTCTGTAGGACCTCCGAATACTTGTACATGTCACATCGAGACAAGTGCTGGACTTGCAGAGGACAAGGCGGCAGAGAATGGCCATGAAGCCCCAGCTCCTTCCCCGGAGTGACGAGATACCCCCAGAGGGATCCACCCGCAGAACGAAGCTCTCTCAAGACCAAAGCCAAAACAACAACACACTCAATGTATCAATGTACCAGGGAAGCACCGTAACAAAAAACGAGGAAGGAACTCACGCGTCAACAGCTCGTTCAAGGTGCCATGACGCACCCTTCAAGAACTATAACCCAGAGTCAGTCAAAAGCTCACGCGACAAAAGCCCCGCCGCATATCTTATCTCGAGCACCCCTTGAGGGAGGCTCCAGAAAATACGGGGTAAAGAAAACATACCTTGGCAGCGACTGCGTCCTTGGCATCAGTCAGTGCGACAAATTGCGCGATGGTCTGCTTCTGCGCAGCCGTGTAGGGTGGCATGGTGGGGGTGTGATATTGGGCCCCGCTTCGTGAGCTGGGCCGGGGACCGTGGGTATGAGGAGGAAATCAGTTGACCGTACGTCCGAGCGAGCAGATGACGGAAGGTGAAGGCGAAATGTTTGAGAAGGTGAGCGGTCCTTTAAGCGGTAAGTATCCTCCACGATGTGACGGCAGGCAACTTGATGGCTTTCCTTATCGCGATTAGCCGCGGGACAGGAAAACGGATGACTCAGCTTTGAGGCCTCAGGCGTCACTCTGCTATGCATTCGTGCCTTGGGATTGTCATAAGCTGGGGAATTTCCATGGGCTGATCATGTCTGGTATATTGATGTTTGGCAATCATGATTCTTACCAAGCATAGGGTCATATACAATTGATAGTGATCAGTAAAGAGCGTTGGTTTGTCTGGGAGATTTACGCTAGCCATATTCCCTTATACTAATTGCCCTAGCAGATCAATGCGAATTTTGTACCCAAAATTGGGGGGTCGATATGGTAATTTGGTGTATACTGTCCGGGCTCTCATAAGTATTAAAATACTGCTCAGAAGCCAAACCGAAGTATAAAATGAGGAAAAGTGGACAACAGACTGTATGACATGTGTTGAAATAAAAGTATTCATCAAATGATCTAACTGAGCCCAGGTATAAACCCCAAAGTCGAGGCAGACAAAGCACTTTTCACAAGATAAAAATGACTCCAATAACTCCATTCCCTGATTCCACATCGAGTATGCAAATATCAACATGCAAGATTCGAGTCGTCGATCGTTCCTTCTTAAGCGGTGAACAGGGAATCCTCCTGTTAGACATTAGCAGCCATCCATAATCAATGCAGCACCATTTCGATTCCAGGTTCGGGGATGTTCTTACCTCTCTCAGATACTCACCAGCATCGGCCTGGCGGAAGACTACGATACCGGTGGGCTCGAGCTTCTTGGCCTCAGCAGTAGAGCGCGCAGTGACACCAAAGCCGAGAGGCTCATCGTTCATGCTGTAAACAACGACACCGCTGTGCTCGGGGCAGTCCTCGCTCCAGCGAGCGGCGTGGGCCTTCAGAACGCTGATTTGGGCATTAGCATTTGGATCACGATCAACCGACTAACATGTAAACTCACTTTCCACCGTACAAGAACGGCATCTCTCCGTTCGCCTTGATCCAGACCTTGTACCGACTGTGAGGCGCAATGACCGAGAGCGCCGTAATGTGGAGCCTGAACTTCATCGTCTTCGTGAATTTACCCTGCTCGTAGTTAGTACGCTGTATACGGAGAAGCAGGAGATGCGACTAGCAGCGACTCACAATAATGGTACCCGCTGACAGCAGGTTTGCGCGGGGAATGCTCGTGGCATAGTTGGCCAATCGCAGAGGGAGGTAATACACCTGAGCAGTTGTTAGATTTTCAGTCCCTCCAGACACTTCTGCCAATATTTGTTGGACGTACGCGAGAGCCCTGAAGGCGGAAAACGTGGCGCTCAGTCTGATCGCCCTCGGGAGGCGCAATCAGGTTGTTCAAGGATCGACCAGTGTAGTTGGCAAGCTTAGAGAAAAGCCTAGACGCATGGTATTAGCCGGACTGCTGCCAGATCTGAGGTATTGGCTGCCTGTTACAGGCACACAGAACTCACACTTTGGCTTCTTCCTCTGTCAATTCACGCATCTTGTTTGGATATAGAGTGTTCTTGGTGGAAAGTTCGGCTTGATCACGATCGAGACCTGCGGAGGTGGTTCCTGATCTCCATCAGGAAAAAAGATAGGCGGTGTAAAAATGTCCGGCAGATAAATGCTTGGCGCGAAATTTTGAGGTTTGGTCCGCCTTCCGCCCGCAAGCCCTTCGAGTCTTCAACAGCAACCAAACACACCACAAACCCACAAAATGGCTCGCGGACCGAGTGCGAAACGGAGGCGCTTGAGCCCTCCTGGTGACAAGGAAGCAGCTGCTTCTCGGGATGCTGAGTTGTACAGCGGTGCCGACGAATGGGACGCCGAACAAGACTACGAGCGTCGCCCGCGCAAAGCGAACAAAAAAGATAACGAACGCACCCGATTGCCCATTAAGACCTCGGAGGGATTCGTTCACGCAGTCAATGAGCCCGAGGATGCAGGCGAGGAAACCGACAGCTTTTTGGGCACCGACGATGACGAAGAGGAGGGTTCGGGAGACGGCGAGGATAGCGAGGAGGAGGTAGTCGAGGAGAAGAAGCCCAAGATTCCTGTCAAGGTTCAAATTTTGCAAGCGAAGGAGGACCTGGCTCGTATCGCTACTCTGATCAATGAGGACCCGGAGGAAAACATTGCGCTTTTCAAGACAATGGCCGATATGGTGGACAAACCCGAATCGCCCGTTACTGTCAAGAAATTGGCCCTGGCGGCGCAGGCTGCAGTCTACAAGGATGTCATTCCAGGATACCGGATTCGTCCTCTTAGCGAAGAAGATATGCAAGGAAAGCATTCGAAGGAAGTGCGCAAGCTGCGAAACTTCGAGCAGTCCCTTGTTTCAGGGTACAAGAACTACGTTCAGAAGCTGGCTACTCTGGCCAAGCCCGGCCGATTCAACGCGGCAACCGACCCCAGCTTGAAGAGCCTTGCCATCAACTGTGCCTGCACCATGCTCCAGGCTGTCCCTCATTTCAACTTCCGCAGCGAATTGATCAAGATTCTTGTCAACCGTCTCGCGAGGAAGCAGATTGATGCCGATTTTATCAAATGTCGGGAAACCATGGAGGAGATTTTCGCCAAGGACAACGATGGAGTTGTCTCTCTGGAGGCGATCCGAATGATGGCAAAGATGATGAAGGCACGAGACTTCAATATCAACGAGAGCGTTTTGGATACATTCCTCCATCTACGTCTTCTCGGCGAATTCGCCAGAAAGGCATCGCGTGACCGGGTAGACCGCGACGAACCCGAGGAAGAGACGACTTTTGGCAAGAAACAGAAGCAAAAGCGCGAGTTCCGGACAAAGCGAGAGCGCAAGGTCATGAAAGAGCGCAAGGTTGTCGAGAAGGACATGAAGGTCGCAGACGCTCTGGTCTCCCACGAGGAGAGAGACAAGAACCAGGCCGAGACTCTGAAGCTTGTCTTTGGTGTCTACTTCCGTATCCTGAAGCAGCGTATCCCTAACCTGATGGGTCCCGTTCTTGAGGGTTTGGCCAAATATGCCCATCTCATTAACCAGGATTTCTTCGGTGATCTTCTGGAAGCCATGAAGGATCTCATCGGCCACGCCGAGCGTGATGAGCTCGACCAGGCCGGCGAAGATGTCTCCGAGGACGAGGAGGAAGATGAACACCGCGAGGTATCCGACAGCACGAAACGAGATGCCCGCCGCGAGACTCTTCTCTGTACGATCACCGCCTTTGCCCTGCTCGAAGGCCAAGATGTTAGCAAAGCCGCCAGCACTCTCCATCTGGATCTGAGCTTCTTCATCAAGCACCTATACCGCTCACTCTACGCCCTCTCCATCAACCCTGATGTCGAGTACAACCCCAACACCTCACTGCGTCTCCCCGACCCCAATGCCGGCGAAGATCATGCCACTTCCCGCTTTAAGGCCAAGAACAAGGTCAACTTCCAGACCCCGATGGTCCTGCTGCTCCGCTGCCTGCAGTCAGCCCTGCTCTCCCGCGCACATGGCACCCCTCCCCCAGTTCGTTTGGCCACCTTTGCCAAGCGTCTTATGACGACCTCCCTCCAGCTTCCTGAGAAATCAGCCATTGCCACTCTATCGTTGATGAATCAGGTTTCCAAGCACCACGCCCGTCGGATCTCGCCTTTGTGGCACTCGGATGAGCGTAAGGGTGACGGTGTGTTCAATGCGTATGCGACTGACGTGGAGGCCACGAATGTTTATGCGGGCTCTGTTTGGGAAGGTGAATTGTTGCGTCAGCACTACTGTCCCCAAGTGCGGGAGTCGGTGCTCGATATTGAGAAGATGATGACTGGTACTGGCAATGGCACTAAATAAGTGTGAATCATTTGTGTATATACACGTGTGAGCGTGATGTTTTTTTTCATTTGAGAACCCCCATTTTGTTTGTGAATAGAAAAAGCCCGCCTTTCTGAAATCAGTTACTTTATTACGATGAACTCCGTCTTTGAGTGGTAGAAGTTACCACTGCATGTCTCGACAATCAAGTATATTCCTGATGAAAGTGTACATTACTTTGCTAAAACTTCTGGGTGATTTTCTGGTTTACATTCATAGAATACCCCAGTTCGTCCCTTCAATGCCCAATTTAGATGACTTTTAAACTTGATGTATGTCCAGGTATGTCCATATATACTCGTACCGTCCACGCACGCTGAGTATACCACGTCTCACCCACGAGCAAAAGACTTCAAGGCAGCCGAGTCACCTATGAAATAATCTTGGTCACCAGGATTAGAACCGGAGAGAGCATATTGCCAAAACGTGGCAGTCTTCCAGCCCTGAGGAAGATGGCCTGCCAAAGAGGTACCTGGATGGGCAATCCACAGGGGATTGGTGCTACCAAAGGCAACCGAGTCACCAGTACACTGTTCCCACCAAGATTTGGTCATGTATATCACCGGATACCGACTGGTCTTGGACACGTAGGTGTCGGAGAAATCTTGAATCCAAGTGACCATTTGCGCAGGGCTCAGGCCGTAGCATGCGTCTGCTCCCTTCCTGGGATTGTTCTCCAAATCCAGTGCCCCGGCTAGAGTGATACCATCCGCAGACCACCAGGCAGAAAAATACTGATTTTATTAGATAGCTAAATATAGAGATACTATCTCCTATCTAGTCTATCTTATAATCGTTTATCTTTCTCTTATTTAGTCCTTACTTTACTCTTATTCTTATTATATATCGAGAACTAAGGGGATATATTAATATATTGATATTATAGAGTTATATAATAAAGGACTCACTTATATAACCCCTCTCTATATCTAGATCTTCTTCTATAAGATCTACTAGATTAATCCTTAACGATCTCGCTTATAATTACCTACCTATATAGGAGACTCTTAATACTCCTAATTCTATTAATCTTTTACTATATTTCCTAAGATATAAATACCGCCCTATCTCCTAGTTAAATTGAATTAAGTTTATCATCCCTTTTAATCTCTCTTCTTAATCAGCGATACTCTTCCACAATCTGAGTTCTTCCACAAGAACGCAAGACCTTTATACTCATTCTTGAGTCCTACCATAATCGTGGTACTTCTTCTCTCTAAGAAGTACGCACGACCTTTATACTCAGTATTGAGTCCTACCCCTTTATGTACATACTGTCTTCTTATATGCATCACCACGACTTTATGGTCACCGCCTAAAGTCCGACACTAACTCATCACACACACCGTAACTACGGTCTGTATACAGCGTGGCTGACACGTAACGCCCCCGAGGGTTTATCGGTTGACCGCTGGAAGGTCACCGCCTTGGCAGAACGCTTGGCCCTACGCGCCTGAGGCACCAATATCAACATGCGAATAGCCTCATCGCGAATATCATAACACCTGCATTGCTGTGAGATTTCTAGGATACTAGAAGCTACCTAAAGCGGAAGGTTCTAGTATAAATCTCTAAATCCTTTAAACGTCCGTACTTTCCTCCTTCGTACGAACCTAGTCGAAAATTATACTAAATCCTATATAGTCTATGTGCCAGTACGTTCGAAATAGATACGGAATTCGCCGAACAGCCAGTGCTAGTCTAGTATAAGAGTGAGGGCATCTACAGTAAGGGACTATCGCTTTTGAGTCCGTTAATAAGATGCATTATTCTGTGATCAAACATGTCCAGGATCCGAAGAGCAATTTGCTTTGAATCGCTTTAGGTATAGCATTAGCACTGTCAAAATACGAATTCCAGTAATCGGACATACCATATCGGTTTTCCCAGACACTACCGTCGTCAGACCAAGAGGAAGAATGTGGGCAACCTCCAAATATTGAAATTGATCGGACTTGTCCTTCAACAGATTCCCGTCATTGTCAGCACAGGATTCTGCATTCTCCGCGAAACGGCTTCTGGCCGCTGCTCCATCTAATTTTCAAGACACTACACAGCGGTGTCGGTCACGCATAAGGCAATCCTGCCGCAAAACGGATACAAGTTGCCTCTTTCCGGTCGTTGTTGAGCTCCGAAGTGATCAAAACAACGTGGGCGTTGGTTGTTATGTCTAACTGCGGTTGCGAATTAGCACATACTCACTGGAGATCAAAGATATGTACAAATAAGGATAACGAACGGGGAAGGAGGAAACTAAATACTCAGCAAACTTTACTAGGCCTTCATAAGCTTTTGTGTTTGTTCTGGTTCCTGTGAAGAAACCCCTATAAAGAATACTAAGGCGTGGGTAATATTGGAATCAACGGCATATCCTTCATCTGCAATCAGGTCCTCATAGATGTATGAGAGGAAGGAAACCATTAAAGTATCCGGCGATATGTGATGTGGTCGAGCATACTGTAGCCTGGATGAACCCCATATAGAGAAGAATAATGACGGTAGTTCGCCATCGCTGGGAAACTTGCGAGCTTTCGAGTGATGGATGAGCTGACCCATGACGGGTTTAACATCGGCCCGAGGAAATCAACGGAGATCAGGTGCACCAATAGGAACGATGACAGGCTTAAGTTACTCAAAGCCCCCACACATGGCACTAACCCCCTTGCACTCCATGTCAACGGACGACTGAAGCCTGACACAGGGATTCTCGAAAGTTGTCTGACCGCCAAATACTTTGTCCGTTGTTTGTTGGCCTCACTGTCAAGAAATTGGCCCGGATAGATTATGGAGCTACGTTCGGCATCCTTTGAACCGCAATATACTGTAAATTATGCAATTTTCATGATGAATCTTTGTCAAAGCGTATAATGTCACATGGTCCGCGACTCAGTGGCAAAATTTCATTGTTGATTTCTGTTCCTACCAACATAGCCACTAGAACCGACCATGCACCCTGAATGGTGAGTTTATGTGGATATAGATTATACACTATATATCGACCAAGGAAGAGATGAGGCATTCATCCTTATTTTAAGAACAGTGCAGTCCAAAATTACAGAACATCCATAACAGCTGCTGAAGGACATATTGTCTAGGCTTCACATAAAAGCAGTCGCTGCGAGCGCGGGCCCGTCCAGCCGGTATATAGATACCTAGGTTTGTACGATTCAGTTCCGCGGGCCCGGGCTGCCGAGAATCTTGCTTGCCAACTGAGAGCCCCTTTAAAAAGCTATTTCAATGTAACTCCGAACCAATCTCAAGTGCTATTTTTCAACTAGGAATTGACCCCTTTTGCCGTGAAACATGTCGGTCAGTTCGCATGCTACCCCCGGCTATCTACGTGCCAACTAACCGTGTCCGCACCACGCAGATGCCATCAGGGTATGGTCAGCCGAGATATATGGATATCATCTAGATCCTCTAGCCCTCAGATTAACCCCTATTTCTTAGAGTCGAAGTCTCAGACGAATGCATCACCGCCTTCCGAAATCTGATATATAAACGTGGCGCAAGCAAGCCGGCCTTTGTGATATACAGAATATCCGACGACAAGACCTCGATCCTTGTGGAGGAGAGCTCGACGGACAAAAACTACGAGACGTTTCTGCAACGGCTTACTTCCGCCGTGGACATGGATGGAAAGCCGTCGCCTCGGTATGCAGTATACGATGTGGAATATGATCTAAAGAGTGATGGGAAAAGGTAGGAATTTCCTGACTTCGCCACTTCCCTTGCTAAGTACGTCCAGATCGGCAACTGTGTTTATTAGCTGGGTGCCGGAGGAAACTTCTACCAAGGTATGCTCTATTGAAACCACGATGGCAAACACATCCTGACTTGTGGCTAGTTCCGGATGTTGTACGCTGCTACCAAAGAGCAGCTGCGAAGGGTGTTGGATGTCAAGGTCTCAATCCATGCAGACGGGCCATCAGATCTAGAGTGGAAAACAATTCTGAAGGAAGCGAGTGGTGGGAGAGTGATCATTTAGACAGATCAATATTGGTGCCTAAGAAAAATAGCCCTCACAAAACAATAACGTAGCATGACTTGGCATCTTCGGCAGGTCGGACTTGCGGGCCCGGCCTGCCGAAGGAATCTTTTAGGCTGTTCGCAACCTCATCCCGGATCTCCGTAGCAACTACCATGTCTTCAAACAACATCGGCGAAACAATCGAAGTGAGGCGGCACAGGCTATCCTCGGTCCCACGAGCGGTAAGGCCTAGTCATTCCTACCCATGCCCCCGCCCCCGCCTGCCACTAATAACAGCTTTGCAGTGTGAAGGGTGCAAGATCCGCAAGGTGAGCGTAATGAACTAGTAGAACCTCAAGGGTTGTGTGCTAATCTAGGGGCATGCAAGGTCCGCTGCGACCGAACTATACCGTGCGCAAACTGCCGTGCAGCCACAATTACCTGCCGCCAGCCTAATGACAAGTCTAGCCGGCAGGTACAGGTGGATCGCGTGACGAACCTGTATGGGTTACCAAATGCTCTTGAGATCAGACATGCTGATAAAAATCGTAGTCAAGGTATCGTGGAGCGCCTTGAAAAGCGTCTCCAGACCGTTGAATCTAGGCTCGCAACTTTCGAAAAGCCCCAACAGCCAAACACACAGCCACAAACAGTGGCCTCGACTGCGTTTGCCGTATCGTCGGCCTCTCGCCAAGTGGAAGGACTTACTGGTGCTGAAGGTGATCCTTCCTTTGCAGCACAGTCTCTCCAGGCTAGCGAGAGTGCGCGCTCTGTCTGTCAAAGCGACGAGTCGGGTACAGAGCACTTGCTCCACCAGCTACAAAGCAATATCCGTGCCTCGGACGGCTTGTCAAGGTCGAACTTCTTCTTTCAAAAATCGACTTCAAATGTAATGCCAACTCCTCAGCCACTGCCCACAACTTTAGCGACATGTATCCTACAGCGAATGCATGGTATAGCCAGTCTCATCCCGTGATTACTATCTCAAGTGGCCGAGACTGACGCTTAGCAGCACACCGTCCCATTTTTCTCTCTTCATATGCCGTCAGCGACCTATGGTTTGTCGAGAGCCTATGTCAAAAAGTGTACTCAACTACCGAGCTGGTATCCCCTGGTGAAATTGCAAGCATGCATGGAGTTCTGTTCTTTCTCATGAAAGAGATGATCTCATTCAAGGATCCGCTGTGCCAAAAATTTGATCTCGCCACTTACATAGATCGCTGCGAACAAATATTTGTAGCCGCAGTCGAAACTTACGAAGTCCTTGCTGTACCCAGCTTTGAGAATATCCTTGCCCTGGTCATGGGGGTAAGCACCACCACCTGCCCTGGCGGGCCTGATGGCAGCAAAGAGCTAACTGAACTCTAGATGATCAAGGCCCAAGGAGAATCAAAGCCCTACTTATACTGGAAGCTCGTCTCCGCGGCTGTCACACACTGCCAGTCTCTTAACTATCACCGCGAGTCCACGTACCGACGAATGCCCCCTCACGAATCAGAGCGCATCCGTAGGTTATTCTGGACAGTCTATACCTTTGACAAGAACATGTCGCTTGTTCTAGGCCGTGTATCATTCATGCAGTTTCTCGACATCGACGCCCAGCGTCCCAAGATTTCATCGGACCCAACTCTTCGCGCCTGGGACGAGTCATTCATCATGGGCATCCGGCTCGCGGAGGTACAAGGCCGAATTTTCGTCGACCTCTACTCACCCGTCACAATGACCAGAGATATATCTGCCCGAGAACAACTCGTGCGGGACCTTGCACTAGCGATGGAAAAATGGTATCTGGAACTCAAGCAGATCAACGCGGAGGGAGTAAATAGCCCCGGAATATATTCCTTATCTCGAGGAAACTGGGACATTATGTTTTACTCCACGCAGACTCTGCTCTTTCACGCGTCCTCAGCGCTGGGAGGGAAAATACAAATCAGCGCGCAGTGCTTCGCAGCAGCGCAGAGTAGTCTGCGCGCGCATCTCGATGTCTTTCCGCGGTATCAGGAGGCACAGCTTCTCTCTACCGCGGACTATTGTAATTGGTGAGTTCGACACCTACTCTCCACGCTGCATTCCCTCCCCAGTAAAGACCCAGCCACTAAACTTACCGTGCAGGATCCTTCTCTCTTCCTCCTTCGTCCCCTTCATCGTAACCTTCCTACACGCGATCGCTACAAAGGACAAGAACAGTATAACCCTGCTGGAACGAGTTTTCGACACGCTACAGGCCTTCCGCACGACCTCACGCGGCTACGAGAACCTCTACCTGATCTGCTCGACATTCATCCAAGTAGCGAAGAAACCCGTCTCCTCGCAGCAGCGGCTGCCGAGTATTGGCGGGATATATGCTACGCAGCATCAGCTGCAGGACTCACTTCGTGTTTCGGACATGGCGCAGAAACCCACTCTGTTCGAGCCGGAGTTCTTTCAGGATGCGCTGAGTGCAGATTTCTCCACGCATGAGGACGTTGGCTTGCTGGACCCGGCGTATACGGCGGATATTCTGAATGATTGGCTTAATGGGCCGCCATTTCCGTGGGAGAGGCTTGATATGGAGCCAGAAAATTTTTAGGTGCCTTGGGGGCAGACAAGGATTAGGATTTGTATTAGGAAGAGGTGCAGGCAGCAGCACACTTGACAGAGCAGAGCGATAAAGGAAATACGTCTGGTATTCTAGATGAGATTGTGCCCTTCTATATTTCGATCCAAGTGGCTGTATATGTAGCTTCCTACATAGATGTTATTACAAAGAAACTAGTGTCACTTCCAGTATTCCTGCTTTGTTCTCCAGAAACTCAAGTTTTGTGCAGAGACGGTAAAGCGCCAAACTAAGTTAAAGGCTTGGCAGCTGCATCTCATTGGCTCTATTTTGCAACCTTACTATTCCAGGCTAGTGTCCACTTCATCAATGAAACAATGAAAGAGACGACACTGTTCCGACTTCCTCTGGACATACAGACCAACTCCCTGTTGGTAATTAGAGCTGCAGCATGTCTACACCCCGCTCCTTGGGAGAACTAGCCTTTAGTCAGAGTCCGCCACATCTCATCCTCCACAAGGACATCCATATGATCCCTTTGTAGCATCACAACAACCTCCACCCCAGTTTCCCCTTCACCCCTCCGCCTCGGCAGAACAATAACAACCCCATCCGCCTCCATATACGGCAAACGCACAAAACTTGGCCTCCCCAAACCCAGTCCAAAATCAACCCCGTACAGCCCGAAATCCGCCCACGAAGTGATCGTCAAATCCCTCGAGTTGAATAAGTCCCACCCTACAAAAAGAGCGCGGGGGTCACCGGTGCGCGTGATCAGCTCGTGGACCTCTGCGACATGTCGTGCGTTGATTGTAAATGGATATTGAGAGTTGAGGACTGTGGTGCAGATTTCCGCGAGGGAACGGATGGGGCTCTCGTCCGCCCCCGCGAGTGCCGGTGCAGAGAATTCGGCAAACCCGTAGAAAATCGCGTTGCCTAGATATTGGGCGTCGGGTGGGGAGAATGCTAGTGGTAAATGCCGGCGCGCATTAACTGCTGTTACCAGGCGGCTGTTTTGGATTTCACTCGAGAAGCTACCAGATGTTGTTCGGACACGCGTGATTGTGGTCCAGAGGAGCGCACTCAAGATCGTGTTTGTTGACGGTGGTGTTAATGTATGTTTGGCCAGCAAAGACTTTAAGGTATCGATCCAGTTCAGTGAGACTGTGAAGAGCTTGCATGTACACGAAGGAAACGTCTCGGGGACCGCGGGAGGGAGTCTCGAATACTCGGGGTGTTTCTCGAACAGCTCGTCTGTTGAAGTTGACAATGTCTCAGCGAGGTCATCCGCTAGCGCCGCCGTTAGGCGCTCGCACCTCCCCTCGAATGAGCTGGGAATGACCAAATCAGGCTCTGCGATAGCCCTTCCCCACTGTCGTATGATCTCCGAAAACGCTGCCCCATCCACGGCGTTATGATGCATGCAAATGCATAAGCCGAACCCTCGATCGGCGAAGCGGAACGTACTTGCCGCGAAAACAGGTGCTCCTGCTATGTGTAGAGATTCGTCGATCATACCGGACACAGGCCATATGGTCTCTGGAATTGACTCGGGTTGCATCCCGTTTGCGGAAGCGGTATCGTACGAGATGTCTATCGTGCCCTTGTCGATGAGAGTTGGCGTAGTGTGTCCGTCCCAACGGATCTCGAGAGAATACGGATCTCCCCCCGCTGAAGCTTTTGGGAAGACTCGACCGGAGAGCCATTGGATCTGCTTTGAGATGACATTGAGCCCAGATTGCACAAGTCCGGTAGTTTGTGCGCTTTGGTTCGTTGCATCTTCGAAGACTAGGACAACCCGGATGTAATTCCGCGGCATCAAGGCATCGATAGGGGTAAGTCCCTCGACAGAGGTTGCATTGGTCATATTATCCTGGAATATTGCGAATAACTCATGGAAATGGCCGGCGTGTATGTTGTTGTCGGCACGGGCAGGCTTTATAGCGAGGAATGGCATTATGCAAGTTGGCTGTCCGGTGCCGCGGGCCCGAAGGGCCGGGGTCCACTCTCAATGGTGACATCCATTTTCATATTGATATCCAACAATATCCTCTTTACCGTGATACAGTACCAGCGTGTTAGGGGATTTCTTTAGAGCGGACTTGCCTGTTTTCGTTATGGCAGTATGATCGCCGAACGAAATTACAGTTCATCCGACTCCATGCAAAGGGATAAATACAGCACGCCATGCCAGTGTAGGCTGTTTTCAAATCACAGTACATAAAACATCTAGACTAAAGGGATAATTTAGTTATAAGACGCTTCTTTGTGTTGTTTCACCTAAAGACAACCGCAGGGCGGCACCTACTTTCACGCCGTGCTTAACAAAGAAACCTGGATCTTGATCCTCATAAATCTGCATGAGATCGAGACAATTTTCGAGGGTTGTATCGCGTGCTTTGTTGATGTTTTCCCTAAAAGCCTCGTTACTTACCCGCGATTACTGCTATTCAGTATATTCCTCCACGGCGACATCTAGTAGGCTGTGAACCATAATATATTAAGTACAGTCGGGCCCGGTGAGTATAGCGTTATTCGTAGGAAGATTTATCGATTGCTGAGGTAATCCTGCCGGGAGGATATCAATATTAATTAGAGGATATACTAAACCTATTATAGTGTTCTCTATAGGTTTCTTTTTTTGTCTAGTCGCCGATTCTCCTCGGCATAAAGCTACTCGCGAACACTATTAGGGACATTAGCGTAGGTCTCGAGAACTCTACCTGTCGGACTTTAGGCGGTGACCATAAAGTCGTGGTAATGCACACAAGAAGATAGTGTATGCGTAAGTAGGATAGGACTCAATGTGGTGTCTGAATACACGGTTATGAGTATAGAGGTCGTGCGTACTTATAGGAAAGAAGTACCACCGATCTAGAAGAGAGATCAAAAGGGATGATAAACTTGATTTAATATAACTAGAAAACAGGCAGTATTTATATCTTAGGAAACATAGTAGAAGATCACATGAAACATCAGGAATATCAGAATTAACCATGGAGTGTTATATAGTCTCCTGCCTAGGTAGGCAATTCAATGCGAGATCGTTGAAGATCAATCTGATAGATCTTATAGAGAAGATCTAGATGTAGAGAGGGGTTATATGAGTGGGTCCTTCGTTATGTGACCCCACAACATCCATATGTTGACATAAATTAAGCTTCCTTTACACTATAATAGTATCTATAGTAATTAACGTCGAGGTAGCCTATATAGAGATATAATATCTATATCTACTCGTTTTCCCCGAAGTACTATATACGCTCTTAGTTCGACGCGGCCCCGAAATACTTCTAGGAAAGTTATATTTCTTTAAAGTAGCAATCCCCTTCTTACAGAGATCGCGTAGCGCGGCTATTCTAAGGACGCTAGTAATTTCTATATATCACGGTACACCATATTATATAATCGTTACCATTCCTATATATTCCCTTTATTAGTATTACTATTTTATGTACCTTTCTACTACTAAGTCTTCTATTAAAATAGGCATTTTCTTAGGTAAGAAAACCATAATAATATTAGAATCTAATATAAGTAACTAGTTAGGCGGAATGATACTACGGAGACTTTCTTATCTATCCTAGGTGTTTTTGTGGATGATCTTGCGTCGTAGTAGTAAAAAGCTGGTTTTCTAGTAGTGCTTGTGGTCCTGTAACCTGACACGCTAACTAGGTGTAATTTCGGATTGAATGAAGCTATTAAATAAGAAATCAAACAATTATTTCATATAGCTCTTCTCTAGCATATTTCGATGTGTGGGGTAGGAGTGACTATGTTTGATTGTGCGAGTACCTGGTGGGCGTTTCATCATACAGGGCATTTTATGTCACCGGGATGGGGGTTAGTGCTTTTGTTACGAAACCAAGATTAGCAATTAGCACAGACTCTTTATATACTATGCGATATACCCGCAAGCAGAACCTCCTCGATCGGTGGTCCTCCGATTAGCTTTGATCTGCCTGGAAGGTTACCAGGCCAGAAGATCTAGTACGAACTATTGGGGTTCGGCTTTTCTCTCGGCTGGTAGCATAAATTATGTGGAAGCCTTAAAGCGGCATGTACGTCAACCGACCAACTAGCAGATTGATTAGGCATATTCTCAAGAAGCGGTGCTAAGCTTTCTATGGTATGCAATGGCGAGAGCCAAAATAACGCCCGTAGAATGAAGTTATCACGTCCGCCATTATAATAGATCGAGAGGAGGGCCTCGGGGAGTTTTAAGCTTTCTCTGATTCAAGTTGCGGTAAGGCAGTATTTTAGCATTGGCCCATGAGGAACGTGCAACTCGTGTCCGCGAAGATTGGGTTTAGTTGATGACATTCTACAGCAAAAGCGGGCTAGACTCTACTATACGTTTTAATGACACGAGTAGGGAGAAGCTCGATGGTTAGTGGGTAAGAGGAATAGCGATGGGCCTTCACGAGTAAAGAGAATGGACACTTGATATTTCGAGCCAATCTCAACTGCTCGCGCGTAAACCTTCAAGGAGAAAGAAAAAAAAATATTAAAAGCTTGTTACCTCTATGAATTGAACCCCCGACCTTCACGTTCCCTATATACTTCACTAAAATGCTCCATCGCCATCCCACGATGCCGAAGGTCATACCCTCCGGGGCTGCACCCTCTAAACAATCTCCCTCTACACTACCATAATACCTTTAAAATATCTTATTTTAGATCTAGAATAGAATATCTAAGAGAGCTCTATCTATTAAATAAAAAGTAATAAAAATAAAGAAGAAATCGGCGAGCGGGGGGGTTAGCCGCTTGCCCACTCTCCCCCTTAGGGTGTGCCCGGGCATCCGTGGAGCGATGCTCGACATCGGATACCAGTCAACATATTTTCCCCTCAATTTTTCCTTCACAGGGGCACACCCTTGGCCAACCAGGTGGCGCTAACCTGGCTGGCCAACTAGGCCATGAGGGGGGAGATTACCTGGAATTACTAGAAGTTGGTGACAACCCTGATGTAATGACCGAGTTTCCTTTTTCGTATGCTCTATCATTCTGGGCGATGCGGTTACGAAAGAGCTATTGGAGACCAGGAATTCTATATTTTACAAGAATCTGTAGATTCCGAGGGTTCAGGAATGTCTGAAAACTATCTGTTCATTATGAGACTTTGTAGACTCGTGCGGATAATCTGTGTACATGGCAAATTCGAGCCGGAGATCTCTGTGGGATCAATCCATAGAAAACAATCATGGGAGACACATTTTCATGCAACTCCATTGCCATCAACACAAGATACATACCGTAGATTATGAACAGATCACATTGCGTACGCCAGAAAGATGAAAAATCCACGGGTATCATAAACATTGAATCAAACACAGACTCCGTGGAGTCTCGACTCCACAAATCGTGAAGCATGTACGAATCTACCGCAGAGACGCGGTAGACTTGGCCTCATGCAAGGAGCACCGATCCCAGTCATGGCTCTCATCGTCCGCGCGGTTGAGAAGGGGCCGGCGCATGTCTTCAATTGAACGGATGGCAATCGGTGTCTTCGGAACCTGCATGAATGGGTCTTTGTTAAATCTGTACCGATCAGGAGAACACAAATCCCCACTTGCTGCCCGGAGATCATAAGAGGACGCCAAGCTGGGAGCAACGGATGCAGTGATGACACCCATATGCTGACTGTCAGGGCGGGAAAGCCGACTGCCCATCCGTGCAGGCATGGTCGCGGTTGATGGAGTCGACGGGATACTCAGGGACTCATCATGCATGACGGCTTGCTGGACTCTGTTGCGGAGGGCAGGGTGGATTTGGCTTGCTGCTTGGATGTTATTCTCAATGTTCTGAAGGATATTGCGGGGGATAGGTGGAGGGGGAGTGACCGAACGCGAACTGGCGTTGTCCGAGGGTCGTCCGTCTCTGGAGCGACGAGGAAGCCAAGAGAGCTTGCTCGAGCCGTTTTCTGGGTCCTCGTTCTTTGTGTCACGTCGACGGAAGCTGAAAATGTTCCACTTCTTTGATTCTTCGGTACCTCCAACCTTACTCTTTGAGTGCTCGGCACTGCCAACCCTCTCGATTTTGCTTCGGGATTCTGGACTGTTAGAGTCAACTTTCGAAAGGCCCTTTTTCATAGAAAGGCTGCGCGGGATCACGGAGCTGGTCTTGCTTTTCGCAGGGGGCATTTCTCGTTGGCGGGACGGGATGGCTGTCACGGAACGCGGCAGAGGAGAGATGCGCATTGGCGGGAGTGGAGATTCTGGCTGTTTGATTAACGGCTCAGTGCTTGTAGTGGTAGATTCACCAACGAATCGTTGAGCAAAACCGGGGTAAGGGAGTGATTTGGGTTGGTTTGCCTGCTTCTGGTGGAGTTCTGCGATTTCATTCTCCATCTGAACGATGTGCGCCTCTTGCTTTTTCATCAATTTAGCAGCTTTGTCAGAGCCGGCAGTCCACCTTTTAATCGCGTCTTCAGTTCTCTGGGTCAGATCCTGCATAGACAGAGCCACTTTATGAAGCTCGGCGTTCAAGTCCTCCCAACGTCTGTTGTCGACGAGGCTCGTGTGCTGATCTGCTCCCTCGTCAAGCTTACTTTCAACAGAGTGGAAGCGCTGCCCAGTTCCTTCCCCAAGTCTGCTTTCGACAGTGACCAAGCGCTGGTCCATCACTCCCATCTTGACTTCCATATCCAGCTTCAACTTCCTCATATTCTGAGAAATCTCGCGCTGGCGGGAATCAAATTGAGCATCCGTGCGTTGAAGATCTCTAACGTTGGTCACTTGATTGCTGAGCTGATCCTTGATCCACTGCGACAGCTCTTTCAGTTCACGAGTCAGACTGCTGATACCAGAGTCCGCTTTCTGCTGGATGGCCAGAATCATGTCAACAACCTCCTTGTTTTCAGCTGTGTCGAGGTCCTTCATTTCTGGCGTGGTCGGCTTGTCGAGCGACAGGTTGATCGTCTCAAGACGCTCCTCGAATCCGGGCATGAAGTTGAGCGGTGGATCTGAGGGTGGTGTGGTCTGTCGATACGGAGTTGGTGCTGGACGCGTGTATTTGGCAGCTGGAGAAGGGGTTGAGGGAGAGAAGGTTTCCAGCCAGCCCCGTGGGAGATACTTGACCTTGCCCGAGCCCTCTGTGAGGTCACTCAATTTTGGGGGCGAGCCTCCAGTAGGAGCATAGTCAGGCGCGGGGTCCCAACGTGCCAGGAGGGAGCTCGTTGTGGCAGAAGCCTCAGACTCAGGGCGAGCCGCCAGAGGGCTCAGTCTAGGCCTTCCATAGGGAATTGGTATACTCCCCTTATTGGTAGTGGTTGGGACTTCCTTGGATTCCACGCGCTCAGCAATGGTCTTCACCTGTCCCCAGCTATCGACTCGCTGACCCGCCCCAAATCTCGAAGCAGTCATAGACCCCTGTGCGTGGGCGTACGGCCCCGAAGGAGCAAGCGGGATTCTGCTGGGGGCCGTGCTGTGCTGTGACGGAGACGCAGGAGACGTGGCAGGAATGGCAGAGGCTTTGATAGTCTGCCCAGGCTGAGGAGTGGGCCTGAAGTTGTGGACACTGGGTGTCAAGCCTGCCGTACCACTGCCAGTGGTGGAACGCGGGAGGTCGCTCTGCTTCTCGATAGAAGGCATGCGGGGGACGGGGGTAGGTGTGCTATCACCTTTGGCGGCTTCCTTGCGAAGGTCTTTGAAGCTAAACTTTGACTTGATAGCTTCAAGACGGGTCGGTTTCTTCCCGTCTGCCGATGTGACCAGCTCAGCTGCGGCCTTTGCTCGTGCTGCATCTGGCACCGAACGCTTCTTCAGCAGGCGGGGATGAGAAGAGGGCCGCGGAATGTCCACACCCTGTGAGGACTTCTCATCACCGGCATGCTCGCCCCGGACACGCGGCTTTGGCATGGGCAGTGCCAGTTCCCCATCGTAGTCAAGACCAGAATACTTTCTGGTCATGCCCGGAGTAGACTGTTCCTGGGGACTTGCGGGGTTCAAAGTCCCTAGATAAGAAGTCATTGTTAGTCATCTCTTCGTTGATAATACAGCGGAACTTTGTTCACATCTGGGAAGAAGTGCGGCGGGCGTATATATCAGTTGGAAAACATACCGGAACTCTTGCGGGGCAGTCTGCTCAAGCCCTCGCCGCGCTCCCACATCATAAAAAACGCGTTACTGCGTTGATACGATGGGCTAGATTGGTCGGGGTCGACCGGAGACAGAGCACCCGCGGGCAAAACGTCACCAGAGCCCACTTCATCAGCACCAGGCGGGCCGGCCTGATGGGCATCGAGCTGCGAAGCCGCAACTCTCGAACCAGGCTTCTTCATCTTCGGGGGTCACCTTTGTCATTCATCATGAAACAGAGCTCAAGATTGTGAGGTGTGGAAACGATGAAAAATCAGGACGGAGGTGAAACGTAAAACGCGTACGGATGGAAAAGGAAAACGGGGCAGAAGAGGAAATGGCTGAAGGGAAGTTGGGAGGCAACGCGGAGGTAAACAATAGCAAGATGGCAACTTCCGCATATGGACGCGGTCATATACAAGCCACGCTTTAAGGAGGAACACAAGTTAAACTAGTCATATCCATTCATTAGGTTCATAATAAAAAGCCTCGTTAGATACACACTGGCGACAAGCCCTATCTCGAAGACTGAATCTTTCTCGAGTATCGACTTTGTCCAGCCAACATGAGAGACAAAAGAAATTCATCATAAAAAACACACACAACGCGGACAAAGTAGTAGTCTCCCTCGACGAAGAGACCACCAGGCACAACAAAATCCGAGATAGACAACAAGGAAAATCGTAATCAATACAGGGGAATCAATAGTGGAGATAAAAAATCGAAACATTCTGACAACTTTTGTCAAAGTCAAACACGATGAATCGGCCTCGTTAGTAACCAATGCTAGCAAGCACCGGCCTTAAAACAGGCCACTGGACAAGAGGATTGCAAGAATAGGCACCGCAGCAATGGTAGTCCAAAACATGGTCCTGATCAAAGCAACGTTAGTAGACTGCATCATGTTGAAGAGAGATCACGCCAAGGAAACCCCGGAATAGCCTCTCCCCCCAGGTGCAGAATGCATAGACGAGAGCAAATATATGGAGTGATAAAGGCTCTCGTCAATTCCAGCACAACCTTATTTGGCAGACTTGCCACGGCGGCGGAAGGGGGAGAAGATAGTGCCAAAGAAGCCGACAAAGACAGTGCGAAGGAACGCCTTGAGCCAGTTGTCCGACGCACTATTCAGAGAAACAGCTGTCACTGACCGGTTCTGGCTCACGGGACGAGCATCTTCCTCATTGGCATTGCTAGTCGCAGCAGTCTCGGGAGTGAGGTCAACAGCCTTCTGGCTAGACTCAGCGGTGGGCTGGGCTTCGTTCTCGACACGAGCCTGCTTGTCGGCATTGGTGGTGGTGATTTGCTCAGCAGTGGCAGTGGTCAACTGATCCGTGGATGGCTGGTTGAGTTTGCGGAGCAGGGCTTCGCGATCGCCTGCGAGGGCTGTAAGAACCGGATCAGCTTCGAAGGACGGCACGGACACATTGTGCGAGGTAGAGAATGGCGTCGGCTTACTGTCTTCGGTCGGTTGTTCCGCGGGGGGCTTGCTATCGGTCTTGTCGTCGGAAGGAGCTTCGTTGGTGGCGGTGACAGTCGATTCAGTAGACTTAGCCGCGGGTTCCTTGTGCAGAACAGACGACACACCGACTGCAGCGACACCGATGGCAGCAACAGCCGCACCAGCGCCGAGAATTTCGGGGGTCAAAATGCTGTCCTTAGCAGCTTCCTCGGGCTTCTCTTCTTGAGGAGCAGGGGTCTCGGCCGCTGGGTCCTCAGTCTGAACAGGAGTAGAGGGAACCTCCTCGGTTACGGCAGGCTGCTCAGAAGCCTCGTCCTGCTTGTTCTCAGGCTCGAGTTCCTTCGCAGTCTCCTCGGCAACGGGAGCCTCTTCTTTGACAACTGGGGTCTCCTCAACCTGGGAAGGCTCCTCAGTCTGAGCAGGCTCAGCAGGGGCAGACTCCTCAGAAACGGGAACGGGTGCCTCTACGGCAGGCTCGGCAACAGTCTCAACAGCCTCAGTGGTGATAGGAGCCTCAGACTCGGCAACCGGCTCTGCCAGTTCGCGAGTAGTGACATCCTCCGCCACTGCGGCATCAACAGGAGCAGCCTCGGTGGTGGACTCAGCAGCTGGAACTTCCTCAGTAGTAGGCTCCCCAGTGGTAATAGACTCCTCCGCAACAACAACGGGCTCCTCAGTGGCTACAACAGGGGCAGATTCCTCGGTAGTAGCGGGTGTAGGAGTCGCCTCTTCAACAACGACAGGACTCTGCTCAGCGATAGGTTCTTCAACAGCAGGAGCAACAGCTTCGGCGTTAACTTCCTTCTCTTGGATAGGCTCAGAAACCGACTCCTCGACGGCCGCAGCCACAGGCTCCTCAGCGACGGCCTCGGCAGCCTGCTCCTCGGCGACGGGCTCAACAGCCTTCTCCTCAGCGACGGCCTCAGCAGCCTGCTCCTCGACGGCGGGCTCAATAGCGTTCGCTTCGACGGGCTCGGAAACCTTGTCCTCGACAGTAGGCTCAGCGACGGGCTCAGCGACAGGCTCAGCGACGGGCTCAGCGACGGGCTCAGCGACGGGCTCAGCGACGGGCTCAGCGACGGGCTCAGCGACGGGCTCAGCGACGGGCTCAGCGACGGGCTCAGCGACGGGCTCAGCGACGGGCTCAGCGACGGGCTCGGCAACGGGCTCAGCGACGGGCTCAGCGACGGGCTCGGCAACGGGCTCAGCGACGGGCTCAGCGACGGGCTCAGCGACGGGCTCAGCGACGGGCTCGGCAACGGGCTCAGCGACGGGCTCAGCGACGGGCTCAGCGACGGGCTCGGCAACGGGCTCAGCGACGGGCTCAGCGACGGGCTCAGCGACAGGCTCAGCAGCCTTCTCGGCTAGTTCAACGGGAGCAGGTGAGGCTTGCTCGGCCGATTCGGCAGTCTCAATCTCAGCGACAGGCTCCTCGGCAACCTTGCTAGCCTCGTCGGCGGGGGTAGAATCCACGACGACAGACTCGCTAGCAGGAACCTCAGTGACAGCGGGAGTCTCGACAACAGGTTCAGCCTCAGCGAAAGGTTCCTCAACCTTCTGCTCCTCGACAACGGGGGCCTCGGGCTCCTGAACAGGGGTCTCCTCAGCAGCAACGGGTTCGGCAGCAGCAATCTCAGCTTCGGCCACCTTCTCCTCAGCGGGCTCAGGCACAGTCTCCTTCACCGGCTCCTCGACCGCCTTCTCAGCAGTCTCGACGGGAGCCTCGACGGGAGCCTCGACGGGAACTTCAGCGACAATCTCCTGAGCATGCTCCTCAGCGGGAGTCTCGTCGACAGTGGTGGCTTCAACGGCAGGCTCGACGGGAGCAGCGGGGACGACCTCCTCGGCAGGCTCCTCAGGGGCTTCGTCAACGGCGACGTCCTTAGCAGATTCCTCGGTCTCTGGTTCGACCTTAGATTCTTCCTGGACGGGCTCCTCAACCTTAGCTTCCTCAACGGGGACTTCCTCGCTCTTGGATGCCTCGGTAGCCTCCTCGGGAATGGCGGTCTCGACAGACTCAGCGACGGTGGCTTCTTCAGTAGCTGTGGGCTCGATGGTCTCGGCCTCGGGAGCGGGAGTTTCTTCGGTCTTGGTAGACTCTTCCGTAGTGGCAGGCTCAGTAGCTGAAGGCACAACAACTGGTTCTTCGACCTTGGATTCTTCCTTGGCCTCCTCGACGGGGGCAGCCTGCTCGACGACGGGTTCTTCAACCACAGGTTGCTCAACAGCAGCGGCCTCGGCGACAGGAGCCTCCTCCACCTTCTCATCAGCAGCGGGAACTTCAGTTGATTCCTCAGCGGCTTCGGGGACGACCTCAGCGACTGGCTCCTGGACTGCGGGCTCCTCTACGGCAGCGGTTTCGGTGGTAGTAGATTCCTCTACCTTCTCCGTCTCAGCCGCCTGTTCCACGATGGGAGTTTCAATTGTCTCCTGGGTAGGTTCAGGGGCCTTTTCCTCAGCGGTTTCCGTAGGTGTAGGTGCCTCAGCAGTAGGCTCTTGAGCAGCTGACTCGGTAGTCGTAGGCTCTTCAACCTTCTCCTCAGCAGCGGGAGTTTCAGTCGACTCATTCACAGTCTCCGGGGCGGTCTCTTCGGCAATGGGTTGTTCGACAACGGCGGCCTCGACGGGGGTAGGCTCCTCGACATTCTCCTCCACAGCAGGAGCTTCAACGGTCTCCTGAGCGGGCTCTGAAGCTTCCTCCGGGGCAGTCTCTTCGGTAGCAGGCTGCTCAGCAACGGGTTCCTCAACGGTGGCGGGTTCTTCAACCTTCTCCTCAGCAGCTGGAACTTCCTTAGAGGTAGTCTCCTCCACAGCGGGTTGCTCCACAGCGACGGTCTCAGCTGCAGCGGGCTCTTCCACCTTCTCCTCGGTGATAGGGGTTTCAGTGGATTCCTCAACAACCTCAGAGGCCTCCAGGGCGGTCTCCTCGACAGTAGACTGCTCAACAACGGCGGTGTCAACAGGAGTAGGCTCCTCCACCTTTGCTGCTTCGACCTGCTCCTCGGCGGCGGGGGCTTGAGTTACCTCTTCGGTAGCCTCGGTAGCGGTCTCTTCAACAACGGGCTGTTCGACGACGGCAGGCTCGGTGGGAGTGGGCTCTTCAACCTTCTCCTCGGCGACGGGAGCTTCGATCGACTCTTGAGCAGCCTCAGAAGCCAGCTCGGGGGTAGTCTCGTCGGCAGTAGGTTGCTCAACCACGGTGGTTTCGGCGGGGGTGGGCTCTTCAGCCTTCTCCTCAGCAGCAGGAGCTTCCTCGGGAACGGTCTCCTTAGCCTTGGGCTCCTCAACGACGGTGGTCTCGGCGGGAATAGGCTCTTCAGCCTTCTCCTCAGTAGCGGTGGTATCGGTCGACTCTTGAACAGGCTCGGGAGCCTCCTCGGTGATAGTCTCCTTAGCGCTGGGCTCCTCAACGACGGCAGTAGGCTCTTCGACCTTATCCTCAGTCGCGGGGGCGTCAGTCGAAGCCTCAACGGTCTCAGAAGGCACCTCGGGAGTGGTTTCTTCAGCAGAAGGCTGCTCAGTAACGGGCTCCTCGACGGTGGCAGGCTCTTCAACCTTCTCCTCAACGGCGGGAGCTTCCTCGGGAACGGTCTCTTCGGTAGTAGGTTGCTCAACCACAGCGGTTTCGGTGGGGGTAGGCTCTTCAGCAGTGGGCTGCTCAGCAACCGGCTCCTCGACCTTATCCTCAGTCGCGGGGGCGTCAGTCGAAGCCTCAACGGTCTCAGAAGGCACCTCGGGAGTGGTTTCTTCAGCAGAAGGCTGCTCAGTAACGGGCTCCTCGACGGTGGTAGGCTCTTCAACCTTCTCCTCAGCAGCGGGAGCTTCCTCGGGAATGGTCTCTTCGGTAGTAGGTTGCTCAACAGTAGTCTCGGCGGGGGTAGACTCCTCGACCTTCTCCTCGGTGGTAGAAACCTCAGCAGATTCCTTTGCAGCAGGCTTTTCCTCAGAGACCTCCTTAGGCGCCTCAACAGCCTCTGCCTTGGCGGATTCCTCGACAACGGCTTCCTTAGCCGGCTCCTCAACGGTTTCTTCAGTGGGAATCTCCTCGGTGACCTCTGGGATCACCTCTTCCACCTTTGACTCTTCGGTGGTGGTCTGAGTAGCGGGCTCCTCCGTGGCGGTCTCGACAGTCTCTGGGACAGCCTCCACTTTCTCTTCGGCAGTAGACTCGGGCTCTTCCTCGACAGGCTCAGCAGCCTTGGGCTCCTCTGCGACAGGCTCGGGTGTAGATTCTTCGGTAGCGGCCGGTGCGGGGGCAGCCTCCTCGACTGAAGGAGTTTCGGGGGGGGTCTCCTTCTCAGAGACATCAGCAGAAACAGAGCTGATGCTCTCTAGCTTCTTCTGCTGCTTCTTCTTGTTCTTCTTGGCCTTCTTCTTTTGTGCCGCAGTCAAAGGGACTTCCGGAGTCTGAGCAGATGTAGTTGTAGAGTCGGCAGTCTCAGCGGACTCGCCATTGGTAGCGGACTTCTCATCGAGGGCGATTGGGGTGGCCGCGAGGACGGGCTCCACCGAGACAGGGTCCTTGGGCAGATGCTCCTCCGACACTGCCGGAACGTTAGTCACATTGTCCGAACCGCCGTGAAAATTTTTTGGAGAACTCAGCACTTACCACTCTGAGTCGCCGCAGTCGCCATGGTTGTAGGTCGTTAAATCGTAACGGTCGTGAAATTAATGAGGGGAATCAAAGAACAATGGTATAAACAGATTCGCAATTTGGCCAGCAAAGTAGACGCAGGTAGAGGACGAGCTGTACAGATGATGCTCTCAGAGCTGGTGAGTGAAGGGATTTTTGGAGAGGAGGATGAGTGGTGATAGAGAGGTTTCGAGGGGGAGTTAAGGTAGTTGTAACAGGGTATGATTAGAGAAGATGAAGAAGAGAGGAAGAGGGAGGGGAAGAAAAAAAAGGCAGAAGCTAGGGCCACATGGAAATAACAACAATGACACCCGCTCGTACGGAACTATGGCTATGACTACCACGGACACCCGAGCCGGAGTACCTTACGAGAATGGAGTTACTGATAGGACTAGGGAGCTAGAACAAAGTAAAATAATAATAATAATAATAATCTACAAAGCAAAAAAAAAGGAAGGGACCAGATAACAACCTCATATGCCCAACCCTTAAGGCCAGCACAGAGTACTCTGTACCTTTGTCCAATTCGTCCTCTGGGACTCTGTACTCTGTACCTCCTCACACGAGTATTTCTGTACAACAGCATATGATTGACAACGAGAAAAAAAAACAGAGCAGACCGAATGATTGGTGGGGCCAGTTGTCACAGTGACCAGCTCGTGCTAGCCTCCAATGGCCATTTATTTAGTCTTGTTAGCTCTGTTAGTCTTTTTAGTCCTGCTCCCGTTGGGCCAGCAGTGGTTAGGTGTGAACGAGAAAACCTTTCAGATGCCCAATGGCCGCTGGGCAGTTGGGCCCACCGAACGGATGTCCAACATGCGGTGAAGCTGCCTGCCGCCGAGGTTCCCTTGGTTTCTGCTTCTTTGACCGTTCAGGTCCTTGAATTGAGTGATTTGACGAAGTTTAGTCAAGTGCAGGTGTTCCCCGGGCATCCAATGGACAATGGATCCAGTCGCAATGCATGGCCGATCCTCTTGTTTAGGCTTTTTTTTGCCCTTCGTTCTGATATTTTGGAGGGGGGTCACCAAAAGCACAGCACGTCTTCAAAAGCAACTAGTAGCTCCTGCGGGACCCCTGGGGACTTTCTCGGAGTCAAAGGACCGGGGATGGTGTGCGACGGAACTGGTGGTGCTTCCCTGTGGTCCTCTGGTAATCAAGTACTTCTTTGAATGATCCAGCGAGAGCATAGACTGCTCAAAGTACAACTGTATCCTCTTGTCCCGGTCGCACGACCATCTCCCGACCAAACCCGCAATATCGTCATGGCCGAGGAAAGAAAAAAAAATCTGGAGGCCCACCGTAAAAGGGCGCTAGTGACTAGCGGATGTAGACCGCAGCAGTAGCTAATCAGGGGCCAATAGGCAGTCTCCGTGCAGGGGTTCTCCTCTCCACCTGTCAACTGATCACCTGCGAGCGCCAGGATGGGGCGGCATGGCCAAAACAATAGGAACTGTATCGGAGTCAGAGACTTCGAAGGAATTCGTATCTCCAACATTGGGAGTATGGAGCATGGAGTTGCAAACGTGGTTCAGGTTCAGGTTCGCATTCAGGGACCAAAAGTTTGGAGCCAAAAGAGTTTCAACGTCCCTATTCAAGCGAGTCAGTCCCATGGAACCTGACCGGGCCGATTGGATGGTATGACATATTGGGGATCCTTCCCACTGCCCAAGAATCGAGTTTCAGATAGAGTCAGCAAGAGGTAGAAACAAGAATTGGAGAAAAAGAAACTGCAAGAAATACTTCGAAAGCAATGACATGCACAAAATACCCTGATGTCGAGAAGAAAGTGGCTGCACGGAATTGTAGGTCACGTGATCATGGTTGATGCCCGACAGAAGAGGCATTTCCCGAACGGAGTCGAACAACTGGCAACGCCAACAATGACTCATTCTCAAATTGATTAACTATCCTTCTTTTCATGATGAGCTGTTCAGGGTGATACTATTGGCTCGGGATGGTTGTTAGAATGAATCATTCCGGTCTGCCCAATCTGGCTTGTACAACACAGCGATGCCACGAGGCACCGCTTGTTCATTCGAACAGCAGGATCAGGGAGATGATGCCCAGTCATCGATATAGAAGACGCTTACAGACAGCGGCCCTTGCATACAATGAACAGCCACGAACAAGCCCGTCATTCTTCTGGCCTAGTATACAGTGGAATTGTTCCCGATGCGTCGACCCACTAGACCGCCTCGCATGCCCAAGCTAGAATTCATGCCCATCATATACAACTTGCATCGTATTTTTGAACCAATTATCAACAATGAAATCATCAACAGTAGTTGGGATAAATGTCAATCTAACTCTGATCCCCTAACAGTTCTCAATCTGGACAGCCTCCGACTGAGTACTACCCGAGCTCTGGATAGCTTCGACTAGAGCATAGTTACTAGACGTCTGAAGTCGAATCTCCGTCTCAAACCCATTGTATACTGCAGTTCTCGCTTTTTGCAGCTTGTTCTTCTCAGCTCCAAGGTAAACTTCCCAGGTATGCACATCGGTCGCTCCATTCCAACTGGCATATACCCGTACTTGGTCAACGCCAGCGCTGGGCTTCGTAGTGCAAGCATAAACACTCGGCTTTGTAGTCGGCTTTCCATCCCAAACAGCACGGAAAGCACGGTATGACATCATGATATTGTCGTAGCCAAATCGTGCCCGCATCACCACGCCTCCTACCCCGTCGTATTCCTCTAGCTTGGGGACGGAGCCGTGGCCCAGGAATACATGCCCGTTGGTGAGGTTCTGATAGCTGCCCTGGCTAACAGCGTAGACTGGCTCATCCGCATCCCATAGACGGCGATTCAGACTTGCGGTTTTCGAATCGAGATTCAAGTCGACAATCAGACCAGTGGTGGTTGCCGTCCCCTTTGAAAAGGGTGCGTTATCATTATTATGCATGCGGAGTGTAATTGTATTGTTTGTCTGCGATTCAACCCTAACGTCATGCTGGAAGCAAAACGTTGCATCTAGGGCCAAGTTAAAGTCACCGCCAGTTCGCCCCTGTGGAGTCTATTAGATAATGAGGGGCTACCAGTAAAGAACGGACTTACATTGAGAGTCCACTTGATATTTCCTTTGGAATCAATAGCATAGATATTGCAGTATCCATGCGACGAAAGAATATACTCGTCTCCATATCTCATGACCGAGTTGAGATGCGCAAAGTCCCAGGGATTGGTCTGGTTGTTTCCGGTTCCATAAAGAGGCGTTGCCGAGTCTGTCAGATTCAAATGGTCCAACGCGCTCCAACTGAAAAGAACCTCGTTGCTTGCAATGTCGATTTCATAAAACTGGCTATCATGAACCCAGCCATTCTTCGGTCCACCAAGAGCCTGTAAATCGGCCGTTGTCACGTTAAATGCAGTCACCAACACCGAGCTTCGATCTGTGACCGCGTCCTCGTGAACATCAATATAAGAGGGGAATTGAGGCCCGAGAGCAGATTTGAAATTCAAGTTGCCACCCGATAGCGTGACGCGATGAATTTCATTATATGTCTGATTCAGGAAGTGGATTGTCCCGTACCCGAAACCCAGCATACTGACAGTACCGTTCCAGTATGTCAAGACGGATTCGCCGTTCAGCATCTGAGGCTGAAATCCAGTGATATTTCCCGGCGGACCTTGCCAGACGAGCTCGCCATCATCTGTATAGATTGCAGGAAACCCATGATGACTGAGCATGTCTGTGGGAGATAGGAAGATGTAGCCTTGCTGGGTCTTGCCATTCTTTGTTACGTTCATCACTGGAGACTGGAGTGGAGAGCTCTTGAAGAGCTGAACAGGCCATTGTTGAGAAGTGGAGGTAGCCGCAGATGCGAGGGCCACCACAGACAAATACACAAGAATGTACAAAGACAACTCCTTCATATTCAGTGGTATTATCCGAACTTTTCAGGATTTGTCTGCAGGAAGTAGAACGATAGTTTCAGAAGAAAGGTCGAAGGTCATAATGCGAAAATCCCAACGATGGCCGCTCTTTTATGATCATCCCCCCCCCCTAGCATCTCGACAATTATTGTATCTTAAGGAGGTTTCTTTGTTTTCGTCGAAATTAGCTTCGCGTCACATTCATCAAAGAACTTGACACTTCCGTTTTCGGAAAAGCTAATTTCACAAGTACCAGGTAGAAGCACGGCATTCTATACGTCAGAATTTCCCACCCTTGGGACTATGTAAAGCCACAGCTCAAATTGATCCAATTATAACTTGTAGCTGACCAAACTCTTCTTCAAGCAGTCTCGTGCATTCCTAGAATATCCGTGCAGGTTTGGGTTAATTCTGGGGTTGGAATGCGGGAACTCGGGTTCCCGTGGCGCATTCTTTGTTTGTTCGGATATCCCATGGTCCTCTTCGCTGGAGACTCTGAACCTTAGCACCGGAGACTTTAATACCACGATTTCTTTCTTTATTCCCAGTGAGTTCTCCGTACTTGCACTCAGCCACAATTGGATGCTGTAGCTCCCAAGGGCATTCTGACAGGGATCGTCGTTTGAAGAGCTTGGTATGTGGGGCAGAACTATACATTCAGGCTGCATAAGCAAGGTTGGTTTTGTCGGGAAAAATAGCCTTGCTTTATGATCTCTCTTTATGAGGCTGTCAGTATGCTTTGCCCGATCTTGGACAAACAGTAATGTTTCAGTAGTTCTCGAGTGAGACAAATGCCCATCATCTTCGGTCCTTGTGACCTTACAACCTAAGCCTCATGCTAGAAATGGCGCCGTGATCATCTTAAAAGATTATTCAACGTTGACAGGACCGGCCAAGGAATTATAAAACACTGCCCTAAACACTACGTAGATTACCGGAGATATTGATAACCCAATCACTATGCCGCACAACTTAGTGATATCCAGACGAAGCTAAGCGAAACCAATACCTCGCGTATTCTAAGTTAGCAAGTTGTTCAGGAAGCTCGAGTGAAAGTGTCTTGTTTCAAGAATCTATCCTAAGGTTCCCTACTTATACCGAGCACAGCATCGAGTTATCTTGAGAACTTGATGTTTAGGCGATCTTCAACTTCATATCTAGGGGTAGCTTCAATTCTTATTTAGGGAAACTCAAAAAAGAAAACAACTAGTTTTCTCATAATGAATCTGTCAAGTTCGAATGTTTGCTTCATTGGCGTGTCAGAAGTGTAGGTCAGTGTCGTGCCTTCTCATCGTGAACATCCCGACAAGTTTGATACTCCAAAGTTGCAACCAACAGAACGCGTAAACAACACCACTCGCGTCTTCTCAAACATCGTTTGTTTCTCTTCATCTTCAGTTTCTCATCTTCCCTTTCTTCCTGTCCTACCCCGATCCTTATCTTGACGCCACGCGTACACGTCTGCCTCTTCTCTCATGCCAAAGCGCCTCCTTTCCTCGCAAGCCATCTAGGTTCGTGACCTTTTATCGTAGTCTGGCTGAGGTATTCTTCTCATAATGATTTTGACTTATATAGGCAAAATTAAGATGGAGTCCGAGGAACTCGATATTCTCGACCCTGACCAGCTCCTTGGTCTAATCGAAGCCCTGAAAACAAACGACCCCCAGAAAAAGAAGGCCTTCCCAACTGTCTTCTACACTGGTGGGCACTGGGCTGGTCGTGTTCGACCCCAATACTTCGAGTTTGCGCTCATGACCGACTTAAAGTCCGTTCGTTATGTGTCTGACGAAGTTCTCGATAAGCTGATCCCTGAATGGAGAGAATACATGAACGGAAAGTCCTTTCCCTCAAACGCAAAAGCCCATGAGGCCTCTTTCCGTGCCTGGTGCGTCCGTGAGCGTGCGCAATATGAGGCTAATGGAGTGCCTTTTCCTCGGTCTTCAAGCAAGCGGCGCGCTACGGCTACTGCTGCTGCCCTTGGTGCTAGAACAACTCAGGGAAGCGCACAGCCTTCCGCCACGATGGGGCAACGGGGTCAAGCTATGAATGTTAGAAGTATCAGTGCTCCGGCCATAAACGCTCAAGCCAGAAACACTCCAGTCAGGAACGCCCCAGCCGTGAACGCTCCAATCACGAACGCTTCAGCCAGAAATCTTCCATCTATGAATGCTCTTGCCACGAACGCTCCAGCTATGATCGCTCCACTCATGAACGCTCCAGCCATGAACGCCCCCGCTAGAAACACTCTACCCAGAAACGCCCCAGTCAGGAATACCGTGACCGCCAATGTTCAAGATCTACAAGCTGCCGCAATCAGATTAGAGCACCTTGGCAGAAACACTCATCAATTCGCCGACATGCTACGCCAGCATGGCCAGCGGGAACTCCGTGTCGCCGAATTGTTGCTACAAGCCAGTCGCGCACGTCAGGAGCAACCTCCTAAAGAATAGTCACCCTGCTTTAGCCTTGCCTCAGTCAATCTTCCTTACGCCGGCTATCTCAAATCAACCTCGATTCATGCAGGCAGAAAGTATCAGTGCGTTTCTCAGGCAGTCATTCATCATGGAATGTTCAAAGTCGTACCAGGACACTAATAGCATCAATGTAAAATTCCATACCCAGCTTCTTGATCGCCGGCGCAGCGTAACTTATTGACATGAGGATGTTCCAACCCTAAGGCAGAGTAAGCACTCACTCAGCATTTATTTTCAGATATTATATTCAAGATCGAAGATGTGTAAGTTGAAATATGTTGAGTGATTTGAGCCCTTGACGGCACCATAGTAATACGAGCATTTTTTTTCTCTAATCTAGCTTGTCAGAAACAATAATCTTTCGGGACCTTATGAACATGCCTTATATAAGATATCACCTAGGATCTTTATCTTATCATGAGAATAGAGGCATATCAAAATCCTTTGATATGGGAAGATAGATCATTTTCATGGGAAATGCCTTCAAAATAGCTATCCATACCCTTTGTTACTTCTCCTGAAAAGGCAATCGCAAACGCTTGAGGGGGTGGAATCACGCATTTATCATAAATAAAAGGGACTGTGGAGTGTTTTGTATCCTTATACCCCACGTACTTGACTCTTCAGTCAACCGTATATGACGAAGCGAAAAAAGGAGTATTATAAATGCCACGTCGACAAGGTGCCAAACCCTCAGACGCCAAGAGCTGTTGAGTTATCGTTTGCTCCATCCTCTATAGAACAGTTGTAAATTGGAAAGCAATGCCTTCTAAATACTCAAACGAGCAAGCTCCCTCTCACCACTTCGAAAGCCCCCTTTATGACGACCGTTTGGAAACCATCCGCCATTCGACTTCGGCCTTTTCCCAAGCCTCGTGCCAATGAAAACACCCCCGTTATACTTGATATTATCCTGCTCACTGCTCACTCACGCGGAGCCGAGTCTGGTATGCTCGAATATATTACCCCTATGATGGAGCACACAACACGTGATAAATTTGGAAGATGTCAATAACCCTCTTTCGGCAACTGGTCTCCCTACGATGCGAACACCTCATCTCGTCAGTATATCCGATGGTTAAGATAGCCTTTAGCTTCTAGCTTTCGCCCTGCAGATTTCAATTTTGGGGACGTCAGTACCTTCATTAGTTATCAGACTCAGAAGGAAGGAATGCAGTCTTGCTATCAAAATTACAATATTTTCAACGGCAGAGAAAGAGAATGAACCTTTCGCGCGTCACTTTTTGATTCCCTCAATTTCTTCCTCCATCACCCAAGGTTCACCAACTTGCTTTGAGGCTTCACCTCTTCAGGTGAAATCTCATGTCCTCGCTCTCTTCTTCCATCTTCCCACTGAATCTTCCTCTTTGTCTTTATCATCTATCTTCAACTTCATCTTCGTCCCCCAATACCGCAATTCTGAGACATATTTAAGAAATTGGGCAAGCCTCGGCTGCGATGGCTTTGAACTCCCAAGACACTGAATGAATGGCCTTGGTGATTGAAAGCTCCGCCAGCAGCAACCTGTGAACGAAACACACTTTTGAACACCCAGCAGCTATCCTGAACGATGAGGTGGACTACCCCATTTTCCACGAACGTTTAAAACACACGATTATCAAACTTCGTGATCATTATAACGTGTTAGTTTGGAAGTACATTCTAGGGAAATTGTCAGATGACCTTATTTTGCACTTTTTGGCGAAGCACACGCGAGTTCCTGTGAAGAAGGCGCTTTGTTGGTATGTCTAATGCAATCCACTTCCGCGTCGCTTAAATAACCCAATTTGTGAACGGCAGACATAAGTACTGTACTGATCTGAACGATTGCCATACCTCTATCTTTGGCCGGCCCTGGGGTTAGGCCGGTTGTGGCGGTTTCCGGTTTCCATCACCGGGTCCTAGCCATCTCGTACTCGTGGCTCTCGCACCGACGACATTCAAACAACAACTATTACTTTAGGAACTATCGGCAAATAGGAATGGGTGTTAAATACATAACTATTGCATTGATGTAGTACAAATACAGTATTCTATGATAATAAATGAATTTGATATCATAGATAAGATTCTCTTCCGCAAGTTGGTTATGCGGGTAGTTGCCAAAGAAACTCTAGATCCAAGTCAACACCGTCTAGCCTAGCCCAACTATCCCCTTCATTCGATCCAAATGGAACCATGGATGGCTCGAATGGTAGGGATAGCCAGTCATTAACATCAAAGTCAAGGGGCCCTTCTGGATCAAAGCCAGACAAGTTCGAAAATCCTTCGTGGTCATTGCTGAGAGTCTGGGTCATAGGCGGGTACAAGTCCAGCGTTTGTAAAGGCCTTTGAAGAAGACCGGACTCAACATTGGGGGCTTCAATTATTGGAATTGATGACATTAGACTTCTCCGTAGACGAGCCGCCTGTGTAGTCAGCAGAGCAGCATATCGTAACTTCATGTGGTTGTCATCCTCATTGTTATCCTGCAGAGACTCTATAGCTCGGTTGAGAATCTGCAGGGTTTCTTGCAATTTGCTGGTCCGTACACCCAAAGCAAGGGCTTTCATGAGGAATATTGAAAAGCTAATCATTCGGAAGAGCAATCTCATAGGGGAGAAGTATAAGGAGCCGGCTTTGCCGAGAGCTGCGATCTTTTCGAGTGTTTCGCAACAGCCATCGATTACTTCCTCAATGAAACCATACTCTCGAGCAGTCATGTTCAGCTTTCGTGCTCTCTCTATGAAAGAATGATCAATTGTGGACTCGGCATAGGTTGTTTTGGACAAAACTCGCTGCACAACGACCTGCATTCCGATGGAGTTGATGAGCACCCGGAGATGCTGATGTTCGATGAAAAGTATATCAGTGAAGGATGACCCAGGAACTGACCAATTAATAGACACTCGACGAAAAATAATTAACAAAGAAATTCTTACCAGCGATGCTCAGGTTCCGTTGCCGCCAATTTGCCAACAAGCTCTGTTTTTGTTCCAAAATGGAGAAAAATGCATCGGCGGTTCCAGTTGCCAGAGATGTGCTCATCAGGGGAAACAGAGTTTGCATAATGGACGAGGTCAATTTACTCAACTCTCTCCATGACTTCATGAAAGCCAGCCATTCGTTGCCCCTGTTGTCTAGTCGAAGCAATCCCGGATCGGGCGTCATGAGGCCAACATCCGAAGGCATCGGTGACGTGCATCCCAACCTGGATGACAATGCGTTGATAAATACAAAAAGAAGGCTTGGAAGACGTTGCCGACGCAGTTCGAGATGTTGAAGGTACATTTCAGCATCGAAGCCGACCAGGTCGCCGGGTTTCAACATCCGAGCATTAGGGTCAAAGGCACCTAGCTCATGGGCCAGTGCCAAAGCAAGACTCAAGACCATCCATGACATGTGTTCAAAACGTTTCGTTGGCTCCACAACATCTTGTTTCCATGTATCAGAGACAGGTATCTCTTCAACTGGCAAAGGAGGATCGCGTGCATCCAGATTCGTCATAATAAAATCAGAGTCCCAACCGTCCGTCTCTGGTGGAAACTGTAGGTGTCGAGGGAACCACTCCGACATTAATAGCAAGGCTTCTATGCTCCCAATATTTCGAGTCTTTGCTTTGGATATCTTCTCTTGGCCGAGAGTCAGCCGCATCAATAGATGTTGACAATGCTGCCACATGCGCTGATGAATGAAGAATGCGCGGGAACGACCGCCAACTCCAGGCAGTATATGATGCCGAGAAGATATCATGAGTATTGTACAGCATAGCATCGGTTCTTGTGTCACTAAATAAAATTGGTTTTTATGGGAGGCGAAAAAGTCCGTGAGGACTGGAGAAAGCGGGCTCATGTTCGTGAAGAACCTGTTCCGGTTAGAATGAAGCCAACCCAGAATCGTGTGCGGACTGACTTGTCAACCAATGTAATAGCTTCATGCGATGAGAACCATCCCATTTTCACAAAACGGCAAGCATTCCAGATGCGAAGTGCGTCGGTCTCGTTTAAGCTTCGAGGAATACTCAACGTTGAATCGGCTGTAGGCATTTCATTGTTCACACGGTTGATTCCTTCAAGGAGTGCTGCTTCATAAAGGATATTCATAGCATCATTATTGTTTGAAACAACTTTCTGCAGCATCGATGTAGGAAGACCACCTTGTTTAGTCTCGGCTTGTCGAGTGGCACCTTGGGACCTACAGAACTGTGTAAGTAGACAGATCTAAGATACGGAAAACGAGCAGCAAACCTTTCTTGGACACTCTCATCACCGATGAAAAGTTCCCTTGACTCATTTCCTGTATTCTTTGGCTCCCGCGACCAAGGTTTCTTCGTTGAAAAGGTGCAGTCGAGCCGCTTCTTGCTGCATCGGGCACATTTGCTGCCCTCGACGAGTTGACATTTTACCTTCCGCCGTGCACAAGGAATGCATGCTTTGTAAACCCTTTGGAATTCATGCTCTCGAAGCTCTCGACTTCGAGGAGGTCTTTTGTTCTCCGTCATGTCGAGTTGGCAAGGATGTGAGTTGCAAGAACGCGGATATTTTGGAAGCGGGGGTGCGGGTTTTACGAAATATCCGCGGTCGGCCGAGGTACTCAAATCAGCCACTCAGCAGTCTTTCAATCGCAGAGGAAGGTATGGGGATTGACCAATAGGTGTCTGATCTAGAGCTATTCCGGGGGTGGTATGAATCCTCGGACGGCAAGCATCCGACGAGCTTGGCGCTATGATGATGGTCACTGTCCATTCTATGGTAGCGGATATTTCGCCTCGTTTCCATTTTAATACACCATCGGGGCAGATGAATTTAAGTTTCCAGGAATATTACTGTAATTATAATCCTAGAGTCATTCTTGAATGCACCCTGGCATTTTCTACGCTTTAGTGGAGAATTTCCGAAGAAGATGGTGGGATTCGTACGTCTGCAGTTCAAACTAACAGCTATAAGCCTTCAGAACACGATTTCCCAACCTTCTTAATCAATGCCGCTATACTCGTGACTTGTCAAGCTTCAAGTCAGATAACGGAAGGCAGGGTTCTGGTCTCCACCATCGGTAACATCCACTCGGTCATGCTCGCTGACTTCTCCATATAATCGGTCCCGTTTGCGGTTTTCCAAAGTCAACGAGATGTGCAATCCCATAGCGAGGATAGCAATCAAGCCTGTAAAGACACAGCCGAGAGCACATCCTGTTGTATAGAACGGCGCATCCTTATTTGGAAAAACGGAGCTGCTGATCAAACTCGAACATTGTCCAAAGATAGCGAGCATGGCCATTCCTGCACCTTTCTTGCTCTCCCCTCCCTGGTTGTTCAAGAGCCATGTAATGTTAATCGACAATGCTGGGAATATCCCACACGTTGCAAGCCAGATACCCGTATACCGTGCCCCAGTCTTGGATTCATCCGTGACACAGGTCAGTATAATGTAACCAATTGTGCCTAGGACGGCGAAGAACGTAACCACGTAGCCACGGTTGCCCCAGCGGTCAGATACTATCGCAGCAACTATACAACAGAGAAAAGAAGCAAAGTAAGGTGGCGCCGAGAGACCCTGAGCGTTGACTGAAGTGTACCCCATAGTCTGAATGATTGTTGGCAGAAAATTGGACAGAGCTGAGAAGGAAAAGTTGCAGCAGAAATGGATCGTCATGTGAACATAGTTCTTGTAATCCTTCAAGCCACTAGTCACTTGCTTCCATTGCAATTTGTTCTTGGCCGTCCGATCAATTGTTTGCAGACGCTCCACGGCCTCAGTCTGTTCGGTCTCGTTCAGGAATTTTGCACTCCCTGGAGAATCGGGAAGGAAAAGGAAGACTATGACGGCAAATAAGACCGTTGGTGCACCCTCTGTGACTAGTTAGTACTGGATTCAGCGCAAGTAGAAAAGAAATCACTCGCCTATAATGAACAAGTACCGCCATGGTTCAAGAGAACCTTTGATCTGAGTGATACCGTACGCCAGAGCAGAGGCAAAGCAATTTGCGACAGGAGACATCCCTAGAAGCAGTGAAACTCTGAAGCCAAGCTCCTTCCTCTGGTAAAATAGGGAGAGGAAATAAGGCGCTCCACTGCCAAAGATGGATTCAAAGATACCCAGCAGACATCTACACACAAGAAGCTCTGTGAAATTGTTCACAGCACCGGTGCACATGGCCGCTGCACCCCAGCTGAATCTCATAACTCAGTAACTGATTGCGCTCACACACTGAGTCTCTTCGCACTTACCAGATACACAACAAGGCAACATAGATGTGTGCAGGGAAGATTTTCCAAAGGACCGTGGTCCATTCAAAAACAATGTAACAAATATAGAAGGAGTACAAGACCCAGGACCATTGATAATTACTCAAATGGAGGTCTTTCTCAAGGCCAGCGGTCTTTGCGTTGCCAATGTTGCCTGTGATACATCAATCAGTACGACACAGCATGGTTAGGGGTGGTTTTGCACTTACTCCTATCCAAATAAGACAAGACGTAGAGTGTACAGACAATAGGGAGGACCCTACGATCAAACTATCAGGGGTTAACATATAGACACCATTCAGTAAAAGGGTCAGATGCCAACCTTCTTTCGTATAAAGGATTGTCGTGCCTCGGGAACAGTGACTTGAAGCTCTGGTTTGGCAACAGCATCACCTTCAAAGTCATGACTGCTAGGAAGTTGCTCCACATCCATAGGCTTTGACATGGTGGCCTACTCAAAGATGAAGCCAGAAATTGCGTAAAAGAGGCAGTATTGGTCAGTCAATAAAGACTTCTTTGATACAACATAGATGGAGAGGGGGAATTTTGTCGGTACAAATAGTCTCCCAAATAGAGTTTGCACTGGACGAAAGCCCAGTCGCCAACGATCGAAGTAAACCTGGGGCCCCGTGGGGTGTCAAGGGTTCTCCGCGGGTCTTAGAACTACCGACATCCCCGCAGCTACACATCCGCACTTTCGATCTTTGCTCAAATATCAACTCGTCGATAGGCCATGTGGGTTCTTTTGATTTTCGGCCAGTTCTTGGGCCTTCGGGGTGGCGCGAGGGGGAAATTTCCGCGTCGGCTGTTGCCAATTATCCGCGATCGAATACCCGCAGGCGGAGATTCACAGCTTTGGTCAATTGTAGACTTGAAGCCGATATCGCAGGTAGCTTTACATTATAAAAGGCTATATAGCCCTTGAATTGTTAGAATAATCAACTCAAGCACATAATTCAGTCTGAGCATCTATCGAAATGTCAGCCAACACCGTTCCCTACCCTTTCCAGTTCGACTCTGCTGCCACTAGCGGGCCTCAGGATGGGACCACCACCAATGTCGATATCAGCATCAAGAATGTGCGCGGAAAGATTCCTTCTCTCCAGGCGGCGCGTCTACGCACAATGATGCTAGAAGCTCGCAATGACCCCACCAAGATTCTTGCCCACGCCTGCACCTATGACGGCCTGTCTTCACGTCTTGTGGAGGAAGCAGGCTTCCCAATGGTCTTCCTTGCTGGTTATGCCGTGGCTAGCTCCTACGGCCTGCCTGACACTGGGTATATTGCTATGGCTGAGATGTGTGACAAGATTCAGGAGGCGGTTCGTCAAGTCTCGGTTCCCGTCATGGCGGATGGAGACACTGGTTACGGCAGTCCGATGAATGTGAAGAGAACTGTTGAGAGCTTTGCTGCCGCAGGTGCTGCGGGTGTTATGATCGAGGATCAGCGCTGGCCAAAGAGTAAGTTTTGATTCCCATATGTCTAATGCTGCTGAGCTTCAAATTAATAACTGGCTTTAATAGGATGTGGACACACCAAGGGCAAGGACGTCGTTTCTCGAGAAGAGGCCTACGCCCGTATCCAGGCTGCCGTCGACGCTCGCAATGAAGGAAGAGATATTTTCATCCTTGCTCGGACAGATGCACTGATTTACGGCTGGGAGGAAGCTATGGCCCGAGCCAAGGAGTTCATGCGCATCGGCGTGGATGCCATCTTTGTCGAGGCTTTACCTGATCGAGAGGCGATGAAGCGCTGCGCTGAAGAGATCAGCTGCCCTGTCTTTGCCAATATCATCGAAGGAGGCAAGACTGAGAACCTGTCCGCGAAAGAACTTGCTGAGCTCGGGTACAGTGCTGTTGCATACCCCTGGACATTGGTTGCTGCTCACCTGAAGAGTGTTCGGGAGGCTTTAGACGGATTGAAGAGAAGTATGACTACTGGAGCGCCGCCGATGATTCTTACCTACGATGAGGTGTGTGAGGGTGTTGGTTTCAACAAGTATTGGGTATGTATCCCGGGATGCCCCTAAAGAAGTGGTTTGATGGGAACGCTAATACACGAAATGCAGGACCGAGAGGAGAAGTACAAGTTCAACTAGATTCACCCTAGCAGAGATGTTATAACAGCTATACAAATAGAATCATGTTCCTCTTGAATTATCTATTCTTTCTTGCGACTGTAGCTTTCAAGAGGACTCGAATATACTTGTTTTCACAGATAAAAGTAAGTAGAGAGAAATCGGTGGCGGTATATTATGGGGGTCGGGAGGTAGTACATACCTATTTGACTAATGAATGATGATATTTACGGCTCGATCTAGTCTAAATCTGATGGTTAGAACAACGTCAATTTAGGCAGCTTCGGCCCTTCCATGGTTGTTGCTGTATTGCCTAGCCGGACCCATGGTCGGAGCCCCAATAGTTTAGAGTCGTCATACCCTTTCAACCGATACTTAAACAGCTTGCGGAGATGGACCTTGCCACTTTCAAATTCTCTCTTCCCTCCTTACTTTACCTTTCAAAACATTCTCTGCATCGGGATTGTATTGTCAGCTCCAAGTCATCGTCAACCGTTGAGGCTCATTAGTCTTCCATTAACGAAGTAACAAAGACTGCTCCATAAAGATCGAGAAGATGGTCTCTACTACTCGCAGCCAGCATTTTTCTCGCCGTCGCACCTTACGAAGCTGGCAAAACTGGAAGCCATTTGTCTCTCTGCCAGTTGCTTTGCGCAAACATACACCCCAGAAGTCTCGTACGATACATCCGTTGCGTCAAAAGCACAAGAAGGCGCCCATCGAGGTAACCAGTCGACTGCCCTTCGAGATCTTAGAGAAAATTCTTTTTGATGTCGACCCAAGTACCATTTTGGTCCAGTGCCAACGGGTTTGCAAAACCTGGAACAAGACCATATCTCACTCCAATGCTATCCAACGGAGGCTTGGCTTCCAGCCACCACCCAGTTCGGAAGTTGTTCAGATCAACCCATTCAATAGACTTATTCACCGTTGTCTTCATATCGAATGGCATAGAGAAAGAGGAGGGGCTTGTGAGTGTTGGTGTATTAATCTTAACCTTACCACAGATTACGAGGACATCTTGTCACGGGTAGAGGCGAGTTGGCGGAGAATGTTGCTCGGGCGAATGAGTCCACTTCCATGAAGATGTAACTGCGAGGAAAGACTTTGCTTGGCAGCTATTCAACATGTCGGTCTGAGATCTGCTGTTCCAATATTTGTTCTCTGATTCGTTGCTCGGCTTCGGCTTGCCGGAGTTCATTTCCCCACTCAGACCCAGGGAAGTACGATTGCGCCCTTTAAACGACATGGAAGTATCTGGAAGAGACTGCAGAACCTTTTTATTATGTTGGTAGCCCCATTATTTGACAATTATTAGCTAGGAAATACTTAGCATTAATTTAAGGCCTTCTTTCATTCTAAAACAATTATCCTTGCTATCAGGCGTAATGGGTAGCACCGACCAACCCCCCGATCGCCAATTCGTCCTCCGTACCCATCGACCCGGCGATATAGGATGGATCATCCACAGACACGGCATCCTTTATAGCCAAGAATACGGCTGGGACGAGCGATTCGAGGCCCTCGTCGCCACCATAGCCGCAGACTTTATCAACCAATACGACCCCGAATCAGAGCGTTGCTGGATTGCAGAAAAAGACGGCAACCCACTCGGCTGCATCATGCTCGTCAAAGACCGATCGAGCCAAAATACAGCCAAACTTCGCCTACTACTGGTTGAACCAAGTGCTCGTGGCCTTGGTGTTGCTCGCGCTCTCGTGCGCCAGTGCAGAACATTTGCTAAGGAGGTCGGTTACGAGCGGATTGTGTTGTGGACGAATCAAGTGTTGACATCTGCGCGTCGACTTTATGCGTCGGAGGGATATCGATGTGTTCAAGAGGAGGAACATGAGTCGTTTGGGTTTAAACTTGTGGGAGAGTCTTGGGAGTTGAGTCTAAAAGCACCAGCGACATAGACATGCTTTGGCTTGGGTTTGTCAGTTCCACTACGAGATAACGTGAAAAAGGATCTACTTGCAGAATACTATGTAATCTTTTTTCCCGGGCAATTAATCTATTGTCATGCTATCTTATAGCCTTATGAGGCTCACTAGATACGTATGTACAACCCTCCCTTTCACCCTGGGGTATGTTGAAAATCAGCCCTCGCCATCGTCATATCCCTCTCCATGTGCAGTCTTCCAAAGCTGTAAAATGTTCCGAATCAGATGTTGGGGTAACGCGTGTGGTTCTCTTCGGGGGTGGTTGCTGGATTTTAAACCGGGGGGCGCGATGCTTTAGTCGTTTTGGGTCTGGAGTCACGACGTGTCCTGTTCATCATCTCCAGCTGTGGCGTCCTGCGTTCCCTCCTCGGCCATGGAATTCTCGTCCTCTGAGTTAATGCTTGACTTCTGAGCCATCTCGGAGTCGATAGCCCGCAACAGTCTCTCCACCTGCGGATTGTTGTAGTAGCTCTGGATCAATCTGCTTCCTCGAAGCAGGTCTTGGCGAACGCTTCCGGGGATATTTTCGTGGATGGTGAATGCGCGGCGGGTGGCTTGAGATACTCCCAAGGCCTCGGTTGCAGCCTTCATGAGCCTCTCCCGGGCCTGCTTTGCGTCATCGGAGTCAATTTCCGAGAAATCCAGCAGCAGCTTAAGAGTGCTGAAGTAGAGGAGGTTCACAAGCTGGAGATATTGGCTGAGTCCGAGCTCGTCCCGGTCCTCGGTCTCACTGAGAAGGGCCGTCAAGTAACCGTTAATCTCCAGGAGGAGATTTTTGGTGGCCTCGAGGTCTATGAGTAGCGGCATGGTGATCTGGTGGTCGACTAAGTGATGTAGATGGAGGTGGAAGTGCTTGCAAGAGTGAAAAGGAGTGGACGCCAGAGGAGGGGGAATAAATTTGGGTTTGTTTGTCTGGAGGGGGATACTAAATGGTATATCCCGCTCTTCTTTAGGCCCCTCCTGCAGTTTTGACTTTCTAGTGGTTTCCGGTAGTTACCACTTGCAGAGGATGAGTCGACGAGGGAGAGTCGCCCCTGCCATTCTAGAGTGAACTCGTACAATAGCTCCAATCTATAGTGATGATATATTATTATATTCCGGAAATATTCTAGGCGTCAGCGCATAGGAAGCAAATGGAGCGAGGGGAACGCAGTGTATTCAGCGACTATCGAGGGGTTTCCTCTAGGGGGGGGGGGTAGAGGAAAATGCTTGTAGTGTCAGAGATCGTCCTTTTATACAGAAAACGAAGGGCCATTGCTCTGGCAATTTCCAGTCGATGGCCCAGGTATATTTACTGCCTTTTAATAAGAATTTTCATGACGAACCTACATTTCTTAGCGTATACTGTCTTAGTAATTCAAGGAGTCTTGGCAATATCTCATCAATCATCACCCGAGAAGAGGTACCCGTATGTGTAAAGAGTAAACAAGGTCAATTGAAAGAAACTATATTGCAGATATCTATCATTTTATATAACAAAATCGACCGAAAAGGGGATTAATTGTGGTCAGTTACGTGGATTAAGTGAAGAGATCGGTATAGATTCCACGGATCAATCAGCGTCGTCGTCAGTCAAGTTAGCGCCATTCTAAAGATAGCGCTAACGCGATCGGGGAGATTTTTCCGCGGCCGGCCAATCACCGGGTGTATACCTACTCCGAGACCAAAGAGATTCTCTGGTACTTAAGATAATCTACAATATTGAATAATAAAGTACTTACTGTCAACGTAGTGTTTACATTGCCGGCCATGATTATCAGCTTCTGTTATGGTGAAGGCCCTCGAGTTAACCTCCTAGCATTATGCAGGGAGGGAAATGGCACTCGTTAACGACAGGTATGTTTCCTACATTTTTCCGCGCCAGCTTTCATCTTTTGCTACTCTCGGTTGCTTGTAAAAAATGTTTCATACAGATATGATAGATATTAAATCCGAAAAGCAGTAAATTAGATGCGTATGTTCTTCATGACGAAAGCAAATCGCAAATCTGCTCATGGCAGATGCAGTCCTAATAAGCAAGTCCAAATTTCATCTCCATAAATATCGAAAAGAAAGAAAAACCTCCATATGTAAATATCAAAAAAGAGAAATAAAGAAGGAAAAGGAAAAGAAAAAGAAGTATGTCCAGTCACCCAGCTCCGTATGGCTGGCGTGTTGCAATCGCGAATGTCATATCTCTCTCTTTCTGAAAATGTCGCAGGTCGTATTTATGTTCGAAATCAGGTCAGGTTGAGAAATTCGTCTGGATCCCTCAGCTGCAACAAAGCCGGATTGATAGTCGCAACCTCTTCACGCCCCCTGCGTCTACAACCCTGAGACTGGCCATAAAACTTCACCAGAGGGCTTCCACCGAGCAGCACGGTAGGTGTCGAGGAAAAATCGACCGTCTCGGGTGCACGTCGCAGTTCAACGGCGTCCGTGTGCAGGGGATCCTCGCCAACAAAGTGTTGCGTATAATCGGTTGTATATGGCGTAGCGTCAGGGTCATTCCGGTAGAGGGCATCCATGGGCAGGCGAAGGGGGTCGAAGACGGGATCGTTCAGGAGTAACTCGAGTACTGCGGCTTGCTTGCTGGACTGCTCGCGGAATCCTTGCAGCCAAATTTGGTAGAGGTACGCCTGGTGACGGTACATGGCAGACAGCTGCTTGGACTCCCACTCAACGTCCCAGAGCTTCTTGCACACATCGTACAGACCGGTTGGGTCGATCTTCTCCAGTTGGATCCGAAGTGTGGCTGTTCTTTTGGTCATGAGTTCGGACATTCGGCAGTAGTCCTGCAGCTCGCCGTGGGTCGTGTCTCCGAAGTTGCGCACCATTTGGGAAATACCGAGGCTCAGTCTTTCCTGCATTTCCCGGATTGTCTTCAGCTCGTACTGCAGCTTAGTTGGCATCTCCGGGGGCCCTGGGGGGCTAGAGATGTTGGTAGTGCTGGCAGTGCTGGTCATGGTGGCTGCTCGTTTCTGTATCCTTGTGTAGAGAGTGAGAAGGCAGACTCTAAGAATAATTCGAGGTTGAAAGAGGGAAGTCTTAGGGAGGAACCAGTCGATGTGATATCGCAGACCTCGAAGTGATGTCGGATGAGAGGAGGAGGGAAACTCACGGGATGGATATAAGGTGGGAAGAAGATTAAGAATAGTAAGAAGGGGAGATCCTGAGAGGAAGCAGTGGATGTGATGTTGTGAGATTCGAAGAGAGGTTAGGAAAGAGTAAGAAGAAAAGTTGTGGGGACTGAGTGAGGCCGAAAAGCGAGTGGGAAGGCACTCAGGATGGAAGCTCAAGAGATGAACTGAGATTGGAAGAAAGTACGGAGGGAGCTCCTAGAAAGAGATCAATTACAGCCATTTCTGAACGTTGGGTCGAGGTTGGCAGAATATACGCAAACATCTTCCAATAGATAATGGATAAAGTTGTATTGTAGAATTTCTGAAGTAGATGAGGCTTCAATGACAAGGTAATAAGGTAGATTCTGGAGTATATCAATATCGAAACAACTCAGACGTTGCAAGAGGTTCAATGATGTGCCCTGGGCCTTACTTTGAAGATATCTCTGTATCTCTTGGGATAATCTGGCCGTGGGCAAATGAACTCGTCGAGACAACCTCTCGAACCTGTCCCATGAATTCGAAGATTTCATTTGCCCAGGGCCAGATCATCCTCAGAAATACCGAGATATATGTAAAGCAAGACACCGGCAGGTCAGATCATTGCACCTCTCGCAATATATCGCCTGTTGAGAGTGTATATAAGATGCCTGTCGTTAGAAAGCGAACGGGAATAGAGTTGGAAAATTTGTCTGACAAGGCAGTGGATGGGTCTTCTTATAAGATTTTCCAGGCACCGTAACAGAGCTTGATGGGGTGTCCTTCCTCTAGTCTTTGATTGTCCCCGGAGGACTAGGGCACCTTTGTCTGCAGGATATGTGCGGCTTCTTGCTGGCGCTTTTCTGCAGGATGCGGGTTGCCACTTCTATGCGATGGCCCTTGTACACCTAGGTAGTTTTCTTGCTAGCTTCCTGTCTTCTTTCAGAGTCACTGCTTGCTTAGTGTGCGTAGAGACGTGGGAGTCTTCAAATAGTAGAGAAGCAAATATTAGGCTTCTTGCAAGCTTGGCCGTTGAGATGCAGACAAAGTCCGGGGCAGGAATACGCGAACAACAAAGAGTAATGGTGTACATATGCGCTGTCCTTAATGCAGATCTTCTCGGTAAGATCAAACCGGCCTTGTCTTGTGTTACCAAATATTTCTCGCAAGGGTTTGAAAGAAATCTTCAACTGGTATAGGTGCAGTTCGACATGCTACTCAACATGTCTACCCAATCCATGAAAATCAATGCCCAAGTCACACAATAACAGCAAAGACAGCACCATTCAAAGCAAAACTACAGTACATCAAAGATCCAGTCCACGGGCTATGTCCACCCCCATCCATTGGCCAACCCACAACTACTGTAAACCCTCCTAAAAAAAATCAGACCCAGTACAAAATCTCCCCAAAGCACGCTACACCCATTAAGTCTAGCAAAACCCGGAGTGTGGATCACAGATCTCTACTCACAAAAAAAAAACAAGATCTGGGGAAAAACAGCTTTCTCCAGACTGGCAGACAGAAAGTGGCACTCTTACAGCCGGTGCTAGACGAGATTGGTACTTGGGCTGGATCTCTGGAGAGACAAAACCCCGTTGTGGCTTTTGAGGGGGACAATAGGGCACGGCAGGAGATTTGCCCCAGGCACGGATGGGTCTTGTAAGTTGGACTACTATGGAGAACGCAGGAGAGAGCCCAAGTTTGTACTCCGTAGTTTGTACAGTATTGATTCTGTGTGATACTGGATATAGGCCAAGGCCAAGAAGTCTATCTTTCGTTAGTGCGGATGCCCTGGCATGCAGCATGTACGATAGACTTGGTTCGCAGATATCGATGTCTCTCAGGCATGTCCATCCCTACGGTGTCTCGGGCTGATAGCTCTACAAGTCCTGCCTCCTGTCCAGCCTGAGTCAGGGGATCCTGCATAGCAGACTGTACTTGTGTCAATTCACATTCCCGGCATTTCTTAGATCTGCGGTGGCTCGGAGTGCCTCGTGGAAGTCCATCTAATGATGATTCGCCTAGAGGAAGCTCCATTCTTCAAGGCATAATATCCAACCCTCCAAGCAGACCTCGAGTACGCTCTCTGGGTACAGTATGAAAGAAAAGGCCCGGTTTCCAAAGAAACAGCCGATTCAACCAGATACCAGGTGAAATTTATCCAGAATCACGGTCGTTCTGGGGCCAGCGTGTCTGGTGAATTTCAGGAGTTCTCGTACCTGAGAAACGCAGCTGATACATCCCTAGAATTGTGTGGGATAACTCTGTCTAGTGGTAAGTATACAGGTCCCACCGTGTCCACAGTTGACTCCATCGAGTGGATTCTGTCGTCACACCCCCATCCCTGAGACGAGGTGAAGCCGAGCTCCGGAGTCGGAGGCTGGGATTTGAGAGTCGTCTGACCTGGTTGTGACCATGTAGATGTAGAGAGGTGTGTGCTCTACAAACACAGTCAGCTTGCATCAGAAAGAGGTCAATGTTTATGTTTTCCCACCACTCTAGAGAAAGTGAATAAATTGAATGGCCAGTCCACCATTAAGCAGCTGCTCCATGGATGCCAGCTGGCCTCAGCCGGATCCATCTCATGACCTCACGGCGGGTCGATGATGCCTCGATGAGTCGGTACTCGTATCCCGTAATACGCTTACCCGCAATCACCCGACCCCTTTTCCTGTTTCCGCGAATGGCTTCAACCAAAAAAATATCCCCGTATCATCGTAATTTTAATCAACCAACCTATTCATTATTACTCTCTATAAGAAAATCATAGTTTACCAAGTAGTTTACCAAGTTCTCATTCCATCCAATCCTTCCCGTAAACCAGCGCAGAAAATATAAATAATCTCCCCCATCTCCCCCCCCCGCCTTCTTCACACAGAACTCGCCCAACCTACCTAGATCTTCCTCTCTCTGCAAGGGCCAGCTCGCCAGTCCCGGCAAAAAAGCGCCTGCTAACAGTCTAGGGTAGAAACATCCCTGCAAAAGAGAAAAAATCGAGCTTGTGTGGGTCCCGCCAAGCTCCTTTCGATCCGCGCCTGCAGCCGGCGCAGATTTTCCCACGGAATGATCGCAGAGCCTCCGGACCCCTTTTCGCCGTACTCCTAGCCAGCATTTACCCAGCCATTGATATACTGCCGGCATGGTGAAATATATATTGAACGATTCGGCGCGAAACACAGCGTTATATCAATCGGGTTTGGGGCTGGCGGTTGCTGGTCTGGGGTGAACCGGAAAAGAAAGGCCCAGTTTTTTGGCGCTGCGAAAATCGGGTTCTGGCGGGTCGGGAATCCTTTTTTTCCCTCTGGTGGAGGCCGAGGGAAGCGAGGATTCACGAGGGAGAAACGGAATTTCCTGTAATTTTTCCTCCTTTTTTTTCCCTTTTTATTGCCTTTCCACCTACGTCTTTCTCGGAAGTTAGCCTGGTGCTTCTGTGACAGGTATAAAAGCCGCCCGAGATCCCTCCGTTCCTGCGGGTTCATGCGGGAAGGTACTTCTGCATAACGTGGCTTCCAGAGATAAATGTAGAATTGGTTTGCTATCACAAGTACAGAGTACAAAGAGTACTCTCTACTCTGGTGTTCAGCACTGGACGGGTGCCGGATCCGGATCCGTTCAAAATTACGTGGCACCAAAACGGATGACTCGGTGAAGGAGTCCCGAGGGAGAAGCCAGAGAATCCACCGGAACCAGCCAGATTCAGCCGACGGTTGCCCAGTGAAACTGTCTCTGGTGGGCCTGGAATCCGACTCGGCCCGAATTGGGCGACGCCGGGAAGAAATCCAGAAACGGAGTGGATCGTTTATAGATTATGATTGGTGGCTATCTTAGTGGATCGATCCATCCGATCCACTCAATTGGAACTGGATGATCCACAGCAGGGAAGGGAGAGAAAGGGAACAAAAAAAGAATTGAGCTTATGACTGTCGGCTTCTCTAGGGAGGGTACTCCGTATACAGTACATGTATATTATTTGATTAAGCGGAATAATCATGGATAGGTAGAACTGCTTTGTGATAGATGAAATGGATAGTTGAGAAACATTGATGCAGGGGGAATTGAAACTGGGTCAGAAGTGGACTACTCCATCTTGTATTGAAAAAAAAAAAAAAAGATAACAAACTCCATCCCATAGTGGACCATCTCATTCTCCCTTCAATGAGGATCCGAATGAACCCGACCAGTCAGTACTCCATAGTGATAGTCCTATCCTTCCCTTTTCTCCGTATATCCCCCGTATCATACGTATGGTAAAGAATGAAATAACTGGAAATACCACCTCTAAACCATCACCCCCAACATTCCATATACACCAGTATCCGTACAGTACCACCCAGTGATGAGCGAGTGAAATACTCGGGCAGTCCGCACAGAGTAGGGCTTTTTTTCATGCCGCACTAGCACCGAACTGGGAGGGCGGACGGGCGAAAATTTGCCCGTAGAGTATTTATGTCCTGGGCAGGCCTTCTTCCATAGTTTCCCAGCTTTTTCCCTCCCTGAAAAGTTCCCTTTGCAACCTATCCTCCTCCCCCCCCTATACCACATATCACCAAACCAACCATCACAATGGCCTCCCGTGTCTTCGCCCAGCGCCTGGCTTCCACCATGGCCCAGACCTCCAAGGTCGCCCGCCCCGCTGCTCGCTTCCAGCTCAACGCTGCCACCAAGCGCACCTTCACCTCCCAGAAGGCCCCCGTTGCCACCTTCGCTGCTCCCAAGCGTGCCTCTCCCACCCTCCTCCAGGCCAACGCCCGCCAGGCCTTCCAGACTGCTGCCCGCCGCCAGTACTCCTCCGAGGTCGCCACCGCCATGGTTGAGGTCTCCAAGAACCTGGGTATGGGTTCCGCTGCCATCGGTCTCGGTGGTGCCGGTATCGGTATCGGTCTCGTCTTCGCCGCTCTCCTCATGAGTGTCTCCCGCAACCCTGCTCTGCGTGGCCAGCTCTTCTCCTACGCCATTCTGGGTTTCGCCTTCGTCGAGGCCATGGGTCTCTTCGATCTCATGGTTGCCATGATGTGCAAGTACGTCTAAGCGTTTGAAATTTGGAGGCAAAACGACCTACCCTTCCCGCTTTATTCCTGTTTGGTGAGAAGGGGGGAGTCAATATGATCAAAGAGAAAAAGGTCTTTATATGAGGGGAAAAGAGAGAAAAATCGTTATAGACATTGTTTCTTTTTATTCTTCTTTTTTTCCCTTGTTATCTTTTTTTCCTTTGTTTTTGATTTTCCATCTCTTTGTTCTTTTTTATCCTGGCCGGGGAGGGTATTTGGTCGTGATGTATTACCATGTACTACTTTTCAGCGTCATCTACAACACCTTTTTCTTTATGTACATATAGAGTCTTTATATGGCCCACTCCATCCCAACTTCCAACGAGCCAAACCAAAACTCTGTGTGTTGAGAGTCTCGCTCTCCGGCTGTGTATCACCACCAAATTCTCTCTCCATTTTAACTTGTGTGTTGTTTATGTGTTGAGCTATCTACGACTCTCATTTGTCCTGAACTTGTCTCCGCTGGTAATTCGTAGCTCAATCCTTAAATTCAGTAGACCCCGGACGCTTCTAGACCGAAAAACGCCTCCCAGAGCTCTCCATCTCCCAAGCTTCATGCTATGTTGGGGGTGGACATCGATCTCCCCCCTGTCTCTCCAGGTTTTGATGCTTCCGGCCCTGCGGAAACGCCAACGTGTAAACTTCCAACGCCGACCACCCACCAACGCAGAGGCATTGGTGGTCAATGCTTGGACAGCACATAGCCTAGATCATTCTCTATCGATTGTCCTACTTTTTATTCTTCTATCCCTACTTTTCAAGGTGCACGCCCAGCTCAAAGTCCTCGGCAATCCCCAGCGCAAAACTCGCACTAGCTTCCGGGACCTCGGGGAAGCGCTTGCCGCCAGGTCCGGCTGACTCAGCTGCATGACATCAACGACGGATTCGGTCGAGTATGTATTGTAACTGAACCACCGAATAATCCTTTCATTCTTGTAGAAATCTTATTTGGAGAATGAGTTTTGTGAGGGGTAGTGAAATTGTATGGATCCGGGGTAAAAATTTGACCTGGGAAGCTTGGTACGGTGTTAGATGGGGATGTTACTGTAGCTGGGGTTTATCCCGCTGCGGACTGTGGAGATTTATATCTCGAGGATGTCAAAGCTACAAAGTGCCCGACCACCTCAATACCACAGAGTACCTACCATTGATTTATTGTTGATAGGTTCAAATGACATGGTGGTAATCAGTATCTTGTAAATTCACACGAATAGTCTCAATTTCAGGATGTTGCATTTGTTGATCGCTCTGGTACCCTGTCCGTAGTTTAGGATAGGCCGGCATATGCCGAATTTAGTTAAAGCCTCATATGCATATTTTTAATTACATACTAGTTCATATTAAGAGAAGCAAGCGTTTAAGCGTATAGCTTGTAGATTGATCCATAATAATCTTGCAAGTATCCGTACTTGGCACAACGTTAGAAATACTGCCTATAATAGGTTACAAAGAAGAGTACATCAGGTACGGGCCGTTCAATTCACACCAAGTTGATTGGTTCTATTAGAGAACAACTCAAGATTATAGACTCGCTAATCAGATATCTAAACTTAATCACACGAATTGAAGATTCAAGTCCAAGTCGACTCCGATCATGCCACAAGACTCGCTTGCTCAAACGCTGAAGGGAAGGTATCAAAGCATTAAGGGGAGACAAAAACACCCCATAGACCGAAGCATCGGTATCACCAAAGAGATAAAAAAAATGACATCGAACAAAAAATTGCAAAGAAAAAAAATGGTCGACAAGCGAAAAGTAGGCCAGATCAACGAAATGAAACAAACCATCGGGCAGTTTAGAAGATTTCCAGATCCTCAAACTCAACAACCAACCCATCCGACGTCCCAGCCGCCGAAGTATTTTCCAACGTCAATCCATGCATAGCATCCCACATCGTCTGACCCCGCGCAATATTCGTCGGCCGACTCGCATAAACACCCACATGAACAAACTTATCCTCAACCCCGTAAAAAAACCACGTCACCTCCCTCAACTTCTTCCACGTACTCCCCACCGCCCCGGGACTCAACGCATAAGGTGCCGCAGACGGAACCTGATACCAAATCCACAGAGCATGACCGACGCGCTCAAGCTTAATCCTTAGCGATTGAATCGCCGGACCAGACACGCTCTGCGGCAACGGTGACAAACACCAATCCGCCCCGTCGGCCGTGGCACTCACGGACGAGGCGTTTACCGTCCCCGACGAGAATTCCATCCCGGCTTTCACCCATTTACAGGGTGGCCGGGTGGAGGATCGGCGTGTAGAGGGGAGCCCGTGTCCACCGGTCCCTGTGCCCGGTGTATCCGAGGAGAAGGATTGTGGTGCCGCGCCGGCGAAAATCACCAGGCCGCCCTGGTCCCATTCCATTTCCCAGTCTGCGCTGACGGTCACTTCGGCTACAACGAAGGGGTGGCGGAGGGATGTGAAGACGATTGGGGCGGTGGAGGTGTCGCCGTTAGGTGGCTTGCGCCATAGATCCGTGTTTGGGCCCGCTGTGAGTTCGAAGTATTCCATGCATTGGGGCAGGGTGAATGTCGGCGGGAGGTTTAGGGTCGTGAAGGATGAGCCATCTGGGGGCATTTTGATATGATAATGTTTCTTTTGACGATTGAATGTGGTTTCTTCCCCACGGTTGACTTGCGCTATTGTGCTGCTTCCCTTGTATCGTGGGATGGGGATCGGTTGTTCGATAGGTTGTCTTTGACCGGGAGAGATCGATCGAGACACGGATCGTAGGAACTCGGTTGACAATAGGGAGGCTGAGCCGAGAGACCAGTACTTAATTGAGCTTTGATGTTCTGCAGATCATAGACGGATAGGCCGAGTGTCGAGGCGCAGGGGCGGGTCGTGGTAGACGCCTGACTTGAAGATATAGATATGATAGCTGTTGGTCTGGGTGCGGACGAGAGTAGGAGGATATATGTCAAGGACTAGAATGGCCACAGCAAGCCTCGTGGGCGAATTGTTGGGATATGATCTCAGAAAAATGCAAGAAATGCAGTTGACAAGTACCGTTGCGGGACTCTGCGGATGACACCGAATCCGGCAGAGGCAAGTTGTATCCAAGGGAACACGACCCAAAAAGAAAAGAAGCCGAAGAAGTAAAAACCGAAGGAAGCAAGCTAGTTTGTCAAAGACAAAAAAGAAAGCTCAAGTGAAGATTTAAATTCCCGAAGTTTATAGCGAAACCTGATTCAGGACAAGAAGTTCAGATACCAGAATGGATCAACCCTCCCAAAAAAGAGGAATAAAAAAGCAAAAGGGGAAATGAGCCCTATTATTGCATCGTGATTATTTAACTATTTATATGAATTGCCTCACTCCGAAACCCCCCTGGGCCTTGCCAAAAAAAACAAGGTCCATTCATTCAGGGGAGATTCAGAGAAGCCTGGGCCACTGGCTTAGCCCCGATCCTCTAAATCCACCAACAGAGAACCGCGAACAACCGAGAAGCTACGAAATACCACTGAGGCGATAAAAAATATGGATACTTCACTCCAGACTATTAGTAGGACATATTGCCATGCCGAGTATGCAGTGGTAAGCTGGAACCTGTGAGCCGGATGCTGTCGGTGCTTGATTTGCTTCGGCGACAGATGGGGAACATCCTGCGGACCAGTTCGCAAGTGGCGGGTCACCATGCATCTCCAGGGAATCAATCACGTTGTGACGCTCGATCTCGATGATCTCGGGGATCTCGCACCGGACAAGGGGCGAGTGGATTCGAGCCACGAGGACGGGGCAATGGGGGGGGGGGGGGAAACAAAAGGCGTTCAAACTCTAGAGAAATCCATTCTTTCCAAGACGGTAGGGCTCGCCCGGTCCAGTAGGAGAAAAGAGGAGACTCGGAGAAGAGCGAAGCGCGCTTGACAATGTTGACAGCGGGGAGCTGAAGGGTGAATATCGACGGAACTCAACTTGTCGGTTGAATTACCCTAAATATGGAGTAGTTAGTGCGACGTTGACAGGTTCGCCACGAGCGGCGAGCTTCCTGCTTCCTGCTCGTGTGGATTCTGATTATACTTTAGGGGATCTGTTCCCAGACGATCGGGTCAATGCATGGCGAACATGTTGCTGGTTGGGTGCTAGTGTCTTTTTTTTTTTTTCATTCTTTGTTGTTTCCTTCGGAGATGATCACATCGTGTACTTCGTAGTGCGGACTCCATGGAGTTCTCCGGTGAGCTGGAGCCCAGACTGGGATACTCCCTGGTCGGTGGATGTGATGTGACAGCTGGGCTGGAGAATCCCTGGCCAATTCTCCTTAGACTGATCCACTGGGCCTTGTCTGACCTCGGACCTGGCAAGTCAGAAGTTGAGACTTGTTGCTTGGCACAGGAGTCAAGACGGGGACTCGCGAAGGATCGCGAAAGACGCGTCTCAGCTGGGGTCGGGTGGCGGTGATGGTCGGGCTCAGCCACTCCAGCCACTCCAGTCACGGGGTTTGTTGCGTTCCACTGCTGCACTGTGCTGAAGAAGGTAATCGGCTGTGGATAACACAACATGAAGAATTGACTGCCGCCGTCTCGGGGATGCCGAAATGCTGGAGAAATCCTAGTGGTGCTGTTACGGTGACTGACCTCAGCTCATGCTGTACTCCGGACGAAGAACCGAGTTTCTAGTTTCAGGATCTTTGTTCCTTGGATTAAAGTACGAGTCTACTGTATATGGACAAGCGTCCCTAGTCGGCAATCGACTTTCATAAAAGCCGTCTCCCCGCGTTCATTATATTGGCAGTCTTTTCATGATTTCAAGCAATGCTAATCAAATAGTTTCCCCGTTGACCTTGGCTTTCCTACCAGCGTCATTCACGAGTGATGAGTTGTCACGGGGCGCCTATAGGCCTAAGCCATCCGGTCACAAAGTCATCTTTACGAGCGGTCAACGTGAGTTCCCATGTCTAATACGGAGATTATTCACCCATGAGTCTCACGTCTCTTATGAGATCAATGATGAGGACTATATGCACCAACTCATGACATAGGACTGATAGTCTGCTAACAGTGTGGCTCTGCTACTCAAACCCCAAGCAGAATATGAAAGAAACCTAAAAATAGCAGAGCCACTGCCGATACTTCCTGAAGTGGTCGGGTTTGGGGGCCAAACCAGCAACGTGATGAACTTGCGAAAAGGGGGCCGTTAGAAGGGCAAAAAAAAGTCACTCCCATAGCCCAGTAGGTAGTCTTCCTAGTGATTGATCTGGTTCCCTTTAGCCCCTAAAACTGGGCCAACTTATTAGCGGCCAAGAATTTTGGCTTTCGAGTCGTTCGTATCGTTGGCGCCAGCCTCTCTGCCCTAAACACTGTCCAACCAATCGTGGGCTTCCTTCTTCGCCGCAGGGGGGCTCAGCCTCGTATTCAGGGTCTAATAGCGTCGATTCGCGACATGAGAATACTCTTTTACAGTTGCAATGACTCCACGATGGGCTGGCAGGATTAACCGCTGCTACTACTACTACTACTACTCCTGCTGCCGCTGATATTTTCTTTCTTCTTGTTTGCCCTCATTTCGCGATCTCGCGTTTGCCAACAAACAACCATCGCGCGCATTGGCTAGCTAGTCCTCTAGCTAGACAAATCTGAACACGCATTAGGAGGAAATTTCTGACCTTTGACACATCAATCTACCCCCCTGAATCAAGATGTCCCCGCGACGCAGCTCGGGCGGAAGCTCGAGTAGCTACAGCAGCTACTATAGCAGCAACCCGTGGTCTGAAGAGACCGAGTTCTCCTTGAGCCTGCTAAGATCCAAGACTCTCTTCATTGCGGGCTTTGCGTTTGACGTCCTCACCATTCTCTCTCTGATCGCCTTCCTCATCTGGGCCTGCCTTGTCCACAATGGAAGAGGCCAGTTGAAGGGCGTTCTGCCTGCTCTGCTCGCATACTTGGCGTACGTATAGGTTTACTACTGCCTAGAAACAACGGGATACTAACTATGGACAATTAGATCAATGCTCACGATTCTGGTTTACGAGATCTTTTTCTTTGCAAATGCCACAGTTCAAATGTACTATCTCATCGACCTGATGCTGAACGAGTTCTTCTATCTGCTCGCAGGCTGTCTCATCTTCTTCGTCTTCTACCACCTCATCCATAGCGCTTTGGATCGTCTTACCGATGCCGGCAAGCCATACGCCATCGTGGCAATCATCCACTGGGTCATTCTTGGTCTGGTGTCCGTTGTCTCGCTCGCGACTTTCGGTTTGTACGTTGGATTCCAGGTGCAGAATGTCCAGAACTATTACTATTCGAAACTTTCCAAGCCATACAACAACCTGGAAGCTGCGCGCGCTATCATATGGTGGCTTCTCTCGCTGGAGATTGTTGCTTGGTTCATTTTCATTGTTGTCAAGGCATCGCATCGCTTTGCCTCCAAGGTAAGCTAACCATTCCCTCATTCTTCATACCTTACCTCCAGAGCCACATACTAACCACCATATCCGCCTCTAGCTCCCCATTTTCTCCCTCCTCGGTGGCAGCATCGCCTGGATGGCGCTGAACCTGATGTTCGCCGTCGTCTACATCCGCTACTCCCTCGAAGACTTTATCCAGCCCACCTATCTTTCCTGCGTCCAATCCGTCCTCCAATTCTTCTTTATCGTGGGCACTTTCGTGGGCATCCTCCTTGCCTGCGCGAAATGGCGCAGCGTCGACGATCGCGAAGACAAGAATATGGTGGCGCAGTACCCCTACGGCCCGGGCCAGTATCAGAGCTACCAGGCCTACCAGCAACAAAACCAGGCACAGTACCCGCAACAGTATTACCAGCAACCGTATCCCCAGCCCGCTCAGAAGGCGTATCCCCAGCCTGAGCAGATGCGATCGGAGAATTAGATTCTTTGGTGTGGAGTGCAGAGGTGTTGGATGCTACTGAGAATCGAACCTTTTCGAATTCGAAATTGTGATGCTATGATTATGATTCTAATAATGGGGCTGGTGGAAGTCGCCAGTCTGTGATGGATACCGTCCCATCTTTTTTCTATTTTGATTGCGAATGATGTTTATGAGCTGTTAGGCATTGTAATTTTGCCCGGCACGAAATACCCTACTTTTTGATGTCAATACCCAAGTTAAAATAATTCAGACTTCCTTGATCAGATTTAGTTGTTGTCCTTGAGTTTCCTGTAGAGCGAAGAACCATGGTAGAAATACCGCGTTACTATGACAGGATTCTTCCAGTTAAGCTCCCACGACTTTATATTCTCCCCCTCCCATAAAGCACACAGACACCATAGACACAGATATCTTATTTTACCCCATATAATATACAAGTGGTGATATCTGACCCTTCCGAAAGGTCAACTCTGTCACTCACTATCGCCCCCGATAAAGTCTTGGCACCAACGCCAGGCGGTGGCGCTCCACAGGCGATAACATCATCTCCATCTTTTCAATTCTCAATATCCAACTCCCAACATCACACGCTCCAGTGCGATCAACAAGAAATCGACCATGGTCTGCGCAAAGTGTCAGAAAAAGCTCAAAGCCACCGAGCTCGCCACGCCGGGCGTCAAGCGCAAGAATGACATGTACTACGGCTCGCCGGCGACCACGTTAGGCGGATCCTCGACGGATAAAGGGAAGAGTAAGCCAACGCTAGGCGCGACGGGGGTGGGAAAGGTACGAGTCTAACTTTATTTTCTGAATCTGGAGTTAAATGTGAGGAAGATTCCAGTCCAGTCAGGACTAATTGTTGGACTAGAGTAAACTTCTCAGTGCAAAGGCTAAGAATCCGTATGCGGCTTATGCCTCGTCTTGTGAGCAGTGCAAGACCAAGACTGAGCAGGGGAAGAAGTATTGTCAGCGCTGTGCTTATCAGAAGAATGGTATGTGTGCTGTGATGTGCGAGTCGTTTTTGTCGAGTTTTCATAGTTGTTGAGCTGTGTTGACTGACTCCTTCTAGCTTGTCCAATGTGTGGGAAGAACTTGGCCGGCAAGTCAGCTAAAGACCAGCCCATCGTGCAAGGACAAAAGTTCAACTTGAAGTGATCGAAATATTGGGTGGTTAGCTTGATGTGGTTTAATGGACATTGTTTTTGATATCCCATGGCGCTTGGAGTTTAGGGGGGCAGGACTCGATGAGATCTTCGATGCTTCGATGAAATAAATTCGATTGACAGTACAATGAGAAGAAAAGAGATATCTAGTTATACATGGCATGCGCGGTAAGAGTATATGCAGTGCGTTGCTGATAACGCTTAGTGCCAGAAAAGCAAAACCCACCTTTTCCTGACTGGGATGACCTCACGCTGTGCTTTCGCTCCCTTCCTGTTCATACACCTTTTCAAAAAAGAATTGACCAAAGTCTGGACGACAAGTACTGGAAGAACCAGGGAGACCCTCGGGACGCCCGTTTACCGGTCGGCCAGCATGTTCTTAATGTTGCTGTAGTACTGCGGCAGCACGTACTGCGGGATCTCATCCTTGGACAACCACTTGAAATCCTTGAGCTTCTCCGCGCTACCGGAGAGATCGGCCTGACCGGCCATGATGCGGGTCTTCATGAAGAAGGTCTTCTCGCCGTGGATGGCGGCTCCGGTCGCCTGGTCGACATGGGGCTTGCGGTTGTTGTAAACGTGGTGACCGGCGGGGTGGAAACCGACCATCCAGGTGTTCATGTTGACACCGGCAGTTTGGGAGAGGGTACGTTCGGCGGCCTAGATTAGACGACTATATTAGCAAACACTCGGGAAAACTCGCGGCTGATCATTCGGGGGGTGTTAAACACTCACCTCGCGCAGGGTCTCGTCTCCCTCGATAGGCAAGCTGGGGAACTTCCAGTAGCCCTCCTTAGACTGGACCAGCAGGTACAAAGTCCGGGACAACAACCGATTCAAACTCTTGTGGTCACCCTTCTTATCCGCCTCCGTCACCCGGGAGAATGGCCGCGGGATCTCCTCCTTCTTACTGGTATCCTGAGAAGTGGCATTGGCCGTGGACTCGGCATCTTGCACCAGTGCCTCAACCAGATGTTCAGGCTCAGACTCCTTTGATCCAAGGAGCAGCTCATCATTCCATGCGTCGTTGTCGTACGCGTTGTAGTTACCAATGTCGCGTGCCGGGGTCCGGCGCTCCTTAATCTTGTTCTTCCAGTCCACGTCCGCTGGCGTGCCACGCTTGTAGTAGAAGTATTTAGTGAAGGGCAGCGCAAGACGCTCGTTCAGGCGCTTCTGGTAGAAATGGAAGGCTTTCTCGAATGGCTCGAGGTCACGGGTGATCTGGGGAGGGCGGGAGAGGACGACACCGGCATTGATGGTGTAGACAGGGGTGGTGGCGGATGAAGTAGAAGGAATGGGCGAGGATGTAGTGGTTGTCTCGCTGGGAGCAGCAGCAGCAGCAGAGGCATAGTTGCGGCGACCCAGGGACTCTTGACAGCTTCTGCAGACGCTGGAGTCGAGTTTAGACGGTCCTGTTGGTGGTGGTTAGCGTCAACGGTTGCAATATGTTATATCAACAGTGATACATACGCATCAGCGACGCAATGCGCCGAGCACCATTGGATCCTGTGGACATCGTCACGGTATAGGACAATGGCGATTGAATTGCTCTGGCTCTCCCCTCGGTGATGCTTTGGATTCTCCGAGAAAAGTTCCAGCAAGGCGGTCACGTTCCAACTAGACTGCTTCGGGACTAGCGGGAGACTCACGAGTTTAAAACTTCGTCGCATCTCAAACTCTTCTTCTCCTCTTCAGGCACCCGTTTCCTTATCGTCACTGTCCTCGATTTTTCTCACGGCCAGTCGATCATTAAGTGGTGCTTAGAACGAATTGCGGCTATTTTTCGCTAGCGGTACCTTCACATAATCCAAGGTGTACTGTTAGATAGCTGCTGCAAACATTCTCAGCACCAGTCCAGCCGGTCGGCTACCAAATTATTCCATTGCTCCTGCTAGTATCAATAATTGCAAATATGAATGAAACCATTTCTCCATCGCATTCTGCCTCTTCCTCACCGCGTAACGCTGTCAACTGCGAATGCTGTCACATGCGAATTCAGGATTCGCACGAACATGATCAATCAGCTAATTGATGCAGATCAAAACACCCTCCTTCACTCCAGGGCTCTCGCTTCCTTCCACTCCGTTCACTCCGTTCACCCCGTTCGCTGCTTGAACGTTCTCAGTCTGCTTGACCGGTTTCGGGGACGCAGGTTTCTCCACCGGTCCAAAGTGCACAGTCTTCTCCGCCGACCCGAAGACTCGCAGTTTGTTTCCGTACATGCGCCAGAAGCTGCTACCCAGACGAGGGATCAGGATTCCGTGCTGCACCTTGTCGTTGATTTTCTTAGATTGCGTGGAAGCCAGGACATGCTGAAGGACAGGCTCTTTGCCTTGTTGTTCTTCTCCTTCTTCTTCCGTATCGAAGAACTCTTGGAAACCGTTCCGAGGGAGAGTTGGGAAGAGGTCCTCTACCGGGGTGGTAGTCGGAGTGGCAAGCCCGTATGAGATTTCCTCAAGTCGTCCCCTCTTTCCCTTGGGGATTTTCCCTCTGTCAAGGTGAGTTGCTAGCTTGAGGAAAGCAATTGCGGTAAGCATACTGTCATACCCGGCTTCATGGGCGAACCCTCGGTACAAGTACTTGGAGTGCAGGCTGTCGATTTCTACCACAGGTGTTAGTAGCTGTCACCAACCCCAGGTAAAGCATGAAAAAAGACATACCAATCTTGGGGGTTTTGATCTTCGCCAAGGTCTTGTTGAGTTCCTCCAGTGAGGAAGACGGGTTCATGGCGTCAAAATCCTGAGTCGCCAGATACTTGGTATCCATCATAAGGGGGAATGTCTGATGGATCAAGGAGATGAAATCCTCCACCTTATCAGGGAGCGAACCGAGGAAGCATTTGTAGAAAAAGACCATGTCGGTAAAGCTGTTGTGACCGACGAGAATGGGTCGATTCTCCTTCAGACGGCGCTTCAGCCGTTCTGAGAGCGACTTTGCCGTGATGGATGGATGCTGTACATCCCCCAAGAAGCCATCGAATACGCTCGGTTCTAGGGTCGACAGGTCACCACCGGTTAGAGCCTCTGCGATCCACCGGAATCCCACATGCTTGCGAATGCGCATGTTACTCTCCCTGATTCTTGCTTCGTATTCCATCGCACCGCCGTTGCGCTGCTCAATCTGGATATACGTAGGCATGCCCCGTGACTTCAGCCCTGGGTACTCGGTCTTGATCAGGTTGTGCACGAGCCATTTCTGGGTCTTGGTCAAGTCGCTGGGCAAACCGTGACGGGCTGCTCCCTGCCCGTTTTCAATAGGAGGGATAGTGATATAGGTGCCCCGTGTCTGAGATAGGCGGTTAGCTTCACGAGAGGATGTTCGGCGTGGTCCCGCTAAAAGATGAAAAGAACCAACCTTCCCTCCGGCCACCCACGCATCAATTAGACGGCGGACAGCCTCAACAAAGCGGACATCTCCCTCATCACGGAGATTGTCCTCGATTGCCTCCATGGACTCACTGGGAGCCCATCGTCGGATAGCTTCTTCTCGAGCTAGGATCTCTTCTTCCCGGGACAAATAGCGGAGACCCTGGGTGAAGAGTGCACCAACGTCGAACTTGTGGCCGACCAAAAATTCCATGGCTAGATCACGTTAGTTAATTGTTCGATAATGGACGGGAAACGATCGCACGTACACCAGCCCATCAAAGTGCAATCCCGGTTAATATTGAGATTGCGGTCCAGACACGGGTTTAAAAACATATTGTAAGGCCGGAGCAAATAGCTCCCTATTTATGGTTAGCACGTCACACACACAAACAGAAGGCACGTCAAGCAATGAACTGTACCCTTTTCTTTGTCTTCACGACAAATTGTCAATCCAACCTGCAGTACCTGGTACTTCTCCGCGGCGGCCTTGTTTTCTTCGTAGTGCTTCTGGATGGATCTGTTACCCTGGAACTTGGCAGAGAGGGCAATGCCGGACAGCTCGAGATCCAGAGCGACGAAGCAACTTGCAGCGATCTCATTGAGTACCGCGGGAAGGTGATAGGCGAAATTGTTTACCGTGAGATCCATTGTGACTGGATCTTATGCGTAATTGAATGGATCAATGCTAGATCCAAATAGAGGGAGGCCGTGGAAGCTTGTGAGCTTAAGACGAAAGTCAACTCGAGCGTCGAGGGTGATGTGAATAGTGGTTTCGTCCTTAGGCACGTTTGTTTGTTAGTGTTCGTGGACGTGCGTAGGATGAAAGGGAATTGAAGACGAATAGGAAAGCAACCTAGCTTCAAGTTTGGTGACTTGATGGGGTAAGTCACGTCGAGTATGGGGAGGGTATCGAATAGAGGAATGATCGTAAAATCATTTAGTGACTTTATGACTTGGTGACTTTGTAGGACAAAGTCATGGAAGGCACTTAGAGAGTCGGATATATGATGAAGGCGAGAGAATGGGGGAGTAGCTGGGGGAAGGTCGATGAAAGTCACCTTGAGTATAGGATGGAAAGAGAAAGGAGGAAATATGCCGAAGAAACTTTGTGCTTTTGTAGATTAGTGACTTAAAAGGGTAAGTCCAGGCCGAGTAGAGGATAAGAGAAGAAGGAGGAAAGATCATGAAGCGACTCAGTGACTTTGACAGACGAAAGTCACGCCGAGTATACGGAATTTGAAGTGAGAGAGAAAGATGGCGAAGTTAGTGGCTGGATAGATCTGGATAGACGATGAGGTATAAGTCGAGTGTAGATGAGAGAAGAATGAGGAAAGATCGTGAATCAATATGGTTACTTTATGGAACGAAGTGAATGCCGAATGTGGGACGAGAGAGAAGTAGGAGAGAATAATAAGGCATCCTATAACTTTCCAGATATAGGTCGATGATTCTGTATAATAGCAGCCACGCCGGGTGGAAGATAAGAGAAAAATAGAGGAACGATCTCGAAGCTGCTTAGTTAAGAGCGCTGCCTATATCGTTGCTTGTGTGAATGGGCTGCTGTATATCAGTCGTCATCAGAAGCGAGGGCGTTCTGGGAGTGCTTGTTGAGTCCGAAGTAATACCAATGCTGGCGTACTGCGAAGGTAGATACTCTTGATGCCATCCCCTATCTATAGCTGGGAGTTGTCGGGGATGGCCTTTCAACAAGACGGTATGGTTTTAAATGGTGACTCAAAATAATGCCATATTATATTCTGTTTATGTATGTCAATGTTGCTTATGATAGGCAATTTGTCCCTATCCATTATAATCAATCTTATTGAAGTACATGTAAATGCTCGGTTTAACTTGGGCTAGAAAGTGTTTACACCATAGAAGATAGACCATTGAATAAGAAACAAGCTTCCAATTGTTTCAAAGTTAAATAGAGACCATAATGCTCTATTACTTGTTATTATTTCTCAAAGTTTAACTTTATACTCGAAGAATGGGGAAATCCGTCGGGGAAAGGCGATCCCGTGACCAACCCCGGACTTGGGCGAGCCGAGGGAAAACGACAGCCGATCGCAGTCCCCCAATTGCTCTCTCCCGAAACACTCCCCATCTCTCCCTTTGCTCGTGCTCATGGTCCTTTTCTTTTATACTTTCTCCCATTGATATTTCAATCCTATATCCTCTTGTCCCGCAGTCTCCGGGCGCAATGTCTGACGGAATGTCGTCTTCTCACACCCAACTCTCCTCCACGTCCTCCGCCTCCACCCCCGCGAAGCTCTGCTCCAAAACCTACAAGAAAGCTTCCCAGCTCTACCTCACGCGACGTCTACCGGAGTCGCTTGCCTCTCTCCAACCGATTATCACCGTCCCAACTCCCCAAGATGAACACCTCACTAATGGCGATCATGCCGCCGCGGTCGCGCCGATCGCCACCGCCCCCAGCACGTGGAGGATCAAGGTCTGGAATCTCTACATTACGCTTCTCAGCGGAATTGTAGACCTCGGCGCAGAGGAAGGAAAGAGTCAATTTGGCCAGAAAGAGTGGAAAGCGATTGCTACGCAAGTACGCGAAGGTGGAATTTGGGAGACCGTCGTGCAGGTCGGTTACCGGGGGCGGGAAGGCTCCGTGGACGCCGAGGTTGTCTACAACTTGTCAGTTTGGCCCCGGATTTCTCAACCGTTGCCGTAGAAGCCACCGCCAGCTAACTAGATTTCCAGGGCGACTTTAATCCTCAATCACTCGTCCTCCCAATCGCTCAACCAACAACGTCTCGAGACCTACCTGTCATCCTACGGGCAACCGAACCTAGATCTCGCAGATCGCCTTCAGGATGCATCGGACGGCCTTCAGCAGCACCGCATCTCGGCTGCCAATGGGACTGATACGCCGAAGGATCTGGCTGCCCGTGTGCGAATCATCGAGTTGTTTACTCTGCACGTGCTGCCTCGGAACGAAGAATGGGAGTACGCACAAGAATTCATCAACTTGAGCGAGGTCTTGGATGAGGAACGGAAAGAGCTTTTCCTGCAAACATTGGAGGGTCTGAAGGAAGAAAAAGAACGAGGAGAAATGCGCGCCGCCGAGCTCCAGCGCCAAAAGGACGCTGAACTCGAGCGGCAGCGAGATGACGAGCGTCGGCAAGCCGAGGAAGAAGCAACAAAAGCCGCAGCCGCCCAAACAAATGGCCACAAGCGGAATACTAGCGAGGTGGACTACGGTATCGAGAAAGGTAGCCCACGCAGCAAAGCCAAGGGATCCAAAGCGTCAGACAAGCCAACGCCGAGCGGCAAATCCAGCTCACGGACGGCGCTTTCATCAAACTCCAAGAGCGCAAAGAAGCAGGTCAAGCCTGAATCTCGAAGCCAAACTCGGGCTGCGGCGACCATGCTACGCAATATATTCAAGAAGATCATTCAAAGCGTGTCTGGAAACCCGCTCTCAATAGCGCGTACCTTGCTATTCGTGCTTGGTATCTTGATGGCTATGAGCCGGCAGGATGTGCGTGAACGAGTCCGCCGGATTACGGGCTCTGCGTGGCAGAAGGTGAAGGGTACTGTTGGAATGGGTGTGAAGGTGAGCTATATCTGAGATATAGACTGATGATGGTGATTGTTTTTCATTCTTGTGTTGTTCTTAACATGACCTATCATGTACATTCTGTTCTCTGATATGGATACTCCCTCGACATTGGGACGCTGGATGTCGCATATACATTTCCTTCGACTGTGATTCTTTTGTCTATCCATGTACTTTACTATCGAATATCAGATCTTCCAAGATTATCGTGCGTGGCGATGCTTCTTGAATCACTGTCTCGAATACTAGATGCAAAAACGGCTTTCAGTCGGTGGCTAAGTTTATTTGCCAAGTCGCTCATTCCACTTGCGGTCAAACACATTCAGCGATCGTTGAGCTGGAAACTGTCAGTAAACATCAACCATTCCATCCGCAGAATCAAATACCTGAAGGAACAACATCCAACGCCTTGATAGAGACATTCGGCGGCTGATTCAGCATATAAACCGCAGCCTGAGCAATATCCTCCGACACCAACGGCCTGTACAATCATCAGCATCATCCTGGAACCCGAGGTATCACTCTAAAAACATACTCATATCCCTCAAAAAACGACTCATACATCTCCCTATCATGACCCACCCTCAACGAATGAAAATTCGTAGCCACACATCCCGGCCGTAACGCAAGAACCCTAATCCCAGTACCAACCAACTCATTCCGCAACGCATTCGTAAACGCTTCCTGCGCAGCCTTGTTGGAGTGATAGACCGTTTCGCCTGGGAACGGGGGCACTTCGAGACCAGTCACGGAAGTAATGTTTAGGATTGTCCCGGAGTCGCGGGATATCATACTTCTGTTAAGGACGGAGTGTGTGACGTACATGGGGCCGTTGACGTTGGTTGATATCATTGTTTGGATGTCGGTTATATTTAGGGCGTGGAAGATGTTTGGGGCGCCAAGGGCGAGGCCGGCCTGTGTTGGTATATTAGTAGAGGATGGATGGTTGGGATGGGAGTAGGAGGTTGGTGCTGGACTTGCGTTGTTGATTAGGATGTCAATGGGGCCTAGTTCTTCGATTGAGCTTTGTATGGCGGCGTCGACTTGTTCGTGGTTTCCTACGTCTGCGGTTCGGTATGTGACTTTGATATTGTTGTATTGTTGGAGAAGGTCGTCTTTCAGCTTGGCTAGTTTGTCCTGTGATTGGGTTAGAGTGTTATGGGAGAAACTGTGGGATTGTGTTGTGTATACTTCTGAGCGAGATAGAAGAATCAAATTTGCGCCTTCCTTGGCTAGTGCTTTTGCGATGGCCTCGCCGATTCCCATCGACGCTCCTGTCTATATGATGTGAGTTTAGACTTTTATAGTGGTGCAGAAGGAGGATAGTGGTTCATTTACCAGGAGTACGGTCTGTCCACTGAGCGGCATGTCGATTTTTGCAATTCGGTAATCTGAGGATTTCGAGGAGTACTGTGAAAGCAGAGACTTAACTGTTCGTGTGCTTTTGTAATTTTTCGTATCTTTCTTATCGGATATGATTGATTATCAAGCAAAAATGCTTCACGACGTCATTGTATGCGGATCCACTTCCCCACTAACTCAGTTTAAGTTATCGGTGAATGCTTGATAGACTCTATGAATTCATAGATGAATGGATACTTGTATCTCAGGTGTAAGTGTAACAAGATATTAACTAGCACTCTATCCCGAATTGACATCGGAGATTCTGCAATCTTTAGAATCAGGCAAGATGATAGCTAGTAAATGTCTGGGTGAATACTTGAGATCTGACAACCGTAGAGATCGTGCCACATCACACTGTCCTTTCCAACAGCATTTGCAATGTAATTTGCACTTGGTGGGACAAAATATCAAGTACTGACATTTTAATACATTTTTGATGCATGCCGAGGGTTTCTCAGAACTCATTCATTGCCTGAAAGAACTGCCTCGGGACAGATCCTTGCAACAGTCTCCTGTTCGATTAGGACCAGACGCATACTCGGAGAGGTCCGGATTTATGGTAACGGCCTCTCTCGGTACCTCGAATAACTGTGATCTTGTGCTGCACATGAGGAACCTTTCCATGAGCCAGGAGATGGGCGCCAATTGTGGCTGCAATGTGGCCCTGTTTCAAGGGTATAACCAAGTGGTTGTGTTTTCTCCATGGATCCGCAAAACGAACGAAGGAATACGGTTGGCTCTGGGGGACTTGAGCTTTGGAGTTGTCATGTCTTTCAACAGAAGCAACCGTAGAACGAGTCCCCATCTGAGAACTATATGAAGGATATTCCCGCAGTTTTGATATCGTTCTGAAAGTCTGTAAACGTGAATCATCGAGACTCATCTCAAACCACACCACCATGACTCTCCACCGGTCTCTGCGTCATACCAATCCCAACCTCATCCAGTCGCCCACCAGCGTCCCCGTCTCCATCCCCCTCCCCCTCTCCATCCTCCTTCTCAGCAATCCGCGCATGCCACCTCCGAAACAACTGCACAAAAAACTGCGCCACACAAATCTGCTCCGTCGTATAAAGCAGCACCGGTACGGACGTTTTAGCTTTGGTGTAAAAGTCCACCGGAGCCCACATGGCATACAACAACGGTAAGCCCAGTGCTGTACTTTTCGCGGGAGAGCAGAAGCAGACTGCGATGGTTTCCTCGGGAGGCAGAGATTTCAAGATGGGCTGGAACCAGCGATGGTTGAGGAGGAATTTGGGTGGGCGGGAGCTGAAAAAGGATATTCCTGTTAGGGCGATGTAGAGGGCGATGTTGAAGAGGACGACGAAGATGATGCTTTGAGCGGAGAGGCTTTGGAGGGCGCCCGTTGCGAAGCAGGAGGAGAATGTTGTCCTAACGAACTGATTAGTACAGAGTGTATGAATTGTGCATAAGGTTTATTGAAGCAGGCTACAGCTGCTTGCGACACTCACCAAATCAACAACAGCATACAAGCACTCGCCAACTTGGGCAGCTTCGTCTTCTGAATAACCCAGGCCGTCCGATCCGGCCAAGTCCAACGAATCAACTGTCCCACAAACAAAGGGAGCAACACACTCAACCCCAACTGCTGAAAAACATGTTTATACATACTCCCCAAACTCCCACCCCCATACCTCCACGTATCAAACTCGGGAGACTTAGGTAACAGCGTCACCGTCCAAACAGCCGTAACAAAGGGTCCCAAAACATTCGCCAACAAAACCTCCACCAACGCCGCGGCATCATCACCACCCGCCGCTCGAGTCATAACCACATTCGACGCGATAGTCGTCGGAATACACGCGGTCAGGATATACCCGGCCAACACGGCCCGATCAATATGTCCCGCCGGATCAGCAGCGAGAATGATATGCACGACTGCCAGGACCAGTGCGGGGATGAATAGGAATGATATCACCTGGACTAGGATGTGGAGTCGCCAATTTAGGAATTGTTTGAAGAGTTTCTGGCGCGGGATGCTGAGGCCGGAGATTAGGAAGATGATGGCGATTACACCGTAGAGAACGGTGTATTCGCTGCGGATTACCCCGCCGTCTGTCTTTGCTATATCTGGGAAGAGATATGCCAGGGCGCAGGCGATGCCCATTCCGATTAGGAGCCACTGGCGTAGGATCATGATGGAGACTTGTTTGAGGGCTGCGAGGAGGCGTGCCCCAGCTCGGCGGGGCCCCGGGTCTGATGGGGTCGTGGAGTCTTCCATGACTCTGATTTATTGGGACATATCAAGCGATAGTTATTGATGTATTGGAGATGTTGTGAGTATCTCGATAGATCTGTTAGAACTGGTTGAAGTGGTGAAACTGCAAGCATTTTTGCAGGAATCGCGCGATCGGATTTGGTCCGAGGGTTTACGGAGATGATAGCGGCTGTTCGTTCAGGCATATCGTTGTACTCTACGGAGAGGGTATTAACCCTGCAATTACAAGTATATCAGGGGATATAATTAAAAGAATATAGATCTTTCTTTAGATATTATCTATAAGTTATCCATATGTCAATCTCAAACTCTATACTCGGACCGTCCAAAACGGGATTGTACGCCGAAATCGGGTACCCGACCCAACACTGGCCGACCGTCGGGGCGAATGGGCTACGGGCATGTGAAGTGTCCAGCACATGCTGATGATGCAATGTGGTTAGGTATCCCTCATTCGAAGGCTAATATGACTATAGAGGATCACAAAATTAATCCGTGAATTTTCAGTATTCCAAAATAGTTCCAACAACCCATCATTAACAGCACAACCGTTCTCAACAGTCTACTACCGGGTTGAAAATGTGGGTAAAACATTCAACCGCCTTAACCTGCCGATGTTCGCTGTATTCTAGGTTGCTAACCAACCTACAAGTACGCCGTACTCCGCCAGTCCGCGGAGCTAAAGTAAGTTGCTTGTCTTGTCAGATGACCTGCAGCCACTTCATTGTTCAAAGTATGATTTTAGCAAGACCAGGTCATCCCCTTCTGACTCAGAATTTGTTCTATCAACCCAAGTTAGATTGGCCTAGGCTTAGAGGGGTAACTAACAGGCTACCGCCGCCCTTACAGTAGTCACTGCCAAAAGGTCAACCTCGGCTGAGGGGAGCTCTGCGGGTAATCCGACTTCTCCCGGGAAGCGCAACTGGCGAAGCGGAATTCGCTGGCGATTTACGGACCGGACCTTTTGGAGGGGGGATCTGGCGGGTGTTTCTAATTTTCTCAAGAGTAGGATGTGGGTACTACTCTCCATAGTTTTGTCCGGAGTAATTCAGCTCCCCCCGAAAACCCCTTGAGACTGGGGAAGAATAGAGGGAAAACGATAGAGTTATAGATTTATAGTACAGTACAGTCTGTGTGTTAAGGAAGTCTATTATTTAGGTATGGCACTATAACTGGATGCAGTCACTGATAATAAGGAAGGTATGACGACAGTATGTGCATGTGAATGTTCAGATCATTTGAAGATCTGGGGAGGGCCAAAAGAATGGGCGTTCAGGAGAGCCGTGGGGGGAGCAGTCATCCGCCCTTGTTCCCGAAGGCCTCGGGATTGGGGAAGTCGTGCTTGACGATGGATCGTGGACCAAATTACTCCGTATAAGATTGCCGAATGACCCTCGGCGGGTATTCTTGTCTGATACTTTTTTTTTACTTTCTCTTTTCTTTTTTATCTCTTTGGTGCGGTACAAGAACCCAATCCTTTCTTATTATACCTTCCGCTCGTCCTTGACTTCCTCCGCTTCCCCGTCATAGCTACCAAGAACCGCTTTCTCCCCAGGTTTTGGATCCGCCACTTCGCTGAATAACCCGGGTCATTTCTTAAAAAAAAAAAAAAAAGAGAGAGAGAGAGATTCAGTCATCTCTTCAATTCTTTCCAAATTGCCATTTCAAAGACAATTTGTCGTACAATCTAGTTTTTTTCGGCTTCTATTCCGGCAACGGTATACTTCCGAGTCCCTCCGCAGTCTCTCCGCGATTTTCGGCACTCAATTTGACGGAGCCCCCAAATTTCACTTGGTCCAATTGAGCTTCTCCCATTAGTCGCAAAGGAGAACCTCCATTTTCTGGTGTATAATTATCACGATCCGATTCGATTCACATTATGTCTGCCAAAACTGCCAATGGCAATAAGAGGGCCTCGCCCGCGGTCAACCTGATCGGTAGAGCTCCCCCCGATCTCCCCAAAAAGTTACTGGAGAAACGACACGCCAATGCTAACACGTTTTTTGACTATTAGCTGGTGGTGGTGCCGGTATGATGGAAGCTCTCGTGTGCCATCCTCTGGACACGATTAAGGTCCGCATGCAGCTCTCGCGGAGAGCTACGGCCCCTGGAGTAAGTTATACTGTGTACAAACGGGCTCTTCATTGCAAGTGCTAACTTCAACCTTTTGCAATTGAATAGGTCAAGCCCCGTGGTTTCGTAGCCACCGGTGCTGAGATTGTGCGCAAGGAGACTGGTCTGGGCTTGTACAAGGGTTTGGGTGCCGTGCTGGGTGGTATCATTCCCAAGATGGCCATTCGATTCACTTCTTATGAGTCGTACAAGTCTGCTCTCGCCGATAAGGAGACTGGTCAGGTTACCAGCAAGGCCACTTTCCTTGGTATGTCATCATATGGACCCTCCGTGTATTCTGTGGTCAATTAGCTCATTCTCTTCCCCTCTAGCTGGTCTCGCCGCCGGTGTGACTGAAGCCGTGGCCGTCGTCAACCCCATGGAAGTCGTCAAGATTCGTCTCCAAGCTCAACACCACAGTCTGGCCGATCCCCTCGATGCCCCCAAGTACCGCAGCGCACCCCACGCTCTCTTCACCATCATCCGCGAAGAAGGTTTCAGCGTCCTGTACCGCGGTGTCTCCCTCACAGCCCTGCGCCAGGGTACCAACCAAGCCGCCAACTTCACCGCATACACCGAGCTCAAGGCTGCTCTGCAACGCGCTCAGCCCGAATTCGCCGACGCCCAGCTCCCCTCTTACCAGACCACCCTCATCGGTCTGATCTCCGGTGCCGTCGGTCCCTTCTCCAATGCCCCCATCGATACTATCAAGACCCGTCTGCAAAAAACTCGGGCCGAGCCTGGCCAGTCTGCGGTGACTCGTATCGTGGTCATTGCCAAGGATATGTTCAAGACTGAGGGTGCTCGTGCCTTCTACAAGGGTATTACCCCTCGTGTGATGCGTGTGGCTCCCGGTCAGGCCGTCACTTTCACCGTGTATGAGTTCCTCAAGGGTAAGTTGGAGAAGTCCAACTGGGCCTTTGTGGGCGGTTCATTTGAGGAGTAAAAAAAGTCATTGAAATCGTGAAATGGTGGTAAGCCAGGGCTTGTTGGTTGTGGGAAGCATGTGATACCATACCAAAGCATGGTGGCGTTGCGTTGCTTGTCTTCATCTTCCTTTTTTTTTTTGTTTGGATGTCTCTTGTTTTTTGCCAGCGTGGGTTTTGGATACCCGCGAGAGACTGTGCCGTTTCATGGCCAGTCAGAACACTTTTCTGTATATATTCTGGTTTCCTTAGTTCTGTGTATACCACGTTGTTGGATCAGTCAGTCTTCGAGTCGAGCGGATCGAGTCGGTATCCAAGTAGAAGATTTGTAGTGATCGAGAGTAAAATCACCAAGCCTAGCTTGTTAGTAGTTGAATAATAAAGACATTCATGCGATGATGGCTTCGATCAAAGATCATTGTTTTGAGGACCTCTCGGAAGGAGAGGAGATGACAGTCCTACTCCTGTAATCTAAGGCCGCCCCTCATCATTCACCGCTTCCCCTCCTTCCCTCCCCATAAACAACAACTCACCCAAACAACCCCAAAGCCCAAAACTGCACGACATCATGCAGTCAGGAATCACAGGTACATCAATGACTCCCTCCATCTTATCAATCTCCAACCCAATCCCCCCATTGAGACACCACAACTAACGATAACCACAACCAGTCTCCTCGGAGCTCCACGATGCCTTCAACCGCTTCACCACCAACCCCTCAACCTTCTGTCTCCCCGTAACCATAACAGCAGAAAGCCTCACCCCACTATCCCCAATCCCCTTCTCCGGCTCCTCCACCAGCCCAGATGCATTCTACACCTCCCTAACCCAGATCTCTTCGATCCTGCAGCCCAAGACCCCGATTTACCTGATCCTGCGCCGCCCGCTCGCAAGCAAGACCACCCTCGTCGCATTGACCTATATCCCCTCCAATGCCCCCGTTCGGCCGAAGATGCTCTTCGCGTCGACTCGATCGACCCTTGTTCGTGAGCTAGGCACGGAGAAGTTCGATGATACCGTCTTTGCTACGGAGGAGGAGGAGATTGTTGGTCGTGAGGCGTGGTCGGAGCGGGATGGGGATAAGGCTGGCGTGGGGAGGGAGGCGCTTATGGGGGAGAAGGAACGCGAGCTTGAGGCTGTCAGGCGGGCGGAGGCTGAGGCTAGGAGTGGTACGCCGCAAAGGGATATTGGGATTGGGGGGACTTTTGGGCCTGGCACCGGTTCGGGGATGAGGGTGTCTATGCCTGTTGATGAGGCGGCCAAGTCGGCTTTGAATGAGCTTGGTGATGGGGGGTTGGTGCAATTGGTGTGTGATTTTCCTTCTTGGGCCTATCTACAAGGATGTGGATGGAAAAGTGAGGAAGGTATGTTCTATTTGCAATGCTAACAGTTGGTTCCTTATGCAGACTGTGGATATCCCCACTGAGACTATCACCCTTGCCGACAAGCAGTCCGGGGTTCAACCGGATTCCGTTGCTACCCACATCTCCTCCTCTTCGCCTCGGTACTCCTTCTATCACTATCCCGGCTCGGATGTCGTAGTGTTCATTTACACCTGCCCCACGGGATCCTCCATCAGGGAGCGCATGCTGCACGCCAGCTCGCGGAGGAATGCCATCACAGTCGCCGAAGGGGAAGGACTCAAGATCTTGAAGAAGGTATGGAATAGCGGTCGAACTTTGTAGCTGCGGGGATTGGTGCTAATGCTCGTGGATGATAGATCGAGGCTTCGGGACCGGACGAGATCACTGGAGAGCGGTTGAAGGAAGAGGTGCACCCGGCACAGGATTCGGGTCCTGCTCGGGGATTTGCTCGCCCCAGACGTCCTGGTCGGTAGATCACGAGTTGATAACAAGACTCTCTTGAGAAGCACACATATTTTGTAGCGTATATATAGCCTGGCAAAGCCAAACATGGCGAATCCGAAGGTCACTCGCCATTCTCAGTTGGAAAATGTATACGCCACCACGGCTTAGACTGGAAAAACTTCGCACACACCGCAAGGCCCGCGCGTACCTCCCTCCCGGTATCCTCCCAAAAGCAGAGAGAAGACACCAAACCAGCCATGAAGGAAGGAAACGCAGACCTCGATCATTGATTCCGGAAACTTTTCTTTTGGTAGAATAAATCCGTCCTCGAACTTCCCAGATTTATAATCTTGGGACAACCGTCGCGGTCCTTCTCCAGGCGCGTGCACTCGAAGCAGTAGAATGCATCACTGATGCCCTCGCCACCGCAGACGACGCATTTGTTCTGGTAGTTGCCGAAGGAGCACTCGTCGCAGATTCGTACCAGCGTGGTGGGCCGCACGTAGGAGTCGCACACGGGGCATTTGCCGTCACATTTGTCGCAGAGACGGCCGATGGAGATGCCGGGTTGCTTGCGGCACATGACGAGATCGGGGTGATGGCGAGACATGGTGGGTGGATATTTGGAGAGGAGATTAGGTTGAGAGGGTAAAAAGGCGAAGGTGTGTGTTATGTGTAGCTCCTGGCTTGAGGAGAGGAGAGGTGGTGAATTACAAAGCCGTTCGGAGGTGTGGTTTAGAGAGGAAAAGAAGCTAGCAGAAGTCGGATGGGGCCCGTGCACGTGCCCCGTCACACCCGCTCCGAGCTACTTGCGCGTGTTCACTGCTGGATCGAGTTGAAGGACTTCGGAGAATATTGGCCAGATCGTTGAGGACGAGAGACCCGTCCGTGCCCACTAGAAGGCTCTTTACAACCTTCACTTTACTTCATCTCAAATCGCGACTATCGATTGGTCCACCATGTCTGAAGGGTACGCCGATTCTTCGGACGCAGTATCATCGCATTTGCGCTTGAGCCATTTACGCTGACCTTTTCCTTTCTTCACTCGCAGGACCCTCGCGTCGGCAGTCGCCGTTCCAGAACCGGATAATATACGACAATCACCCGAAACCTCCACGAAAAGGAGACAATCCTCCGTATCGGAACACGACACAAAGCGCCGCCGTCTCAGTTCCCAAGGCGATATCTCTCCACAGGCCCGGCGACAACAGCATTCGCCACAGGCGTCCGCGCCAGATCGTCCCGCTGAACGGAGGCCTAATCGGCAGGGCCGAGAGGAAGACCGGAAGCGTGGGCAGCGGCTGTTCGGTGGGCTGCTTGGCACGCTTTCGCAGAGCTCGACGTCGGCGGCGCAGAAGCGCCGCGCTGATATTGAGAAGCGGCAGCAGGATAAGCTTAAGTCACAGGCGGATGAATATGATGAATTGAAAAAGAGGCGGAGGGAGAGACGGGATGTCATTCGCAGGAAAGAGAAGCCATTTTATGAGCGGGAGGCTGTATGTTGATCATGCCTGCTTGTCCAGGTTTGCCTGTTGGCGTACAATAATTGACTGACAACCCTTACTTTATAGATGCAAACTCGGCATTCCAACTTGGTAGCCATGGCGCATTTCCTCAAGACGCGAACAGAGCCAGTCTTGGTACGATGAACCTGATCCATGAGCTAATTGTGTTTTATTTGCTAACATTTTCGCTACGCAGTACTATAAGCCATGGCAACTACGATCCGGCGATGAAGACGTGATACGGGAACAAATCGAAGAAGCCGAAGCGAAGGTCGCCCGAGAAGTCGCCGAATTCGACGCCCGGTATCCGCCTGAGGCCTTTGTATACGAGAAGCTTGAGCCAATATCAGCAGAGGCGGCTGGTCCGCAAGGAGAATCAGAAGAGAAGCAGCAGGCAAAGCCAACTGCAGAGCCGGTCTCTGAGCAAGCCCCGGTTCCCAAACCTGAGGCTGATACCAAGGAGCCGAAGGAGGCTCCGGTTGAGAAAGATGCACAACCCAGCAAGGAACAAGCATCCGAACCCATTCAATCTGAGACCGCACCTACCGAGGTGGTCGATGCTGCGGATTCCAAGGATGATGCTCACCCTCCCACCCACGACGATGATGGGGATGAAATGCTGGAAGATAACGAGGATACCGTGATTTATTAGCGATCGTATATTGAGTTTTTTATGCTATATTCAGGACTTAAGGATACCTAAATAGTGACATCCACCAATCAAATATTCCGTCTATGCTGTTCTACCGTTTGCAATGACGATGACGCTCCGGAACCGTTGGAGCTTGAGTTCTGCAGCCGAGGCATACCGATCGGTCAAACGAGGGGCCTTCCTCGGCTTGTGTCCGCTTGACGTAGTCACGCAGAGCTTCCCCTCAACTCTAAGACAAGCTAGTCTGGGGTGGAACTAACTTGAGTAGACTGTTTCAAGTTTTATTTGTAATTATTCGTCAAGACTGCGCCCTTTTTAAGTTTAACGTTGCATTTTAGTTTAGTCGTTTTCACATGATGACAAGTAGGCTTTGAGCTAGATATATATCGGTCTTCCCAGGGAACACTGCACAACCCTCCAATCAGTCTTTCTGGTTCAAGCAATCTTTGAACCTAGAGTGTATTTGGTGATACTCACAGTATTCGAAAATAGAATATACTGAGCACAACCGCCATTATGCCAGTTGACAAGATCCGGGTCTCCGGTGATCCTCGCATCGAGTACAAGTCGGCCACGGTTAATGGCCACAACTACGGTGAGTATTCCAAACAATTTGACCACCCCCAAACAGCGAATAAATGGAAAATACCTCCGAGGATTGTGCAATATCTGATACTTCATCCTCCAAACGCAGGTTATCTCCTCTGTCAACCACAGGCAGGCAAGTATCGAGCTACGATCTTCCTGGTGAGTTAGGACACAGCCCCCCACCTCGAGTCGTTAGCAAGGTAGTCCAATACTAAGCTATTTCTAGATCCATGGCTTCCCAGATCTCTCCATGGGATGGCGCTACCAAATCCCTATGCTAGTGAACATGGGGCTGCGAGTCGTCGCACCAGACTGCCTCGGCTACGGCCGAACGGTGAGCATATTGACCGAAAGCAGCCCCAAACTGTAAACGAACATGTTCTAATAAATGCTTAGGACGCGCCCGATGACTTTACACTTTACTCTCACAAACGCTGCGCGGATGATATCAAGGCGCTCGCGTTTCATCTAGGAGAGTCTAAGATCATCTTGGGCGGGCATGACTGGTACGGAAACAGTCCACACTGACAGCCACTTCATTCATACTAACTATTATACAAAGGGGCGCCGCACTGGCCTATCGAATCGCCCTCTGGCACCCAGAATTAATCAGCCACCTCTTCACCGTCTGCGTACCCTACGCCCGGCCTACGCCTACTTATCTGTCACTGGAGGACCTCGTAAAGGGTGCAGCCCCGAACTTGGCGTATCAGGTACACTTTGCCAGCGGAGAACTTGAGAAATTTGTCCGTTCCAAGAGCGAGATTAAGCAGTTTCTGACTGCGCTCTATGGGGGCCGGACGGCAGAGGGGGAGATTGGAATTGATGCTGAGAAGGGGGTGTTTTTGGATAAACTTCCCGGGTTGAGACCTTCGCGGTTATTGAGCGAAGAGGTAAGATTGCTTCTGGGTTGTCGACATGGCGTGTGATGGGCACTGACGGTGTATTAGGAGTTGGATTATTATGCGACCGAGTTCTCTAGGAGTGGTGTCCATGGGCCATGTATGTTTTTCCCGAAATCCTTGATTGATAATGTATAGCTAACCGGAGACAGTGAACTGGTACCGAACTCGGAAGGTCAACTATGAAGAGGAGTTGGCTATTCTTGATCGCAAGATTACCATTCCAGTTCTTTTCATCCAGGCTCTCAGGGACCCGGCTCTACCGCCGCACTTGGGCAAAACAATGGGCAAGCATGTGCCTAACCTGACCTTGAAACAGGTGAATACTGCTCACTGGGCGCTGTGGGAGAAGCCTGAAGAGGTGAATGGCATTATTTCGACTTGGTTGAAGGAGGTTGCGTTTGGGGATGGCCGCTTGGGGAAACTTTGATAAGAAGATATCGAGCATCGTGTACAAATATCATTCGTTCGAAATGAGATTATCCTGTTTCAATACATCATAAGGATGCAGCTTTAAGTCGTCAGAGCGTAGAAAAAAACATTTCATCACAGTAAGAAGAAAAACAACTATCAAAAGACCAGGGGCTGCTTGTTTGCGCAAGCCTCACACTAGAGACACATTGCCACACACTTCACCAGGCTAATACTGGAAAGTCTTTGTATCGATGTGACATCCCACATTTTCAATACGATCAACAAAGTCCTGACCCAAAGTCGCCGACGTCACAATACCACCACGCGATACCTTCTTCACCTTCTCCTCCTCCTTAAGAATAGTCATCGCAGCCTCAGCAAGCAACAACCCCGTCAAAACATACATAGTACCATGATAAGTAAACTTGCCAAAGACCCGCTTAGGAGCCGGACCCTCCTGATCAGCCGTCGCCACAGCATGATACTCAAGACGATCATTCTTCGACGCCTCCAGGGTAGGACCCTGACCCGGCGCAAAAATGAACTTGCGAACCAGCGCGCGAACGGGCGGGATCATGAGCAGCGAGATGCCGAGTAGGAAACCGATGTGCACGACGACGCCGATGAGGGAGTTGCGCACGTGCAGGAATTGCCGGAAGAAGAAGCGTTTGCCGTAGAGCTCTGGCATGAGGGTGCTGCTTCGGTGGACGATGGTGATGTCGGCCATGCCGGAGGGGGAGGTGGTTACCGTACCGAGATCGCGGATCCAGCGTGCGCCGAAGAGTTTGTTGATGATGGACTCGCTTGGGATGTCCTTTGGTGGGGGTGATGCTGCAAGGGCGAAGGGGGTCATTGATTTTGTTAGCTCGGAGGATGGGAGCCAGTCGAAGATGCTGAGGACGGTGTTGAGAGTGCCGCCGCTGGGGCCGGAGGATCTGGGGTATATTAGAATTTGTGCATGGAGATGGTATTGGGATGAAGGCGCTTACTTCATCTCCTTGATGCAACAGTCAATCTCCCTTGTCTGGCATGCGAGTTCTTCTCGGACGTGCTTGACCAGAGCCCAGGCCAGCATGTCTGCTGGGGCACTCTCGACGCCAACCGAGGGGATGATCTAGCTGCAGTTAGCATGGAACTAGGGAAGCTAGTTTCTGGATACTTGCAATTGCGCCGTTGCTCTTGGCCTTCTCGTGGTATTTGTCGATGATCAGCTTGACCCATGGGGTCTCGCCAGTCCTGCAAGAGTTAATTCTCGCCTGTGCAAGTGTGAACAGGACTTGAACTTACGCATCAACATAGTGGGTGCCATGCGCAGCACAAGCCTCAACTACTGGAGTCGAGTACAGGTGGTAGGGGCCAATGCAATTGATGATGAGTCTAGTCTTCTGCGCAAGCTCGTTCAACTCGGTCGAGTTGAGCTGGACAGCAAGGACATCTATTGCATGAACAAGGTTAGAGTTCATTCAATAACCAAGTAGAGGATAAGTCGGGTTCACTGGGGAAGCTGTTGTTGTGTCATACCAGGCTGAATCCGATCCGAGTTGAGCTTCTTGAGCTCCTCGGCGATAGGCTCGATCTTTTGCGGCGAACGACCTGCAATGGCCCATTTCAGATCCGTGGGAAGGTTCTTGACAATGTGCTCTGAGCAGAAGCGGCCAGTATAGCCAGTGGGGCCTAGAAGAACCAAGTCATACTGCCGGGTGGAAGCCATGTTGTGGGGACTGTAGCTTATTGTTTTTTTGCAGATGGACTGTTTTGGTAGGGGGAGCTCTTGGGTGGATCAGAAGGGCCTCGGTCCGCTGATTGAAGGGGGTTGATAAAGAAAAGGAGGGGGATTTTCAAGAAAGAAGGTTGGAGTTGGGATTAAAAATCAGGGAATTTAAGAACCTTTTGAGAGATCCTTGCCAGGTTACACTGCAAAAAAAAAGCTCCCCAGTTTATCTCGCAATGTCGTCAAGATGTTGATCGAGCCAAGGGAGATCTCACGTGACCGGAGAGTTGAGTCTGGCCGACGGGCGGTTTGTGCTTGTTTGGGCTGCGTGCCCACTTCATTGGACTCAGAGGGGTTGAAGAAGGAAGGTCACTAGGGAGATATAGGAATGGGCGGAAATGTTAAATGGAATAGACTTGTGTATTTGGAGAGTATTGCTAAATCAATTCAATATGGGTACTGCTAAACAATACAATCACCTCTATTTTATTTTAAGTATTCTTCAATATCTGACATGCAGCACTGGTAAATCTCAGGGCACGAGGATCTGCAGCGAACAGAAAGTGGTCTGTGCTCGATGACATAAGGTTGGCAAATTGTGCCCTGGTGATATGTCTCTCTCACCGCCTTCCTATTTCCACACTCCCTCTGCAACACCCCAGTCAGGTGACCACACCACGCCAAGGCCCCGAGCCCTAAGCGAGCCCACCCACAACCACTCTTCTAAAGCCTCTTTTCGATCACTTCGTTATCCATCTTCACGCTCAACAGCCGCCTTACAGCCAAGATGACCAAGCGCACCAAGAGTATGTCGAATCCCTCGAATTTATCGCCCTTCTTTGTTTCCTTCGATTCCCCGTTTGCTAACCCTTTTTTCCAGAGGTCGGTATCACCGGCAAGTACGGTACCAGGTATGCTCAACACCCATGAATCCCTCACCCTCGCCAATATCCCCGAACGACCGTGATCACTTCGACCGCCCCAACGACTGTGAAACATCGAACGAGAACCGGCAACCTCCGAATCAAAAGCACACGATATTGACCAAGAATTCTTCTTCACACAGATACGGTGCCTCTCTGCGTAAGCAGGTCAAGAAGGCCGAAGTTTCGCAGCACGCCCGTTACATCTGCACCTTCTGCGGAAAGAACACCGTGAAGCGCAAGGCTGTTGGTATCTGGGAGTGCAAGGGCTGCAACAAGACCGTCGCCGGTGGTGCTTACACCGTCTCGTAAGTTGCACCAGGACCCGCAAGAAAAAAAATCGAGTTCGATCGGAAAGAGGAGGGATATGGGGATGGAATCAATCTGGAATCGAATATCGTCTCGAGAAATTGCGTGGACATGATCGCTAACCAAGGATATTATCTACAGGACCCCCGCCGCCGCTGCCACCCGCTCCACCATCCGTCGTCTCCGTGAGATCGTTGAGATCTAAGCGTGATGAATGTGGTTTCCTTTCTCTTTACGGCTACGTCTGAATACCAAAAATGAAAATTTCGGAATCATAAAGATTTTGCATCCCTCCCCCCCCGGATATCTACGTAAAATTGGGACTGTCCGACCCATACGGTGCTGGCCAACAGCCACCTGAATAAGCCCTGGACAGTCCGCTGCACCGTGATTGCGAACTCGATTGCCCGACCGTCCTGATCTGATTCTTTGCATGAGCCAAGTGCAATGTACCCTGCAGCATCAACATCGTGGTCCCCATACAACCCCACGCAGGACTCGGGCAATCGCCGTAGAACCCTGATTTTGGACATCTTTTACCCTTCATCTGTTGACTAGTGACCTTTCCGACCAATCATCCCCTTTGCAACTACGGGTTATCTACGTTCGCCTACTCTCCCGGCATCTATGCGAACGTGAGGCTGAGATCGTTCACTCGGGCCCATGCGATGGGCCCGATCTCACGCCGGGTGGCTTAGGGCGGCCTGGATACTCAGCTGCATGACTCAGACGAAGGTGAACCCGTGAGGTCCTCAGAAACGTGACCGCTAGGAAACCTTGTAGATTCGTTGTTGACCGCCGAAGGTTGACCCCCAACCGTGTAGAAAGTGGGTTGATCCAGGACATGCCGCGTCGGCGCCTTGCATCAAGGGCGCAGGCCCCCCAAGGTTTTCAGAGATCGAACATTTCAGGATCTCACAATCCAGGACGAAATACTAAAAACCATCAGGTACCATAACCGATATTCCGGGGCTTCTCATTCGCGCCTGACTGGTGATTCGCCTCCGTCACGTTGGCGCCCCATTTTGCGTTAGACTGGAAATCCCGGCCCACCTTCAAAAGGCCCGGCTGCCGCTTCTCCACTTTACACTCGACACACTTCCCTCCCCTCGCGCTTTCTCCCTCGATGCTTCATGCCGTCTCTCAACCGATCGATCACTATCTTTTATACTGTCCATGTCCGACACCTGTATTGTCTGTTTAGGAGACCTTGGCGAAAGCGCCAGTGATCCCCTCGCCGTCGAGTCCGTGCCAAGACTCCTCCACGATGCTGCCGACCCGACGGCTAAGGCGCCTACGCTCGATGACGAGGAGGGTTCGGGTGAAATCGCCCAGTTGCTCCCATGTGGACATATCCTGCATAACGTTTGTCTGAAGCCCTGGGTGGAGCGGGCAAACAGTTGTCCAATATGTCGCCGCAGTTTCAATATGGTCGAGCTAAGTGACCGTCCCGGAGGTATGTACTTTGTTCCCCTTGTTACCGTGAACTGATAACGAGTGTTTGGTTTATTGAATGAGACTCATTGCTAATTACTTTGATTTGTACTATAGGCCCTGTCACCTCATCATATGCTGTCCAAGACCGAGTCCAAGTCGCCGAGATCGACCCATCGATGGTCATCGACTACTTGGAGGATGACTTGGCTGACTACCAACCCTGCACGATATGTGGCGAGAGTGACAACGAAGATGTTCTCCTACTCTGTGATGGCTGCGATGCCCCTTCCCATGTATACTGTGTGGGATTGGAGGATGTTCCCTCCGGGTCATGGTACTGCGAGCGTTGTGAGACACAGCGTGCTATAGAACCTACTACGGAGGCACCAGCTCGGTCCACCCGTACAAATGAACGGCGGACCCGCCGCACTCGTGGTCAACAGCGCCAGGCACAGAGTAGGAATCAGATTAATTCCCTGCACTGGGCCCGCGTATGGCAATCCGTATGGGATCATCTGAACATTGACCTGGACTTCCCCTTCGACGATGACCGATCGGCGCAACGGGTTATGCAGCAACGTCGTCGGGAGGAAGCCAACCAACGCGAATTCCGTGCCTGGCAGCGACGGTTTGAGGTCGCCGAGCGACAGGGTGGTGGCAGTCGCTTTCGTGACACTGCCCCTCTATTTGACATCGAGCCCGCTCGGCCATCCAGACCTCGTGTGCCCAGAAACCCGACACCCGAACCCGAGTCCCTTGAGGAGATGCGGGCCTGGAACGCATTTGAAAGAGCTCGCGAGATCGAGAACAACCCAAGTGCCGCTCGTAAACGCAAGGAGCCGACTCTATCACCTTCGCCGGAACCCACGGAGCCACAGCGTAAGCTGAAGCGCCCGCGCACAAGACGACCCCAGGAACTCGCTGCCATGGCTCAACAGAACGGGGAGTCATCTAGAGCAGCGAGCGCTGGTGCTAGCGGTAGCGGCAGCGCCAACTCCAACGCGATCGCCAATGTCAGCGCCAATGTGAACTCGAATGCGAACACGAACGCCTTGGGGGAACCCAGCTTTCTGTCATCTCTCTTGAAGGAAGTGGAAGATGCGTCTACCACCGACCGCACAACCCCTCTCATGCTGTCTGCGCCTACATCTATTGCTCCTACGGACCATCTGTCCCCGGGACCCTCTCCTTCTATCTCCCCCTCATCATCCAACCAATCCTCTCCTCGCCTATCCTCTACGACTCCCCCTCCATTTTCTCGCAGTCGACCTATATCCCCGCTTCAACTTTCCTCTCCTGTCGAACCCTCTTCACCTCCATTTTCGCCTGAAGTGTCATTTTCCGGCAGCCCGATCTCTCCGAGCGCGAATAGGGAGAAACAATCACCTCCACGCGAGACCGTTCGACCACGCTCTCGCATTCCGCGGCGAGCCATCGAATCTAGAGATTCTCGATCTGCTGATACGTCACCCTCTCGCGCGGGCCCCTCTCTGGCGGTCAAATCCGATATCCGAGGCATGGTCAGCATGGCCCTGAAGCCGCACTACCGCTCTAAGACCATTTCCCGGGAGCAATATACCGAGACTAATCGCACCATCTCACGCATGCTCTACGATCGTGTTGGAACTGCCCAGACACTCACTCCAGAAGCCCGCACGGACCTGGAGAATACCGCAAACTTCGAGGTCCAAAAGACCGTGGGCGCGATACACAAGAACAATAAAGAACACCGACAGAAGTTGAAACAGAAACAGCCCATGGTGGCTGCAGACTCGGATGGTGATATATAATGACTTCCTGCTATGATACAACATCTCTCTACTTCCATGGCATTTTGTGGCGTTTCGTTGCACTGGTGGATCTGTGGGTGGGGCTCTTTTTTGGCCTTAGCGAGGGACTTGGGTTATACTAATTCTTTACCTGGTGTTTGATGGCATTTGCTTGCATCTTATCAGAGGCGGAGTCTACATTGTCCTTGTTTCTTTAGCGAGATATGACCGGGGGTCACTGGGGACTTTTTTTTTTCTCTATACCCATGACATAATGATAGCGACTTTGATTCAAGTTTCAATTTGGGTGTGAACATATGTAACAGTTAAGAGACCAAGCCAGTAGAGAGTACTGTAGTATCATCAAGCGACCTCACGATATGAAGCTGAGAGATTGAGAAAGTGAGAGACGTTTAACTTTATTTGATGCCTGACAAACTAGGCATACAACCCATATCTATGAGATCCATTACATTGGACTTGTACCTTCTTTCAATTTGGTTTCTTTTAAGATCTTTCACATTCTGTATTCATCTTTCTGTATACGACTAGACTTCTGTGTTGTGATGCTCTAAATGGTGGTGGGAGACACGGAAAGTGCCTGTGTAGCAATTGCCCATCTCAGCTGGGCCTGGTCTCGTTAAGAATTGACCGATTGTTTCGACTTTCGACTTTCCTTGAACCTCTCTATCATCAATCAGAGCGCACTTGGAGAATTTTACTACTTATCACTCATGCCAATCAGGTACCTTTGCCGGCCACAACCGCTCCTCGAGTTCTTTGTTCACCGTTGACCCAAGCCCCAAGCCCCAAGCTCTCCCTTTTCAGCACTCACTCAACTTGCGCAGTGACTCTGGGGAAAAATCGCACTTGCTTCTGCGCCCTGGGAGATAATTTCCTTGAAGTGTTTTTCACTGTCTCAGGCCCAAACCCGCAACATGGCGCGACAACATTCCGCCTGTTGCGACTGTGAGCGATGCCATCCTTTCAAAGAGATACTACAATTTCTCATGAACCCCAAGACCAAGAGACCGCCGAGTCCAGAAATCCTCTACACCCGACGAAAACGACAAGAGCGTCGCGTCGCTGAAGAACTGCGAAAATGGTCAGAAAAGGAAAACCGGCCCAATTCCAATCCCTCTTCAACACCACAGAGAGTCACTCGATCAGGAAAATACGCGCCGGTCACGGTATCTGCCGAAGCACTGATAGTCGCGCAGAACATCCTTCGTCGATTCAAAAATTACCAGGGTGTCTTCTTTACGCACTTGGAGGTTCAGATCATGTTCTTCTGGCACACGTGTCAAGCTATGGTCGGGGCGAATATGGATCCGGCACTGTCCATGATGATCACCGGTATTTTGGCACCTTATGCGACGGATATGGAGCTTCATACTCGAGCGACGGAGATCCTCCGCGGCGAACGAGACCGCCTTAATCAAGCCCAAGCTGCGGAATTGAATGAAATGGTACAGTTGCTCGTTGCAAATGGGGCTGAAATACGGAGCTGGGATACCTTGGCCCAGGGCACGATGTTTTACTTCAAGGCTTCGAATATTGCTATCACACAGATACAACCTCCATCGACGACAACTTCACCATCTAGAGGAACACCCAATGAAGCGTCTATCCAGATTGCGCAGAGCTTAGTTGTTCGTGAAGAAGCTCCTCCCACCCCGAAGGGTGTGATGGTGGTGGCGAAGCCACAAGTGGATACGCGATTGGAGCAGCTTGAAGAGGAGAATTGTCTCCTGACGGAAAAGGTCTATTATCTGGAGGAGGAGACAGTTCAGGTACAAGAGGATTGGGATATCATGGAGCGGAAACTCCTCGAGTCGGAGGCTGAGAACCGGCGGTTGAGGAACGTGTTGCTCGAGTCGGGGGATGAGAATCAGCGCTGGAGGAACTTGTTTGAAGCATCATTGCAGATCTTCAGGGAACCGTGGGATTCACTCAAAGAAAAACATGAAAATTGATGACTATGACGGTCTGCTGGATTCAGACTTGGTTCCCACAGCTTGGAGGGAGCTTTGCATATTGAGATATCAGATCGTGAGCCTTCACATGAACAATACGAAAGGACCGGATTTACATACAAGCAGAATCATAGACTAGTGAGCCGCTCTTCAAGATGCAAGATAAATTCACATCCCGTGAGACTCTAGAGCTGGGTGGGTACTCCTCGCGTGCTGTTCTATGAGCTTTGCATAGTCGTCACACTATCGGCATACAATCGGGATACTCCGTTAGGATTGCCGACGACCGGCACTCGGTTCAAGCGCGGGGAAGTATGCGGGGTGCAATAGCCGCATGACTGGCTGTAGAGCATAAAAATATTTCTGTCGCATCGGATGCGATTACTCAAGCTCCAGGGCAATATCGTCATTGTGAAGATTTTGAACATTTGGAGAAAAGTGACTTGATTGAAAGATGCCTCAATTACCTCGCTACGAATATACCGGTCCGGTGGACTGCACCATTCCACCGAACCGAGATGTTTTGAAAGGAAAGAGCGTTATTATTACTGGCGGTATGTCTGAAGATGTACAATTCCAGCAGCTTCAGTGTTGACTTCAATAGGAGCAAATGGCATGGGTGAGGCGACGGCGCGAGCTTTTGCCGCTGAAGGGTATGATGGATCCCCAGAAGTACATGTTTTGAAATTTGGCCGATGACAAGATATCATGAAATCTAGAGTATTTGTTACAATTGCCGATCTTGATGTTGCCAGAGGTGAACGTGTTGCAGAGGAGCTGAGTCCGTTCGTGTCACTGACCAAGTCCCTCTTCATGCTGTGGGAGGGTTTTAGTCGTTTGATCATGTTACTGATAGAGGCTTATAGCAATGCTCGCTTTGTTAAATGCGATATCACCTCTTGGGATGATCAAGTTTCTATGTTTGAAGCTGCGATTACGCATTCTCCGAATAAGAGCTGTGATATCGTTATTGCGAATGCAGGAATTAGTCGTGCTTCTGGGGACGATCTGTGGCCATTGGATGGTATGAAGCATCATGAAAAAAAGGCCCAGACTAGTTATGTTCTAACCTCTTCCGCAGACCCTGATGCTGCACCAGTAAAGCCGAAACTGAATATTGTCAATGTCAACTTGATTGGTACGATGTACACATGGAAATTGGCTGTGCACTACTTTCGCAAGCAGCCCGATACGGAGGATCGAGATCGCTGTTTTATCATGACTGGAAGCATGACGGCGTGGATTGACTCACCTGTATGTATTGGGACAAAGATACCTGAAGTATAGCAAGCGGATTCGAGGCTGACCTCTCAAATCAGGCAAATTGGCAGTACACCAGCACCAAATATGCACTGCGCGGATTGATGAGAACTGCACGACGCAATTCCCATGAACAAGGCATTCGAATCAACTACGTCGCTCCATGGCAAGTCGCCATTATCCAAGACAAAGATCACCGCAGTCTCTAATACAGAAACAGCTATATCAAAAGCGCTATCCGCTCAGCCGAGTACGAAGCCCAGCTAATCTCCAAGGGGGTTGAATTCGCTCCCCAAGAGGACGTGGCTTCGTGTATGATGAAACTTGCCACAGATAGGACAATTAACGGTATGTCGTGTTTACTTTGTTTGTGAACTCAGTACTAAACATGATAGGTCACTCTTTGATGATTACGCCGAGGTCGGTTGCTAAAGAGGGCTTCATGGATGTCGGTAAAGATGATCATATCGAAGAAGGATATTTCAAACATACACAGGATGTTCAGCTTAGGATTATTGAGGATCAGTGGGTGCCAGGTTGGAGTAAAGGGAGGACTCCGGAGGGTGCAAAGAAGGCATGAAATGTGGAGGTCATGTACATACAACATTGGCTTTTCAACAGGGTAGTAGGAGAATATTACTGAGAGCATTCAATTACTAGAGCCGACAAAGTTAAGTTAGTATGAATGATCGTTGGACCGAAGAACTTGTCTAGGCTCAATCCGTTGTTCTTGACTGGCCTGATGGCCGAGATTAAATCCAATCTACTTGTACCTTTTTGGAGGAAAGAATTCCTGGGATGGCCCCTGTGACTTTACTGTATCTAAGAGAGTTGTAATCGTCTCAGAAGTACGTGGTCTTAAGTTCAATTACTAGCTCGCACTCGTTAACCCGAAATTTTGAACTGGGAACAGGCATTACTGGATATAAGAATGCCATCTTGTTTGATACACGTAGAAGGACCGTATTCAGGGATTCTTCTCGCAGTCATGGAAATTATTCTGCCTTGATCTCGAAAGGACCTGCTGCAGGACCGCTCAGAGCCCACGTAATACCACCGCTCATCACCTCGTCCCACCTCTTACTGGAGGCGAGCTTGTCACCGTGCCGTCTAAATCCATGAGGCACACCAGGGAAGACATTGATATCAGTAGGAACACTAGGAGGACCTGAATTAGCAGAGATCCAACCACATTATTGAGCCTAACTTACCCGTTCTCACTGAGCAGCTTTCCATAGAACAGACCCTCGTCGCGAAGCGGATCATTACCAGCAATTCCAAAGGCCGTGGGTGGTAAATTCTTGGCCTCCTCCGCAGTGGCATTTCCAGGATTCATGCGCAGATTGCGACCAGCATTTTCGAAGTTACCCATCTTGAGTAACGACATGAAGAGATTGATCCGTGAAACGGGCAAAATCGGCGCTTCAGCACATGTCACATAACTGGACACCTCGGGGCTACGCAGCATCTCTTTGCGGGGTGCATAGTAGTCCGCGATTACGAGGCAAGGAATCATGAGGACCTGGCCCCGAATCTTGGGGTAGGCCTTCACGCGCTCATTATCTCCGTACAATTGGGCGAGTGTCAATGACGCGGTCAATTGAGCTCCTGCTGAAATTCCTCCTACCACGACCTGATCGCCGAGACCACCGATCTCGTCAATATGCTCATGGACCCAGACGAATGCATCTTCGACATCGTTCCAGGCTGTGGGGAATGGGTGTTCTGGGGTATGACGGTAGTTCACATTGAAGACAATGACTGGGGTATCATTTTCCACTCGAGAGACGACAATTCGAGAGCAGATCGCGTCTTCGGAGGAGAGTGTGCCAAAGAGATAACCTCCACCGTGGAGATGAATGTACACTGGAAGTTTCTGAGACGCTGGAATTCCAGATGGGTGATATGTACGCGCTTCTAGGATTGCGCCGTCGCGAGTCTCAATAGTGTAGTCTTGAGTTTGGATCTGTGAAGCTGCGTGGACAAAGATATTAGCTTACGCCCAGAAGTGTTGGAGTGAATTGTTTGTAGTGGGCTTTTATGAAGAGCCCCGCGATCAGATATTGGTATCATGATCTGCATTTCCATACCTATGTTTGTCATGCCGTGAGCGGCAAGCTCTTCGCGTCCCTTGTTGACTAGATCCCTCAATTCCAGGACTGGCAGATTAGGCAGGGGGGTAATTGTGGGCTCAAGTGCGACCCAGTCTGCGCTGGGGCCCGTGTACTCGGAGAAGTCGTACATCGTGATGCTGATAGTACTAATATCTAGTTTGAATTCTGTACAGAAGTCGATTTTGTTGGCAGTAGTCAATTCTCTGAAAGTTTCATGTAAGAGTAAGAGGAGGGCACGAACTATCTCCGCCATTTGCCCCGATGCGCCTCGGTTCGGCTATTGACCGCAGAATACCCCGCATATTGAGTCCAAATAGGAATCCCGGCGATCGGTGTTCGGCGTTCAGTGCGCTGCGGCAAATCAAAGTAGCTTGAACTAGTAGACTGTTTATAGACAGGGTATGAAAATGGCAGCATTTAGTTTTGACTCTCAACCAACACTTTGGCGAGCTTTAATCACCAACCATGGATTCTGGCCCGTCATCAGAACCACCCTCACGGTCGCTTAAGGGCAAAGTTGCAATTGTGACGGGAGCAGGCTGTCTAGATGATGGCATAGGCAATGGTCGTGCTATATCAATTCTCCTGGCAGACGATGGCTGCAACGTGCTGTGCGTTGATCTAAATCTGGAATGGGCCAACAAGACCGTGGAGATGGTCGCTGCCAAACCAAATCGCGGGCGTGCAATTTCTTTCCGCGCGGATGTAACATCTGAAGCAGACTGTGAATCTGCAGTTCAAGCAGCGATCGAAAACTTTGGTCGACTCGACATTCTCGTCAATAATGTAGGCGTTGGAGGTGCTCCGGGGACGGCTGTCGACGTGGACATGGTGCAATGGGCCAAGAGCATGGAAATCAATGTCTCAAGCATGGTGCAGATGAGCAAATATGCGATTCCCATGATGGCACAAAATGAAGGCGAGATTAAGGGGAGCATCGTCAACATGGGTAGCGTTGCTGGCTTGAAGGGCGGCACTCCACATCTACTATATCCCACGTCCAAAGGCGCGATCGTCAATCTGACGCGTGCGATGGCGGCTCATCATGCTTCGGAGGGCATTCGAGTTAATTGTGTCTGTCCAGGTGTAAGTTACAAATTTCCTCGTTGTGCCAGGACAAACCCATATCTGATCCTCCTACATAGATGCTTTATACCCCCATGATGTATGGAAAGGGGATGAGCGAAGAAGCTAGAGAGGCTCGCCGGAAGCGCAGCCTCCTGGGCACCGAGGGTAATGGATGGGATTGTGCAGGTGCTGTTGTGTTTCTCGCTGGTCCTCATGCCCGCTGGATGACAGGAGTCATTCTGCCTGTTGACGCAGGGACAACGGCAGCAGTAGGGATTGGAATGACAAAGAGCGCAAGTGTCAACGGTTAGAGAGTATTACATGTATGAATATAATGATATTCTACGAGGAATCCACTATGAGCATGAGCAACAATTTATTATTGAGCTCTAGAGCTGAGTTATTTCCTTGCGAGCCTACCTTATCACTATGTACAATAGGGGTTTTGCATTCCTCAAACCAGGTCAGATACTAAAGCAATTCGGTCCTTGATCTTACCATCCTCCAGGTCTTTCAGAACCTTTGGAAAGTCCTGCAACTTTCCAATCTCTACCTGAGGCTGGATAACCTTTTTCGCGATCAGATCAAGCACCTCCACAAGATCGCGGTATTGTCCACCGTATGTGAAAATAATACTCAGCCGTTTCCGAATCCCGATTTTCATGTCCAACTCATTTGTGCGATCCAAGGTGCCCACGCAGAGAATTTTGCCTCCTGGGCGAACTAACGGGTGTTAGCATGATACTCAATCAAGGGTTCTTCGTCATCTACCTAGGACTCACCAATCTGTTGCGCATCTTGGAACGTTTGATGTTTCCCGACAAACTCCAGCACAGTATCTATCTTTCCTTCTAGTCCATTTTCCTTGACAAAATCCTGGACTGATTGACCGGCTGGAACAATGTCCTCTCGTGGGACGCCGAGTTCGAATGCAGCATCAAGCTTTTCTGGGCGCAAGTCGGAGACAATCACACGGGCACCAATGGTCCGTACAACCTGCAAAGCATTGAAGCCGAGACCACCAAGGCCAAACAGGAAGGTTGTCTCTTCTTTCTTAACTTCGGCTCGGCGGGTGATGCCGTGGTAAGCCGTTGTGACCGCGTCAGTCGCAACGGCAGCTACCGCAGGGGAGATTCCTAGAGTTTGCATAAGATTTTGAATACAACGTCGAAGGGGACTTTTCTTACCTTCTGGCAGAGGTACAGCAGCGCGAGGATTAACAGCCACGTACTCGGCAAAGAACCCGTCCTGTCCAATGCCGTGATGGACGCCTCGAGGGCAAAGTTGAGCCAAGTCTCGGGAACATTCCGAGCAACTATCGAGGCCACATCCAGGCACGGCAAGAAGCGCTATGCGATCTCCCTGTAACAGTCTGTCAGCTAGTCCCCATTCAAACAAGAAAGTACCAGCTTCTTGATGCTCTTACGAGTCTGAAACGCGAGTCTTTCATATTATCTCCAATCTCGATAATTTCACCACACCCCTCATGTCCCTGAACGATTCTGAGATTAGTCACTCTAATTGAAGTCTGAAGATAGATTCTGTACCAAAATGTATTTCTCATTGAAATTAGGACGGTCTTCAACTTCCAGAAGGGGCCGATCGCTGTGGCATACTGTAAAAGACGATGTTAGACTCCTTGAGATCAAAACGCCTCCATTTACCCGATTCTTACCACCAGAAGCCAATAACTTCACCAAAAGACCATCGCTAGGCGTTAAGGGGATGGACACTTCTTCCCATACCTCGAAATAAAAGGGTCAACCTTAAGCTCGTGGAAGATAAAGAGTGGACTCACCGGCTCTTTGTTTCCTTTATGCTTTCTCCAAGCACGCATTGTCGGTTGACGATCAAAGTTACCCATAGTTAAGGAGCGGCGTAGATCAATGTATGAGCTTAATGCAAGGACTCGGAGATAGAACTCAAATATATCTGTCACTTGAGCGTACATACTGGCTAGAGATGTCAATATTCGGGGGAAATATTATAGTCTGGATTACTCCGCATTCCTAGATAGGACAGCCGACACTGGACTGCCCCGCATTGATACCCGGCCAGCGTTGGCCATGGAGGAAGGAAATAGTTCAATTGCCGAGGCTGAGCCCAAAGTGAGATTACATTACTGGTTGGAAACAACTTCTAAGAGACTAATGTAAATTCCTCGAATGAAACCATAGCTTCTAGATAGATCAAGCCGACGAGGACGGCGTATCTGCCACCTCAACGTAATATGACAAGTCATTTGCTTCCTCCATTTCATATCCAGTAAAGCCGTTTCCCATGAACCGGAACGGATTTGTACTGTTATATTCAATCTCAAAATCTTCAGGTCGAAGGTCACTGATCAATCGGTGGAACAAGATGGCACTGCCACCGAACAAAGCAGTCACACGGCCATCGACACGGTTGCGCTTGTACCAGCTCTTGCAACCGCCCGTCCAGACCAGCGTCTTGTGTACTTCATCGCCATATTTCACAAAGGCATCCTCAACCGAACGCTTGGGAACGACGTATTTGATATCCTCGGTAGCCATTTTCTTGATCCACTTCACAAAGTAGTCTCCCGTCCAGTTCAGCGACTCTACCAATGATCCATGGCCACCTAGGCAATTTGGTCCCATCATGATAAAGTAGTTGGGAAATTTGGAGGTGGCAACCGACATGTAAGACTCTGGCTCCTCTGCCCACTTGTCGGCAAGCTTGATTCCGTTCTGACCGACTATCGGATAACGAGGGCAATGAGAAACGTCAAATCCAGTCGCACAGATTACTAGAAATGATCAGATACTGGTCGAGATAACTGAAAGAGGGGGGGGGGAAATCCTTACCAACATCGCATTCAAAGACATTTCCATCGGCAGTGTGTACGGCATTATCCGTAATCTTGGTGATCGGACTGTTGCTAAGGTTGCAGTTCGGCTTTGCAAAGGCCTCCAGATAGCCTGGACCAGGAGTAACGCGGCGGCATCCAACTTCCCACTTCGGGATTAGCTTTTCACAGAGATCTGGATCGTGATTCAGCTTTTCCGCCATTTGCTGCGCTCCAAACTTGCAAGCGGCTTCGTTATTTTCGCCTTTGATGAACTATACGCGATCAGAACCTGGGATCATATTGTCTCATGAGTGTTTAGATAACAGCAGTAATGACATACCAGGCGGAAGGCTTTGTTTGTTCGAGAAATTATACCTTTCCGATACTCTTTGTGAGCATCTGGATTGCGGAAGCGCTGTTTTTCTTCCTCGGAATAAGCTGGATTGGCATCTTCTACATCTCTGCCTAGATGCTTCGACGGTGGGACTCGATAGTACACCCAGGCCGGGCTGCGCATAAAGTTCATAACTTCAGTTCCGGGTAAGTTGGCCATTTGGGGGGTAATCTGAATTCCGGAAGAGCCGTTTCCGATGACTGCGATACGCTTATTGGAATAGTCATATTCGTGATCCCAGTGGGCTGAATGAGTGATATGCCCCTTGAAGTGAGCCAGGCCTGGGATGTCAGGCCACGAATGATGGCTGGAAGGCAAAGTTAGCTTATGCATCTCATGGGAGTGGAGAAGACGGCATACACTAGAACACCCTGTGCTGAGATGAGAATATCACAGTATTCTTCACGTTGCTCTCCATCCTTTTCGACCGTCAACTTCCAGCGCCCAGAATCCTCTTCCCACACCGCCCCTGCAACTTTGGTGTTGAGCTGGAGGTCTCTATCTAGATTCCACTTCTTGACTGTGTCTTTGATGTATTGTTGAATTTCGGCGCCACTGGAGTAAAAACGACTCCAGTTGGGATTCGGATCAAATGGAAAGGCGTAGATGTGAGAAGGCACATCACACTGAACCCCGGGGTAGGAGTTGATCAGCCAAGTTCCTCCAACATCGCTCCGGGCCTCATAAATGGTATGTTGAACAAAATCTTGTAAGTCGGGAAATCGATGTTGAATCTTATGGGCCATCAACAAGCCTGAAAACCCAGCGCCGATGGTCACAACCCGGAGTTTGCGAGGCGTGAAGGCATATTCATGATTCAGTGGAATGGAATGGCCGAAGAAATCGTTGTCACTGTGGCCATTCAAGGCAGCCTTTGTGGCTGGCTTTCCGTTCATCTCATTTGATACATGAATGCCGTTGGTCTTTGGAATACCGTTCACACCATTCAGGCCGTTTTTGACTGGTACATCAGGCACTGGGCCGTCTATAGACACTGAGACTTGGGCAGTCATAGTGGTATTTGGGAGATTATGAGTAATCGAAAGGAAGATCTTGTTGCACAAAGCTGAAACGAGAATAGATCTAGACCTTAAAACCCGTATCAGGCTTTATAAGAGAGAGCTTTGATTGACCGACTCGCAACCTCGACCGACACCCTACGCAAGAGCTGACTACTCCAATTTGGGCCATTCCGCGTGTCACCCACCCATCTTGGAGTAGTCACAAAAAACAGGTTACCGGCGACCGAGGTGATATGACCGGCAAAGTACAGCTTGACAGACCGGATCACTGAAAGATTTAGCGACCTTGATTCTATACCAAGTGATAGTTGCCATACCGGCTATTTACAGCCGGTATTTTTCCGATTAGATTCTTAGGCTTCCGAGGAAAGCCCACGATATCTCGCATATAGAATAAAGCGGTAGCTCATTAGATGAATAACAACAAATTATTTCAAATTATTTCCATTTTCAAGTAAACAATCTCGTAATTTATTGGGTTAGGTTTTTGTAGCTTCAAGAATCTCAGATGTGATGTGATGATCGGAGAAGTGGCCGAATGGCGGAAGCTGCAAGGCTATCGTTGCGGAGAATTCCAGCTTCCCCGCAATTAGCTGGGTTACCAAAGAGGCTCGACCTCGGCAGACTCACTATGTAGTTCCACCCGTAATCGAATGTTTGTTTGCCTGCATAGATACTATCCTGTCCCTGCAAATTCCTTGTGGCATTCTACGGCATCATGTCGGCCCCCTTGTGGCTGCAGTTTACCGGTCAACAACCGAAGCGCAAACGGGCAGAGCTAGCTTGCATTGCATGTCACAGCAAGAAAGTAAGATTGGCCCACTTCTGCGATCGATCAATATTGACATGGGCAGATCAGATGTGACCTTCAAACGCGAGGGGGCCAGGGGTACAACAATTGTACCAAGTGTGCGACTGCTGGTAAAGACTGCCGGTATGGGTCTTACTGACTTGTTGTTCCATGACTACTGTTGTACAGAAGACGGCTAATAACACTGGCTCTTTTCTTGTAGAACCAGACCATCTCGACGAGGTCGATCATCAAGGCTCTCTCCTCCGCCGTTAACACCACCAGACAGCAATGCTAGTGACCACACCAAGGCAGGGCGGAAGAATCAAGCCCCTGGTTCGAATAAAGCACCATCAAACCCTGCCGAAGATCTGGATGCTCATAGCAACAGCCACAATAACATCACCTTGGGTGAAAATAACGACCTAATTGGCTTTTCCCCAAACATACAACCGGATCCAATCCTATCAACATCATTACAAAATAAGCACACGGCAGGAGAAAATGTGGTCGAATGGAATTTGATGAACAATACATCGCCAGCTGAAATCACTGGAGAAAGGACCACCCGGCCGCTACATGGAACCATCCCCAATGATTCACCTGCCACCCAAGCCACCCAACGAACAGAGGATCATTCAGAGCACAATGACAGTTATCCTGTCGGCCATGTCTTTCTTCCAGAGCTTCAGACCAACGCAAGAGATCAAGAACGCCAGATAGCCGAAAGACTCGCCGTAATACCGACTCTACCTGATCCTAATCTGCAACAGTCCTTTGCAGAGACATATTTTGAGTACTGTTATCCGTGGTGCCCGGTCTTAGATCGAGATAGTCTAAGCGAGGACTTGATGCAATCTCCTCTGCTGATCAACGCATTGGCTGTGGTCGGAAGTCATGTCAACCCACCCATAATCCCACACGATGGGCCAGCCACATATTATGATAGAGCCCGTACTCGGTTCTACAATGACGAGGAGGCAGATGTGATGACATCTCTGAAAGCTATTTCGCTATTTTATTGGTGGAGTCCTCGACCACCGACGATTCTTCATCGACACTCATCCTGGTGGTGGACATCAGTGGTGATCAGGCATTGTCAGCAACTCGGGATTCATCGCGAACCTCCCCTTGATCATCCTCTCCGACAGCAGGTAGATTTAAGCATGCGACGTCGCATTTGGTGGACGGCATTTGCCCGCGAACGTCTGACTGCCTTGTGCCAGAGCAAGCCGTGCGTCATTGATCCGGAGGACTGCTCACTCTCTGAGCCAACACTCGAAGACTTTCCTAATCCATTGTCAAAAGAAGACGGTGAGATATTCATTTACTGGGTACGGCTATGCGCCATTATTGGCAAGGTCGCGAAGTATATGGGGCGAACTTGCGACTCGGCTTCTTCCACCTTCCCAGCACACCTAGCGCGCGAGCTCATAAACTGGGTACAATCGTTGCCACAGCATCTACAATTACCAATCGATTCCGATAGTACAAAATCATTCAATAGGAACATTCACCAGCTTCATCTACCATATCTTGCTGTCATCATCGTCATCCATCTCAAACGGTCTTCCTCATCACAGCCTCTGCCCCAGGCCTATCCTCCAGCGATACTGGCGGCAACGTGTATGGCTCGTGTGATGAGAGATATACTCTCGCGTGGTGGAACCAGATTCCTCATGGCCATCACCGGCTGGTATTGTGGAACGGCATTTATTGCCCTCCTACAAGCGCTGCGTATAGAAGATTTGTGCAAGGGCGCCAATGAGGACCTCGACGTCCTCACCTTAGCCGTGGATCAATTGCGCAGAATGTGGCCGACAGCGGGTGTTTTTTACTCAGGATTTTCTCGACTACGACCAAGTACAGTCGTTCCGGACATAGACTCTCAAAGAGGGCCTGGTCCCGAGCTAGGAGTGGGCGATGGGTCCGGGTATATGGCGATGGCGGACGGCATTGATTGGACTGCTTATTTTCCATTTGCGACGCCACAGACAAGTGTGGTTGCCAGTCGGCTGTTGATCCCGCATAATGAGGAGCTGTATTTTGACGATGATGTTTTTGCGGACACGATGTTACAGTTCCAGGACTTGTTTGAGCCTTGTGATACCCTGTCCGATGCTAATCTATTTGCATACTAATACCAACAAAGAGTTCAGAAAGTTCCAATCTGTTTCATTAAGCATTGTTCAGTCACTCAAGGGGCCGTCAGAAGAGGGTGCGCTGTTGGAGCGAAAAATTGGGAGGAAAAAAGCAACCAAGGGTCACTGAATTGTTGTGTTTACGCGTTTCCAGCCACGACGAAGTCACACATAGTCGGAATCGATGAATTTAGAGAGTACTTTGCCGAGATGTGTTAGCGTGCAGATAGGATCAGCCACATACTTACTAGATTGAGATTCAATAGTCGTTACGAGACCAGTTTTTGGACGTGTCCAATGGTTAAAAATCTAGATCAGCTTTTTCCAGTGGCTTATCCAGGAGAACCGTCGGGCGGTCTAGTGGCTAAGTGGGGGTGGGTCAACTGTGATTGTCTTATATCTTCATTGGCTTCTCGCGGGCGATACCCGTGCGCCATACTCAACTAAACGTAGTCAGTGGCTGAAGGGTCATAAGACCGCGGCTATGGCAACACTCGACTCTTTTCCGCCTAATAATGGGCTAAAAAAATCGACGAGCTTTAAACCTGTCGCTATTTTCTACATAGGACTACTGCAGCGATGCATTGCCAATGACGACGGCCGGGTTCCAGCCTCTTGCAAATCCTTGTCATATGTATTCTTCATTGCGTCAGTGTTTCAGGAAGGACCCACGGACATGAAAATAACTATTAACATTGGGCGGAAAGATTAACCTGGTGGAGTTGGCTGAACGTGGCCATGATAGCCATGATAACCAAAGGGCGGGTCGCGAGGGGCTGGAATCTGGAAAGGATCTTATTTGTGGATCGAATCCAGACAACCTCGATCGCAAAAGACTTTCATCCAATCTTTTGTTCAAGCCAGCGCCTATCACGCGTAGCTTTGAGACTATCCACCCATAGCGTGGTGGGCATTAAGCTTTCTTCTTTCATAATGTGGTCCGGGTACCTGGCTCGATGGATCAGGGGCAATGAATTTTTGCAGTGGACTTTTATCAATTTAGAGATCCCCGAGACAACGGTTTTTAAATATATGATCGATGTCGATTGCGCACTTCTAAAGCCATCGCACCGCATTGCTGGCATACAATGCGATCGAGTCTGACCGTTACGCGGGTCATCGGCACCTGTCTCACGGTCGCTGTGCCTTTCGCGCATGCATTGTCACCGCGCACAGCGATCTCTGATTCGTACGATTTCGTTATTGTTGGCGGTGGTCAGGCTGGTCTCGTCGTAGGCGCTCGACTGTCGGAAAACTCGAATTATACCGTCCTTGTCCTTGAGTCAGGTGGCAATGGGGATGAATATCGAGAACGTATAGGTGTGTGCAAACAAACACCTCCTGTTTCAGCCTACAGTCTGCCATGATTCTAACACTTTTCAAGACACTCCCGCATATGCCTACTTTGATTCGCTATGGACGACACCTTTGAACTGGGGATACTACACCGTTCCTCAGCCCAATGCAAATGATCGCGAAATTTACTGGCCTCGTGGCAAGGTTCTTGGAGGTTTGTCAGCGAGCATCTCTCGGTCTGATTCGCACTAACAGAGGGTATTACAGGTAGTTCTGCCATCAATGGGTTGTATATGACCCGCCCGGGAGAGATTGAGATCAACGCCTGGAAAGACATGTTGGGAGATATGGACGGGGCCGATAATTGGGGATGGGATTCCTTCTATGCCGCGATGAAAAAAAGCGAGAACTTCACTGCTCCATCCGATAGTATCGCGCAAGAGGCAAACATCACATGGAATACGGCACACCATGGCACACAAGGACCAATTCACGCGTCATATCCTGGCTTGTATGTTGAATGCTCTTTTTCTCGACTGCAATGGGAAACTAACATTGATATAGCACGTTTTCTCAAGTTGGGCAGTGGGAAGAGTCATTGGTGAACATGGGTATTGCGGCTTCCAGCGACATGTACGGAGGTCAGCCATGGGGCGCGGAGGTATCTACCTCATGCATCAATCCAACAAACTGGACGCGGTCCTATAGTCGCACTGGCTATCTTGACCCGCTTGCAGACAATGGCAACTATGATGTGCTTGCTAATGCTCATGTCACTCGCATTATTTTCGACAACTCGACCTCGGGAAATCTCACTGCGAACGCTGTCGAGTACACAACTAATAACGGCACTACAAAACTTACCGTCAAGGTCAAGAAAGAAGTTATCCTAACAGCCGGTACTATTGGCAGTCCAGCTGTCTTGCTTCATAGTGGCGTGGGTCCCAAGGACGTTTTGTCGAGTGCGGGTGTAGATCTTGTCTCTGAACTTCCTGGCGTCGGTCAGCATCTCCAAGATCACCTTGTGAGTAGACACTGTAGCACCAGTGTGATTCCTGAACTAACTGATATTACCAGAGCGCAACTGTGACATGGACCACAAATGTGGAAACTGCAGGCTCAATTTTCTACGACAATGGCAGTGAACGGGTATGCTCCTTGAGAGTGACAGAAAGATTTACAGCGTGCTAATGATCATAGAACAACCCACTTTTCCTCACTTACATTGATGACGCCGTTGCATATGTGAACGCCACCGGGATGTATGGTAGTAAAGTCGATTCATTCAAGACAAGCATCCTCAGCCAAATCGATCAGTACAAACCGAATACGACTTACGACAGTGGGGTTGTCGATGGATACACAGCAATTTGCAATACGACCGCAACTACCATATTCGATAGCCCGATCGGGCAAATTGAACTTCTCTTCATGAACAGCGATGGAAATGGTGATGTGGGTATCACTGCTGCTCTCCAGCATCCTTATAGCCATGGCCGCATCTATATCAACTCCTCTGATCCGATGGACTACCCGGTCATTGACCCGAATTATCTCTATAATCCGATTGGTACGTGGTGAATCTAGTGTCCTGCGATGATTTTGGAAATATTTTGCTCACGCGCTCCATAGATCATGAGATCCTACGCGAGGGACTTAAACTTGCACGTCAACTAGGCGAGACTGCGCCAGTCAGCAGTACCCTCACCAATGAAACATCGCCTGGCTCGTCGGTTCAAACAGATGATGAATGGCTTGACTGGATAATCAAGTCTGCTGGTACTGAATACCACCCGTCGTCGTCTTGCGCGATGCTTCCTCGCGATCAGGGTGGCGTAGTGGACGCAAATCTTCTCGTCTACGGCCTGACGAATGTCCGAGTCGCGGACGCGAGTGTTCCTCCTATTTCACTCTCCACGCATTTGATGGCTTCGACGTACGGAGTTGCTGAGCAAGCCAGTAACATCATTCGGAAGTATTACGATGGGGCCCAGGCGACAACGACACCTTCCTTCAGCTCTACATCCAACACGACTAGTAGTGCTGTTTCGAGCAAGCACAGTAACGGTAGCGCTCATCGCAGTGGAAACACCGTTTCGATTCTTGCTTGGATACCTTCAGTTTTAACTCTGGTGTTCAGCTGCTGAAACCGAACTCCTTGGAGCTTGGGAGGAACCTTGAACTGATCATGAAAGCAATTGAACTTGGGTACATACGGACGAACTCTGTGATTTACGACTTTACGCAGTGATAGACTTGACAGATACCATAATTTAACTCAGACTGCGGTAATGGCAATAAATATAGCAATTGTAATTCAACGCTTCGGTAAAACGATATTTCATGCCAACTTCAAATCTCTGTACCCCCTCATAGCCACGTCCTCAGCAAGCTTGCGATAACCGGGGGCTGGTCCCTGGTATCTTGCGATGATGCGTTTTTGCTTGTGAGCCAGATTCTTGTTCACTCCAGTCATCCAGGAATCAACATCATTAGCAAGCAGACCGTCTGCACAAGTATGCACATGCTCTGTCCAGTCGAGAACCTTTTGTCGTGACGTTTCCGCAAATGTGATACCGTGATCCCGACAAAACTCAATGAACCGCGAGACCCAACCCACAGCATACTCGATGCTACGTGGGATGTTTCCAAACATTTGATGGGGTCCCATTACCATCATCATATTTGGGAAGCTCTCCACAAACAGACCCAGGAATGTGCGTGGCCCTTCGGCCCATCGGTCTGCCAGCTTCACCCCGTTCACGCCTTGGAAATCGATGGCTGTGAAAGATCCGGTAACGGCGTCAAATCCAGTGGCATAAATAATCATGTCAAAATCAAAAGATTCGTCTCTTGTCCGTATCCCGGTTTCAGTTATGCACTCGATTGGGTTCGACTTTACGTCCACCAGTCGGACGTTCGGTTGATTATAAGCCTCAAAGTAGCCGGACTCAAGTGGCACTCGCTTGGTACCAAATCCATGGCATTTCGGAATAAGCGTTTCGGCTGTGACGGGGTCATTCACGCGACTTCTTATTTTATTTGCGACAAACTCGCTGAATAAGGCGTTTGCCTCTTTGTTGGTGTTAATATTTCCAAAATTTCCAAGCCATTTGGCGAATCCACGCTGCTCATACAACTCCTCCCAGAAGGCTTCTCTTTCCTCGGGGCTAACTTGGAGAGTATCCCTGGGATCTGAAACGTGCATGAAGCAGGACCAGGTCTCGAGGCATTTTCTGAATATTTCAGGATAACGAGATCGGATCTCATTCATCTCCTCTGTGCTTATGGGTCCATTTCGCAAAGGAAGACTCCAGTTTGGAGTACGCTGAAAGACTGTGAGATGGCCAACGTCCTTTGTGATCTCTTGAATGGTTTGAATACCGGTCGCACCGGTGCCAATAATAGCGACTCGCTTGTTCTCAAAGCTGACCGGCTCCTGCGGCCATCGAGCGGTATGGCATGCCTCGCCTTGGAAGTTTGTGACCCCAGGGATATTGGGCATGGTATAATTATTCAAGATGCCGATGCACGTCACCAGAAACCGCGACGTATAAGTTCGGCCTTGCTCATCTGTAAGACGCCATGAATTTGAAGAGTCTTGAAAGTGTGCTGATACGACTCGTGTGTTGAATTGCATATCCCGGCGAAGATCGAACTTGTCACAGAGAAACTCGCAGTATCGCAGAGTCTCGGGCTGCGAGGCAAAATGCTCAGACCAATTCCACTCATCAAGGACTTCTTGAGAGAATGAAAAGTTGTAAGAGTAACTTTCAGAGTCAAATCGGGCACCAGGGTATCTATTTTAAATTTGGTTAGCTATATCATCATCAGAGAGCGTAATGATCACCCAACCTGTTCCAGAACCAGGTTCCTCCAACTCCAGAGCCAGCCTCAAGAACCTTCGCTCGTAAATTAAGTTGGCGCATGCGATAGGTAGAGTATATGCCAGATAGACCAGCCCCGATGATGAGAACATCGTAGTCGAGGTCTTGGTTCATCTGGCTAAAACTTGGTTCGTCGGTGCTACCCATGGCTGGCGGACGGGGGTTTAAACAGCCTTAGAGGCGTAAAGTTCGACCTTAGAAGTGGAATATCTACCTAATTCAGATTTTCCTTGAGTTTAAGAAGTCTGACGGATGACTTCCGAAGTCGTTCTTATCAGCATGCGTTTCCAAGTGACTACTCCTCGGTGGTAATGCCGTGCAACCGAACCAAAGTCCAGCATTTGCGGGGGTGGAGGGCTTCTCCACCTCCACAACTACGCCTCCGTATGAAGCCGAGATGGATTTCCCTGCCGGTTAATTATTGAAGGTTCGGTTCTCGATTTGGGTAAACTCCGGTCACTTGCTGATTGGGTATGCCCAGACCCATCCATGGAAATGCATCGTAATGAATAGATATCAATCATGTCCACCTGTATGGTCGATCCGGCTCTGCGAGCTATCTTAATTTTCTCTTGCTCACATCTTCTTCGACAGGGGCCATACTGTGGTATTTATTATATTGAATTGATATTAATTGTGAAGGGGTCTAAATACATCTGAAAATATTTACATTACTCCTTTCGACTTCCAATATGTCTCGGCATCTCGTAAGAATCTCCATTTGAGATCTCTCCCCCATCCTTTCTTTTTCCACTGGTTTAGACTTAAAGGGAAATGATCTACTGCATCCCTAACAGTCGCATCATGTGCAATGATCACAAAAATATTATCCTGACAGTCAGCCTCTTGGAGCTTCCCAATAGTCTCGATAATTTGAGGAATGTTGTGGCCGAAAGTCGGAATGAAGAGTGGGTCGTTGACGCCTCTACCCCGCGACTCTTGTAGTTCAGCGAAAGCCCCGCCTGGACAGAATGCGATATCGCTGTTTGGATGACATGGGTGAGGGTGAATAGACTCGGGTACACTGAGATACTTGGATGGTCGGAATAACCCTCCATAATGGCAGACATCGCCCCCCAGAAAGACGAACGTGTCGGGATCTTTGGTCGTTCGCGCAAGACCACAGAGGTGCCCAATTGCATGGCCAGGGCTGTCAAGTAGGTAAAAGGATCCATCGCAAAAGTAGTCAAATGCACGAAACTGGCCTATGGTCAAACAACCAGGCTCTTCAAAGGTGATTTCACGAAGATTTCTTCCCCTATCGTTCGGTGATAAGTACTTTATTCACTCTCAGTGGGTGAATATTATCTTACGCATAGTCTGATTCTCTTAATGGCGAGTCTGGGTTTGTGGGAGCACCCGGGAGCATAGCTTGCTTGAAACCAGGCCCGACTATCAGGTTGGTTGTTGATGGAAAAGTCGAAGGATCACCGATGTGATCCCAGTGCCAATGACTTGTTTCACGTCAGTCAGTGATCTGTCATTCCTTGCTGATAACGCATACCTCCAAATGACAGCCTCAATGTCTTTTCCTTTGATGTCATTCTCCTCCAGAATATCGACCACGTTCCCTGTTACCTCGATGTTGTATTTGGTCGTTGGTATGTACTCGGCGATCTTGGGTGCATAATTTCCATAGTCTTTCCGAATACCAAGATCGAAAACGAGCTTCCTTCCTGAAGCGTGCTCCAACAAAAATGAGAACGAAGGATTGCTTGGGTGTGTCTCCATGCCCGGAACGGGCGGAGCCATAAATCTATGTAGCTGTGCCGGTCCAAAGTTGACTGTGTTTATTAACTTCACCGTGATATCCTGGCCCGGAGGCACGGCGAAAGACGGAAGTGCATTCATCGTTATTGTTTCAGATTCAATCATGTAGTTGAGGAAATTCCCCTGTCCACCTTTAGATGAGAAGACAACCTTGAAATTCGTTTCTAACGGGATTCAAGGGCCCCTCATTTTCCAGATTCCCCACTAGGATGTACCGTACCAGCCAGCCACCAGCAATGATACCGGCAATGTTCTGTTTCATAAGCTCCGGCAACTTTCGGCTACACAACTTAGGCAATCTTTCGGCTTTTTTCATTATAGAACTATGCAATATTACTATAATACTGTGTGACGATCTTAAGAACCGGGTTGATACCGAGGAGCTCTGATATTCTCCAGGTCCTGCTGGTTCCACCCCCGCACTAGCTTTCCTGAAATCCCGGGGTAAACTTCCCCGGGCTAAACAAGCGTCAATCTGCATGTACTGCTGTGACGGTGGGAATACTTTGTAAATAATAGTGAAATTACACCTGCTCTAATCTTCTATAAAAGCCCGAAGATTCTACGAGCACTGAATGACACTGTCTGGCCCATATTCTAGGCCACCCCCAGATCTTCCTGATATTTTGTTTGCATACTAGTGGTTACCACCCTACCATGTCGAGCCTCGACAAACCTCGAGAGGATCATGTTTCAGAAAAGGCCAAGAGCTCTAGCTCTAATCTCCCCGAGATAGAAAAAGCTGCAACTCTTGATACCATTCACAATGACGAGGCCATCAAGGTCCTTGCCAATTACACAGGCGACGAGACATGGACTGAGGAGGAGGAGAAGAAACTCATTCGACGTATTGATTGGAAACTAATGCCAATCCTGTGTGTCACTTACGGACTTCAGTATTACGATAAGGCAATGTTCTCGCAGGCGGTAGGTTACCTTGGTCCCTGACTATTCTCTCTAACTGCCATGAGTCTAATGAATGGCAGGCACTATTCGGTATTCGAAACGATTTGGAACTGAATGTTGGAAACAGATATGCTTTTTCAGCTGCTATTCTGTACCTGGGATTCATTGTTGGGGCATATCCGGCAATGACTCTTGCTCAAAGATTTCCAATAGAGCGAATCGCTTCCACAATAATCACACTATGGGGGATCTGCTTGATTCTAACGCCGGTGTGCTCTAACTACCGAGCATTGTATGCGCAGCGATTCTTTTTGGGAATGCTAGAAAGTGGGATTAGTCCGATGTTCATGCTCGTGGTGGTAAGTGTATCTTTTGGAATCAAGTCTGACGTACTCTTTGACTGATGATGATGCATAGGGAGGATGGTACAAAAAGAATGAGCAAGCATTCCGGATGGGGTGAGTACCCCTCGATCGGGGGTTTCCCACAGCGTTCTAATTCCTTGTAGGATCTGGTATAGCTGTACCGGCTATGTTTCTATCTTCTCGCCGCTCATCAATTACGGTTTGGGTCACATCAAAGGCTCACTTTCTCCGTGGAAATACATGTATCTCGTTGCGGGAGCTATCACAATCACCTGGGGAATTATTTTGGTCTTCCTACTACCATCTGATCCAGTCAGTGCACGTGGGTTTAACGACCGCCAGCGCTATATTGCAGTCGCCCGACTCAGGGTGAACAACTCTGGCGTTCGAAATACACATTACAAGAAAGGCCAGGTCTTTGAGCTTCTTGGCGACCTCAAGTTCTGGCTCATCTTTCTAACCGCGCTTCTGAGCATGATTGCAAATGGCCCCATCTCAACATTCATTCCAATCATCATCAACTCCTTCGGGTTTAGTACGCTGAACTCCCTGCTTCTTGTCATGCCGCAGGGCTTCCTGGGCGGCTCTTATCAGCTCCTTGCACCTTACCTAGCTTATCGATTTTCTGAGAAGGGTATTCGGTCATGGATTGTCTTCACTGCTCAGATGATCACTACTTTGGCAGCTATTTTATTGGTCGCGTTGCCGCTGGATGCAACAGGTGGCTTGCTTTTTGCGTGTTACATTCTTCCTGCGGTTGGGGGTGGTTATGCCGTGCTTATGGGGTTGCAAATTGCCAACATTGCGGGATACACAAAGCGATCGATTGCTTCCTCTGGTCTTTATATTGGATACTGTCTCGGTGAGTTGCATCTCAGATGTTATAAGTAGGAGTCGAGGTCTTGACTATTTCCAGGAAACTTCACGGGACCTCTCGTCTACAAGGAGATGGATGCCCCACGCTATGTTCCAGGCTTTATCACAGTTGTTGTTACATCGTTTGCTGCCGGTATTACGGTCTTGCTTTATCGATTCGTCTGTGTGTGGGAGAACAGGAAGCGAGATGAGTCGGGTATATCCGAGGGCTACGAGAATGCTTACCAGGATGATCTGACGGATAAGACAGTAAGTTGGGCCAGCTATCGAGTATCGCTTATAGACTGTGAGGGCTAACCGTCCTTTTGTTTGATAGAACCCCCAGTTCAGGTATATATTGTAAAAAAAAAATTAATCTTTCGGCTGAGAAGTCTTGATATCAGGCAAGAGGGCTGTACGGAACAAATAAACTCCACGGAATCACCATCCATATATTCGCTTTGAAGAGATAAGGAAACCTGATCGTGCAGGAATATTAGTACTTCCACGTGGTCCAACTCTAGACGCCAGGCCTCCGGGTCAGTGCAATTTTCCTGTATTTACATATTCCTGCTCTCCCTTAGCCTTAGTTCGGTACTCTATTTACTCAGCTCTAAGGAGCATCCGGGTCTGGGTGATTCCCCCATTTCCGAGACGTGACACCACTAACAAAGCCCTCATTCCCCGTAGGCTCCAGCGCAAGAACATCAATCTTGTTCCCAGTCTCTTTCAAATAAACGCCAGGCAAATACAGCGTTTGCTGCGGGCCAATAATCCAATACCGCCCTAAGTTCACACCATTCACCCAAACAGCACCCTTAGTCCATCCCGGAAGCTCGAGGAATGTATCGCCAACGGTACCCACATCAAATGTGCCAGTATAGAAGACAGGACCGGATCCAGCCGAAGGCTGTGGTTTCTTTGCATTCGACGATGATGGGCTGGGCGGTGATTCCAGTGGAAGAGGATAGATATCCCAATTTGCTAGGACGTCGCCCCCGACTGTGACGTTTCCGACAATTCCTTTGCGCTGGTCGATTATTCTTGGGCCGTAGTTGACTCGTCCCATGTTCTCGATTAATAAGTCGAGAACATCGTGTTTCTTCAAGTTTAGCTGGACTGTGCTCGGTGCTGCGTAGCTGTTGTCGATGACTCCAACTCGATGGCCGTTGACATAGATAAGGACTCGATCTCTTGGGGTGTCTCCAGGTTGAAGAGTACCGGTCGTAGCCGCAGTGATAACATGTCGGTACAAGGTGAATCCCGTTGATTGACCAAGAGCTTCCATGTTGACGGGATACTGCTTTTTGACTGACTTCAGCAAAGAATCAAACAGACTCACGGAGGGTGTCAGCTCGATAGATGGGATCTCAACCAGTGGCTTGTCCGCTGGGACTGATGGGATACTATCAGCGCCAACATAGGAGCCAATAGTTTGGCGAATAGCATCGTAAATATCATTCGGCCTGCCACTCTCATCAAGCGGTGCACCGTAATCGTAGCTCGTGATAATAGGTTCCAAGGAATCACTCCAGTCAGCTCCATTCTGGAATCCCCAGTTCGTTCCTCCGTGGAACATGTAGATATTGAATGACCCATTCTGCTTCAGAATCCAATCAAGGTCAGACTGTATATTCTGGATACTGGTAGAATCCCCTGAGTCGGTTGTAAAGCTCTTGTTGCTAGCCCACTGGTCTAGCCAGGTTACGTAGTATTCACCGTCAAGCTGCGGGCCCAGGCTAGTTGGATCGGTGACATACTGGTCGCGAGCACTGAATCCTGTCTTGGGGTCACCGTCTGTCTCGGCGAGTGCCCCGTGAATCTGGCCACCCTCGAGCATCGACTGCTCACCGCCGTCGTTGGTATACAACGGTAGACCGAATGCGTTCTTGACCATGTCTCGCAAAGCGCCCACGTACTCATGATCGTTCCCGTAAGAGCCGTATTCGTTCTCAACCTGAACCATCAAAATAGGACCTCCCTTGTTAACGGAAAGATCCTCCAGGTCTTTGGCCAAATTATCAATATAAGACTGAGTCGCAGCCAGGAAAGGTTTATTGTTCGCGCGAACAACCATCCCGGGTATCTCGCTCATCCAGGCTGGGAATCCTCCCCATTCATGCTCGCCACAGATATAAGGTCCAGGACGGAGAACAATATTCAACCCATGCTCCTGGGCAGTCTTGAAGTAGCGAGCAATGTCATTGTTGCCGCTCGAGTCCCATGTACCCTTGGAAGGCTCGAGTTGGTCCCAAAAAACGTAGGAGAAGATGGTATTTAGACCCATTGCCCGTGCTTTGGAGAGGCGATCGGCCCAAAGCTCGTTTGGAATGCGCTGCGGGTCCATTTGACCCCCAATAATTTGGAAGGGTTTGCCATGGAGAAGAAACGTCTCGTGGTTCCAGGTAAATGGAGCAGTTGCTTGGGCTGTGGAAAGGAGCCCGTAGGCAAGTAAAAGCGACTTGAAGAGCATCGTCGCTTTTGCCGTGGACTTTGGAGATCGTGTTTCTCAATTATCGGAACATTTTGGGCTATTTATCTAGCAATCCAAACGGTTATATAGCTATAGCCCTCCACTAAGCTCACCCTACATTAACACTTTGTAGTTCTTCCCATCATTCGCTGTGGTTCGCTCGGTCTCGCGGTCTGGTCTGGTTATTCGGGACTTTCAACCCCGCACGCGGGACTCATTCAACAGTAGGTTCAGCAAGTTAATGTTACAGTGACATTGGAGAAGGCAGGTTGATCGGAAAATTGCTTTGATATCAATAGGCAATTTACCCGTTGATCTATCAGTCACTGTAGCATTTGATATGCTTGATGTTCTAACTCCAATTGTAGATTGATCTTCATCGTTTGCTTGCGAGTCCTACCGTTGTATATCCTAGGCCACGGAGAATAAGAGAATACCAAGTAAACTCATGCACCTGGCATGCTATTCGCCAGCCCATAGTACGAGCAATGGGGTTGTGTTTGGGTCTGATTCTTTTGGCGATGATGGATTGATTCCGACCTTTCGCTCTCGGGATGTCTCCGGCCGAGATGTGCGGCGATCTCGACATACAAGGCACGAGGAATTAACAAGCAGATTCCGGAAACATTATAGAAAGCAAGGAATATCGAGTTTCTTTCTAGGGGTGAATCAGTCCCCAGCGCAATGCAATTGTCTATTCCGATGCGAGAGCGCCCATCATGCACGCAAACCCAGGGATCGTAGATGGGATACATGCCAGATCCGATGCCGTAGCCATTCCCGAAACCAACTCAAGGACTCCACAAACACAGCAACAGCAAAGTTGAAAAAGACAATAAAATAGAGAAACAGAAAAGGGAATCACCGCCATGCATAGGTTCATATCTTCAAAGGAAAGCCCTCATGCCAGCCTCATTACTTCTTGTCGCCATTCGAGGTATTCTCGTCTTCCAAGTCGACCATTTCCCGCAATATGTCCTTCAGCCCGCGTACACCCTCATCCACGATAGGTTCTGGGATACGCACGTCCACTTCTTCGATATATTTCACCGGATCATACGGGGTATTGGAGTTGCTGTTGTTGGCGGCATCGTTTCCCTTTTTGGTCCCATTTGATTTGGTCTCTTTTGTCCCGTTTGACGTTGATTCGCCGTTTTGTTTGGAGTTTTTGGATCCCAGCGCGGGATGTGTCCTGCCTTCGGCGGAAGCGACGACTGCTTCCATCACATCGTCGAAGGTCTCGCACCGGCCCGCGCGAAGAAGCTCGGTGGCGAGACTTGTGATCTTCTCGGTCCACCCTACACGGTGTAGGGAGCTGAGCAGGCTTTCTTGTAGATCCTCCAATGCAGATGTGGCAGAGAGCTTTGTGAGGAGGTCGGATTCGAGGGCATCGGGGGTGGCGGAGGCGCCGCCGGCGGGGGTTGAGGATGGCATGGCGTGAACAATGAGGGAGGGGGTCGGTTAGGTAGCGGGCTACTGGGAAGCCTACGGAGAAGAATAGGTCTGTCGCGGTGTTCAGAGGTAAATGATTATGCAGTAACTCCGCGGGGGTATGTCCCCTAAGTCTCGCGGGGTGTGTCTGCTCGTTTTGGGTATGTCGGGTCCCAGGTTGGGATACGTCGCATGCGCCAGTGGCAGTCAGGGACGGGATTTCCGAGGCGATTGAACAGACGGAGGAAGAAAAGGGGACCGGCCCCTTGTATGAAGAGTCTCTTTAGATCAAAGGAAACAGATTAGGGATTAACAGGCGGTTTCGGAGAAGAGGGCGGTTGTAGCGCGCGAAAAAGTGGATATTGGAGAATGACGATGGTTCCGCGGTCCGGCCTGTCAATGCGGCGACCCCAGTTAGCGCTGAAGCGAACAGGCCCATGCGAGACTAGGAAACGGGGGCGAGGAGGAAAGCAAGAGGGATGATGCTATGAGCGATGCGGTTGAAGGGCATACTGACCTGATTGGAGGTCGAAAGGAAGCGAGTTGAGCCGCGTTGAATCCAGGCGCAACCCGGATTACCCTGTTGCGGAGACCGGGTTGTAGTTGCTGGGGCTCGAGGGTAAAGGAGAGAACGGGGTCGGCCAGAAGAACAGACGCTGGGTTAAAGATATGTACCCATTGCATACGCAGAGAAGAAGCAGCATATGCGCAGGAGAAAAAGCTTCGAGTTGTCTCAATTGGCGGGCAGAAAAGAAAGAAGATTCAATTCGTCTCCGATCGGAGGACCCGGACGAGGTCCAATCGGCGTTGAGCACAGGCACAAGCGGGCGGTGAATCTCCAGTCCTTTTGGGTCTTGGGAGAGTCACCGAATGAATGTGTGACGGTAAAATCGGGCAGGGCTTATAATTTAGGGTGTCTAGCTGTTAATTGAGTCGGGTATGGTCTCTTTCTGTGAGAATATAGGGTTCGAGAATCTCGATGTTTGTCCATCTGGGATTAAACCACTACTATAACAGCCGGTCGATTAAAAGGCTTGCTATAAGATGGTTGTCGAGATCGAATATTCAGTAATGGGAACATGTAATACTATTTCTAACTAGGTGATGCGTTCGTAGGTATCCAAAAGAGTCAAATTAAGTATTACAAGGTGGCTCCATCTCTTCCCTTGGTAGAGTATTGCCTATTCACACCGAATGCTGAAGCATTCGCTAAAAAGAACAGTAAAGATTCATCCATAAGAGCTTAAATACCACTCAATATCTGCCCTAGCGAGCTAATCTCTCTTGAGCTAGAGAAAGTCAAAATACTTTGAATATCTCCAACGCTTTAATTGTTCTAGACCCAAGATGACTCGGAACCGTCTGAACTCGGGGCGTCTGCTAGTCATCGGGTGGGGACCTGAACTGTGTGGCCAGCACGTTCTACACTCTATTTTGTTGATCCGCCGCCAAAATCTAAGACACAACATGGACCCCTTTAAGAGTCGGATATAAATGGAGTATCATAGCCTGGTTCTTTTTATTTTATAATTCATCCAGCTTAATGGTATATATAATATGAGCATGAGATGGAGAGTCGGGAGGTTCAAGGGTGCCCGAGTCCAGACCCAGTCACGTGCACGCCATTGATTCGTCTGACGATGCCATCTTTCGTCGTCGTCAACCCTCAGTTGGCTACTCGTCTCGCCCGTCACCTGCTTGCCTGTTGCCCGTAGTCTCGGTGTGGACTAAAATATCGACAAGTTTTTACCTTCGTCACCCCTTTCCTCTCGTGCCGACCAGACCACCATCCGTACCTGAACCAGCTTCCCCGCTCTCCTTCCCGCGTCAACCTTCGGCTTCCACCCACATCGGCGCCTATCGTCTTAAGGGGCAAGTGACCAACCAAGAAGATACCGAACAATCGGCATAACAGAAATATTGAGCCTCTCAATAGCCCAGGTTTTTTCTTGGTCCATGCTCATTTGGCAACCGTTGAGCTTTTCTTTTGGTTGTGGTTCCAGCCGTGCGCTCCTATGAGCCCAACCACCCATTGCATCGCGCCAACGTACACATTTCTCGCCTGAGACTTGGCACCCCGCTCCTTGATCTGCTTGGGCGGTGGTGCGCCAGCACATTTATTCGACCTGGCTTCTCGTGCACCTTGAACCCCGAGCCTCGCCCTCACCATGTCCCTCCAGACCTCTATGTACCACGCCGATTCCGACGCGGATGACGAGTACGAGCGCAGTGTCATCACTTCCCCACACCTCCAAACGGACTCGGAAGCCTCTCCCACGGATTCCGATATTCCATCCGCTGAACATACCCCGACCAAATTCGGAAGTGAAGGCCCGCGCACCCCTCGAACAATCATCTCAGAATGGACAGCAGATGAATGTGTGGATTTTCTGACGTCGCTGGGGTTGCTTCAATATTGCGGCACCTTCCGAGGTGGGTTAAACTATCCAACAGGCACTGGGAACATAGCTGACTCGACACTGTTTCAGAAAACGGGATTGTAGGTGAAGCGCTTATCGCGCTGAAACACGATGAACTCAAGGAAATGGGAATCAACAGTGTTGGTCACCGATTGACGATCTTGAAGAGTGTCTACGAGATCAAGATTCGGCAGCATGTGCCTCTCGATGTCGACCACTATATCCCGCTTTGTATGTTTGGGTCCTCTCTCATACTGTTTGACTCCAGCTAACCATCTACAATAGCCGCGGATCAGAGCATGAACGAGAATGCCACACAGGAGGATATCGCCCGATTGATTCAGTCGATCCAGCGTCGCGACGAGAAGATCATGATGGTCGAGGCTGAAATGCACCGTCTCGCCGAGGATTACAGAAGGTTAAGGGAGGAGATTCTACCGGTCATCAAAATCGCCAAAGATCGATCCCAGCCTTTGCCGCCTCCATCCTCCATGGGAACAACCTCGGACAGCTTCCACGACAGCACCACTCTCACCTCTCCCTCACAACTCACCTTGGTCGACAACTCCACGACTTCTAAACTCCACCGAGCTTTCTCCAAGCGCACCTACACCGGAGGTACTACGCCCAAGAACAACTCCCCCACACACATTCCGCCCTCTATATACGAAGCTCGAAATTATCACGACAACCAAAATCTTGATCCCTCTGCTGCGGCTGTGGCTGCATCGTCCCATCTCTCAGCATCGGTGAATGGAGGACTCCAACATTCTCCGGGTGTCCCGTCACCTACCTCTCCCAACGCACATACAACTCAACACCAAACACTTAACCCACGATCATACAGCCAACCCAGCTCTGGTGGTCGTAGTATGCATGACCATTCCGATGATATACCGCAGAGAAGTGCATCCCGCTCCGACCGTCTTACTCCCAACCAGCAACCTTCCCGAACAGAAACACCTTCGGGATCACGCGAATCATCGGCACCCCCCGGTCAACCATCAAGCGTGGAAATTTTCAAATCTTTCCGAGTATCCTGGGATGATCCCTGTTACAAGGTGCTTCCGGCTGCTCTGAAGAAATACAACATCCACTCCGATCCAAAGCTTTACGCGCTGTATATCGTGTACGGAGACCAGGAAAGATGCTTAGCATTGGATGAGAAACCGCTCATCCTCTTCAAGCAGCTTGAAAAGGAAGGTCGGAAACCGATGTTCATGTTGCGGAAGATTCACCCAGACAATCCCACTTACCCTGTTCCTGGTTCTGCACCTAACAGCGCAGGATTTGAAAGCGGGCGACCACAGGCGCAGATAAACCTCCCAGGAGGAGTTCTGTGATTTCGACCCTCACTCCCATATCCATGCATTTCTGTCTGTGGCTTGAAGATACCCGGTGACTTGTGGCCATGCCTTGTTTTCTGCCATTCCTCTACTTTGCATCTTGTTCCATTCGGCTTCCTTGGGACTCTTCTTTTCTTGATTCGTCGGTTGTGTCGGTGTTTTATAGCCTACGGATGGTTGGTATTCTACCATAATATCTTGTGGGCGAATCCGGCGTTTTTACATTTCTCTTCTGTGAGGATGGTAACTGTTGTTGTCTACCTCGGTCATCTTTGTTGATTCTGGCATCATGCATAAGCCTTGTTCTTTTCCTTTTTAGATATTATTGCCCTAGGACTCAATATTCGAGTGTTGACGATACAGATACTGTGAAATTCACAAGTCCTTTATTTTCATTTGGATTTTCAAATATGGATCACTAGTAACGTACTCGACTTTTAAATCGCTCGTCGACCTCGACCAGTTCTAAGATCCCGCCGCCATCTGCTTATCGTCACGTGGTCACGTGTCTCTTTGGGACGCGTCGATAAGCCCGAATCTTTGCTCATTGCGCACTCGCGACACCACACCAAATGAGCTGGGATCGAGTCATCCAAGACTCCGACGAGGACGAGCCTCTCGGAGACGATGGGGTCGATGCCCCGGCCTCGATTGAGACCCTCCAGGACCACGAATGCCCGAAGCAACAATTGCTGGACAACTTGGGTCACCATGTCGACGAGCAACAAGCAAACTACCCGATTGAGCAACAAGCAGCTGAAGAAGTCGGCACCGAACCGGACCTCGGCGTTAATTTCGATCAATTCTTGCAGTCTCAAGACATGTCCCAATCTGCAACGACTCTGTCGCAGCAGCGCCGAGAGGAACGATGGATTCCTTCGACTGGACAGGTTGGGGGTGGATCAATTGGTGCGTTGAAGTTACGATACGGTCGTCTCGTGACTACCGGCTTTGCTTGTCTGTGGAACTTTGGATTAACATTATACGCATAGGAGCAATGATGACTGAAATCGGACATGCGCAGCGCCGACTACTCGACGATGACCCTTCCAGCGCTGGCCAGCTTCTTCCCTCCACGGCGACTCAATACCCAAGCGAGATTTCCCAGCCTGGTTCGTACCCTACAATCCCAAGCTATCCATATGAACAAGTGAACGAGGTTCCCAATGAGGATTACACGTATACCCGGCCTATTGTCGAGGACTCCTACGAAGCGACGCAACTCCTCCCCCAGGTGCATGCCAATGGCTACGAATACAGTACACCGGCAACATCAAATAACGTCGAATCCCCACTTGGCGATGCAAATGAACGGACATACACAATTTCGACGTCTGTTCAACTCAATGACGATGTCCACGCAAATTCACCGCACAAGACAGTCCAGCGGTCCAGGTCAATGCAGTCGCAGATGTGGTCTCCGCATGACACCGAGCCAATGTCATCCGTCGTTTCCCGGGGATTGACTAGATCTAAGAGCGACAATTCCAGATCTGGACTTATGTCACCGCAGCATTCTGCGGGCAGTGCACATGACGAACTAGCTCTGTCCATGGTGACGCCAACAACGGTCGTGGATGCTTCCGCCGTAAAAAAGAAGCGTGTCCGCCCGAAGAAACAGTCCCTGCCGGAAGACGATGAAGAAGATGAACTTGCCGCGCCTCGGAATTACTTCGACTCTGAATGGAGGAAGACAGCCGAGAAGCGGCGACGTGAGTCTCCTTCTAAGAATCAAGACGCATCGAAGAGAGATATCATCGAGATCAACGATGATGCAGATGATCCTTCTACTCGTGAGGCTAAGCCTCATCATGTACCGAGACTTATGGTTGTTCTTCCCGTTGCTTTTGACAACAAATCCAAGAGCAATGACGCGAATGGGTCAACCGAATCCGGAACAGCAGCTACAAAGCCACCCAAGAAGAAGGTCAAAAGGAGCAAGACTGCGTCAGCGGTTCTCGATAAGCCCAAGGGCGCAGCTGTCGATGATGATGTGATATGGCTAGACTCGAACCCTCTCCAAGTGGACGAAACCAAGCCCACTGAGCAAGCCGGTAATCCTCACAAAGCACAAGATGCACCTCAAGTCACCCCCGTCACTCCCCGAGCGGAGGAAGCCCCCGCCCCGAAAAAGCGCGGGCGCAGGCGAAAGAAGCCCGTCGAGGCAATCCCAGTATCAGAAGAACAACCACAACCCTCTGATCCAGAGCCTACCATATCAGATAACGCCCCCACGATTGAAGAGAACCAGGACTCAATCCCTGAACCACAGAACGAAACCCCAGACGCCGCTCCTCATCTGGGGCCAGCAACGACCAACGAACCCCCTCCCCAAACACCGCACCGCGCAGAAGGCAAAGAAAATGACCCAGCAACGGGCAAAGCCTCGCACAAGGGCCCAACAAAGCACAGTCCGATTCTGTCGACGACAAAGGTGCCGTACCGTGTTGGGTTAAGTAAACGGGCTCGCATTACGCCTCTGTTGAAGGTTGTCCGGAAATAATGGCTTTCATTACGGCTGTTGTTCTTGAGAGGATGTGGGCGATTTTCGTTTGGTAGGTTATTTCAAATGCTGCGTTTTTTGGTCTTATTATTATACCCCCTTTTGTCTTGTGTTGTGCTTTTGTGGCCTATTTGGTTTTACTTCCTTACTATCTGGCACTATTTTGCTATGATCCCATGTCTCTTCACCGAGCATCGAGTATTACGCATTGTCAACTGTGTATGTCTATTGCTCTATGAATGATGAAAAATTACCAAATGAGAGAAATCGGGCAGAATAATCTACGACTTTCCGGAAATCAAAATTCTTGGTACAATAATATCGCATGAAGGCCAGCCAGACTGAACAACAAGTCCTAGAGCACAATGGACCTCCAGTCCGGAGCAAAGTTTCTAACTATCCCTCAATCAAACAATCCCCAAGCAAAGGGTACTTGAGCATGTAAGGAGTGATGACCATCTGGCCACGGTGTGTGTAAGTATAGATATAAGCTCGAATGTTTCGAGTCCAAGACAAAAAAACACGCTCATTTCCTCAACCACCATTCCACGAGGCCCTCACATCCACATAGCCACGATCAGGGCTAGCACCAACGATGTTACAGCCGCAGTCCCAACGACTCGACCATTGGAGTCCGCCTCGGATTTGGCGCCCTTGCTCCCAGGGGATAGAGGGTCCCAAGCATCGCCGTTCGATGGAACGTGAACGGCGCAGTATCCAGCTTCCTTCTTGCAGCCATGGCCACAGTGTGACGTGGTATTTCCACAGAGGTTCTTGCTACTACAGCAAATTCCGAAGCGAGATCCAAGGCAGGTGTAGTTTGCACCGCATGTGCCATCAACGGAGATTTGCTGTGGAGCATTGGACTTCTTCGGACCCTTCTGGGGGGACTTTTTCTTGTTCTGGTGTCCGGTCCAGCTGCTGTCTGCGCGGTACCAATTGTCGCGAGGGTCACGTAGACAATCACCAACGGTGACGGGCCGATATCCCAGTCTTGCACTCGTCTTGAGCATATGCTCGGTGAGATTGTGAACAGTCTGCTCGTGAGCATCATGGGCAATGATCAGCCAAGAGTTTGTCTTTGAATTCCCCGCATTTAGGAATCGGTCGAAGATGTCCTTGGAGAGCTGAATGAGATTCGGACTGTCATTCTTGTAATCATCGGTATCGAAATCGTACAGAACAATATGATATCCCAAATCTCCGAGGGCCTCTCGACAGCCTGAGCCAGGGACGCAGCTGGAGTATGGTGGGCGCATGTAGGTAGGGAAGCTGCCAAGAATGTTTCGAATAGCCACCTCGTTCTTGAGCATCTGGTCCTGACGCTGTTCGGCTGTGATCTTGCTGAGATCCTCATGCGACCAGGTATGACTGGCAATCTGATGGCCACTGATAGTCATGCGCTCAATCAAGTCAGCCCAGGGTAGACTTGGATCATCAATCGGTCCCTTGCCGTTGTTGATGCCAGTAATGAAGAACGTTGCCGGCGCATCATACCGGTCGAGGAGGTCAAGAAGATCACCGGTGTACCGTGTTGGACCATCATCAAAGGTCAGAGCAATAGTGCCTGGAACAGTGCAAGACCGAATCTCCTGTGGGCCATAGGGGACTCGGCCAATGTGAGGACGTGGGATATCCTTCGTGAGTGGCCCTTTGGGCGACCTGTGGGTGTCGCAAAGGCCGTAGTCAAGCATGCAGTCGGGAGAACGGCAGTGAGCCGTTGTGGTACCGCAGAAACCTGTTATCCAATCTCATGTAAGCGATGCTTTGGAATAAGGATAGAGGATCACCCACCTGCACTGGAGCAGCAAGTACCACTAGGGCATGTCCCGTATTTCGGACCACATTGGTAGTTGGGCTGTTGGGTTATACCTCGGAGTTGCAGGTGAAGTCTCTGGGACTGGTCTTCGACATCCACAGGGTCAAATCCAGGCATAGGAACCGGCTCAGGCTGGAGCTGATCTTGGCTGGTGGCGGGCTCCTCAATGGCATTGTTAAGCTCGGTAGGGCCATGGATGCAGCTGTATGCTAGGCCCGCAAGAGTAATGAGGATGGCCAAGAGTTGATGCAGATGCATTGTGGCGTCTCAAGGATGAGGAGTAAGTGGATTATAAGATGTATGGTAAGCTGGGTATATAGACAGTGCGAATGGAGAAGAGTGGTGAAGCGGCAGCGAGAGAGGATCAGAAGACAGTACAAAGATGGGAAAGAAATGGGAAAGGGAGAGGAAGGGCAACATTGTACGAGGAAGCTGCAAAGAGGAGCCGCAAGCAAAAATGGCATTGGCGTATTTCTAACTTGGCTATTTCTAACGACTAGCAGGGAAGGTGCGCCTGGAAAGTTCAGGTGTCCAAATGTACTCCATGAAATGCAAAAGGCTTTTTTGTCACCCAAAAGACGGATTAAATACTCATATGGGTAAATGGAAATGGTCAACGTGGGTATCGTTAAAAATGGATGTACTGGGCATCGTCTCCGGCTTGGATGCTATAACCAGCATATCCTTCCTCGAGGGAACAGTCTGCGATCTGCAAGCCTGGCCAGATGATATCCGCACGAGCCTCAACCCATGCGGTATGATTCGCTCGAGTTTGACACTCAAATGAAAAGCATCGCAGTTTGCAAGGACCGATGCTCAACTGAGATGGCGGAAATCAGGACTCAGGAATTTCTGAAAAGATCGTTCAGTTTGCCTGCACGAGATTGTCCTCCCCCACAGCAGAGAAAACGAAGGGCGCAAGGCTGTTCAGATGAGGGCCAAGCTTGGCCGGAGCGCTGCGAGCAATCACGCCAATAGCAGCAATCAAGTGTCGTCGGTGTACAGTTGAGATATTTGGTGAGGACAACGTCTCTGTCAGCCGCTTCACGAAGGCATTGAGCTGGTTATCAGAGAAGTAGAGGACCAGGGCCGAGATGGCAGCCAAAGCACGCTTGGTGACCACAGTACCGGCGGTATCGTTATGGATGATAGCCATGACTGGTTCCTGCAAAGCAACCAACTCCGACTCGGAAAGGAGGGGCCCAAAGCATGTCACGACCTTGATGAGTACATCAATGGCATCGCTGCTGAAACCCTTGGAAGGATCCTTCTCCAGCATCCCCCGCACGACAGAGCCTCTTCTACCAGATGCAGACTGGGTTGGTCCGGTAAGTCTCGGAATCAACACCTTGGAGACGGCCTGATAAGCCGTGACGGCATTTTGCGGAGCGGGCTGGCCAGCTTGAGGCCGAGGAAGGGTGTCAACGATGGTGCGAATGGCGGTATTGGGGACCGAGGTGTCGATGGTTTGCGAGGTAGTCAGGTTGCTCAGTTTCTCAAGGAGGGGGACAAGTGACTCGAAGGGAAGTCGGACAGCCAGGGGGCCGAGACTAAGGTTGGTGACGAATGGTCAGTCAATGCGGCTCTACTTCAGTGGAGCGGTGGTTGCATACCATTTCAGGGCTTGGTTTTGCACGTCCCCATGTTGGTCATCCAGAGCCTTGAGAAGGCCTTCCGCAAGCTTGTTTGAGGAACGGTTGTCGCTGGCAAGGAAGCTCGAGCTTGGACTGCTCAGAATGGTGAACAGGTCATTGAGGGACATGTATCGAAGATCGGCATCCGGGTCATCGAGCTTGGCGAGATGACTGAGGATAGTCTGCTGGGTAACCTGACGGTCTGCCATAGTTGTGACTGTGCTTTAAAGCGAGGCAATAGCGGGGAGGGGTGACAGGATGAGAGAAGGGAGAAGCTTGAGGGGAGGTGAAGTTGGAGCTGCTATCAGGGACGAAAGGCGGAACCGATAACTGCAAGAAACGTGGGGTTTATCTGCCTGAAGGTTAAGGCAGCAATGACGAGCTAAGCTAACTAACTAGTTAGTTAGTTAGTTAACTAACGTGGTCGGTAAGCGAGTGGGCCATGTAAGCGAGCGGGCCACCTAACCGCTTTTTCGCGTCCTACCACGTTCATCTATCTTCTATCCACCACCATGCCTCCAATTCGCGCCGGGTTAAGCCAGGATGCTATGCAACAAGAGGGCCGCATCTTATTAGCTGTACAAGCTATAAACAACAAGGAAATCGGCTCTATTCGGAAGGCTGCAGACCAGTTTCAAGTTCCCCGGAATACGCTCACGCGTCGACTACGCGGTACTACAAACCGTGCTGAATCTCGCGCAAATTCTCATAAATTAACAGAGATCGAAGAGGAACTACTTCAGCAGCGGATACTATCGCTAGATCGACGTGGAGCAGCCCCTACACAAGCTCATGTACGAGAAATGGCTAATTTGCTACTCGCGAAGCGTGGTTCTATCTCTATCCAAACCGTCGGCGAAAAATGGGCATATAACTTTATCCAACGCCATCCGGACCTTAAATCTCGCTTTTCACGACGATACGACTACCAGCGAGCACTACAAGAGGATCCAAAGATTATTCAAGAGTGGTTTAACCTCGTACAAACCACGATTCAGCAATACGGTATCCTCGCGGACGATATCTATAACTTTGACGAGACTGGGTTCGCGATGGGCCTTTGTGCGCATCAAAAAGTGATTACTCGAGCGGAATACTACGGTCGGAGATCGGTTTTACAGCCAGGGAACCGCGAGTGGGTAACCGCAATCGAGTCAATTAACGCTTCGGGGTGGGCACTTCCACCGACGCTTATTTTTAAGGGCAAGCAATATAATCAAGCCTGGTTCAAAGATCTTCCGTACGACTGGCGCTTCGAAGTTAGTACGAACGGGTGGACGTCTGACGAAATAGGCCTTCGCTGGCTTCAAAAGCAATTTATTCCGTCGACAAATAGTCGTACGCGCGGAAGATATCGACTTTTAGTCCTCGACGGACACGGAAGCCATCTAACAGCAGAATTCGACCAAATCTGCGCGGATCACGATATTATACCGATCTGTATGCCAGCACATTCCTCGCATCTTTTACAACCGCTTGATATCGGATGTTTCGCGGTTTTAAAGCGCGCATACGGTGGTTTAGTCGGCCAGAAAATGCGGCTCGGGATTAGCCATATCGACAAGCTTGATTTCCTCACAGCTTATCCACAAGCTCGTACCGACGCATTTAAATCAGAGACGATTCAAAATAGCTTCCGAGCAGCAGGATTAGTACCTTTTAATCCCGAACCAGTGCTATCAAAGCTCAATATTCAACTTCGGACGCCTACGCCGCCCTCAAGCCGCGGTAGTCAAGCAAGCGCTTTTTGCCCCCATACGCCCGCGAACGTGGACGAGCTTTATAAGCAAGCAGCTTCAATTAAAGCTTTCCTAAAACGACGCTCGAAAAGTCCCCCATCGCCGTCGCAGGCCGCGCTAAACCAGCTTATTAAAGGCTGTCAAATCGCGATGCAAAACGGTATCTTTCTCGAGCAAGAAAATAAGCAGCTACGCGAGGAAAATACTACACAGAAGAAAAAGCGTGCTCGTACAACTAGATGGATAGCTCACGATGACGGTCTGAGTGTACGAGAAGCAATGGAGCTCGAGGAAGCTCATAATGCCTTTTTTCAGGCCATACCAGGTCCACGAGTGCCACCAGCGCAGGGTATACCGGCACCGAAGCCGAGGGCCTTACCTAAATGCGGCAATTGCAGTGAAATAGGGCATAAGAAGAATTCTTGTCCAAATAGAGAATAATGAATATAAAGGAGTTGTGGTTGATATATATCGATAAATGTGTAGAAATTCTGGTTGGGTGGCCCGCTCGCTTACATGGCCCACTCGCTTACCGACCACGTTATGCATGGAGGCCTCCTTTTTGAGGCATTAACTCCTATTTCAACTGTAGGATCGATGACATATAGTCTCATCGAATGAAAGAATTTGTTTAAGCTATTCTGTTTTAGTGACGTTTATTAGTCTACTTCCAATTGAAATCCGACTAATTCGAATAGCTACTCAGCTACAGTATGTGAATGTCAAGAGTGGGCCGATCTACTCAGATGGGCGGGATATATCCATCTCAGTACATACTTCTGTTCCACCGGGAGATAGATACCATTCAATATGTGCGCACTTGTAAGGAGAACTAAAGCCCTAATAACGAACAGAGCTACTAACAGTCATCCACCATTGGTTCTGGACAGTATTCACATCGCCTGCCCTGGAGGTACCTGATCTTACGCCATGACATCACCGACATAGACGCAATTACGCACAGACCAACGGAAGATGGCTGGGAAGTGGTCTTACGACACCGGAAAAGCAGCGAATGAAATGTGAAATCCAATGTTGCGTCGGCCAGGGCCCGTGAGGGGAAGCTGCAGGAAAACTGGTAAGCTCGGCGGTGGTGCAGTGCATAGTTGACAAGCGCTTCGACACTGCTTCCTTTCTTCCTCATTTACCACCCCATCACTCACCCAATCCTCCACACGTCCCATTGCATTCCGCTTTACAATGTCTTTCGTGCGACGCTCGGCTTTACGAGCTACAATTGCCGCTCAACCTTTCTATGTTACTCCAGTAACTCGGCGCGCGACTCAATTGCTGGGCCGTCGATTCTATGCCAGTGGAAAGGGCCACGATGAGCACAAAACTAGCGATCTACCATGGTACGTGTTTCCTCTAGGGGATTGAGTTTGTTTACTGCCTGGAATTATTGGTAATATTCTTCTTCTGGTTATAACAGGCTCTTAGGATCAGTTGGCCTGACTGGCCCTATGGTTTTCTACCTTCTCAAGTCAGGCCCTGAGAAGAAGCCGCATGGAGACGGCCACGGAGACGAACCCGGCGCTGATCATGCTGAGCAAAAAGAGGAAGACCAAGGCTCTGATCAAGTGGAAGAGGCAAAACAGCCCGCCGATCAAGCGTCTGGTGAAGACAAGCCAGCCGAGAAGTCGGAGAAACCAGAGAAACCCCAGGAGCAGAGCAAAGCAACCCCGGCCCCCAAAGACAAGGACGAAGAAAAGAATAGTGATAAGGCTGCTGGCGAAGACACTGGAGCTGAGGAGCCAAAGAAAGAGGAATCCGCAAAGTCGGCCAGCGACGAGGTACGAGGTTCCCTCCATCCATATTATTCCCCATACTAATTGTTGTTTCTTTGAAGGTATCCGACGACGACAAGTCTCCCAGTGAAGGCAAATCCTCCGATAGAGATGATGACACCGATCCCGATACCACAGATGCCGGCTCCAAGGGCAAGTCCGACACTGACGAGGAAAAGGAGTCTACTTCTTCTTAGCAGTCGCCAGCCCGCTCTCGCCAAGGCATTATGTAGACTTGATACCTAGAACCTCAAGATCATGCAGCCAAGTTTTATAGCAGAGAATTCAGTCCATCCAAGCCGAGCTTTCCTCTGGCATTCCATGGTCCATGTAGGCACATTAAAATTGAGTCATCCGTTGCCAGTTAGTTCATAGTGGCTTTGTTATTATTAATCGATCCTGACTCTACCAGAATCTTCCTAAAGTCTGCACTACCCATTCTCTTTGACATCGTTGACATTGTTGACATTGTTAACCTGGACAAAGAGACACTCGGGGTGAAAGAACTTTGTATTTCGACACAAAGGCAAGTTCAAAAGATAACAAGGAAGGACTTCGGTTATTACCTGATTATCAAATACCACGTAAGCTGGAACATGGCCATTTGAAGTGGTCTATATTTTCCAGACTTCATCACACCGATCTCTCGGAGATATTTCCATCCATTCTGGATCTTCTTGCCTGGGCTTGATTCACCCTAATCTAAGCTAGGGAACGATTGTACGCCACTTTCGACGAATAGTTTGTTCTCAACTCTATGGCTTCCGCAAAGCGAGATTTTCCAACTGTAACGACATTTAAAATGACCTTCGCACAAACTTTGCAGCCTGAGGAGGTCCGAAGTATATGCCGTTGTGCTATCAGATACGCCAAAGACCGAAAAGATATAATGAACCAACTTCGAAACTGTCGACAGAACTTGATCCAAGAAAGCGTCGATCCTGGCACCCTGAGAAGGCACATACGTGGTATAGCGACAACTGAAACCCAATTAAACTATCGGAGAGATGCACCGTCTGAGCTTCAAGAGCTATACGTACCGGCAGTGCGAGAGGTTTTCCTAGATGCCGATGTCCACATGGAGGCAAAGGAAATCTGGGAGAATAACGAGATAGACGAATGCTATCTCAGAACCTGGCGCTGCATCAAAAATGCTCTGCTCGGGGTTGATGAAAAGCTTAAATGCTATGGTTTTGTGTCGGCAGAAAAATGGAAGATGGTAGCAATACTAGAGATGCTTGTGGTCCAGGTCGGACGGTTAAGAGAAGCTCTGGTTGGTTTGGTTGTGGTGGATAAGTTTGCTGATGAGATGGATGAGATTGCCAAGTGCAGGGGCAGCAAATGGTCCAACAACCGTGAGCTCTGGTCCATCTGGGACCAGCTTCAACAGAACCTGAAGTGTGGATGCACGGCCTGCACACCTCTCGACCCCGAGAATTGTGCAGATCCTGTTTTCTATTCCTTATCTACCGTTGTCAGATTGAAACAAAACCTTCACGATGGCTTTTCTATTGCACCTATAGGGTAATAATGCTCTCTTAATGCACAAAATATGGGACGTATACTGTAGAAGAAATCCCAACACTATGCCATGGAAAATGGCAGGATGGAGAGAAAAGGTCTGGGATTCAGTTTGCTCTCAAGCAAGGGCAAATGTGCTTTTCTCTTTTGTGGAAATATTTTCAGGGACTGGGCATGGGTATTCGCGAGGTCCCTCAAAGAACCGTCACGGAGTTTTCCATTGCCAAAAATAGACTTGAGTGGTTTCATTCACTGCAGCGATAAAGGAGATTTTGGCACAATGGATTTGTCTTGTTCTAAACATTTATTATCTGAGATCTTCCTTTGACACAGGCATATTGACATTGTCACTATTGTTCGGGCGCGTCTATAAATAATACGATGATACTGGTGAAAAAAATCTATGCAGCAGTTCCAATTTTGACATTCAAGATTATAATGCCTTTGCTACGACACAAAGACTCTTTGTTATTTTACCTTGAAAGTTGCAAGTCAACTCAACAGGGTACATAGAGCCCGATGTACATAAATACCACGCAGTCCTTAAAACAAGCGAGGACTCCATTCTCACCCTTTACATCAATCTGCCTTTATATCAAAACTTTGAAAGCTTTTATTATATTTTCACTCCATTATACCTACCTCATCAGTCTCTCTGATCACCTCGGTCGGACATGAACAACAACATCAACGAGTGGGCGCCACTGCTCGACCAAAGAAGGTTCGATAGCTTCGTCTCAATCCGGACATACCGCGTGGAACTGTTGAAGTATTGGTCTAAACTGATCGCATACAGACTTAAAACCCAGAATACAGAGGGATATTACGATATTTTGGCAAGCCTGACCGAGCTGGCCACCTACATAGGCTTTGCAGGTAGCGCACAGCATGGGGATGGATTCGGCTTTTTGACGGAGTTCACCATGGAACAAAACAGCCGTGAAAGGTGTAAGTACCTCTTTCTCTCAGAGAAAGTTCTCGACATGGTTCGTTTTCTCACATCTTACCCCGACATGGTGCAGTTGTCGGATGTACTCAAGATGTACGCTGTGCAGCTTGGGCGGCTCAGGTTTCTTGGTGGCGGCTTAACATTGGATAGTTACGCAGAAGGACTGGATGGAATAGCAGATGTGTTATGTCCGATGTGGCGGCAAGATCCAGAGCACTGGCATTGTGCGGTCTGGACTGAGCTTTAAGTTGGTATGAATAGCTGATAAAGCGACCGGTTTTACTGAGCAAGGGTAAGTGGTGAATCTTTTCGTCGCCTTCGATTGAATTTTCGACCCTTTACATGCCATAATGTTGTATATGACTACCTCAATTATTATATAATATTAATTTTCTACATATTTTCCGACGCAAAAAACTGATCGCTTTCCTGAGCACATCTTCGGTTAATCCCAGCTCTGGCGCCCTAAGCTTCCCTAAGAACCCCAGAGCGCCGTGCAAGCGCCACTAATCAGTCTAGAGGTACCCGAGCCTACTCTCTCAAGCTATGCTCTGAGAAACTCTTTACTCGGCAATTTCTATTTCGGGTGCTGTTTTTAATCCAACGAAGCTATTCCCACTGTTGCAGGCAACCATACCTGACCAATCACACCACGACGGCACGGCTCCGGTAATACTTCGGAAGCGACTAGTCAGTCTGGGAAGTCATCCCTGACCTCTTCAAAAAGATATTACAAAGCAAGTATCGTGGCTAGTGTTATTCGGCGCGTCACCGAGATATTTGCTGAACTCAATTGGCTCTAGAGGCGTTCGCCGACACAGAAGAATGGTGTAGAAAATTTTGCGCGTAGCCGTTGGAATCAAATCGTGGAGACGTCTCAAGAAAGATGACAGACAGCCAAAATAAAACTCGGCGGCTGTGAAAGTTTATTCTGAAAACGCCTCCCATTGCAGGTGAAACAATTTATCTCTAACCTCTACTGCTTTAAACTGTACTTTAGTGGGTCATCTTGTGGGGCATGCTAGCTGACTCCAGCCATTTGGGGATGGTTTAGATTAACCTTCCGAGAATGTCCCAAAACTAGGTATCAGCCCGGGGAAATTTTGCTTATGCTGACGAATGCTTTTGCCCTATAAACTCTCCTGTAACAGATGAAACAGGATCACACGTCTGACAGGCCAGAAGCGGCATAGATACTGCATACAGAAAGATCAGCCGTTTAGACTCCGTTCTACATCTCCACAAATTGACAAACTCAATGATGTCTTACTCAATCCCTCTTTTCTTTTTCCTTTTCACTTCTAACCTCCCATACGGCGGCTGCTTGGTCATCGTCATGGAACCTGTCCTGGGGACCATTTGGGCGAGAGAACTTTCGGCTGAGCGTAAAGCCTTCTTAGCACAATCGCGCATTCCGGAGATCATCATCTGCAATGTGGTGTTGCTCGTGTTTGCAACTGGGGGCATGCTGGTGCGATTGTTCGTCCGAATTCGATATCTCACAGGGATCAATGTCGATGATATGATCTGTATAGCCAGTTGGGTGCGCCTCTCTTTGCGTTACCCATTTCGATCTCCGAATCTTACATGATTTAGGCTTTCACCTTTGTTCTGTGCTTCACTGCAATGTTAAGTAAGATTAGTTCTTGTGTCGACAGCAGAGTCATGGTTAGTCATACGGGATTCTAATTTTCAAAACACAGTGACTAAATATGGATTCGGCAAGCACATCGGAACAGTATCAAACTTCAGCGACCGCGCTATGTTTCTCAAGGTATGATGGATTTGATATACCAGCGAAACTGGAAGCCATCTCTATTGACCCTATTCCCTCCGTTACAGCTCGACTTCGTCACTATGGTCGCCTATGTTCTTGCCCTCGGGACAATTAAAATGTCATTTTGCCTACTTTACCTTCACATCTTCCCAGGAAATAAGTTCCGGGCCTGCTGTTGGTGGCTTTTAGCGATTATCGTGGCTCAAACAATTTCGGAGACTCTTGTCGTCCTTTTCCAATGCACCCCTGTTCACAAGGCTTGGGATGCCACAGGTCTCGTCGAGGGTACATGTGTCGACATGAACACATTCTATTACGCCAATTTCGCGGTGAAATTGGCCAGTGATCTGGCTTTATTTACCCTGCCCATTCCAAAGGTAGTGCAGCTCAGGATGTCAGTGGGAAAGCGGATAGGCTTGGTCGTGATGTTTAGTCTAGGTCTCCTGTAGGTCCACCCCCGTTCCCCATCCCTGAAAACCGAATGCCTTAATCATATTAACCTCGTTAGTGTATGCATGACAAGTATCATCCGGATCAGCTATCTGAACTCCTTCAAAGTTGATCACACTTGTATGTTCACCCGTTTCAATTTTCCTTACTTGCTTTGCTTCAATTTTGACTAAGGTATCTTCAGGGTCGATGGTCAATGCTATGAACTGGTCATGTGTGGAAGTCGCCGTCGCCATATTTATTGCCTGCATCCCTTCATTCAACACCTTGATCACTCATCGCTTCCCCAAGCTACAGCGTCTGTTAGGTCTTCCTAGCAGCAAGGAAGACAAAACAAGCGCGTCGACGACATATCGTAGTTCGAGTCGTCGAACATATAACAGTCTATCCTTTGAAGCCCGAAACGGACTAAAACTAAGTCCAATTATGGGAGAGAGTCGTGTGGATGTAATAACTACTCCCAACGGATCTCAGGAGCGCATCATGCATGCCGGAATCCAGGTGACTACCGATGTTAGCGTCAATGACAAGAGTGTCTGATCGTATATATTAGATTCAATCAAGACCAGCTCCTTCCACTTGTGTCACTAGAATACCTTTTTCTGCAATTCCACTATGTATGCTCTTGATGTTAATGGCTCTTTTACCTGGTCTTGGGAAATTGTTATCTATAATATTCACTTACTTCACCTGCTAAAGATAAGCGCTAAGAAGTATTGTTAGTTTTCACGGTAGACCTAGCAGCATAAAGTACTTGTATTAACCAGCCAAAGTCAAGATCCCATTGTTTGTTGGCCATATTTGTAGGTAAAAGATGGCTAAGATGGCACGGCACAATGGGCATTGTCTGAAAGCATGATCGACTTTCCTTTGAATCCAGCAAACTCTGCTAGAATGAAATAGAATCTAAGGCCATATTTTAAAGACCTCTGATTAGGAATACAAAATCCCCGCTTGCTTCTAGCTCTTTCCTAAATTCCACCATACCCATATCTCAAATTCATCTTTCCTCAAACCTAATTGAGCCTGCAGCCGGACACATAAACAATTAATGTCCACCATCAACTCCCAGGATCTCACAAAAATGCCTTCAGTTACTGATGCAGTTCATGAAGCCTACAATGCCGGAATCTTTGAAGGTAATCGGCATTCCCTGTATAGAGATATTTTTAAATGGTCTCAAGAGCTTCGCAGAGGAGATCGAGTTCACATGAATATTGCAGCAAAGCTGGATGATTTTGCAGAGGGATGGCGGACCGGCCAGTTAGAGGAAATCAAAAGGATGAACCCCGAGTCTAAAATGGATGCCCGGAATAACACTTGTCAAAAGGTTGGGCGTCTCTGTGACGCTATGAATCGGGTCGCCGATATCCTTCGCAGACAGCTCGCAATTGAGGTAGATGTTGCTGACCTACTGGTCGCGATCTCCGTTCATGTTGGTAGATGTCGGTACTTCTGTTCATCAACGTCGGTTCCGGATCCATACGCAGATGGATTGGATGTTTTTGCGAAGAAAGAACATGAATTGTGGTGGAAGACTCATCGTAGTCGTTTTGTTCGTGAGATTTCCACTTCTCTCATGGAGTCTATGAACTGTCGTTGCTACCGCTGCGTGTTTACCAATTAGTTTCCTTGGACTGTGGGATAAAGTCAACTTGCTTTTTCATGTTTCTATTCAGGAGTCTGAAATTTACTGCTAGTCAAATTTTGGTTGCGATTATTCCTATTCGAGTATCAAGCCAAAAATTTGTGCTTTCTTTTATGACCATTGACTCTGGCAAATATCAATTCTATCAATATACATCCAACGGGGTTGCAAATTCAAGTCTGTAATAAATCTGGAATGTACATCATTGGGCCTTTCTGACACTCGCCATCCACTACCCAGACCTATTGTTGACACAACACATCATACCATATGACCAAGTCTTCTCAAGACGAGAGAGACTCGATCTCCAAAACAAGACCAGGCAATAGATCAACCTTGCCAGGCTTGGATCCATAAAAGACCAAATTAATAGCTTTCTCGCCGCCAGAGAGGGAAACAATATTATGCCCCGATGTCGAGCCAGAATGAGCATTATATTTCCAAGGTCCGCCAAATATCACATCGTAAACATCCTTCAGGTTTGATATCTCCCCATGAGGAACTTGTACGGATACGGAGCTGACACCTTGCACGCCATTGGGGTGTTGAGTCAAATTCGGTTCCATTTCGTAAGGAACGCGTCTTTCACGGGGCGTTCTGTCGAGACACCAGAAAGGCATGGTTCCCGGAGTGACTGCATCAACATCTCCATTCTTAGGTGTACAGACTGCCCATTTTAAAACAGTGCCGTCGGGTTTTGTCCGACCTCCGGGAATCGGATCCGTATATGATGCCCCGATATCAGCAGTTCGAAATCTGTTTTGCACAACATCAAAGTCGTTCTCCGAAGGTAGAGTGAAAGCCCAGTCGATGATGGTGCCTTCTTTTTCGTTTCCCCAGCGATGACTGCGGCGTGCCTTCGGGTCCACGTCTTCGAAGAATGCAATAAACTCAAGATAACATCCATCTGGGAGAAGAACCAATTTGTTTGTCGTGAGTCCATCGGCGTGGTTACCGCCTGGTGCGAGAGTAAATTGGCCGTCTAGCTGCTGGGAGATTCCAAGTAAATCATTATGAGAAACGAGGATGACGAAGTGGTCAAGTATAGGGAGTTGGGCTGCTTGGTTAAACATGGTGAGAATGTTTGATTGAAGGCTTTCTCCCACCATGAATCTTGATGAAAGCAAGCTTTGGGAAGATAGAAGTGCGAGATATCGTGAGATTGGAGAAACGTGACCCCGCACGAGCACGAATTTCCCCGCTCCGTGGTGCAAGTTGGAGGACCTCCATTTTCTCGCCTAGGAAAGCCCATGGCTGACATTTTTTTTAAAAAAAGTATTTAATTCCAGCTTCCAATATGCCTGGCTTAGTCAGTCGTTTCTCCTGTCACTATCTTGAAGGTATAACAATAAGTTTCCTAGATGATTCCTCTTGACCTTCACCTTGGTAGCATCCGCTCAGCACGTCAATTTACATAATGCCCAGCCGCGGTTCCTTCTCCGATCCTCGTGTTGATCGTGAAAGCAATAAAGTTACTTTGCGTTTTAGGACTCATGTTAAATTTTGTATCTAATCCAACGCATCCTTCGCGTACTTTTCTCGAATACGCTGGTCGGTCCATTCATGGTTATCTTTGGGATTATATGCATATATGATTTACCAAACCTGTATGACTTCTCCATTCATATCCATTGAGGCAGTATCTCTTATGCTCAGAGGTTGTCATCTAGTCAAAGCCACTGGCCATATCGTATCTCAGCTCAATCATCTGCCATCCCTTTTTATTCTCCATTATGAATCCAGTCACTTACTATCGCCGATAGCTTACTCATATCTTCTGTGTCAATCTTGACATTGCCAATGCAAGTTTTATACAAGTGAGAGCGAGGTGGAGGAAATCTGCCCTTAAAGGGCCGTGGAATGAATAATCAAATTTGGCATAAGATCGAAGGCTCTCTCAAAGGAGGATGGTAGATCCATCAAACAAACAAACTTATGTCCCCTGTTCTCTCGAAATAAAAACTGAATACTCTGCCATCTAAGTCTCACAGAAACTTGTTCATTGCGTTGTTGATCACGTTGTTGACGCCCTGGTTCACAAAACTGTCTGTTCCAGAAGGGGCGTATTGGTCGACCTCCTTATCAACCGTCGAGTCAACAAAGTTATCAGCTGAACCGGCTTGTTGATTGTTGTTGCCATTGTTATTGCTGCCGTTGTTGTTGTAGGAGGAGGAACCGGCTTGCTTGATGAATCCTGTGATGAAGCGGGTCAGTTCACGTAGAGAAAATAAAGGTTAGGATGAAGGCATGTCGCCGACTGACCTTCAGCTTTGTTCAAAAGGCCACCGAGGCCACTGCTACCAGAGCTTCCACCCCGATTACTATCGAAGTTGTCCGAGTTACCGGAGGACTGGTTCCCATAGCTATCGTTGCCACCCTGGCTACCAAAGCCGCCAGAATGGCCACCGGACTGGCCACTATAGTTGTCATTTCCACCATAGCCACCACTACCACCATCCAGGTTCCGCTCAAAACTAGAGTCGTTGTTACCACTGCCGTAATCGCCTTCGTTGGAGCCGTAGTTATCGTTGTCACCAAAGCCTGACCCTCGGCTTCCACCATTGTAGTTATCTGAATCGTTGTTGTAAGACATTTTGTGGGGCTAATGACGGACTTTCGAATAAAGAAGGGTCTTGAGTATGGGATAGAGAGTTTGTATTATATCACCATTGTAGAGAAGTGGAGGGAATTTATACTGGAGCGGGGGGCGAGATAACGGGCTAAGCAGCCCCCGTTTGACCCTACAACCCCTCATTACTCTGTAGTTATCATAAAGTGGACTCTCTTAGCGACCTTGAAGGGAGCCAATGATGTGAACACGGGGGTTCTCAGGTTTAGCTTTCTGGCTAGTCATTTGCTTGTTCAGCACTAAGCTTGCACTATTGAACTCTATTATATGAGACACGGACTTTGACCATGGCTTTGCTAAGTGGACCCGCCGTGATTGGTGCAACCTCGTCAGATATCCTGATAGCACTGTTGCAGATGTTACGCAGCAAGTGTCTGAATGCTTCGATTGGCGGGTCAGACTGATCTAGTAGAGTAAGCTGCCTTTGTCCTGATTTACCCACGGTCACCAGCCGAGGAACTTGTCGCGCTACTGGAAGGCTCCAGTCACATCCGGACTCAATCCTAAGAAATCATGTGTTGAGTCCAGGTGGGTTCAACACCTTAGAAGAGGCGCGCGGGGGTGGAGTATTGTGATGGCCGCTGAACTCTCTTGCCCGAGCATAATGAACCCGTTTCCCCAGAGTTTACAGATGCGGGTAAGTCTAGCATCCTAGAGCCTATGGATAGCACACGCCATCTTACCACCTGGTCTTTGACTTGACTGGCCGTGACTACGCCACCAGAAAGCAGCCTTAACCACTGTGGATAACAAGATTTCAAAGGACAAATTATTCTGAGGACCGGCCAGATATTTCGATTTTGGCAAATTAAGGTCTTGCTCGTCAATTTTACGACAACACAAATAAAACTATAACATCTCGAGCTGGAAAGTACCAGCGCTATACAATGGTAGAATCACATTTAGAATCACTACAAGATTCCCCCTCATAGTTATCATTAAGTTATCATACCCCTTTCTTTCTGCCTCTTCCCCGAATAATGTCATTATGTGAACCCTCATTCATCATTCAGCGAGCATAAAGCCCTTTATTACCATTATCATTCCATTTAACAGTGAATTTAAAAAACAGCCGTCAGTTACATAAAGGAAACAACTGCTTTATCTAAGCTAAATTTATATCTTAGATATAGATACCCGCAACTGAAAACGTCCAAACGCACCAGATCTGGCCCCGAGCTCACGACCTAATCATAAAGTCTAGAGCAAGTATTCATCAAACCCTGAGTGCTTACAGCCATGGATTCCCCCGAGAGGGCTAGGGGGCTAGCCCGAAGAAACGTCACATCCTTCGTTGATCAGAGGCGGGAGATGGCGACTAAGTTGATAGACTGGAGCAGACAGTTAAAGCATTATGCTGATAACCAGAACGATGAGAATGGGCAGCATCCTACAAAAAGTCAGGAGCATCACTGTGAAAAAAACAGACAAGTTGCCGCCTGGCTAGAAGGCCTGTTCCAAGATCTGACAAGATTTTCTCTTCTTCCAGGCGTGATTTGGCTCTATCATATCAGATCCGACCCACAGCACGAGGCAGCAGTTCAATGTTTTCTTAGGAAAATTGACTGTATCAAAGCGGTCCTAGGAAGGGTTACCAGCAGAATTTGGGATCCGCCGGTCTTCCAGCCACTCATTTTGTCGGCAGATGTACTTTCAATGCTTTCTTTGGCTATTGTGAGGCTTCGTCTTCTTCGAATACTGGATGTTTTCGCTGATGCTCAAGATAACATGGCGTTCGAGAGAAATATTTACGTTATTAGCAACTTGCCTGCCTCAGATATTCGCTCTGAAACTTGGGATCTTCTATTCCAAGGCTTGTCAAGGTGTAGTTGTGGTTTCTATCTGCAGCACGGATATCGACACAGTTTGATGTAGCTCTAGAACAAGATGTGAATACGTCCCAGTCATAAGTCCTGACTTGAGTTTGCCTTGTAGATTTCATCGAGTCGTATTCTAAGCTTTCTGGCGATATTGTTAATTAGCGTTTGATGAATGGTGTTAAAATTTTTCGTCGTGCAATTTTTTCAAGGAGATAGTGAAGTCTTATCAACTCGCTACCGCAGCGAAAACACCACTTCCTCTACACTTGGAGAACTCAGTACCATAATATAGGCTCACAAATCAGCAATCTAGCCGTATAGATTTTGCTAAAGGAATTATGACCATAAGATGAAGATTCCATATTTAAAGATAAAGTGAAAAGTACATTCCTTTCCATGTAAATTTCTTTTCTTTTTCTTTTTCCCCGTAATATAGGTGCCGTCTACCTAAACTCCGGAGCACAGGATAAGTTGTTAACTCCCCTAGCAGTGCGGCCCCGTAGGTCAGCGATGATCCCGAAGCGTGAAGTATACACAACCTCCTCCCCTGTCCACCTTAGGCATCAATAAGGCGAATTGAGACAATCTGGGGGAATTACAAAAAGGATTGCAAATTTTTCGGTCGAGATGAAACGCTGACTATAGAATTCTTCGCTTCCTAGGATATATTTGAATTCTTGATGCACACAATGACGAACCAAACCGAAATGCCAAGGACGCAAAAAAATCACACTTATTTTTAAGATTTCCCGAAAATATTGAACGCCCTTTCCGTCGCATTCAGAATCAAAGCTAAAAAAAAGATTGGAAACTATAACGGAGAAGAGGAAAGAAAAAGACAGAGAAAAAACTAGGAACGCCGAAGGTCCACCAGACACCAGCATGTTCAAGTCGAATGGACAAGATTATCAATCAGCTCTGGGATATCCCAATGGGCAAGCCGGATATAGTCCTTGTACTTGTCCTTGCGCCCAAAGGTCTTCATGCATCGCTGCGCCGGGCACTTAAAGGAGTGCGGGGAGATGTGGGTCGATCCGATGTGCCGCAGGAGGCTGCTTTTAGCTCTGAAAGTACCAGTGTGTAGACATCCTTTCCATTTGCACTTAAAGGCGGCTAGTTGGCTTAATCCAGTCAAATAATTAGCATAATCTAGATTGAGGGCCATATTAGGAGAGGTCGACCTACTTTTGAGCGTTCACTTGTTGACCATTGTAGGATCTTTGCTCCTCGACACCTGTAAGGATGGGGGTTTTTTTCGCTGCCCGTGCCTCGATGGGAGCAATAGCAGAAGGCAGGACATCCAGTTGAGGGCTTGAGATTCTCACGGGTTGAATAGGCTGGCTAAATTGACCATGCTGGGTCGTCCATGATGGGTTCCCGATGCAGTTTGTAAAAGCGGGTCCCTGGTCAAATTGAGTTAACGGGTAGGGCGATATAAACATTGGGTCAAATTGGAACCATGAATTAGGAAGGAAAGGGTGCACTGGTTGAAATTTCATAGTGGCGATCACTGTTGAAGCCCGGAGCTGGGACTGGACCATGCTAAGACTCCATGAATGAGAGACCCGGTCGTGGTTGAGTTGTGAGAAACGACGATGCTACTAAGATCGAACATCGAGATGACACAAACGAAGTAAATTTGGTGTCGGCGATAGACAAGTAGGTAGTGTAATAAAACTAAGCTGTGTGTGCAAACGTGGTATCTCGGTCTGAGGCGCCTAGTGGGTTGGTGCTCAACCTGGTCGCAGTCCACAGTGTAGTCGTCAACAACGGAACTGGGGAATGTCAACGGGATTTCTGGGGCAGCTACGGACTCGGACTCGATTAGTCTATAATTCCGGTCAGCAATAAAGAACCCAGTTGGAAAAGGTGATTATCTGAAGGAATTCATGGATTGCCTAGTTGCTATGTGCTTGTGGGCATATTCGTTGGTAACTATGTACAGAATCCATTTCCTTTGGCATCACTCTGGTCTGAGCACTCCATTCCACGCCGTCGTTGATTGTGAAAATTATGCGTACACTGCTGATTATATACAGACAAGTTCTATGGCAATTCTGAAGTATTCTCTCCAGTTGGCAACTGGTGATAGTACACCGGATCCGCATGGAGCTCGTTCCAGGGTCTCGACAGTGTAGCCGCTGGGTCTGCATCAAGCTCATTCCAGGGCCTTGACAGAGCCGCAGAATCCGCCTCTGCTAGAGGCGTGTGGCGAGCTTCAAGTTCTGGGACGTTGTGTTTTTGACCAGATTGCTGATAGTGTTGCTGGTTCCCGTCAAGCTCGCTCTTATATCCATAGGCATTCTGGTTTGCGTCGAGTTCGTTCTTATCTTTCACCAATGATGTTATTTGGTCGCCGTGATCAGATTCCTCTGGTATGTTCTGCGGCAGAGGCTGCTGTCGAGTTTGATTTGGGGTTCGCTTTTTCCTGACGAGCACGATAACCATAACGATGACGACCAGGACACCAACCCCGACGCCGGCGCCAATGCCTGCCTTAGCCCCTGTACTCAATCCGGATCCTTGTGACGAGCCACTGCTGGAACTGCTAGTATTGGAGTTGAGAGGAGATACACCGACTGTGGATGAAGATGTCGAGGCGCTGTTGCTGTCACTATAGCCGTTTTCGTTCACTACAGTTGCCGTTGCTGTCGCTGAGGTTATCTCTTGACTGATTGTCCCAATCGCGTTGGAAGACCCCTGCATGCTTGTGGCTTCGTCGCGGTCAGAACAAGGCCTCAAGAACATTGCTCGGTTTCGCTTGGGAATAGTTACCTGCTGTCGTACTTGAAATGCTAAAGATGGTACTACATGCACTCGTAGACACGGCTGTGAAAGCAGCTCCCACGCTGGAATATACTTGTCAGTTTATTTTTCCTGAGAATGCCATGCCCTATGAGTACCTACGCGGCACAACTTGCGGCAGCTGCATCTGTGAGACCTAATCCAATGTTCAACCACCTGTGTTAAAACTTGGATTGCGGTTCTCTTACTTGCAGCATTCGTCGAATCGCAGAGCGACCGTAAGCAGCATATGTAGGTTTCATGGAATATCGTGCTCTGACAGAAGCAGAAAAAGTCGTCCGTGTTACATGTTGCGACGGTCTCTCCCTCGATTTGACATGTTTCCTATTATCACACTATTGTCAGCAGTCGAATTTGTGAGACAAATGGCGGGAAACAAACCGAACATGCTAAGGTCGAGTTTAAAAACTGAGGCTGAACTAGCTGTGCGAAAAGCGGTAAATACAGGAGGTAGAGATGCCGGGCCATGTGTTGGACCAAGAAGATTTTATGGAAAAACAAGGAAAGGGATTCAAAGTATAGTGGAATCGGAAGGGAATGAAAAATAATTCTCAGTAATGAGGAAGTGCCAGAACTATCAATAGTCTGTTGGTTAAGCCTCATTACGGAGAGTAGTAGTCAACAGTCCATCATCTTACTGGGTATCGTTTACGGTCTTCGAATCCCGAGTGGGATGTATGCGACAGATAAAGGAATCTTAGACGAGCCAATAACCCCCATTGGTCTCGTTTACAGTAGCGTCAACCTCGGAAAAAGCCTCTGAGGGGCTTAGCGCAGACTGTCAGCCTCAATGGCTCGATCCATACAGTGGGGTGAAGAGTCAAGATAGAGCTTTCGGGCCACATTTTCATACCATGGAACTGAATGTAAGGTCCGATCGCAGATAATAGCTATCATTAATGGAGAGGGCACTTGGATGGAACAGTCTATGTCTCAAAGAATGATCAAAACTAGCAAGTCTTAACAATGTATTCAACCAGGTTTAAAAATGACCGCGCAAACTATCTGAGGAGGTGGCTGATGGTGCATTTTTTCCCTGGGGATTCTTTTGCTTGCTCTGCCTCTGAGTACTGAGAGACATATTCCATCATCGAGCTGCACCTCTATGGTGCAATTTGCGCAGAACGTGTTTATCTGATGAGGCTACGATGCTGTGTGTCTGGACCCTGACAACGAGCAATTCAGGGTCATATGCGGGCCGTTCCAGGGTCTGCAATAGTAGCGAGGCTACAAGGGTACTCCGTACTGTAGTGAGTTAGTGAGTTCACTATCAACTCAACTTGGAGATTGCGCTTTCCTGGATCAGTACAGCCCAGGCGAGACCGGGTCGTGCTCGAACGCCACAAATGCTCCACCCCCCTGGTGAACAAGAATCGCAAATCGAAGCGATTGGATAGAAAGACCTGATATCGCAAAACTTGTAACTATCGGTCACAACTGAATTGATAAGCAGCGACCAAATCACCAAAATAATAATCACCGAATTGACTGATCTCGAACGTTTACGGCGGACTATATATGGGCAACTTCCCCAAAACTCCAAAACCTACTACATAAGTGAGTTCATTATTGGCTAACTGGATTTAATAATAATTATGTGTTTAAATTATAATTTTGGGCCAATTTAGCTATGAGATATATGAGATTGGTTATGAGATTTCGACTCCAGTAATCCCATTAGTTAGTTAATTCGAATTAATTTCAAACACTTTCCCGTGGTAATATCACTTTTTCTATAAGGGATGTAGGACATGTATAGATTGTGTTGGCCGAAATCTGCAGGGTTGAAAATTGCTAAGGGTTGGGTACCCTAGGTAGGTAACTAGTCCGCGGTAATAACGTTGCTCTCATTCGGTTCAGAAAGCAACATCTCTCCTCCCGCAACTCAATTCCAAATGGAGTCTTTGCTCTGCATCTCATGGAATCCTTCCCTCTATCTCTGAACATATTAGAATATCGCGGGGTTAGATCATGAGATGATAGTACCCCTGGTCCTCCCCCAGAGGCCGACGCATCAGATTACATGTTTTGTCATGGGGCCACACATTCGCGTGGACTGACTGTTCAACTGTTTCCTGCAATGGAGGACTGAAGACCCCAGCAAAAGGAGCATGCGATAAACGACAAATCAACGAGGGCCCCGACCCCTTCTGTTTCCCTACCAGTAGACGCAGCCACATCCAGCGTTCAGAATGTGAAATCGCAATCTAATAATTGCACCAGCCATCCATTGTTCGAAAATTCGGAGAAAGGCCCAAGTTCTCGGTTCAGCAGCGCTGATATCTTCGACAGCCTCCCGGCCACAGAAAGTGTCCAGGCGAGCCAGGACATATCAAACCCTGAGCAGAACAAATTGCCCTTGACCACTATAGCCCCCAAAGATGCTCTGTGGCAAAAGGGCTTCCAGAGGCTTTCACCAGATGAGCAAGGTCTGCTCAAAGACGCGATGAAGCAGGCGGGCCTGAACGAAATAGATATAACAAGACTTATCACGGTAGCCCAAGACAGGCAAAAAGAATGGGAGGGCCGAACCTGGAAGTTCAATATCCACGGCCCCCAGGGATTATACAAAGAACATTGTTGATTGCCTCACGACTCCCATCGACCTCTGTGTTCAGTTCACGCCTCAACCAGCAAACATAGCTTGACCCTTGGTAGAAGGCATCCAGGGAAGAGCATACAGCGGAGATAATGGGCCGAAGCAAATCATGCCCGGGCTCGGTGACTTAGATACTAGCAGCAAGGGCGCTCAAAATAGCGTCAAGTATAGCCGTTCTTGGCGCTAAATTACCTTCGCCTCTCTTTGTGATAAAGTCAACCTCCTCGAAAATGCATAATTTTTCCATTAACTACTATACTTTCTTTCATAAACTCATTGTTCTCAATACATTACTCATAGCTGAGTGTTCTTCTTTATTCAAAGAATGGCTATTGTTACTTCAAAGAGGTTCTCTTCTTCATTTAGACTTGCAAAGACAAAGTAATCCTTGTTAGGAATCCTCGCAATCTGAGAAAAAAATATAGAACCCATGGCCCAAGTATAAAACAGGCCTGTCCCTCTAGTAAATAGATCTTACCACACTCAAGCATCCCCTTGAAAACATATCTCTCACCATTAACATTAACACCTTGATCCCACACTCAATTAAAAGCCTCTCATCGCAACCATGCCATCCGGAAAATCCAATGTCCCCACATCCCAAGAAGCACAGATCAACCTCTTCCTCAAAGAACGAGGCAACCTCTTCATCGACATGATCCACTGGCACTAACGACTTCAAGAAACCCCCAAATGCAAATTCACACTTGCTGACTGGCTCCAGGACCTACGAGATGACTTTTACCGTTTCTCTGCCCTAGTTCGAATCATTCGTTCCCCCTGGACCCTCTCCGCAGATGAGCGTGCCGGATGGGAGATATGCTGGAACGACAAGGTTCGCATTATCCAGGAGAACATAACCAAATTGATTGCCCTCTTGCGGGCGTCGCCATCGGATTGGAGTGATGATGGCCTTGCTACGCTCGTCCTGATGATTGCTGTTAATATTGGACGACTCCATCATGAGAGGGTCGATCTTCATGCTGGGTTGAGCTCGTTTATGAAGAATATCCATGAGCTTTCGAGGAGTATTGATCAAGAGGATCATTTTCCTAAGCTAGAGGATGTTTGGGTCAGGATGACTGGGATTGTGTTCTGTCGATGCAAGTACTGCATGCGAATTTAAGGGGATTGTAAAGGATGGGTTCACCCTCGAACCTGCTAAGTGACTATCAGGAGGGTCCCGATGCTCAAGGCATGTGGTATATAAGAACCGAATTAAATCTTTCAAATTTTGAGTCTAATTAATAATTTAACCCGTAATCTAGGTCAAGGTAAAACCGCCGCCTCGGGAATTAATCGGCTCCCGGAGCATTGGGTGTGCTAAGTTGGTACTTTTATCAAGAGGTGCGCCATTTTTTGCGATAGGATAGGTAGAGCAACATATGGACACCCTCAGTTTCGTAGAAAATATAATTCCTACTGTGTCCTTCTGTCACATCGATGGGGAGAAAGCGAACGACTTCAGTTTCCCGTCTAAATGCATGATGGCATACACTCCACGCCCACAATTTTTCTTAACCCTCTTTCGCGAACTCTTCAATACCGTCATTTATTCCGCCGGAAATTATCCACTACTTGCGCGGGCTCATCAAATCTTTCAAAAAGACCCTACTCAAACCAACAATGTTTTACTTCAGCACCGATTGCTCTCGGGATTATCCTCAAACTTCTAGTAAGCTACCATCAAAAAAATCCCTGTTGTAAGCAAAGACTAATGAAACTCAGATCCGATATATCATTGGCCATGTCTTAATGTCTATCTTAATCCTCGAGACTGTGGAGAAGCAGGTCAATGTCTCTGAGGTCGGAGAGAAGCTGGCTCCCTCAAGTCGTTACTTGCTCCAAACTAGTGCCGTTCTGTACCGCAGAGGGGGTGTCCGTCTTCTCCTGAATGGTATCGGTTTTGCTTGTACCTACTGGGTAATGCACTCCGCAGTAACGACACTGTCTAGTACTCTACTTCCTAGTCTGGTGGCGTATATTATTGCATCAGTCCTGCTCGCGGAAAACCGTTTCTATTGGACTGTGCACACCATACTTCCACGCAACCAGCTACACTTCTTTTCTAGTACCCGGGATCGCCGACGATGGAGAGCTTTGGTGCTTCCCACTTTGATCTACTCCACGGCTGAATCAGTCATGCTGTATTTGCCGGGGCTATTCAACAGCAGTCTCGCTCAGGCATTGAACGAGAAAGTCACGATAGAGGGGTTATCGCATGTTGTGAGATCCGATATCCTGATATCGGCGATCATGCTCTTTACCCAGCTGTCTCTCCTCCTTCCCTCTTATATTGTGTTGCTTCTGGTGTAGGCCAGTCTTCTGCCAGCGAACTGCGAGACGCTGGTTTAAGGCCGTCACGGCAGCAGCAGCGAGGTATACGGGTGGGAGAAATATTTTCGGTGGCCAACTGGGGACCGCTACAGGCTTGGGAGGCGGTGCGGATGATTCGGGTAAGAAGTTTGCTTTATTGTCCGGAAATGCACAGAAAGATGTGTTTATGTTTGCTCGCAATTGCCGCTATAGTGCATTCCATGGTCTAATCTATGTTGTAAAATGAAGTATCAGCGCACTACGAGATCTTTGTCAGAACAAGTGGGCACATATTTTTCAGAGACAAGGGATTGGTTTATGGTTGGTCCATTTATTCTATTTGTGGGCAATTTCGGAACGTAGTGTAGTAAAACTCCTCTATTAGTTATAAGTAGACGCTAGGAGCGGACCGGGCCGGCTTAAGTTTGCCCTATTCTTGTTGATTTTAGTAGGTTGGGGCTAGGCCGATATAGTATGGGTAAATGTGAGCCATAGGTGCCGCTGGTTCTCATAGGGTGTACTAAAAATACGACACGTGAACCCTGGATGTGGAAGCCTAGAAGCTGTCAAAACTCTGATCACCGAGTGTTACACGCCATGGTGTAGTTCATAAAGCAGAGATACCTCTAGTAAAGAAAGATTGGAGGTGCCATACCAGGCAAGCAGGCCATTAAAATCATTGATATATTCGTCTCACCGCATAGCCCATCAATCCAAAACAAACACCGACGACAGCTAAAAACAACATGATAAAGAATGGGGAAAAGGTGGTGATAAATACAGACAAGAACCAAAACCAAAACCAAAAGTGGACTGTGCATGAATCGAAAACAAAAGATATTACACATCCACTCAAAATGTACCACATGGCTTTGACCGGAGGTACTCTTTAGTCAAGCTCCTCCAGATCCGGGGATGACATCGAGAAGGCAAAGTAAGCGGATAAACCTCGCTCAAGCACATCATATCAATCATGCACAAAACGTCAACCATGCACAAAACGTCAACCATGCACAAACGTCAACAGAATTCCTCGTGCCTGTCCCCAGATCATCTAGGCCTCCCACATGATCCTCCGATGCATTCCATTAATGCATAATTATAAACAGGGAAGCGCCGCGCTACCCGAAAGGTCGGGCATGTGTTGCAACCGATGACGGACAAAAAAAATGGAAACGTGTAAAAGAGATGGAAAACCATGCATCCCCAAGACCCACATCAAATTAAGATGTGGGCTAGGGTCTCATTATCGGGTCCTTGCATTACTCTTCAAGCCTTGCGGCTACGTGGCCGAGGGCCCTGCTGCTCAGGCACAGGCTCGCCGTTGATTTGCACCTGAGGTGCGATGTTCTCCTTGGCGACGCCAGTGGCAATAGTAGCCTTGGACTCGGTCACTTTCTCAATCTCCTCCTCGGACTCCTCGTCGTCGGACCGCTCGTCCTTGGTCACGCTGTTGAAGATGTAGTTGGCCAGGATGCGCAGGATCAAGAAAAGCCAGAACAGGTTGACGGCTTGCAGACTGGCCAGCAGAGCGAAGGTGATGTACTGACTGATCCAGCACTTGTACTGCTGGGTCTCCCAGTTGAGTTCGAAAGGACCGACGGTACGGAACTCGGTCAGAACGGCCCAGAGAATCTTGAGGTTCAGGACGTGGCGGAGGTAGATCCAGATGCCAACGAACATGCAGAAGTAGGGCGCAACGATGACGGAGTCGAGGTAGTTGAAGGTTTTAGACGTCTGCATTAGTCAAAGTTAGCTTTCTTAAAACCTTCTTCCAACGAAGCCTCCTCGCACGAATCACTTACAGCGAGGAAGAAGTCCGAAATGTCGTGGGTAATGTACACGGCCAGACCCATATAAGTAAAGTGGAAGCGGTAGCTCAGTGCAATCAAAGCCAAAGTGATGATGTGGTGGCCAACCAGCTCCTTGAAGTCCTTACGGGGCTTCTCCAGCTGCAACAAGAGAACAATGGCCTGCTGCGCCCAGTAACTCGCCTCCAGCAAGTAATAAGCCTTGAAGACACCCTCATGCTCGCGGTGGGGGAATCCCTCGAACATGGCAGTCGTGTTGAAGTACCAAATATTCGTCCGGCTCATGACGTACAATCCAAACGGTCCGAAGATACCAAAGTAGATCGCGGTGTAGACCTGCTCCATGAAGCGGGCGGTCTTACCCTTACCCCGGATTCCGCACCAGACAGCCAGCGGGCGAATCAACTGCTGCATGATGAACTCGCGTGTGAACGAGAGGACGACGGTGTAAAAGGCCACGAAGGCGATATCTTTCTTGCCTTTGCCGTACATGATAGGTCCACCGGGGGTCTTGGGAGGCTGAGGATAGGAGAGGAAGATGGCGCTGTGCATCGGGTTCGAGGTAGTCGGGTTGACCGCATACAGCGACAGCAGGAAGAGCATTATGATCAATGGGAGCAGCCATGTATACCGGAGGCAGGTATCGGCGAATCGATGGAGGAGGGAGCGATTGCGACGCTTCTTTGACGGCGACTTCCCGGGGGACTTGTCCGCGATGCGATTCTCCAATTGCTAAGCACAAAACGTGGATGTTAGTTCCTCGCTGATTTCCCCATGCACGTTGGCCTCGTATTTTCTGTACGAGGGGATCGCCGAGGTAGATACGCACCTTGCTCAAGTCCGGGGAAGTGGGTTCAATTGGGCTAACTTCGTTCATCGTGGACATTGCGGGCGCACTGGTGTCGCCGCGAATGTCCACGCCCAGTTGCGACCGACCACGAGGGCGAACCATGGCAGGCAGTGGTCTGTTGAAGCCGTTCGGAGGGTATGTGGAGGGACTCGTGGGCGATTGAGAGGAAGAGGAAGACGTCACTGCGCGAGATCGGAGAGAAGGCGGGCTCTCACGTGCGGACCGCAAAGAAAAAAAAAGGCGACGAAAAGGAAAGAGACGAAGGCGGATCAGGCCAAAGGTCGTCGTCAGGAAAACGAACACGAAGTCACGAACACCCGACAAGGTGGAGGTTCAATTCGTCCAATTCATCCAATAGTGTCTCTCTTGGCTTTTCCTTTTTTGACTTGAATTTTTTTTTTCTGAGCCAGGGGGGTCGAATAGCTCCGCACTTCTCAATTTTCCCCTTAAAATCCTCCACTTGGCGGGAACTCCCCATTCGCTCTCAGCCACTTGACTGGGCCACCGGAAATTCTTGGCGAGGATCGCATCGTCGTTGACTTTGTCGTGCAAGTTGCAACAGATTGTAAGCTTGGTCTTTTCTTGATCTGTGCTCCACAAATCACCCGCTGCATTTACAACCCGCCGCTTGTATGAGTTGAACTCTACTCATGTCTCTCGGAGGTACACAGCCAAGTCCGAGTAGGACCCTCTCAAGATCCGATGCTTGGCTCGATATAGCCCCATCTCGCTGGCTCCTCCACTTGTACAATTCATCGGCTACGAACCGAGGGGCCTAATTTGTACCGGTACGTCTTTTATTCACCGGTTTATCATCCCTTTCACAAATGTTAAGCCGAGGGACGATGCCTGAACTCCCTACGAGAATAATCGGAGTTTCTTCAAAATCACCCCTCCAAAAAGAAAAAGCTTTCTATCTCCCTGGCTTTGGCCCTTTAGACTGTCCAGGGGTTCAAGGATTTATGTCAACGACACCGCGCCTCGCGGCCCGTACCCGACAATTGACGCGCTTCGCCCCGGAAGTATATTTTAAGCATATTTCCCTCGCGCTTACCAAGACATTGGCGTTTAAGCTTACCGTATCTTTTATTGACAGTCTACTTGAGAGGCACGTTGATAAAAAATAACCCGGATAGGATTAATTAGAAAAAGAGTACATCTGCTCTACTGGGCAGTGTAACTCATCAATATGTCTTTCTATACATAATATCATCCAAAATCCCATTGAAGTTCTTCACTCATGACTCAGTCATAGTAAATGCAACAGGGAACATAACAAAACACTATTTTCCTTTCTCCACTCTTCTCCTTTAGCTATACACACTCAACCGGGACACATCTAAGCGGTATCCTCAGCATGAGCAGCAGCAGCAGCAGGCTTCTCACCGCCAGCCAACTTCTCACCCAGAACCTCAACATCACCACGCTCCGCAGCGAGAGTACGCTTAGTATCGGTGGAAGTCTTCCAGGCAGGGGTACCGATGTACGGGATACCATTAGGATCCTCGAAGATCTGTTCCGTCTCCTCGAGGGTCTTGCCAGCAGTCTCGGGGAAGAGGAAGAAAACGTGAACGAACATGGCAGTCAAGAACACACCGAAGATGATATACGTTTGCCAGCGGATATTAGCAAAGGCAACGGGGGTGAACAGACCCAGCGCGGTGTTGAACGCCCAATTGGCAGAGGTAGCCAGGGCGACGGCCTTGCCACGGACGCGAAGGGGGTACAGCTCAGGAGGGTACACCCAGGAGACCGGACCCCAGGTGGGTGCGTAGGATGCGACAAAGAGGTATGTGCAGGCAATCAGGCCCTTGGCGGGGGCGCCGGAGAGACGCATAGATTCCTCGGCGACGCCGTCGATACCGCCGACGACGACCTCGCCGTAGTTTGCCATGATTCCGGCGTTGGCGTACATCCAGGTCATCATGAGAGCGGCACCGATCAGGAGAGTGGGACGACGGCCCCAACGGTCAACCCAGATCAAGGCGGGGACGGTCATAACCACGTTGATGATGTACTGGATAGAGGAAGCGAGCAGGGTAGCATTGCCAGAGTAACCGGCCATGCTGAAAACATATGTAATATAATACATCATAACGTTCATACCAGTCAACTGCGACCAGATCTGAGTCCAGATACCGATGAAAGTACGGTGAATCATGCGAGGCGTGAACAGCTCCAGGTACGAGACGTCGGCGTTGTGGCGCTCAAACTCGCACATGTCGCTAATCTCCTGCAACTCGGCCTGGACGAAGGGGCTGGTGGGATCGCCCTTGCCGTGGACCAGGGTGAGCACTTCCTTGCACTCCTCCCAGCGGTCCTTACGGGCCAGCCAGCGGGGGGACTCGGGGAGGAAGGTCATGCCCAGGAAGAGCAGGACGGCGGGGACCATCTGGACACCCCAGGGGATGCGGAAGACGGACTGGCTGTAGGTGGTGGCGGTGTCGCCGCCAATGTAGGAGCAGCCGAAGGAGATGTAGTACATGATCAGGATACCCCAGGTGATAGCCCACTGCTGGGAACCGACGAGACGACCACGCAGGGAGGGAGGGGAGATTTCAGAGATATAGACGGGGACTTGGGCGGATTCAATACCGACGGAGAGACCGTTGATGACACGACCGGCGATGAGCATGCCCATGTTTTGCGAAGCACAGATAATCGCGGAACCGATAACCCTAAACGAGAGGAGATAGATGTTAGTATTTGCAATATAGTATATGCGTTGAGTCTTTGTATCTGTGTTCTCTGTTTTCAACATACCAGATAATGCATCCCACCATAATCGCATACTTGCGACCCAGACGATCCGAAATGAAACCAGAAATCAAAGCACCAAGCCACGAACCAGCGGGCATAGCAGCAGTCACACCACCCTGAGCCAGCGAGCTCAGACCGGAACACTTATCATTATCGTTGAAGGGCGGGCCCTCGGGGCCATGGTTGAAGTAGCACTTGTACGCAGTGGTGCCGAGAATAGCAGACATGGACGAGATATCAAAGCCAAACAGACCGCCTCCAATGACGGAGACGGCTGCGATCACGTAGATGTTCCCCACGACGACCATGATGGGCGACTGTTGTTCTTGAGATAGTATAAATCCCAGAGAACTATAAAGGGAAGGGGGGAGGAAGGTGGTCGGGAGAAGAAAGGAATTCCACACGATTCGCGACGAGGCCACGCCGGAAGAGGGAGTCTTTAAGTAGTTGAGAATATGGGATCTACAAGTTGTTTACTGGATTTTGTCTTTTTCTTTTTCTTTTTCTTTTTTTCCTTACTGGCAGCGTGGTGGGCAACAAGCCCCTTGCACACCCCATGGGTGGACCGAATGCTGGGGCCGAAACCATTGCGAGGCAGAAATCCACTTGAAAATACTGTTAATTAATGGAAATAGTGGTAGGGTTCATTTCGGGTAAATCTCGAGAAGGGCGCTCTAGAAGATCGAGTGTATGGATACCATCAAGTAACGAGAAAACTGCAGGTAAGGCGAGTGCAACGTTCCCAGCCGAAGCCACTCCGTTCGCGACGAGGCCGGGGGAGGAACGAGACTTAATTGGTGGACAAATAGTAATTATGATCCACTATGTGGTGTTTAGCCGATGGTTATTGGTGCAACCATAGCGATTGCTAGTAGGATCCGGGGAATCGGCCACGAGGTGAGAGTTCTATGCCCGATGTAGTCTGGCGCCGTACGGAAAGTCAGGCAGGAATGCTCAGGAATGCCGTGTTCGGGTGGCGTTCGGGGGGCGTTCGGAGTGGTCGGCTTCTTTTTCAGCCCCTGGCGAAAGTCGGCATCAACACGATGCCGCGTTCGGCAGCCGAGTATAAACACGGGAAAGGACTAGGAAGGGGAGTAAGCGATTTTTGAGATCGGGATCATGTTGGGAGGATTTAGATGGGGAATGGGTAATGCGGGAGGTAGTTTAAAAGAAGGGTCTAAACTGGATTTGACCACGAATCATGCCATTGTACTCATTACTCTAGGCCCTATAGTATCAACCAGTTCCAAGTTCCAATCGAAGTAACCTAGCAACTTTCCTCGTCATCAATATTTTCTTATTGTCTCATCAATTTCTCTTTGTACGGTATTGTATTCAGCGAAAAACCAATAATCGCCCTCAACGGAGCCCAAAGGGCTGGCAAATTGCCAATTAACCGGCCCTGGAAACCCACTTAGTCTGCACCACGAGAAATCTCTGCCGGGTCTGGAGACCAGTCCGGGGCCCCGAGTGCGGGCATTTACCCAGAACGAGACGGGCTGGCATGCCTTTCTTCGGCTTTGACTCGCCCTCACTGGCCGGCCCTCGCCGAGTGTGGGTCGTCGGGATTGACCATGCGAGACGCTTTTTTTCTTGACCGCAAGGAGAGGCTTGTTCAACTCGGGGGTTGCCCGTTGGAAAATGACCGCGTGGCTCACGGCACGGCTGCCATGATTTGTCCAAAGCCGTGTTTGACGTTGGAATGCTGACCAGAATCCCGATTGATATGGTTCGGACGGGAGGCGTCTGAGGCGCCGAAGTGGCTGTTTGCCGGTATTGGCTGACGCCAATGGCTTATTATTTACTTTCTAACGTCTCTGCGACTCTGCGACTGTACAAAATCCGGTTCAGCCGGCTGAAGCCGCCTTCTGCGTGGTTTTTGGTGGCCGATGTGGGCCCTCCTATTCATTTCGTTTCGCTCATCCAAGAGGGGGAAGATAATCACTGGTTGTTACTTCCAGGGTTTACCTACTGTGGTAGGGTCAAGGGTGCATTGGTGACGTCTCTTCTCCTCCATTGCGTCCCCCGATATCCCCGCCTCCAGGTATAACCCGGATTCTCCGGAGTCTTAGATTGCCCTTGGCCATATTCGTACACCGGGAGCCCATTCCCCAGACCAGAAAATTTCCCTCCTCCACATCAACAAGGGCGGGGAAAATCAAGTCCCTTGGATATGGAAATTGAAGGGTCTGTCCAGTACCCCTTCGCTTATAACCCTAACCATTCTGTAGCTCTCCCAGCTACAAAACAAAATTGCCTACCAACCTTCATCGCCAATAAACTTTGATCCCCGCACGGACCCGATTCCCCCTTATCTGTGCCGTACTGCACCGCGCCACGCATTCTTCGTAGATTCTCGAATCCTCGAGGAAATCCACTACCTTTACAACACCCAACATGCCTAAATCTCCCGAATGTAACGCAACTCGCATGGCTAAAGCCTTCGTAGCCACGATCGGCCAAAAGAGACTAAACATAGCCAAGATTGCACGTGAATTCGATATATCCTACTGTAAGCAAGGTTATGCGAATAGGAAGATAAGATAGAAGATAAGTTGATACTATATACTAGGCTCCTTCTTCCTATAGCATAATCTCGGGATTCTCCTCCTTTAGGTAGGTAGAACATTATTGAGCAAGGTGACATCCAAGCAATAAGTCTTTTTTTCTATGGGGTTCAGCCCCGACACCGAAATGAAAACATTCAATTCCCGGTCAGTCAACACTCAAACCTTCACCCAATCGTCATGGCTTTCGTCTGGCTTCTCCGTGTCTTGATGATCATTCCATGGAAGATCTACGATCACTGGAATGTCCTTTTCCTCATTCGTACTATCCAGCGCAACTGGCCATGCCCACTTTAATAGCATATTCATCATCTGGTAAAATTTGTCTTGGTCGATGCTTTCAAGGTATGACATGCCAGCAGGCGGGACTAAAGCATACTCTGAGAAATCCAACAGTCGGGTTAAACCAACATGGAGTTTCCCGTCATAGTATCCACTGAGAATGCGGCAATGGCCTAACTGATCTGAGAGGAAGAGTAGTGTCTGTGCTCGTCAGTGCCGCCTAAGGCCGCCATTATTTCAGAGTAGAATGGCAGACTTACCGGGAAGTTGGGGTTGTAACTGCGTTGTCCGGCATTGTGGGTTGCGCACAACATGGATTCCAACATCGTATACACCAAGACTACTATTTCATCTCTCGAGGGCCGTGAATCGTTGCCGCATTGTCCAACCCAGTTATAGGCCCATACATGGCATCGATAGTCCACAAGGAGCTCGTCTCCACCACTCAACCGGGTAACTCCAGTGTGGACACTCCTCCGACGAAAGTGTCGCATCTCGTCGGGCACCGTATCCAATACTTGGAATTCTCTTTTGAATCGGGGATTGCTGCGTATGTCCTTAGTTTCACTGGTAAAATGATGTTAGATAGAACGCCTTGGGTTCGAGTGTGGTAATTGTGAAGCTCACTGATCACACATCCACCCGTACCGGCTTGGCTGTACTGCTTCAGGTGGACGGCGAAAATGAAACGAGTCCAAATTAAACGAGCCATCAAGGCCTTTCTTTCCTTCAAAAGAGTATTCCTCAAAATCGAACAGCAGGGCCAGTGCGAAAAGCTCGGGTTTGTCACTGAAGAGTTTTCTTTCACCCTTCGGCTTGGCCGCCGCATGAATAGCCTCGCCCCAGCAAACTTTAATCCAAGAGGTATTTTGTTTGCAGGCATCGGAGATCTCTGTAAAGTCAGTCTTTGGAAGGAAAAAGGTCTTGGCAGGAGGTGATATAGATCCAGTTTCGATAACTATATGATGAAGTTCGATCCCGAGGCGAAGTAACTCTGTTTCAAAGATGTGAGGATTGTAATCTTCTTTGCCAATTACAAGGGAAGACGGGCGGGAGGGATTAGGAAGCAGTGATTCGAGGATTCTTTCCAACTTCTTGCAGGACTTTATGAGTTGTGCCGTGTCGGTTTCCATTTTGATGATTCCTTTTGAAGGTGGACCAGAGTAGGGTGGAGCCGTAGGTAAATGGAACGAGGGAAAGGTCAGATGGAGAAGAGGAAAACTTCCCTTGGTGGGTATCTCGCTCCAGAAATATACCCCTCGGAGGAATTGACGCAATTCCTCAACGGGAAGCTGACACCAATCTTGAACAGTTGTGACGCCAGATCAGGTATGGTAGGCCACGAGTTCCTTGGGACGGGTTTACAGCCTAGTAATCGGATAGCCCCGGCCTGGGAGCACCTAGCACACAGGCTCGTCTTCGCCTCTTCTGGCATAATAGGTTTCCACTGGAGCCGTCACCAAAAGTGCAAGGCGCAGCGCTATATCATATACACTTAGGCAGAAGGCTAGTCACTATGTATCTATAAAGATAGACAGTAGAGTCGTGTACTATACCTTCCAACGAAGACAAATCGGACCAGGACTAGTCAAGTTTCTCATCAAAAAGAACTGAATGAATTCCGTATCCTTTGAAGACTGCGAAGGGTGTCCCCGGCCATGGATACGGTCAGCTAGGGCTTCACTATCAGGAAATTAGGGAAATTGGAAACATGCAAGAATGGTCATTTTATCGTAATAGTGAAAGTCAACGACAGATTATTCCCCTCATAGTTCGTGTGCGAATTGCCTTGAGATGTCTGCGGGCTCTCAGAATGGATTTTTCATTTTGTTTTGTCCTATATAGATACATACCTTATTACATCGTGTACACAAGTAAAATCCGGTAATAATGCCAGGGGTCTATATGAACACAATCTCCTGCGCATATCGACGAGCCGATAGAACCGACAGGCGCGACTTCGAACCTGAAAGAAATCTACCTCACACGACACGATTCCATGGACTCGAGCTTTCTAAGCTCTAACCCATCCCTCTAATTCACCCTATGATAATGCGGAAACCCATCCTTCGTGAATTGAAGAGTGAGTGCAAAGATCCCCAACCTGAACGCGAACAGAAGATAGGCCATTGAGCATGCCTATGACTGTCGAGACAGGCTGGACGGTCATGTGGACTGAAGTCGTGCCTTCCTAGATAGGAAAGTAAAGTGAAGTAATCACCGCGGTCTTCTCGGTAGGCGTGAGACGCGTCGGAGTCACTCTCGAGATTTCCTTCTTCTTCTCTTCCCACTGCATCTCCCATCCTCTCCCAACTCTTGCTCCTCCCCATCCGTCTTGCCCAGACGAAGGTTTGCTTGGTCTGAACCTCAATGTAAGTCCTTAACCCATCAGACACCTACCAGGTTTACTGTTGAACTGATCGATAGGAATCAAGTCAAGCTGGATATCCTGCCAGCTCTCACTACTCGGTCCTTTGTCCCCTGCCCGATCCCCATACCCTTTGCGCCCTCCGGGTTCCTTTCACGAGGACCTGTTTTATTTCCCCCGATCACTACTACACTTTCCACATCTCTCTTCTCCTCCACCTACGCCTCTTCGTCAAATGGAGGTCACCACTGCCGGTAGCACGGCCAACTCGTTGTTTCCCGTCGACAAGCCGCGTGACTGTCCTGCCAAAACGTTGAAACTGGCACTGAAGTGGAGACCATGTCAACTGACGGTTGGCAACGAGCTCTTTTCCGGCAAATATCGCATCGTTCTTGACCCGCAACTACCAAGAGTGGTTTTCAGACTCGCCGACGAAGAACAAGGCCAAGTGATATTCACAGCCAAGAACTGTTCGATCGAGACCGGCTTGGATCGAGATGATCCGGAATTCGCCAGTCAGTACCGTGATCAGGTGAAGGACGGCCATCGGCTTTTGTTCATCATAATTCGACCCTCCGCACAGCCACCAATGCCTTCCGCGGCGAGAGAGGAACCTAGAAACGATGAGAAGAGCAAGGAGTGGAAGACCCTTAATACTATCCACTGGGAAGAGAACGAGGCCGTCATCTAGGCCACATGTTGGGAGAAGGATGCCCAGAACCCCCAAACTTACTTCGATTGGCTGGGACGACTGGTGCAGCTTGTCCGCACCAATGCTGGTGGTCAACCCAGGGTCGCTCGATCGCGGACTCGAGTACCAGTCAGTCCGAGCGTCCGGCTATACCATCAATGTCTCTGCAAGATGCTATGGACATTGACGAACCCAAGCAACAGTCTCCGGTATCTGGAAATTCTCCCCGTGTTGTTCTTCTGCAGCGGCCTATGGCTCTCGGCCATGCTCAGCATGCGCCCACTGGCCTTCCTCAGCCTGTCCCTTTAGGGCTTCCGCGGAGTCCGGCCGTGCCGTTGCCCGCTCGCCCTCCATTGCCAGGCGAAGAGCAACGGGAGATAGGCGAGAGGCTTGCGGAGCTGGAAGCAAGAAGGCAGGCTGCCATAGAGGAGATCATCCGGCACCGAGCAGCTGTTGCGGCGACTGCTGCAGAAGTGGAGTGGTACGACCGTCGGATACGCGGACTTCGACCTTCACGAGGCACAAGGCAGGGACGGTCTCGTTCTAGAAGCCCCCCGGCGGTAGAGAGGCTCAAACCCGGTAGTGGTGGTTGAAGTGTGATATTAGCTAAATCCCAATGCTCAAGAATCTCTTCGTTCCTGGACTACTCCTTGCTCAGCCTGTCTTGGGATATTTCCGAAGTTGTCCGACCGAAGGAGGTATGGCTTGACCTTGAGCGTTGCGTTGGAAGAACTCTCCGAATCCAGGAATTGACTCAGGTGTCCATCTACGACCGAGGTGATTCGTGCTTTGCCCTGAGTCATTGCGAATGAGGGCTTGCTACTTTTCCACTGTAGTGGTGTCGGAATCTCCATGCACACAGCTCGCAACAATGCGACGAGAGATGCGTTGACGGGATCCTCTGGTTTTGGCAATTCGACGCTCTCTGTTGTCGTGGGAGATCTAACTTCAAGGCCTTTAATAATTGCTGAAGCGCCTGTGGACTTCTCGGTCTCTTCGGAAACCTCTTCCACGTGCGCAGGGATAGTCAATCTAAATTTGGGATATTTGTCGTCGTTGTTGTTAAGTCTCAATTTTGCAAACATCTCTGCCACCTTACTAGGGTTTTCTCTTTTTGAGGGGGGCTCACACTTAAACAAACCTACCCTATATTGATAGGGTTCACCTCATGCACTAACTCTTAGGGCCTTAGATTGTGTCGGTTTCACACGAAGACTATTGTTAGCGTTCTATAATTATTGAATGCTCCGTAGGCGTTTAACCCTTAATTGTTAATGCGTCAAATTGCGGACCGAGAAGAATATGGGTACTATATAGAATAACCACTAAAGATTCAGCTAGAAAGATTTTTTCTGAACGTACAAACTAAGCTAAAGATATGTATATATAGCTGCCCTGATAATGTCTCCAGTCTTAGGTTCTCGATACTACATACGTACCCTGCATTGTAGCCGCCTAGAGTTCGGGGGCCACGGCCTCAACATAATTTCGATCCAGTACAGAGTATTTTTGAAGCCTGGGGAGCTACCTAGCTGGATAATGTAAGCTAGACTGGTATCATATGTCGTTTTAGTGAAGAATAGTGTAGGAATTAGTCTACAGACCTATGAGACTAGATTAACTAGATTTAGGGAACCTGATGTGAATTTTGAAAGAGAACAAGACCTTAGATGTTTATACAGGGTATAAGATTCTGTGGATAATTGTTGTTACTTCTGTCATCTAAGTCTTTGATTGTTTGCCTACGCTGTTTTGTGCAGGATGTACTTTATGGGCCCAGTGATCAGACTTTATATAACAAATCTCTGGAGATATCGACATCGGCAGGATGGCGGAGTGGTCTATCGCGCTAGACTCAAGATAGTTATCTTACACCCAGTATCACTAGGTGTTCTAGTCCTCGAACGAGGGCGGGGGTTCGAATCCCCCTCCTGTCAATTTTCTTTTGGTATTTATTTATTTTTTGACATATCTATCACCTCTCTTTGGGCTCATGATGATCTATTTGTTTTTTTTCCTTTGGCATTTGAACACTATAGTATGGTTTAAATTCTACATGTAAAATTGCCATTTGTTGTACATCAAGTCAGGACTGTACTGCTCGTGTCCTCGGCGATATTGCGGTTAGCGAGCAGAATAAAATATAAAGTTTCCACTTTATTCGTAAGCTAGTCACTCTTACTTTGTTTTCTCGTTTCATCTATCGACATGTTTCATATAGCTACCGATTATGGCGTTCTTGGAGCCGTTCCGGGCGCACTCTTATAGATGTCCACCAAGCTGCCGTTCTTGAAATTAATACCATTCTCGCTCTCCGTTCAGAACTCACAGAGACCCGATAGACTTGTGCTTTATCAAGGTCTAACAGGAACAAATATAGAATTTCAATAAGGTCCGAAGTGCAATCTCACATTATTCAATTACTAATGCATTGACGAAATGGATATCATCGTCACTAACGCCAAAAGATCATACGACAAAGGTATATCAAGCAATTAATCACCGTTCCAAAGTCCAGTCCGCAATATACGCCCAAGACATCCCCACCCGACCGACCTGCGACTGATACTCCTGCGCAGTAACACCCCGACAATCATGACGCTCACCAAGCTTCGTCAGAACCGCAACCTGTACTTTCTGGCCCGGAGCACCTAGTTGACGGGCCTCTGCCACATCGACATACCACATGTCGCCGCCTCCGCCGGGGCCAGTCCCAGGGACGTGGATGAAGGGGAGACGGTCTTCTTTGCGGCCGTCTACACCGTGGATCATCAGGAGGAAGAGGCCGGGTTTTTGCCGACTGTGTCGAGCAAGTGTCCAGTGCTCGCAGAGGAGGCCGAATTGGAAGCGCATGGGGCCCTGGCTGCTGTAGATAGAGATCTTGCTGCCAGCTGGGGAGATGGTCTTGCGACCGATACTATGCTTGTCGGCATCGGAATAGATTTGGAGGGATTTAACACCGTTTGGTGCGTCCGGGTCCGTGGTGATATATTCTTCCCAGCTGATGTGTCGTCCATCGCTGCGGAAGAAGTGATCCTTGTTGCCCGGGTAATGTTTCAGACCGAATTCTTCGTTCGAGATGGTGAACATGTGCGGCTCGAAGCGTTGAATGTATGGCTGCCCGTGGCCATTAACCGCTCCGGCTCCCCAACATGGGTCGATCAACTTCCACTGACCCCCGTCAATCTTGACTGCGTTCCAGGCATGGCCTGCATCATACGGTGGCACAGGTTGGCCAGGGGCAAGAGGTGTGTGACCGTATCCTTTGCCATGGCCACCTACCACGATGGCTTCGAGTCCTGCCTTTGTGGCTAGTAGCGCGAACAGCGCAGCATAGCCCTCACATACTGCTAATCCACTGGCTAACGTACTTGCTGGCGTGGAAGGCTTCACGGCATTATTAAAGAAGGCCACTACGTCGTATTTGATGTTGTGGTGCAGCCATGTAAAGATCACTCTGGCCTTGTCGGTTAATGATGGGAATGGAGCAGTAAGCTCATTTGCCAGCCAGCCCAAATCGTGCGTGGGGAGTGTTTCTCGTGGATACTGTGCCGCACGAGCATCTGGACCAGAGAAATCTCGGCATACCAGACATTCCGTGCTAGGGCCGCCTGCGGGTGCAGTAGCCCCGGGAAGAGAACCGTTGAAGCGTGGCTTGGTTGCAATCAGTTTGGCGAGATCTGGTCGAGATCCAGTTGGCACTGGCGGAGGGGCCCTGCTGGCAACACCATTCTCCGTTGGTGTGCTACTCGGCCGCGCAGGGATACTCGGGCTCTTATTCAGTCCACCAAACCCTAGTTTTCGAGCATCCGGAAGGTTGTTCACGGCCGAGGGTGGTGGCAACCGCCGGGCTGGTAGACTGGGCCTCGCTTCTTCTTCCTCTGCTTCACCATTCGTGCCATCTGTTTGTGTCTCTACCCCAGACGGCCGGCGCGGGGGGAGTCGAGGACCGGAAGGAGATGGGTCCCTAGCCGATGGACGGGAAGGTACACTTGGACGAGATGGTGTAGAGGAGGATGAGGATGAAGATCCAGGAATCTTCCCTCGCAGGGCAGATAGCTTCCCCGTCAATCCACCTGCGCTGAACTTGGGCTCAGAGCGTGGAGCCGGCGTCAAATCGATTGGGTCTTCCCTTGGCCGCCTAGGAGGCAGCACGGGCAGCTCTGTCTCACCCCATGCCGGCGCTTTGATACGACCGTTGCCGGTGGAGTTGACAGACGTCGTCGAAGCGCCGCGGCCAGTGCTAGTAGCCGTTGTCGAGTGAGACGCGTCAGACAAGACAGATTCCTGCGATGGCCTGTGTGACAGTTGTGTAGGTCGACGCGGAGGCAGAGAGGGACGAGATTCCTGTCGCGCTGGAAGTTGCGGCCGCGGTGGCGCTTCTGGCCGAGCTGGGGACTCGGAGCGAATAGGTGGAGGAGGGGGAGGCGGGCGATCTGATCGGCGCGTAGGCAATGGCGGCGGGGCCTTTTTGGGTTTCAATTCTGGCTTCGGCGAGGGACTTGGGGGAGGTCGTGGGGCCGTTCGTTGTGTCTGTAAATTGGTAGGTTCATTTCCAATCGAAGCGTTGTCTATGACCGAGCCAGTCACGGCGTAAGATGGAGGGATGTTGGCCGATTTGCTTCGCTGGGTGGGCGGGCGGAGGAATGGAGGCGGCTCAGCGCTATTCTGCGCCGCTTGGGACTGCTTAAGAGCAGCGATCCGTTGCTGGATAGAACCCAGCTGCGGTTCTTCAGTCATGTTGCCTGTTCTTCTTGCTGAATTCTTGAGCAGCAAGAATATAACTATGAGTGCAGGCGAATGCAGAAACGAGTGGGTAGTTGAGACAGAGGGATCACAGCTGTAACGACCGTCAAACCCCCAAGCACTACTGGGTGGCTTGGCGGGGGCCGAAGCGTATCCTCTTTGGCTTTAGATTAGCCCGAGTCGCCACAACGTGGAACGAAGCAGGAATCAGAAGAATTAATCTCGAGCAGAAGAGACAGAACAGATCAGGGCAGAAAGAGAAGATGGTTGGCGGCTCAAAAGCAGGCAGTTTTGGGGAAGACTCCGCCTCGAGGCCCGTGGTTCACCATCGAGAAGAGTAAATCGGGTTCAGGAACGGATTCAGGTACCACGCAGTATAATAAGTCGGGGACCGTTCACGGGAATGTAATAGAAGAACTTTACATAGGAATTCTACACAAAGACAAAGGATTTTCCGTTTTGAATGCCATTTCCAGCATACAGTACCCTGTTCGACCACTTGGACTCCCGAACGCCCGAGGCGGCTAGTGGAGCCCCCGTCTAGGGAATAGAGACATGAAGACAAAAAAAGAAGAAGAAAACTCGGTCCATCCAGGCGAGGGATGGAGAATATGAAGCCCAGGAACAGGAAAAAAGAACAGTTCACACAAAGAAGAATGGTCAATGGCTGCGCAGCTGGCTCATCGATCGCTGGATGGAAACATCCACATCCAGTCAACTGCGAGTCAGCTACGACCGATAGACGTAGGACACATGAAATACATCAATTGGGGAAAAAGGAAAATGGTTGACAAGAAAAGAAGTTCCGACGGTGTAGGGGTCAGGAATTGATCATCAAGAAGCATCACATCATCCCAATGTACATAACCGGCAGGGCGATCGACACAAAGTGCCTGGACGCTCTTACACATTCTTGTAGAGCAGCAGCGGCTCACCGACGTTCTCGATCTCGGGGATTGTGCACTTGAGGTCAAATGCCTTGGCCAGAACGATTTTGAAAATCTATTGCAGGTTAGCAAATGCCCAGATAGCGGGTCCAGAGGGAAAACAAACCTTCTGCACGTTGATACTATGACTGGTGCTGCTGAAGATCAAGCTAGCCTTCATCGCCTTGGCAAATCGCTTGGCCTAGAAGTGGTTAATCAGAATGAGAACTGTGCGGGTGTATGAACGATGCTAAACATACCTGGAGTGAGATTTCTTCTTGGTCCTCGCGTGGGAAGTTGACAAAATGGTCGTACTTGGTGCCGACTAGGAACGGAATAGCTGTCTTATTGAAGCCTCGGCCCTGGCGATACCATTCCTTGATGGAGTTCAAGGTACTCTTGCGGGTAAGATCAAACATGAATAGAATGGCCACGGCGTCGTTGCAAACAAGTGGCAGCATGTTGACGAATTCGCGTTGGCCACCAAGATCCCAAATTGAAAAGGTAATCTCAGTATTGCGAATGGAAATGGTCTTCTCCATGAAATTGACACCTGCCGCGAAATGGTTAGAACCAGGTAGCTCCATCTTTATCACAAATGACGCTTCAACACATACCCAGTGTCTGAATGTAGTCCTCATCCCAGCTGCCTTCCACGTATTTCACCATCAGACTAGTCTTACCAATCTGAGCATCTCCAACCATGCCGACCTTGATGACAACGCTGTTCTTCGAGGACTGAGCGGCCTGAGCGGCCTGTCGTTGCGCAGCTTCCGCGGGTTGTGGCTGTTGAGACATGCCATGTCGCTCCGGGCCACTGGAGAACCCAGATCCAGGCCGGGAAGGATGCAGTTGAGGCTGCGGGTTGACTGGTGGAGATGAGGTGAGACGAGCCGCGTGGTCAGCATCTTGGGTGTATTCGGGAGCAGAGTGGTGGAAGTCAGTCGAACGCGAGTGATAGTGCGCCTTGGAGTCGCTGTTGTAGCCATTGTCAATGCCTACTCGACCAGCTGACTGATCGGCGGGAACAGGCTCTTCCCCATGGACATTGACAGGCGCCAGCGCCGGATCTTCTTGAGGCTGCTGTTCAGACGAGGGGGCCTCCTGCGGTGCAGGTGCCTCGGGTACCTGGTCCTCTACAGAGGGCGGCTGCGGCTCCGCGACAACGGGGACAGCCTCTGAGGCAGGGTGCTGCAACGGATCCATTTTTAATGGTCGGAGATGGACGATTCAAGGGGGGCGAGGATGGGAGAAAGACCGAAACCGAGGCTGAGGCTGAAATTGAGAGTGCAACCTAACGTGAAGCTTCACGGTTAGCGCTTGCGGGGAAAGGAGACCCTTGCGGTGATATATCGTCAACCAATTCCGTACCTCTTGGGCGTCGCTAGGCTGTCCAGCCAGGCCAACTTCACCACAGTTCAGATTCCGAAGAGCTCTCCTCTCTAACAGAGGTCGTGGTTGCGCCCGACGCGAACGAAAGGATCGGGGTCCGGCGTAAACAGTGCTCAGACGGGTAGCGAGGTTGCGGCGAGAGAAGGAGGGGAAGTGAAGAGGGCGCGAGATGGGCTGCCACGGTACAAACGAGGGCTGGCAAACGCAGGAACACGAATGAGCGTCGCGACCGTTGCAGAGAAGAGTCCGGAGAGAATCAGGGCCAGTCGGTCAAGTCCAGTCCAGTCCAGACGAGTCCCAACTGTAGTCCCGTCCAGTCCGGTTGTTCAGCTCGCCTTCGACTTGCGGAACTGCGGGATCTGCGCTAGTCCCCGATAGGCTTAGCCTCTCTCCCGCGGTTGCCCAAAATTTACTGAAAAAAGTTCTTATCGGCCGCATTTTACCCCCCATTTCCTATATTTTACCCTCGATCCCACCTCTTTCACTCGCCTACTATGTCAAAGAGAGCTGCGGATGCTGCCGACGAGCAGTCGGCCGCCCTCAAGGCCGGCGAGCGCCCAATGGTCGACGCTCCCGCCGACGAAGTGGGGGAGTTTGAAGACGAGTTCGAGGATGAGTTCGAGAGCGAGGATGAAATTCTCGAGGCCGGTGTGGACGGTCGCCCTGACGCTGAGCGTGAGGAGGAAGAGAGAGGTTGGTCTAGCTTGCTCAATGCATCTTGTTTCTGCCGGCAATGGACAGTATAACTAATTTTTGACCATGGAATTGTGCAGAGGCCATGGACGTTGACAAGCAGACTTTCATTCCTGGACGGACGAAATTGGCGCCCGGAGAGACTCTGTCGCCCGATCCCTCGACCTACGATATGCTGCACACTCTGAGCACACCCTGGCCTTGTCTGTCCTTTGACATTGTGCGCGACACGCTGGGCGATAACCGAAAGACTTTCCCCGCAACCGTCTATGCCGTTGCTGGTACCCAGGCCGAGGGTTCTCGCGCCAAGGATAACGAGCTGATGGTGCTCAAGATGAGCGGCCTGAGCAAGATGGAGCGGGAGGGTGAGGACTCGGACGAGGAGTCGGACTCGGATGACGATATGGGCGAACCCATCCTCGAGCACAAGTCGATTCCCCTCGGCTCAACAACCAACCGCATTCGCTGCCATCAGACTCCTTCCCAGTCGGCCGATTACTCGAAACCTCCTCAAACGCTGACTGCGACTATGCTCGAGAACTCGCAAGTTCTCATCCACGACGTTACCGCCCACCTCGCCAGCTTCGATGTTCCTGGCACCGTCCTTCCTCCCTCCGCTTCCAAGCCCCTCTCTACTCTCCGCATGCACAAGTCTGAAGGTTATGCTCTGGACTGGTCTCCGCTTCAGCCTCTGGGTAAGCTGTTGACCGGTGATAATGACGGTCTGATTTACGTGACCACCCGTACCGAGGGCGGCGGCTGGGTGACCGACACTCGGCCTTTCACTGGCCACCAGTCTTCCGTGGAGGAGCTGCAGTGGTCGCCGAACGAGAAGAACGTGTTTGCCTCTGCCAGCAGCGATGGCAGTGTCAAGGTCTGGGACGTGCGATCCAAGTCTCGCAAGCCCGCTGTGGACGTGCACATTTCCAACACCGACGTCAACGTTATGAGCTGGTCGAACCAGACATTCCACCTTTTGGCAACTGGTGCCGATGACGGCCAGTGGGCCGTCTGGGATTTGCGTCACTGGAAGCCCAACGACGCTGGTCGCATTCGCGCCTCTCCCGTCGCATCCTTCGATTTCCACAAGGAGCCCATCACCAGCATTGAGTGGCACCCATCTGACGACAGTGTGGTGGCTGTTGGATCTGCTGACAACACTGTCACTCTATGGGATCTGGCTGTCGAGTTGGATGACGAGGAGAGCCGCCAGGCAGGCATGGCCGATATTCCTCCCCAGCTTCTCTTCGTGCACTATATGGAGTCTGTCAAGGAGGTGCACTGGCAAGCGCAGATGCCAGGTACGCTGATGGCGACCGGTGGCAACGGATTCAGGTATGTATTTGACTCGAGGTGTGTCTATCTTAGGTTCAGTGCTGATTTTTCTCTCTCAACAGTGTCTTCAAGACCATCAGTGTCTAGACGATCTTGCCCACCTTTGCACCCATCCAACCAAAATAGAAAAAAAGTTTCTCATGTGTGATGTCCTGCTCATATACCATTCGAGTATCGCGGCGTGCGACTCGTCTACATCGGTTCTGGAGTTGAGGCCCTGCCATTGCGACGAACCCTGATGGCAGGGCGATGAACAAAATAGTTATCCCAGTGATTTTCTTGTCTATTTGTGTCTACATTCGCGGGCGCAGAGTAGATAGATTCGCATATTTCAACGAGTTTTTTTATGTCCATATCATGATTCCTTTACAGCCATGTAAACAGTTATCTTCTACTTCGTAACTCGGCTATATGGCCTACTCAATGCCTACTCGGAGCATGAAATAGCTACCACTAGGTATGATCTGACATTCCCTCCTTGCCGCGGAATGCAACCCCCACTAATTCCGCCCTTTCTCATGCTCACCAGCCGAGGCGCAGTGATAACCAGGGGGGCAGTGTTATCACAGGGAGGGGGAGGGGCAATCCAGGAGAGCTCTGCTTAGTACCTAGTGTAGCTGCAAATGCACATCATGTCTCGGACTGGGATAAGAGCTCTTTGACAGACGGGAAGACTAAGAGAAAGGTCATCGTTCTAGTCGTAACCGTCCTAGGGGATTCTGGGTAAACGGCACGGGATGGAAGGCACAGGCACTTGGTAGGCGGGATGTTTAGTGCATACGAAGGTGAGTAGGTATACGGAGAATATCGTGGGAGTAGTATGTATCGTGTCTGGATGCGATGTACTTAGTGAACCTGGCTAGTACAGTAGGGTGTACAGTCGCTGGATCTTACGGCACGAGGGATCGGTATGTACATGCAGATACTATGTACCTACGTCCAATACCGTTGCACGATGCCAACTAAATACTGTACAAAGTAAATAGCTGTAGAATGTAATAGATTACAGGTACGAGGTACATGCGCCCGCAGGGAGTCCTGCAGCAGCTCGAAGCAAGCTTGCCAATAATGTACCTGTACATCTTGACTCGTCTGGACACAGCCCATCAAGGTCAATAATTAACAGCTAATAGCCACTACTTATCACAGAATCAAAGTACTAATCCTACTAGTCAACTGCTTAACAGACACACTATCTTTTGCAATAACTTGGCGACTATCATCACCAATGCGCCATTTGTTTTGTCCCGTCAATTTATCCATCCTCCCGGCGCCGTACTGGACCCGAGTCGGGTGCGACCATGCAGGGCCAGTCGGTTCTAACATCCTACAACTCTTCCGTACAAATTATTACAGGACGTGCGTGGGGCCTCAGGTTAGCATTGACGTGGGGCTACTCACTATCCCGCCAATGAAGCAGCCAGGGGCTCTTGCAGGTACTATTCTCCAATAGGCACTCCACATCGTGGTGGGCGGTCTTTGGATACAATTCGCGCCGGCGCTAGGACGCGTGGGCGATCGTGGGCGATTTGCATGCGTATGGCTTGAATTGTCTTGGCTGCGTGTTGGGCGTGGCGATGCGATGAGGTGTGTGGATTTGGATTTACATTTCGTGTTTTGGGGTCGTGCGTTGTGCTATATTGTCTGTGCGAGGTTCCTGGGTAAGGTTCGTAGGAGGCTGTGGCAGTGTACTGGAACCGTTGGCCGTTGGTTTTGTTGTGGAGAGCTTCCTTGGGTGGAGGTTTAAGTGGGATGGTCGAGGTATGACATGCATGAAGGGGGCGAATGCGAATGCACGTCGGAAACATAATATCAGAGAATTTGAGAATGGTGGATTCCTCCGGCTAGCTACTTGACACTTACTACTTACCTAGGTAGGAAGGATGAATGGATGTACCTTAGCTAGGATTATTACGATTAGTTTCGTCTGTGGCGCCGTAGGTCAGACAAAGCCTAGCACTTTTGTACTTGTGTTGCCAGGCGCTGGAGCGGTTCGATATTGAAGCGAGCGCTTGCGATGTGTATAGGTATACAGTGGAGGCGAACTATGGTTGAGTACTGAGGTCGATATATTCTGAGCATGCACAACAACGCAAGGTACCGAGGAAAATCTTCTCTTGCTAAATTCAGTCCGAATGTAGTCTTCCAGTCGATCTTTAAAAGCCATACTTGATACCCTTGTAAAGCTAGAGCTATTGCAGCTCGAGGATGTACAAATACATGCTTCGATACATGGACCCATTGCAGGGCCGGCAAAATGGCAATATGCTTATGTCCGTGTGCACTTCGATGAAGATATGTATTGGAAGTCCAGTAACGATAGTATAATTCCGGTATCCTAAGAACACAGTATTGCCAAACAATTCGAATACCGGGATTTACCGCTAATGCATGACGAGGAAACCGGTCAATCACAACAGATCTAGCCGCTCTCGCCATCCGACGCCTGCACGTTCCGTGGGTGATCATGCACTACGACCAAGTAAAGTTCGTCGTCCTGCAGGCTCGCAGGCTAACCCCGTTTCTGCGGTCGGCATTTCTCCGGTGCAATCGATCAGTGACTGGGATAATAATGAATGATATCACAACCTGCGCTAGGGTAATATAGCTCTCTTGCTGGGCTGGCCGGGGGATTTTCCGGAGTTTTAGTTGAGCTACATACAGCTAAACTAGGCTAAACAAAGTATAGTAGAAGCAGAACTAGATCAGTTGGCGAGTCGTGGACAGTAGTTAGACTACCACTCGTGGAAGAGTCAGTACTTTGTTCTCTAGAGATCCTACATTTTCTGCACCAACGTCGTGCTCTTATCGGAGAATGTCGCGATTCCTATCGGAGCTCTCCTTATCAGGACACCGGCCAGGTCCAGTCCGTGTTCCTTGGGGTCGGTCCACTTGGTGGAGACATTTGGAGTCAAGATCAAGTACTGAAGTAAAGCGCTGGACAATGTACAGTCGTATTGCCTAGCTATGGTATCTCTCTATGCGCCGACCGTAATCGCACCAAATTGTTCCGTCCTAAATATAAACTCTTCACTGGCATGAGTCGTTAGCGCTGGACCAGACTCCCGAGACTGAGTTTCTGGGCGCAGATCCATAAATCGTGCAAGGTTATGTTGGCCGCTTGTCGCTGCGACTCGCCACCACCTTCCTGGTGATCATGGCCCTGGGCTTGTCTGGGGCCTGAACACGCGCATCAGGCCATTGGCCCGTTTCTTGGTTCTGGTGCGATGCACTGTAGTATGATCCGACACTATACTATGTAGGCTGCTGATCGTCGGCGCAGGGACTGACTCGGACGGTACGTAGTAGTTGCGCTCTACCGTGTATATTGCATTTAGCGGGTATTTTATGGCAATATTGTTAGAGTACTGGAGGTCTTCTTCCATGCTAATCACTACCTGTGGCAAGCTGTATGATACTACTGTATGTCGCATCTTCTCTTCGTCTGTCATATCATGCCGGCTATGGGATTTGCCGTCCGCGATTTTCTGTCTGGCGATCGTCATGCTTCTAAAGTCCGTAGACAACCCGCCAGCTTATCTCATTCCACTCCCAGCCCTATCCACTCTTGCAGTCCTGTGCCTTGCATGAATGGCCAACTATCTAATGCCTCGCTGATTGGGAGAATTGTGCGATCGTCGGCAACGTTTTCCTATCGTCTTGCTGTTGATTGCGGACTAACGCTGGAGCTTTCGTCGCAAGCGCCCCACATGGGCGTGGCTGGGCATTTCGAAGGATACCGATAAAGTGCAATTCGTAAGATTTGGAATGAGCAGCTAATTTCCATAATGATCATTTTATTCCTCGGTGTGAAATCCGTAGGGTAAATTTGAATACTACGAGGCTGCAGATGAATTTTCTAGTGCGGCATTTTGAATGTACAACCTCGCTTGGAAATCCTCATAGGCCAAGCATGCCGGTATGGCTACTATGTACTCCGTACAAAACACTATGAACTATATTGGTACGACTATATCATCTATTTGATTTCAGGATGTCGGCTTCTCCGAAATGCATGTCATCCTACGGCCCTACTGTAGCCATCCTGGCTTGACACGATACTCACAGGGATCCATCACGATCCTTCGAATCCACCACCGCGCTAAAGCGGCGGAGACTCGTCCGCTCGTCCCTTTTTGCACTATATTTTGTAGAGTGTCAAAAGTGGACTGTGGACAGCGATGACGCATGGGGCCGACGAAGATGCCACCAAGAGCCTCAGAGCCATTGATAACCCCTGCACGACTGCCTGCGCATTAGGGCATCTCAGCACAGACACCAGTAAGTGGCCAGCCCTTTCCCTTGCCCTTCCCCAGAATATGCACAGACTCAAAGTATACCTTTAGCCTATCGACTACTAAATACTACTGTAAGATCTACCGGTCCCAGGGCGAGAGCGCGGTAGGACCGCTTTGTAGAACCCATCATGTTTCGGGTGTTCTGCACGATCGATGGGGGACCAATAGGCGCCGTAAGGCAGGACTTGTGGGCTTTTCTTCAGCGATTAGATAGACCAGCTAGTAGGATACCTCGACCCTTGGACTCTACCTTCAGATCTAGCGAGTTGTCGTAGAGGTAAGAAAATATTACCGCGAGCGCAATACAAATGAATCCAGGACAAAGACGGCTTGAAACCCGAATGTCCGGGGCTAAAGTGGAAAGTGAAAGAGAAATGTTCAAGTGGAGGAGGACTAATATCCGAGCCGTGAGGATTGAAGGACTAAAGACATCCCGCGCGCCATCAACAGACTTGATGCCATCGTGCACAAGCGGCGAGCACAGGCCACGCAGTGATCAGCCCGGAAACCCCGTGGCACGGACGGACGGGGAGAAGGAATGCATCGGAGAATTTCTGGTGGCTTTTTTCTTGACTGATTCAGGGTGGTACCTTAGTTGCTTGGATGAGGATATAGGCACTGACAACTGGACGTGTTGTATAAGAGATGCGCCAGCCAAGGTTTCATGGCTTGTAATTTATTGCGAGACCGGGATGCTTGGGATGGGCGGCTGCAGCTTTTTTTTGGGCCAGCCTATTACATTGATTACCTGGTTTAGTAACTTAGTCCAACTCCAACCTGACCTGTAGT